ATGACGTCAACATATGTCCCAGGTACAAGATATAGCTTACTAACACCAAAATCAGCTTCTTCTTTGGTCTTATCAAACCAATATCCACCATGATGATTCCCGTCACTATCTTGTCTGACAGAAAGTGGCAGATAGGCCCCAATACTTAAACTTGCTTTCAAATCAATTGATTCACTCAGAGACTTATCAAAATAATGGAACTCTTTTGCCAGAGTTGCTTGTAGCACTGTGCGGCCAGGAGATGAAGTATATATATAAGCCCGAGAACAAGCAGAGCTGGATTCAATGCTACTTGGTTCTTCCAACACCATCATCTCGGATGTTGCATTAACAATAACAAAAGAGTCACTCACTGTCTTCCACTTTATCAATGAATTAAAAGCATCACATCTAGAGAATGAGGCACCTGATGTTAAGAACTCCAAGTTAAAATAATATAGAAAGAAAACATGAGAACTAAACACCAGAAGTGACAAAAGACAAGTTTCGGTCATAACCATTTGAAGCCTTCATTGTGACAGCTGCTTGCAGGTGTGATCCAACAACTGTCTCGACTGGAAAGTTTTGCAACATAACCATAGAAGATGGAATGGACACTTCAACAACAACCTATGAAGGATAAATTAATCAGTTGAAGCACCATAATAAAGAGTAGAACATAGCATAATAAGTTATAAAACAGTCCGACCAATTGGATATGTTCCTGATCCATCCCTCTTGGACTTTAAAAATTTATACATAAAATATGCCAATAAGTCAATGTACCTCATCGAAATTTTGTGAATCGAAAGCCGACACCACCTTTACAGTGGCTATTCCAGGCCTCTTTGCTTGGATAATTCCATAAGCTGACACAGACAGAATACTCATATCTGAAGTAAACCACTTGTAGTCACTCGATGCTTTCGCACAGCCTACATTGAGGAGAACAAACATCAAGTCACTATGGGTTTTCAACTGAAAAAGAATATGCCACAAGAAACATAGCTTGAGAACTGACCTCCAGTCACAATTAGCTCCATCTCCTGATATACAGCAGGGGTCCAAGGGAGTAGAATCGTAGGTGTGTCATTTTCACTGTTTAATTTGAACTGCACTTTCTCACAGACCATAATTTCTTGGACAACCTTGAGAACCTACCAGAGAAGAAGCTGTTGAACTCGCAATAACAACAAATGGAAAGGGACAAAAAAGGTTTCTCAAGAGACGAAATATAATGCTCTCACCTCTTTTGAATCATGATGCCCATTGAAGTAAGTCAATGAAGCTGTCAGCTCTCCTAATCCTGGTGAGATTGCTTTCAAAATTCTAGAATTTCGCCAACCATATTCAGACGAAAGATCATCTGGCAATGAGACAATTTTCCAGTAATCCGAGTCGTCTCCATACAATTTGATATCATCCATCTGTGAAGACAAAGGAAATTATTATGTTGAACATACCAAGGATCATAAGTTATATAATTATCTGCAATAGATCAACTGGATATAACAACAATGTGTAGTAATATTATTTGCAATAGATCAACTGGCCAAAGAAAAGAGAAACTAAAAGAAACAAACGAACAACAGTGAGAATGAATAGCCACTGGAAATACACGTCTTCAGGCTTTTCTACACTTTTCAATTTTCTACTTTGATGCAGTCCCTTAAAGATTTGAAAACTGTGTAGTCACCAGCAGTTACTTTCCAACTAAGAAAAGATGTTCAGTATGAAGACTCATATGACCACATCAAAATCAGTAAAAAGGGAAGGGCATAACCAAAGACAGTGAAGTTACTCTTACAAGCCTATGGGGGAGTAACAACCTAAAGATACACAAATTGCACACCGCGTCCTTTAGTTGAGAAAATGTAGAGGCAATGTAATATTTTACAAGTAGAGACTTAAGCAAACTTCACATCAGCATGCAATGTTTTCTTGTAAGTGCAAAAGAGGGAAAAAAAATAGGGAAATACCTCAGTTATATAGATTTCATGCGCATCAGGTCTCTCAGAGAAAATCTTCATTTGTATTCGATATTGACGACCAGACACAACATACCAATGCATAGATGATGGATAAGGTTTTGATTCTGTGATAGGATCCTCTGACATTGACCAAGGTGATATGTACAAGATAAAGGTATCTGGAATGACAACATTAATAGATGATCCTTGAATGTGGCCAGCAACCCGAGTATCCTCGACAACAACGGTTGTTTCCCCCAAGCTTAATGCTTTAGTCAGACCTATCAAAGAATCCACTTGAACAACAGAAGAGTTCAACGCAGACCATCTGTGATGTGAAGATGGTAGTTGCACGGCTGCAAATACAGTAAACCAGTAAAGAACGAGACTGGTAAACAACATAACATAAGTGTCAAAATCGAGCTACAGTGACAAGTCATATATTTAGAATATAAATCAACACCACTGAGACAATTTAAAGCAAATATTCCGATTGTTTGATATGAGAATGAACTAAGGTTACTTTATCTATCATTTTCATCTGAATAACTTAAACATTGCTTAATAAAAAGTTAAAATTAATCTTTAGGATGCAGGCAAACCTTGAGGAACATTCCCACGCATGACCTTTAAAGTGTAGCTGAAAGAAGCTCCCATAAGGACATAAACTGGTGAACGAGGTTCAAGTGACATGGCCTCCGCAACCGTTAGTACTATTTCATCGGCTATATGTGTAAGAGGAGCCTCAAGCAGATGAACAGAAACTTTTTCATGTCCAATCTTTGCTCCCTTCACCACAAACAAATCTGCAAATGCCCCCTGCATTTACCATGCCACATTAGCTTTCTCATCCATGAAACTTTTAGATTTAGTATTGAATTCACACTCAATAGCTATCATGTACATACACTATCCTCGAGCTTTTTCTGGATATCCAAGTAGCCACACAGTCCACCACAGTCAGTCAATGGAGACTCCTTCAAAGGAACATGAGCAAGATGATGCGTTGATCCACCACTTTCAGGCATTAGCTTCCACATGAATTGTAGACCCACCAGTGATGAGAACTCGTTTTCTGCACAAAGATTCCAGTAAATTCAAAATTACAGCACAAAGTGAAGAAAAACAGTGCACGTAATCAAAACATTACGCTACGGACTAGTTATCAAGCATGAATGAAGCATTTACCTTCATTATCAAAGGCACGGACTCTAAGCATGGAAAGTCCATCAAGATCAAGCTTGATAGAGTTATGAAAAATCTGGATCCGCGAGAAGTTGTCAATAAAGACCTTGCACCGAATCACCATCCCCGTCTGTATATCAGTGGCATAAACTGCCGTCTCCTTTCTACCGCTATAAGGGGAAATCGATCTTAGACGCGCGCTGGTCGAGCAATGACTGCTCGAATTAAACTCAGGCGTAACCGAGAGAATGTCGTGATGATCCCATGACCTTGAAATTAAAAACAAACAAAACCAGATTTTGTAATCAACTTTGTTCACAAAATTTCAAATTTTCAAAGGCAATCATTTCTTAATTAAAGCTCATGCTTAACACAATTTCTAACAGATATCTAAGCTGAGCTAAATTGGAGAAGATAACAAAGACGAGTTGATGGAAAAATGAGTTAAGGTACCATTTGAAGCAGCCATCGCTTCCTTGAAGCCGATACTCGACTGGATTCTTCATCCTCGGAGGTAATAGTATATTGACATCGGTAATGTGCGGACCAGAGCCCAACTGCGATGAAGTTTCTCGAATCGAAAGCAGCACCAGAACCAGAACGACGAAGCAGGACGAGAAACGAATCATTTTTTTTGTTTTGCTACATCAACGCGTAACAAAAGAGATTATACTCGGAGGAGGAGCTTTGAGCTGAATTAGGATCAGTAGCTTGGACAGTGAAGAGTGACCGTGAAATCGAAGGTGGTGACAGTGAGAGCTTGAAGATGAAACCCTAAAAAGAGGGGTTTGCAGAGGGTTTATGGAAAGGGGGAAGAAATTTGAGGGAGACGAAAGTGAAATTGTGATACGTGGCGGAGTTATAGTGGTGGTGATGGAAGGTTCAAAGTCGCGTTAGCATTTCCTTGGTCGAGTGTTCGTCACGCGCCGATGGCTTTTTGATTTTTTCAGGTGCCACGTGCGGTGAGGAAACAGCGTGTTGTTTTATGTTTTCTGGATAAAGCTGCTTCCCGTTTCGGCTTTTGGGGTATTATTAGAGAAACTGTTTCAAAACATCAGTTTAAAAACTTTAATTCCACTTAATATTGCTGTAACTTATAAGTGTTTCTTAATAACAAAAAAAAAATTATTCTATTTCATACATGAACGTGACAGAATGAATTTTTTCGTTTCCCTCGATGTCACCAAGTTTTTGTTTGACAAAGCTTTTCATAGTTATCAAATAAACAAATTGGGAGGGTTTTTGTGAGTCATTTTAAAATATTGAGTTATTTTCTTTACTTTTAAAAAGTTTATAAAAGCTGACTATAATTTTTTACCAGTATCACGCGCTTCTCCCGCATTTTAAAAAAAATCGTTAATCTTTAATCTTTGTTTTACGCCATTCTAATTTTTATCTTTAACGACAACTCAACCCCTCGGCAAAATCACCTGCCAACCTCTCTCACCTAATTTTGTAAAACTGGAGAAGATCAATTACTTATGTCAGATTGATTAACAGCGATAGGTCCCGTTTCCCATTAAGAAAATTATAATATTCGATTCTTTATACAATGTCAACACAAAACTAAAGAAGAACTGTTTTGTTAATAATTTAATTTAATTATGAAAGTTAAAACGTTAACCTTTGTATATTAGCAACAATTGAGCTATAATTTTGAAAACTAATTGGATGCTAGTATTATACTCCTATGATGTGAGAATTTCATACGACAACACAACTCAATTTTATCAATTTCTTTGTGTCTCTTGCGTGACCCAAGAACCAAGACACACAAGTGTCAAAAGCAAAGCGACGACACCAGAAGGCTCATAAAATCGTCGATTTTCATCTTTCTTCGTCTCTTCAATTCGATTTTCCCAAAAAATGGAGGAAACTCTGTTCGACGAGATTCTCCAGGAAATATTTACAAGACTGCAATCGTCTTCCTCGTTACCAACTCACGAATTGGTTCCTCTCGTCTCCAAGCGATGGCTTCGCCTCTACAGAGCTTCCAAGACTTCCATGTCCTTACGAATCAGCCCTTTCGACAGCTCAGTAATTACCCATCTACCCTCTATCCTTCACAACCATCCTTCTCTCTCCTCCCTCTCCTTCATCTTTGACTCCAAATTCCCGACCCCAATCCGCTCGGCTTCCGACGATTCCGCGGCGGAGGCGAATTTCAACGCCTATCTCATCTCGATCGTCTCTTCTCGCTGCATCAATCTCGAAAAACTCAGACTTTTAGTCAGCCCTGTTTCTTCATCTTCTTTACTTCCTCTCTCTGCTTCTTCTTCTTCATCTCTCACTTCTCTCTCTCTCGAATTGGTCAGACCCGTTTCCTTCGATTGGGTTGCTTCGTTTAAATCTCTCAAGGACTTATCAATCGATGTCTCCTCAAGAACAACCTCCGATTTCGAATCCGGGTCAAACCGTAACACTAACCCGGACGATGCCGTCGTCGAGGAATCCGGTTTGGAGTCGATTTCGTTAACCGGAATCCAATCAGACGATACCGGAGTCACCTGGCTATGGAAGAGATGCAGAAAGGTAAAGAAACTGAGCCTGAAATCATGTGGAACCATCGGAGAAACAGAGCTTTTCGGTTTGTGTTTGAAGAATCTCGAAGAGATTGAGCTGAGGACGTGTAGGAGCATAGCTGATGTGGTTCTGCTCAAAGTCTCAGAGGTTTGCGAGTCTCTCAAGTCTCTCTTGATCTACGATGGTGGAAACAGAGACGGATTGGATCATTTCATGAACAATTCCAAATGCAATGATACTTTGAAGAGTCTCGATTTGCGTCTACCAATGGATTTGATCGACGACCATCTCGTCTCTCTCGCTGAAAATTTCAGATCTTTATCTACTCTGAGGCTTGCAAGCTGTTACTTTGTGACTGGTTTGAGTCTAAAGGTGTTAGCTTTAAGCTTTAGTTCGAGTCTTGAAGAGCTTTCTTTGCTTAGCTGCGACGCTGTTGAGAGAGAGTCTGGTTTGTTGGCGACGTTAGGACAGGATTTGAGGAGGTTGAGGAAGCTTGAATTGCCGTTTAATGAGTGGCTATCTGATAAGGAGCTTGTGTCGATGTTGGCTTCTTGCGGTGGCTTGGTTGAGTTGAATCTGAGAGGATGTAAGAGCTTGACAGGTTCTGTGTTGGTTTCTTTGAACAAGAGCTGTGTGAAGTTGAGGACTTTGGATGTTGCGAGTTGTGGATTGATTGAGGGTGGTGACGTGGAGGCTTTTGTTGTGAAGTCGCAGAGGTTGAAGAAGATTGTGGTTGATGAGAAGAAGATTACAGAGGAGGCGATGAAATGGGCTTCGAGTAAGTTAATTGACGTTGTTGCTGTTGATTCGGATCTTCCTCGGTGATTACTTGGATTGGTGTCTGACTACGAAAAGCATTTTTATGCCACACACACACACACACGCAAAAGAAGCTGTTTAGTGTGAAGTATATGTAATTTATGTGCAAGCAAGTGTATATAACATGAAATAAGATGGAAACTCAATGATGTGTTATTTCTAAAAGATTAGGGGTTTGATTGTACATTATTGTGTTTATACCTCTTGAAATGAAGAAAACAAATTGTAAACTCGTATGTAAAATGCAAAAGGAAAACAAAAACTTCGTTTGTGTTCTTTTTTTTTTTTTTTTTTTTAACAACACCTTCGTTTGTGTTCATAATCTTGCAATAGCATTAAGCAGTGATATACATTGCCATTGATCAGCTCTATAAACAAATGACAGATCAGTCATATTTGGGCTTACTAATTATATTGGGCTTTTGGGTCCTGAAGAAGTTCAATGATAATAACCTATGTCTTGTATGTAAGAATTTGAATTCTTTTGGGCTTCACTTGACTTGATACACTCACTCTTCTGTGGAAACAAATAAATAGAGTAAATGTATATCTCTACTAAAAATAAATAGAGTAAATGTATTAATATTTTTATTTCTATGATTCATATATTAATATTTTCGGCCATTTTTTGTTTTGCTTTACGTACTAAAATCGAAATTATAAAAAAAAAAATCAAAATTTTCTATTATAGTGTTAACGAGAACTTAGAATGCTGACAATACCAAAGTGCACTTTTTCGTTGAAGTATCTTTTTTTTCTGTCTCTCAGCTGTAAACATGAAAACATCCTTACGCAATCATATTTGGCGACTTTTTTTTTCTTCTTACAGTCTTACTTAATAAATTTGGGGCGTCATATGTGACGAATGAGTACGTCTCACTGTCTCAACAACATTCATGAAAACCATTACAAAAATTTCACTCATGGGCCCCGCAAGATGACGTGTCATTTACCTTCAAGTGAGTCAATTCAGACAGACACGTGTTGATGACGATGACGCGGACCAAACTCCCACACAAACACAGATCAGCCGCCACAACAAAGCCCGCTTTTCCCGGGCTGACTCTCTTCGCGCCAATTTATTCGATTTTCTTTTATTTAAAGGGTTTTTTATTTTATTTTTCAATTTTCCCGCTATAAATAAACGGGCAGGACGGGTAGGGAGAAGTCAAAACCGCGTTAAAGAGGAAGGAAAGTGGGCAAATTAGTCATTTGCTCTATCTAAAGTCTACACTAATCGTTTTTAAGGCAAATCAAAGATTTGTACGGAACAAATTACACACTCTTTGAGAAGAAACATTTTTAAAATAGCTTTAGAAACTATAATTAGACATTATCAAAGCAAATTAAATTATTAATTCAAATTTGTACTTGGTCTAAATTCGGGCATAGGATACCTTTTGACGGCCCATGTGTTAATGTAAACTGGGGAAGAAAACCTCCTACGTTCAATTTTTTCTTGGAAAAAACTTCAGTTGCATTGGATTCGTTTTTTTTTTCTCTTTCACTTGTTATTAGTACGATTCTACTAAATTTTGTCATGAAAAGAATCTTTCAGTACAGAAATAGCCCGCACTCCCATTATTATCCTTTCGAATTTTGTACTCCACTTAGTTTATCAGCCATTTGATAGTATTTACATGTACAAATATTTGAGATACTTCAGCTATACTTTTGATAGAAATGTGAGTTTTTTTTTTTGGTTTGGTAATAGAAAACTAAATAAGAGACAGGTTTGACGATGTATATTTGTTCAAATTGCACAGTGTATACTCTTCATTGACAATAAGCATGTGTTTGTCAAACCTCACCGATAGCCAGAGTATAAACAATATTTATTCAAACTTTATGTGGACCACTGAGTATTAATAAAATGTATTACATGAAATGTAAGTAACTGTAATTGTGGTGGTAAATATGCGTTTTGAGGCAAGGTTGACTATAATTTCATTAGTTAATTAACGTCCCTTATTCGTTTAGACGAGTTTTTGAGCAAACACAAACATAGACAAATACACACCCCCAATTTGATCATAAAGACGAGGGCTTCGAAAATATAATGTTGAAAAAAAAAGAGGTAGCTATTTAGTAACTTAACCCAAAGAAAGTTTTAGGCATGACGCTCCTCTAAATACTAGCATCGAAAAATAACCTGACCATATTATTTTTTTCGAACAAAAACCTGACCATATTTTGTTGTGTAGAATTGTAAGCCACGTAATATATGGATCAAACTAAAAAATCATACATGTAATACATGTATGGACCTTTTTATTTTATTTAAATTGTTTGATCACCAAAATTTTAAATGGATTGGTCCCCTACAAAAAGCACATGTATTGTTGATCAGATCCATATAGACAGAGAACAAGTCACATATGTATGTCTCTGTCCAAATAAAAGAGAACCAAAACTTTCGACAGTACAAAAGAATAACAACCAAAATATGAAATTGTCTATTAATATGTATGTACATCATGTTCTAACAAAATGGTCATATATATACACACAAAATAGACAATACGAAATTACCTAAATATGAAGAATATATTATTTTAAAACAAAAGTAAAACTATAACTTACAAGCTACACGTTAAATTAAGAAAGAAATGTGCGAGGAAGCGTTTAAGCTTGATCCAGTATCCATATTAGTGACATCAAACTGACACACGTAAGGTAGATTTCACATTCTCTACAGTTTTGGTCTGACCTTTGTCAAAACATTATCCTAATTCCCTTTCATAATAATTTTAACACTTCTTTAGTACCACTTTTTGGATTGACAAAATTTTATTCAAAATTGTTTTTCAGTATTGTTTTTGGACACTGAGAATCAACATGATCTTGAGTAATGAATTCTCAAAAACGTTTCTCTATATTTTTGAAATGATACAAAGACTAATTATTATTATTTTCTAAAACAATTCGATAGTACATGTATGAGTGGTGAACAGTAGTAAGAAAAAAAAAGGTAGGGAACCATATGAATCCCACGACCACTTGTTCACACTTTGATCAAACATATATCAGTCAAAGTTTCTTAAACAATCACTTAACTCCATATTGCCATGACACACTCACAAGTCACAACGAAACATACTGTATATCAGTTCAACATAACGAAAGCGATTTGGTCAAAAAAAAAAAAAAAACATAACGAAAGCGATTCCATCTTTTCTATATACGTTTTGTCCTCCAAGCAATAATATATCATATTTTGGTGGGAGCGAAACGGAAAACGACATCAACAAACAATTGTCTGTGAAGCTCACTCTTCAAATTGACAAGACATTTCACAACCTTCAAACGCTAAAGCAAAGATGGATTGCATGGAGAATCACAACGTGATTTTCAAATCCATATTTTTCGCTCGTCTTTCCCAAATAAAACAATGAATTTTTGTTTCTGTTTCAAAGATAATTTTGTTGATGTTTGCTATTGTAAATAGTTCATAAATTTAATATTTGTACAGAAAAGAAAAACTTAATATTCAAACTTGGATCCTCATTCATTAATAAAAAAAACTTAGGAAATATTTTTAAATTCAAGTCATGACGGTGAACTATTAACTCGTTCACAAGAATGATCCAAACTCGTCAAATTTAATCGTCATAGTTTCATCAATCATCATATTCAAACACTTTTGTCCAAATCTCTAACTCGAAGAGAAAAAAACACGAGATTTGTCGCTGTCGCGTAAAGGAACCAAACAAGGCCTTAAGTCCCACATTGGATTCTCCCATCGCACCGCTATTCTCTGAACCCTATTTTGTCCTTTTCATGACTCAATCCACAAGGGCCAAAGAGAGTGAGAGAATTAGTGATTTACATGCAAACACATACATTTAATATGCAATAGTATATGCTTCCACACATACTACTGGTGCGTCGCATGAGTAACTAGCAATCATAATGTTTTAGGTGTTTATATAAATATTAATTTACTAGAATTCAAAGTAGTAGTCAATAATATAAAGACGAGACTAGTGCAGTGGCGGAACTAGGATTTATTTTTACAGGGGTCATAACAAAAACATTGTTCTAGAAAAGACTTAAATATATAAGAAATTTTTTGTCAAAGGGCTCACTAGAGGTTTAAACTTGGGTTCAGGTAGATTATTGCCCAGAAATATACCAATTGAACTGCTAGTTCTATTAGCAATTTGCTACATTAAAATGTATTTTATTCTATTCCACCTGAGTCAGCTGACCCACCTGCCATCTCTCTAGCTCCGCCACCGGACTATTGAGTGTGCAATTGTGCACGTAAAAAGCTTTTAACCTGAAAAAAGAATCACATTTGTTGGATGACTTTAGAAGAGGCCTCCTTAAAAGAGTCATGCATTGGAAGTCTTCAAAATTCTTTTGTTTTTCTAGTCATAAAATAAATATTAAATTTACATGTGTGCGTTTTAAAATTGTTCATTGCTTCTCCTTTTTAAATAGTTCCAATTACGTCGACAAAAAATAATAATTCCAATTATGTGATTTATTTTCTTTTTTATTTTTATATCAAACATGATATTAGATCCCACCAAATTATATATCAATGAAAACTACACTGACGGCCAACATCTAGAGCATGAGATAAAGTAAAACAGATTTATACATACTTGGTAAATACTTTCGTGAGGGACTTTTTGTGTATATATACAATCGTCTTTTTTATTTTTGGAGAATTTTTGATTTTTGGCAGCAATATACGTTTACCAAAGAAAACTAGAAGTATATGATACGGTTGAATCGTACCATCAAACTTAATACATAACCCCAAGAAACCAATCCAAAAATTGCTTTCTAATTATCTCCATATATATACTACAGCTTAAGTCGATATGAACTAAAAATAAAAAACCGAGTTTCTAATTAATTATATAGTTTGTTAAATCTTAAGTCCGAAACAAAACAACCTTGTTAAAAAATCAGAACTGAACACTCAAAGTACATACTAAATCGAACACTTAATTATTTACTGACATAACCAGTCTATCAGTTAGTGGGCAAATATAATTTCAACGTATGATGATATCGAAAATATTATTACGTCAGAATAACATATGCAAATTCATAACCGAGTATAGCCGAGAATCAAAGGCTTGACGTGTGGACTTCTTGTCTTGTGTAAATTATTGGTAATTTTACTATTATATTTATATTTTGGTGGTTGAGGTTATTGGTAAGATTTGCTCACGTCACTTCCTTTCCTGTCTTCGTAGGCCGAATCTAAAGTTCTGAGATTAGAATTGTCTACATATTTTTCATCAATAGTTGGCTACATTCAAATTAGTATTATTTTACAAATATGATGAAACCGAGTCACATACGGAACCAAATGTGACGAACGAAATATGGTATTCAATCTAAACTAGCAGCTAGTCATTATCATCATTAGATTCACATCTTTGTAAAAATAAAATTGTGAAAAGGTAAAAATAGAAACAAATCTTCAAGAAAACAATTTAGCTACATGATAAATTGATAATACATAATGCAGATAGAACTAAATGCGAGGAACAAAATATGGAAGAATGCTAATTTAGAAGCTAGCCATTATCATCACTAGAGTCACATCTTTGTACAAAAGACCTCCTGCTTTGTTGTCCCGCTTACAAGCACCCTCCGGCTCAGGGGGACCAGAAAAGGCCTTTCGTTTTTCCCCCTTCGTCGGCCCTTGCCGTCTTCCTTAACAGACCTATGACCCACAACTCAAAATGAGCCTTGCGACGAGACGCGGCCATTACCCATGCGACCAACCCACTGAAATGCAAATAGGGATCAGAAATCTCCTTTCTTATACAGAAGACCATAGTCAAGGAGGAACGTCACATTTTGATTCCTTCTGCCCGAGACAAAGCTGAGCTGTCAAATAAGACCGAGTAGCCTCGAATAACTCTCTTCTCCCTCTTTACTTTCGCGTACTCCTCTGAATGAAGAACAATGAGTTTAAGCCTATTTTCCCCACCGGCAAGAAGCACCTTTCCTTTCAACTAGGGCATATCAACACACCTTTGTTTAACCGGTAGTCACTTAGAAAAAACCGGTATCGCTGAGGCCCTTTAATCGATAATTGACTTTGAAGGTGGTAATACCCCAGGTTGCTTCATCCCAAGCGCTGCTAATGTGGCTACTAAGCTATTTCTCCTCCCACCTGAGGGCGAAGTCAAAACTTCCCTTTATAACAAAACAGAAAACTAGAAACTAGACAGCAAGAAAACCACTATGAGAACAACAAACTGATTTGAAATCCAAACGCTCTAAGAAAATCTAATTAGTACTATTGTAACCGGAAGTTTCATGGCTTGTAAATTAAAATGACTGAAAAAAAAAACTCAAAACTCACTAATTTGTCTCCGTTTCTATTTAACGGCGCTGAATAAACACCGTCTCTAAATCAGGAGGAGGCGTAAAGAACTCTCTAACGGCGTTACTCCTACATTTTAACGCCGGCCGTCGTTTTCTCGGCGCCGGTGGACATTTCAGTTTGTCCGGTATCTTTGCTTCCTTCGCTGTCGGCGTCGTCAAGCATTCTTCTTCAACTTCGGTTTCTATCTCCGGCGCTCTGAGTTTCGTCTTCACCGGCTTCAATGAAGCCCGCTTAGAAATTCCGGCGATGACCCATTTCTTCCCATCGGAATCTAAACCTCCGTCCAATTGAGACTTCTTCGAAAAACCCATTTTTGTCCAGTTAACTAAAACTAGTTAAGAAGATAGAAAACAGAGTGAAATGTTTCTGTTAAAAGAAGAAGACAAAAACAGAGACTTGCTCTGCTTGATGCTTGTTCAATCCTCAGGAAACAAGTAGTGTGTAGAAAATAGAAAAAGAGATTGTTTTTTTGAATCAAATGATAAGAAGAGGAATCGGAATAAGGAACATGAACACAAATGATTAGAGAGAATAAAAGGAAAGTAGGCAAAAGATAAAACTTGTGGTTGGTTGGTCAAATCTTTTGTTTAAGTGTGTGTGTGTGTGAAAGGGAGAGTTTTTTGAGAAGGAGGAGAAAAAAATGAGAAGAAATTGTGATAAAGAGAGCTTTAAATAGTCAGATAAATATTCTGTCTTTGCGTTTTGCAAATGACTCTTCTTCTCACAGGAGAAAAAAGAAAGGAAGGGGAAGTTTTTGAAGAAGATGAAGAAAAAGGGGTAAAAATGGAAATTTAAAAAGAATAAAATTTATCTGCCCGAGAAAATTTTACGGGCAGTCCCTGATCCACCGTCTTTTTTTTAGCGCCACAATTTGAGAGTTTTGGTTGGCAACGGCTCTTTTTCGCGCCTTTTATTATTCATATTCCCGCGAGATTAACAATTCTATTTGATTTACTATTAAATGTATACTCTAAAGTTTAGGACTATTTCGTGGATCCTGAACACGTTTTATTAATGCTGAGTTTATATTTTTTTTTTGATGACATGAATGCTGAGTTTATATTTAAATGCAGAAAAAATGGATTACTAGAGATGCTTTAAGCCCAGTTTTTGAGTCAGCCCAATTACAATTATTGAAAAAAGAACCACCCAATACATGATGAATAAGGAGGATTGGAAATAGAAGCAACCTTAGGTTAGTTAGTTCGGTTTACCATACCAACTAAATACGTGGTTTAATTATAAAGAATATCAATTCGATAAATTTTGTATTGTCGCATACTATAGTTAGACGTAAATAACTTCAACGGTTTCGTAACTCTTTTACACCTAAAAACTCAACGGTTTTTTAGAAATTGGTCATGTTGTCTTCATCACAATGGAGTTTTTCTAACAAAGCTGCTGGTGAAATAGTCGAAATTGTGGCAACGCAGAGAGCAAAAGAGACTGGTGAATATTAAGAGTATAAATATGATGTAATCAAATCTATCTCTTATGCCTTGCTCTATTGGTATTTTTATTTAGATTTGATCAATATAAAAATGTGACCAGTATTCAATTATTATGAGGTAGGATGAATGGACCCTTGAGAGATGTGAATGGCGAAAAAGACAAGTTGAAAGTTGGGACTAGCTAGAGCTGACATGGTGTCACATATCATATGCATTATTTTTATTCGCATTCAAAACGTTCTTGAGATCAATCTACAAATGAAGAAGACTCCTTTGAAATATATAAAAACTGAAAATTGAAATCGAAAGCAACGTAGATCATAAATGGACCCACGAAAGAGCCGACCCTTATCTATTTTTAAGTGTGAAAGAAATGGGACCCTTTTGGTCAACCAGCCTTATAAGACCTCTTGGCTAATTCTAGTACTTAACTATCGAAAGTGATCAAATTGCTACCGGAGATCAAGTTAAGTATATTCACAAGCATATTAAAGAAATACAAGAAACTTGACACATATTTTTATGCATAGCTTGCCGATTCTTGATCATCTCTCAGTTATTTTGAGGATTTTCATTTTAGGATAGACAAAATGGAAACTAGCTACTTGATTTTCATTCGTGACTTTGGTGAACTTATAACAAATTTCGTTGCAAGAAGAATTGATCCTACTTAAAACCAATCCGGATCATTGTATTTTCAGGATTTTACTACGCTAGATAAGTGATCCAATCGTCTACGCAATAAGTTCATACCAAAAGATAGATACATCGCACCAAAGGATATTCCATTTGTATATTAATTTGCCTTTATGATCCCAATTCTTATCACAACGTTAAATTTATAATTGGTATAGAGTGGCAAAAGCAAAATTGGAATTATCTTCGATAATCTTCTTTGGGACGGCGACGTAGGACAATAATTTTCGGTTTGGTCGGTTTGATGGGAACCCCTTTTTATCAATTTGCACACATATTTTTCGGTATGGCATAAGGTTGTATACATAATCACGGCTGGCTACTGACAAAACAAACACAAAATGACAAAAATAAACAGATCATTGCTTTAAATCAACATTCTTAAGACTGCGCAAAGTGATACCGATTTGTAGAAATAAAAAAAGACACAAAAACTATAAATACTGTATAAAAAAGGCGATCTAATTTTCAAAAACCCAGTTGAAGATGTTGTAGTATGTTTTTTTTTTTTTTTTTTAAAACCTTTAAAGAATGGGAGATAAATAAAATTTGGACGAATTACATTTGTTTTCTTGCATAGTTTTTTTTATGTGTTTTTGACGTATAGTAAATAATGAAATTTATTATTTTCACATCTAGCAAGGTATGATCCACAATCTCACAATGATGTAAGATTGTTTAGTCTAGTTCAACTAGCTTTTGAGATAATTATAAACATTTTCATTGACAAAAAAAACTTGTAAGCACTAAAAGATTTAATGTTGCGAAGTGATATATTAACACCTAGAAATATTTTTTCTACGATCTTTGTGGACGATAGAGGCATAATAACATAACCGTTTAAAAACCTCTTAATATCATCAGCAGTTCTTCATAATAATCACTTCATTTGTCGGCAAATTATAATTTTTAGTATTAGACTATTAGGTAGATGTTAAATTTTTTTATGGACTGTGAAAGAATTGATAAATAATATATAGTAAGGATCTTATATTATTTTATTTAAATAGAGAAAGCATATTGTATACAAGTTGGGGATGATGGGTCAGCCGGCCTAATGGCGGCCAGCTCTTTTTGAAATTGAAATGGACGATGTCTTGTTAACATTTGCAGATAATTCCACTAAAGTTGTGATCAGTGATGATGATGATGATGTGATTTAATTTATTGTTATTGCTAACTTATTTATATCAAAAAAAAGTTATTGCCTAACTTACAATTTCTTTTAGAAAAGAAAACATGATCATAGCCTTTCTAATTTTTTAAATTACCATGTATGCATAATTTAATGGTGAAAGAAAAGAAAAAAGCAGACATGTCAATCAGAATATACTTTCTTCCTCAAAGTTTAATTGATTGCGTTTAGACTAATCACAGGATAAATATGCTTCACTGTTGAAAGGAAAACTGTTTCTCTACTAAATGCCATAGTCCATAGATTGATTACCCTTAAAATTAGGAACACGCACGAGGTTAGATATCAGAAGTCGAAATCTCGTCATTTGTATTTCATATGCATATACAGAGATGTGAGCCTGTGATAATCAATAATTTAAAAACTAAAAGCTGTGAAAACAGTATATTGTAGTTAGAAATTACAGTTTTTTTGTTGAATCTGTTAACTTTTTATGATGAAAGTTATTATATACTACTTATAACAACTTCTCTCCAAAAACTATAAGTATAAATTGTATAATTAAATGTAAGTACGATATTTTTTTTTTCGAAATAAAATTTATGATTTTGTTCTATCTTTGTGATTGCTTTTCAGAGAATAAAAAAGCTGTAATTGAGGATCCTACCAATTGCATGTGGAATGATCAATTTAAAAGGCCCACAAAAGATTAATCTAAAAAGCCAACTCAGCCAACCCAATTGAACAAATGTGCTTAGATTTGTCACTATTCATCATCTATCTGTCTTCTCACTGACTTCAAATCCTTTCTCTTTTATACATCAAGTGATCATATATTATATATCTGTTTTCCACATGTTTCTAGTGATCTGTGTGATTCAGAATTAGTAGTTACAGTAGGTTTCTTGCAGAGAAAACAACTCTTCATAGAACCCTAAACCTTCCAAATCGTTGCTTCTCTGCATGAAAGATGGAAACTGGAGTTATCATCCAAGAACCAATATTTACAAAGGTATGATGATGATGATTAAGATACATATTTACATAAGATGTATATCGTTCAGAATATTGATTTTACAAGTAGACTGAATTGCTTTGTAATATGAAAAAGCATGTATCTTTCTTTAATTTTTTTTTTGTTTTTTCTATCTTTTTTCCTTTTGCAGTCTGATGATTGAAAAACTTTGAAATGATGATAGAGATATTGAAAACTAGATTTTGGTAAATCTGTAATCTGTTTTACTCTCTAGCTACAGATTCTGTATTTTAAAAACACCTTTTTTTTTATCCACACACACATAAAAAGGTAGATCTTGCAAGAACTTGAACGTCTGAGATATATCTGATCATGGTTTGGTTTGAGCTTTTGAGTTAAGGCTCTCTGTATAGAGCAGGCTCAATAATAGCTCGGATCAATGAAACTAAACGTTTTTGAGATACTAACATGTTTCCTATACACAGACAAACGTTGAAGAAGCTCCTGCAGGAGTAGGACTAGACCACTCATCCATGGATGTGAAAAAGGTAAACAATATTATTCCGGGAGAGGCAGAAGAAGTTGTAAACGGTTCAGGTAATGGAGCAAGAAACTGCCAAAACATTCAGAATTGTTTCAAAGGTTTTGAAAACCATAGGAGTTTGTGCTTAATACTGTTCTATATGATCAGGGAATAAGGAAACCGAAGAACCAGAACACGAGAAAGAAGAAGCGATGACGACTGTTTCGGTTGTGGAAGAAGAAGGTAAGATCGTTAAAGAGAAAGCTATCGAGACAGAAGAAGATGAACAAAGCTTTACATTTGTTCATGAACCTGAAAGCTTCAACAAAACCATTGAGGATTCAGAGAAAATCTTAAGTGATGTGAGTTTAGAAAAGGCGAAAGAAGATGATATTACTCCAAAACCAGAAGAGGTAATTTTTTTTTAACTTTCCTTGAAGCTTAAACATGAGATATTCTCATAGTCCACTGAGATAGAGAGAGAGTTAAATATTTTTGTTCTGTTTTGTGCAGGTAAGTGTTGAAAAGCCGGTAAAACAAGTAGACGATGATTCAAGAACTGCTGAGACCTCTGTAAATGGAACAGAGGCTGAGCACAAAGACACTGTTTCAGTAGAAGAAACTGCTCCAGAAGAAGAAACCGCAACAAATGGTGAATCACTACATGATGTTGAAACTACAAAAAGAGTCCTTCTTGAAGCGGAGAAAGATCAAACAGAGATTGTAAAGACAGTTATCGAAGACCATGGGATCGTTAATAATGAAGAAACTAAAGTTCATGAATCTGAAAGCTCCAAGGAGAATGTAAATTCAGTGGAAGAAGTCAAAAACTCAGATGATGCAGAGAAATTCTCACGTGAAGTGAATGTAGACAGAGGAAAGGAAGAGGACATAACACCAAAACAAGAAGAGGTTTGATCTTAATTCCTCAAAGCTAAATTTAGCAAAAAAAAGTTTTAGACAACTTAACTAACACTATTTTATCCTTTTATGTGCAGGTACAAGAGAGTCTTACTGTTATTGAAACGCCAACGATACAAGAAGAAGACATTGTCTCAAAAGCTTCAAAGGAGAGTGAAGAAAAAGAACATGTGTTGGTGAGAGACTTACCACAAGATGAGACCCTTGTAACTGTAGATACCTCAACAGTCCAAGAATCTGCAATGTTGAAGAGTTTGGAGACGAGAATCGATGAAACAGTTGCGGAACCGACTCAGGACCTGAATTTGGTTAAAGAACAAGAAGAAGCAGAGACGGTAAAGACCGTCAAATCATCTGATGAGGTAAAGATATAATCTTCATAGTTATAACTTATAAGTTTGTTACATCTGTTAAAGGTCAAAACTACTTTTGTCTTAATTTATCAAACCTGAAAAACAGAAGATGTTTATCAATGCGAAATATCAGATTTGAGCAAAAGATGTTTAAGAAAACTTAACAAACACTACTTATCATTTTTGTTGCAGGTGCAAGAAAGTATTATGGTAGATAAAATCTCCAAAGAAACTGAAGAAGATGAACATGTTTTGGTGACAAATATGCCACAGGGTGAGATCTTTGTAACTGAAGCTGAGACTTTGGAGGCCAAAGAAGACACAGAGCCGAATGTATACCTGAATAAAGAACAAGAGGGAACAGAAAAAATTGAAGAGAGTCCATCAGATCTTGCGTTGAAGTTAGATAAAGAGGAGGTTAAAGATGCAAATATAAATGCAGATGAAGAATATGGAGGCCAAATTATGGAGGAACAGAGAGGCCTAGACTCGAAAGAGCCAGAGGCAGAGCAAACTGATCGAAACAGAAACGATGAAACAGAGGAAAATATGGTTTCTCATCCGGTTATAGAATCAGTTAAGGAGATAGAGAAGCCATCTCTCGAGCCTCCTTCTGAAGTATCAGAGGAAACAAGCAAAACCATAGATGATAATATCGAAGAAAACCTTAAAGAAGAAGTAACACCACATCAAGAAGGTCAAGAGGAAGGTTCTTATGGATTAGAGACAAAAGAAGAAACAGTCGTGGAAGAAAGGAGTGTGGTTGATCTGACTCCTCTGCAACAAGAATCATGCCTGAAAAATGAGCAAGAAGAAGAAACAAAGTTTGAGAAAGAACAAACAGAGAAGCATGAACCAGCAAATGATGAAGTTGCTGATGACCAGAAGACTCTTTTGGAAGAAAAATCTGATGAAGTTATACAAGTTTCATCTGCATCACTTCAGGAAGGTGAGACCATTGCTGAAGCCGAAAAGATTCAAGACATAAAAGCGAATGAGGAAGAACAAGATATTGCATTGAAGGTTGATAAAGAGGAGCTAAAAGATGACAAGATGAATGAGCCAGAGGTAGATAAAATTGATCAAAACAGAACCGGTGAAACAGAGGAAATCCTAGTTGAAAAGCTGGTTTCTCCTCCGGTGGAGGATATGGAGAAGCCATCTCTCGAGTCTTTTTCTGAAGCATCAGAGGAAACAGTCAAAACCATAGATGAAAAGACCGAAGAAAAGCCAGAAGGAGAAGAAGCAACACCACATCAAGAAGGTCAGGAGAAAAGTTTTAATGGATTAGAGACTAAAGAAGAGAAAGTTTCAGTACCAGAAAGTATTGAGCTTGGAGATATAGTCCTGGAAGAAAGGAGTGTGGTTGATCTAACTCCTCTGCAACAAGAATCATGCTTGAAAAATGAGCAAGAAAAAGAAATGAAGTTTGAGAAAGAACAAATAGAGAAGCATGGAGAAGTTGAATCTGATGAAGTTACAGAAGATTCAAGAACTGCAGAGATTGAGCAAAATGCACCGGTTTCAGCAGAAGAAATCTCGGAGAACACTGTAAATGAAACAGCTCCAGAAGATGATCATCAAGGAAAGAATGCAGAACCAGTGGAAGCAATCAAAGAATCAGATGATGCAGAGATAATCTCACATGATGTGGCTGGAGACAGAGAAAAGGAAGATGACACAACCCGGAAAGCAGAAGAGGTTTTGTTTTGTCTTACTTCCTCAAAGATAAAGATCAAATATAAGTAAACATGTTCTCGACAAGATTGTTAACAATTTATCATTATCTGTGCAGGTTCAAGAAAGTCCTGAGGTAATCGAAACGCCGACGATACAAGGAGATAAGTTTGAATCGGAAGCTTCAACGGATGTTCAGGAGCAAGAACACGTGTTGGTGAGAGATATGCCTCAGATTGAGACCATTGTACCTGAAGCTGAGGCTGCAAGTACTTCACCAGCCCAAGAAGCTGAAATCTTGAAGACTCAGAAGGCTACAAACAATGAAACAGAAGCAGGCCAAGTGACAAAAGAAGACACAGAACCGAGTCTGGACATGAAAGAGGACCAAGAAACAGAGGAAACAGAGACGGTAAAGCCAGTCATGTCATCTGATGAGGTAAGGATATAGTCTTCATAGACATGGCTATTTCTCATGTGTTGGTACTTTATGTGTGTGATATTGATGATGATGAGCGGCATGAGTTTAGTACTGTTGTCATAACAGAGATAGTTCTAGTTTACTTTACAAGCTTCTGTTTCTGTTACTTCATTCATATCTTGTAGTGGAAACTTCTTTACCTTTTTGCATGTTCCTGTTTTTGAATTCTCTGCACTCCTTGAAAGTTGTTTATTTTAATCCACAGGTGAGACTTTCCGATCAAGTTGAGGTTCCAGCAGAACAATCTGTTGAGGTCAAATCTAAGGAGACTGTTCAAGACGAAAGCAGAGAGGAGAAGCATGAGAATCTTGTTGATGTACCATTTGAAGAATCAGAGAAGTATCAAGACAATGAACCTGAGACAACTCTAGCCTCCAAGAAATTTGAAGAAATGCCATCAGATCTTACGTTGAAGGTAGACAAAGAGGAGATAAAGGATGATCAATTTTATGAAACTCAAATCATGGAGGAACAAAGAGGCCTAGACTCAAATGAGCCAGAGGCAGAGCAAATTGATCAAAACAGAACCGATGAAACAGAGGACACTCCAGTTGAAAATCTGGTTACTGTTGAAGGTGAGAGCACACACAGCCAAACTCTTCTTGATGCAGAATCAGTTGCAAAGGTGGAGAAGCCATATCTTGAGCCTCCTTCTGAACTATCAGAGGAAACAAGTGAAACCGTAGACGAGAAGATAGAAGAAAAACCAGAAGAAGAAGAAGTAACACAACATCAAGAAGGTCAAGAGAAAGGTTCTTCTGGATTAGAGACCAAAGATGAGACAGTTTCAGTACCAGAAAGTAGTGAGCTTGGAGAAAAACCCCATGAAAAAGAATCATGCCTGCCAAACGAAGAAGATAAGGAAACAAAGTTACAAGAAGAGCAAATAGAGACGCATGAACCAACAATGGCAGAAGTTTCTTATGACCGTCCTGTGGAAGAAAAATCTGATAAAGTTATACAAGTTTCATCTGCATCACCTTCAGAGGAAAGGGAAGATGATACATTTGTTGAAGACAAAAAAGTAGATGAGGAAGAAAAAGTAGCAGACAAGATCCAGAAAAGTCTTGAGACTGCTGAAACAGTTGAGCCTCATAGCTCATTGCCATCATCTTCAGAGGAGAAAGAACATGAGACTGTTTCCGAGAAGATAGAAGAGGAGAAAGTGGAGGAAGAACAAAAAACTGAGGATGAAGCAACAAAAAGCCATGAGAGACAAGAGGAGTTATCTAAGACTGAAGCAACAACTGTTGAGACAAGAGATATTGGATCTTCTTCTCTGAGTGAAAAAGACTCTCTGGATCAGACGCATGCAGAAGTACAAGTCAAGGATGATGAAACTTTGACTGCAGAGGCAATGAAAGGAGATGGGGAGAGAACAGTGAGAGACATGATGCCACAAAGTGAGACCATTGTAACTGAAGCTGAGCCTGTAAAAGAGACTTCAGCAGTCCAAGAATCTCCAATATTGACGATTTTGGAGACGAAAAATGATGAAACAGAGGCAGTGCATAGTCCAATAGGTGGAGAGGAAGAAATCCAATTGGCAAAAGAACACACAGGACCGATTATGGAGGTGAAAGAGGATAAAGAAGAAGAGGTAACAGAGACGATAAAGAGCGTCATTGTATCTGATGAGGTAAGGATACAAATCTCTCTATATATATATATATATATTGTTGGTTCTTGTTTTTGTGTGATATTGATGATGAGATAAAGAAACCTTGAAATTTGTCATTTCAATCAACAGGTGAGATCTTCTGATGTTCAGGCAGAAGAATCTGGTGAGCATACCGAACATTGTAGCTCAGAGATAAAAAATGAGAGCCAGGGAAGAGATGAATCTGTTGATGTCAAACCTAAGGAGATCATTCAAGAGGAGACCACTCAGGACAAGGATGATAATCTTCTCGATGTAACATCTGGAGAATCAGCCCTTGGATCTGCTTCTGAAGTATCAGAGGAAACAAGCAAAACCGTAGATGAGAAGATTGAAGAAAAACCACAAGAAGAAGTAATACCACATCAAGAAGGTCAAGAGGAAGAAAAAGAACCAAAGTTAGCGAAAGAGAAAACAAAGAAGCATGAATCAGCAAGTGAAGAAGATGCTAATGCACAACAAACTCCTGCTGCAGAAAAATCTGATGAAGTTATACAAGTCTCGTCTGCATCACCTTCAGAGGAAAAGGAAATTGAGACCGTTGTTGAAGCTGAAAAGATTGAAGACAAAGCCAATGAGGAAGATCAAGCAGCAGACAAGATCCAGAGAAGTCTTGAGACTTTTGAAACAGTTGAACCTCATATTTCATTTCCATCACCTCCAGAGGAACACAGCACTGTAGCTGAAGGCGTAAAAGTGAAGGAGACAGAACCGGTGGGAGATATCAGCGAGAAAGGTCTTGATGTTTCTGAAACAAAAGATCTGAGTCTTCCACTAGAATCATCTAGATCAGATGAAACAGAGTCCTCTGAATTGGTTGCAGAAGCTGAAGAACAGAAGCCGAAGCAAGTCAAAGAGATTCTTGAAGGGGAAATAAAGGAAGTAGATGAGATAAAAGCAGACACTATTCCAAAAGAGACTCACTCTGATGTTGCACAAGAAGAGCAGGCAAGAGACTTACATGTTGAGCAAGAAGTGGTCAGCTCAGCAGAAAAAGAAGAAACAAAAGCAAAAGAGCCTGAAGATGAACATGTTGATTCTTCAGAGAAAAATGATGATGAGACTCTGATTGCAGAGACAAAGAAAGAAGATGAAGATATAACAGTGGGTTTAGATGGTTTAGGTACTTCAACGACAGCAGAAAATGTATGCAGTAAACAAGAAGAAGAGTTTGAGAATGTTGAAGATCCAAAGCTAGAGGAGTCAAAAGACGACAAGAGCCAGGAAGTTTCTGAGACCATTGAAGCAGTTGAAGCTACGGAAGATCACACTCTAGTCACTGAAACATCAGAAGCTCATCAGACTCCATCGTTTCTTTCAGAACTAGAAGACCAAATTCCAAACCAAATTGAGGAGATTCATGAAGAAGAAACAGAGGAAGCACACAAGTCACAAGTTGTTGATGACCAGAATTCAAAGCAAGTTGAGGAGATTCATGAAAAATCAGAAACAAAGGAAGCTCACAGTGTAGAAGCTACAAGTGATCAAAATCTTCCAGATGAAACATCACAGACAGATAAAACTCCAGAGCAGATTGAGGAGATTCATGAAGAAGAAACAAAGGAAGCACACAAGTTACAAGAAGAAGAAGAAGTCCTCCCAACTGAAAATGTTCCAAGAGAAGCTCCAGTTTCCATGTTGGCTTCTGGGGAAGGCAATTCTGCAGGTGACGCACAAGAGGAGCAACATGTTTCTGCAGAAACAGAAGAGAGTGTAGGAGACACAAAACCAAAAGAATCAGAAGAGGAAATAACAGAAAAATCAAATGATCAGATTGAGACTTCAACTAAAGCCACAAAGGTAGAAGATGAAGATACAAAGAAACCGGATAGTGAAGTGGCTGAAGTAACAGAAGAACAAAGCCTGCCACATGCTCCGGAGAATGCACCCCTGAAGCAGGAGGAGTCAAAGGATCTTGGAACGCCACACAAAGATGTAGTCAAAGAAGAAAAAAGTCCTCTAAGGAATGATAATCCAGAGTATCTTACAGAGGAGGCAGAGCATGGAGATGAGAATATCTCAACTCTTCCAGTTGTTGATATCTTGAAAGGACTCCAAGCTACATTGCAGGAGGAGAGAGAAATCAATGATTCCGAATCAACAGAGGGAAACATGGTAACAGAGCCATCAGAACAAGAACAGAAGACAGGTGATGCTGAGGTTGAACCAGAAACCGTGGAGAAGAATCTTTCTACTGATATAAGCGAGCCGGTGCCTGAGGAAAAACAAGATGAGAAAGTCGTGGAGGAATATCCGGCTTCTGAGATCAAAGAAGCAAGTACGTTACAACAAGATGCGAGTGGAGAAACTGAAAAAATCCAGGAAGTAAACGATCTTGAAAAGAAATCTCTTCTAGAAGAAGAAGTCAAGTTGCAAGAGGAACATAAAGAAGAGGGAAATGTACAAGAAATAATAAGCAGAGAGTTTGAAGTTAACGTAGAAGAGAAATCACAAGAAGAAACTAGAGAGATTGCTGATCAGTCACTTACAGAAGTGGTACCTGGTGAGAAGATTCTGATTCCATCTTCTGATTTTCCTACTGAAGAGTCGGAGCATGTGGTTTCTGGTGAAAAGCAAGAAGAAGTCAGTGCACAGAAAGGTGCCAATGCTTCGATAACAGAGCCAGAGCAGATAAGTCTACAAGAAGAGAAGAAGGCAGAAACTCATGAAACTGTTAAAGAAGATCAAAGTTTTGATATCAAAGAGGAAAAAAAGACTGAGAAGTTGGAGGGTCTTTCTGTTACAAGGGATGATAAAGAAACTTTTGGATCAGAAGTGAAAAAGGATAAAGAAGATGCGATCAACGAGGTAACCACATCAGAGAAGCAAATTACAGAGCCACCGAGTGAAGCTGAGAAAGAATCAAATGAAGAACATGTTGAATCTCAAGCGATATCAGATGATACAAAGAACAATACTGATAGGGATTTTCCTACAGAAGAAATACCAAAGGAACAACGAGAAGAGGTTAATGCTGATAAATCTCTCACAAATGAAGTACTAGACGAGCAAGAACTCATTCAGTCTCCCAAAAAGGTTGAAGAAGAAGAGAAAAACGAGAAAACTGTTGAGGCATTGATCACGAGCGAAAACGTGCTAGTGCAAGATCAGTCCAAGGACTTTGAACAAGACAAGAAGTCGAATGATCTCACATATGTCCAGGGAGAAAATGTTACTAATGATTCAGCCCTAGCGCAAAAGGAAGAAACAAGCTTAACAGAGGAGAAGAGGGAGGTTGATAATGTGAAGACAGAGATCAAACATGGAGTTTCTACAGAAGAGGTAATTTTAAAAGCAAAGAAACCTAAGTATTTTAGTTAACTTAAACTCTACGGTTCTACTTATTGTCTTTTTTTGGCTAACTTAACGTAATATTGACAATGCAGAAGAACAATGAGTCTGAAAAGATTGATCAAGAGGAGAGTAAGCAAACAGATCATATCAAGGAAGAGATCAAAGAAGAAGATCAGGTATGAATGAGAACATTATTCTTTACTGTTCTGTTTTCACATTCATTTATATTTTAAACTGGATACTTTTCTGCAGAAGGAAACAACAACACAGGAAGCACAAGAATGTCTCAACAATATCAAGAACATTGATAATGCGACAGAAAGAACAAAATCCGAGTCTTCTCGAGAGATCGAAAACTTGTCTTCTGTCAGCAACACACAAGAAAAATCAAAGGTAAAAAGTTACTTTGGTATCATCATCATGTCTTTTGCATAAGTAATGGTCACAAACTCTTCCAAAGTCACAAATAAGTCCTTACAAACAAAAGCTTATTATCATTTTCTGCAGAAAGAAGATGAAGTTCCAAAGCTAGAGACTCTAAAGATTGCAGAAGAGTTGCAGCCACAGCCAAAGGATGGAGAAGCTGAGAACAAACAAGAATCCGAACCAACAGTGAATGAACCAGCAAGGAAATCGCAATCAGATCAAGTGAAAGGAACAAACAAGTCTGAAGATGCAGCAACAAAACCTCATATCGAAGAGGAGGCTAAAACAGAGGAAGAAGATGAAGATGGAGATGAACATAAAGATGATAAAACAAGTCCAGATTCTATTGTGATGGTTGAAGCTAAAGATACAGTAAACATTACCAAAACTCAACATAAGAAATCACAAGGCATTCTCTCACAGGTAAAGCATTCGATCTCTAAGGTGAAGAAAGCACTCACTGGAAAATCTTCTCATACAACAAAGCCTTCATCACCAAAATGAGAAAGGAAAAAAAAAAAAAACAGTCTCTATAATGTTTTGTTTTTGGTTTGTTGATTATTTTGATTGTGTTTCTTTTTGGGTGTGAATATTACCGATTTGTTTGTTGTGGGGTTTATCTTTTTTTTCTTTTCTTTTCATTGTCAATAAATTACATAATGAATTGGTGTGGTTTACAAGTATTCAATTTTTAGGGTTTTTTAAGAAAATCAAAACGGTTATTTCGTTTCTATTTGTAATCATTTGTCATTGAGAATTCGTGATATAATGTCAAAATTACAATTTATTTACAAACTTGTAGTAGTAGTATACCAAAACCTTTGGCGTCACAAATACTACTAGTGTCGAAAAATCATACTTGCATCATTGGTTTAATTTTTTTTTATCCGAATTTGAACTTAATGAATTTTATCTTCTTTGTTTGCACGCTCCTATTATTGAGTTTGGATTGCCCTCTATAATTAATATTATTTTACTGAAAGAAAAAAATTATATTTAATTACTGAATTTTTTAAAATAGTATTGTATACGACTAAAAGTAATTGATGTTATGATTTAATAAATTAATTATGACAAATGTCACTAAAGTTTCAAAAATAAATATTTACACTAGAAAATAACATTTTACTTATGGCAAATATATAGAGTATTTACGAGTTTACATCACATACAAATATAAAATCTGAAAATAAACTTACTATTAACATGAAGCTGAGAGTTACAACAAATATCACTAAAAATAAACAAATAGCAAATATATATTACAATTTTACATTATAAAACATTTTTTTTTCATGTGTATCAATTTTACATTACCAACCAAGAATGCTCTAAAGAAACTAGAGGAGCATCATCAGTCTAAATATCCAAAACTTTCCTCTCGTCTCAACCCCATTTTTTCAATGTGAACCAATTAAATATCAAAATCCCCAAAATTGTATGCAAATGTTATAGAATTTACGTATCATAAATGGCTCATTTTTCTTAATAATTTAAACATTTAAGTATTTCACATGATATGAAAATTTAGGTATTAATGACACATGCATCCTATTTTTTTTCATATCATGAAAATTTAATTTTTATAATTGTTTTTGACCCTGATATTTTATTTTCTTAGATTAGCCACCGCCTATGCCAAAATGTTTGCAGGTTTAATGTTTCTATGAACAAGATGTCAAACTCCATGAACATGAAAGAAAGTGAAAGAAAGAAATTTGAGTAGTGTGTAACAGAATAACATTTTTGGTACTTTTGGTTTTTAGCTTTAATTCCATGCAATTTCTCACTGAATGATTAATGACTATTATTATGTTATTTTGACCGGTTTTTTTTATAAATTTAATGCCTCACATTTTTCAAGAGGTACTAACATTTATATCTTTTTAATTTATCTTTTTCCTTTTTTTATCATATTACCTTCTATGAAATACAATTTTTTATTATCTTTTTCTGTTTATTGATTTATCTTCTCAAAATTCTAATAATTGTTTTCTCTAAGATTTTTCTTAAGTTTTCTTCCATTCTTTGTTTTCAATACAATTATCCGTATTTTTGAAATCAGTCAAAATAAATCTCGATTTTATACTATTGTTTTCATGTATCTCTTTTACTTTAGTGAAAAATTTGAGAGAAAAACAAAAGTTCAGAAATATAACCACTCACTTAAAAATCACAATTAATTTCATAGCTCATTGTTTTACCAGTTTATAATAATATCAATAAAAGATGCAAAAAAAGTCACCTCCTAATTATAGAAATTTTGTATATTAACCACAAATTATAGAGAGAAAATGGCAGAAATTGAAATACACTGTAACGTAAGGGTATTTCTGGAACTTTAGGCATTTTTTGGCAATTTGGAGTTACTTACATAGTATTGTCATTAAATGATTATTGTTATGGTGCTTTGACTAATAATTAATTTCATACAACTAATGACTCACACTTGTACTAAATATTATCTTTTAAATTGTCGTTTATTCAGTAAAAAAAAATTGTCGTTTATGTTTTTTTGTCGTTTATCTTTTTTTATTTGAATTACCTTTTGAAAGATTACACATTTCTCATCTATTTATATGGAACGTTTTCTCTTCTCAGAGTTCCAATAAAAAAAAATCTAAGATTTTTCTTAAGCTTTCATCCATTCGTGGTTTTCAGTATCTTCTTTGTGTATCTTCAAAAACACTCAACAGATTTTTCGATTTCATACCCATATCTAAATCGTTTTTCGTTTTGTTTTAACAAGTCACTGAAATCGTCATCTAGATCGAACTGGTTTTGAAATGGATTTTTCGTTGAATATCTCCAAGGGAGACTTTGTCATAAATAATGCTAGTCAATTACTTAATGATAATGATTTAGCTTATCTAGAGAAAGATAATCTCTGTTTTTTCAACGAAAACTTAGGCCACTCTTCTTTCAGTGGATGGTCTCCTTCTCCGATTTTGACTGGTATTTCTGATTCATATAATCAAAATATGATACCATTGATCTCAAACAAAAATTTCACTCCCTTCAGTCAAAATTTGGTTGCTACTCCAAATTTTCCAGTTTACAATTCTCTCGTAGCGGAAGTGCCATCAAATTATTCATTTATGAATATCAATTCCTACTCGAAGACCAATCCTTTTGAAGAACCTATGTATACCATACCCAACAACAATCAAAATTTTACAGCCAATGGAATTCCATACCCAACAACAATCGAACCTAAAGGTATATGCAATATTTTTCATTATTCTCGGGAAAATATTCTGTGGGATGATACTATGCACAGTAATAAAATTATCATTAGTGGTTTTGTTTTATAGCTTGACAAATTTACTGTTCAGTTTTATTCATTTAATTTTCTAAGGCCATATAGTATTAAAGTCACAATTAAAGAGATTATTAATCATCGTCAAAATTGCGTGATGATAGATACCAATCAAGAGAAGACATTTAAAGTGGTGAAGAGAAAATCCAAAGAGAAATGGAGTCCTGATGAAGATAAGTAAGTTTTCTTTTTTTATTATTAATATAAAAAAAAAATATTCATTTCCATATTTAGATTCTCATAGTAATATTTTTTAATATATAAATGATATTTTTGATGTTATATATATTTATCTGTTGGGACATTTTAATTTATAGAAAGTTGAGAGCCGAAGTGAAGGCTTATGGGGAAAAACGTTGGTCATTCATAGCAAAACATATTAAAGGACGGAAAGGAAAACAATGTAGAGAAAGATGGAAGAACCATCTACGTTCTAAATTTAAGGTAAATTTTTTTCCGAAAGCAATATCCTTCTTGTTTCAAATACCGTCATAATTCATATGTATATATATAATCCATATTTCATTATCGTGATATATTTATTAATATGTAGTTTATAACTCATATAACTTATAATTTGTGGTGAAATTGATTACTTAATCACAAAAAAAGTCAAAACTTTATTTATAAATGGTACATATATATGATACTTAAAGTGTATATAAAACTAGGAGCAAAATAAAATAGAAAACAACTTTTGTTAAAATAATTGTCATATATTTGTTTTTACGTAACTTTATAAACAAAAATGTAAATTCTGTTAATTTTATTTTCTTTCGATCAATCAAAATTCATGTATTGTACATATAATAATATAAATGTGATATACATAATATTAATATATATGATTTCAGCGAGATCCTTGGAGTGAAGAGGAAGATGAAATATTGATTGAAGCTCACAAAGCTGTTGGCAACAAGTGGACTGAGATTTCTCTTGAACTCCCAGGAAGAAGCGAAAATGCTGTTAAGAACCATTGGAATGTAGCAATACGCCGAGTGTTCTCAACAAATCGGTCTTACGATGACATACTTAAAAACTACATAAAGTCTATCACAATCAACAATGACCCTCCAAATGATACTTCTAACGAGAATATGAGCTTGAGTTTTGACGTTTCAACACAGACAGACGAACCATCGATAAATGCGTCTACATCATCAGTTCCAGAGCCAACAACATCTTCATGGGATGATTATTTTGCTAAGGTTTGTGACTCTGTTGACTTTAAAAAGGTCATGAATGGGTGGGAGTCATTTGTGATAGAAGATAAATAATGATCATCAAAGTATGTTTTATCATGTAAGATGGTATCTATCTATCTATTTATGTTTTACAAAACAGATATGTTCTGTTATTTGGTGTATCATCTGAATTTGCAATTGAAGTATTCATCTTTAAACTTATGTGTTCAATGAAAAGTTTTAATAATTTTTTGTGTAAGAAAACAAAGTTTAGATAATTAAGAAGAAAACACAAGCTATCAGTGAAAAAAAACAAGGTTAAATAATTACAATTTTACACTATAAACACATACATTTGTCATGTGTTGATTTGTAATGCTTAATTTGTAATATAAAGCTCTTGCTTAGGTATAAAATACCGACCAACGAGATCACCAGTTTCCACCACAAACTGTTCTTGGAATCGACCAACGCGTCTGCTTCCGAGATCGAACCCGAGATCTTTGAAACTCGGAAGCCCTTCTGCTTGAACTCCATCACCACAAATCAGAAACTGGTTTCCGACTATAAACGATCCAATTGCACGAATCATGACTCCGCCATTGCCATGTGGCTTGCACCGAAGCTTCTCAACGACATGGACGAGTTTCTCACTTGGTAGATCTCCTGCTAATGTGTTACGAATGTTTGATAATGATGAGACGATTTCAGTTAGTCCTGTGTAATGTTTCCCAGAGAAACTGCAAAAACAAAAAAGAAAGAACAAAATTTTCATTATAACCCGAACCAAATTTTCATTATAATATTAATATGCTACGCATTGATTACCTGAAAACAGAGGTTTCAGTGTAGAGAGATTTTGCGTGGTGCCAAAGATCATCAAATCCATCAAAGAGGGAGTAATAATGTATGGTGATCATCTGAGAACAGAGCCAATAAGATCATTAGTGTTAAATTTCATTTGAGTATTTACTGACTAATCAAATGTTGCATTAAAGCAAAACCATCATACTTACATCTGCTATATCTTTCAATCTCTGAGTTGGATCAAAGATGCTTTGAACAAAACTCGCCAAATCTACTCTTTCCTTCTCGTGTTTTGTAATAAAAGGGTGTGACAGAAGCTGTTAAAAAAACAGAGCAAACACCATCAGAATTCAAGAAACAGAGTAAACACCATCAGAACTGAAAAAACACACGCAGATTTCGAGGATATAACACAAAAATACAAAGAAAAGAACCAAACTTTTAACCAAATCTTGCTTCAAAACAGAGGAATACATAGAAAAGCACCAAACTTTAAACCAACTCTTGCTTTACACCGCTGGATTTTGGCTCAAGTACTGAACTTTTAAAGGTGTGACATTTCAATTGACAAACCTGATCAGCTGTTGGTCTAGCTTCTGGATCTTTCTGGAGGCAAGCATCAATGAAGGAACAGAACTCTGGTGAAAACTCTTGTTTAGAAGGTGTTGGTGATGGATCATCCAAGATCTTTCAATCGCACAACACAAAAAAAAAAGACAGAAACTTTTAGTTATACTAAAGAGAGACAATGAATCAGAAAGAACAAAAAAAAAGATTTGGGCCACAAGTTTATTCACCTGCAGCATAAGATTAACAGGACCTTCATTAGCTATATATGGAAACTCTCCAGTGCCGCATTCAAACAGGGCGAGACCAAGGCTCCATATATCCGCTGCATAAGAGTAACCATCATTCCTAATCCGCTCCGGTGACATGTAAGTGACAGTTCCAACAAAAGTAGCACACTTTGCAACCACCATTTTTAGATAACATACATGTTAGAAACTCAGACAAGAAATATCAGAGCCATAAGGTAAAGCAAGAGATTACATCACTCACCATAGCCATTGAGTTCTCGAGACCAGCACTTATCCCAAAATCAGTGATCTTAGGCTCTCCTTTGAGATTTACAAGCAGATTCGCAGGCTTGATGTCTCTATGAACTAGATGCCTAACTCCATGCAAGTAGCTCAATCCCTTGAAACAAAAGAAATGAGTTCACATTCACACACACATAACATAACAAAAATTGTTTAAGTAGAGAGTTAAGTATCTTTACTTGCAAAAGTTTGTGGAACATTGATGAAAGAACAGGCTCAGGCATCTTCTTTGTTTCTTTCAAGATATCTGCAAGAGATCCTCCATCCATATACTCAAGAGCTATGCTGATTTGTCCTGAGTCCGGACTATAAAACGCTCCGTGAAAATCCACAAGTCCTTCATGACAAGGAGCCTCACACAACGTCCTTATCTCTGTAAGCAGTTGCTGTCTCTTCTCCTGCTCAAACCAAAATCACTAAACATTCATTCAAAGACACATACTAAATGTAAATCAAGAAACTGATAAAATCTTGTAGTTAACATTACCCTTTCGAAGATATTAATCCTCTTCAAAGCTAGAATTCTATGATTCGGGATATGAATAGCTCGTTGAACAACGCTGCTAGCTCCGCTTCCTATAGCTCCAAAAACACGCATTTCGTGTGAAGCGCATTGATATGTCGTCTCACAGGTTTCAGACTCATCGACATGAGAAGATGTGCATTTTTGTAAACCGAGCTCGTTGAAGTTGTAAACTCCATATGATCTACTTAGCAAATTAACAGTTCCACCATCTGATAACTTCACCAAACAACAAAAACAAGATCATTTTAAGCACAATCGAAGCCTATATAACATAACATAACTTCCTTCACTATGAGATCACTAGACACTTACTAAATATGAATCGTTTGGATCTAACGATGACGATGAAGAGAAACCCTTCTCAGCATCAAACAGTGGAGAAAGTTTCTTCTTTAGCTCCTCCAATGCCGCCATAAACACTTATTCTGTGACACAGATTAAGAGTCCATTGCATCATAGCAAATACTAAATTAGGCAACTATTTTTTTGTTTCAATTTAAAAAAATTCGGAAACTTTAACTGTCTTTGTCAGTAAAAGTTGATTTCTTTCTTAAGTAACATGAAGAGAAAAAAACCCAATTTTCTCTATACATTAGAGGATCGGGCGGATCAAAGTCTTCACTAGTCAACTAAATTCTCTTCATAATTCACTAATCACTACAGTGACAAAATTACAAAACTGATTGTAAGAAATTAAGTAAAAAAGGACTTTGAATTTTGAAGAAATCAAGTTAGAACCGGATCAATCGAATTGCAGTTAAAACCCGGAAGAAATTAATCAAAACTAAAATGATGTCTCTCATTTTTCAATTACAGTAGTATCTGCAGTAAAAGAACTTACTTTTGTTTCTTTTTCGCTCTTCGAAGGTTTATTACAAAAGTTAGGGGTGCTTGTGTTCTCCTTGAGATGAGGAAGACGAACCTAACGTTTCTCTCCGAAGAAAGCAACCCAAACCGTAACGTTGTATTGTTCTATGATTTGAAAACTAAACTGCGTGTCATCTTGGAAAAATCAAACGGCACGAAGTCTAGTTTCTAAATTCGAAAACGGATTATCTTGTTTCCGTAGGCCAATATGCACCCAGAGAGTGGCCCAATCATCTCCTTTAGGCCCAGCAATATTCAGAACAGGATTATCTCTCTTTTTTTTAAGATAGTAAAATGTAAGAATTTATGAAAAATTTGCATTCACAAAAGGTTAAACACTGAATTGTTTCTTTTTGTGACCATATATGTATTAACAACTTCGAATTGAATAGTAAGTAGTAACATGCATAGGTGAATTTTGTTTTTGTCTTGTTTTAGTTTGTGTCAGCGGACAAAGCGAAAACATCTTTTAAATCTCATGAATTATAAAAACAAAAAGAAAAAAGTAAAAACAAGAAAAAAATTGAAACTTGGAAATCATGCAAAGCCACACCTCTACTTGTCTAACATCTCACCGTCTTAGGTGTCATCTTCTCATCACTCCAACTCCATCTATAAAGAAACCATCTCAAAACATTTCTACTTTTATTACAACAAATTAAGAGTAACAAAAACGAGATCAAAGAAAAAGTAGTCATTTGCTCAATATTACCATAATGGCGGATACACATCGCGTCGATCGTACCGATAGGCACTTGCAGTTTCAATCACCTTATGAAGGCGGCCGAGTTAATATTCAGCATGAAGGCGGTGTTGGTGCAGGCGGCTACGGTGCTGGCGGCTATGGTGCCAGCTTCGGTGGTTATGGCAAGAGCATGATGTCTGAAAGTGGCCCAAACAAAACCCAAGTAACGTCTTTTCTTTTAATATTTTCATTTTTGATGAATACATCTTCTTAATCTTCATACATTTCACAAATACAGAATTCATGAAATGAAATTATTCTTGGGATCAAATGAGACTATATGCTTGTAAAGAACATAACTTTTTGTTTTATTAGAAGGAAAACAAATTAGGATAATGATTTTGACATTATGAAGTTGTCCTTTCGATATACATAAGATCTTATTATTAATGTTAGTTACTTATTTTTGAAAATTCCATGTAAAATGGTTTCAACGGTATGGTTGCATGCATAAATACCTTTTCTTGATAATCTCGTTATATGATTGTTAGTTAAACATTGAAATGTCAACTATATGTACGGTTACATTCACATATTCTTGATCTTGTTCTTATGATGGTTGATATAACTTCTGTTGGATCATGCAAAAAAGAAAGGCTACATGCACATGTATATGCTTTTCCTGATTTTATAACAATGGTTGTTAACTAAACTTCTCATTGTTGAAAGGTAATATCCCTTCTGATTGGAGTCCCCCTGGTTGGTACGCTGCTTGCCTTAGCCGGTTTACTTCTAGCCGGTTCAGTGATCGGTTTACTGGTCGCAATACCGCTTTTCCTCCTCTTCAGTCCGGTTATAGTCCCTGCGGCTCTAACCATCGGGCTTGCCACAACAGGCTTCCTAGCCGCTGGAATGTTCGGTTTGACAGGACTGAGCTCAATCTCATGGGTCATGAACTATATTCGTGGGACCAGGAAGAGTGTTCCTGAGCAATTGGAGTATGCTAAGAGGAGAATGGCTGATGCTGTTGGCTACGCTGGACAGATGGGTAAAGAAATGGGGCAGAGCGTGCAGAACAAGGCCCAAGAAGCTAAACAATATGATATTTCTGCCAAGACACATGATACTACTAAGGGTCATGAGACTACTACTCAGAGGGCCACCGCGGTAGCATGATGAAGTTCTGTTCGAGAGATAGTTATGCATTTTCACTATGATATGTCCTTCTGTTTTTCATGCATTTTCGCTATTATGTCCAGTGTTTTTGTATCTTTGTTTCTTTTTGTTTGAAGTGTTGTGTCTTTGTAAGCATGAACGCCCGTAAGTGTTTGTGGTTATATTCGAATGTTTAATAATTTCTCCATCCTCTCTATGTCCGAATGTTTATATAAAATATAGTAGATGTTAATAAAGTGTGGGATATCTAGTACTAATGTACTATATAAAAAATTCTCCATCATAATTACAAAAACTCATATTGTGAAACAGAAGGATTAGCTATTGATATTCACATTATTGGAGAGATGTGTATGTAAATCGTCAGAGAAACTAACGTTGAAGTCAATGAGAAACTACCAATAATCTTTGCAAGAGCAAGAACCTTCAGAGAAATGATGAAACCTCTTAGAATCTCTAATAATAACTCTCCTTTTCTCAATCAAAGATATCGCTTTAGCTGTTTCATGACAATCTCCACAGATTCTAAGATTCTTCCTTATAATTATTGGCTCCATTGGACTAATCACCAATAGCCCAAACGCCATTGCAATCTTCTCGCTATGTTGATTAATCATCTCCTCTTTCACATCTTCATCAACATCATGTAACACAAACTCTGTTCTTGATTTAAATCCCAACTCATCCTTCATCTTCTTTCTAATCTCCTTCAGCTTCTTCTGTATCTTCTCTGATTCAGGATGAGACCAATCTCCAACAACAAACTTATGGACCTTATTACCATGTTCAATGTAGCTACACCCTGAAGCTCTCACAAGACCTTTCTGTTTCATCAGATTCCTTATTCTTGAAGCATCTTTCCATTGACCAGAAGCTGAATAGATATTTGATAGCATTATGTAGTTTCTACCATCACAAGGCTCTAACTCAAACAATCTCTCAGCAGCTTCTTTACCGAGTTTGGTATCTCCATAAACCCTACAAGCACCAAGCAAAGCTCCCCAAACACCAGAACTCGGCTCCATTGGCATCTCTTTTATCAACCTATAAGCTTCATGAAGAAGCCCGGATCGACCCATGAGATCAACCATACACGAGTAGTGATCTAACCTCGGCTCAATTCCATATCTTTTCCACATTGTTTCAAAGTAAAGCTTCCCTTCTTGGACAAGACCCGAGTGACTACAAGCACTCAACAAGTGAGTGAAGGTTACATGATCAGGACTAATACCATAATGATCAACCATAGCCTCAAAATGCTTGATTGCGTCTCTTCCATAGCCATGAGTGGCATAACCAGCAAGCATCGCTGTCCACGCCATGCTATCAGGAGAAGTAATCTCTAGAAAAACCGCAGAAGAATCCTCCAACCTCCCAAGTTTTGCATACAAATCTAATAAAGCCGTCGTTATACACTTGTTTGCACTGAATCCACAAAACAAGATCATCCCGTGAAGCCCTTGCGCCAATTTCACTGCTCCAATAGCTTCACAGACACGAAGAACAGCAAGAAACGCAGCTTGATCAGGCATATTCCCAACACTTCTGCTCATGTTAAAATAATCCAAACCATCTTCAGCTAAACCGTTCTGCAAGTGAATCGCAATCATCGTATTCCAGGAAACCAAATTCTTCACACTCAAATCCTCAAACAGTTTACAAGATGAAGTCAAATCTCCAGTCTTTCCATACCAATTGATAAGAGCATTCACAACTTTCACTTCCTCAAGAAAACCAGATTTCATCACTAACCCATGAATCCAACGTCCCTCTTCTCTACTCTTCCCATGAACACAAGCCGAGATCATCGACAAAAACGTAACTTCATTGGGTCTGAACCTAAAACCCACCTCACTTCTCATCTTAGACAACGCCTCAAAGCATTTACCGAAATACCCTCTCCCTGAATACCCAGATATCAAAGAGTTCCACGAAACCAAATCTCTCTCAGCCATTTCATCGAACAGCTTCTCTGCACAAACTTCGTGACCCAATCTCAAGTAACATCCAACAAGCTGATCCCCAATAAATCCATGGCGGTAACTGACACTCTTCACCACTTTACAATGAAGCAAACGACATTTGTAAACAGAGACGCAAGAGGTTATAGAAGCTATCAGCGATGAAACATTTGCCATCTAAACTCCAAAGAATCATACAACGGAGAAAAAGATCGTTCTTGAAATCGGCACAAAAACGCTCCGCCGATACAAAAATCTTTGCTTTGAACATGAATGAATACACATCTGCTTTGATCATCTCTCATAGTTTAGCTTTGCTTTCTCTCATCTTCTACAGTTTATTAACGGTCAAATGAAGATATGTGTGATAGAAGAAATTTTAAAAGTAACAAAAACCGGTTTAAATCTATTATATTAAACCGCCTCATTGGTTTAAACTTTGGATCATGTACATACAACTTAGACTGTTTGGAACAAACCCAACTCTCTGCATTCTCTCCTGAAACTCTAACACTTTCTTGTATCCACTTCCCTTTTCACAAATCGCTTTAACAACTAAATTGTAACTCTCTATGTCTAAGATTCTAAACTCCATAGCAAAGAAACTCAATAAACTCTCAGCTTTAGCCAAATCCAATCCTTTGCAGTATCCATTAACCAAAGCTCCACATATTAAAGAATCCGGTTTCACCTCAAAATCAAGCATTTCCTTCATCATAGACTCAGCTTCACGGTACCTACCGATCCTACACAAACAGCAAATAAGAGCTTGGTACGTCTTGACATCAAGAACTTGATTCGCGCTAGTGAGCTTCTCTTTTAGAACCAACGCCTCTTCGATAGCATCACAACGGGACAAAGACTCGATCAAGTTGTTGTAAGTCTCTGGTTTAGCAACCTCGTGACCTTCCTCTTCGCTGATTCTTTCCAACAGATGCTTCGCTGCAAACGGTTTACCTTCACGGCACAAACTCTCAATCAGAAACTCGCAAACTTCAAACGGTATTGCAACTTTTAACCTTCTAAGCTCTACAACAAAACTAACAGCTGCAAGCAACCGTCCTTCTCTCACAAAGCCTTCGACTATAACCTTACAAGTAAACCGATCCGGAACAACGCTATTCCCAAGCATTTCGTGTAACAATCTCTTCGACTGTTCCATCATTCCATCTTTGCAATAAGCATAGATCAAAGTGTTGTACGAGATACAATCAGGAGCAATTCCTCTGTCTACCATCTTGTGGAAAGTCTGATGAGCTTCTCTAACTCTCCCATCTCTACAAAGACCTTTGATTAGCGATGTATAGGTTACCAAATCCGGGACAACACTACGCCGATACATGATCTTGTACAGATAAAACGCTTCTTTCAACCTTCCTCTTCTACAGTAACTACTCACCAACGTGTTGTAAGTAACCAAATCAGGCTCAAATCCTTCTTCTTCCATCTTCTCCAGAAAGTCGTTAACTTCATGGAAGTTCGAATCTTTGCAGAACACATTCGTGAGAATGTTGAATGTATGCGTGTTGGGATGGATTCCGACTCTACTCATCGCATGGTACACTTGCCAACAATCCTCCATCAAGTCCAGTTTCAGCAAACCATTCAAGAGATGATTACAAGTGACGACACTAACACGAAAACCGGAATCAATCACCTTTCGAAACGCCGAGAATCCGTCTTCTACCAAACCTAATTTCAGGTAACCTTTGACGAGGATATCGAAAACCACAGGATCCCAATTGCATTCATCAGTAGCAGAAACCAAAACACTAAATACATCTTCTTCTTCCTTAGATTGCAATTCAATCAATTCACAGAGAAATTGCATAGCCAACGGAAACTTCTTAGACCAAGCGAGAATGTGAAGCAACAAACAGTAGTTACCAACATTTGGCCTCTTCCCTAAATCGAATTTAACCCAAGTGAAAAACGCAAGAGCTCGAGAAGCATCGGACTGAAACCTAAGCAAGACCCTAGAGATTTCACGATCGCCCAAATGAGGAATCAGAGATTTCACCTCGTCGCGAAGGTTGGATAAGACGAAATCACGCTGCTTGAGAGTCGAACAGATGACATCGACGATTTGATTAGGGTTTTGAGTTTGGGGAAGTAAATTGTAAAGCGGATTGAGGATTGGCTTAAGTGAATTATCACATCTGGGGATTAACTGCAAAGAGGAAGAAGAAGAAGAGGAGACGAGCCTGTGCCTCGAGATATCGAGAGCTCGCTTCATCAAGCGATGCAGCCAAACGAGAGTGAAGTGAAGAGAAGAGAGAAGAAACAAAATGAAATCGAAAAAAATGTTTTGTCCCACATCGGAAGTTAGCTCTTAAATTTGGAGGTATATATATGTTAAGACGAGCAAATACAATCGTGTTCGTAGAAAGGAGAGATGGTTGGCATCTCCTCTGACAGAGACGGGATTTGACCTTCGGGTCTTGAACACACTCCGGTTAAGGCTCTCCACCTTCGGGTGGATCTAAACCAAAATTTTTTGGGCCTTTTCTTTCTCTATTGGGCCTTTTTCTGTTAAACAAGTCGTCAACCTAACTAAACCAACATAGCATACACTTTTTTGCTTTGCTTTAACGAATTAAATATGAAAGATTACATATACTGATGAACAACCTCTAGTTAAATCCATTATGTGTCTGATTATTATTCAACGTTATAGGTGAGGAAGGTAAGATGTGGGTACAAGTAATGCAAGGAAAACAACTTCACAAACACAAAAATTTTAATATAAAAATAGAAGTATATCCATGTTGGTTCATTAGTCATTACTATTACTACTAAATATACAAAGTTTTGGAAAAAAAAATGGGAGACAATCAACAGAGAGTTTATCCGATTGTTCAAATGGAAGCCAAGAAGACAAAAACATCACAAGCTCAAGAAAAGACGCAACTTCCAGTACAACGGCCTGTTCTCCCTCCTCCTCCTCCTCCAATGCATAACAAGAGACGAAATATTTGCTGCAAATGTTTTTGCTGGTCGTTAAGCCTTCTAGTCATTGGATTAATCGCGTTAGCGGTTGCGGTTGCGATTATATACTTTGTTTTCCTCCCTAAACTCCCGCAGTACGAGGTCAACAGTCTACGAGTCACAAGCCTTGGAATCAACCTAGACCTCTCTCTCTCCGCGTTGTTCAAAGTCGAGATCACAGCTCGAAACCCCAACAAGAAAATCGGGATTTACTACGAGAAAGGAGGCCGTATCCAAGTGTGGTACACCAAGACAAAGCTATGTGAAGGCCCTATACCCAAGTTTTATCAAGGACATCGGAATGTGACAAAACTTAACGTTGATCTAACGGGAAGTGTGCAGTCCGGTAACACTGTTTTGTCGGCTTTGCAGCAGCAGCAACAGACGGGACATGTGCCGTTAGATCTCAAAGTGGATGCACCTGTTGCTGTCAAACTTGGGAAATTGAAGCTCAAGAAGATTCGGATATTGGGGAAGTGCAAGCTTGTTGTTGATAGTTTATCAACAAACAATAGAGTGAACATCAAAGCTAGTGATTGTAAATTTGGGCTCAAACTTTGAGATGTTTTCAGTTCTTGGGTTTAACGTTTATTGGTGTTGCTCAATCCATAGTTTTCGTTTTTGTTGATTTTTTTTGTTTTTGTCAACTCGTATGTATTGATTAAATTTGAAATTCTGGTTTTATGCTAATAAGATGGAAACTAGTCATGTATGTGTAATAGATTTAGGAACGACATGGAAACTAGTCATGTATGTGTAATGGAAATTCAGTTTAATATAAAGTCACTCTATTTCTACCGAAAAAGGAAATTAGCAAGAAAAGAAAACATAAAACATTGTCTTCAATAAACATAAATGAAATATATTAGTGGCAAACTGGCAATACAAATTCTACCAATGAAGAAGAAAAAAAAACCATTCGCATTAGCCAATAAGTGATCATATACCCTAATGAATTGGTAAATCTTTGCTGTTCACTCTCAGAAACCATATTAAGAGAGAAAAAGAGCTTAACCTTAACAGAAACATAAAGTATTCTCTTTCATAAATAAAATATGAAAATATCAGTGGCAAAACAAACTCTACCACTGAAAACAAAAACAAAAAAAATCCTCACTTAAAGCAAAAAACTTATACCCTAGTAATGGGTTAATCATAGTTGTTCACTCTCAGAAACCATATTAAAAAAACGGCACGGAGCTCAAAAGGAGTTTAGAAGGCAAACAAATAAGCACCTCCAGAAACTCTAAAACAAATACTCAATAGAAGACAAACCCTCTGGACCAGACCAAGGCACTTGAACCATCAGCATTGACTCTTCATACGCAAACTCAACAACTTGACCATCAATTTTGCAGCTCACTGGTTTCCTCGATGCATAAACCCTGAATTCTCCGGCACCACGGACTCCAATCTCAACAGACTCTTCATGGTACACCAAAGATTGAATCGCACCGCTTGTGTTTAGCATGTTAACCAATCCGATCGGAGCAACCCGAACGGATTTGCCCTCAATGGTCACAACAGGAGAAACAGTGATCAGCTCAAACTTGAAAGGCTCTAAAGTGAGCTCGAGGTCATTGTTTGGTCCAGACAACACAAGCTTCTTGGACTGAGACAAGAACAAAGCAAACTCTTCAACGTTTTCAATGGAGATTGGGTTGCTCCCACTGTTCCATTCAACGTCCTTGGGTCTTGTTGTGGCGGTTATCGTCTTAGAGCATTCAGAGAAGCATTGGTTTTGTCTGTTTTCTCGACTCCATCCTCCTCCTTGGCAGTTGAATGCTCCGATGATTCCAGTGTACTGATGGAAGAAAAAATAGACAGAACAAAAATCAAGACTGTAATGAATAAACAGAAACTTGCATGCCAAGAAACGAGTCAAATCAATCCAATAAACTTGAAATTATATCCAAATGAACTTAACACAGTCTCTCATAGCATAAGACTACCTATGCACAAAACAACGAGTACTAATTAGCTACAAAAATATCCAAAAGCTCATTCAATTTTTAGATTCACATCAGATTATAATTTGCAAGACCAAAGACCATTTGAAATCATTGAGCTCTTTAGGAGGTTATAATGGTATCTACTTGCCTAATCCGTAATCATGCTAATTAGGCTATAAAACCATGAAAAGAAAGCATTAATTATTACCTTGTTCAAGTTCCAAATCTTGAGCATGGTTTTGCCATCATGAAGAGGGTCTTCAAAGAGACGGTCACGGGTCGGGAGAGCATAGTACTCACATCTCAAGATCGAACCGTTGGGCAAAACAAGGCGTTTCAAAAGTTCGAAATCGTGCTGGCCAACGCAATCGCTGATGTAAATGGGTCCACCCGAGATGGCACGAGAAGCAGCATGGAACTCAGCACAAGGATGTGTTGACTGAAACATGTCCCAATCAGGCTGGATGAAATTTCCCATCCAGAGACTGTTGTATGCACAATGCACCATGTGACATCCTTGTAGCCAAAACGTGCCATTTGGATCACCCGATGGATCCGTGCACCAAAAGTCATCACCTAGTTAAATCCAAACAAATGTGGTTAACATCTCATACTAGAAAAAGTAATGAAAATAGTCTAATTTTATATCAATATTCAGAAAATGGTTTAGATTTTTTTAAAAAGTGACAAAATAATGTGAAATTTAATCCATAACTCTTTTTTCGAATTTCCCACATCTAAAAGTGACTTACCAACACGGCCTAGAGAGATGGCTTCAGTTCCAAGGAACATGAAGTCATTACAATGCTCCATGCTGGCGATAACGCCGTTGCCGCCAAAATGCTTATTCACTGACGCCGTTAAAGCCTTAAAGTAAGGCTTGGCCAAGTCAACTCTCCCGCCATATTTCTCGCACAACATCTCCAAAATCTACAGTTTAAAAAATGAAGAAAAATGCCACGTGTGTTAAATTAAATGAAATAACGGAAAGAAAAAAAAAAGACGATCTGTTAAATATGACAAAAACTTACGTGGATGACGTCAACTTTAACGCCGTCAATACCGACGTTTTGAAGATGAGAGTGAAGACCTTCGTAGAACTCCTTCGCCATGTCCGGCGAGACGAATCCGATCCCGGTCTCGACGATCTTATCGACGGCGAGATCTTCCATAGTGAGTTTAAGTCCCGGCGAGAGTTCTGGCCGGATAATAGTTGACGGCGGAAGAGTCGGAGCTCCGGGACGGAGACCTCCCCAGTACCCGCAAAGAGCGTGCCAAACGTAGATGTAATCGACGGTGGAGAATTCATCTTTCAGATCTTTGACGAAAGCTTTCATTCCGACATTGTTTTTGTCTTTCGGAGAGACGTAGTCTCTGAATTTGTAGTTCTCTTGAAATTTCAAAAGCCTGTAAAACCAGATTAAACCGGTGTGAGGATTTCAACAACCAAACCAAACAAATGAAAAAAATCGGAAATAATATAAAATTGAGAAGGTAAACCGGAATAAACCAACCTGCAAGGCATTTGCTCGCCGGCGACGGTACAAGTCATCCCTTCAACATCGATGTCATCGGAATCATGTCCAATTGATTGCCAACCGTCGTCGATTAAAACCAATCCCGGCGGACAACCACCGTCGACGAGACACTTAACACCTTCATGAACGCCGTCAGGATTCACCGTCAAGTAAAACGCATCCCAAGTACACCACCCGAATTTATCGACGATCCCCGGCGGCGATTTCTCTTCCATAAGTTTAAAGGTGTTCATATGAACCCTAATCACTTTCATCGCGTCTTTCACGAGCTTAAACGGATCATCTCCGGCGTGAAGATACACAGCCTGGCGGAACTCCGACCCGGTGACTTGGGTCGACCCGGATTCGACGCAGACCGCCACGTCATCGTCTTGTCCGGATTGGAAAGACGAACGGAAGGAGCCTTCGATAAGCGGTAACAAGAGAACATAAGGACGACCCAAATCCGACCCGGAATTATCGAGGATGATGATTTGGGTCTCGTTCTCGATGTCGGATCCTTTTGACCCGACCCAGTGAGTGGTCCACCACACCTTGAAACGGAATATGCTCATGAATCGAATATCCCTGAGTTTTCCGATGGACGCCACGTGGCGGCTTTGAGACTCGCCGTCGAGGTTAAACCCGACGAATGCACCGGCGGAGAAGTCGATTGGTTCGCCGTCTTTGTCGGTTAAGTAAGGTGAAGGTGTGATGGTTACGTTAACCGGTACATCGGTTAAGACGACATGACCATTGGCTAAGAGATTGGAATCCTCTAACCGGAAAAGAGGCTTTCCGGTAAAATCAATGCCGTTGACTCCGGTTTCGGACTTGATTACGCTAGGTGGAGCCATTTTTCCCGACGAGATTTTTAGGTTTTTGGATAAGTTTTTAGGTTAAGTTTGGATTAGATGGAAGAAGTAGAAAGTATTTATAGAGTGATCGAGATTCTGAATCTTTAAAGCTTTCCCGATTTTGATAATTTGATGAGATATGGATCGGAAGAAAGTTTGGAAATGTTCATATACTTATAGATTTCATATGTCGACAGGTAAGGAAATTGTAAGATAGTGTAACTTCTTTTCTATTTTGATATATTTGTTTGTTTATTTCGAAATCTTTATGTGGGGTAAGTTTGATTTGCTACCTTTAGATTTGGTCGTTGGTAATTAATAGAAAGAGAATTATAAAATTATATACTTGGTTCTCGTCGCATATATTGCATCATAATTGCGACTTTAATTCACCTGCCGACAAATGTAACTATCACGGATCGACTAGTCACTAGTGAGCTATGACAATAATTCAATACTCCACTTGTTTCACTCGTTTTCATTAAGCTTCGGAGATTTGAGGAAAAAATGTGACTACACGATGATAATAAATTTTTGGATCACTAGTATTCCCTAAATCTTGAATTGATTCGGATGATCAGTGTGTTGAAATGCTTATGGGAATTAGTTGATTGACTGAAATCTTCACATTTCTCTTTTTGAAATTTGAGAAAATAAAATATTTATAAGGTTTGGGGATATGATACAGTTTTAATTTTATCGTGATATCCGGGTTGACAATAATGATATCATGTTGGTTTAAGGAAATGGATTACACTTTTACCTCCATTTTGATTATATTCATATTCAATTTCCTTTTTAGATGATAAAAAGTTATATTGGTATATTCTCCACCAAAAATTGACATTTTTCTTTTTTCTTCTGTACAAAGTAAAAGAGAAGTGTTGCTTGGTTTCAAGAGAGACCATGTATTAAAAGAAGGTTTTGTTTTAAGCTAGAGATAGTTATTGGATTAGCCTAGAGGGTTTCGAATAGAATCGTTCTTGACTGAACCAGCAAATTAGACCAAACAATTCAAGTGGTGTGGAATAATTCAACTATCAAGCATGTGGTTTCGTGTAGGCGATTAGGTAATTTGTGAATTTTGTTTATGACTAAGCTTTCTTTCTATCTTTTTGTAACTTCCGAAAGAAAAAAATGATAGTGAACTGGTTGATACCGTACCATCTTTTTTTATCTTAAGAAACTCGTAATATGTTTTATGCAATTGATCATTCAATTCAAAGGAGTGGCTTGAGAGGTGTAAGAATCCGATTTTATATATACGGATTGTAGGTTCAAAATTTTCAACATTCATTAGTTAACCTATTATAGACATGGCAACGTACAAAACATTGCCACTCAAATAGTCAAATGCAATCGAATGAATCCCTGACATATGCATTGTATAAGCATTGACATTTTCAAAATAATTAAAATGATAACAGAGACCATATTTTGTAAATAAATATAATTTAAGTGGAAAATGTAAGAATTTGATGAAATTATGATATACTGACAAAGAGGTTGGTCAGCTAAGTAAGAACATTCAAAGTCCTTGTCCTTAATGAGGTTTAGGCCACGTATAATCGATTTGGTTTCTTTGATTTTTTGTAATAAACATACCGACCAAACGATTTGGTCATATGGTCTCCGTTTAAATAACCGTTTTAAATAGAAAAGAATTGCACGTGGACTTCTTAACAATAGGCCAACGCTTAAAACATAACTTGTGAGTAAAGAAATCCAACGGTGATCATGTGAAGCAGTTACATCTCTATTTCTTGCACCGACGAAACAGAGATTAGTTTACACCTTTTTATCGGTACCCGAAACGAGTAGCTGCACTGTATCTACCAGATTATACGTAATCACAAAAAAAAGTCAATAGATTTATAATTTGAAACCATTTTTTTTTTGTAAAATTTGAAAACATACCATTTAAATTTTGATTTTGACACAACATGCTCTCTTTGCAAAGTCTCAGACACCCATGTGAAGTATACAGGAACGTGTTCGCCTAAAACCCAACGAAATTATAATGCGTGGGTTCCTCTAACTCAGACAATCAATTCGATTAGATATATACTCCAGCATTTAACACATGTTAATACATTATCGGTAATCACGAATAATATACGAAAATTATACAAAAAAAACAAATGTCATTAAGTTGAAAACTTCCGCCGTGCATATTAATTAATTAGGATAATCAAAAGGAAAAGTTGCGTTTTAGGTCGGCAACGGTCAGATAAATTAATTGACCGGTCTGATTTATGTACCGTGGTTTAAAAGAACTTGTTGAACCTTGTGTCGTCTCTTGCATTCCCTTCTTTCTAAATCTTGATTCAGTTTCGTGAGGTAATAGTCAATTTGTAGTGTGTACTTCAAGTAACAGATTGTGAATTAGAACACCTACATTTACTTTCAAGTTAAAGTGAACTTGTCCGACTGAAGCTAACGAAAAAAACCTATTGCGTGGACATTTTTTCTACCATTAATTATACGTGTCATGCATGATGTAACGCAAAAGGTCGTCGTTTTCTTATTCATCTTTCGTTTGATTATTCCTATTCTTATTATTTTAACTTCCCTTTTTCCGTAAGGTTCGTTAGAAAGTGAAAAGCGACATGTTCACGCGTCTTATCTAGAGTTTGGTGGGCTTGCTTTAATATTATTGGTGGAGAGATCCTAATGGTCCAAAAGAGATTCACCTAGCTAAAGTGTTATGACTTGTGACCGATTCTATTAAAAACAAAATCTCGTTCTCTGTGACGTCATGCAGTAGTTCTTGTCCGAAAATGCATGTCACAAAAGTTGTCCTAAGGCCCATTTATTAAAAGCATATCGTTACATTGGGCTAATTTTATCCGGCCCGTTTAAGGTTGCCAATAAGAGAGAGAAAAACCATCCCTAAATCTCTTCCGCCATTTCCTTCATCCCTCCGGTAACCGTCAAACCTATTCGCGTTTACATCTCGATCCTCGCCGCCGCAACTTGCAGAGATCAGCAATGGCGAACTTGACAACTCTTCCCAAAGATCTGTTGGTGGAGATTCTCACCAGAATCCCGACGACATCTATGAGAGCGATGCGTTGTACTTGCAAAAAGTGGAACACTTTATCCAAAAATGGAGACTTTACGAAGAAGCACATGGCCGCAGAAGCAGCAGCAGCAGCAAAAGAAGGAGAGATTCCGGCGGTCGTGTTGTTTAACCGCAGTCTTCATTTGATGAGCGTCAATCTAAACGACTCAGATCCATCTGTCACTCGTAGAGGTAATCTCACTAGCCTAAACGAAACGGATAACCTCAACGTCTCTCAAGTTTACCACTGCGAGGGTTTATTGCTATGCGCCATGGAAGACAACTCCAAGCTCGTCCTCTGGAACCCTTACTCGGGTCAAACCCGGTGGATCCTCGTCAAACCCAGGAAGTATTATCACTCTCTCGGGTACGGATACAGATCCGGCAAACGCAGCTACAAAATCTTGAGGTTTCTTGACGAATCTGTGCACGAGATCTACAACGTAAGCTCTAACACGTGGAGGGTGCTTGGTGTGAGTCCAGACTGGTACGTGGACGTGGATGAGTACGAGAACAATGGCGTGACTGTGAAGGGAAACACGTACTGGTACGCTAAGCCTCTCGATATCATATCAGCAGGAGGAGAAGAGCTCCCTGGGTTCTTACTCTGTTTCGATTTCACGGCCGAGAGATTCGCTCGGCGTCTTCCTCTTCCCGTGGATGGGTTTTTCGAAGACGCGGTGGTTCTGTCCAGTTTCAGAGAGGAGCAGCAGCTTGCTGTCTTGTTCCAGAGCATAAACACATTGGAGATGGAGGTTTGGGTGACGAGCAAGGTTGGGCCCAGTGCTGTGTCCTGGAGCAAGTTCTTGTCGGTGGATATGGCAGCGCCGTTCATCAAGTTTAATATTGGTGCGAGTTTCATGGTGGACGAGGAGAAGAGAGCCGTGGTTGTGTTTCAGCATGGGAAAGCTAAAGCCGAGTCAGGTTATCGTACCTGTCCCAACACTGCTTACTTCATTGATGGGGACAAAGGTTACTTGAGAGGAGTGGATCTCGGAGATAGAGATATGGAAGTATACAGCAAGGTTTTATCGCAGGGCTTCGCTTATGTTCCAAGTTCACTGCAGATCAACGAACCGGTTATGACTGAGATTATAGCCGGAGTAAACCGACTTTGATTTGGGTATGGCATCGTGTGTTAACGTTAATCGGTAGTTAGTTTAAGTCTTTAAGACATGATCGTTAATGTAGTAACTTGTTATGTCTTTTCTGAACTTAAGTGTTTTTGTCTTTGTTTCGGTCGTATCCTTGGTTTCAACCGAGAGTTGTAAGGTCATATGAATGATTGCTATGTTAAACGTCTCCAAGACCCTTATTTTCTTGTTGAAACATGATTTGTGTGTATCGTCTGTGTGAATAACGCAATAGTTTATCCTATCTAGTATAAGTTATAAATATAATCAAGCTCATACTTCCTGCACACGTTGGCTCTCGTTGACGATGACGTGTGTCACACTTGTCAAACAAAGAGAACATTTTATATCCGTGTTTGGAAAATATAAAATAACCTGACTCGCAAACAACCGTTGATCTTTCACGCTCTCATCGACTCTTCAATCTTAAACGTTGTTAAGGTCATAGACTCATAGAAAAAGGGTAATTACTGCAAAGCGCGTAGCACTTGATTACGCCTCTCCCTTTAGAGATCTTTCTCGTCTCTTGACTCATGAGTCTTGAAGCTTCTCTGTTTTTCTTTACTCTTCTTCGATACTCTGCTTTTAACTTACAGGTATGCCTTCTTTCACTCTCCGCTTTGGTTGCACAGAAAAATTCCGATTATTTTCCCGGAAAGTTGTAGAGGCTTTCTCGCAATCATAGTAATCTTATATACGGTGCAAAATTGGTTTCGCGTTTATATTATTACTATCTTGTAAGAAAATATTTTATGGAAAATGTTTTGAATTCCAAAGTACGATTCTTGATTTTCTTTTAGAACTGGACCTTTACTATACTTTGTTGGAACTGAATAAAAACTGAATATTGTAAGCTTTGTTTAGATTATGGATGTTGAGTATTATTATCTGATACAATATTTGTTACTTATAGGAGATCTATAATGTCGAATGCTCCAAAGATCGCAAAGGCTGTATACAAGGGACCAAGCATAGTCAAAGAGATAATATATGGAATAACACTCGGCCTTGCTGCTGGAGGGTTGTGGAAAGTGCATCATTGGAACAACCAGAGACGAACGAGGGAGTTCTATGATTTGCTAGAGAAGGGAGAGATCACTGTTGTCGCTGAAGATTAGTAGAGTTCAAGATCAAGAACCAAAAGCAATACTTTTTTTTCTTGGTTTCAATAAATGTTATAAAACAATGGAGACTTCAGAAGTTGGATGTGGTTAAAGATTAGTATTTTGTTGATGAATGATATATTATTAAAGCACTTGAATTTAAGTTAGCGAAATCTACATTCTTACAATCTTCTCTACAGCGGTATTTGCATTTTATAGATTACCCCAAGAAATTATCTAAATGTAATATATTCAAATGCAACATTAGTTTCACATGAATTTTGCATCCATATCAGACCTCTACAAATGGTGATACTTCTAGGTAGGGGGGGGGGGAAATCCTTAGCTCCCACGAGTTGTAGAATAATCTGAAGAGGTATAAGAAGCTTGATCAGTTTTGACCATCGTGGTACTATTGGTGCTACAAGATATAGTACTACTGCCCTCTGGATCTGTAGTTAAAGAGCTAATCCTCAAGAACGGAGGAGTGGTTGGTGATGGAATAGGGTAATCTCTCTCTGTCAGCATACGGATGACTTCTTCCATTGAAGGTCTCAGTGATGGAGAAGCTTGTGAGCATAACAATCCCACGCAAAGTACTTTAAAAGCTTCTGCTTCGTTGCCTTGCACTTGAAGCAACTCGTCTTTTAAACATGGGTCTATGGCTTCTACCAGTCTGTTGAGTCTAAAGAGGTTCCAGACCTGGAACAAGAAACGATTTTGGATTTAAAGATTCATAGAAACTGAACAAGAAACGATATTGGATTTAAAGATTCATAGAAACTTTTTCTTTTGATGATTATTTCTTTGGGGGAAACTTACTCTTTGTAGGAGATGACCAGTCGCTGGCACGAAAACGTTGTTTCTTGCTCCACAAGCAATCTCGAGAACAAGAACTCCGAAGCTATAAACATCAGCCTTTTCCGTTAACTGTCCTCTAACAACATATTCTGGAGCCATGTAACCTCTGCATTAAGAGCCAAAACCAAGTTTGAATGATTTTTTCTCGAGTCATCTAGCTAGTTTCTAGGTACTAGTGTTTTGTAGTAGCTTACAAGGTTCCTGCGATGCCGGTGCTAAGATGAGTTTTGTCTATACCGAGACATCGAACCAAACCGAAATCAGCTATCTTGGGATTGAGTTGCTCGTCCAGAAGAACATTGCTGGTTTTGATGTCTCGATGAATGATCCTAACCGGAGAGCCGTTACCTCCGTGTAGATAAGCCAGTCCTTCCGCTGTTCCAAGGATTATGTTTAGTCTCTGGCTCCAGTTTAAAACCTTGCTTTTACTCTCATCTGAAAAAAATCCCAAGAAATCACTCGTTAGAGTCGACTCTGTTTTTTATTAGCAAAACCTTATAATGTAAATCTTACAGGAATATTTGAGGGAGAATTCATACCAAAGAGAAAGTTGTCAAGGCTTTTGTTAGGGACGTATTCGTAGACCAAGAGACTCTCGGGTCCTTCAATGCTACAACCAAGGAGCTTGACGAGGTTCTTATGTTCGATTCCACTTATGAGATTCACTTCGTTGAAGAATTCTTCTACCCATTCTCTCGTGTTGAACACTAATCTCTTCACGGCCACGTTCTTGCCATTTGGGAGGACTCCTAAGAAAACGGTGCCGTTTCCTCCCTGCCCTAGCTGTTTCTTGGTGCTGAAGTAATCTGTTGCCTTCTCTAGAGTCTCGTACTTAAACTTCGTCTTTGAGTTGTTGAATTTCTTCGAAACCAAACCAAGGTTTCTTTGTTCTGGTCGTGTAAAGATGTTGAGGGTGATCAGATACATACAACTAGGATATCTAAAAATAATTACTATCTAAAGTGTATCTTCAAAAAATGGATTCAAGATTTAGAATGCACATGTTCGAAAAACGAATGTTTCTAACGCAAGTACCTAATCGAAATAACTCCTTAGAAAACGAATGTTTCTATTAATGGATAGATCATATATATGTACTACTTAATCCATGTGATCAAATGTGTACCTTGTTTGGTCTTTGATAGTTTGACAATAATGACATACGTTGCCAATAAAATGAGCATGGCGAATGCTGACATGGTCAAGACAATAGCCACAATGACTCCTTTGTTAAAAATCCCTGCCATATGTGTAAAAAAATACACAAGTGTCAAAAATGCGATTTAGAAACAGAAAAATCGAATCTAAACAAAAACAAAAGTCGTGAAAATTGGTCAAATTCGTATGTAAATAAACCAATTGATAGATAAGCCTTACCATGGAATTTACCATGCGCATTATAGAATTTATGATCAGAGAATCGAAGATAACAGCCACTGTTCATAGCTCTTCCTTCTCTTCTCGAAACGCAGCGTTTCACTTCTCCGACAGCTTTCTCCAAACAGACCCTACAAGCTTCCTTTTCCAAACTCTCCCAACACTGAGCTAGCGCGTGAACCCCACTCTCTCCGGCGATTCCGAACCCTCCGTTTCTAACAGCGACTCTCGCCGCGGTTTCCGAAACTCGAAACCCGAACTGAGAATCTAAAACGGTGTCGTTGCTACATGAATATCTGTCCGAGGCGTCGGAGACTGATTCTTGGTAGAATTCGTAAGTTTCGTAACGGAGGAAACAACCGTCGAGGAAGATCCTAGCGGAGGAGGAAGGGAGACAGCGAGGGAGGCGCGTGCGTGCAATCGCGTAACAGAGCTGGCAATCTGACGGCGAGAGATCTTTGTGACACTGAACCAGTGCGTAAACGGACGTCGAGTTGGTTTTGTAGCTAGAAGATGATGGCGTGGAGTTCATGGCTTGAGTTGCGAAATGGCGTGTAGTTAGTTTCAGGGAGAGTGATTGCATATCTTCGACGAAAGTTGGAATGTAGTTTGGATCGGCGGAGGATTTGCTGCGTCCGCCGCAGAAGAGACCAGACACGGCGGTTCTTGGATCGGAGGAGGAAGACGTGAAGGGGAAAAAGAAGAGGGAACACAAAACGACGACGTGTTCCAACGGTATGGTTTTTGTGGGGGAATGCATTTCTTTAATGTTTCTTCTTTGTTTTGCTTATGGTGGTATTTCAATATAGAGGAGTGTTTAGGTCTAGGCAAAATATTTGTAATATTGGATTATTTATTTGAAAATATGGAAAAAAATATATGAATAACCATAATTTAACTGAGCATAAGCTGCACCATACATACATTACAGCTCAATATTCGTAAGAACAGAAACATATTACAAACATTAATTATAAAGCTACTAGCGTTAGTTAGTTTTGTTTTTTTTCATCATTTGCAAAGATTTTTCAACTGTTTTATTCATTGTTATTAAGAAATTCGGGTGATCATATTGGTTTAACGGATATCCAAATGTGCAATAGATACACATCTAGTTTTAGAACGCATAGTACAGATCACTGATACCACAAAAATGGGATATTATTGGTCCAGCTATGACACAACACAAGCTTTATTTTCACAAATTAAATTCATAATCTAATAATTCACGTAGCTATAAAACATCTATACCAATGGATTAATTAAATGATGTGATCATAAACGAATGGATACAGATAAACGAAAGGGACATACATAGATCCTGATCAGACTATTGAATTTAAGGCGATGAAAAAAACGGTGTACAGTTGTAAAAGTCCTAGCCTAAAACTAGAGGAACATGACACGTTCATACTACTTTATTGTTCAAGTGTTCAGTTCAGTACGAACATTTCGATTGTATGATCGTTGAAAATTTCAGGAAGAAACCATTTAATTAAATTTGTAAGTAATATTTTTTTTTTCCAAAAATTATTACGGTGTGTCAGTGTGTGTGTTGCTTCTATTAATCAATTTAGAAGGAGTCACGTAGACAATTGACGATTACGACTTACGAGTATCCAAATTAATAAATGGACCATCCTAATTTATTTGTCGGTGGCTAACTCGTCGTAGGAGTGGGGTAGGGTTAGGTTGGGTGCAGCAAATTCAATAATCGTCGCCTCAATTCCCGACTCAATTCGTACCATCGCAATACAACGTTTACCTTATATAGATTTTTTTTTTTTTTTTTTTTGTAAATATTCATTGATTTTTTTTTTTTATGGTTTACATATAAGAATGAATCAAAAGTGCATAACAAATTCAATAATGTGTCAAAACTACATAACCTATAAAACACTTTTTTACTAAAGTATATGATATTTTCACAATTTTTTAAAAATGTATTGTGGGGTATATTGCATGAGAATAATAGACAAGGTTGTTTGATTCATTCCACGTAAATAATAGAATAATAATAGACAAATAATTTTTTTTTGGGCTTCGATCTTAGATTCTTTGTTTTTTTTTAAAAAAAATTTGCTTACAATCAAAACCCTAAAGACGGTAGGTAATAGCTTCGTATCATTCACCATAAGATATATCGAAAACTATATTCTCTACATCTCATCGCTAATGTCGTCTTCCGCCGCCATGAACGGCGAAGAGCCATTGTTTAATGGAACGAAGAAGCAGCTGTCGCTGGCACTCACACAGACGTCGTCACAATCGACTCCATTACCGTCACTTCCTGATGATTTGTTAATAAGCTGCTTGGCACGCATCTCTAGTTTGCATTACCCGGCTCTCTCCCTTGTCTCCAAGAGCTTCCAATCTCACCTTGCTTCGCCGGAGCTTTACAAGACGCGATCCTTGTTAGGCCGCGCCGAGAGTTGTCTCTATATATGCCTAAAGATTCGTCCTTACCCTACCCCGTTCACTCTTTGCCCGAAACCTAACCGAGCCCTAACCAATGACAACACTAGTGAGAAGGAGAAAAACAAGTCAAGTGGCAACATTTTGATCCCAGTCTCGTTTCCCAATACTGCTCACGCTCATTGGAAAGGCGTGGTTGCAGTTGGTTCTAGTATCTACGCCATAGGTGGAGGAAACTACGATTCGCCTTCTTCTAGCGTTTGGGTTCTAGACTGCCGTTGTCACCTTTGGCGCAAGGCTCCAAGCATGTTGGTGGGGAGATTTTGCCCAACAGCAGATGTCGTTGATGGAAAGATATATGTCGCAGGAGGATGCGAAGGCTTAAATTCTTTAAACTGGATGGAAGTTTTCGATCCGAAAACTCAAACTTGGGAGCTTGTTTGTTGCCCTCTTGCAGAGGTATGGAGACGCACTAGGGTAGACAAGAAGGGCAGTGATTGAAGGAAGAATCATTTACATGTTTGGGAACGAAAGCGTGGCTTACAAGCCAGAGGAAGATAGATGGGAAGAGGGATGGCTGATTTGAATCAAGGATGGTCATCGCTTTCTTATTGCGTGATCGATAACGTGTTCTGTAGCTCGTGTAGTGACTGGTTTGGCTTCAGATGGTACGACACTAGGAGACAATCCTGGGAGAGTGTGAAGGGCGTGAGAAGATTGACTGAGTTTGCTGGTCATGGTATTGTTAAAATGGCGGATTACGGTGGGAAGCTGGCTGTTTTCTGGACCGGTAGTTTCCGTGATAGGGAGAAGACTATTTGGCGTGCGGTGATTGCGCTTGAAAGACGCAACGGTGATGGTGAGGATGAGGAGATGTGGGGAACCGTCGAGTGTGTTGATCCTCTTCTTACCATCCCTACCTCTTACGATTTCGTGCGTGCTTTTGCTGCTACTGTCTGAAGAGAGTCTGGTCGTGTGGTGAACAGAAAACTCTTTGCCCTATTACCAAGTTTAATTGGACTAGCAAGTTGTAAGTTGTAACAAGAATGATATTTTCTATGTAATCTAATCAAATCATTCATCACTTCCTTAATACAAGATTAGATACTCGACATCAAATCTACATGAACACTCTTGTAAATAGCTAAACAAATTGCACTAGTCAAGAAACCTTATGTTTGACGTCCCAAACTTCAAAATATTAATCGTTAGAGATATATGCATTTATATTCACAAAACTGTTTAGTATAGACCGTAAAATCTTAAAATCATAAAAACAACTTGCGTGTTCTCGTCTTTTTTTCTTAATCAACAGTAGCTAAATGTTAATCTGGGACTTATCAGATATTGTTTCGGTGACTTCGTCATATACTTCGTTTCAACCGAGAGTTTTTAAAGTTCATATATGAAAGTAAGAAGAAGAAAAATGATAGTGAATTGGTTGGTATCATCTTACAAAACGTATATGAGATCATTTCTAATCTTAGGAAACTCCTAAACTGGATTAAGTTTGTTTCAACATTTAGTTGTTGTCACAGTATACAAAGAGCACTCTTGATCAACAAAAACTGTCACAAAAGAATAAACATAATCCGAAAAGATTCAAACCTATCTTTTTTCCCAGGTTTTGGACCAAAAAAGGATGAAACTTATTTGCGTAAAGACAATTTGTCTAGACTATCATCATCATCATCATCATCGTACATAGACTTACTTTCGGCTTGTGACTGTTCGGTTATCAGTTTCGCCTTCTTGTAACTTGCTGATCTTCTCAGTACATCTGCCAAGCTCCTGCAAAACATTATCAGAGCATTATCAGAGACAGGACAACGAAATATTAGGACTTTGAGTTTACGAAAGCTATTAATTGACCATAAAACATCCTTTAAACGGTCACTTACAACTTTGCTCCTCCAACGGACAGATTGTTTCCTGTTGAGATCAACAACCGGAATTAACATAGAGACTAGAGAGCATCTAAATCTAAATATAAGTTATATCTAAATCAATAAAGTACCTTGCTTCCTAGACACAGAATTCACATCACTCTCATCATCGTCTAATGTACTATTAGATGGTGCTCCACTGGAAACATCTGAAGATCTCTTCTCTTTCGGTTTCACTGAGCTCAATGAACCATCGATGATACTGTTGGAGATGTTGTTCTTTGCAGCTTCTTTCTTGCTGTCGACAGCGACTTCCGCGGAATGATCAACCTTTGATCTAGCCACTTTCTCTTTCGGTTGCTTTGAGCTCACGGAACCGTTAATGGAGCCATCGTGATGCATGTCAAGGCCTTTCTTCTCCTCTTTAGATTTAGCTGCATCGATCACATGATCTCGCCTCTTATCACCACCATCCGCAACATGGTCCTTTTGACTAGGAGATAAAGTATCTCCCATATCAGCCTTCACCTCTAGACTTTGATTATCCTCACTATTACCAGCGACGTCCTTAGGCGACATGAACAATGCATCGGTGTCTTTTGCAGTTTTGAAGGGAAGAGCCTCCTCCAAAGAAGCACTGTTTACCTCAACTTGGGACTCCACAATCTTCTCAACGTGTTTCCTCTTCGAAATCTTGGTTGATTTATCCTCCATCTTGTCCAGATTTCCCTTCATTTCTTGCAAAGAATCTAATACATCCCTGATGACATTATCAGCCTCTTCTCCATCTACAACTTCCATAGGTTCAAGATTCTTCACAAGAATTGGAACACTCTCTCCTTTAGCAAGTCTTTTGGCTTTTTTGGACTTTCTATTCCTTTTCTTCTCCAAATGATTCTCTGGTTGGCTCGCTAGTTTATCAGTTTGAGTATTATCTTCGACAGATTCCTCACCCGTCTCGTTTTCTACAGAAAATCACCAGTAAAATTATGAGACAATAAAGATTGCCGATTTCAAGGTCTATAAACATCAAATGTCATACTCAATAACAGAATCTACATGTTCTGTGATAGTTACCTTTTCCTAGAGCTCCACTAAGAACATCGTCTACTTCTTTTCTCGGTAAAACTTCAGATATCGGTGCATCAACAACAACAACAGCTTCAACCTCATTCCTCTCATCAATCACGCTTCTCTTTCGACTTTTCTTTCCATCCGAGCTTTTCACTTCCCTCTTCCCTCTTGTTGTCTTGTCAGCTACAGCTACAGCTACAGAGTCATTTTCAATCTCTTGATTTCCTTCAACCGAACAGTTTTGATGAACAACAACAATAGCCAGAAGATTCTCCTTCTCAACTTTAGCAGCATCGACATATAGAAACCAGTTTCTACTACTGGCGTCAAAAGCGTCACGCAGTTTCAAATGGTTTGAATACTTTTTATGTTGTTTGTTTCAAATCGAATTGCTTGTTGTTATGCTTTGATACTTTTTAGTATAACATGCAAGCAACATTTGTTTGAAAAAAAAAAAAAAACGGTGCATGCTTGCACTTATCATCCCAAACAAAACGATTAGTACTGTTGATGTTTTCCATTTAAAGTAAGAAAAGAGAATACAATCACTAAAATCTTTTCACGTTCTGTTCAAGTTGTTGTAACATTAGCTCTTACAAAGAGCACTCTTGATAAACAAAAACTGTCACAAAAGAAAACCATAATCCCAAAGGTTCTAAGTTCTAACCATCTTTTACTCAGGTTTCGGACAAAAAGGATGAAACTTATTTGCGTAAAGACAACTTGTCTAGACTATCATCATCGTAGATAGACTTATTTTCGGCTTGTGACTGTTCCGCACTCAGTTTCGCCTTCTTGTAACATGCTGATCTTCTCAGTACATCTACCAAGCTCCTGCAAAACGAGACAGAACAACGAAATATTAGGACCAGAGTTTATGAAAGCTAATTCATTGACCATAAAACATCCTTTAAACAGTCACTTACAAGTTACAACTTTGCTCCTCCAGCGGACTGATTGTTTCCTGTTGAGATCAACAATCGAAATTAACATAGATTAGAGAGCATCTAAATCTAAATATAAGTTATATTTGGACCGATAAAGTACTATTAGATGGTGCTCCATTGTAGAACATCAGATGTTATACTCAATAATAGAATCTACATGTTCTGTGATAGTTACCTTTTCCTAGAGCTCCACTAAGAACATCGTCTACTTCTCAAGATTCAGATACCGGTGCATCAACAACAACAACAGCTTCAACCTCATTACTCTCATCAATCAGGCGATTCTTTCGATTTCTCTTTCCATCTAGCTTTTAGCTTTCCTCTTCCATTCTCAGACACAACTACTTCGGTTTCGAACCCTTCTTCAAGTACAAGTACAGAGTCGATTCAATCTCTTGTTTTTGCTCACCAAAACTGTGTTCGGTTGAAGGAAATCAAGAGACTGGAATTGACTCTGTAGCTGTAGCTGTAGCTAAGAAGACAACAACAGAAGTAGCTGTAGCTAAGAAGAGGAAGCGAAAAGCTCCGATGGAAAGAAAAGTTGAAAGATTGATGATGTTAATCAATCTGCTAAAGTTGACCAGGAAGATCTTATAGTGGTTGCTGATCAAAACTGTTCGAACACTGGTTTGGTTGATCCAGAGTCGTCTCCAGCTGCTAAAATCGAAATCGAGGAAGATGAAGCGAAAGATTTAAGCAGTCTAGGGTTTACTGCAGCGTACTCTAAACATTTGGACCAAGGCCTATTTTTATTAATAATTTCAGGCCCATTAAGAGTCCATTACTGGAATTAATCTCACGCGTTTGGTGGGAAGTTACGACGGTTAAGCGTGAATCAAGTCTACACCAAGTCTCAATTCAAACCCCTAAATTAATTTTCACAGGCAAAATTCTTACCGACGAATCTCACTGCTAATGTCGTCCTCCCCCGCCACGAACGGCGAAGAGCCATTGCTTAAGAGGCCGAAGAGGAAGAAGAAGCCGTCGCTGGCTCTCACACAGACGTCGTCGTCGCAATCGACTCCGGTACCATCGCTTCCTGACGATTTGCTTATAAGCTGCTTCGCACGCATCTCTAGATTGCACTACCCGGCTCTCTCCCTCGCCTCCAAGAGTTTCCGATCTCACCTTGCTTCGCCGGAGCTTTACGAGACCCGATCCTTGTTAGGCCGCGCCGAGAGCTGTCTCTATGTATGCTTACAGTTCCCTCCTTACCCTAATCCTAACCCTCGCTGGTTCACTCTCTGCCGTAAACCTGATCGAATCCTAACCAATGAGAACACCAGTGAGACGAAGAAAAAGAAGAAAGAGACGTCAAGTGGCAACATTTTGGTTCCGATCTCAGTTCCCAAATCTCCTCAAACTCATAGGCAATGTGTGGTTGCAGTTGGTTCGAGCATCTACTCCATTGGCGGACCAATCGATGGTTCGCCTTCTGCTAGCGTCTGGGTTTTAGACTGCCATTGTCATGTTTGGCGGAAAGCTCCAAGCATGTTGGTGGAGCGAGAAAACCCAGCAGCAAATGTCTTTGATGGGAAGATATATGTAGCAGGAGGATGCAGAGACTTCAATTCCTCAAATTGGATGGAAGTTTTCGATCCAAAAACCCAAACTTGGGAGCTTGTGATGTGCCCTCTTGCAGAGAGATGCAAAAGTAGTATGTACAAGAGCGCAGTGGTTGAAGGAAGAATCTTTTACATGTTTGGGGACGGAGGTGTGGCTTACAAGCCAGAGGATGGTAGTTGGGAAGCTATAGGAGCGCTGACTTATTTGGAATTAGGATGGTCGTGGCGTTCTTATTGCGTGATCGATAACGTACTGTTTTGTTTTAGTGACTCAGATGGATTTGAATGGTATGATTCTAAGAGACAAGTGTGGATGAATATGAGGGGAATATTGAGAGGGTTGCCTAACTTTGCTGGTCATGTTTGTGTTAAGATGGCGGATTACGGTGGGAAGTTGGCTGTTTTCTGGACCAAAGGATATAAGGAGAAGAGGATTTGGTGTGCGGTGATTGCGATTGAGAGACGCAAAAGTGATAAGGAGGTTTGGGGAACGGTGGAGTGGAGTGATCCTGTTCTTACGATCCCTACCTCTTTTGATTTCGTGCGTGCGCTTTCTGCTACGGTTTGATGGTAGTGAATCTTGAGCTATTGCTGGTAGAAGATTAGTTTAGTCTAAGATTAGTTTATCTTGTGCTGGAATCTGTTTACCAAATCTACTATAAACCATTGTGTATGGCTTCTTTATTTTCTTCTTTTCTGCAAATACTAGTCATGGACTCTGTTTTCCTTATGCATTTGCAAGTTGTTCAAGCTCCTTAAATGGTAAATGGCAAGAGATTCACGAATCTGGTGATTCAAATCTCATTTTGAAGTTTGGGACAAACATAGCTAAAACTTTGTTTAGCTAGTGCAATCCTATTTTGTTTAGCTATGGCGTTTTTCTGTTTCTCTTCCAGATAGAGCAACAACTTGTAAACTCTGTGACTGTTGAGGAACGAGAACTAATTCTTGCTAGCTGCCAATTTTAGGAAGCCTTTAGGTTGAAATCTGTAAAAACACTACCACCAATTCCTTAAAATATTTATCTACGCAAGTTGAATACTGAAAATTCTTTCTTGAGCATCCATATATGGATCCCATTTTCATTTATAGCATTAACTAACGCTATGTTACAAAGATAAATTCTGAAGAGCACACGGCACACCAGAGAAACTATCTATACTCGTTTGTCATTTTACTGATTCTGTTAAGTGTTTAAACGTATGGGCCGAGGCCCATTTAGGACTCTAGAGCCGGAAAAATGTCAGGCGATAACTTTTGAAATCAAGTCCCGTCGAATCCCTAAATTTCCACTGAAGCACCCAAGACGGAGACTTTGATCTACGGCGAGTTTGTACCGCCAATGTCGTCTCCGCCGCGTAGATCTTCCCAGACGTCGGAATCGACTCAAGTTCAATCGCTTCCTTATGATTTGCTAATAAGCAGCGTCGCACGCATTCCTAGAGTACACCACCCGGCTCTTTCCTTCGTCTCCAAGAGCTTCCAATCTCTCCTCGCTTCGCCGGAGATTTACGAGACCCGGTCCCTGATAGGCCGCACTGAGAGCTGTCTGTACGTGTGCTTAAAGGTACCTCCTTGCCACTCTCGCTGGTTCACTCTCTGCCGGAAGCCTAATCGAACCATAGCCAATGAGAAATCAAGTGGCCATCTTTTGGTCCCAGTAGCTCATTCGCAAGGTGTGGTCGCAGTTGGTTCTAGTATCTACGCCATTGGAGGACCAAGCTATTATTCGCCTTCTACAAGCGTCTGGGTTTTAGACTGCCATTGTCATGTTTGGCGTAAAGGTCCAAGCATGTTGGTGAAGCGGCGTGGCCCTGCAGCAAATGTCGTTGATGGAAAGATATATGTTGCAGGAGGGTGCGAAGAGATCAATTCCTCAAATTGGATGGAAGTTTTCGATCCAAAAACTCAAACTTGGGAGCTTGTTGCAGACGGTGTGGCTTACAAGCCAAAAGAAGATAGACGGGAAGCGATAGGCAGGAGGAGTCTTTTGGATAGAGGATGGTCAGGTTGTTCGGATTGCGTGATCGATAACGTACCATGTTGTTTTGGGGGTTCAGATATCAGATGGTACAGCACTAAGAGACAAGTTTGGATGAATATGAAGGGCTTGATAGGGTTGCCTAAGTTAGATAGTACTTATGGTCCTGTTAGAATGGTGGATTACGGTGGGAAGTTGGCTGTTTTCTGGACCAGTAGTCTCCGTGCTAGTGGATATGGATATAAGGAGAAGACGATTTGGTGTGCGGTGATTGCGCTTGAAAGACGCAACGGTGGTCAGGAGATTTGGGGAACGGTCGAGTGGACTGATCCTGTTCATACGATCCCTGCCGCTTATAATATCGTGTCTGCTCTTGCTGCTACTGTTTGATGAATTGTCTCAGGGTTAGTGAATCTCGAGTGTTGCTGGTTGAGTATTGGTTTAGTTTTCTGCATAGTCATAGGAAGAGTAAGTGTAACAAGATGCACACGTAGATGAGAGTTTGGTCGTGATGTCAACATAACTCTTTGTTCTGTTTCCTTAATTTGCAAAAGCTTTGTGTGCTTTGCTTTCTTTTTACAACAATTCTATAAACCAATGAAATGTGGCTTGTTTTCACCTGATCCAAGTTATCGCAACAAATCTTGCTTATGGCAAACATATTGCATCATCATGCAAATAGGAATTGTTCTCTGCTTATATTCATAGGAAGAGTCAGTGTAACAAGATGCACAAGCTTTGGTCGTGTGGTGAACATAGGAGAGTCTGGTCGTGTGGTGAACATAACTCTTTTGTTCTATTTCCTTAATTTGCAAAAGCTTTGTTTGCTTGCTTTTTACAACAATCTTATAAACCAATGAAATGTGGCTTGTTTTCACCTGCTCCAGGTTAGTGTAAGTTACAAGCAACTTTAAGTTCACGAGTATTCAAAATTTGTGCTACCTCACTAGATGAAAACATTGTGGCTCTGTTTATACTCTTTTGAACAAGATTGCACACTTGAGAGTCTTTTTATCATATTCCCTTGATTTGGAAAGGCTTTGCTTATGGCTTCTTGTTTCACCTCCTCAAGCTCGCAAGAAAAGTCAGAGGAAAACATTGTTCTGGTTGAATTTTCTGCATATTCAGAACAAGATGCACACTTGGAAGAGAGTCTGGTCGTGTGGTGAACAAAGATCCTTTTCTCTGCAAATTAGTTCTAGTCATGGACTCTTTGTACTGTTTCCTTGTTTTCTTCATGCAATCAGCAAGTTGTTCAAGCTCCTCTAGTTAGCTCATGAGATCCATTTCTACATCTTTTTTTTCTCCAACTCTATCAATAACCAAACCTCAACATTGTTATTCTCTCTCTCATTTTGAAGATTCTGACAAACATAACTTTGCCAGCTTTATTTACTAGTGTGTTCCTATTTTGTTTAGCTATTTACAAGTTCATATAAATCAATCCCACACCATGGCGTTTTCTCTCTCTTCCAGATGGATCAGTCAACTATATGTAAACACTAAGAGACTGTGAAGGAACGACGAGAACCAGTTCTGCTTGCTCTGCCAATTTTAGCAAGTCTTTTGTGGACATATGAATTTATCTGCGCAAGTTGTATATTGAAAATTCTTTCTTGAGCATCGATATATGCTCATTTGATTACATCTATGGATTCCATTTTCATTTGTAGCACTACCTTAACACTATGTCACAGAGTATAATTTTCAAAGTATGGGCCGAGGCCCATTAGGACTAGTTCCGTCAAATATCTAAATTTGCCCTGAAACACCCAAGACGGAGACATTTGATCAACCGCAAATTCGTACCGACGAATCTTCCCGCGAATGTCGTCGCCGCCGCCGCCTAGATCTTCCGGCGAAGAGCCATTGATAAAGAAGCCGGAGAAGAAGAGGAAGAAGCCGTCGCCGGTACTCCTACAGACGTCGCAGTCAACTCCGGTACCATCGCTTCCTGATGATTTACTACTGAGTAGCTTCGCACGCATCTCCAGATTACACTATCCGGCTCTCTCCCTCGTCTCCAAGAGCTTCGGGTCTCTCCTTGCTTCGCCGGAGCTTTACGAGACCCGATCCTTATTAGGCCGCACCGAGAGTTGTCTCTATGTATGCTTAAATTTCTATCCTGACCCTAACCGTCGCTGGTACACTCTCTGCCGGAGGCCTAATCGAGCCCTAACCAATGACGACACCAGTGAGAAGATTAAGAAGAAGAAAGAGAAGCCAAGTCGCCATCTTTTCGTCCCAATCGCAATCCCCAATGCTCCTCAAGCTCATTGGCAAAGCGTGGTTACAGTTGGTTCTACTATCTACGCCATTGGCGGACCAATCGATGATTCGCCTTCTGCTAGCGTCTGGGTTCTAGACTGCCATCGTCACGTTTGGCGCGAGGCTCCGAGCATGTTGGTGGAGCGAAAAAAACCCAGCGGCAAATGTCGTCGATGGGAAGATATATGCAGCAGGAGGAGTCAACAACTTCAATTCCTCAAACTGGATGGAAGTTTTCGATCCAAAAACTCAGACTTGGGAGTTTGTGATGTGCCCTCTTGCAGAGAGATACTGTAGCAGTAGTGTAGACAAGAGCGCAGTGATTGAAGGAAGAATCTTTCACATGTTTCGGAACGAGAGCAGTGTGGTTTACAGTCCAAAAGAAGATAGATGGGAACTGAGAAGTGGCATCTGTATGACTATTTTGGATTTAGGTTGGTCATGGCTCTCGTATTGCGTGATCGATAACGTACTCTATTACTGTGATATTACATCTGGACTCAGGTGGTTCGACTTTAAGCGTGGCTGCTGGGTTAATCTGAAGGGATTGAAAAGACTGCCTAGGTTTGCTGGTTATGGCTGTGTTAAAATTTCGGATTGTGGTGGGAAGATGGGTGTTTGCTGGATCAAGTATTTCCGTGCTAGCGGATATAAGGAGTCGAGGATTTGGTGTGCGGTCATTGCGCTTGAAAGACGCAATGGTGATGAGGATGAGGAGGAGATTTGGGGAACGGTTGAGTTGATTGATCCTGTTCTTACAGTTCCAAACTCTTGTAGAATCGAGTGTGTTCTTGCTGCTACTGTTTGATGGACTTACTCAGGGTTAGTGAGGATTAGTTTATTTTGTGCTTGACTCTGTTAGCCAAATTACTTATAAAACATTGTTTTGGTTGAATAGAATGGTTTTCTGCATATTCATGAGAACTCTTTGTTCAATTCCTTTAGTTTGCAAAGGCTTTGTTTGGTTGCTTAACTTGCTTCTTACAATCTTATAAAGTTATGTGCAACAAATCTTGCGTTTGGCATCATCATGTTCATGGGAAGTGTTCTCTGCATATTCATAGGGAGAGTAGTTGTAACAAGATGTACCACTTGAACAGAGTTTGATCGTGAAGAAAATAAAACTCTTTATTATCCATAGGCTTTGCTTGATTGCTTGATTGCGTTAACGACATATTTCAAGTGATGTGTAAGGTTTTTGCCTTATATTTTACATCAATTTCATTCAATTTGTTTTACACGAATACATCAGAAATATAAGAGGACCTAAATGAATACATCATAATATAACAGACTCAATTTATAATTTTTAACTTTATGTTTTGGTATATTAACGGTTTAAAATGTACCAAAACGTAAATTAAAAAATTAAGAAAGATGGACGATGCGTGACAGAACGTATGGGCTAAGGCCCATTAAGAATCATTACCGAGATAATTCTCAGAGGTAGAAATGAAAGCTTTGATCGACGGCAAATTCGGACGGACGAAACTGACCACTAATGTCGTCGCCGCCGCATAGATCTTTCGGCGGAGAGCCAATGATTGAGAAGACGAAGAGGAAGAGGAAGAGGAAGAAGCCGTCGCCGGTACTCCCCCAGACGCTGCAATCGACTCCGGTACCGTCACTTCCTGATGATTTGCTTCTGAGCAGCTTCGCACGCATCTCTAGATTACATTACCCGGCTCTCTCCCTCGTCTCCAAAACCTTCCGATCTCTCCTCACTTCGCCGGAGCTCTACGAGACTCGATCCTTATTAGGCCGCACCGAGAGTTGTCTCTATCTGTGCTTAAAGCCCACTACCGACCCTTTTCCTATCCGTCGCTGGTTCACTCTCTGCCGTAAACCTAACCGAACCCTAACCACTGGCAACACCAGAGAGAAGAAGAAGAAGAAGAAGAAACAAACCCTAACCAATGGCTACACTACCGAGAAGAAGAAGAAAGTCAATTCAAGTGGCAACATTTTGATCCCAGTCTCGTTTCCCAATTCTCCTCAAGTTCATTGGCAAAGCGTGGTTGCAGTTGGTTCGTGCATCTACGTCATCGGCGGACCAATCAACGATTCGTATTCTTCTGACCTCTGGGTCCAATTTCACGTTTGGCGCAAAGGTCCAAGCATGTCGGCGGAGAGATACTACCCAGCGGTAGACGTCGTTGATGGGAAGATATATGTGGTAGGAGGAGGCTATGACTTGGATGCCTCAAATTGGATGGAAGTTTTCGATCCAAAAACCCAAACTTGGGAGTGTGTGGTGTGTCCTCACGCAGAGAGATTTAGTAGGAGTGTAGACAGGAGCGCAGTGGTTGAAGGAAGAATCTTCTACATGTTTTTCATGGAGGGTATGAGTTACGATCCAAAGGAAGATAGATGGGAAGCGATGAAGATGATGGCTAATATGGATTCGGGATGGCCATGGCTCTCTTATTGCGTGGTCGATGACGTGCTATTTGCTTGTTGTGATTCAGAGGGGCTAAGATGGTACGACTTTAAGAAACAGAGCTGGATGGAGATGAAGAGCTTGAAAGGATTGCCTGAGTTTGCTCGTTACTGTCATTATCAAATGGCGGATTATGGTGGGAAGTTGGCTGTTTTCTGGAAAAAGTCTGTCGGTGTTAAAGGCATTAACAAGAGTAAGAAGATTCGGTGTGCGGTGATTGCGATTGAAAAGCGCAACGGTGGTGAGGAGGTTTGGGGAACGGTGGAGTGGCATGATCTTGTTCTTACGCTTCCTGAATCTTTTGAGTTGGTGCATGCTCTTTCCGCTGCTGTTTGATGAATTAGATGAATTGACTCAGGGTCAGTGAATCTTTAGTGGTGATTGCTGGTAAAAGATTAAATTTCCGTAATTTGCGATGGCTTTGTCTTTTGATGAGAGTTTTGTCTTAGAAACAACTGAATGGCAAACGTATTGCATGATCATGTATTCATGTTCATAAGAAGTGTTGAGAAGAAGTCCTTGTTCTTCAAAGGCTCTCTGCTTGCTTCTTTCTTACAATCTTTTATAAACCAGTGAATATGGCTTCTTTTCACCTGCTATATACAGTACATGGAATTTTTGTTTTGATATTAGATTAATGTAGATGAAAATTCACAAACTTTTAAATGAAATAGATCAAATTAATGTACGTTACAAGCAACTTTATGTTCACTGAGTATCCAAAAATTTAGTTACCTTTACAAGATGAAGCAAGTGTTTTTAAGAAATACTATGCTTAAGGTTTTTGCCAAATATTTTACATCAGTTTCATCCTCTTTTTTCTATTTACTTCATTACATCATTAATTTACAGCAATTCAACCAATATAAAAAGATAGAATATTAGTCACATACGTTACATAAATTTAAAATTATATATTTGAAGACTCCACTTATTATAACTTTTGTTTTATATAAAGCTCACGAACGTTACATAATTTAAAATTATACTCCTTCCTTATATAACCGTCGATATACCAAAACATAAATAAAATAAAAATTAAGAAAAATGGCATAATTCGTACCGAGGAATCTTATGTCGTCGCCGCCGCCGCCTAGATCCACCGGCGAAGAGCCATCGATTGAGAAGCCGAAGAAGAAGAGGAAGAAGCCGTCGCCGGCACTCCCCCAGACGCCGGAATCGACTCTGGTTCCGTCACTTCCTGATGATTTGCTAATAAGCAGCTTCGCACGCATCTCCAGATTACACTATCCGTCTCTCTCCCTCGTCTCCAAGAGCTTCCGATCTCTCCTTACCTCGCCGGTGCTTTACGAGACCCGATCCTTACTAGGCCGCACCGAGAGTTGTCTCTATGTGTGCTTAAAGTTCTATCCTGACCCAAACCCTCGCTGGTTCACTCTCTGCCGTAGACCCAATCGAGCGCTAACCAATTCGACTAGAAAGAAGAAGAAAGAGAAGCCAAGTGGCCATCTTTTGCTACCAATCCGAATTCCCAATTCTCCTCGAGCTCATTGGCAAGGAGTGGTTACAATCGGTTCTAGTATCTACTCCATTGGCGGAACAAGCGAGGATTTGCCTTCTTCTAGCGTATGGGTTTTAGACTGCCATTGTCACGTTTGGCGGAAAGCTCCAAGCATGCGTGTGGAGCGGGCTTGCCCAGCAGCAAATGTCTTTGATGGGAAGATATATGTAGCAGGAGGAGTCAACAACTTCAATTCCTCAAACTGGATTGAAGTTTTCGATCCAAAAACCCAAACTTGGGAGTCTCTGTTGTGCCCCATTGTAGAGAAATGCAGCGCTAGTGTAGACAAGACCGCGGTGATTGATGGGAGAATCATTTACATGTTTCATAACGAGAGGAGTGTTGTTTACAGTCCAAAAGAAGATAGATGGGAAGGGAGAAGAGGACTGGCTATGACTATTTTGGATTTAGGATGGGCATCGTATTCTTATTGCGTGGTCGATAACGTACTCTGTTGTTTTGAGATTTCAGCTGCACTCAAATGGTTTGACTTTAAGCGACAATACTGGATAGATATTGAGGGATTGAAAGGACTGCCTAAGCTTGCTGGTTATAGCTGTGTTAAGATGGCGAATTATGGTGGGAAGCTGGCTGTTTTCTGGACCAAGTATCACCGTGCTAGCGGATATAAGGAGAAGAGGATTTTTTGTGCTGTGATTGCAATTGAGAGACGCAAAAGTGATGATGATGATGATGATGATGATGATGAGGAGGTTTGGGGGACGGTGGAGTGGATTGATCCTCTTCTTACAGTTAACTCTTCTAGATTCGAGTGTGCACTTGCTGCTATTGTTTGATGGATTGGCTAATGTAGTAGAAAGATTAGCTTTTATTGTTTGGTTGAATTTCTGCATATTCGTAGTAAGAAGAACTATAACAAGATGCATTATGTAGTCGTTTGGTGAACAAAACGTTTTGTTCTATTCCCTTAAATTTGCAAAGGCTTTGTTTGCTTGCTTTTTACCTGCCCAAGCTCGTAACAGCTTCAAAGGTAACACTTGAGAGAGCAAATCGATGTGTGATGCTCAAGGAAGATGTGACTGAATCAGAAGCTCGAGCGCTCCAGGGCCGTCCCTGACCTAAGGCAAGTAAGTCAGTGCTTTAGGCGCCAAAAGATAATATCATTTTAGGAGAGGCAAATTACAGAAAGCTTATGGTAGTGTAGTGTAAGCTTCCAGCCAACATTTTCTTGCCTTTTAAAAAAAAACCGAATTTTTAATGGGCTCAAAAAAAAATTTGGCTTTAGGCGCCAAAACAGTACGAGAGCCGGCCCTCCATGGAGATAATCTGGTGGAGAGGATAAAGATGGGTTGTTCTTGAAAGAGACAGTTTGCATCTACACTCTCTATTACATCAAAAATACAACTTGAGACCAGCGCCAAGTCCATGATCATTGATCAAGCGGATGCCATGAGATAAAGAAACTGAAGTCACTGGGTCTTTTACAGAAATAATAAAAAGAAATTAATACGATTTAAAAACAATAATGGCATAATTTAAAAACTGTGGCCCGAGGCCCATTAAGGGTCCATTACCGGGATAATTCTTGTGCAAGAACCAGAACACACAAAGTCTCAAACCCCTAACTTCCCTGAGACGGCACTTTCTTACCGCCGAATTTTACTGCTAATGTCGTCCACCGCCTTCACCAACGGCAAAGAGCCATTGATGAAGAGGCCGAAGAAGAAGAAGAAGAAGAAGCCGTCGCTGGCTCTCACACCGACGTCGTCACAATCGACCCCGATAACATCGCTTCCTGATGATTTGCTATTGAGCTGCTTCGCACGCATCTCTAGATTACACTACCCGGCTCTATCCCTCGTCTCCAAGAGCTTCCGATCTCTCCTTGCTTCGCCGGAGCTTTACGAGACCCGATCCTTGTTAGGCCGCGCCGAGAGCTGTCTCTATGTGTGCTTAAAGTACTATCCTGACCATAACTATCGCTGGTTCACCCTTTGTCAGAAACCTAGTCGAACAAAAACCAATGACGACACTAGTGAGAAGAAGAAGAAAGACAAGTCAAGTGGCCATCTTTTGGTCCCAATCGCAATTCCCAATTCTCCTCAAGTTTATCAGGAAGGAGTGGTTACAGTTGGTTCTACTATCTATGCCATTGGCCGACCAATCAACCATTCACCTTCTTCTAGCCTCTGGATTTTAGACTTCAATTGTCATGTTTGGCGCAAGGCTCCAAGCATGTTGGTGGAGAGATATTACCCGGCGGCAGATGTCGTTGATGGGAAGATATATGTAGCAGGAGGATGCGAAGAGATCAATTCCTCAAATTGGATGGAAGTTTTCGATCCAAAAACTCAAACTTGGGAGATTGTGTTGTGCCCTCTTGCAGAGAGATACTGTAGTAATAGTGTAAATAAGAGCGCAGTGGTTGAAGGAAGAATCTTCTACATGTTTGGGAACGATGGCGTGGCTTACAAGCCAGAGGAAGATAGTTGGGAAGCTATTGAAAGGCCGAGTGATTTGGAATTAAGATGGCTACAATTTTCTGATTGCGTGATCGATAACGTACTCTGTCGTCTTGCTATTTCAGATGTATTCGAGTGGTACGATTTTAAGAGACAATCCTGGATTAGTATGAGGAGCTTGAGAGGATTGCCCAAGTTTGGCCGTGAGGTTATTGTTCAAATGGCGGATTACGGTGGGAAGATGGCTGTTTTCTCCTATAACCCTAGTAGCGGACATAAGGGGATGGCGATTTGGTGTGAGGTGATTTCGCTTGAAAGACGCAAGTCGCGCAATGGTGATGGTGATGGAGATGATGAGGAGATTTGGGGAACGGTCGAGTGGCTTGGTCCTGTTCTTACACTTCCTGACGCTTATTTTTATTTCATGTGTGCTATTGCCTCCACTCTTTGATGGATTGACTCTCTAGTACAAAATTATTTTTGTTTGCAGCATCGAGCTACAAACGGATACGTTTAGTTTATTTTGTGGTTCAAGTGTTCCTTGTAAAACACTGTTTTGGTTGAATTTCTGCATATTTCATAGACTTTTGTTCTATTCCCTTGATTTACAAAGGCTTTGCTTGCTTGCCATCATTGTTTAGCTAGACAGAGAAATTGATGATGATAAACCTCGCGTATGGTTTTTAATATACCCAAGCTCGCAACAAATATGGCGTATGGTAAACGTTTTGCTTACTGTTCTAGAACAGTAGAACAGAACATATGAGCTTCCGTTGCTGTTTTCAGAAGAACATGAAGCTACTTTCTTTCTAGCTTATTCTTTCTTTCTTTAACAAAAAAATGTAGCTTATTCTTTGCTTGCTTGTTCATAATTAAATTTAAATTCCACATAAAATATGTTACTTGACAAGAAAGACTTTTGAAATAAAAGAAAACCAGACGAAACCCACGGCTACAAAACGCCGGCCCAAAAAGGCCCAATAAAGTAAATTAAAATTCCCGTTTCATAATCGACGGCTGATATTCAACAAACGTCTCCATTTTTTGTTGACTCGTTACAAATCCACTCCAATTGCGTTTTTATAAAGCAGACTGATTCGCTCTGCTTTCTTTCTCTCTCAATTCCTTTCTCTCTTTCTCAAAAACCAGATCGATACTAACAAAGCAAATTTAGGTGCTTATTTTTCCTAATAATCGCAAGGAAGATGGCGATGCAGAAGGCTAAAGATCTCGTTTCCAACAACGCCGTCGTTGTTTTCAGGTATCTTTCTCTTCTCGATTCTCTCGATTTACCTATGTTTGTTTGTGATTCTGTGTTTGTGTTTCTGTATACGGCTTTGATTGTCTGTTTTTAAATGCATTTCCATGGAAATATTTAGGATTATGTATATACGGATGTATCTAGACGGTTTTGTGTACCAAAGGGACTTGTGTTTTGTGTTGTGCGTATGTTAGCGCTTTGAGTGATCTGAATCGGTTTTGTGGTTTTGGAATTGCAGCAAGTCGTTTTGTCCATACTGTGTGAGAGTGAAGGATCTTTTGAAACAATTGGGAGCTAAATTCATCGCCGTTGAGCTCGACAAAGAAAGTATGTTCACCAAACTTTTTCTTTTCATCATCATTTATTTTCAGAAAAGTTCTGATTTTTGTCTCATATATTGTGTCCCGAGATTCGAGTTTAGATTTTTGTTTGATCCTAGTAATGGATTTGTTCATGAACTTGATTTGTATATACTCAACAGAGAATCCAAACTCAAGCTTTGTTCATTGTTGTTGTATAATATTAGGTGATGGTAGCAAAATTCAATCAGCTCTTGCAGAATGGACAGGACAACGCACTGTTCCCAATGTGTTCATTGGAGGCAAACACATCGGTGGCTGCGATTGTAAGAAAAAAACAGAGCAATTCTGTTTCAAAATTGTTTTTTTTCCTTTGGATTTTCTGGAAACTGATACTTGTGATTTTTTTTTCATTGTTTTGTAGCAACAACCAACTTGCATAAAAACGGTAAATTGGTTACTCTGTTAACTGAAGCTGGAGCTATCGCTGCAATCGCTGCAACCGCTGCAACTACATCTGCTTAAGAGCAGAGATCCATTTGTGGTTGCTTTTATCATGAATTTAAATGTTTGAGTCAGCAATAAGGATTTGTTATATCGTCAAGTTAAAAAAACAGTCTGAAATGTTATAAAATTGTGGTTATCATCTTCTGGGTATGAGTTTTGTAGAGCTTTCATTCTCGTAACATTTTGAGAGGTAAAGAGATTTGCGAGTCTTAAGTCTTCACGTAAAGCGGTAAAAGTAACTGAAATCGAAGTTAGATAGATTAATTACTGGTATGATCATATGATTTGCGACATTTTGAAGATAAAGAGAAAATGAAAATGAGTGACGATTTGAAGATAATCATATGAGTCTAGGGAAGAAAGTAACCAAATCCGAGTATGCGTTTGCGTTTACATGAATTATAAGCCCAGAAATAGAGAAAATGAAAATGATGGCCCAAGGAAAAGCCCAATAGAAGATTATAATCTCATTAATAAATTCGCGTTTTAAAATCGACGGTTGATACTTAACAAACGTTTCATTTTGCTAGACTGATTACAAATTCTCCAATCGCGTTTTTATTAAGATAACTGATTCGATTCGCTTCACTTTGTTCTCTCTCTCTCTCTCAAATTCCATTTCTTTCTTCTCCCTGAGAACCAGATCGCATACCAGCAAAGCGAATTTAGGGCTTTCTAATTCACGAAGAAGATGGCGATGCAGAAGGCTAAAGAGATCGTTTCCAGCAATTCCGTCGTTGTTTTCAGGTCTCTCCTCTCTCTTCCTCCTCGATTCTCCATTTTATTCGCGTTTCTCTCGATTTATGTATGAATTGTTTGTTTGCGAAATGTTGGTATCTTCGAATCAGTGTCTCTGCTTCTTTTATTGGCTTTTGATTGTCTGGTTTAATCGATTAAGCATCCATGAATGTATCTAGACGCTTTTACGTCCAAGGGGGTCTGTGTTCTGTGTTGTGCGTATGTTAGCAATTTGAGTGATCTGAATCGGTTTTGTGGTTTTTGCTATGGAATTGCAGCAAGTCGTATTGTCCATACTGTGTGCAAATAAAGGATCTCTTGAAACAATTGGGAGCTAAATTCATCGCCATTGAGCTCGACAAAGAAAGTAAGATCACCAATTCTTCATATGATTTCATTTTCACTTACCATGTTTCTTTAATGGTTTCGGAAAGTTTAATTTTTCTCTTGCTTGTGTGTATCGAGATTCGAGTTTCGGTTTTTGTATCTAATCTAAGTATGTATAGGCTTTTGTTCATGGATCCATTTGTTCATAGGTTTTGGACTTTTGGTTATGACCGCTCTGTTTTGTCTGGAGATTTGAGTATAGGTGTTGTTCACGAGCCCATCATTAGATTTTCTTCATGAATCTCGTTATTTTCTCTTGGATCATTACCCTCGATGAGCTATGTTATATCACATTGAGTCAGATTTGTGTATACTCATCAGACAATTCAGACTGAAGCTTTGTTCATTGTTCTTGTATAATGTACAGGTGATGGTAGCGAAGTTCAATCAGCTCTTGCAGAATGGACAGGACAACGCACTGTGCCCAATGTGTTTATAGGAGGCAAACACATCGGTGGCTGCGATTGTAAGTAAAAACAGAGCAATCCTCTGTTTCGAAGATTTATTTTTTGATCATTCCTTTCGTTTTCTCTAAACCGAATCTTGTGGTTTTTTTCATTGTTTTGTAGCAACAACTGGCTTGCATAGTGGCGGTAAGTTGGTTCCACTGTTAACTGAAGCTGGAGCTATCGCCGCAAAGACATCCGCTTAAGAGCACATTCTTTTGTGATTTGCTTCTTAAGGTTTGAGTCCGAAATAAGAACTTGTTTCTTGTCAAGTTTAAAGAACTGTCTGAAATGTTTTGAGTTGTGGTTATGTCAAAGTCAAGTCGGTTTTCGAACTTAATAGATATATTATGGTCAGTATCGTATTATAAGTTTTTCTAGTGCTTTAATTCTCGTAACGTTTTGAGGTAAAGCGAAACTCGAGCCTCAGGCTCTAAGGTAAAACCGTGTAAAAGTAATTGAATAATACAAGAGGTCATATTTTATGACATTTTGAGGACCATGTAACGAGTCTAGGGAAGAAAATAACAGAATGTTGCTACTTCAACTATAATAAGCAGGAAACTGACAAAAATGGTAGATGACGCTCTGTACACGGTCTTAAAGAAGTCTTCATTGCACTTGAGCATAAAGAATCTCTCTATCAAATTTTCTAACGAACACTATTAACAGAATACCCACTGCTTGGTACTAACTTCACTGCCGGTGGAGATAGCATTTTGAGGCATCCTTGTGACGCAAGGTTTCTCTAGGAATGCGCATGTTATAAGAGTTTCTGGAAGTGAATAAACATCCCATCAAAGTGTATCACCTAGATTTAAACAAGATTATATAGTAAAACATAACAAAAATAAGTTTTAACCAGTGTTTTTAAAACCGGACCGGAAGACGAACCGGATAGACCTTTGGGTCATGGGTCAATCCGGTCCAACCGGTTCAACAGGTTCATTATATATACATATATATTATATATTTATCACATTATATGGCATTATACCATTAAGTATATATCATGTTTAATATAATTTGCTATTTTTACTATTTGTTTATTGAGATTAATGTACTTTATAGTAAATACACTTAAAAACCCTACTTTTTCTTTTCCTAAAAATAGCCGCCGCCTAGTCTTTTGTCTTCTCCCTCTTTCTCTGTTTACCCTCCTTCTTTTCATTTTTCTGAAGTTTTAAAATTCCAGTTAAACCTTTCTGGCTTTCTTCGATTTCTTTTCGTTTCTTCTTTACGTATACGATTCTACAGTTTTGTTTTCTTACATCTGAAACAGATTGATGAAAATCAACACAAGATAATTCAGTTGTGAACAAAAAAATCATGAAAAACTCAATAGTTTCAAAAACCGGATTTTCTTGGGTCACTGGTTCAAGCCGGTTCACCGGTTTTAGCCGGTTTTTATCCGGTTTTTTGGGTTTTCTTAATATCCGGTTTTAGCAGTAAACCGAACCGGGTAACCTTTCGGTTCCCGGTTAAACCGGTTTGACCGGCCGGTCCGATCCGGTTTTCAAAACACTGGTTTTAATAAGTTTTAACAAATGTAAAATACCAAAACAAATAGATAACAAAGTTTTGCGCGGGAAATAAATAAAAAACTCCGCGTAGCTCGGGATATCCTCTAGTAATAAAAAGGAAATGTATTTTGTTTTAAAGTAATTTTAGATATGGTGGAATTTCCATGCAAACAACTTTATATTTGGTAAACAAGAAAAAAAATCAGAACCGTCAAATACATTTTTACTTATTTCAACACTGATCGAACGGTAGTTTATATAGTTGTATCCATATAGATAAGTACCACCCATGAAGATCACTCAAATTCCTACACTGAAACCTCACAAGCCGGAGACTTTAATTTGTGTCAAAGAATCATGTCTTTGTCTCCAACTCCGAATTGGTATCAAAGAATCGTGTTGCTAATCAAGAAGACGATGAAGAAGCTGAAGAAGCCGTCACCCCAGCAACCAGACATGATTGCATAAAAATCAACGTCACTTGATTCCATAGATAAATTGGATAAAGTCGTTTTGCAACATTATGTTCATAATAAAAATCATTTAAATGAACATCCAAAGAACTATAGCAGTAATGAATCTACCTAACTTCGACCTCTTTGCATTATTCAGTTACTTTCAAGTTACACTTTACCTCATAATGTTACGAGAATTAAAGCATTACAAAAGTAACAAAACCCATATCCAGAAGATGATAACATAATACGGTACTGATAATACATTAAAAGTTCAAAGACTTCGACATAACCACAATTTTATAACAAGTCCTCTTATTGCTGACTCAAACATTTAAAATCCTGATAAAAGCAATGGCAAAGAGATAGCTCCATCTTCAGTTAACATAGGAACCAACTCACCGTCTCTATGCAAGTTGGCTGTTGCTACAAAACAATGAAAATCACAAGATTCGGTTCAGAGAAAACGAAAAAGAAAAATCAAAAATCTGTACAACAAACTTGAAACAGAGTTGCTCTGTTTTAGGTATCAAAAAAGGTTTTTCAAGGAGACAAGACACAAAACAAGCCTAATACTAATCTACAAGTGAATGAGTGCAGAAATTCATAAGCCATACCTGAATTCCAAAGCTGAAGGCAATCTCAAACTATAGCAGACAGTGCATACACCAGTTCGTACGCCTCCGGCTCATCATACCACTTGATATGCCCCCAAACCTGTCCATTGCTGCGCCTCTCAAGAGAAACCTCAGCACACCAAATTTTCTTCTCATCTTCCCCAGCAAACTCGTCCCAGAGAACCACCAGATTTCCACCGTGTTCCGCAAGTAACACATTATTGCAATCACCCGGAAATTCTGGTAGCCCTTCTAGACCTTGTAGGATCCCATTGAAGAACCCAGCGTCCATACTGGCTGACCATTCAGAGAAAGTAAATTGAATTTTTATTTATTTTTCTTTAAATGTTTTTGGAAGCTTTAGTTGTTCTCTTGCTTGAGTACCAAGACTCAGACTTTAGGTTTTTTTCTGATCCAAATATAGCTTTGTTGATAAATTTCCTCACACATTCGAAAATAAGAGAATCAATGAAGTCTTCATTGCATTCAGCATTAAGAATCTCTCTATCAAATTTTCTAACAAAAACTTTTAACAGAATACCCACTGCTTGATTCTACTTTCACTGCCGGTGGGGCTATCATTTTGAGGCATCCTTGTGACGCAAGGTTTCTCTAGGAATGCGCATGTTAAGGGAAAGGGACTTTCTGGAAGTGAATAAACATCCCAGCAAAGTGTAGCACGTAGATTTAAACAAGATTAGATACTAAAAGATAACAAAGATAAGATTTAACAAGATAACAATGATAAAACACCAAAACAAAAGATACTCCCTCCGTTCCTACAAGATGAACTCTTTAGCAATTTTTTAATGTTCCACAAAGATACTAACTTTTTGATGCATTTTTCAGATTTCAAGAAACATTAATTGTATTTGTTAGATTTTTATTGGTTTAAAATTATAAAAAATTGTTTTACTGCAAAACATTTATACAATAATGATTGAAAATTAACTTTTTCTTAATATGTTTCAAAAAATTAGAAAATTTATCTTTAAGAAACGGAGGGAGTAACACAAAATTGCGCGTAGCGCGGGATTTACTCTAATCATAAAAGGAATTTTATCTTGTTTTAAAGTAATTTTAGATACGGTGGAACACAGCGCCACACATACAACTTTATATTTGGTAAAATGTTTTAGTTAATCAGAACCGTCAAATACATTTTTACTTACACTAAACGAACGGTTTGTATCTATAACCATTAGATAAGTACCATGTCGTCTCATGAAGATCACTCAAATTCCTACACTGAAACCTCACAAGCCGGAGACTTTGATTTGTGACGTCGAAGAATCATGTCTTTGTCTCCAACGCCGAATTGGTACCAAAGAATCGTGTTGCTCATTAAGAAGATGGAGATAAAGAAGAAGAAGAAGCCGTCACCGCAGCAACCAAACATGGCACCATCACTTTCTAATGATTTGCTATTGACCTGCTTCGCACTCATCTCGAGATTGTACTACCCGACTCTCTCCCTCGTCTCCAAGAGTTTTCAATCTCTCATTGCATCCCCTGAGCTTTACGAGATCCGTTCCCTCTTAGGCCGCACAGAGAGTTGTCTCTACGTGTGCTTGCGATTCCCTCCTGACCCCAACCCTCGCTGGTACACTCTCTGCATGAAACCTGACCACACCGGTAAGAAGAAGAAAAAGAAGAATACAAAGAAGGATGAGAAGTCAAGTGGCAGGCTTCTGGTTCCAATCTCAATTAAAAACGCTCCTCCTTCCGAGTGTTCAAATCTCGTCGCCGTTGGTCCTTACATCTACGCTATCAGCGGATCCACTAAAAATGATTCTTGCTCCAACGTCCCATTTCTTGACTGCCGAACTCACACTTGGCTCGAAGCTCCGAAATTGCGTGTTGCTCACACCAACAGGTATTTTGAACGTACGCTATATTTACCTGGAGAGTGCAAAGATCCAGATTCTTTGAACTGTATTGAAGTGTACGATGCAGAGAGAAAAACTTGGAAACCCGTTCCCCCCGAGAGACGGGAGACGAAATTTAAGAGCATGGAAGGGAAAATGATCTTACATGCATCTACTGGTAATCACATAGGTTTGGCTTTTATTCCAAAGGAATCGTCATACGAAGAACTAGGAACGAATACGGGCAGCGATCTGTTTAGAATATGTTGTATAATACACAACATATCCTACTATTACAGTTATGAGAACGGTGGGGAGTTTGTATGGGTGGAGGAGAATCTGAGGAGAATAGTAAAAGGTTTAGAAGGTCTACCGAAGATTTCCTCTGATTACAGGAATGTTAAACTGGTGAGACACGGTGAGAACATGTTGGTTCTGTGGGACGAGTCTGTTGGGAGAAAGGAGAGGAAGGTTTGGTGTGCGGAGCTTTCTTTTGAAAGGCGTAGCACGGAAGAGATGTGGGGAAAGGTCGAGTGGTTCGGTGTGGTGCTTACAGTGCCTAAGTCTTATGTGTTCATGTCTGCTATTTCTGCTACTGTTTGATGCCTCATGAGATTGCTTGCAGCTTTGGAATTCAGGTTTGTCTTATGAATCTCTGCACTAGCTCATTCACTTGTAGATTAGTATTAACCTTGTTTTGTGACTTGCTGATACCCAAAACAGAGCAACTCTGTTTCAATATTTTTATACAGTTTTCTGATTTTTATTTTTTGATTTTAATTGTTTTGTAGCATTAACCATCTTCCATAGAGACGGTAGTAAGTTGGTTCATGTGTTAACTGAAGCTGGAGCTATCCCTGCAACAACATCTGCTTAAGAGGCTCATCCTTTTGTGATTGCTTTTATCATGAATTTAAAGGTTTGAGTCAGCAATAAGGACTTGTTATATCTTCAAGTTAAAAAAAAAAAAACAATTTTATATGTTTTAAAAATTGTGGTTATGTTGAAGTCTTTGAACTTGTGATTTACTATGTTATCATCTTCTGGATATCGGTTTTGTGCTTTTTTAATTCTCGTAACATTTTTGAGATAAAAGCGTAAAACAAAACTCGAGTCTCAGCAAGGAAGACTGAAAACTGCTAAGATAATGATTTGTGACATTTCGAGAATCCATGGTTAATGTAGGGAAGAAAGTATCATACGCAATTTGTGTGTTGCTCTTGCATTTACATGAGTTATAAGCCCAAGTGATGGGTGTTTTCTCTCTTTGGTGCTTAATAAACTGGTTTTGCAAATATGAGATTCATATAGTTGAGAAATTAAGAGTGGTAAAACGGGACAAAATGTAAATATAAATGAAAAAAAATGCATAGAGAAGAAAAGCATCAAGCTCAAGGGCAAATGAATGAAAAAAAGCCTTGCTAAAACAGAGGCGAGTCCATGAAAGACTGCATTTTATGGCGTTCAAGTTTCTTGCTTTGGTTTCTTGAGAAGCAAATTTGAGAGACCATTGGTCAGTGCAGATGACGAGATCAAGGAAGCTCTGAGAATGCTGATAAGCTGCAATATATAGAGAAGCAAGAAGAAGAAAATTTTATCACCGAGACAAAAAGGATGTAGAAAAGTGCCAAGTACAAATTGTTACAAGCATACCGCTTCTCTAGAAATGCTAATCTGGTGCTCCTCGAGATCTCCGAAGTCTACATGCAAATTCTTCAACAAGCCAATGGTCGAAGATGAATTTATCGGAGTTATAACCAGATCATTAGACACGATGAACTTTGTGTTCTTCTTCATAAACCCTGATGAAGTTCCAGACATCACTTTTGGATTATTTGGAAACACCTTCACAATCTTGCCACCTTTTGAGAGCAGAGACCTTTTAATCTGCCTGGCGAGTACTTTAAAATCCCAAGAATTGCTAGGAACAAAACATTCATACACTGGTGATAGCCAAGTGTGATGGTTAAACAGTTCGTTGTGGCTGCACTTATAATAATAAGGATACTGATAAAAGTTGGAAGCTGACGCTCTTCTACACGGGCTTCTGCACAAATTTCCAACACATCCGAAAATGGTATTATCATTACACAATGAACAGGCCAACTCAAGAGGGAAGATCAGGAAACTGAGAAGAGAATCAATGAAGTCCTCATTGCACTCAGCAAAAAGAATCTCTCTGTCAACCTTCCTAACATACACTTTCACAGAATACACACTGCTTGGTTCCACACGACCCGTTTTTGTTTTAGCCACAGGCGGGGATAACATTTTGAGCATCCTTGTCACACAAGGTTTCTTGAGGAATGCGCATGTTAAGGGAGTTTCCGTAGTGAATAAACATCCCAGCAGAGTCACCACCTAGATTTATACAAATTGAGACAATTAGAGGCCAATGAGGAAACCAAGATAAGCTTTAACAAACCAAAAAAACAAAAAAATAACAAAGATAAGAAGACAAAATCTATGTACCTCTTCGAAACCTACATCAAGTAGGGTTTCTTGCAGATCACTAAAACCATGATACCCTTGATTATTAAGAACTTTCATAATACCACCAATTGAGTTCGGTGTCACCTTAAGGTCATCAGTCACAATGAATGAGGATCTGCAACTGACAAAAACTCCATCTGCACTATCTCCTATCACTTCTCCAAGTTGATCTTCTGAGACCGGAATCTGATAATTCATCAAACCTCCACAGCTACATCTTGAGGTGTTAAAATTGCTGTATAAGTTGCTGCATGAATCACCATTCTTAAAGAACTTGGGACACATAAAGAACTTTGTGGCATCAGTATCACCCATGTTCAGCTTGAGCCTTCTGCAATGAATCTCCTCGCTACTCTTCGGATTCAGTAACATACTCTTGCACGCTTGAGTCTCAAAGTGTTCCATGCCCATATCTGCAACACTTCTTTTAAGGTTCTTATAACAACCTAGGACAACTGTCTGAAAATCTTTATGATTCTCCAGCAATCTAGCGATGATACCCATTGGGAGAGCCAAAAGACTAATGAGCACGTCAACAAAATCTTGATCTGCCTCAGCTAAAACAACTTTGTTTCTCTTCTCATCGATGAGAAGTTTCAAGCTAAACTTTGCACTTTTCGCCATTGTAGGCTCAGGAAAGCGAGAAAAACCAGTAAAAAAAAAAAAAACAGAGTAGAGAATCAACTGAGACTTAATATGTTGTAGAAGAACAAAAAGATTTGCCTTTATACGTAGAAGAACCAGTTGTTATGAATCTGAAAAGGTTTCAAAACGGTAAATGATTATAATATGAACCCCAAGAGTAATATTCCTTTGAAATTCCTCGTGACTTAAAAGCTCGGAAGTTGGAATACAAATTCCCAAGAAAGTTAGTTAATGAGCGAGCAATTACGGCTTTACTAATCATTAAATTCTTATTTTCAGATTCAATGAATACACCCCTTCGTTTTTCAATATGACTATGATTTGCGACACTTTGAAGATCATCAAATGAGCCTAGGGAAGATAATAAGCTAATCCGACTAAACGAGACTGTTTCATACACAATTTTCTGTGTGTAGCGCTTGCATGTACATTACATGACTTCAAATTGGTAAGTTTTGCAAATCTGTGATGCTTAAGCTGTGGCATATCCAGTAGATTTATAAATTAAGGCCCAATAAGACAAAATGGAGGCCCATTAAGACCCGTTCCCGGGACTCTTGAACTTAACTTGATGTGCACTCAAAAGTCAAAACCCTTAATTTTATTGAAACGGAGAGTTGATACAGACGAATCTTACTGCTAATGTCGTCGCCGGCTAGATATCACGTAGAGGAGCTATTGACTAATAAGAATTCGACGCAACAATCGTCTCCGATTTCGTCACTCCATGATGATTTGCTATTGAGCTGCTTCGCACGCATCTCTAGATTGCATTACCCTGCTCTCTCACTCGTCTCCAAGAGCTTCCGATCTCTCCTTTTTTTCCCGGAGCTTTACGAGACCCGGTCCTTGTTAGGCCGTGCCGAGAGTTGTCTCTACGTGTGCTTAAATCTCTCTCCCGATCCTACACCTAGTTGGTTTACTCTCTGCCAGAAACCTAATGGGACGAAGGATAAGAATTCGAGTGGTAACATTTTGGTCCCAATCCCAGTTCCCAAATCTCCTCAAGCTCATTGCAAAGGCGTTGTTGCAGTTGGTTCGAGCATCTACGTCATTGGCGGACCATTCCACGATCCGCCTTCTTCTGACGTCTGGGTTTTAGACTGCCATTGTCACGTTTGGTGCAAGGCTCCGAGCATGCTTGTGGACAGGGCTTATCCAGCAGCAAATGTCGTTGATGGAAAGATTTATGTAGCAGGAGGATGCAAAGACTTTAATTCTTCAAATTATATGGAAGTTTTCGATCCACAAACTCAATCTTGGGATTTTGTGGTGTGCACTGTTGCAAAGAAATGTGCCCCTAGTGTATTCAATAGCGCAGTGATTGAAGGAAATTTTTTACTCTTCACGTTTACGAACGAGTGTTTGGCTTACACTCCAAAGGAAGATAGATGGGAAGTGATCGAAATGCTGGCTAATTTGGATTCAGGATGGTTATGGGCCTTATGGCACTCTAATTGCATGATCGGTACCATACATTATTGCTGTCGTTATTTAGCGGGACTCAAATGGTACGACTCTAAGAGACAATCTTGGATGGATTTGAAAGGTTTGAAAGGACTGCCTGAGTTTGATCATCATGATTGTGTTAAACTTGCGGATTATGGTGGGAAGCTGGCTGTTTTGTGGACCAAGTTTTCTCGTTCTAGAGGACATAAGGAGAAGACGACCGGGTGGTGTGCGGTGATTTCGCTTGAAAGACGCAATGGTGACGAGGATGAGGAGATTTGGGGAACGGTCGAGTGGATTGATCCTGTTCTTACACTTCATAACTCTTATAGATTTGAGTGTGCTCTTGCTGCTACGGTTTGATGAATCTTTGAGTAATGCTGGTTGTGGTTTTGTTTGGTTTGCATTAGGAAAAAGAACTGCAACAAGATGCATAATTTGAGAAAGTTTGGTCGTGTGGTGAACATAACTCCTTGTTCATGGCCATTGATGATCTCTCGACAACGAAGCTAGTAATTGAAATCTCTTATTATTATTTGTTTGTAATGTTTTCGGAAAGCTTTAATTGTTCATGGACACCTTGTCGAAAATTTCTCTACTTTCTTTGAGATATTATGATGATGTTATTCTATTAGGAAGCACGTTCATTGTCCTTAAGTTAGTTTCTAATTCTCGTAACGTTTTGAGGTAAAGCGAAACTCGAGCCTTCGGCTTTAACCTTTAAGAGTTCACAGCGAGGAAGATTTATTTCTGGTTTATGACATTTTTGAGGACCATGGAACGAGTCTAGGGAAGAAAGTAACAGAATGTTACTACTGCAATTATAATAAGCAGGAAACTGACAAAAAACTGGTAACGCTCTTCTACACGGGCATAAAGAAGACTTCATTGCACTCAGCTGGTTGGTTCTAAGTTTCACAGCCGGTTTTTTCTAGGAATGTGTATGCTAAGGAAGTTTATGAAAGTGAATAAACATATATACTATAACAAAGATAAGGTTTAACAAGATAACAAATATTAAATACCAAAACAAAAAGATAACAAAACTCTACAACACAAAACTGCGTGTAGCTTGAAGATATCTTCTAATAACCTTAAAAGGTTTTTTTTTTTTTAAGTAATTTTATATATGGTGGAACACGCGACAGCCTGCAAACAATTTTATATTTTGTAAAAAGGTTTTACTTAATCGGAACCGTCAAATTTGTTTTTATTTATTTTGACACTGATCGAATGGTTTATGCTTTATATAATTTTATATCATGAATCATTAGATAAGTATCACCCAGAACTGAAGCAAAGAAACACTCAAATTCCTACACTAAAACCTCACAAGTGGGAGACTTTGATTGAACGGCGAATTTGTGTCGACGAATCATGGCTTTGTCAACAACATGTAAATGTATAGAGAAGAAGAGTTTCAAGCTCAAACTACAAAAATAAAAAGCCTTAAGAAAAGCTGCTTGAAATAAATGATGCAGGATAAAAAAGAGGTAAGACAGGATTTGATCAAATTTAGGATATGATTGCAAAGATTCACAGCATCACGATAATAAGTTAATAACATGCATGGGATTACAAAATGAAATAAGTTGATATCCAGTATATTTATAAATACGAAAAAGTATAGGCCCATTTTTTTTTTGAAACAACTTTTCATTAATTGAAAATAGACGATTACACACTGTTAATTAACGGAGGGAAGAGAAGCGGTGCGACAAAATTCTCAGTGAACATGCAAGAAGCCGCTTTGGATAGAGAATCCGCCTTCGAATTCTCTGATCTCGGGATGAATCGAAACGAGATTGAGTATAGGCCCATTAAAACCTCGTTCCCGGGAACTCTTGAGTCTTGAACTTAACTTAATGTTCACGCAAACGTCAAAACCCTTAGATTCATTGAAACGGCGAGTTGGTAGTTGGTAGTTGGTAGAGACGAATCTTACTGCTAATGTCGTCGCCGGCTAGATCTTCCGGGGAGGAGCCATTGATTAAGAAGACGAGGAGGAGGAAGAAGAAGAATTTGACGCAACAATCGACTCAGATTTCGTCACTCCCTGATGATATGCTATTGAGCTGCTTCGCACGCATCTCTAGATTGCATTACCCGGCTCTCTCCTCCGTCTGCAAGAGCTTCCGATCTCTCCTTGCTTCACCGGAGCTTTACGAGACCCGATCCTTGTTAGGCAACGCCGAGAGTTGTCTCTACGTGTGCTTATATCTCTCCCTGGATCTTAACCCTCGCTGGTTCACTCTCTGCCAGAAACCTAATCGGAAGAATAATTCGAGTGGTAACCTTTTGGTCCCATTCCCAGTTCCCAAATCTCCTCGAGCTCATTGGAAAGGCGTTGTTGCAGTTGGTTGGAGCATCTACGTCATTGGCGGACCATTCCACGATTTGCCTTCTTCTGACGTCTGGGTTTTAGACTTCCATAGTCTTGTTTGGCGCAAGGCTCCGAGCATGTTGGTGGGGCGAGATTACCCAGCGGCTAATGTCTTTGATGGAAAGATTTATGTAGCAGGAGGATTCAAAGACTATAACTCTTCCTCAAATTGGATGGAAGTTTTCGATCCAAAGACTCAAACTTGGGATTTTGTGGTGTGCCCTGTGGCAGAGGGATGTAGCGCTAGTGTAATCAAGAGCGCAGTGATTGAAGGAAAAATCTTATTCTACACGTTTATGAACGAGTGTTTGGCTTACAGTCCAAAGGAAGATAGATGGGAAGTGATAGGAGGGAAGACTTCTTTGGATTCAGGATGGGCATGGCAATCTTATTGCGTGATCGGTGACGTACTCTATTCTTGTTGTATTTCAGTGGTACTCAGATGGTTCGACTCTAAGAGACAATATTGGATGGCTTTGAAAGGTTTGAAAGGACTTCCTAGGTTTCATGGTAATGATTGTGTTAAACTTGCGGATTATGGTGGGAAGCTGGCTGTTTTCTGGACCAAGTACTCTCCTTCTAGCGAATATAACGAGAAGACGATCTCGTGTGCTGTGATTTCGCTTGAAAGACGCAATGGTGATGATGAGGATGAGGAGATTTGGGGAACGGTCGAGTGGGTTGATCCTCTTCTTACACTTGCTTACCCTTATAGATTTGAGTGTGCTCTTGCTGCTACGGTTTGATGAATCTTTGAGTAATGCTGGTTGTGTTTTTTTTGGGTTTGCATTAGGAAAAAGAACTGCAACAAGATGCATATATAATTGGAGAAAGTTTTTTTTTTTTTTCATGGCCATTGATCTCTCGACAAAGAAACTAATAATTGAAATTATTATTATTATTTGTTCTTAATATTTTCAGAAAGCTTTAATGGGTCCTTGTAAATGTCAAATGAGAAATTTGTGTCGACGAATCATGTCTTTGTCAACAACATGTAAATGTATAGAGAAGAGTTTAATTTCAAGCTCAAACTACAAAAATAAAAAAACCTTAAGAAAACACAAGAATCGAATGTAGAGCTTGAAATAAATAATGCAGAATCAAAAAGATGTAAGACAGGGTTTGATAATTTTTAGGATAAGATTGCAAAGATATAAAGCATCACGATACTAAGTTAATAACATGCATGGGACTACAAAACGAAATAATTTTAATTGTATAAATTTTAAATACATGAGCTGTGTGGCATAGCCAGTAGATTAAATTATGGCCCAATACGACAAAAAGGCTCATTAAGTCTTGAACTTAACTTAATGTTCACGCAAAAGTCAAAACCCTTAGATTCATTGAAACGGCGAGTTGGTAGTACAGACGAATCTTACTGCTAATGTCGTCGCCGGCTAGATCTTCCGGGGAGGAGCCATTGATTAAGAAGACGAGGAGGAGGAAGAAGAAGAACTCGACGCAACAATCGACTCTGATCTCGTCACTACCTGATGATTTGATATTGAGCTGCTTTGCACGCATCTCTAGATTGCATTACCCAGCTGTCTCCTTCGTCTCCAAGAGCTTCCGATCTCTCCTTGCTTCTCCGGAGCTTTACGAGACCAGGTCCTTGTTAGGCAGCGCCGAGAGTTGTCTCTACGTGTGCTTAAATTATTATCCGGAACCTAACCCTACCTGGTTCACTCTCTGCTAGAAACCTAATCGGAAGAAGGAAAATACTTCGAGTGGCAACGTTTTGATCCCAATCCCTGTTGAAGTAAGCTTGAAGAAAGCTTGAGTAACAAGTTAAACCTAATCCTATTGTATTGAGGAGTCCTAATGAGTTTAGGATTAGAGAAAGTGTTTCTCCATTAGGATTAGGATATGTGTGTGGCTATATAAGGAGATACCAAGTTGTGGTATAACTTATGAGCTTAGAGATTGAGAGATTGAGAGCTTAAGTTTTTGAGTGAGTTTTCTTAAGCAATAAAGAAGAGTTTCTTTAATCTTTGAGTTCATTACTTGAGTTTCAATTCTACAATTGGTATCAGAGCTTGAGTCGTGAAGATCATAAGAAGCGACATGGCTGGAGACGATCTCGCGATCGTTGAAGCAAAACCGATAGAAGGAGGAAGCCTTACATCGATCCAATGCCCTATGCTCACTTCCACAAACTATACCGTATGGGCTATGAGAATGAGAGTAGCGCTGGCAGTCCATGAAGTCTGGGATGTCATTGAAGATGAAGATGAGGCAGAGTCGAGCAACAAGAAGAAGAACAACATGGCTCTAGCGTTACTTTTCCAATCAATACCAGAAGCGCTTGTCTTACAAGTCGGTGAACTAAAATCAGCTAAAAAAGTATGGGAAGCGATTAAGGGAAGGAACATGGGAGCAGATAGGGTTAAGGAAGCAAGATTACAAACGCTGATGTCAGAATTCGAGCGCATAAGAATGAAGGAAACTGACACGATTGACGACTTTGGTGGAAAACTAGCTGAGATCGCATCGAAAGCATCTGCTTTAGGAGAAAGCATCGAAGAGCCAAAGTTAGTCAAGAAGTTCCTGAAGAGCCTCCCTAGAGCGAAGTTTATACATATTGTAGCATCTCTTGAACAGCTGCTAGATCTAAACAAAACAAGCTTTCAAGACATCATGGGACGCTTGAAAGCGTTTGAAGAGCGAGTCCGTGATGAAGATGAGGTTCAAGATGATCAAAGCAAATTGATGTATATGGAGGGTCAAGGGAATCAATCGAGTCAAAAATATAACTACAGCGAGAGTAATAGAGGCAGAGGTCGTGGAGGACGGTTCGGAAGAGGAAGAGGTCGCGGTGGTCGTGGCGGTCGCTCAAACGGAGACAAAGAGAGGGACACGTCAAACGTTGAGTGTTTTAGGTGTGACAAGCTCGGACACTATGCGATTGATTGTCCAGACAGATTGCTAAAACTCCAAGAAGCTGAAGAAGATACTAGTGATACAAAGGAGGCTGATAAGCTTATGATGCACGAGGTGGTATACTTAAACGAGAAAAACTGTATACCAAGCAAGTTTGAAGCCAACACTGGAGAGGAGAATATATGGTATCTTGACAATGGGGCTAGCAATCATATGACTGGAGATCGACGATACTTTTCAAGTATGGACAACTCTGTTACCGGGAAAGTACGGTTTGGAGATGATTCCAGAATAGACATCAAGGGAAAGGGAACAATCTCATTCTTTGACATGAATGGAGAACCAAGAATGATGACAATGTCTACTTCATCCCTGACTTGAAAAGTAACATCATTAGCCTTGGTCAAGCTACAGAATCAGGGTGCGATATAAGAATGCAAGGAGAGTGTTTGACGATGCAAAGGCAAACAGAGCAAAGAATCGGCTATACAAAGTCCACATGAGAATAAGAGAGACAGCACAACTGTACCTAACAGAAACAAGCGAGTCTAGTAGATGGCATGCGAGGTTGGGCCATCTAAACTTTGAGAACCTGAAGACGATGATAGACAAAGGAGTTGTACGAGGAATCCCAAGAGTGAATATCGAAAAGAAGATATGTGGAGCATGTCTACTTGGGAAGCAGACAAGGCAAGTGTTTCCACAAGCTTCTTCCTTTAGAGCAAGCAAGAAGCTTGAACTAGTTCATGGAGATCTCTGCGGGCCAATAACTCCAAGTACAGCTGCTGGAAACCGATACATATTCGTTCTCATAGACGACTACTCCAGGTACATGTGGACAGTTCTGATGCAAGAGAAGAGTGAAGCTTTTACAAAGTTTAAAAACTTCAAGAACTTGGTGGAGCAAGAAGCAGGAACAAGGATTCAGACCTTCAGGACAGATAGAGGTGGAGAGTTCTTATCACATGAGTTTACTCGGTTCTGTGAAACTTCAGGTGTAAAGAGGCATCTTACCGCTCCTTATACTCCTCAACAAAACGGCGTTGTTGAAAGGCGAAATAGGACTCTGATGGAGATGACAAGGAGTATAATGAAGCACATGCATGTACCAAACTATCTCTGGGGAGAAGCAGTACGACATTCAACTATCTCTTAAACCGAATAGCCACGAGGACACTTAAAGATGTACTCCATATGAGATGTTCAGAGGAAAGAAGCCAATTCTCGATCACATACGAATTTTCGGGTGTATTGGTTATGCAAAGGTGGAGAAGCCTCAACTCAAGAAGCTAGACGACAGATCGCGTGTCCTTGTGCATTTAGGAACCGAACCAGGGTCCAAAGCTTACCGACTACTTGAGCCACAAGGAAGAAAGATAATAGTAAGTCGAGATGTGGTGTTTGATGAATCAAAAGGATGGAACTGGAGTCATAGTAACTCGGCTCAGGGAGATAACAAAGAGTTTAAAGTGATATTTGGTGAGTTTGGAAATCGCGGGATTCAAGAGATATGGGAGAATGATGGAATCGAGAGATTCAATGGTGAAACTAAGATGATTGGAGGTTCTAATGACGAACAAGTTGAGAATAGCCCTAGCTACAATATCGCAGAGACGCATGAGGAAGAGGACAGAGGATACAGAGACACAGGAGAGTCCTGAAGTAGAACTGAGAAGATCGACAAGAGAAAAGTTTACACCGAAGTATCTTGAAGATTATGTGCTACTTGCGATCGAAGAAGGAGAAAGGTTACTTTTGTGCTTGAACAATGAGCCAAATAACTTCTATGAAGCAAGAGAATCTGGAGAATGGATGCTCGCGTGTGAAGATGAGATCCGTTCGATCGAGAAAAACAATACGTGGACTCTTATGGAGTTACCACATGGTGCTAAGGCAATTGGATTGAAGTGGGTGTTCAAGCTCAAGAGGAACTCTGATGGAAGCATTAACAAACACAAAGCTAGGCTTGTTGCCAAGGGATATGTTCAACGTTATGGAATAGACTTTGAGGAAGTGTTTGCACCAGTAGCTCGGCTCGAAACAATACGGTTTCTAATTGGTCTTGCTGCATCAAGAGGATGGGAGATACATCATCTTGATGTCAAGACAGCTTTTCTCCATGGAGAGTTAAAAGAAATCGTCTATGTCTCGCAGCCAGAGGGTTTTGAAGTAAAAGGGAGTGAGAACAAAGTCTATAAGCTCCATAAGGCACTATACGGTCTGAGGCAGGCACCAAGGGCGTGGAACAATAAGTTGAATCAGATTCTCATGGAACTTAAGTTTGTTAAGTGCTCAAAGGAACCATCGGTTTATCGCAAGGCTATTGGTGATAGTCTCCTCCTTATCGCCGTGTATGTTGATGACTTGTTCGTTACAGGAACTAACAGAAGGATCATTGATGAGTTCAAAGACGAGATGGCCACCAAGTTTGACATGAGTGACCTCGGGAAGTTAACATACTACCTCGGAATGGAGGTGAAACAACACGATGGTGGAATAATGCTTAACCAGAAGCGTTATGCGTTGAAGATCTTAGAGGAAGCTGGAATGGAGAACAGTAATCCTGTTCACACACCAATGGAGTCTGGACTGAAGTTGTCCAAGGCCGGAGACGAGACAGATATTGACGCCACCCTGTTCAGAAAGAATGTTGGCTGCCTACGATATTTACTTCACACAAGACCGAACTTGTGTTACAGCGTGGGCGTGTTGAGTAGATACATGCAGAATCCCAAAGAGTCTCATGGTGTTGCCATGAAACAATGTTTAAGGTATCTACAAGGCACAACCACTCTGGGACTAACCTTTGAGAGATCTACTTCAAAGGTACCAAGGTTGATAGGTTACAGTGACAGCAGCCACAATGTGGATCCAGACGACGGGAAGAGCACAACGGGCCACATATTCTATCTTGGTGAAAGTCCTATCACGTGGTGTTCTCAGAAGCAAGAAACAGTTGCATTATCATCGTGTGAAGCAGAGTTTATGGCAGGTACAGAAGCGGCGAGACAAGCAATTTGGCTCCAAGACTTGCTTGGTGAAATCACTGGTACAACGCGTGAAAGAGTTGTTATTCGCATTGACAACCAGTCTGCAATAGCTCTCACAAAGAATCCGGTGTTTCACGGTCGAAGCAAACATATACACACGCGGTATCATTTCATAAGGGAGTGTGTCGAGAATGAGCAAATTGAAGTCGAACACGTTCCCGGAGAAAAACAAAAGGCGGATATCCTGACCAAAGCATTGGGAAGAATCAAGTTCAAGGAGATGAGAGATCTCATGGGAGTTCAAGATCTAGAGAAGACAGACTTCAAGCTTAAGGGGGAAAATGTTGAAGTAAGCTTGAAGAAAGCTTGAGTAACAAGCTAAACCTAATCCTATTGTATTGAGGAGTCCTAATGAGTTTAGGATTAGAGAAAGTGTTTCTCCATTAGGATTAGGATATGTGTGTGGCTATATAAGGAGATACCAAGTTGTGGTATAACTTATGAGCTTAGAGATTGAGAGATTGAGAGCTTAAGTTTTTGAGTGAGTTTTCTTAAGCAATAAAGAAGAGTTTCTTTAATCTTTGAGTTCATTACTTGAGTTTCAATTCTACAATCCCCAAATCTCCTCATGCTCATTGCAGAGGCGTTATTGCAGTTGGTTCGAGCATCTACGTCATTGGGGGACCATTCCACGGTTCGCCTTCTTCTAGCGTGTGGGTTTTAGACTGCCATTTTCATGTTTGGTGCAAAGCTCCAAGCATGCGTGTGGAGCGGGCTATCCCAGAAGCCAATGTAGTTGATGGGAAGATATATGTAGCAGGAGGATGCAGAGACTTCAATGCCTCAAATTGGATGGAAGTTTTCGATCCAGAAACCCAAACTTGGGAGTTTGTGTTGTGCCCTCATGCAGAGAGATGCAGCATTGGTGTATTCAAGAGCGTAGTGATTGAAGGGAGAATTTTTCACATGTTTGAGAGCGAAAGTCTGGTTTACAAGCCAGAGGAAGATAGATGGGAAGCTGTAGGAGGGTTTAATAATATGGATTCGGAATGGCCATGTATTTCTTGTTGCGTGATCGATAACGTACTATGTTCTTTTGTGGATTCAAAAATGAAATGGTACAACACTAAGAGACAAGTTTGGATGAATATGAAGGGCTTGATAGAATTAAAGCCTAAACTTTATAGTTATTGTCCTGTTTATATGGCGGACTACGGTGGGAAGTTGGCTGCTTTATGGACCAATGATATCGGTGCTAGTGGATTAGAGGAAACGAGGGTTTGGTGTGCAGTGATTGCGCTTGAAAAACGCAACGGTTGTGAGGAGATTTGGGGAACGGTTGACTGGCTTGATATTGTTGCTACAGTTCCTGTATCTTCTAGTGTCCAGTGTGTTGTTGCTGCTATTGTTTGATGAATCTTTTTGTTTTAGTTTGCATCAGGCTGCAAACCCAATCCCTAAACTTGGTTCGAGCATCTACGTCATTGGAATCGACGGTTCGCCTTCTTCTAGCGTGTGGGTTTTAGACTGTTATCGTCATGTTTGGCGCAAAGCTCCAAGCATGCGTGTGGAGCGGGCTCTTCCAGAAGCAAATGTAGTTGATGGAAAGATATATGTAGCAGGAGGACGCAGAAACTTCAATTCCTCAAATTGGATGGAAGTTTTCGATCCAAAGACCAAAACTTGGGAGTTTGTGTTGTGCCCTCATGCAGAGAGATGCAGCAGTATGATACAAAAGAGCGCCGCGATTGAAGGAAGAATCGTTTACATGTTTGTGAGGGAAGGTCTGGTTTACAAGCCAGAAGAAGATAGATGGGAAGTCATAGAAGGGATTACTAATATGGATTTAGGATGGCCATGGATTTCTTGTTGCGTGATCGATAAGGTACTATGTTGTTTTAGGAATTCAAAAATGAAATGGTACAACACAAAGAGACAAGAATGGATGAATATGAAGGGCTTGCTTAAGCTTGATAGTTATAGTCCTGTTCATATGGCGGACTACGGTGGGAAGTTGGCTGCTTTCTGGACCAATGATTTCGGCGCTAGTGGATTTGAGGAAAGGAGGGTTTGGTGTGCTGTGATTTCGCTTGAAAAACGCAATGGTGATGATGATGAGGAGGAGATTTGGGGAACGGTTGAGTGGCTTGATCTTGTTGCTACAGTTCATGTATCTTCTAGTGTCCAGTGTGTTGTTGCTGCTACTGTTTGATGAATCTTTTGTTTAGTTTGCATCAGGCTGCAAATGTAAGACATCATGAATTCGTTTCTATGGACCGAGGCAAACCAACAAACGCGTCATACTTTTTATTTGTAATTATCAAAAAAATATCAGATCAGTTGGGCTTTACTAATAAGTAAATTCTTATTTTCAGATTCAATGAATACATCCCTTCGTTTTTCAATATGATTTGCGACACTTTGAAGATCATCAAATGAGCCTAGGGAAGATTATAAGTGTGGTAAAGTGTGGTAGTTTTGGTAAAATATTTCTCAATATTCTGGTAGTTTTGCAAATCTGTGATGCTAGTTCAGAAATAAAGTGTGGTGAGACAGAAGAACAAAATGTAAATGTATAGAGAAGAAGAGTTTCAAACTCAAACTACAAAAAGAAAAAGCCTTGAAAAAACACAAGAATCGAATGTAAAGCTTGAAATAAATAACGCAGAATCAAAAAGACGTAAGACAGAATTTCTTAAATTTTAAGATATGACTGCAAAGATTTCCAAAACGAAATAATGTTAATTGCATAAATTTAAAATGTATATATCTAGTAGATTTATATATAAAGGCCCAATAACACAAAAAATGAAGGCCCATTAGACCTCGTTCCCGGGAACTCTTTTAACTTAACTTAATGGTCACGCAAAAGTCAAAACCCTTAATTTAATTGAAACGGCGAGTTGGTACAGACGAATCTTACTGCTAATGTCGTCGCCGGCTAGTATCCCGTGGAGGAGCCATTAATTAAGAAGACGAGGAGGAGGAAGAAGAAGAAGAATTCGACGCAACAATCTACTTCGATTTCGTCACTCCCTGATGATTTGCTATTGAGCTGCTTCGCACGCATCTCAAGATTGCATTACCCTGCTCTCTCCCTCGTCTCCAAGAGCTTCCGATCTCATCTTGATTCGCCGGAGCTGTACGAGATCCGATCCTTGTTAGGCAGCGCCGAGAGTTGTCTCTACGTGTGCTTATATTTCTATCCGGATCCTAACACTCGCTGGTTCACTCTCTGCCGGAAACCTAATCGGAAGAAGGGGAAGAATTCAAGTGGCAATATTTTGATCCCAGTATCGTTTCCAAAATCTCCTCTAGCTCATTGGAAAGGCGTGGTAGCAGTTGGTTCGAGCATCTACGTCATTGGCGGATCATTCATGATTCAACCATTTGCCTTCTTCTAGCGTGTGGGTTTTAGACTGTCATTGGCATGTTTGGCGCAAAGCTCCAAGCATGTTGGTTGAGCGGAGTCGCCCAGCAGCAAATGTCGTTGATGGAAAGATATATGTAGCAGGAGGAGTGAATAACTTCAATTCCTCAAACTGGATGGAAGTTTTCGATCCAAAAACTCAAACTTGGGAGTTTGTGTTGTGCCCTCTTTCAAAGAGATGCAGCAGTTATATATCCAAGAACGCAGTGATTGAAGGAAGAATCTTTTACATGTGTGTGAACAAATGTGTGGTTTACAAGCCAGAGGAAGATAGATGGGAAGCCATAGAAGGGTTTACTAATTTGAATTTCGGATGGACATGGCTTTCTTATTGCGTGATCGATAAAGTACTATGTTCTTTTAGGGATTTAGTTGGTATGAAATGGTACTGCACTAGGAGACAATCCTGGATGAATATGAAAGGCTTGATAGGATTGCCTAAGTTTGATAGTTATAGTTGTGCTCATATGGCGGATTACGATGGGAAGCTGGCTGTTTTCTGGACCAATGGATATGGATATAAGGAGAAGACAATTTGGTGTGCGGTAATTGCGATTGAAAAACGCAACGGTGGTGAGGATATTTGGGGAACGGTCGAATGGCTTGATCCTCTTCTTACGGTTCCTAAATCTTTTAGGTTCGAGTGTGTTGTTGCTGCTACTGTTTGATGAATATCAAGACACCGAAAATTCAACTAATTTTGGAGCATAAACGAATCTGATTATTGATCATATATTATACGATGCAGTGTTTCACTATTATATATACATGGAGATATCCCTTTTTGCTACGTCGCATTTCTATTGTATTTGTGGTGTTTCCCACTTGCTAATTAAAACGCTAGAAATAAAATAAAATGCATATCTCATTCCCCAAAATTAATTATTTTAACTAATTGTACTTCAAATAAGTAACGATTGGTATCAATCAAACTTTGTATTTTATAAACTTCAACCTTTTTTTCTAGACGAACCAAAATTTAAGTACAAATTATAAGTGCTTAAGACGGAAGTAGATAAACATTTCCACTTGGTTAGGTGAGAACCACACAATGAGTTTCTTTATAATCGGCTTAGAGTAGTACTATAAGTTTTGGTTGATGGGGCAAATCAAGTCCACTTCCATATGTGGATACCTATTAATCATGCTTTATTTGATATTTAATTATGACAATGATAAAGTTGAACTTGGTTAAAGTTCATAAGATTTCTGAGAACCTTTAAAAACTTAATAAATAAAAAAACCAAAGAATCCATGGAGACGTGTAAATTTCCCCATCCCTCAGTACCTTGGCAGGCACTCTCCCGAACAGTATCAGATTTTGGTTCATGATCTCTAAGTATGGAGACCAGAACGGATTAACCATTCCCTCGAGATTTCAACTCGTGACCTTAAAGGCTTAATACTCAGTACAATCTGCATATGAGGGTTAAATGCACCAAAAAAGAGTTTATTACCATAACAACACAGTTATATAAAAGACAATATATGTACATACATGTTTATATATGCATGTGAGAAGAAGATAGATATCATACAATATGATCATAGTTAGGTCTTGAAGCTGTATATAGCTCCCCATGTGTTATTACAATTTATAAAATAAAGTAAAAACGAATACAAGTGTTGTTGATAGATATGTTTTAGTCTTTATAGTAATAAATCACTTAAGATTATAGATTAAGGGTTACTAATAACGCGTTAAAATTTAGAAACTTCTCTATAAAAGCAATAGCTAGCTACTTGCCCACCACATCAAACTATCACCTCTATCTCTCACTTTCAGTACTCTTCCTTTATACTTTTCTCTCTAGAAAAATATCTTGATCAATCAATATTTATAGCAAAATAATAAGAGTATATTCTCATAAAAATGGAGAGCAGAGAAATTAGTGGTGGGACGGGATCAGGAGATGCAGAAGTGAGAAAGGGGCCATGGACGATGGAAGAAGATTTGATTCTCATCAATTATATCGCCAACCATGGTGAAGGTGTTTGGAACTCTCTTGCCAAATCTGCAGGTCAAATTCTTATATATATATCACAGATTTTGTTTGATATGAGACATATCAGAAACCTAATTCATAACTAATTAATCTCCAATATTTTGTGTCCATGTATGTATGATATGATCATATACGTATGCATCTGTGTGTGTGTTGATGAACTAGGGTTTGGCCCTACACATGCGGAGATATTTTAATGTCTTCATGTTTCTTTATAAATTTACATGGACGCTATTTGAGCTTTGTTACGCAATCGATATAATTGTAACTTAATAGATTTTCTTTTCATATGAAACCAATTGGAACTAAATCATCACTTACAACGCTCTGTTATATGCACATGTATATCTTTTTTTAATCATTTGGAACTCATTATTCTTCAACTTTCTATACACTCAATTTCAAGCAATTATATTGATCGAACTATCTAGGGTTTATAGAATTGACCTTTCCTCTTACATTCTCGATATGTAATTGTAAACATATATTAATATAGTTTTATCCAAAATAAACGCTATATATGTATCTACTATATGCAACATATTTATAGAGCCAATCTAATCTGTCCGGTTGGAAATGTTTACCGAAATCTGGTATGACTGATGACATTAGGTTTTATTCATTTTACTTGCTCAGTGGTTATTTTATTTGTTTAAAAAATAAATACTATTGATATTCTGTACATAACGAAACAAACACTGAAAAACAGTGTTTATCATTTTTCAAAAGAATCTATCGATATATAATATAACCATGCATGCACCCACACATATATAATTGATATTTTTTTCATAAATGATTGTATAGTGATAAATATATGTGGATTACAGGGCTAAAACGCACCGGAAAAAGTTGCCGCCTCCGGTGGTTAAACTACCTCCGACCAGATGTACGACGAGGAAATATCACACCAGAGGAGCAACTCATCATCATGGAACTTCATGCCAAATGGGGAAATAGGTTAGTAATTTGTTTCCAACCTTTGCATATAGATACCTAAACATACAATGTAAATATAATAAGGCTATATGTATGTATTATATGTATAGCGACTAACAAAAGAAGCAACACTAATTTTTTTGAACTTTGGATCCGTTTTATATATATTCTTGAGGCCAAAGAGGGAAAGGATATTTAAAAAGAAATCAAAGCAAGACATTAGGTAACGAAGCCAAACATATTGGTGGGTGTGACAACTTTTCAATTCATTTCATCCATATGTTTGAGTTTTGCAAACGTGTCGAAATTTCCTCACCACTAACATTATAACCTCGTGTCGAAACTCCTATCTAATTTTTATCAAATAAGTTTGCAAGGACTAAAAGCCGCATGCATGAGATTTTCAATAAATGGCTTTTTGACAAAAAAATAAAATAATTAGTGTTATGTAATTGCTTGTGGGTATACATAAAAGTGATGGATACCGAAAGTTAGATATATATATATATATATCATGTGGTCGTATTATTGAAAATTTGAAAAAAGGTTAATATTTGGACGTATTTAGACGTGTTTTGCATAGCAGATACGTCTAAATAATTGCAGATACATTTTGTCAAAACGACAACTAATTTGAAACGGAGGGAGTATTTGATTTAATTAAATGCTTATCTTTGGTATTTGGCTCTCAAATTTTTTTAATCAAAGCTTACACAAAATGTCACTGATTTTTCTTTTTTTTTTTTTAAACAAAACGGATGCAAAGATCATGTAGCCAAGCTGATTCCTTCTTGTAGCCAGAGCATGACAATAATATGCACACATATAACACGTGATAATTAAATTAATCTTAATTTTGATTATGTGATTAGATGGTCGAAAATTGCAAAGCATCTACCTGGAAGAACCGATAACGAGATAAAGAACTTTTGGAGGACCAAGATCCAGAAATACATCATGAAGCAAGGACAAACGTCGACCATCGGATCCCAAAGCTCCGAGATAATAAACGATCATGCGACAAGCACGAGCCATGTCTTGAATACTCAAGAAACCATGGAAACATATTCTCCAACAACGTCGTATCAACATGTCAACAATATTGATCACCAGCTTAATTACGGCAATTATGTGCCTTCGTCGGAATCGATCATGATGCCATTATCGGTTGATCAGTCCGAAGTAAACTATTGGAGCGTTGATGATCTTTGGCCCATGCATTTACTTAATGGTAATTAATTAATTGGTTACTGAAAACCTATACGGTCCAAAGATGGTTATATTTTATACTACTATACGAGTAAATAAATATCAACCGTTCACTTCCAAACACAATACTTCGAAGTTTTCTATATACATTCCATATTTACTATACTTTTGATAACACCCATTCGACCCTATATGTAAATAAAACTACGGATGGATCATATTTTGTTTCTCCATCATATTAAATAAGCTGGTTAATTATTGCTTTATCTTTAAAGAATGTTCGTTTGATGTATGAACAAGAACTCCTTCAATACTTATATTGTTTCGTACGGTAACATATTTTGTGTGTACGTAGTTCTTTTCTATTTATTAATTAATGATGATTGATAATGTCAATCCCCGGAAAATATGTATTTGTAGTTATGTTAAATGATAAGTTATGAGAAAATACGATTCAACCATATGTTTTCTTCATCATACATGATATTACGGATATTTGTATAAGATAGGTCAAGATCAACGTACCTAGAAGCCAAATCCAACAAATTTAAACATATACTCAAGAAGTTGACTAGCCAATCAATCCCTATCATCAGTTAAAGAAACAGCCTGAATTAGTAATCTATCTCTATACATAGTTCAGATTCATGCCTGCATAGTGTAAATCTCTAATCTTTGGATACAATTAGAACAAAAAGAGTTTATGACCTTTTATTATTATTGTAACATAGAATTATCAAACTTTTTTTGCAAATTTATCATTTTGGACTTTTTTTTTCTTCTAAGAATCATACAAGATTTTTATTAACGTAGGCACGGCTCTAATATAGTTGCTTTGAAAGAAAATACATGTACATGCATATGTGGAAGAATGAACACACAAGGCATATGATGTATTATGTATAACATTCATGAACATGCATAACCTATAGAACATGTGCCACATAGGGCTACAAGTAGTTAGATGTTTATATATAGATACAATTCCCCCACTTCTTATTAGTCTTATTTCACCATGCATACCAATTTGTGCATGACCAGACAACATGTAGAAACGTTAGGTCGTTAGCCTAACTCTTTGAACCGAAACACAAATATTTATATGTACATAATTTTATCCAAAAAAAACAAAAAATTATGTACATCATATTCATTCAGTCTCATAGATATTTCTATTCCAAAGTTCCAAACCCAAAATATTTAAAAGAAATTTTCACTAGAGAAATAAAAGAAAGAGTCGATGAATGAAGCAACAAGTTAAATAATCGATACAAAGAAAGTTATAGCGGGAAAATAAGAAGATCGTTTGTGTGGACTAATTAGTGTAGTTAATGTGCTCTAATATATATTGGTGCGAAATAAACATAGCGGTTAAAATATTGCAAAGTACTACATTAGAGTGCTATAAGAATTATCGTCTAGGTTAATTATAATTTTAGTTGACGAAATCGAATTTCATTCGATAATTAATTTTATATTTTAGTCCAAGAGTTTTTTTTTTGTTTTTTTCAAAGAATAATCGTATACCGACAAGAATATTACTCGTGGACGACAATAAGTTAGGTAAGGGAGTGAGTTCATTATAGTAAGACGGCATACGTATTTAAGGTTTACCAAACTTTTAGCTTTAGCCAAGGAAAGCCCTTAATCTCAAATGAGGCACTTGAATAAGATATCTCCAACTCCAAGCTCCAATCTCTTCTTCTATATCAACTTCCTATGTAACAGATATGCAGTGGTGGAGATCATCATCATAAATGAAAGACGAGTCAAGCTATATATGGATTTTTTTTGTTTAAATGGCATAATTTATACAGACTAAAGATTAGTAATTGGAATTTGAACTCGTGATCTTGTAAAGTCCCTTATTTTAGGTCGCCGGCTAGACATGATATATGGTTTTGCTCTTCTTTTTACTCATGTAGAGTTATAATGCCCACTTTATAATTTCAGCTGGGGCTTAATGTTTTACAAAAAAATATAAAAAGATAGGTTCTTTTCTCCCATTGTCTGAATACATTAAACCCCCTTACACTAATGTCAGCAAAAAGATATATAATCTAAGTCACACAACCTAGATTTGGATGAGTAAAGAACGCAGAGGCATTGGTGAAGTGATTATATGCTCTCAGTTCTCATAAAACCAAGATACTTGAACCTCAGATCAATGATTCCATATTGACAAGAAAGAAAAAAAAATTGATAAAGTAGACAAACCGTTGGTATAAGATTTCACGTCCAAAGAGAATATTGATCACCACATGACCAAATTGCTTTATAGTGTTTAGATTGTATAGCATTCATATTCTAAATGAAACCTAGAATATATGCTCAAATTATATCGTTTTGACCCGCCCTCGATCATAATATATATATATATATATATGCAGTTTATGCACGTACAAAATATTAAAAGTTAAAAGATTTGAATGGTTGTGGAATTAGGCCGCATGACTATTTAATTGGTCACACGTTTTTCGTGTGAAAAATGTGGACTTTCCATGTGAATATCAGAATATAAATGAAAACAGTCACATGGCTAGTCGGTCACAACTTACAATTGGGTATTATTGAAAACGTGTATGAATGTGACTTTCATTTTATACGAGGTCCAAAAATACTGACAATAGACAAAGTCCAATAATATTGTAAAGTAAATTATTTAGAAAAATTTATCTTTTTTTTTTTTTTGGTAATATGTGAAAGTAGAAAAATTTATCTTAAAATGTATAATTAGAAAACTAAAAAAAAATATTATGACAATAACAAAATTTTGACGATCGTTCAGGTTTTATTACAAAGACTCGAAGGCAAAGTGCAAGGAGGATCAGGTGTAAAATCAATTTAGTTATAACCTGAAAATAGTCATTTTGCTTGACTTTGAAATCAAATCGTAGTAAAATATATTAAGTCGTGTTATTATATCGTATAAACTAAATTGTCGATTGTGAGTGCGTTGTGGTTTGGTTTTACGAGGAAATCATAATGTTTTAAATTTAGAAATAACGTTTTTAGCTTAAGATTCTCTATTTTCTAAATGTTGTTTGTAACCCTATAAACTCGACTGCACAAAATGGAATGCAAAATTTTTTCACAGAACGAACTTTACTGGTTTTTTAAACAATGCGATAATTGGCTTCTTGTGACAATGGTTCTCGCAGTCTATTAACATGCATATGTTGGCGCTCTAACATATATATATATATATATATATATATATATATTGGCACTGACAATCATATACGTAATGTAATACTATAAACGAGTAGTTAGAACAGTTTTATAACAATCATAACTACCTCCAATAGGATGGTGAAAGTAAAGGAAGCATGGCAGAGGTGGTGGATGCTGCTAACTTTTTAATAAACTAATTAACAGATTTTGTTAACAAATCATTGTTAACATCCTCGTTAACAAAACACAAGGATTAGCACATAACAAATTTGTTAAAATATCTCGTTATCGATCTAAGTCAAGACTATTACTAAGTCTAAGGATGGAACATCTAAATATGTTGTAGTAAATTATTAATCCCCATTATGTAGTAAATTATTAACCCCAGTAACCTCTATAAAGTAATAACGTCGGGATTATAATATTTTATTACTTTAACGAGATGTTGATTTATCGAGAGATAATTAAACTAAAAAGTTAATTTGGGACTCGGAAATTCTATTATGTAATCTATTATGTAATCGAGAGTATTACTTTATCAAGCATCACCTTTATAGAGGTTATACTGTAGTTCTTATGACGTGTTTTAATAAATTATTAGTACCAAAATATTTTATTCTAATAGTATTTTAATTTTTTTGTTTAACTATTTCAGTAAGAAGTCTACTTATTCATTAGGAAATTAATTTGTTAAATTCCACCATATTCAGCCAGCTTACTCTATTACCATTTAAATCTTAAAATTGTTTCCACAAATCATTAATTTGGATAGACTCAAATATATTGATATAATATATTTATCTTAGATTTATATTATATATTTTAGAGTCAAATATATTGTTAAAAAAATGGAAACAAATCTTGTGGTATTTGTTGACTAATTGAAAACAAATCTTTGTACTTAAGTTTTGAAGATCTTGGATGTAGATTTGGATTATATACTTAATATAGAGTCAAATAGATTGGTCTAAATTAATTGATTTTTAAAAAAAATCATGTATAAGAACATGTCTTGTGTAATAGTTATCATCTATAAATAAAAAAAAAAGATCTTGTTGAAAGAATCTATTACAAATTAAAATTTGTGAATAACTATATATATAGATGATTCTAAAGCAAGATATTTTACCCACTTTCATGGATTTACGATAGATATGTTGTTGTGGTTTCACGTGCACCAAATTACCTTTGGCACGTGAGACCACAATAGAATGTCCGACTTGCACATGCTAAAAAAACAAGTGTAAGTTTGTATCTAATCTTTATTCCTCTTTATACCAAAAAATGATCAAGATTCAAAATTATTAATCTAATCATATTTCATGGATCTACGATAGATATGTTGTTGTGGTTTCACGTGCACCAAATTACCTTTGGCATGTGAGACCACAATAGAATGTCCGACTTGCATATGCTGAAAAAACAAGTGTAAGCTTGTATCTAATCTTTATTCCTCTTTATACCAAAAAATGATCAAGATTCAAAATTATTAATCTAATCATATTATTATTGGTTTCTTCTAGATCACACCATTTTAATTTTGATGATTGCTATGATATTTCTTCTATCATACTCTCTTAATTGATGATTCTTCAGACCTTTGTAGAGTAAAGAGAGCTTGTGACTGAATTTTTAATATTAAATGGATTGTATTTAGAATCTGGAACAGATTTCTGAAAGCTAAGTATTTAAAAATCTGGAAACAGTTTGTTATTAATGTTTTTTTAATATGAAGGAGAGAGAAACAAGTAGTGGAGATGCTATGGTGGTGGTATTGATTGAAATTTTGTTGGTTTGATATAATATATAAATTGTGTGCTCCTACATATGATCTTATTACTTTTACTTAGGGTTTTTCGGCACACTTTCATCAATCATATGGAACTGTGAAACATCCTCAGATCGATAGTGCACATACATCCCATTTCAGGCTTATTTCAGGTTAATAAATTCTCACTCTTCATAAACCAACGATATCTGATTAATTATCTGATAGCATAAATAGTAAAACAATAATATAAACCATGAATACGTGAAATGGTGTTCTACCATCTTTATTTCACTGTATGTCGGCTGTCTTCGCCGGCGGAAGGATTCTTCCGGATTCCTATCTGGATTCTGGCCATCGCCTTTTATTTCAAATCCTCTATCATTTCTCCATCCATCCGCCTCAGATCTGTCTTTATTTGCTTGGCTCTTCATCTGCCGCTGTCCGATGGTCCGTTTCGCCTCACACCGAAGCTGTCACCATCTCTTCCTCCACATTAGTCATCGATCTTCTCACATGTGTATTTAGGTTGTGCTGGTGTGGACCAGTCACCTTCCCAAGTTCCGCCAATTATTAAGTTGCTAAGAGAAACTTTGATCATCTCATATTCAAATCTCTAGATCATGAGGGTCCGTTCTTTTCAAATTTCAAATCTCTAGACCATCTGACAAACTGAAAAAACCCTAGCGGATCGTCTAAAAAGGAATAAGGTTGACTATAGAAGAAAGGAAACCTCCATGCAAAAACGAAAATCTCTCGAAAAAAGAAAGACAAGACCCATAAAATGCAACAACTTTTCATGTTTTTCACGTTTTGAAAATATGATTCCGCTATTTTTTTACCATTCACATTATTCATCAATTTTTCACGTTTTTCAAAAGTGATTCCGTTAAATAGAACTAGCGTAGGTGTTAAAAATATGACTAGAAAAACAAAACTTGATTAATCTATTAAAACTAGGTTTTCTGCAATTTATAACTTTTAATAAAAAAATTATATTCAGTCTAGTTTATGCCGCAAACAGTTCTTCACTTATTCTCTTATTTTGCTATCCATCTAACATATCAATAGGACCCTAAGAAGTGTAAACTGTCTTTCAACATCAGTAGTCAAGTTACTACTTTTCCACCTCAACGTCAGAGGTTTTGAATCTTTTTTATCACTTAATTATCTTTTATATACGGATCTCTCTTAAGTACGCTTTGATGTAGCGGAAGCTAAGATAAACACAGCTCAACCTATGATTCAAAGGAATCAATCGGGACCTGCCAGCTCAACCAAGGGATTTGATATAATCCTCGCTTGGGACCTGCTTCTTGAACTCGTTGAGGTCTCTCTAGATCTGCCGAAAACAAGGATAGAGAATACTCTTCTCTCAAAAGCCAAAGTTCCTTTATTAATAATCAATAACTTCATACAAAATGACGCCTAAACGGCTTATTTATAATAAATCTCAAACTAGAAAACCCTAAAATAATAATAGGAAATTATCAAAATAATAAAATAAATAAAATAGAATATTTCTAAATATCTCTCTGCATCATTCTCTCCGGGTTGGAGAAGATTCGTCCTCGAATCTTAGCCGTGATCTTCGTTTCCAAAACTCCATCCAACAAAATCATTCAATAATTTTCTTTCCCTTTTCCTAATCTTCCACGAATAGTATCTTTTGCACAAAAGAATATTATTTTGCACCTTAATTCCTTTAATCTTCCAACTTTCAATAGGAATATAGCACGTTCCTTGTATGTGTTCCTTGACTTCCTTCAAATCACAAAACCAAATCTTCGCCATCTCTTTTCTTTCACGTAAGAAAATATGATTTTTTATACTTCGTAGAAGCTCACCGCTTTCTTGATCGATGCACACCATCTTGCATATGTGGACGTCTTCATTCAGATCCACACGTTGAGATTGATACACAAAGGTATCATTATCTTCATCGTATGTATCATAAATTGGATCACCAATAATTTCTTTGAAATTTTCAGAAAAATCTTCACATGCAGCAAACGGATATTCATCTTTATGATAGTAAAAACTTCCAAACAACATGATATAGAAGAACAAGATCGAACCTTGATTGAGAAATCAAAGTGCTGTCTCTGATACCAACTGATGTAGCGGAAGCTAAGATAAACACAACTCAACCTATGATTCAAAGGAATCAATCGGGACCTGCCAACTCAATCAAGGGATTTGATATAATCCTCGCTTGGGACCTGCTTCTTGAACTCGTTGAGATCTCTCTAGATCTGCCGAAAACAAGGATAGAGAATACTCTTCTCTCAAAAGCCAAAGCTCCTTTATTAATAATCAATAACTTCATACAAAATGACGCCTAAACGGCTTATTTATAATAAATCTCAAAAACTAGAAAACCCTAAAATAATAATAGGAAATTATCAAAATAATAAAATAAATAAAATAGAATATTTCTAAATATCTCTCTGCATCATTTAAGTTCGCTTTCATTTACGTTTAGAAAAATAAACCTTTCATTCATAATTTTCTACTATCATTTGACACTCTAAGCTTTAACACCACCATCTTCCCTGGATTCTCCTATTATGTTGGATTAACACAAACATGAGGGGCCAAGTATTTGGTTAACATACTCTACTCTCATCCATGGAGGCACTTGCATCCATTTCTTTCTTCAAAGCTACAAGTGAGTGCAAAGATTCATTAGCCAAACCTGCATTTCAAAGCTGCAACCAATCTCAGGACTCATCATCCATCCATCAAACAGTAGCATACAGTGGATGCACGAATTCGTACCCCTTCGGGACTGTATGCACCGCATCACACCACTTGACATGTCCCCAAATCTGTCCATTGCTGCGCCTATCAAGAGAAACCTCTGCACACCAAATTTTCTTCTCATCTTCCCCAGCAAACTCGTCCCAGAGAACCACCAAATTTCCACCGTGTTCCGCAAGTCAAACATTCTTGCAATCACCCGGAAACTCTGGTAGCCCTTCTAAACCTTGTACTATCCCACTGAAGAAACCATCGTCCATATTGGCTAACCTATCAAACTCCCTAGTACTGGACGTATAAAAGTATCCTACATTCTCTATACGATACAATCGCAATCCCTTTCAAAATAGTATTTGATCCTACATATTCTATTGTCTTTGCCTTTGGAATAAAAGCCAATAAACCTGAGTGAAAAGGCAAAGAAAATAGAATATATATGATCGAATACATATTTTGAAAGGGATTGTGATTATATAATAGAGAACATAGGCTATTTTTATATGTCCAGTATTGGGAGTTTGAGTGATCAGCGAATATGGACAATGCTTTCTTCAGTGGGATAGTAAAAGGTTTAGAAGGGCTACCAGAGATTTCTGCTGATTACAAGAATGTTAAACTGGTGAGACACGGTGGAAACATGTTGGTTCTGTGGGACGAGTTTGTTGGGAGAAAGGAGAATATGGTTTGGTGTGCAGAGATTTCTCTTGAAAGGTGCAGTAATGAAGAGATTTGGGGAAAGGTTGAGTGGTTTGATTGGGTGCTTACAGTCCCTAAGTCTTATGTGTTCATGTATGCTCTCTCTGCTACTTTTTGATGGATGGATGGATGATGACTCGATCATGAGATTGCTTCCAGGTTTGGTTTTGAGACCTCTCTCTTTCGGAAAACAAGATATATAAGTTGATGACACTGACATTTTCCAACGTTTTTGTGGATTGGCTGAAGAGGATTGTGTTGTTGTGTCTAAAGCTGCAAAGAAAAGCTTGAAGAATAAAAGGGCTTCAGTTCAGATGCTGTCATGAAGGAGAGCAATGTATGTGTTAACCAAATGGTTGCCTCCACATGTTCAATCAAGGAGAAACTAGTGGAGACCTTGATGTTAATGCTAGGCGTTAAAATGATGATAGAGATAATGGATACATTTCGTGGTTATGTTTGTTTGTTGGAAAGTCATTTAAAAAAAAGTATGATTACAAGATCCAGCTTTTGATCCAACGCCACCTTCCTAATCTATAGTTTCTGGTTTTTGTGTTTGACTTCTCTTTGTTAATAAGAAATATATTTTTTTTCTTTTTGGTTAAAAGCCTTCATAGAAGAAATAAATCTTTTGAAACAAAGAAAAAGGAAGAAATCTGGGGGCTAAATCAATTTGTTTATATAAGTGACAGTCAAAATTCTACTAATACCAATCGAAACCTAAGATATTATAATATATTATCAGACCTAATAGTCATTTTTTAAAGAAACCATATCCAAAAAAGTTTGGCTATTTTAAGTTGAACTATAGGATTAAGTTGGATTAAATTGGCAACCTCTACTTTGTTTTGTCAGAAGAGTAAAAAATAGAATACAAGTGTACTAAGGGAGAGGTTAATGCATGAGAGATGAATTTGTGTACAGTTTGTTGATTTTAATAATTGAAATATTTGGTAAATTTGCTGAAATATTTGTTGATTTATAGGGTTTTTATATTTCAAAATTTATCAAAATATTTTAGTTTTAATGATTCTGAGACTCTAAAAGCGATACACAATATTTTAAAACTTCTGTTTCATGATTTAATTTGTTTAAAAATCATATTCGAATAATAAAGATTATAATAAAATCATAAAAGTCATTAGAATCTAAACCCTTTTGAGTAGAGTTGTCAATATGAACAAGAGTCCATTGACTGTCTATGATCAAATAATTATGAACCATCCATGTATGGAGAAAGCCAATTTCGACATGAGTATAATTGGATATGTCTAACTACGTTCTTGACAAACGTAAACTACACTGTAAAAAGTGGATATGAAAACCTGTCATATCGATTTAGAGAAAAAAAAATTTCAAAATCTATGTAGAGTAAAAATAATTTATTTTTTTGTTTATATGATAAAAATCTGTTTTTTTGGTCTATGCAACCAAATTTGGATGGTGTATAATGGACATGGTTTTTATGGATTTTTAAAATTATCAAACCAAATAAGTATAAATTTGAAAATTTAACAAAATAAAATATACTAATTGATACTGGTCAGTGACTCAGTGAAAACTCACGACTACAGTCTATAGATAATAATTTTGAAACGACAAATATTGGTGTCGTTTCGCATTGCCAATTTCCGAATCTCACTGCTTTTACTACCGCAATTTATAAGCCGTCCACTTAATGACAGCTGTCGAGCATCGGAAATATGTGACACGTCTTCCGGCTCCCGTCCCACTCGTACAAAGACGCGCGTGCTATCTACTCTCCATCAGATACTCGCTATCATCTGATCCAAACGAGAGTAACTAGCGAGTAGACTTTAGTTATATACTCGCGGAGCTGTCTTTTTATCTTGTTTGTAGTCTTTTCGTGACGTGAAAGTGACCCGTCCCGATTAAATGTTTTTTTTCCTAAAACTAAGTAAAAATTAAAAAACGTTGTCTCATTCTCAGGGCTAAAAATCAGATAAGTAAGGAGAGAAGCATTTAATTACTAAATTACCCTTTAAATGTGTAAATTTTCTACCGAAAGGGAAAACCAAAATTGCGCCGCGTTTCAACGCTAATAGCTTTTTCATTTCCTCTTTCGAATCCAGAAAGAGAGACAGAGAGAGAAACATGATTTTTCTCATCAGATTCTGAGAATCGATAATTTCTCTTTGTTGTTTTGAGATTCTTAACCAGAAGTTTGAGGATTCGCTGCTCGAGAGCTGTTGTTTCCTCCTCGAGCTCAAATTATCAGGTGATTATTATAAATTTTACTTGTTCTTCTGGAGATATGTTGTTGTTGTTTGCTTTCCGGAAACCCTAATTTTATAATTTATAATTTTTGATATTGTTTGTTGGTGTGTTGAATGGTCAAGTTGCTGGCTTTTTTTTTTTAATACAGTCGGCGAAGAACAAATTTTCTCGAGAAAAAAGTTAGGAAGAACATTGAGATGGAAGTTGTTTTGGAAATCGGAGAAGAGGCTAGACCTAAACCTTGTTCTTCAGAAACTGGATCAGCTAAACAACAAGACGAGCCAGCTGAGAAAACCCTAGGAGACGATTCTACTCAGGAGAACGGTGTTCGGGTTTCTGAAAACGGAGAGCAGAAGATTTTGGGCGATGTTGACGAGGGTGACAACAAATCGAAGGAAAACGTTGTTGTTGAGGAGAAATTGAACGGTTCTGGAGTAATTGAAGATTGTGTGATGAATGGCGTTTCGTCGTTACTGAAATTGAAGCAAGATGTAGCTGAAGATGAAGATGGAGAAGAAGAAGAAGATGATGATGAAGAGCATGGATACTGTGTAGGAGATTTCGTGTGGGGCAAAATCAAGAATCATCCATGGTGGCCAGGTCAGATTTATGATCCATCTGATGCTTCAGATTTGGCATTGAAGAAGAAGCAAAAGGGGAAATTGCTTGTTGCGTATTTTGGAGACGGGACGTTCGCTTGGTGCGGCCCATCGCAGTTGAAACCGTTTGCAGAGAGTTTCAACGAGTGTTCAACGGCAAGCAATTCGAAGAGCTTCGTCGTTGCGGTGAAAGAGGCTGTTGAAGAAATGGGTAGACACATGGAGTGTTTACTGATCTGTGAGAAGCAGAAGCTTGATAATCCAGAAGCTAAGAATGCTGGGATAAAAGAAGGTGTTCTTGTTCGTGATGTGAGAAGAGAAATCATTTCGTCTTTGGTGCTTGGCAAATCTGAAGGGATTCTTAAAAATGTTAGAAGCTTGGCAGAGACTGTTAGCTTTAACGGTTTGCTTGAGCTCGAGGTTTTCAAAAGGAAGGTGTCTGCGTTTTATCGGTCACAGAGAGGATATGGTTTGACTGAGTATCATGAGCCCCAAACAGTCCCAGGACTTGAAGACAAGAACAATGACGACGATAATGATGAAGACGTTAACATTGATGAACGTTCTAGCATCGAGGTGGAAGAAAAAGATGAAGAAGAAGCGTTGGATCCTGGAGGGTCTTCTGTTCAGAGATCGATGGTGAAGTGTTCTGGGTTTCCTGATCATAGGCAGCAACACAGAAGGAAGCAGAAGAGCATTGCTGAGATATTGGAGAATGAGTCGTCTGCGATGGTGAGATTCATGACGGAGCCATCGAATGGAGCTGTCAAGTCTGGTAGGAAGAAAGAATCCGCCACCACGCCGAGGAGGAGGAGAACGAGCAAACTTTCTGCAATTGAAGACAAGAAAGTGGAAGAAAATGGCAACGGCGAAACTTTGTCGAGGAAGAAGAAGAGAAGCGTCGTGGATGATGATGGTGGGAGCGAAGACAGAGAAGAGTCAGCTCATGTAGTAGAAGAGACTGTTAAAGACGAGGTCTCGGATCCGGAAACCGATATTGATTCAACTCCATTGGCTTCACTGAGGAAAAGGGTCAAGGTTGATGCAAAGAAGACTGAAAATGGTGAGACCGCTACACTATCATTAAAGAGAGAGAGGAAGAAGAGCAAGTATTTTTCGCCTGAGTTCTTGTCGGATTTTTCATCGAGAGGGAGAAAAAAGAGCAAAGTCGAATCTGAATCTTCTAAAGCTCCAAGTCAGAGCCAAGCAGGAGATCACCAAATGACTGATGCTAGTAATAGCCTAGCCATCGTGGTAATGGAAGAGGATAATAAGTTGGAGAATGTTTTAGGTAATGAAGAACAGTCGGAGGAACTGAGTAACGCAGTGGAGTTTCTGAGATTGGGAGCTACACCAACGGAAATGAGGGATCTGATTCGTGTGGCTGCTCTTGGTATACAGTATCCAAAAGACAGTAGCTCAAGAGACATGGTGAGAGAATTCATGTCCATCTACAGAAGCTTCACTTATCATGAGGGTGCTAATAGCAAGGTTTTAGGGAGTTATAGTGGTTCAGGTAAAGAAACGGAAGAACTTGCTGAGACGGGAAAGCCCGAGACTAACAGCAAAGAGAGAAAAGATAAGAAGCGTAAAGCAAAGCAGCAAACAGAGGAGATTGAGCAGATTGGTAAAGAAGAGAATGAGTCAACAAAGAAAGAGAGAAAGGCTAAGAAGCCTAAATCAAAGAAGCAAGGGGATGAAGAAGGAGAAACTCAGAAAGAGGCGGGTGGTGGGTCAACAAAGAAAGAGAGAAAGCCTAAGAAGCCTAAATCAAAGAAGGAAGGAGATGAAGAAGAAGAAGAAACTGTGAAAGAGGCGAGTGAGTCAACGAAGAAAGAGAGAAAGCCTAGGAAGCCTAAAGCAAACAAGCAAGCAGATGAAGAAGAAGGAACCGGGAAAGAGTCGAGTGAGCCAAGAAAGAAAGAGAGGAAACCAAAGAAGCCTAAGGAAGACGAAACCCAGAAGGAGGCAATGGAGATAGAGAAACCTGAGAAGTCTGAGAAGGAGTTTTCTGGAGCTGAGCTGTTTGTTACATTTGGTCCTGGTTCAACTTTGCCTAAGAAGGAAGAGCTAATCGAAGTCTATGGAAAGTTTGGAGCGTTGGATGAAGAGAGAACGTTCTACACCGACTTATGCGCCCATGTCGCCTTCTTGAACACAGCTGATGGTGAGAAAGCCTTTGAGTCCTCACTAGAGAAATGTCCATTTGCTTTTACTTCCAAAATTAAGTTCAGGCTCAAGTATCCTAATGAGAGAGCAGAAGAGAAGAAACCTGAAGCTGAAGTTGAAGTTGCTGAAGAGAAGACAATGGAGGTGGAGTGTGTGAAGAAGAAGTTGGATGAGATGAGATCATTGGTGGATGGAGCTGATGGAGGAATAATGACTGAAGAAGTGAAAGTGAAACTAGAAGATGGGATTGTGAGTTTGCTGGAGAAGGTGAGGACGATGAAATCATCTTAGGATTATGTTTTTTTCTCTTAATTATGTTTTGTTGGTTGAGAGTCTCCTGAGACTATTACAGGTTTTTAGGATATTTATGGTTTCTGCAAAACTATTTTCGGGAGTTTGATGATATACTATGATCTTGTCATATGTTAGAGATAGATTTGTTGTCTTGTTCTTCCTCTAGACTCGAGAGTTGTATAAGTTTTCCAAAATTCGGAACTAAACCCATTCGTGGGCTTTTGGTATTTACCATTCTCTTGAAAGCCCATTGATATTGGGCATTGACACCAAACTAGTTTGAAGCAAAAGAATTATTGAATCGAAATTCTGTCAACGTGAAATCAAACAGTCAAATTTAGTTAATGTTCCCTTTTGTATCAATTTAGATGTTATTTTCAACGATTAGAACACTTTTAATTTGAATTTATAGAAAGTTACATTCGATCTTTTCCTATGTTCTTTGTGTGTATGAAATTTGGTTTGCTCACCAACTTCTGATTGGTATCATGATTGGTATCACAATTCCACTCCAATATAAGTCACTTTTTTAGTGGATGCATCAGTCACAAGTTTACGATATTACGTACAACATACACTAGTTGGTTCGTTTTCATAACAGCACAACATTTCTAAAACATCCCTAACTTAAATTTGTTGATGGCAACTTATTTCTATACGTATCCGTTTAAGTTGGGGTTTAATATTGTTTACGGGGGAAAAAAAAATATCCTGAAATTGACAATTAGTCCAAGTTTGTAAAGACGATATATAATATGTATGGTGGTGCAAGGACAAAAGAGTTGTTAGAAATTAGAGTGATATGAATCGTTCTACATCGGAGAAGGAAAGACAACTCAAATAATTGAATTGATTTTGAGATCGATGCATACCAAACAAATCTTCTTAGCTTCACCCTTAAGATTCATCAAGACAATTATGATATAGTACACATAATATAGGTGTGTATTGTGTATACATTAATTATAATATGAATTTATTGAAGCCACGTTGTTGAGACGAGAGCAAAAACAAATGCGTTAGCATGAAGTAATTGAAGCAATCGAACCTTCGTTTTCGGGGAGAGTTTATTATAGAAAGAAAAAAAACAATCGTTGGAATGCAAGAACTGATCATGATTCTTTTTTTTGCTCTTCGTCAGCAATTACGTATGCATTATTGTATCTGATGTTTCCAAAGGAATATGATATTTTAAATTTTTTCATTCAACAAACATTTTCTTACAGAAGAGAAGACTATACGCATGTGACTGATGATGATAATGTGTTGTACCTAAATTCCTTGCACCTCAAGGCTTGGTATTGTATTAGCATAAAATTGATTAGAAGTGACATGATATATCAAAAGCTGGTATAATCGAATGGTTACATTCTTATTTTATACGTACTATTTGTTATTCAATTTATTGTTTCTTGTGAAGAATCAATAGATGATCAATTTAAATGTACATAGTACCACTTTTAGTAGCTAATCAAAAGAATCAGTAATCACCCAATACAAAAGAGTCAAGTAATACCTCATTGTCAAATAATTAATTTTAAAGAAAAACCATTAATATAATCTCCACCTAAACTTCTGGATCCAATTAGCTTCTAGAAAGTCCACGCTTTTGCTTCATCACAATTTCCTTTAATTTAACCTAAATTGCCATTTTCAGGAACCAACAATTTCTTCCTATAAATACACCAAAGGAGACAAAACGTCATAACAGAGAAAGCTCTTCTTCACACTCAAGAAAAAAAAGAGAAGAGAATCATGGAGAATGAAGATGACTACACGGCGACGTTTTGTCCCAGCTTTAGCAGTTACACCGGCGATCGAATCGCTGAAACCGCCGAGCGAGTTCGACTCGAGTTTTCCGATGAACACAACGATGATTTTGAATTCGTCAATCCACGATCGTATTGCGAGGCTGCGTCTTTCTCCGGCGATGGCGATTTGGTATTTCCAGTTTTCAATCGGATTCTCATCCCTAAAATCTCCGCCGTAAAATCCGACGACGATGATAAAAACGAAATTTTGCGTGCGGCGGTGGTTACTACTCGACTGAGAGATTTTATACTCCGCGATCGTGAAGATTCGCAGATACAAGTGTGCTCATCATCTTCGTCAGATGAAGAGGAGGAGGAGGAGCATGAGCTTGACAGAGTCTCGAATGTGATTGATCGTCCATGGACGCCGGAGAAATCGCCAAACGGAGGTTGGAGAAAGAGCAAATCGACGGGATCATCAACATCGTCGACGACGACGAGTTCGCGACGGTGGAGGATTAGAGATTTGTTGAAGAGAAGTTACAGCGAAGGGAAACAATCGCTTAAATTCCTGAATTCGAATTCCACAAACAGAGAAGAGTCCTCAACGAAGAAGAAGGAGAAAGTTTCTGCACATGAGAAGTTTTATCTGAAGAACAAAGCGAAGAAGGAAGAAGAAAAGAGAAAATCTTATTTACCATATAAGCAAGATCTCGTTGGGTTCTTGTTCAACAGAAAAACTATTCCTTCTTTTTGATTTTACTGTACAAAAATATGGAAAATCTCGAGGAACCTTTCAAATTCTGAGAATTTTGTGCAAAGTAACATTTTCCTGAATTTTGATAGCGTTTTTCTCAACACTTTTTGTGATTTTTTTACTGTGAGGTTAAACCTTTGACTCGATCTCAATCCAAGTCTATGCACTTAATCTCTCTGTGACTCTGTGTAATTATCGATCAATCAAATTATTTGACTACATCTTATGTGGATCAACAAACATCCTCTAATCAGTATCCCAAATACAAGATGATCACTGGATCTCTGTTTCAGATGAACACTCATGGCGTAGAGAAGAAGGTTAGAATATGCAAGCAAGAAGATTACAGATAGAAGAAAGAAAGCTTATGGAGCTTGAGGATAAAGCTAGTGCTCTGTTTCCTAACCGTTTTGCAACCACCTCTTCTTCTCGGGCCTTTCTTCAGGCCCAGTTGAAATGAGTTTTGTAGCTTCTTCTAATTCTTTAGAAGCCCACATCTTGTTAGCCCATCAATTGAACCAAACCGAAACTTGAAAATTGAATTAGAACATAATCGAGTTTAAACCAAAAATGTCAATTAGGTCTAACATTTCCAAATGGCACACATTAACGTCCTTGAAAAAGGTGTGTTACGTGTGTACACAACAAACATTCCTAATTTACGGGTCAGAAAAGGAATGTTAACCACACAAAGAAATACTTACCTAAACAAAAATAAAATTTAGACTAAAACGGACTGTTTATGAACCGGTTTCGTAATGGTAACACACTATGATAGGTCAACTTTGACTAGTAAAATATTCAGATTCGTTTCCAATTTGAAACGGAATGCGATATTCTACCAACTTACCTTTCGTGCATGGTTTGTTTTAAGACGCATAAATTCTTTTAGTAAATGATTTGCTTAACATTTTTGTTGGAACTTGGAACAATTTATTCAAGTCAACCACTAAAATACTCCAATCTCTAACAGTTTAGGCATCCTCAACTAACTTTCTAATTCCCAACGGACGAGGTCTGGTCTCATCCAAATGGCTTATTAAATTCATGATTACTCTCGTCATTCATTTCAAAGTTTTCATAATTGGTTCAGTTGGACTGAAATGCTAACCCTAATATTAAAAGATGTGAGAGACACAAGATCGTAACCTGACAAGACCTCCTTTCACAAGGTTTACTTTCAAAATATTTGAAGGATATAATTAAAGAAACAGCTGGATTATCTTGGTTACGTTGGTCAAAATTATTGACTTGGCTAGAATGTTAATTTTTCTGACTCCATATGCAAGCAAATATTATACATATCCTCTCTCCTTTCTATCATTTTAGTATTCCTGACGCTTATTATAGAAACATAGACGTCTTATTATACCTTAGACTAATATACATTACTAGAATATATTTTTCAATGAAGGAGCTGAATGATGGCTAAAAGTCAAAGTAAATCTTACTATTTGAAAGATGCCAAGTGAGAATAATGTGAGATTATACCGTATTTTAAGAATACGTATCTTTTTCGTTATACAAGTTACCAATGTATAATTTTCAAAAATATCCTATCACAATATTGGAGAAAAAGAAAACCAAAGAGTTATGCATAGGCGACAATGCACTAGTTTTTTAGATGCAACGGTGACAATGCATTAGTACCACATCATGCTTTTTTTAATGAACGCTAATGTATGAACTGCACTATATATGTTAAGAAAAAAATATAACTATACAAACTTTAAACTAAATATAATTTGGTTTAACTATAGGGAAATAACAAAATCACTTTATATAACATATCCGTACTCTTACAAATCATCCTTACTTTTACAAAATAGTACAAAAACTATAATCTAGTGTTCGAAAATCACTTCTTAGAAGGCAACCTAAACAAAGATTCAGAGTCAATACGCATTAGCAAAATCCATCATAGTGAGTGAACTAAGCTCGAAGTCGTCTTCAAGAACCCAAAAAGTGTCGAACAGATTTGGAACCGTAGCTGCAACGTCGACGTTCGTTTGTAATAAGCGGACCGGTTTGGGTTTTGGTTTGGGTTTGGACTCGTTAAGTAAAGTATCCAATCTTAAGTTTGAAACCTTTTCGCTGGTGATATCCTGATGCGAGGAAGAAGTTGTGGTTGTGAGGACCAAAGTCGGTGGAGTCTCCGAGTCGCAAGCCGGTTTGGCAGCAGATGAATGATCTCCAAGACCGAGTTTCTTGCTAAGATGAGTGTTCCAATAATTCTTTACTTGGTTATCTGTTCTTCCCGGAACTCTCTTTGCTATCAAAGACCATCTAAATCATGAAAAAAAAAACAAGGATCTTATAAACACGATAACATGATTTGTTGCTACAAAAGTTTATTTATTACCTGTAAGCTATATATATACTTTTTCTTTTGTAAGAAATGTTGTTTTATATTTTCTGTTTCTCATATAAATTGACTTATACAACTATACAAAACAGGTGTATATATGCATACATAATCCATAAATGAGACAACTATTAGCTACTGTAAAGTTCGAGGAAACATATCTTTGAATAGGTCAGATCTAAGATCATTGATTCAAAATCACGATCCTCATTTCTTTCGATCACTAGTCTCTACTTTTTTAACAATCAATTACTTTAGACGCATAGATCTAAAAGAGATCAACAAAAACGATTTACTTAGCTAGCAAACGTATATGTTATGAATAAAGATGATTAGATTACATATATGATTTATCTATATCATATAGTGAGATAGATGTACATATATATTTAACAATTAATTCAGAGATTCATGTGAATTAATCGCTAATAAGAAAACTATATATAAGTAATAGAATTGTGTAAAAGAAAATATTAACAAAAATATGTAAGAACTAGAAAAAAAAACCTATTGCCGAGGAGCTTGTGGAGTCTGATGATGAGATCTTCTTCTTGGTCAGTGAAATTGCCTCTGTTTACATTAGGGCTCAAGTAGTTCATCCATCTCAATCTACAGCTCTTCCCACATCTCTTGAGTCCTAAATGATTATCCAAATTTTTAAACTTTAGTACTTTTTTTTTTCTCTTACATGAAGAACAAAAGAATCAAGAGAGAGAAAAAGGACCTGTTTTCTTGGCGATGCGGTTCCAATGACTTTGGCCGTGAGTTCGGACATAATCCATGAGGATCTTGTCTTCTTCCACTGTCCATAAACCTTTCTTGTACTCCTGTTCTTTTCCATCTCTTTTCAGTCTCATCCTATTTTTCTACTTTTCTGGATCCCGAGAGAGAGAGAGAGAGAGTATCAAAAAAGAGAGAGGGAGAGAGAGAAGGTGGATAAGTCAGTGGTGCATGTTTAGTCGAGCCTTTAATATATAGTATCACTATGTATATTCCATGTGACATACTGTATATATCATTCCGTTTATATATATATATGTATATATGTAATATGTGTATACATACTATGCATATATACACAAGGGAAGGACATGTTGTATGTTTTTTTTTCTTTACAAGAAGGTCTGTATATGGTAAAGTCAATCCCCATATTGTCAACCTACCGAACTTGATATTTACCAATTTACACGGATGTAGGTATTTACTATTTATCAACACATGTTTCTAAGAACTATTTAGTATACACATATATGACATACCACAACCATTCCTATCGATAGAATACAGGTAAATGGCAGATAGGAAGGATAGATTCACATAAGAAAAAATTAAGTGGTGAAAACATATATAGTTGATTCTAAAACTGTATATTTGCATGGCTATATGAATACAGAATATACATAGTGCAACATTATTTATAATAGTGTATAGTTATAGAGATAAGTAAAAATTTTGAATTAGTGGCCAATAGCTTCGAACAGGGACAAAACTAAAGGCAAGGGGATGTCACTTTGCCGCTAGTAAAATTTGAATGTAATTATCTCTTTTCTTTTTCTCAAATTTGATTCCATTATCTTTGCACTTGACTAAATTAGAAAGAAAGAATTTAAAGGATTTGTTGTCTATAGATTTTGTTGTTTTTGGTTGAACAAGACAAAACGTGATCCGAATTTTCCATAAAATTAGAGTAAGCCACCGAAAACGGTAATGACTCAACCAAACATGGTTTACTATATCTGTCAAACAAGATTTCTTGCTACGCACATGCTTACTACTCAATCTAATAAAGTATGTAAAAACTGTAGGTAGATAGATATGTTTATATGATTATATCCCAACTAACAAGTTAAGTGAACCGAAAATTGAAAACGGAAGGTAATTATTGGACACAAATCTCATTCGGGATAGGGATTAGGCATATAGCTTTTTTAACCTTTTTCTTAATATAAAAGATGCTTCTGCTCATCCAGCTAGCTAATGTATTATTTATCTCATATCGCACCTGTTTTTAACCCAATGAGCGCAGAATTAATTCATTCAAATTCGGTATGTGTTATTTTACTATGATAAACCAAAGATGTCCAAGAAGTTCTGTTAATTAATCATGTTAACACTCTAAAACTTCAAAAAAAAAAAAAACAAAATTTTGTACTTGAAAACTTAGTATTTGATAGGTAAATCGGAAGTTACTATATTCTCGTTCAACAGAAGCGTTACAAGCAAGTTTTTTGGAACATATCAGAACAATACATCTCCGATAACATACATGTGGTTATCATTACACTAGATATATCATGTCGTGTATGTATATTTTATGTATATCTATGAATTATAGCTTCAACTTGATATAGCCTAGCTACATTTATTAGTTTTCATGGATAATTAATGAGAGAGTGATGACTTCTATATGGACCTCTTAATTCCAAACATCACTTTCGAATCGAGCCAACTACTTGATGTTGATCATCTAATCTATTTAATTACATTAATATACATTGTATGATTGTATCTGTAAAGCCCTGATTGAAGTAATTTAATTTGATCTATTTTTGTCGTATGAAATTCAAAATATTTGATTTATTCGATTTGTTTGGTTTGAGTACATACTGTTCAGTTTCACTATGGTACCAATCGATGATGTATATACATAAGAAGATGTTACAAAGAAAAGGATCATAAAAAGTATTCAATCTCTTATACTATCGAATACAAGCGTCTCTCCTTTCCATAGACATAAAAGAGAACAAACATAAGAATCATCATAGTCTACACTCACCACAACAAAAGGTCCCTTACAACGAAAGCCACACTTGTAACATCCTGGTCGATTTACACCATTCAAAGCCACTTTCCATTTCTTTCCATTGAACTCAAAACACATCCGAGGCTTCACATACCTGAAGTCTCCGAGTACACAATCAATATGAATAGTCGGACCACAACTTTCACAAGTGTAAAACATTATCCTCTGATCCATTTCTTTCTCGCATATCTCGCACCAGTAAGTACCGGTAATGTCCTTATCTCCATCGTAGCATAACTTGAGAGGATGCTTATCGCATTTGTACCTTACTGTATATGGTAGAGTAGCACACTTGAAATCCAAAACAAAGTCGCAATCCATACAAGTAAGAACATAACTTGACTCTTCCTTGCAAACCACGCAAATCTTGCTATCTAGTGAAGTTTGGAAGAAAGGATGTGGATGGCATTCGTAGAGAAACGGTTCGGATATGGAACCGCAACGTACATCTAATTTGATATCACAACATTCGTACCTGAAACCGCTGCACAGCCGGTCACAAGCAGAGCATAAGAATATTCCACGTGTCATCGGAAAATCCATGACGATGCTATCATCAGTACATAGAGTCAGTTGATGGTTGTGTAGCACATGACGTTGCTTCCGAGGAAGGTTTGCGCATGTTTCATGGAGAATGAAATCATCACATTGCTTACACTCGTAGAATGGATTAGAATAAACCGGACGTACACACGCTCTACAACGTATATCTTCGTCGTGGATAATATTCGTAAGACCATACTCAAGTCTTAAGTCATGCTCTCGATGGCTAAAGTGATTTATCACTCCATCACTCACAACCCTAAAAGGTTCTTCACATTCATCTTCTTCTTCTGGCACGTCCTCAAGCTCTCTCCCATCCCACACGTCCCTCCTCGTGGCGCATTTTGAATGAACAGCATAATCCGAACATATCGTGCAAGAATACGCTCCATATCTACCATCTATTCTTCTTCTACAAACTCCGCATATCCAATCTCCAATACCAAGAAAATAACTGCGAGAGATACGATGCTTGTGACGTATAATGCTTATGACACGTGGTAAGTATATACAATCTTCATGGATCATGAAATCACACTGAGGACAAACGTAAGGAGATCGATCCGTTTCAAGACCGCATGCATTGCAAGTGAAGCGTATGAGCCTTGGCATGAGAGTGAGTGTATGTTCATGGCCTTTACGGTAGTAAACTACTAGCTCAAGAGGGTTTCGAGCACAAAGTAGATCTAAACTGAAATTACAGATGGAACAGTGATAGACTAGTTTACCAAGATTTTCCCCACATAGACGGCATTTATCGTCCTGAGCTACTAGTGGCAAGCCATGTGTGAGGAGTGTTAGAGAATGTCTCTGGTGAGAAGGATGGTTGATTTCTGGTGATGACTCAGCACATTCTTTGTGGACGGTGAAGCCGCATGTATGGCAGTTGTAGCCGTTGAGACCGTTGTCTCTAAGTTCAGGACAACCGTCGCAGTGACCGTTGCTGCTACCGTGGGTGTGTAAAGGGTGTTCGTGAGATGGAAGCGTCACAGTGGGTCCCATGATTTGGTCGAAGACCATGGATGGGGTTAAAGATTGGTCATCATCATCGTAGGAGGATGAGTAAGCTTCATTTTCTTCATGTGAAGTTGATACGTCGGAGAGTTCCTCAACGAGAACCATGTTTTTCTTGACGAACTTGATCTTTATTTTCTTTTTTATTTTGGGTAAATTTGACGAATGAAATCTTTCGGTTTGCTAACTTTGCTTGTAGTGTCGTTAGGATATTTGTTTAAAAAATGAGAAGAAGAAAATATAGCCGTTAGGGAATTAATTTTATATAAACCGTTTCGTTTTTTGAGGTGTTGTGTCCCCTAATCTTACAAAACTACTGTTTATATAAGATTCGAATATTTGGGTTAAAGTGCTTTTTCTTAGAGCAAACAATTGAACACTTGACTCCATACATGTGAAAAAAAGTTGTGTCCTCTTTTTTTTTTTTAAATGCTTCCATATATTAAAAGAAAATCAGAAACTGGACCTCTTCATCTTTTAGAGAGTTTCAGGGTCAAGTTCCTTGTCAAAACCAAGAAGTAAAAGTAGAAGGATACAACTTGGAGAGTGATCTGTATATGTTACAAGTTGTAACTTACAACAAAACGAGATTTGTTTATCTCGGGCTTATGCGTGTTTTGGTTTAGATAGACCGGAGTGAACAGAGAGCATAACCGGAAGCCAATGAGCAAAAGGCGAAGGAGACAAAGGAGATGAAAGACAATGAGACTGATGCTCTAGCTAAGTCTGGGAACTTGTCTGCTCCCCAATTTGATAGCCAATCGTCTACACGGATCGAAGCTGAAGTTGATGCCGATGCAAGAAGATACGCTATCATCTGCAACATCAAAACCCTTTTAACCCTTAAGCTTAATGAACAGTTGAGTGGTAGTATCAATGATATGCCATCAAACAAAGCACTAAAACCATGTACAAGAATCAGAAGCAATTAGCTCAAATGGTTAAATGATTTCACAAGCATATCAAGTCAGGTTTCAGGTTACTACTTACTACAAGAAAACAGAGTTTTAATCACTGAGAGGTAGAAGAAACATACCTGATCAAGACCAAACTCCAAGAAATGTCGCAAGTTGTGTCGTGATCTTCGGATGCTAGTGGATAATAGATACACGAGATCACATATCATAAAAGCTGAGTAGACACAACCAATCACATTCGCAGCCAAACAGAACCTGCAACCACAAATGCCAAAACATAAAAAACCATTTGCAAGCAATATTAGCAGTTTAGAAAGTACTCTAAAGACAAAAAACATTATAGTTTAGCTAGAACAGGTCATTAGATAACTTCATGAGCTCAAAGTCAAAGACTTTCACAGCTAATTTCAAAGGATTCAAATTCCACACAGTGATTAGACCAAATTAGAGTCATTTAGCTAAATCAAACCTAAACAAAATTTGGATAGTGGATCTCGGAACCCTATTTTCTATATTCTATTCCACACAGTGAAATATTTTTCAAATTCAACAATTTCGACCAAGTCAAGAGCCTTCTAGCAAAAAAAGAATTTGAGCTCAGATGAATATTAAAAGCTGATTCTTTTTCTAAACAATATCAGATTCAGATACTTCAAGTTCAATGTTATAGTGAAGGTTGGAGAGTGAAGAAATGTAAAACCTGAACTCTTTGTATTTGTAGAAAGAATCACGAGCCCATCCTTTATCTCTATCAGCAACCATAACAGAGAACGAAACAAGACATGACACAAACGCAGAAACCCTAAAGACAAGCAGAGCTTTCCTAACAAAACTTCCCCATTTCGAATCACGCGGAGCCGTAGAGAAACTCGGCCCCCTCAACTGTCTCCTACTCTCGCCGACTTTCTGCTCACCGTAGTCTCCGTTTGTTACCCTAAAAGGAGTCTCGTTTTTCGCCGCCACCGAAGCTACAGACGGAGTTTGGATGATCGTGTGAGGCGAAGATCCATGGCTATCGGGGATTGAAGAGACGGTCGGTGAATCAGGAGGAGAATCCACCGTTGTTGGAGGTAATGAATGAAGCGACGATCTAGAAGACATCTCGGTGATTCGATTTTGGAGTGGAGGAGATTTTGCAGATTGCGAAGACTGGTCTCTTTTTTGCTTTCTATCGCCTTCTTCCTCTAGTTGCTTCTTCTCCTCTTTCTCCTTCTGCGTCACTTCTTCGTCTTCTTCTTCCATTTTCGTTGATATTTTTGGATTTGAATTAAAAATATTTTTCTTGCCAGCGGAAGTGATGAAGTAAACTCTTCCACTCTCTCTGGGTCAATGGACTCTAATGGGGAAGACGACGAGAGAGACAAACTTTAAAATTAAAACTTTGCAAAAAAAGGACTCAGCTTGGTCGTTTCTTGCACTTTGAGCCTATATTTTGTTTTCTAAAAAACTCCCCCAAAATGCAATTACAAATCAAAATAGTAAAAGGTTTTTAAACTAATTAGACTTCTATTGAGAAAGTTACATATAAGCAAAACACTTCGAAAACTCATACAAATCGAAATAGATTGTTAAGGTTAAATTAGTTGTTGAGCTTATCTTGAGAAAGTTACATATAACAACTCTTCTCATTCATACCACCATTGCCATAGAGCTTATGTGGCTGAGAACAGGTCATGCTGCTGCTCGATGATAGAACTCGATAGCTTCGTTGTATTGATCCATGACGACGTTGTGGAGGAGGTGAACAGGTTCAAGGTGATTCGCGTAGCCACCAAAAATGTCACGAGTCAAAGGAGGAGTGTCCTCGTCTTTTGAGCAAGCGTGCTGAGCCACGGACAAACCGCTTAGGCAGTAACATGTGTGGTAGAAGTCGCGAGGCTTGCTCGGCTTATCTCTGAATCCACCTTCATGGATCTGTTTGCCCCCAAAATTATTAAAAAAAACTCATAGATGTGCAGAAAATACAAGTGTGTGTGTACTAAAGCAACTAAGAACTAACCTTAGAGCACAAGAGTACATATCTCTGCAAACCGAGGCTATCAGAAAACGGTTGCACTCTCCTGTTAATGTAGGTCGATGTATGATGCACATGAACATTCCCTGAAACTGCAACATAAAGATAACTATTTCAGTTGTGTTTTGAAGTTTCGGATTAGGACTTGATGGTATATGAGAGAAGTAATTGCATACCTTCATCGCTGTCGTCATCAGAATCATCTTCATCACTCTCTTCATGATCATCTTCATCATCATGATCATGTTCCGTGTGAGCTTCATCAGTCCCTTGTGATACATGTGATGATGATCCATGAAGTTCCAGATCATGGGTCAGAAAATATCTTTGTAGTAGAACACAAGGTGCTGCCTGTTTAACATTGTACCAAGAGAAAAGATAACGATGGTGATGAGTATAAGAGAATTTTGGAGAAGAAACGAAGTTACAAAAGGACACAAAGAGAATCAGAAGATTGACCTGCCAAAAACTGTAGCAACCATCGACCAATTTGTTGGTCCTACCTTGAAATCCCATTTCTATTCCTTGCCGATGTACAACCCAATTCTGGAATCACAAGGAAACTAATTTGTAAGAAAAAAATACATCTTTTAAGTAAAAGAATAGGTATATGAGTATATCTATTAATCATCTCAAATCAACATTGTATGTTACCATTAGTGAATCCAAATTCAAACGGTCGACTTCATTGATTAAGATCATAGTAGCCAATCCACAGTAGGTGTACCTAAACAACAAATGACATGGTGATGAGCAAAGGTAACAACTCCGAGATTTCATGAAATAAACACAGTTTGGATCAAATCAAAGCTTCAACATAATAGAAGTAAGTTGGAGACCATACCCACCGTGAGCTTCGGATCCAGGTTCTCCTCCAATGCCACCTTCATAAGTTTGGCAACTGCTCCAAATAAAGCAGAAGTTTGTTAAGGGAAATCGATGAATTAAGAACTTACAGCTACATAACAGTAGTTCAGTTTTAGTATGTGAGATAACAGTAGAACGAAAAACTACCTCAAGATGTAATCTCCAAGGCCTCGGGTGAGTTCATCATCCATAATGTTCAGGATACTTGCAATCTGTTTCACAAGAGACGTCAAACATATCAGGAGACAAACTAACCATAGGATGCAAGAATTTTAAGCCTTTATACAAGTATGCAAATAATTTGATCATTAACCATATCCTAATGTGACGTTTTTAAGCCAGGAAAAATGGAAGAAACATAGCAAAGTGGGCTCTGAGTTTGTTGGTTTCATTGAGCCTATATAGTTTTGGTGTCCGCAAGGAGAGAAAACAAGAAAATGAAAATTGGTAAAACTCACCGAAATCGCAGTGTAGCATGCTCGAACATCCATTTCTCCCATATCATGCATCCTAGCAATCAGTGAGTAAGTCAGAATTTGGCACTAAGAGTAAGCGTCAACAAATTGTATGAAAAAATAAGAATGCATAAAGAGTGCGCTGTCAATAAATTGATGCCTTAAAGAAGTTCAAGCAGGTAAAAATAGAAACAAACCTGAAACCTCCATTACTATCCTTCATTCGTCTTAGAAAAGAAGACATGTTTACTCTGAGAAAATGACAATTCACGTGTAAGTCTCCTACAGGAAGCATCAATTGTCTCTTACTGAAAAGATATCTACCATAAACAAAAAGACTCCACCACCTGTTGATTGACGAAAGGGCTCTGTCACCTCCTAATGTAACAAGTGCGTTCACTGCAGCATAACTTGTTGCAAGATGTGGAAGCTGTGAAGAAATTATATCAATTAACAGTGGACGAGGGGGGTGGGGGGGGGAGGGGAAAAAAAGAAGACAAATAGAGAAAAAAACAAGCTAAAAAGCTATATATCCTAACTTTTCTCTGCCATGTTCTGAAGATTTACAACCAAACAATGAGAGAGTGCTTAAACTACACCATAGAGATCTAGTCTCCATATTAAGTAGTGATCAACACATTTTTCAAGAAACAGACATATACTTACTTGGCCAGGACCACCACCGAATCCACCATCAGAGCCCTGACAAGCAATGCGTGAAATCAAACTAAGTACCGAATGAAAAACTTCATGTAACAATAATAAGAATAGAAAGAAAAAAAACATGAACTTTGAGGCAGAAAATCAAAAAGGATGGATGAGAATATCAGAAGAGTTTCCAAGATTGGCTAAAACAGCTACCAAAGCAATTGAATTTGAAGCTCCTAACCTGGCAGCGTCCAAGAAAGTCGATGGCATTTTTTTCTAAATCATTATCCACAGACTCTCCAAGCAAAGCAATTGAATGAAGAATCCAATAGCAAATCCAAGGTCGACTGTTCAAAATCCAAAAGCCAAAATCTAAACTTAATCTATTTGGCATCCGAAAATACACGCTTGATATCTAAAACTAAAACAAAGCATCATGTTTTCACAAGGAGAAAGGTACGTACTTAGCATCTAAGGACGCAAACGATGGACCTAGCTGCCTTAAACCATTCATCAGATAATCCATCTGGTTGTCTCGCTGAATCCCCACCCTAGATAAAATAATTTTCGAAGAAATATTCATCAGATTGTGAAGAATGCTAGTTAAAGTCAAAATCAAAGCAGGCACAAAGCAAGGATCGATTTTTTACAGGAATTCCTTAGTAGCAATGTCGCTGGCGTCAAAGTAACTGTATAACCCAAAAACATCGTTCTCCACCAGAAATTGCTCGCGCTGACTCACGGTTATGCTCGGAAGCTCTTCCATCACTCCGCCGCGTTGATTCGCTGTCTTGAAATCTCTCTCTCTCCGTCTCCGAGTCACGCTTCGCTAATTGAGTCGACTCTGGTCAAAGGGTCTTAATCACAAATAAACCTCTGTAAGAAAAATAAAAATAATCCGAAGTAACCCCTTGTAAAAATATTTTCTGTTCATTTCCTTTTTTCTGTCCAACGAACTTTTATCTATTTACTTAATTTTGCCTTTGCCATAATTTTTCCATTACTTTTGTCGATCAATTTTACATTTAACGTTTTACTAAGCTCATCGATCAAATTTTACATTTTTTGTAATTTTTGCGTTTTAATGATGTCACTGATGTTTTTGTACAAATAGTCGTTTTTAAAAATCGTTTAAAACTCATTAAACTCAAAATGTTGGTTCAATACACCCCTTCAGTTCACTATTAAGTGGTTATGATACAATTATCATCCTCCGCATATTACGAACTGTATGTCACCAGTAACCCACTTCTCCACCACCACCAGTCCACCACCAAAAAAGCACCATTATCTGAAATTATAAAGTTGAAATTTGCAGAATACACCTCTATATTTTCCATTTAATAAAATAAAACCTTATACTAAAATAATATGAGCAACAAACCACAAGTTATGTAATACGATCAAAACGCTAACACTTTTACAACAGTGCTGATTTGTCATACCGTATGAAAGACAACTTTTATCTATCCGATTGGACTGAGTGGATTCAGGTAACATAGGTTTTTGATATTTGTACCTATCTGTTTTTATTTTAGATAATAACTTATAAAAATGGTGATAAAAAGTAGAAAACATCATTAGATTATTATGAATAACTTCAACAGAAATTAATATTCAACTGAAACTAAACCCTCAACTTTCAAAAGTAAAATCATATAATAGAATTATAAAAATCTAGATTCAAATCCAATAAGTTGTTCAAAAAAATTCAAAATGGAAGTTGAGGGTCTAGTTTAAGAGATTTTAAGTACGTAGGCTTGTTTTGGATTAAAAGCAAAAGTATAGGGCTCTATTTGCAGTTTTACCATGATATTAAGGAATATTAATCGCGTACAAACAGCAAAAAGGCCTTTAAGAATTAGAGATACCCTCTCTTTCTCTCTCAACTCCTCCAGGCTCCAACTTATAAAATTCAAATCGCTTTCTCAATTTTCCGTTTCTCTCGACGTACTTACTGCATCCCCGGAGATATAGCGAGCGAGCAAGTGAGAGGACGACGCCGAAATCCGACTGATGGGAGCGTATTGCAACGAAGACCTAAGTTTACCGGTTTACTCCGCCGGCGCTCCGACGGACGAGCTCCGGTTCAGCAAGCATGTCTACGACAACGTCCATGGAAACATTTATCTCGATCCTGTAAGTAATTCTTCGTTTCCTGTTTCCGTCATTCCAAATGGTTCATTTGCGAGATAAGGCTGCCGGGATTTTCTGTTAACCGTCTTTTTCGGAGATTTTCTGCAAAATTTCCGGCGACTTTTGTTCGAGTTGGAATCTGGATTGTAGTTTCTTCATCGTTGATTTCTCGCCGTGTTTTTTTGGAAGCTCGTTAGATAGAGATTGATGTTTTTCGGAAGATTTAACTAGTTTTATGGAATGTATGAGGCCGCGGACACATTTGATGAACGAACCGCAAAAATTTACTGGTGGTTTTTTCCTAGAACTGTATAGGATATTCTGTGGTGAGATTCTTCTTTGTGTTTCTGCTCTTGTGTGAGATTTTACAATTTTGCTTGAGTTTGAAATTCTATAAACCACTAGACTTATTTTCACATGTCTTTGAAATTTCATCACAAATGTAGCTTTTCCTTGACTCAGTTTGTCATATGTACTAATACTCCAGTTGATTTTTTGCAGCTTTGTTTAAAATTCATTGACACGGAGCAGTTTCAGAGGTAAATTGTTGGATTGTGCTCATTTCAGTGATATATTTTTGATAATTTGTTAAAGCCAGTTCTGACTCTTTGATCTCATTCCTTGTGGCAGGCTTCGTGAACTGAAGCAACTTGGTAAGTTGGCTTGCGTTTTCAACTCAAGTTGCCTCTCTTCTTGTATAATATAAGCAAGAGAATCTTGTTTCGTCTATTTGTTTTGTTCTACACAGAAGAAGTTATCTTGGGAATCACCGTATCTCAAAACCTTGTTATCCACTATTTGGAAAATTCTTTGCCTAGATTACTAGTTCTAACTGTAATGAGTCTTGAGTGGTGTAACTTCTTTCTCTGAGGAAATTTTCTTTACATGGTTCAGGAGTGACAAACATGGTATATCCAGGAGCTGTACATTCTAGATTTGAGCACTCTCTAGGCGTGTATTGGCTTGCAGGTGAAACGGTTCAGAAGCTGAAAAGTTTCCAGGTATTGGAAATCTTGTACACTTCTCAGTGCTACAGTCACATTTTTGTTAAGTAACGTAAGGTTGTGATGTATAAGCTTTACTTTTTTTTATAGGGAATGGAGCTTGGTATTGATAAGTATGATCTTCAGACTGTGCGACTTGCTGGTAAACGATTGTTACCTCAATGAACTACATTATTCCTTGATCCAGTTTCTGATATCTGTTTGTATATTTGTAGGACTTCTCCATGATATTGGTCATGGGCCTTTCAGTCATATGTTTGAGCGGGAATTCCTCCCACAGGTCATAAGCAACTGTCAGTGGTATGTTTGCACTTTTCTGGAGAATATCAGTGCGATGGTGTTCAGATCTCAGGGTTATTCTTCTGTCCAGCTCTTTATATTCCTGTTATTGTATGCAGGTCTCATGAATCAATGTCTGTTAACATGATTGACCATATCGTTGATACACATCATATCGATGTTGATGCTCAAATGCTCAAAAGAGTGAAGGTAATTTCCTCTAATATGTGAAACTGGAAACTGTGACATTTGTTTCAGTCTTTACTAATCTCATCTAGGATTTTTGCTTCTCTCTTTGCTGATGATTTCCCTCTTGACAGGATATGATACTAGCTAGTACTGAATATTCACAGCTGAATGTGAGTTTTATAACATTCATGTTCTCCATTCTAGTCGAACATGAACAACTACTTTACTTATACTTATGAATATATTATCCTTTTCTCATAATTTGCAGAGCAATGCAGAGAAACGTTTCTTGTATGATATTGTTGCTAATGGTCGAAATGGGATTGATGTGGACAAGTAACTCTACCTACTCTTTAGTTGTATACTTGTCTGCAGTTTCTTTCTTTCTTTCCCTTTTCACTCATCATGCTGCTTAGATTTGCATCTTTGTCCTAGGAAGTTGACTTGAATACAATATTGTGCAGGTTTGACTACCTTGTCCGAGATTCACGAGCATGTGGACTAGGATGCAATTTTCAGTTCCAAAGGTCATTATTCTACTCTAATAGTCATTTCAGTCTTTGCTAGTAAAGCAATTTGCTAATTCTCAGAACATTCTAGACTGACAGAGACAATGCGAGTCATGGACAATGAAATCTGCTATCGCGCTAAAGAGTGTGAGTATTGTCCACCTGATATTCTGTATATGCTTTTGCTTCTGTCTGCTTATAGTCTGTTAAACTCTGGTGACTTTGTAGATCGCAATGTCCACAAGTTATTTGCAACTCGAGCTGATCTTTATCGAACTGTCTACACACATCCGAAAGTTAAGGTACAGTACCATTATCATTCTCTCTCTCTGTTCCATCTCGATGTTATCTCTCTTTCCCACTTGTTTCTTTCCATTCAATTTTCAGGCAATTGAGCTTATGATAGTAGATGCAATGGTCAAAGCTAACGATCATTTGGGGATTTCTTCTTACATCAATGATCCATCTGAATACTGGAAGGTACAGTCATTCCTCAGGAAACAAATCTTTACAATTCGTTTGCTTGTTTATATAATTTCTGTTCTCCACAATTGCAGTTGGACGATACAATTCTCAAAATTATTGAAACAGCTCCAGATCCAGAACTAGCAGAAGCTAGAGACCTGATACTCCGTGTTCGAAGAAGGGAGTTGTACCAGGTAATTATACAATTTTACTGCTTTTCTCCTTCTTATTTACACCTCATCGGTATAACATTTCTCTCCTGGAGAAAGATCTGTAATTAGTTTTTACTTGCAGTTCTGTAACGAGTATGCAGTTCCAAAAGACAAAATCGATCATTTCAAAGCTGTCACTGCTCAAGATATCATCTGTTCTCAGGTTTGTAATCTTTAACACTTGGATAAATAAGATGAAACTATTTACAGTCCATTGCCATACTTACAACACTTTTCATTTAACAGAAGCATACTAGCTTAACACTTAAAGAAGAGGATATCTCTGTTACCAACGTCAAGATTGATTTAGCTCGTGGAAGAGAAAACCCTCTTGAATGGTAAAAACAAACCACTTTTTCCTTCTTTTATTTTACCCTAGTTTTCGCTAATCAAATTCTAACCAACCTATATTCTTTGCGGGATTTGTCACCCATCAGCATCCACTTCTTCAAGGTACATGCTGATCTCTCTGTTCTTGTTGCGGATTCTTTTTCTAATGTGTAAAGAGAGAATCCATAATCTCAAATTACGTTTCTAACAGGATTATGAGAGTGAGGAGAAGTTTTTGATACCTGAGGAAAGAGTTAGTCACTTGTTCCCAACAACATTTCAAGACATGATTGTGAGAGTCTATGCCAAAAAGCCAGAACTGGTTTGTGATCAATATTTTATCATCAGCTCTTTATTAGTAGTATCACATTACTTTGTTCTTTTGAACTTGACAAAGTAACGTTTTTTTCGTTTCGATTGCAAACAGGTAGAAGCAGTTTCAGAGGCATTTGAGAATTTCCAAATGAGAACGTATGGAATCAAAGCTCAAGTCCACGCAACTCCTGAGAAAAAGAAACGGCGTATGATGTAAGCTACAAATCCGCTTACTCGGCCATAGTATTCATTTCATGGTTTAATATTCTTTTTTCTCCCGTCTTCAAACTTTAAATACGGATGTGTGTGTATATATTAGCACGCGTAGTCGTTTCAATACGGCGTTATTTTGGTTCCTGTCGGAGCCTTGTATTGGATCTAGACGAAATTTATATACGTAAGAGAAAAAGGGAAAGCAAATACTTTCGGAATTTGTTTATTTACGTCCCTTTACGAGGTTAACTAAGGAGAATCCTGCTAATCACATGGGAAATATTTGTATTAACGGCAGCACTAAACAACTCCAATATGAGATTAACAAATATTAACGTGATACTTAAGCGAACACAACTTCGGTAGATTAAATAATTTATATCCCTATACTTTTAAACAAATACGAAAAAACCCCGTACCAAAACAATATACACAGAAAACCCCAACTTCTGAAGTATGCTTACGGCCATACCACTTATATCGATTTTCTTTGGAATAAAAGAAGAGTATAGGGATCTATTTGCAATTGAATATAATTTTCGTACGAACGTCAAATAAAAGTCCTCTCTCTCTCTCACTCAAGTCACAACTTCAAAATTCAAATCATTTTCAAATTCTCTTTTGGGTCTCATTTTCAGTTGCTCTCGACACTTGAAATAGCGATCGCGAGCGAGCGAGTGATTCGACGCGCGGATTCAGCAAAATGGGAGCGAATTGCGACGACGACCTAAGTTCGCCGGTTTCCTCCGTGGCCGGTGCTCCGACGAACGAGCTCCGGTTGAGCAAGCATGTCTACGACAACGTTCACGGAAACATCTATCTCGATCCTGTAAGTTTCTCTTGATTCCTCCTCTTCGTTCTATTTCCGGAATTTGTAACTGCGACGACGACGCTCTGTAACTGCTTGTACCGTGAGATTTGAGTTTCCGATGCCTTCTGGATAAATCTCTTCGTTATCTTTCATTTTCTCTTGACGAAAATCGTTTGGTAGATGCGTTTGCTAGAAATTGTATCTGATTGTTCTGTTACGCGAAATTTTGCTCCGATTTTGCTTCGAGTTTCAAATTCCTCAATCTGTTAATCGGTACTAATTCTCTTATCCTTCTTCGGTCGATTTCCGGAATTTGTATCTGTTACGACGACGCTCTGTAACTGATTTTACTGTAAAATTTGAATTTCCGATGCCTTTTGTTCGAGTTGAAATCTGGATAATGTCTTCGTTATCTTTCATTTTCTCGGGAAGAAGATCGTCTAGTAGTTGCATCTGGTGGATTTTTGCTAGAATTTGTACTTCTGTTATGCGGTTTTTCTCCGATTAAGCTTCGAGTTTCAAATTTCGTTGAAATCTCAATCTGTTCATCTGTACTGAAAACTCCATTTTAATTTGCAGCTTTGTTTGAAATTCATTGACACGGAGCAGTTTCAGAGGTAACTTATCGTTGGATTGTGCTCGTTTTCATTTCCACTATTCGTATAAATTGTCGAGGATTCTTTGGAATGTGCTGATTCGTTGATCTAATTCATTGTGGCAGGCTTCGTGAACTCAAGCAGCTCGGTGAGTTGGATTGCGTTTTCCGATCTTGTTTTTGTTATTAAGAAGCATTTACCTGAGAATCACTCTATGAGAAGATACGGTTGTCAAATATAGAAAGTTTCCAATGAAATCTTCAGAGGATGTGTAGGATACTAGCTGTATCTGTAATGAGTCTTGAGTCTTTCTCTGAGAGAAATTTTCTTTGCATGTTTCAGGAGTGACAAGGATGGTGTATCCAGGCGCTGTGCATTCTAGATTTGAGCACTCTCTAGGCGTGTATTGGCTTGCAGGCGAAACTGTTCAGAGGCTTCAAACTTTCCAGGTACAAGATTTTTTGCTCTGAAGTAATATTTTACTAAGTATGGTAAAGTTTTAATGTAGGTGCTTTAATTGTTTATAGGGAATGGAGCTTGATATTGATAGATATGATCTTCAGACTGTGAGACTTTCTGGTAAATTTTGTTTGTTAGCTAAACTACTTACATTATATCTTGGTGCTTTTTTCTGATCTCCAGTTTTTGCATATATAGGACTTCTCCATGATATTGGCCATGGCCCTTTCAGTCATATGTTTGAGCGTGAGTTCCTCCCAAGAGTCATAAGTGACTGTAAGTGGTAAGTCGCACTTTCTCTAACATGTCAAATTTCAGAACATTTAGTGCCTTATTTTTTCACTACTTTGGCTCTCTGGATTATTCTTCTCTCCAGTTCTTTACATGCTAATTCTTGTATGCAGGTCTCATGAGTCAATGTCTGTAACCATGATCGACAATATCGTTGATACACATCACATTGACATTGATCCTCAAATGCTGAAACGAGTGAAGGTAAATAGTATTCCTTCTTAAGACTGTTTAGTTTCTCTCAAATGTCATCTAGTATCTGAGATGGGAAACTGTGACAATGTTTCTTGCTTCCTTTCCCTCTTTGTTGATGATCAAATCTAATGCTTACTTGACAGGATATGATACTCGCTAGTTCAAAAGGTTTTGAGCTGAATGTAAGTTATATATTAGCTAAATTGTGCATTCTGGCCGCGCATGAACTACTGCTCATATTTGATAGTTTCCTTTTCTCATCATTTACAGAACAATGAAGAGAAACGTTTCTTGTATGACATTGTTGCTAATGGTCGAAATGGGATTGATGTGGACAAGTAACTCTATCATTTCTTTCTTTCCCTTTTCACTCATCATGATGCTTAGGTTTCATCTTTGTCATAGCAAGTCAACTTTTAATGTCTACAATAAACTTACAGGTTTGACTACATTGTTCGTGACTCTCGAGCATGTGGACTAGGATGCAATTTTCAGTTCCAAAGGTACTATTATTCATTGTAGACTTCACTCATTTTTAGTCTTTGCTAGTAAAGAAGAGTTTGCTAATTCTCTGAACTTTATAGACTGACAGAGACGATGCGAGTCATGGACAATGAAATCTGTTATCGCGCTAAGGAATGTGAGTTTTCCTCCACCTGAATATATTTTGCTTGCGTTTGCTTTGGTTACCTTATAAAAACTGGTTGACTTCTGTAGATCGTAATGTCCACAAGTTATTCTCCACTCGAGCTGATCTTCATCGAACAGTCTACACACATCCGAAAGTAAAGGTAGAGTACCAATAATAATCATCTTTCTTCATAGTTCTCTGTTCCTTCTCTGTTCTTTCTCTGTTTCTCACTTGTTTCTTTCGAATCATTTACAGGCAATTGAGCTTATGATAGCAGATGCAATGGTGAAAGCTAATGATCATTTGGGGATTTCTTCTTACATTGATAACCCATCTGAATACTGGAAGGTTCTATTTTCTTCCTTTCCTGTATGCAGCAAATTCCTTTTGCTTCTTTATAAACATTTTGTGCTTCCACAATTTTCAGTTGGACGAGACAATCCTCAAAACTATTGAAAACTCTTCACGTCCAGAGCTTGCAGAAGCTAGAGAGCTTATATCCGTGTTCGAAGAAGGCAATTGTACCAAGTAAGAACTCAATTTCACCCATTTTTTCCCTTTATTTTATGGTTAAATTAGTTTGATGTACGAATATTTACTTGCAGTTCTGTAACGAGTATGCGGTTCCAAAAGACAAAATGGATCATTTCAAATCCGTCACTGCTCAAGATATCATCTGTTCTCAGGTTCGTAATCTTTGACACTTAACTAGTAATAAAGGAAAACTATATTGCAGTCCATTGCCATACTCATGAATTTTTTATTTTACAGAAACATTCTAGCTTAACGTTGAGAGAAGAAGACATCGCTGTTGCAAACGTCAAGATTGATTTAGCTCGTGGAAGAGAAAACCCTCTTGAATGGTAAGTAAGCAAACATTTTTTTTACTTCTTTGTTTATCTCTGTTTCGGTAGTTAAATTCTAACCAACTTATCTTTGTGTGGGGTTTGTCACCCATCAGCATCCACTTCTTCAAGGTAACAAAATATTAATATATAGTCTCTCTTCTTGTTTACATAACATAACACTTCTTAAATGTGGAAAGAGGAAATTTGGAAATAGCCCTGTTTGATTTACGGTTTTTCACAGGATTATGAGAGCGAGGAGAAGTTTGTGATACCTGAGGAAAGAGTTAGTCACTTGTTCCCAACAACATTTCAAGACATGATAGTCAGAGTCTATGCCAAAAAGCCAGAACTGGTTTGTGAATTGTGTGATCAATATTTTATCATCACATTACTTTCGTTTTTCCTTCAATACATGATAAAGTAACGTTTCTAAAAATATCTTTTGTTTGCAAATATCAACAGGTGGAAGCAGTTTCTGAGGCATTTGAGAATTTCCAAATGAGGACGTATGGAATCAAAGCGCAAGTCCACGCAACTCCTGAGAAAAAGAAACGCCGCTTCATGTAACTACCTAATACCCGCTTACGTGGCCATACAATTCATTTCATGGTTTTTCTCTTTGAAACTTTAAATACGGATGTGTGTGTATAGTAGCACGCGTATAGGCACTTTACAATACTGCGTCATTTTGGTACATACCCAAGTCTTGTACCTAGCTAGACAGTCTTTGTACGTGTGAGGAAAAGGTAAAGTAGACATATTTCCTTAACATTTCGGAATTAGTAAGGTTTTCTCCAAAGATGAAACTAAATATTTTAAAAATTTTGGTTAAGACCTTTACGAAAAACATCATGTTCTGTTGTTTTTCTTTTCGCTTTCTTCCAGTCCGATATAATCCGTTATAGTCGTCGTTACGTGTTTGCGAACTTTTTAGTTTTTAATCTAATAAATAAATCGAGCCATTGGGCTTGCATACGATCTTACCGTACCATTTTTTGGACTTGAAAATAAATTTGTTTGCTTCAAAAGTGATTTTAGCTGGATTTGCCCTAATCGATCTTATTATTTTATACTCCGGAGTAATAAAATTGTTGGTCAACTTCGGCATTTTAATAATAATTTATAACCTGGTCCAGTTATCTACATGATAAATTATTTAAATATTTATCTAACATGTTAGGAAAAGGTATCGAGACTGTCGACTATAAGCTCGTGAATTTCTCACATCGACAAAGCAATTGGAAAGCAAAAATAACAACACAGAAAATAAAACTAAAACTCAATATTTTGGTCAAAAACCGTTTCACACCAAAGGGGAAAAATAATTTCCTGACAAAATCATATCCGCTAGAAACAATTGAAAAAGTCTATTATTAAAAACTCTAAAACCAAAAGGAAAAAAAGCCCTACACATACACACAAAACTGTGTATGTATATGTACGTAGTAGAAGAATCAAAACACCCCAAACTTCAGACTCTCTCCGTCGCCGAAATCTCAATTTCCGATGGCTTTCCAGCTTTATCCTTTGGTGTAGACTTGAAGAAACAAGCATAGACTACTAGCTGTGATAAACACAAGAAAGCTCCGATTCCATTGCTTATCTGTATTAAAGATCAAAACACAATAAAAAAAACGTTACAAATGATAATCAAACCAATCAATTAATTGGAAAGAAAAAAAAAACACAAAAAACTTACAAGAACGTAGAGGTCGACTTTGTAGATCAAAGAGTAGGAAGTCCAAATCACAGCGTTACAGAAACTAATGAAAGATAACCAAAACGGCATGTACTCAACACTCTTTGTATCCCAAACTTTTTTCTGTTGATTAACACACAATGAAGAAGAAGAAATCATTAGAACACATAATTAATAACTATTTACCCAATAATTAAGTGAGAAATATACAGAGAGAGAGAGAGAGAGAGAGAGAGAGAAAGAGAGAGAGAGAAAACTTACGATGACAAGACAAGGAGCTGCATACATGGCAACGTTGAAGACATCACAGATAATACCAACGAACATTTGTTTAGTAGCAAAGTTTTGGATTGCGAGGAGAGTAATCAAAACAATCGCTGCTACAGCAATAACCTCAGCCACCAGAGATATCACAATGTTCCTCTGCACATTCACATTCACTCACATCAACATTTCATTAACCATTATGAATAAAAAAACCAAGACTAATAAAGGACTAAAAGATTTGAAGCCAACAACATACGCGGAAGTTCTTCTTTTCGCCACAGTGGTACAAGAAGATGGCCAAGTAGATAGCTTCGATAAACAAACCGACTCCATTAATGGTGGTGACAAGGATACTATCCTTGTGAACAATAGGGAGTCCATAGAAGACCCAAAGCATACAGTTCATCACTGTTGCTACATAAGGATACGGTTGAAATTCCTCTACCGATTTCTTCTTGTGGATCCTCCAAAACGTTGGCCTGTATAATGTATATTACATATTCATCAATAATGTGTACTCATAAATCTTCAATGTTAAATCTCAAAGAATCAAACGTTTCAATAGTCATGAAAGAGGTCTTACACAGGTGAAAGGAAGAGAGCAAAGGAAACAATATTCCCTGCATCGATTATACGAGAGAAAACTTGTTAACCACATAGCTAATTATGAAGATCGAGTTTAATTAGTATGAAAAATCGATCGAGACTAGTAAACAAAGCTGTATCAATTAGTTTTAATATGAACAGAGAGATCCGCCATTTGAGACAATCGAGCTCAGATCAGCACACAATATTGAGATTTAACGATCGATTAAGAGTGCACGAATCTATAACTTATTTCGCATTCAAATTCCATGAACAATATCTGTCGAGGTTAATTAAAAACGAAGCAGTTTCACAAATCAAATAACGCATGAAGAGATCCGCCATTAGAGTAAAGCTCAAACACACCAAACAAATGAATAACGAACAGTCGATTGAAATTCGGATGAAAACAATCTAATCTACAGCTTCATCGGATTCAAATCACTGTTACAGTGATACATTGAATCGATACGAATGAAATCAGTAAAATACAGAGAGATTTAGCGTTTCGACTGTGAACAGAGAGAGAGAGATAGAGAGAAGAGATCTATCATCTATCTTACGTACCGATAACTCCGATGATGAATCGAATTTGTTTCGCGTCAACCATTGTGAAATCGAACGGAGAGAGAGAGATTGATGAAGACGAAGAGCTAAGAAGAAGAAGACGATTGTGTAGAAGAAAACCTAATAGAGAGCGTATGAGAGGTTTTGTGTGTGAGTATTGAGTTTATATATATAGTCAGATATGTATATATAGAGAGAGAAAGAGAGAGATAAAGATAAGAGAGACGTTTGAGTCAAGGAGTCAATATTTAGTTTGTTACGATCTCTCTTGCGCATCACTCTCCTCATTTATTTTCTCATTTTTCCCTAAACGATGATAATTACTTAAAAAAACCTTTCGTAGATTTGAATTTTGACTGGTTAAAAAACTTGTTCAACGATGATTTATTGCATGTTTGGAAAGTAATCTTCGTCTTTTTAGGAATTATCCAGATCATTATCCAAGACAACTGTAATTATTTTCAATTGTTTGACCACGGATTATCTTAAAAACGCTTTAAATTCTTATTTTTAATGTAATATCTAACTCTGCAAGGCAAAGAAAAACAAGGTACATTGTCTGTTGACAAAAAGAAGAATGTTTAATGTCTAATCAGTAAATACTAATACGTTTTGGATAATATTAAGTTTTCAAACACATCCATATATAAGTTATATCCAGAACAAAAATAACCGACAATATTAAAATATCTCTGTTAATATTTATACTTTTTTTAGAAATTTATCTCTGTAAACATTGAAATGTATAATATACAAAATTATTTGATTAGCCGACAAAAAAATAAAACATTATCTGATCGATATTTATTTATGTAGGGATAGATTTGAATATTGTATTAACCAGATGCAAATATTATTTGAATCTTGATATATTTGAAATCACGCTAACTATTTTACAGTTACTAGAATATGATTTTTTCGACGGTCGTATGTTTGTTATTGACGAGATTTCTATTTACGTCCGTACTAGTTGTTACACGCCACGTCAGAATTCTGTTTCTGAAACTACTTGTAGGGTCTTAAGTTTCCAAGTAATTACAAGTTTTGCCATCAACAATACAATTCACAACAAACACATGCAAAATCTACAAGCGATATCGTGGGACTTGTTGCCCAAGGAAGATAAACCGGATGGTTGATTTATTACTTTATATCGGTTTTGCAGAGTAAATTCCGGTTTACTCGTAAATGTAAACGTTTTAGTTTACCCTGAAGTCAGTTTTTATTTCAACGTCTAGTATTTCCAAAATAACAAAATAAACAATTAATTCACGTCACGTAGAAGTAGTTTTAAACTTGTACATTTTAAAGCACGTAATTATTGGTCAAACACAGTATAAATTATTCTCGAATAATTTATCACCATATCCAATATCTTTGTATAACCACATACCAAATTTTCTATAAATTTAAACGAAAAGATGCAAAAATCAGATATATAATACTATAATTATTGAGATTTCACTTTTCGAGCGGTCACTAATCAGAACATTAAACTGGAATAGTCCTAAAATTATCAACGAAATTTTAGTGAAATTGAGTCAAGAGATCACTGATTTTGGACTTTGCCTTATGAACTAAATTGGCAATTCACTTTTTTGGTATTAGCCTTAGCTGGCGATTATTGTCACGTTTCGTTTGTTATTTTTACAACACAAACATATTGTGGCCTTTAATGTAGTAGACTAGTAGTTATCGGCAAAAGAAGAAAGATATACAATCCGATGACAAACCGAAACAGTCAAGCCGGTATTCAATGGGACAGAATACGGCTACGTCGTTTTGGTAATTGTGCAACTCCTCTTGGAAATTGCAAAATTCTCTTAAGTTTGGTTCATTCTTGCATTATGTTATTCTCCAAGACATACTCCATTTGCTTATCATCTGATATCTATCTAACTATCTTTCTATTTGCTTGTTATAGTTTCATATGTGTCGAAAGATATGGATTGTGCACCTCTTCCAAAGACAGGATCGCAGATTTTAACCCTTATTGGACCTTTTGCAGCGTTATATTGTCTGAGTAATTATTATGACTTAACCGTAACATTTTGAGTATGAAAAAGCTTGTTTTCTTCAGTCTTCAGTACGACCCATCTTTTACCATAGATGAAAGATTATTTAAGGGTCAAACATTTTTGGTCATGAAACGTTTTGTATTTGTTTTGGAGTGGTGTTTTAGTTTTTGTCTTTTGAAAATCCAACTTTTCTTCATTCAAATTTTTAGAATTGCATATTGTTTCTTTAAAACTAGAGAACGTAGATCTATATATGTGGTTTTCTTCTAACTTGCAAGAAAAATAAACCCTGTGGTTTAGGGTTTATCTTACATGCTTATGTGATCTATATATGTGGTTATCTTCTATATATGTGGTTTCTCATAAAAAAAAAAAATTTGTTTAATTTTTGGCTTTGCTTTATTTTGACGAGACTATTGTTTTTGTTTCGTAGCAAATGTATTATTCCTTTACACTAAATACCACTATAATATACCTGATGTAAGTATGTAACGATAAGAATGAATATGTGCTACTACTACGTTACATTAATATTCTCTTTAGAAACAAATGTTCAAATTGTTCTCTTTCTTTTATGGTCACTTTCTTCTCTAAATGATTCGTTTATTCTTCAAATTTCAAACCTCAAATGTTCAAACCGCGTTAAGGGCAAAAACGTAACTCAGATTACCTATAAGTAGAGTCACCACTCTCACTCCTAAGCTTTACCCGCGAAGATTTACACACATTTTCTCAGATGAATATTCTTCTGTGGAAAAGTCTTTACATTTGATTTTGATCGTTTTTGGTTTCTCTTGCTTTCTTGCTTTGATCTGATCTTCTTCATTTACTGGAAACGATGGGATCTTTCCTCTGTCCGTTAGATTATCCGGCGAGAATGTGGACGACGAGTTTCTTCCGCCACAAACTCATGATTTTCTAACGAATCGTTTACTTTTCAATTTCGACATTTACGTTTACTTTCTCTCTTACCGAAAACATTTCCTTTGACTCCGGCGGCGATCGCAATGGATTCCGATCAAGAAGATACTCACGGAAAACCACTTTCTCTTGAGAATCTTGTCCTGATTTTGCAAGGTGATGATGATGCTCTGTTTCTTCTTCAAATCTCGTAAAATCTTAATCAAATTGGCTAAATTTGGTAACTTTGTTGGCAATTCAGGAACAAAACCAGCCATGGAAATCAAAGAAACTCCAACCTGTGAAATGGATGATCAATCATCTCCTGAGAAAAAGCGTAGACTAACGATTGAACAAGTATACAAACACAGATGTTAAAAAACGGAAAGATCTTCGCTTCTTCGTGTTTTGATTTCATCTGGTTTCTTCTTTGTTTATAGGTGAATCTGCTAGAGAAGAGCTTTGAAGAAGAGAACAAACTAGAACCAGAGAGAAAGACTGAGCTAGCTAAAAGGCTTGGATTGCCTCAACGTCAAGTAGCCGTTTGGTTTCAGAATCGAAAAGCTCGATGCAAGATCAAACAAATCGAAAGAGACTACGATGTTCTCAAGGCTTGTTACGATTCCCTCCTGGCAAAACATGAATCAGTCATCTCAGAGAACGAGAAGCTCAAATCTAAAGTAAGCAAAACCTCAACTTTTTATGTCTTCCATAGACAGAAATTGAGCTCAGTTTCTAAGAGACTTTTCTCTTACAGGTCTTAACTTTGACTGAGATGCTTCTTCCTGCAACAAACCAAACACAAAGAAATCTCCAAGACAAGCTTAACTCTAAAGGTGATGAAACTATGAGCTCTTCCACAGCTTTAGTTCCATTAGCTAATGAAGATTACTTCACCAACATCGATGGATCATTCAGCTGTTGGGTCTGGCCATCAAATCTTAAGTGAAAAATCAGAGAATCCAAAGTGACTTAGTATTCTAAGATTGGATAGTATTGACATGTGACAAATAAGAATGTACAAAAAAAAACTACTACCATCACTATTTCATAGTATAAGATATATTATATGCATCCATCAGAGTTTTCTAGTTGTTTATGTTTTCTTGAGTTAATTATTTATTTGTGTGCAATCAATCAATCATATATCTAGTGGGTGATGGGTTGTATGTAAGAGTCAAAGAACATATTGGCCCTACAACAACCAACATAAACACCATTAGAGCCAAACACTTTTGAAATTTTAAAGTCTTAAAAGGTCATTCATTGGTTTATTCAAGATTTCATTTTTGTTTTTGGCTAACACAAAAGAGCCAAAATGAACTACAAACCTAAACCAAAAACCAGATTGTGTTTGAACACAAAACACAAGTATAAAGTTCCGGTTTGCTTTCTATCCACACTTGAGTGTATATCACTCAAAATCCCAGAAACTAATCAAGAAAACTTAAAATATACAAAAGTAAATCATAAGATCATCAAGCACCAGTATGTATACAAAAATGTGTGTATAAAGCTAACAGTGAATTTGTTGAGAGAGTAAAGGAAAGTATATTGAAAAGAGGAAAGAAAAGAGAACCAGTGACTCTAAAGTGAAGAAAAAAGAGGCGAAGATAATAAAAATAAAGCTAAAGCATCAGTCTTTTGGAATCCATTATTCTTGAGCATGCGAAATTAAAAATTTGATCTCATATGATTAACAACCAAAACTGCAATTGAAATCTTTTTTATAAATCATTTTAACAATATGGTACAACAGATGATCAGTAAACCCCTAAAAATATCAATAATCTCGATTGAAAAAAGAGTTACAAGTTACTACCTTTCGTCGTTGTTCTCCAGCTTCTTATGATCTTCCATCCATGATGGAAGTTTAGGAAGATCATCAACATTAAGCGACGAAGAAGGCAACCTCCTTTGAGCATCTTTCTTCGGCCATAACCAAATCTTGGAAACCGAAAAGCTCTCTCCTTTCGCCACAGTGTTAATCTTCTTCTCTTCTGAAGCTGACGAATTCTCAATCTGCTCAGACTCTTTCCCCTGAAGAGCCGTCAAACGCTTATCGTTGCTGCAAAACGGAACCTTAAGCTCAGAGTTACCGAGTATATACTGATACGAACCCATTGAGAAACATCTTCTCGCATCCAAATTACTACTACTAGTCTCTCCTCCAGCAACAACAACAGCATCAAGATCTTGATCTTGACCAACATTGTCAAGTCTCTTAAACTTCCCTAATCTCACAGGCAAAACTCCTTTCTCCACAACAATTTCTTGAATCTCCTCCATAGTCTTCTCTGTTGCTGTTGTCACACACTCTTCCTCTTCTCTAATGTCATCGAAATCGAACATCGGATTCTCCATCGAGAAGCCAGGGGAGAAGAGAGTGCCACGACAGAGAGGGCAAGTCGAATTCGACTGAAGCCAAGTGTCAATACAGTTGAGATGAAACGCATGGCTACACGTTGGCAACAATCTCAGCTTATCTTTCTCAGTGAACTCACAGAGACAAACCGCGCAATCGAACGGCTCTTTGGACGCACCGCCGACGAGTTCCTTGTAGTGGAAAACAGGTAACGCGTCGATGAAAGCTTGGTCGAGACCTGAGTCGTTGAGATGAAAAAGCTGTTGGAGCTGTCGTTGGAGAGCGTCGCTGGTTGAGATCTCTGGGTAACGATTAGACCTCGAAGAAGGGGAGGTTGGAGAAGGGTGCTTGACGAGGAACCTGACGAGCAAATGAAGAAGCCCGGAGATGAAGAAGAGGACAGCTAGAATCACGATTACGAATAGCACCGCCGGGCTGATTTTGTTGCCGCCGGAGGACGACGGTGGTGGTGACGGCGGAGAGAGGATTGTTGGGTCTTTGTAAAACGGTGGTGGGTATGCAAAGTTGCCGTCTTTCTGCTCAATTGCGAATCGAACCCAAGAAGACATGTTTGTAGATTTAGAATCCAGATTTCACCATGAAAAATATCTCAATTTTGAAGATCCAGGAAAAAAAATAAAATTTCCAAGTTAATTGGAGGAAGAAGAGTTCAATAAAACTGAAATAACATCAACATCGAGAAACAGAGATAGCTCAAAAACACTCACTTAATCCCTCTCCCCAGATTCTCAGAAAAAGTTAAACTTCCCGTGAAGTAAAAACCCTAATCAAAGAGGGATTTTTTTTGTTCTCTGTCAGATTTGCAGAGGAAGAAGAAAGTAAAGTCACACTCTTTCTCTATTCTCTCTCTACCCTCTATGTAACTATCTATCTATAAGACCTTTCCTTGTCTTGAGCTTTTATGGTGGAAATAGAAGACCCGAAGAAAATGGCAATTGATTTTATAATTTTTCGAAGTGCGAGGCAAAGTTGAAAAACAGCGACAAACACAGAAGAAGAAAAAAGTAAAAGCTTTGAAAATGAAAGTAAAAAAAAAAAAGGAGGTAGATTTGGGCCCACGTGCATAGATGAGCGAGTTGGTGTCAGATTGGTCAACTCATTAGACAAAAACAAAATGACGGTTTCCTAAGTTTTTGGTTTTATGTAAGATCCGTACTGGGCCGGACCAACCAGCCCAATTTCAAATTTGTTAATGTGAGCTGATACATTCCATTTGCTTCCATTTTGATCTTCATGAATTTGTCTTTGCAAAACTCAAAAAATGGTGGTATAAATTTTAACATTTGCACCCAAAAAAGAGTCTTTCAAAACAATTAAGCAAACCCCTAGAGTCATGTATTAAATCATAATATTTTTTCACCAGTTTATTTGTTTTTTGTCGTCTACTAAATTAATTTGCCTTGTTCTTTCTAAATTCAAAAACATAATGTCAATTTCTGTTAAAATATGATTGGCTGGTGACTTTAATACATGACTTAGTTTAGTCCTTCAAAAAGATTTTATAAATCAAAGAGCGTATCAAATCCTAGCCGTTGGATCAAACACTTGAGAAGCGTGTCATTGAGTCAACGAGCGTCTCGAAATCTAACCGTTGGATCAATTCATCTTGCCGGAAGCATCGAACGGGAAATCGCCGCACAGGCGGTGGCAAAGTCCCGGCCAGTGAACTTCTGAGTCCATTTCGCCATCGTCGAGGAATGTCAAATTGGTGCGATTCTGGTGATCCTTTTGAACAAGTTAACTGAGTTGAGTTGCTGGTGAAATCGAAGGTCCGTGATGATTTATGGGTTTGTTAGATCACATTTCTGCTGAATTGAGATTAAGCAATCGATGTCACTGAAGTCTTAGGGCTACTATTTTTAATAAGATTGCTTTAGGTTAGTTACTATTCATGGAGAGATTGCAGTTTTTGAAATGATGCTGATGCAAATGCAATTGATGCAGAGATGAGTTTTAAGCATTTGAAAACAGCCAAAGCAAAAGCTATTAGTCTTCGTCAATGGAAGAGGATGTTCAAATGGAAGTTGAGAACTTCTTCTGTTTGATGACTCAGCTGAAGGTATTGGCCAAACTTCCTTATCATGGGTCCGTAGAATATTCGAATATAATAGTCGTGGTGTGATGGATTTTGGTAAAGTTTGGATTTTTAATCATGGAGAAAGATTAATATATTCCACAGATGTCGTCACTGATAAAAGAATGAGTCAATGACCATTTAGTAAGCGTGGTGGAATTAATCACCAGCTCCATGATTGCTTCAAAACCTGCTTCTAATCTTAAGAGAGTTTCTGAGAATCAGATACTATCAATATCATGAGAGAAACAGGAGAAGAGACAGTGGCGTGGAAGTACTTTAACAGAGATGTTTTGCCGTTTGCTGCCATGTTTGCAGTTGAATGTGCAGCGGTTGGGTCAAACACACTGTACAAGGCTGCAACTTTAAGAGGATTAAACTTCTATGTCTTTATCTTCTACTCTTACGCTATCTCAACGCTTGTTCTTCTTCCATTTTTCCTCATCTTTGGAAGGTACTGATATAATCATCTCATCTACTCTCTTTGTCTTAGTTTTTAATTTTCAAGAGTTGAGAAGCTTATTTTAACATTTTCAGGTCAAGAAGATTACCTTCAGCCAAGTCTCCTCTCTTCTTCAAGTTTTTCTTACTTGGTCTTTTCGGGTAATAATGATACCCTCCTGCTTCTAGATTTATGGACATATTTGTTTCTAACTTGAGGAGAACAGGTTCTTTGCGCAGATGGCTGGTTTTAAAGGTATAGAACATAGTTCTCCTACTCTTGCCTCTGCTATGAGCAATCTCACTCCAGCTTTCACATTCACCCTCGCTGTTATCTTCAGGTTATACATTGTTCTCTTTCGTTTTTGTTTTGCGAAAATAGTCTTGGACAATGAAAAAAGGGGTGTCTCAAAATCTCAGGCCTCTTGCTTTTTTTTCTTGATAATCAATACAAGAAAACATTGTCTCATGTTATTCACTACGAATCTTATACTAGTGGTCACTGGTCTGTTTGTTAACTATAAATCTTACTGCTGAGTCTGCAATCTAACTGGTTCTGCTTCTGCTTCTTTTGGTTGTAAAGGATGGAAAAAGTAGTGTTCAGGAGCTCTGCGACTCAGGCTAAAATCATCGGAGCAATTGTATCTATATCTGGTGCTCTGGTTGTTGTGCTATACAAAGGCCCAAAAGTTGTCTCTGCTACATCTTTTACACCTTCTTCACCTAAGAATTTGACTTCATTGGAATCAAGCTGGATAATAGGAGGCCTTTTGCTTGCTCTAGAGTATTTTCTTGCTTCAGTCTGGTTTATTCTTCAGGTATAAACACTTGAAGAAGTTTATTAAACACATAAATCTCTTGCTAAATCCGGTAGTTGTATATATGGTTTCAGACTCGGGTCATGGAGGTACACCCTGAAGAAATAACTGTAGTCTTCTTCTACTACTTATTTGCAACGCTAATCTCAGCACCAATATGTTTGTTTACGGAAAGAAACTTCACTTCTTGGGTGCTTAAACCTGATATTTCCCTCGCTGCAATCATATACTCGGTGAGAATAAAGTCTTTAATAATATACTTCCACTACCGACGAAGTTTTAATAAGCTCTCAAACTGTTTTCAGGGAGTCTTTGTTTCGTTATTCAGCTCAATCACCCACACATGGGGTCTGCATCGGAAAGGTCCGGTTTACATATCATTGTTTAGGCCATTGTCTATAGCGATTGCAGTCGTTATGGGTGCTATATTCCTCGGCGATGCACTTCACCTTGGAAGGTAACATATCTTTGCGTGTGAGAAACACTTGGTCTCTACAGTTTCATGCTATACATATCTTTATAAACTAGATTATGGTTTTTGATACGGTAATAACCGATAGATTTCACCATATGTATGTGTTGTGGGCAGTGTGATTGGATCAGTGATATTGTGCTTTGGAGTATACGCTGTGATTTGGGGCAAAGCAAGAGAGGATGCAACAAAAACAGTAAGCGATTCTGAGCAGTCACCTTTGTTGCCTACACACAACAAAGAAGATGATGACTCCTTGTCATTAAGATAGGATTGATGCAAGTGATGACAATGCTTGCTTATATTATTCGTTTGTAAATGTGGATAAGTAACTTTGTATAGTGTAAAGTCTCAAAAAATATTTAGCAATTTGCACAATACAAATTTCAAAATGTTACCAACCGATAACTGAAATGGTTTGTTTGTTTGTTTTGGTTCCGGTTTAGTTAAACTTCTTGTGCTGGTTCGGATTTGGTTTAAGCTCACTAATAAAGTAAAATTGAGTTACATTTTCTTTGGTTCGGTTCGGTTCCACGTTAGTATCAAAAGAGCGTACCAAATTCCTAACCGTTGGATCAAATCGTGTCACTGTCAACGAGCGTCTCTCTCAGAATCTTTTGACGGAAAAGTACGCCGTGGGGCTTCTGGCTCAGTTCCACCGTCGCGTACGGCTGAGCAATGGAGCGATTCTGAGGATCCTTTGAAACTTAATTGAGTTACTTATCTTCTGTCGCTGGAGGAATCGAAGGCCAGTGATGATTTCGGGTTTGTTAGATCACATTTCTGCTTGATTTGGATTAAGTAATCGGTTTTAGTAATACGAATTGCTTTAGGTTAGTTGTTATAGATGGAGGTTAGGTTTAATTTCTGTGGAAGGTAAAGAAACGTCTGGCGATTTTTTTTCTCTGGAGATGAAGCTGATGCAGAACGATCAAATGGAAGTTGGAAAATTCTTCAGCTGAAGGTATCGGAGTCTTTGGAGCTATAAGAGCCAAACATTCTTTGGAATATTTACGTATGGAGAAATCGATCAAGTATTGCCCTTTTGAAGATTTTTCTCAGAATTTGAAGCTAAGACGATGCCACGGCTGAATTTTTAAGCACTTGGAAACAGCCAAAGTAGAAGCTACAAGTCTTCATCATTGGAGGAGAAATGTTCATATGGAAGTTGAGAAAATTCTTCAGTTTGATGATTCGTGTGGGTTAATAGAGCTCCATGGTCAAAGTTTCCTTGTCGTGGGGTCATGAAAATATCTTAGAAGATAATCCTTGTGGTGTGAAGTTTTGGTCAAGTTGGAATATTGATTTATGGAGGAAGACTATTTCCACACTGTCTTCATTGATTATGTCATCCACTTCTGAAGAAAACAGCGCTACAAGTTTAGCAAGCGTGTACGGAATTAACATCCAGCAACATGATTGCTTCTAAACTCATGTGAATTTCAAGAGAGGGTTGATTTTTTTCTGAGAATCTGGGTATCGAATCTATCATGAGAGGAAGTGGAGAAGAGACAGTGGCGTGGAGGTTCTTTAGCAGAGATGTTGTGCCGTTTGCTGCGATGTTTGCAGTTGAGTGTACCTCTGTTGGGGCAAACACACTGTACAAGGCTGCAAGCTTAAAAGGATTGAGCTTTTATGTCTTTGTTTTCTACTCTTATGTCGTTTCCACACTTCTCCTTCTTCCACTTTCCTTAATCTTTGGAAGGTACTGATCTCCTTCACTACTTATTTTTCCCACAGTATAAACTTTTCAAGAATCTGAACTTAGTTTGCATATGCAGGTCAAGAAGATTACCTTCACCGAAGTCTCCTCTCTTCTTCAAGATCTTCGTACTTGGGCTTCTCGGGTAAAAATTACTACTCTTTTCAACTAGATTACTTCCGTTTTCTTCTTCTTCTAGTTTTTTTTAACTTGAGGGGAACAGGTTCATGTCGCAGCTAGCTAGTTGTAAAGGAATAGAATATAGCTCACCAACTCTTTCCTCTGCTATCAGCAATCTCACACCAGCTTTCACATTCACGCTCGCCGTTATCTTCAGGTTCCACCTCCTTCTCTTTGGTTTCTGTTTTAGGAAAATAGCTTGGACAATAATGTTACCGAGTATGTAACTCTTACTGGTTCTGCTTCCTTGGGGGACTCTACAGGATGGAACAAGTAGTGTTAAGGAGATCTGCGACTCAGGCTAAAATCATTGGCGCAATAGTATCTATATCTGGTGCTCTGGTTGTTGTGCTATATAAAGGCCCAAAAGTTCTCGCTGCTGTATCTCTTACACCTTCATCATCTACCGTTTCATTTGAGGATTTGACTTCATCCGAGTCAAGCTGGATAATCGGAGGCCTTTTGCTTGCTTCACAGTTTTTTCTTCTATCAGTCTGGTATATACTTCAGGTAAGTTCAATGAGGTTTTGGGTTGTTGTTGACACATAAAACTTTTCCTAAATTTGGTAGCTGTATATGGTCCCAGACTCGGGTCATGGAGGCATACCCTGAAGCAATAACCGTAGTCTTCTTCTACAACTTATTTGCAACGCTAATCTCAGGACCAGTGTGTTTATTAGCTGAAAGAAACTTGACTTCCTGGGTGCTTAAACCAGATATTGCCCTCGCTGCTATCATATACTCGGTGGGAATCAAATCTTACAAACTGCTTGTATTACTGACGATGTTTTAAGTTCAAAATATAACACTTTGTTTTAGGGAGTCTTTGTTTCATTATTCAGCGCAGTTACCCACACATGGGGTCTGAATCTGAAAGGTCCTGTCTACATATCCTTGTTTAGGCCATTGTCTATCGCAATTGCAGTCGCTATGGGTGCTCTATTCCTCGGCGATGCACTTCACCTTGGGAGGTAACATATCTTCATCTGGTTCATTTCCATCACGTTCAGAAGATTTTTATCTACATTAAGAAACATAGAGCTCAACTCTAGGTTGTTGAAATGCTTAGTATCTATCTAACTAATGGAATGACATTTTGAGAATTATATGGTTTCTGGTTTCTAGTCTAACCGTCACAACTCAAACCTGACCACTACATCTACATGAGCTCTCATATATGGTTTCCGTGGTATATCACTGGATAGAGTATAGACTCTAATATGCTTTTTGAGACGGCAATAACCGATATAGTTTTTGCCATATGTGCTATGGGCAGTGTCATTGGATCAGTGATTTTGAGCTTAGGGTTCTACACTGTGATTTGGGGAAAAGCAAGAGAGGAAGCAGCCAAAAATGTTGCTGGTTCTGAGCATTCACCTTTGCTGCTTACACACATCGTAGAAAATGAAGCATAGGAATGATGCAAGTGATAATCCTTATATTTTTTTATCCATCTATGAATATGTATCCTTTAGAAGATAGTCCCTATTCATGGGTATATAAATGTCTATATTTACATATTTTTTTTTTTTTCTGTTCTCTTTTCTTGTCTTGTATTACTTTGAGGTTATAAATGAGAATGGTGATATACTTTGATTTCTTCTATTTTTATTTTATCTTGGACTCGTGCAATGATTTTGAAATGGTGACTACTTACACACTGTACAAGGCTGCAACTTTTATTGGATTGAGCTTTTATGTCTTTCTGTTTTACTCTTATGTTGTTGCTACACTTGTCCCTTTTCCACTTTCCTTCATTGTTGTAAGGTATTTATCTCCTTCACTACGTTTTTTATTTGCCCAGTATAAAATTTGCAAGAATCTGAACTTATTTTACATATGCAGGTCAAGGAGATTACCTTCTCTCTTTTCAAGATATTCTCACTTGGGCTTCTCGGGTGATAATATATTCTCCTGCTTCTAGATTACTGTGCATTTACATATATATTTTTTTTGAGTATGATCCTTGTGGCGTGAAGTAGGCCTAGCGTGAAGTAGTGGTGGTATATTTTATATGGATAAAGAATACTCCGACATTAGTAATGTCTTCCATTTCTAATTAAAATATTGCTACAATATTAATTCTTAAAGCCAACTGGATAAGTATGTCAAAGACAACTTGATTACCTCTAAACTCCCTTTAATTTCAGAGAGTCGTTTCTGAGAATCTGAATATCAATTCTATCATGACAGGAGCTGGAGAAGAGAAAGTGGCGTGGAGGTGTTTAACTAGAGATGTTGTTCCGTTCGCTGCGATGTTTGCGGTTGAATGTTTCTCAGTTGGGTCAAACACACTTTACAAGGCTGCAAGCCTAAGAGGATTAAGCTTTTATGTCTTTGTCTTCTACTCTTATGTTGTTTCAACGCTTCTCCTTCTTCCACTTTCCTTTATCTCTGGAAGGTATTGACCTCCTCATATACTCTTTGCCCTGTATAGACTTTTCAAGAATCTGAACTTATTTTACATTTTCAGGTCAAGAAGTTTACCTTCAGCAAAGTCTCCTCCCCTCTTTAAGATTTTCTCACTTGGGATGCTCGGGTAATAATATACCTTGCTTCTAGATCAATGGGCATTTCTGGTTTTTTGTTTTCTAACTTTTTAACTTGGGGGAGGAACAGGGTCATGGGGCAGATAGCAGGATGTAAAGGAATAGAATATAGTTCCCCAACTCTTTCCTCTGCTATCAGCAATCTCATACCAGCTTTCACCTTCACCCTCGCCGTTATCTTCAGGTTCCACCTCCTTCTCTTTCGTTTCTGTGGTTGGTTAGAAATGTTATGTCCTCTTTCATTCCTAAGAGAATTTGGTAGGATATGATGTTATCAGTCTTATTACTGCTTATATAACTCTAGCTGGTTCTGCTTCTCTGGCTGTAAAGGATGGAAAAAGTAGTGTTACGGAGCTCTGTGACTCAGGCTAAAATCATCGGCGCAATAGTATCTATATCTGGTGCTTTGGTTGTTGTGCTATATAAAGGCCCAAAAGTTCTTGCTTCTGCATCTTTTACACCTTCATCATCTACCATTTCGCTTCAACAGAATTTAACTACAGTCGAGTCAAGCTGGATAATAGGAGGCCTTCTGCTTGCTTCACAGTGTTTTCTTGCTTCAATCTGGTATATTGTTCAGGTATAGACACTTGAAAAGTTCATCAAAAAAGACTTTGGGTTGTTGTTGACACACAAAACTCTTACTGAAATTCGGTAGCTGTATCTGGTTTCAGGCTAGGATCATGGAGGTATACCCTGAAGAAGTAACTGTAGTCTTCTTCTACAACTTATCTGCAACGCTAATCTCAGGACCATTATGCTTATTTGCGGAAAGCAACTTGACTTCTTGGGTGCTTAAACTGGATATTTCCCTCGCTGCAATCATATTCTCGGTGAGAATCAAATCTCTTTCCGTTATTGATGATGTTAGAAGCTCAAAGATTAACAAATTCTTTCAGGGGGTCTTTGTTTCATTGTTTGGCGCAGTCATTCACACATGGGGTGTGCATTTGAAAGGTCCGGTCTATGTATCCTTGTTCAAGCCATTGTCTATTGCAATTGCAGTCGCCATGGGTGCTATATTCCTCGGCGATGCACTTCACCTTGGGAGGTACCATTTATATCTTTCGTCTTCTCCTTTTACAGCATGTATAGAAGATTTGATCTCTACTGAGATACATAGAATTCAACTCTAGGTTGTTGAAAATGATTAGTAGCTAACCAATGTAATCACATTTGGAGAATTATATGGTTTTTGGTTTCTACTCTATCCGGCACAAGCCAAACCTGAGCTCTTTTCTTCTGTATTATTTTTTCATATGGTGTGTGAAAATATGATTATTGAGACAGCAACAACCAATATAGATTTCCCCATTTCTGGTTTGGGCAGTGTGATTGGATCAGTGATATTGTGCATTGGATTCTACACTGTGATTTGGGGAAAAGCAAACGAGGATGCAACCAGAAGTGTTAATGATTCTGAAAATTCACCTTTACTGGGTACACACATCGTAGAAGATTAAGCATAGGAATGATGCAAGTGATAATCCTTTAATTATTTACTCATTTTTGAATATGGATCCTTTAGTAGATGATCCGAGTCATGTGTATATAAATGTCTATCTTTACATACAAGACTGTTTTTGTTTTTTTCCTTTCTTGTATTGTTTTGAAGTTATAAATAAGAATGATGATATATATTTTCTTGGATTCATGCAATGATTTTGAAATTGTGAATACATACACAGCCGTGTCCACTAGTCAAGGTAGGCTACTAATATTTTGGTTCAGTTTGGTTTAACTTTTCCGTTAGGTTTTTTTGTTCGGCTGCAGTGGGGAAACGAGGGCTATGATGATGATTGATGCATGCAGAGCATTCAACAACACTAGGTCTTCATCATTGAAACAGAATGTTCAAATGTAAGTTGGAAAAATTCTTCATTTTAATGATTTCCGTGGACCAAATTTCGTTGTCGTGGGATCCCTGAACTATACGAGAAGATGATCCTTGTGGTTTGAAGAAATGTTCAAGTTTATTTATTTAAGTATGGAGAAAGATTGATACTTTTTCCAGGTTGTCGTCACTGAAAATGTCTTTGGTTCTAAATAAAATAATGCTACCATTTAGCAATCGTGGGTGGAAGAACAATCCACCATTTAGATTGCTTTTAGTTTCAGACAGTTTTCTCTGAGAATCTGGATATCAGACCTATCATGAGAGGAGCTGGAGAAGAGACAGAGGCGTGGAGGTACTTTAAGAGAGATGTTGTGCCGTTTGCTGCAATGTTTGTAGTTGAATGTACCACGGTTGGGGCATACACACTGTACAAGGCTGCAACATTAAGAGGATTGAGCTTTTATGTTTTTGTCTTCTACTCCTATGTTGTTTCCACAGTTCTCCTTCTTCCACTTTCTTTCATCTTTGGAAGGTATTTATCTCCTCTTATGTTCTCTTTTCCCAGCGTAGACTAATCAAGAATAAGAAACTTAATTTTGCATATGCAGGTCAAAAAGATTACCTTCAGCCAAGTCTCCTCTCTTCTTCAAGTTTTTCTTACTTGGACTTTCGGGTAATAAATACACCCCTGCTTATAGATAATGTGCATTTCCTGTTTCTCGAGTAATAATTCCTGTTTTTGTTTTCTTATTTTTATATCTTTTAACTTGGAGGGAACAGGGTCATTGGGCAGATAGCTGGTTGTAAAGGTATAGAATACAGTTCACCAACTCTTGCCTCTGCTATGAGCAATCTCACACCAGCTTTTACATTCACCCTCGCCGTTATCTTCAGGTTCCACCTCCTTCATTCTTTCCTTGGATAAGTTGGGTGGATATGACGTCTGTGTGCTACTATCATTCTTATTACTGAGTGTGTAACTCTAATTGGTTCTGCTTCCTTGCGTGTAAAGGATTGAAAAAGTAGTGTTACGGAGCTCTGGGACTCAGGCTAAAATCATTGGCGCAATAGTGTCTATATCTGGTGCTCTGGTTATTGTGCTATATAAAGGTCCAGAAGTTCTCGCTGCTGCATCTTCAACATCTACCATTTCACTTCACCAGAATATAATTTCAGTCGAGTCAAGCTGGATAATCGGAGGCCTTCTGCTTGCTTCACAGTATTTTCTTGCTTCAGTCTGGTATTTTCTTCAGGTATACACACTTGAAAAGTTCATCAAAGGAACTTTGGGCTGTTGTCGACACATAAAGCTCTTGACAAATTTGTATCTGTACATGGTTTCAGACTAGGGTCATGGAGGCATACCCTGAAGAAATAACCGTAGTCTTCTGCTACAACTTATTTGCAACGCTAATCTCAGCACCAGTGTGTTTCTTAGCAGAGAGAAACTTGAGTTCTTGGGTGCTTAAACCTGATATTGCCCTCGCTGCAATAGTATACCAGGTGAGAATCACATATTACAGTCTAATTCTATCACTGACGATGTTTTTAGCTCAGAAATTAACACTTTGTTTTCAGGGAGTCTTTGTTTCATTATTCAGCGCAATTATCCACACATGGGGTCTGCATCTAAAGGGTCCGGTCTACATATCATTGTTTAGGCCTTTGTCTATTGCGATTGCAGTCGCCATGGGTGCTATATTCCTCGGCGATGCTCTTCACCTTGGGAGGTACCACATATTTCATCTTCTTCATTTCCATCTCTAGATTTTATCTACACTGAGAAACATAGAACTCAAGTCTAGGTTTGTTTAATGCTTAGTATTGTGTATACATATGTCTAACTAATGGAATCACATTTGGAGAATTATATGGTTTCTGGTTTCTACTATAATCTTCACAAACTCAGACCTGACCACTACATCCACATGAGCTCTCATATATGTTTTATGGGCAGTGTGATTGGAGCAATGATCTTGTGCTTTGGATTCTACACTGTAATTTGGGGCAAAGCGAGAGAGGAAGCAACCAAAAGTGTTGCTGGTTCTGAGCATTCTTCACCTTTGCTGCTTACACACACATTGTAGAAGATGAAGCCTTGTCATTGAGATAGATTGATCCAAGTGTTTAATCCTTAAATTTGTATCATTCACTAATGAATATGGGGATCCTGGGCCCTATTTATGTTCATATAAATGTCTATATTTATGAGGTTTTTTCGTTCTTACTTGTAATATTTTGAGGTTACAAATAAGAATGATATTTCTCCTGTGATTTTCTTGGATTGTCTATTGGTTAAATTAGGCTATGAATTTTTTGGTTCGGTTCGGTTCAGTTTTTTGGTATGTCCCATGCCAAATTCCTAACCGTTGGATCAGAAATCTACACTTGAAGCGTGTTGACGAGCGTATCGAAATACTAACCGTTGGATCAAAACCTCCACCTGGGAAAGAGTATCAACGATCGTCTCAAAATCGGACATATTATTTTGACGATCATCGTCTCGCCGGAAGCATCAAACGGGACCGGCGACGGCAAAGTCCACTCCGTAAGCCGTGCGACTGTACATCGATGGAGATTGCAGCGTTGGTGTTAATTTCAGTGGAAGGTGGAATAGGAAGTTTTGATAAATCGATCAAATTTTCCCTTCTGAAGATGAAGCTGAGATTAGCGAACAAATCTTTGAGCTGGAGTGAGGATTCTTCTGATCGCTGCTGCATTATGCGTTGATAAAAGTGGGAAAACGAGGGCTATGATGATGCTGATTGATGCAGTTTTGGCAGAGCTGAGTCTAAGCATTCAACAACACTATAAGCCTTCATCGTTAGAAGAGAATGTTCAAATGAAAGCTGGTAAATTTCTTCAACTGGATGATGATTGAAATTGATTGGTAGGTTAATAGAGCTCCTTGTCGTGGGGTCAGTAGAATATTCGATAAGATGATCCTTGTGGTTTGAAGAAATTGGTCAAGTTGAGATATATTTTATTATGGAGAAAGATTGATACTTTTCCAGTTTGTCGTCAACGATAATGTCTTTGGTTCGAAATAAAATAATGCTCCAATTTAGCAATCATGGTGGAATTAACCTCCAAACAACATGATTGCTTCTTAATTTCACAGAGTTTCTGGGAAACTGGGTATCAGATCTGTGTAGTATCATGAGAGGAAGTGGAGAAGAGACAGTGGCGTGGAAATACTTTACCAGAGATGTTGTGCCGTTTGCTGCAATGTTTACAGTTGAGTGTACCACTGTTGGGTCAAACACACTCTTCAAGGCTGCAAGTTTAAGAGGATTGAGCTTTTATGTCTTTCTCTTCTACTCTTACGTTGTTGCTACACTTCTCCTTCTTCCACTTTCTTTCATCTTTGGAAGGTATTTATCTCTTTCACTTTTTTTTTTTCCAGTATATCAACTTTTCAAGAATCTGAACTTTATATTGCATATGCAGGTCAAGAAGATTACCTCCAGCCAAGTCTCCTCTTTTCTTCAAGATATTCTTGCTTGGGCTTCTTGGGTAATAATATACTCCTGCTTCTTGATTACTGGGACATTTTTGGTTTTTGTTTTCTAAATTATGACTTGGAGGGAACAGGTTCATGGCGCAGCTAGCTGGATGTAAAGGAATAGAATATAGTTCTCCTACTCTTGCCTCTGCTATGACTCTATGAGCAATCTCACACCAGCTTTCACATTCACTCTCGCTGTTATCTTCAGGTTTCACCTCCTTCTTTTATATTTCTGGTTTGGGAAATTAGTCTGGACAAAGAAAAACCTTTTGTGAAATGACTAAGATTTTGTTAGTGACTAGTAGTTCATACCAGAGAAGTTCTCATGTTATTTTAAATTATAAAGTTATGAAGCACTTGTAGTAGTGGTCACGGAATAGCCACTAGTACAAAAACAACCTTGTGGTTAGATATGACGCCTGTTTGCTACTATCATTCTTATTACTAAGTATGTAACTCTAACTTGTTCTACTTTTCTTGGGTGACTCGTAAAGGATGGAAAGAGTAGTGTTAAGGAGCTCTGCAACTCAGGCTAAAATCATTGGCGCAATAGTGTCTATATCTGGTGCTCTGGTTATTGTGCTATATAAAGGCCCAAAAGTTCTCGCTACGGCATCTTTTATACCTACATCATCTACTATTACGCTTCACCAGAGTTTAACTTCAGTCGAGTCAAGCTGGATAATCGGAGGCCTTTTGCTTGCTTAAGAGTATTTTCTTTGTTCAGGTATAGACACTTGAAAAGTTCATCTAAGAGACTTTGGGTTGTTGTCGACACATAAAGCTCTTGACTAATTGGTAGCTGTATATGGTTTCAGACTCGGGTCATGGAGGTATACCCTGAAGAAATAACTGTAGTCTTCTTCTACAACGTATTTTCAGTGCTAATCGCAGGACCAGTATGTTTATTTGCGGAAAGCAACTTGACTTCTTGGGTGCTTAAACCTGATATTTCACTCGCTGCTATCATATACTCGGTGAGAATCACATTATACAATCTGCTTCCATAACTGACGATGTTTTAAGCTCAGAAATTAACACTTTGTTTCAGGGAGCCTTTGTTTCAATATTTAGTGCACTTATCCACACATGGGGTCTGCATCTGAAAGGTCCGGTGTACATATCTTTGTTTAGGCCATTGTCGATTGCCATTGCAGTTGCCATGGGTGCTATATTCCTAGGCGATGCGCTTCACCTTGGGAGGTACTATATCTCTCATCTTCTAAATTAATTTATCGTGTGAGAAAAACACTCTGTCTCCATTGTTCAATGATATATCGCTTTATAAACTGCAATATACTTTTAAGACTGCGATAACCGAGTAAGATTTCGCCATATATTTTTTTGTGGGCAGTGTCATTGGATCAGTGATATAGTGCTTTGGATTCTACACTGTGGTTTGGGGCAAGGCAAGAGAGGATGCAACAAAAAATGTAGCTGGTTCTGAGAATTCACCTTTGCTGCTTAGACACACCGTAGAAGATGAAGCCTTGCCAGTAAGATAGGATTATGCAAGTGGACTCCTTATATTATTCATTTATAAATATGGTTACTTTAGAAGATGGTCTTTGTTTATGTGCATATATGTCTGTATTACAGATAAGAGTTTTCTCTTGTTAATTAAGAATGATATAAATTTTGTCTTCTGTAAGAAATATTTGTTGTTGTTTTTTTTTTTATTATTCGGGATATGCGTTCACTTGCCTTGTTTAGGTATAATTGTATAAACTATTGGTCAAGTTGGAATACTTTATCTAAATATAATAAATTATTAGCAAACATGGTGGGATTAACCATTTTGATTGCTTATGAACTCACTTTGACTTCTGAGAGTTTTTTGAAAGTCTAGAAATGGCAAGAGGAGCAGAAGAAGAGACAGTGGCATGGAGATACTTTTACAGAGATGTTGTGCCATTTGCTGCGATGGTCTTAGTGGAGTGTGTCACGGTTGGATCTAACACACTGTTCAAGGCTGCAACCTTGAGAGGATTGAGCTTCTATGTCTTTGTCTTCTACACTTATGTTGTTGGTACACTTGTCCTTCTTCCTCTTTCCCTCATCTTTAAAAGGTACTTGATTTCCCCAACTAATCTTGCCCTGTATAATCTTTTCAAGAATATGAACTTATTTTTCTTATGCAGGTCAACAAGATTACCGCCAGCCAAATTTCCTCTCTTCTTCAAGATTTTCTTACTTGCGTTTCTGGGGTAATTTTATACTCTTAGAGTTATAGGCTTATAGCCTTATGAGCATTTCCATTTTACTAAGTTGGAGGATACAGGTTCGTGGTGGGGATGATTGGTGCTAAAGGAATAGAATATAGTTCTCCTACTCTTTCCTCTGCTATCAGCAACCTCACACCAGCTTTCACCTTCACGCTTGCCGTTATCTTCAGGTTCCACCTCCTTCTCTTTCGATTCTGTTGTGGAAAAGTAATTTATACGGCTAAGTGAACAATGGGTGATTCCAATGTTTTTGTGGACTGACCAAGATATGTTTTGACATCCTAATCTTCACTTCTTCTGGTCAGTGAGTAAGTAGTTTAGACATTAACTTTTACTGGTTCTGCTTTTCTTGGGTGACTCGTAAAGGATGGAACAAATAGTGTTAAGGAGCTCTTCGACTCAGGCTAAAATCATTGGCACATTAGTATCTATATCTGGTGCTCTGGTTGTTGTTCTCTATAAAGGCCCAAAAGTTCTCGCTGCTGCATCTCTTACATCTTCATCATCTACCATTCCTCTTTACCAGCACTTGACTTCGTTCGATGCAAGCTGGATTATCGGAGGGCTTTTGCTCGCTATACAGTATTTTCTTATTTCAGTCTGGTTTATTCTTCAGGTATGGAAAAGACTTTGGATCTGTAGGTGACACATTTAAACTCTTGCTAATTTTGGCAGCTCTGTTTGATTTCAGACTCAGGTCATGGAGGTATACCCTGAAGAACTAACTGTAGTATTCTTGTACAACGTATGCGGAACACTAATCTCAGCACCAGTATGTCTATATTTGGAAAAAGACTTGACTTCTTTTCTTCTCAAACCTGATATCTCCCTTGCTGCAGTCTTGTACTCGGTGAGAAACAAACCTTATATGTTGTTTCAAGCAGTGACTATCTTTTTATGCTCAGAAATTAACACTCTTTTTCAGGGAGGCTTACTTTCATCATTTGGCTTAGCTATACATTCATGGGGTCTGCATCTGAAGGGTCCAGTCTACATATCCTTGTTCAAGCCATTGTCTATTGTCATTGCAGTCGCTATGGGTGCTATGTTCCTCGGCGATGCACTTTACCTTGGGAGGTACTATATACCTCTCTATATCATATCGTCATATGTCTTTGCAGACAGTAATAACTGATATTGATTTCCCCATGTATTTGTTGTGTGCAGTGTCATCGGATCAGTGATTTTGAGCTTAGGATTCTACACTGTGATTTGGGGCAAAGCAAGAGAGGACTCAACCAAAACTATGGCTGGTTCTGAGCATTCACCTTTGTTGGTTACACAGTCACAAACCATAGAAGATGAAGCCTCATCATTAAGATATGACTGATGCAAGTGTAATCCTTATGTTTATTCATTTATAAAATATTGAGTCATTAAGAGATGGCCGCCAATAGTGTTTACATGTAACAATTCTCTGTTATAATCTTGTATTATTTCAAAGTGTTAAATAAGGATGAAATTGGTACAAACGAGCGATAGTTCCATACTACCTTCACTATGCTTGCTTCTGAGCTCATTTTGTCTTAAGATAATTTTTCAGAGTCAAGACAAGCAAGGGAAGAGACAAGGCCATATTCTTTTGAAGATTCGCTGCAATAGCCGCAGTGGAGGATTGAACTTATATGTCTTTATATTTTAAAGAATATGAACTAGCATTTAGCAAACGTGGTGATATTAATTACTAATGGTTGCTTATGAGAAGTCACTTCGACTTTTTGAGATTTTTGGAAAGTCAGATCTATGACGAGAGGGACAAGAGAAGAGACAGTTGCTTGGAGATACATTTTGTGCCATTTGCTGCAATGATCGCAGTGGAGTGTGTCACGGTCGGATCGACCACACTGTTCAAGGCTGCGACATTGAGAGGACTGAGCTTCTATGTTTTTGTCTTCTACACTTATGCTGTCGCTACACTTGTCCTCTTTCCACTTTCTCTCATCTTGGGAAGGTAACTAGTCTTTTTTGACCATTGTAAAGTTTTTCAAGAATGTGAGCATATTTTTAAATGTGCAGGTCAAGAAGTTTACCATCAGCTGTATCTCCTGTCTTCTTCAAGATTTTCTTACTTGCACTTGTTGGGTATGAACATTCAACAACATTGGTTCGATGCCGCCTTTAAACGATGAGATTGAGGTTGAGGGTGAAGAAGACAACGGAAGGAGAGAGAGTGGGAGTGAAGAGAGTAATAATGGTGATGGTGGGGAAACACTTTTTGATTTGTTTAGGAGGACTTGATCTTGTTTCTTCTTCTTCTTCTTCTACTTCTTGCTGAAGCTTGGTTACGTTGTAATTACTTGACATCCATAAAAACATAAACTACTTAACAATGTAAACTAAATTATTCTTTTGACTGTCCTTAACTAACAACAAGGGTGTAGTGGAGCTGTCAGTCATTCCGGTTTGATGCGGTTTTCGTTTGGTTCACTTCGGTTTAAGAACATTTACAGAGTGACCAGAACAGAACAACGTCTCAGTGAATAAATTTGGGCTTACAGGGCCAGGCCCATTTGACAACAAATTAGCCATTTATGCATAGCTTGGAGAGGATATGTACGTACGGAAAATGAGCATGAAAATTTAAAAGAAAATAAATGATGTTTATATTTTCCAAAAGAGGGCTGCAATTTTTGCGTGACTGTGTGAAGCAGAGAGAGAGACAGAGTGAGAGTAAGCAAGTGAGAGTGAGAGGAAGCAAGAGAATGGGGAATCGTTCGCTAGGGTTTTGGGTGACTGCGTTTTTCTTACTCGGAAGCTTGATCGACGCGGCCGATGGCTCGATTCACGAGTACAAGGACGAAGGGTTCGTCAAAATCGCCAATGCTCGCTACTTCTATGGTGGTCACGAAGGTCTTTACGCTTCTGAGTTTCTGGGTGTTGATGCTTCTTCTGCTACAGCTCCTCCTCTCAAGGGAAACTCCTTCATCAGGTACATATTTCACTTTTCTCTTACTGATTATGTTTCCGTTGAGCTAGGGTTTTTATGTGACTGGGTCGATTCTGTGTGTACTTTAGCTGATGGATCGTCACAGGAGGATAAAATACTTGATTTCTGGTGTTTCGATTTATCGATTCGTTACCAGATTTTGTGCGTTTTCACTAACCAGGGACATTTCAAGCTTTACGCAAAAAGATTCATCTTTGAGCTTTTATATTTGGTTTACTGCTTCTTCGTTACTGGAATTGTGCTTTTGAGGTAGCGTTTTCTAAGGAGAATTATATGTATCAGCTTATAGATTTGTATTTGTAGATGAGAATTTTTGATATCTTATAGTTCTCCTGTTTATTTTTTGAGTGTGTGTAGGTTTGATGATGTCTCTTTTGTAAGAAGCAAGGAATCCGCTAGCAAGCAGAATTCAACTCAGGCGAGTGCAGGCTTGGTGGAAGCGATACTGTTTGAGGCGAAGCAAAAAGACAGAGTTGGTGGATCTTTTTTCAAAACAGAGAGCTTCTGCTGTACACCAAACTTGCGGATGCTGGTTCCTGCAACCTTGGGGAAGTTATGATTAGTGCAGATCCTAATGACCCTGAATGGCCTAAGCGGATTCACACTTTCTTCAAAAAGGGTGAGGAAGAAGTGAAGATGTCTCCGGAAGCTGTGATCATTAACAAAACTGGACGGTACATTGTGTACTTCACGACCTGCGATGAAGATTTGGATGGCACTGTTGTCAGGGGAAGAACAGTTTGGAAGAACCTAGATGGGTATTTACCAGGAGAGACAGCTCCTCTAATGAAGTTCTATGGATTCATGTTCGTAGCTTATATGTTGCTTGGCGTAGTTTGGTTTCCACGATTTGTTAGGTACTGGAAGGATGGAATCCAGCTGCATAGTCATGTTAGCTTGGTTATTGCATTTTCCATGTATGAGTTGGCCTTCATGTACTCTGGTTTTGCCTATCTCGACTCGGTTGGTACAAGTCCTGTGAAGGCAACGTTATGGGCTGTGAGTTTTTCTTCTGCGAGGAAGGCGTTGTCTCGGCTTCTACTGTTGGCTTTAACTTCAGGATATGGACTTGTGAAGCCTGAAATATCCGGCTTTACACCGAGGATGCTTCTTCTTGGCGGCATGTGCTATGTGATTAGTCTATCTCTGGGATCGGCGCAGCATTTTGGGAGTCTCACTGAAGATGGGATGACTTTGTTGATGCTGTCTTGGGCTATAATGGAAACATGCTTTCTCCAGTGGATTTTCAGGTCCTTGTGGAATACGCTTAAGAAGCTTAAGGTAATGAACCTACAGTACTGTAACATATTAACTATAACTCTATAAGTAGCTCTCCTGGTAACTGTTGAAAGTTGCAATTGAGCCATATATGAAGATGCAGTTCTAAGCTTTTCATCCCTGCTAATCCCATCTAGTTTATTTGATGTAGGTGAACAAGAGGAACATTGCTAAGTTGCAGCTCTACAAGAACTTTGCAGTTGTACTAGTAACCATGGCGGTGCTTAACTTTGCCTGGGTTTATGTGGAGGTAACAGCTCGCTAGTCTGATAATAACTCTGGGAATCACTTGATAATGGCAAGTCATAGGATCGGTGTGACTGATACATGTTTTTCTTGAAACAGGTATATATCAATGACTCCCTGAGTGAGCTTTGGCAAGTGAAGTGGATGATCCCAGCATTTTGGTATGTGCTTGCCTATGCACTATTGGTAGTCATCTGCTGCTTTTGGCCTCCAACCGAAAAGCCAACCAGGTAAATTAATATTAATCTCTTACCCTTTTATCATACCAATTTGATATAGTTACTAACTAATCCTACTGTTTAATGCTTGTAATGAATATGTTTGCACATTTGTCTAATGTAATAAACTGGTTTGAAATAAGCAGGTACCTCTACACAGCTGAAATGGAGGATGAGTTTGAGGAAGAAGATGAAGATGAAGATCTAGTATTGGCAGAAGCAGGGATGAAGAGTGAAAATGGGAGAAATGTGGAGAGGGAAGAGAGGAAGAGCCTTCTAGAAGCATTCATTCTCTTGTTTGTGAATATACGTGAGAGGTGAAACAATCAAATCCTAACCCAAGCTGCCTCCTAACCATCCTTTTAATTAGCTTCGGTTTTAAGTGTGTTCAAGTCTCTAAACTCTTTAGTACAACTAGAATCATTTTCCAGCAGACTTTTATGTAGTTTCCCTTATGTAATCCGTTTTTCTATTTCATGACAAACTAATGGATGAAGAATATTTTAGTTGGAACCGTCATCATAATTACAATTACTTCGCTCAATGCTACTTGTCAACTAAAAACGTAATGCAATTAAAACTCTACATCTACAATCTGTCAACTTTCTACAATCTATAAAAATGTAGATAATTTTACATTTACAAAGAATAACACAATCGTTCTTCTAGATTATAGAATAACACTACAAACCACTGAAGAAGAGAAAAGGGATAATACTAGCATCTTTTTACTCAGTAAAAGTTGTTATTCAAAATAAGTCTAGTGAAAGTTGTTATTACGAGTTCTTTGTGTATTTTTTTTTTTTCGTTACTACTTGCTAGTATATTAAAATTTCGTCTACACCACGGCATCAAAAGTCAAATCTGATAAATGATAATACAATAACATAGCTACGTAGGGAGCCTTAAGTTTAATTTTAAAATTAGAGTGGGCAGAATTATATAATTATCCTTTTTGAAGAAATGTGAAAGATGCATAGTCCAAACTTGAAGTTTATTAGTATAGAAACTCGAATGCTAACTGTATTAGACATTTTGTTTAAGACATTTTGTTTAAGTCTGTTTTGTTCTAGACATTTTGGTTCGATTCGGGTTGGTTATTTCCGGTTACACCTAGTACTGAATCATAGAGCATTAGAGCGTAGCAAAATCCTAACCGTTGAATAAAAAAAATCTACGCTTGAGTAAAGAGTCAACGAACTTCTCAAAAATCTAACCGTTGGATCAATACTTTTGACGGTCATCGTCGTCTTCCCGGAAGCATCAAACGGGACAGTCGACGGCAAAAGTCCCTCCGTGAGCTTCTGGTTCCGTTTCGCCGTCGAGTACGACATGACCATTGCTGCGATTGCGGGGATCTGTTGAACAAGTTGATTGAGTTGCTCATCATCTGTTGCTGGAGAAATCGAAGGTCAATGATGATTTAGGGTTGGTCGAATTGCTGTTGGATTTCAATTAAGTAATCAATTAGGGATAATTTGGGTAAAAAAGATTGCTTTAGGTTAGTTGCTAATTAATGGCGGATGGTTCGCTAATCTCCGCTTCAATTAGCGAACCATCGATGATGATCCTTGTGATTGTTGATGCTGATCCAATTTGATTCAGAGCTGAGTTTTAAGCATTCGATACAAGAAAGTTTATTTGTGGTGGGTCCCTTTAATATTGTGATATGATCTCTGTGGTGTGAAGAATTAGTCGCATGGTGTCACTAAGACTATGGTTGCTTCTAATTTTTAAATTCACTTTTAAATTGAGAGAAGTTCTGAGAATCATTGGATATTATGAGAGAAACAGTGGCATGGAGGTACAGTAACAGAGATGTTGTGCCGTTTGCTGCGATGGTCTAAGTGGAGTGTGTCACGGTTGGATCTAACACACTGTTCAAGGCTGCGACCTGGTTGTTGTTTTGTATAAAGGGCCAAAAGTTGTAGCTGCTTCATCTCTTACCATCTCGCATTTGACTTTTATCTGAGTCAAGTTGGATAATTGGAGGCCTGTTAATTGCTGCACAGTATATGCTTGTTTCAATCTGGTTGATTCTTCAGGTACATAACAGTTCATGAAAAAAGAGTTTGGATTTGTTGGGGGCACATAAAATTTCTTGCTGAATTCAGTAGCTCAAAATATGATTTTCAGACTCGGATCATGGAGGAATACCCTGAAGAAATAACTGTAGTCTTCTTGTACACCTTATGCGCAACACTTATCTCAGCACCAGTATGTCTTCTTGCGGAAAAAGACTTGACTTATTTTCTTCTTAAACCTGATATGCCCTCGCTTCAGTCGTGTACTCGATGAGAATCAAACCCTATATATGTATGTTGCTTCTAGTATTGTCTCTAAAGATAAACTCTGTTTCAGGGAGCCTTAGTTTCATCAATGGGCTCAGTTATACACACATGGGGTCTGCATCTGAAGGGACCAGTCTATATATCATTGTTCAAGCCTTTGTCTATTGTTATTGCGGTCATCATGGGTGCTATCTTCCTCGGCGATCCACTTCACCTTGGGAGGTACCGTTATCTTTCACCTTCTTTTTTAGTACCACTTATAGTAAGATGTTATCTACATTGTCTCTTTATTGAGAAACAGAGACAACTCTTAAGTAGTTTTAGTTTCATGTATATCTATCCATGGAATCACATTTGGTTCTGGTTCTAATCCATCACAACTTAGCCTCCATTGTTCCTTCATAAGCCTCTGTATATGTGTTGTGTGCAGTGTCATCGGGTCAGTGATTTTGAGCTTTGGGTTTTACACTGCTTTGGGGCAAAGCAAGAGAAGTTGCAACCAAAACAGTAAGTGTTTCTGAGCAGTCACTTCTGTTGCCTACACACAACATAGAAGGTGAATCCTTGTCTTGAAGATATGTTGGATACAAGTGAAATTTTAGCGATTTTCATTCTTTAAGAAATCTATTTTTGAGTTTTTGTGATCAAGTTTATGTGTTACTAACGTTTCGTTCATGTAGTATCAGCAGAAAGAGAAAAGAATATACAGTATAGACAAACCACAAACACTTTAGTCTCAGTAACAAATATTTTTTGAACGAACAGTAAACAATTTTATCTCATGAAGACAGAATTAATACTAGTGGCCTTCGTGAGCAAGTTCATATACATTAATATTCAAATCTCGTAACAGCAAGTTCCTTTGTATTGTCCATATCTCATGTTACATCAATAGTGATTCTTAAAATTTGTCCAAGGAAGGTTCCTCTGACACGGCACTTTGATATACTCCCTCCGTTTTTTTTTAATGAATTTTCTAACCATTATATGTTGTTTCATAAAGATAAAATTTTTACCTTTTTGATGCACTTTTTCAGTTTTCAAGATACAATGATTATATTTGTTGGATTTTTATTGGTTTAAAATTATAAAAAGTTGTTTTATTGCAGAAATCTATGCACTAATGATTGAAAATCAACTTTTTCTTAATCTGTGTGAAAAAACTAGAAAATTTATCTTTAAAAAACGGAGGGAGTATTATTTTAAACCAAAGACAAAGGGTCACTACGTCAATAAGAACTATTTTATACTCTCTCCGATTTTTTTTTTATAAATTTTCTAGGATTTTCACACATATTAAGGAAAAGCAGATTTTCAATCATTAATGTATTGATTTTTGTAATAAAATAACTTTCTATAATTTTTAACCAATAAACATCTAACAGATACAATCATTGTTTCTTGAAAACTGAAAAAGTGTATTAAAAAAGTAGAAAATTTATCTTTGTGAAACAACAACTAATGTCTAGAAAATTCATCTTAAAAAAACGGAGGGAGTAAGTTTTAGTCAATGTTTATTAGAGCATATTTAACGCAGGTACCTTAGAGAGGTGCTAAGGGAATCTTGCATTTAATTTAAATCAAAAACTCATTTTTAATCAAGTTTCGACGCTTATATAGTCGTTATAAGCGTCAGAGCTTATGTTCATCATGAGTCTTTTCTCTTCATTTCTCAGTTTCTCTTTTCTCTTTCTCTCTTTGCAAACTTTTTATATTAAAATATTAGCTAAGCGCATTATCAAACGTTCTTGCGTTATACATGCTCTTACGAGTCTTTGTGTATATATTTTTTTCATTGCTACTTGCTAGTATTCTAAAAGTTCGTGTATACCACACTATCAAAAATCAAATCTGATAATACAATGAATTTGGTAGGGTGATTTTAATATAGACACTATTTTAACAACTTTTTAGATTGGGACTCTTTTTCATAGACACTATTTCAACAACTTTTTTAGATTGGGACACTTTTTCCATGGTATCATTTTTATAAACCCAAAACTGCACTCGGTGGAGATACGAATTATGGATGAATTACCATAGACTGATAGACATGATAATATTTTTGAAGAAAATTAATTATTACTGAAATTGTCTTAGTAACAATGGACAAAATAGAAGATTGAAAATGGTTAAATGACAAAACCGAGTCTAGAAAAGTATATCTCTAGCGGCGTCTACGGTCTACCTCTTCTCCACGTCCTCTGCTTCCATGTCCACAGCTTGTAAATTGCCAGTCCATCTCCTTAACCCAATTTGTTTTCTTAACGAATTAAATGTGCCAGCTGCATAGGCCGACCTTAACCCTTACCCTCATAACCTCATTAATAAAATCAGAGTCGATCATTGACGCAATGTTCGGATCTCCGGCGACTTGTTAAAATGGTATACTTTAAACATTTTCAATTATACAGACAACAAAGCAAAGATCCGGAAGCTACGGGACAAAATAGTAAAAAAATGCATGAGGACAATAAACACTGCTACGTGGGGAGCATTAAGTTTTAATGTTTAACTTAGAGTGGGCACGATTTAGATTTTCGAAGGAGTTGTGAAAAGATGCATAGGCCAACCTTGCCCCATCAACAGAAATGTAGAGGCTAATCATTCTTTTATAGTAGTATAGGAAGCCATATAATTCCAAATTGATCGTTGATCGTTGACTTTTGTTCAGACAGCCTGTAAGCTTGAGATTGTCTCGTGTTTTTATTTTATTTTTTAATTATTACAATCTATTATTATGTTAGGGATTGTTGTTATACATTGAGAGAGAGCGAGAAGCTAATCACAGTCAAAAACCATACTAAAAAATCTCTCATATTACTCGTTCGTTATTATTCGAAACATCTCTCTCCACCTGACTGGATTCGGATTCGGATTCGGAGCGGGAGTCGAAGCTCTTATTACTCATGTCTGAACTAATGAATGTCGACGACTCTACCGATTCATATGACTCGGATTTCATATCAGTCATTAGACGGATCTACTCTCTCATCAACTCTATGGATTTGGATTCGCAATCGAAGCCGGAGTCGGAGCTCATGTCACTCATTAAGCAAATAATCTCTCTTTTCAGCTCCATATCGGATTCGGAGCCGGAGTTAAAGTTCAAATCAGTCCTGACCGAAGTGATCTCTCTCCTAAGCTCTATAGATTCCGATATGGAACCGAGGCAGGAGCAAGTGCAGGAGCTCATGTTACTCATTGCTCAAGTTTCCGATTGTATCCATTCTATGGCTCCGGGTTCAGAGCTCAAATCCGGCGTTACTCGATTACTGTCTCTCCTTGACCCTACGGAGCCGAAGCAGGACAATCTTATTTCTATGGATTCAGATTTGGAGCCGGAATCGAAGCTCATATGGCTCCTTTCTCAACTCTTCTATGTGCATCCTCTATCACTAGATTCAAAGGACGTACCACTCATTCATCAAGTAATCTCTTTGCTCAAATCTATGGATTTGGATCCACAGCCGAAGCCGGAGTCGAGGCTCATGTCACTCACTACTCAAACAATCTCTCTTTTCAACTCTATGGATCTGGATTCAGAGCCTGAGGCACTGTCGGAGCTCATATCAGTCTTTTCTCAGAAACCCAACTCATGGGATTTGACATTAGTATTACTTATTGATGCCACATTGGATCTCGAGCCAGAGCCGGAGCTCATGTCACTCATCCATCAGATATTCTCCCTAGCCATCTCTATGGATTCAAAGTGCCAGAAGCTTATTTCCTTATGCCCTCAAGTAGAGGTAGATTACGAAGAAGGGAAACTTCGTGTGACTGGAAAAGTAGAGGGGAGCAATAAAAGGAGGGATTGTCTCCCTATGTCCTGGAAAAAATTCAGTTTACCTGGGGAAGAAGCTACCCATTTTCGCTGCGTTGGTTGCAATGGGGAGAAACATGGAACATTTGAAAAGGCTCCACTCAAGATCAAACACTCTTCATCCAAAACATTCTCTTCAACTTGTCTTGCGGAGGGAATATGCTAAAAAGATGAAGTGTTATTGCTGTGGTGTACGTCTCAAAGACATATTCTATTGTTGCTTGGTTTGCGCTCATCTTATGAGTGTAGCTTGTGTGGAGAAGCCACCACTCTTATCTATAGACCAGTCAAAGTGGCATGAGCATACACTTACTCACTTTCCAAGACAAGCTTCCTTGACTTGCGACCTCTGTGCCTTGGCAAATTCAAGCTCTCCTTTCTATGTATGTCTCCTTTGTGACTTTGTGGTCCATCAAAGCTGTCTCAGCTTACCACGTGTCATCCGGATATCTCGCCATCCCCATCGAATCTCTTTCACTCCTTCTTTTGACCAAGGAAATTGGTCTTGTGGTGTTTGTCGCAGAGAGATCAACAACGACTACGGAGGTTATTCTTGCATCAAGGATGATTGTTCGTATGCGGCTCATTCAAAATGTGCCACACAGAGCAATGTGTGGGATGGTAAAGAACTAGAGGGAGAGCCTGAAGAAATTGAAGAAGAAGTCATGCCGCCGTTTGTGAGGATAAGCGATGGTATCATTCAACATTTCAGTCATGAAGATCATCATCTGAAACTTGATGAGAATGCCGGCAGTGATTATGACGAGAACAAGCAGTGTCAAGCATGCATCACACCGGTATATTTCGGCAACTATTACTCTTGTATGCAATGTGAGTTCATATTACACGAAACTTGTGCAAATCTTTCTCGCAAAATGAATCATCCTATACATCCACACCTGCTTACTCTAGTGACAAGACACGACGGTGTTATAAAAATAAGCTCTGATACGGATATCACCAACTATGAGAGTTCATGTTCAGCTTGTCCTTGGTTGTGCACAGCTGGTTTCTTCTATGAGTGCGGTGAAGAAGGATGCTGTTTTAAGGTACATGTGCAGTGTGCTACAATTTCTGAACCATTAGATCAAGGAAGCCATGAGCATCCTTTATTCCTAACATCCAAACCAGGAGAGAAGAGAAAGTGTTCAATTTGCCAAGATGATGATTACACAGAAACATTCAACTGCATTGAGTGCGACTTTGCTTTGTGTTTTGGGTGTGCTACTTTACCTCAAAAGGTGAGGTATAAGCATGATAAGCATACGCTCGCTCTTTCTTATAGGAAAGAGCCAAGTACCATGACGTATTGGTGTGAAGCCTGCGAGAGAAAAATAAAACCGAATAAGCGGTTTTATATGTGTGATAAGTATTGTTGTGTTACCCTACACATTGGTTGTCTGATTGGAAAGGACTTATACATGAAGCCCGGTGCATCGTGGTTATACAACAATAGAAAGGTAGTTGTTGTGCCCAACAATCAACATATGTCTCGTCCTTTTTGCTCTTGTTGTAAGAAGCGTTGTCCATACAAAACGTTGTTCCAGCGCTATGTATTTACAATTTGTTCCACAAAGTGTATGTATCATGGTATTCCATAAAGGTGACCAAACAGCTTGATGGAGATTGCTATCGTTGTAAGAAATATTATTGAATTATTATTCTGTTGCGTTGCTTAGTCAAACAGTGATACGTAATGAGATATTTCCGCACATATTTGATTTAAGACGTTTTTTCAATCTGAAACTCTTTTTAGCGCGTCTCAAATGCTCCAAAATATTCCACCATACAATTGACTGAGTCCGGTTACTCCGGTTTATTTCGGTTCCATTCTGAACCGCAATGTTGAGTCTTAAGTCTTATAGCAGAGTGTGAGAGTGGCCAAGAAGCAAGTAAGCGAGCTTAAGGAACAAGGGTAATGGCGATGCAGATGACTCACCTGGCTCTCCCCAGGGCCGGCCCTGATGCTCATTATACTTCCTCGTTCAAATTTTAGTAGCTTATCTCCATGTATCTTCTACCGCATCTCCAGAGAAATTTGACCATCTTGTCGATCTCTCTTTCAAAACAAAACCTCCGGCCTCAAAAAACAGGATTTTCCAGTCGAAATATCTCAGTTTGGTGTTCTCATCAGGTTCGTTTATTTGTTGTTATTTTATCTCACCAAATATCAGAGCTTCTTGCTCCGTTAAACAAGTTCATTATCATTAGTTTATGGAAGTATCCATGGTCAGTGGTTATTTATGGTCTGTTAGATGACATTTACTGTTGGATTTCACTTAAGTACTTGAAGTTACAGAAGAGTAAGGGCTAATTTATGTAGTACGATTGCTTTAGGTTACTTAATACTGATTGAGATTGCAGATTTTTGGGGTTGATTTCTCTGGAAGGTCAAGAGGAAATGCAATAAGTCAATCTTTGAGCTGTGGTGATGATCCTTGTGATGGAATTTGATGCATTGGAGAAGAATGTGCTAATGAACGATTGACCTGAAAGTATTGTAGCTATAATAGGAAAATTTTATATTTGTGGTGAGGTCCCTAGAATATTAGGATAGGATCTCTGTGGTGTGAAGTACTAGTCACGTTGGGACATTATTGGCACGTTGTCGTCTAGTCACTGAGACTATGGTTGCTTCTAAAACTCACTTTCAACTTGAGAGAAGTTGTGAGAATCTGAATATCAAATCTGGATATCATGAGAGAGACAGTGGCTTGGAGGTACTTTAACAGAGACGTTCTGCCATTTGGTGCAATGATCGTAGTGGAGTGTACCGCGGTTGGGTCAAACACATTGTACAAGGCTGCAAGCTTAAGAGGATTAAGCTTTTATGTCTTTGTCTTCTACATGTTCGCCGTTTCTACTCTTGTCCTTCTTCCACTTTCTCTTATCTTCGGAAGGTTCTTCATATCTCCTCAACCAATCTGTTTTCACCAGTGTAAATTTTTGTTTTCAAGAATGTGAGTTTATTTTTTACATGTGCAGATCAAGAAATTTACCTTCAGCTAAATCTCCTGTCTTCTTCAACATTTTCTTACTTGCTCTTTTCGGGTAATGAAAATTCAAGTATATACTATCTACTCACACATTTATGGATTTATCTTTTCTAACTTAGAGAGAACAGGTTCATGGCGACGATAGCTGGCTGTAAAGGTATAGAGTATACTTCTCCTACTCTTTCCTCTGCTATCAGCACCCTCACGCCAGCTTTCACATTCACCCTCGCCGTTATCTTCAGGTTCTTGCATCATCCTGCTTTATATATAAACACACTAGAAGATCTTAGTTTCACGATTGTTAACTTGTGTGTCACGACATCCCCGCCTATCTTCTTACACATTCTGTTTCTTGAAGTGGTTTTTGACTTTTTCTTTTATTGGAGGATGTGAATAAGTTGAGAGATTGTAAAAATAGGCTAAAACCCTCTCGGGCATTGGAAATAGACGATGTAAGTAACGGCTATGATCTAAACTTAACTGGTTCTTTCAAATCTTTGTAGGACAGTTTCTTTGCCAAGTTGAGTGTAATACTGTAATTAACCCAACTTGTTTTGTTAAAGAAAATGTGCCAATTGCATATGACGACCTTAACTAACCCTCATTAATAAAAAAACATAAAAAGATAATTGACTTAATGTTCGTCCAACGTGTAAATCACTAAATTGTACTGCTTTAAATATGTTTAATTATACATACAACAAAACAAAGATCCGGATTCCGGAAGGTAAAGCTACGGGGACAAAATAGTAGAAAAACTGCGGGAGGACAATAAACACAGCTACGTGGGGAGCATCAAGTTTTAGGTTTAAGTTAGCGTGGGCACGAAGTAAATGGAGTATTGTTTTTTTCCGAAGAAACTTCAAAGATGCGTCGGCCAACCTTGCCCCATCAAAGAAATGTGAGGCTAATTTCTTCTTTTAGTATGGAAACTCGAATGCTAATTCAAGTAATGTCGACATATATGATTACAAAATGATGTTAGACTTTTGTTAAGACAGCCTGTAAGCTTGAGATCGTCTCCTTATTTTATTCGTTTTAATTATTTGAATATATACCGCTTGCCCGAAAAAAAGAAAAGAAAAATGTCAATATAATCGCACCATCATATTCAAAAATCTCTCAAAATCGCTCGTTCGTTACTCAGATCATCTCTCTCGACAACTCTATGGTTTCAGATTCGGAGCCGGAGTCGAAGCTCTTATTACTCCTTTCTCAACTAACCGATCTCGAGGAAGATACGTCTTCAGACTCAGAGTTCAAATCAGTCATTAGAGGGATTTACTCTCTCATCAACTCTATGGATTTGGATTCGCAACCGAAGCCGGAGTCGGAGCTCATATCACTCATTAAACAAACAATCTCTCTTGTCAGATCAATACCGGATACGGAACCGGAGTCAGAGCTCAAATCACTCTTGACCGAACTGACCTCTCTCTTAAGCTCTATAGATTCCGATCATGAGCCAGGCCCGGAGCTCATGTTACTCTATACTCAAGCATTCAATTATCTCCCTTCTTTGGCTCCAGGTTCGGAGCTGATAACCTGCTTAGGGAGATTAATCGTTCTCGTTGAAGCTCCGGAGGAGAAGCTGGAGCCTCTTATTTCCATGGATTCAGAGTTGGAGCCGGAATCGAAGCTCATATCACTTGTTTCTCAACTTCTCTTTGTGCAATGGGGGCAAGATCTGTTATCGCTCTCCAACCAAGTAATCTCTCTCCTCAGTTCTCTGGATTTGGATTCACAGCCGAAGCCGGAGTCGAGGCTCATGTCACTCATTACTCAAACGATCTCTTGTTTCAACTCTATGGATCTGGATTCGGATGAGCCTCTGTCGAAGCTCATATCAGCCATTATATCTCAAACATCCAACTTTATTTTGGAATGGAAAGACCTTTCACTCGTTAATAGCATACTGGATCTCGAGCCGGAGCCGGAGCTCATATCACTCATCCATCAAATATTCTCCGTCGCCATGTCTATGGATTCAGAGTGCCAGAAGCTTATTTCCTTATGCCCTCAAGTAAAGGTAATTTTCAAGGAAGGAAAATTTCTTGTGACTGGAAAAATACAGGGGAGCAATTTAAGGATTGATTGTCTCCCTACATTCTGGGGAAAAATCCGTTTGCCTGGGGAAGAGGTTACCCATTTTCGCTGCTGGGGTTGCTCTGGGGAGAACCATGGAACATTTAAAAAGGCTCCACTCGAGATCAAACACCCTCTTCATCCAAAACATTCTCTTCAGCTTGTCTTTTTGAGTGGATACAATCATAAAAAGAAATGCTATTGTTGTGATGGAGATCTCGAAGAGATAGTTTATTGTTGCTTGGTCTGCACTTATGTTCTGAATGTCGCTTGTGTGGAGAAACCATCACTCGTATCTGTAGATCAGTCCAAGTGGCATGAGCATACACTTGCTCACTTTCCAAGACAAGCTTCCTTAACTTGCGACCTCTGTGCCTTGGCAGATTCAATTCGTCCTTTCTATGTGTGTCTCCTTTGTGACTTTTTTGTCCATCAAAGCTGTCTCAGCTTGCCGCATCTCATACGGATATCTCGCCATGCCCATCGGATCTCTTTTACTCCTTCTTTTGACCAAGGAAATTGGTCTTGTGGTGTTTGTCGCAGAGAGATCAACAACGACTACGGAGGTTATTCTTGCATCAAGGATGATTGTTCGTATGCGGCTCATTCAAGATGTGCCACACAAAGCAATGTGTGGGATGGTAAAGAGCTAGAAGGAGAGCCAGAAGAAATTGAAGAAGAGGACATGCCGCCGTTTGTGAGGATAAGCTATGGTATCATTCAACATTTCACTCATGAAGGTCATCATCTCAAACTAGATGAGAATGAAGACAAAGATTACGATGAGAATAAGCAGTGTCAAGCATGCATGGCGCCAATCTATTTCGGCAACTACTACTCTTGTATTCAATGTGAGTTCATACTACACGAAACGTGTGCAAATCTTTCTCGCAGAATGCATCACCCCATACATCCACATCTGCTTACTCTAGTGACAGGATATGACCGTTTTATAAGAGTTAAGTCTGGTGATACGATCTATGAGACTTCATGTTCGGCTTGTCCTTGGTTGAGCACATCTGGTTTCTTCTATGAGTGCGGTGTAGAAGGGTGTAATTTTAAGGTACATTTGCAGTGTGCCACAATTTCTGAGCCATTAGATCATGAAAGCCACATGCGTCCTTTATTCCTAACATCCAAACCAGGAGAGACCAGAATATGTTCGATTTGCCAAAATGATGATTACACAGAAACATTCAACTGCATTGATTCTGACTTCGCTTTGTGTTTCAAGTGTGCTACTTTACCTCAAAAGGTGAGGTATAAGTATGATAAGCATATGCTCGCTCTTTCTTATGGGAAGGAGACAAGTACCATGACGTATTGGTGTGAAGCTTGCGAGGGAAAGATAAATCCGAAGATGGGGTTTTATATGTGTGATGAGTATTGTTGTGTAAATCTACACATTGATTGTCTGATTGGGAAGGATTTATACATGAAGCAGGGTGCTTCGTGGTTATACGAGAATATAAAAGTAGATGTTCTGCCTAACAATCAGTATGTGTCTCGACCTCTTTGCTCCTATTGTGAGAAGCGTTGTCTTTACAAAACAGCGTTTCAGCGCTCTGGAGTAATATTTTGTTCAATGAAATGCATGGGTGATGCTATTCGTTCAGATTGATGGAGATTTTATAATCAAGTAAAAGGTGACCAAAGAGCTTGATGGGGATTGCAATTGTTGTAATAAGTATTCTTGAATTATTATTGTGTTGATTTGGTTACTCAAACAGTGATACGTTTTTTTTTGTTACTGTTGTAATAAATTTTTTTATTCAAAGACGTTTTCTCGATCTGAAACTCTATTTAGTGTGTTTCTCAATTTTTCCAAAATATTCCACTACCATTCTGTACAGCTGAATGAGTTCTGTTACTCTGGTTTACTCTGTAAGTCGTAAAGCAAAGCGGCCAAGAAGTACGCGAGCTTAGGGAACAAGGGAAATGGCCATGCTCTTTATCTCCTAGATAACAGCAGCAAATCTCTCATGGATAATTATTTTTATTTTTTTAGGAAAACGACTAATATTGCCATATTACCAACACTATGCTTGCTCACTCTGAGCTCGTTTTTTCTTGAGATGTTTCGTCAGAGTCAAGATCATATGTCAAGAGTAGAGACACTTTTTGCAGAGATGTAGTGCCATTTGCTGCATTGATGCTGATGCAATTTGATGAAGAGCTGATTTCTAAGCATTCGATACAGCAACGAAGCAAAGATATAAGTCATTACTCATTGAAGAAGAATATTGTAATGAATGATTGAGCATGAAAGTATTGTAGCTATAATGGGAAAAGTTTATATTTGTGGTGGGGTCCCTAGAATATTAAGATAGGATCTCTGTGGTGTGAAGTACTAGTCACGTTGGGACATTATTGGCACATTGTCGTCTAGTCACTGAGACTATGGTTGCTTCTAAAACTCACTTTCAACTTGAGAGAAGTTTTGAGAATCTGAATATCACATCTGGATATCATGAGAGAGACAGTAGCTTGGAGGTACTTTAACAGAGACGTTCTGCCATTTGGTGCAATGATCGTAGTGGAGTGTACCGCGGTTGGGTCAAACACATTGTACAAGGCTGCAAGCTTAAGAGGATTAAGCTTTTATGTCTTTGTCTTCTACATGTTCGCCGTTGCTACACTTGTCCTTCTTCCACTTTCTCTTATCTTTGGAAGGTACTTGATATCTCCCCAACCAATCGTTTTCACCAGTGTAAATTTTTTTTCAAGAAATGTGAGTTTCTTTTTTACATGTGCAGGTCAAGAAGATTACCGTCAGCTAAATCTCCTGTCTTCTTCAACATTTTCTTACTTGCTCTTTTCGGGTAATCAAGATTCATGCAAGTATATACACTCAACTCACACATTTATGGTTTTATCTTTTCTAACTTGGAGATAACAGGTTCATGGCAATGATAGCTGGCTGTAAAGGTATAGAGTATAGTTCTCCTACTCTTTCCTCTGCTATCAGCACCCTCACGCCAGCCTTTACCTTCACACTCGCCGTTATCTTCAGGTTCTTGCCTCTTTACTCTTTCGGGAAACTTAATCTTACTGAGTATGTAACTCTTATACTTGTTCTGCTTTCTTTGGTGACTCGTAAAGAATGGAACAAGTAGTGTTAAGGAGCTCTGCGAGTCAGGCTAAAATCATTGGCACCATAGTATCTATATCAGGTGCTCTTGTTGTTGTTCTTTATAAAGGTCCAAATGTTCTCGCTGCTGCCTCTCTTACATCTTCATCATCTACCATTTCGCATTTGACTTCGTTTGATTCAAGTTGGATTATCGGAGGGCTTCTGCTCGCTTCACAATATTTTCTTCTTTCAGTCTGGCTTATTCTTCAGGTATGGAAAAGACTTTGGATTTGTTGGTGGCACATAAAAAAAGCTCTTGCTAAATTTGGTAGCTCAATATGATTTTCAGACTCAGGTCATGAAGGTATACCCTGAAGAAGTAACTGTAGTATTCTTGTACAACTTATTCGCAACTCTAATCTCAGCACCAGTGTGTCTATATGCGGAAAAAGACTTGGCTTCTTTTCTGCTTAAACCTGATATTTCTCTCGCTTCCGTGTTGTACACGGTGAGAATAAAAACCCTATGTATTTGTATGTTGCTTCAACTAGTGACTAAATTTTTAAGCTCAGAAATTAACACTCTGTTTCAGGGAGTCGTACTTTCATCATTTGGCGTACTTATACTCTCATGGGGTCTGCATCTGAAGGGTCCAGTTTATATATCCTTGTTCAAGCCTTTGTCTATTGTTATTGCGGTCGCTATGAGTGCTATGTTCCTCGGCGATGCACTTTACCTTGGGAGGTACGTACCATATATATCTATGATCTATCAATTATTCTTTTCCTTTTCAAGCATGTTTTGAATATTTTATTACATTGTTTCTTCTATCAAACGACACACAAAGTTAAAAGTAGCTTTGGTTTCATGTAGTATATCCATGGAATTTAAAAGATTTAAATGGATTTTTTTTTGTTCTGACTAATCACAACTTAGCCTTCATAGTTACTTCAAAATGCAGTGTCATCGGTTCAGTGATTCTAAGCTTAGGATTTTACGCTGTGATTTGGGGCAAATCAAGAGAGGATTCAACCAAAACTGTGGCTGCTTGTGAGCGCTCACCTTTGTTGCTTACACATACCATAGAAGATGAAGCCATAAGATTAAGACACACTAATGTTTAGTTACATATCTATATTGACATAATGATTTTCAATTTGCATTCGTGTATTAAGTATAAACATTAATTTTTTTAGCATGGGAGGAAACAAGCTCATGTCTCACATGGCTGCTTAAATAAGAAGAACAAGAAATCATATATGTTTAAGAAGTGTACCAATAGCTCCGGTTTAGATCTTGTTATAGCATTTGGTTCGATTCGGGTTGGTTATTTCCGGTTACACCTAGTAACTAAATCATAGAGCGTAGCAAAATCCTAACCGTTGAATAAAAAAATCTACGCTTGAGTAAAAACAGTCAACGAGCGTCTCAAAAATCTAACCGTTGGATCAATTCTTTTGACGTATTGTTTATTCCTTAAGCTCGCTCACTTACTTACTTCTAGGCCACTCTAAGCCTTAAAAAGGCAACAATTTGCTTCAGAAACCGGACTCAGTCAGTTGTTGTACAGAATTGAGAATGGTGGTGGAACATTTTGAAGAATTTGAGAAACACACCAAAGAGAGTTTCAGATTGAAAATGTGTCTTGAGAGTAAAATTTATGTGGAAATATCTCAAAGTCATAAGGTATCACTATTTGACTACCTAATGCAACAGAATAATAATTCAATATATTTCTTACAACAATAGTGATCTCCATCAAGCTAGTTGGTCACCTTTACCAAATACTATTACGCATACACCTTGTGGTACAAAATATTGATCCAGAGCGCTGGAACACTATTTTGAAAGGACAACGGTTCTCACAATCAGAACAAAAAGGTCGAGACATATGCTGATTGTTGGGCAGAACGCTTACTTCGCTATCTTTGTATAACCACGATGAACCGGGCTTCATGTATAAGTCCTTTCCAATGAGACAACCAATGTGTAGAGTAACACAACAATACTCATCACAAATATAAAACCCCGTATTCAGATTTATGATTCCCTCACAAGCTTCACACCAGTACGTCGTAGTACTTGCCTCTTTCCCATAAGAAAGAGCGAGGATATGCGTATCATGCTTATACCTCACCTTTGGAGGTAAAGTAGCACACCGGAAACACAAAGCGAAGTCACATTCAATGCAGTTGAATGTTTCTGCGTAATCATTATAGTGGCAAACTGAACATATTCTGGTCTCTCCTGGTTTGGATGTTAGGAATAAAGGATGGATATGACTTTCGTGATCTAATGGCTCAGAAATTGTAGCACACTGCACATGTACCTTAAAACGACATCCTTCTTCACCGCACACATAGAAGAAACCAATTGTGCACAACCAAGGACAAGCTGAACATGCACTCTTATAGTTCTTTCTACCAGCGCTTATTTTTACAACACGGTCATATACGTTTACTAGAGTAAGCAGATGTGGATGTATAGGGTGATGCATTTTGCGAGAAAGATTTGCACATGTTTCGTGTAGTATATACTCACATTGAATACACGAGTAGTAGTTGCTGAAATAGATCGGTGTGATGCACGCTTGGCACTGCTTATTCTCATCGTAATCTCTGCCAGCATTCTCATCAAGTTTGAGGTGATGATGTTCATGACTGAAATGTTGAATGACACCATCGCTTATCCTCACAAACGGCGGCTTCTCTTCTTCTTCAGTTTCTTCTGGCACTCCCTCGAGTTCTTTACCATCCCACACATTGCTCTGAGTGGCACATCTTGAATGAGCCGCGTACGAACTACCATCCTTGATGCAAGAATAACCTCCGTAGTCATTGTTGATCTCTTTGCGACAAATACCACAAGACCAATTTCCTAATTGGTCAAAAGAAGGAGTAAAAGAGATTCGATGGGGATGGCGAGATATCCGGATGACACGTGGTAAGCTGAGACAGCTTTGATGGACCACAAAGTCACAAAGCAGACATATATAGAAAGGAGAGCTTGAATCTGCCAGGGCACAAAGGTCGCAAGTTAAAGAAGCTTGTCTTGGAAAGTGAGCAAGTGTATGCTCATGCCACTTAGGATGATCTATAGATAAGAGCGGTAGTTTCTCCACACAAGCTACATTCATGACATAGTTGCAAGCCACGCAACAGTAAAATATGTCTTTGAGATATCCATCACAGCAATAACATTTCATGTTTTCTTCATGTTCACTCAGCAAGACAAGCTGAAGAGAATGTTTTGGATGGAGAGGGTGTTTAATCTCGAGTGGAGCCTTTTCAAATGTTCCATGCTTCTCCCCATTGCAACCAACGCAGCGAAAACGGGTAGTTTCTTCCCCAGGCAAACTGAGTTGGTCCCAGAACATAGGGAGACAATCCCTCCATTTATTGCTCCCATGTACTTTTCCAGTCACATGAAACTTTCCTTGTTCAAAGTCTACCTCTACTTGAGGGCACAAGAAAATAAGCTTCTGCCGCTTTGAATCCATGGAGATGACGAGGGAGAGTATCTGACTGATGAGTGACATGAGCTCCGACTCCAGCTCCAAATCGAGTACTTCATCTATAAGTTGTAAGAGCTCCGATTCCAAACTAGAGTAGTGTTCTTGAGAAATGAGTGATATGAGCTGCGACAGTGGCCCAGGCTCCGAATCTAAATCCATAGAGTTGAAAAAAGAGAGTATTTGAGAAGTGAGTGACATGAGCTTTGACTCCGGCTTCGGCTGTGAATCCAAATCCATAGAGTTAACGAAGGAGATTATTTGATGGATGATTGATACGAACTCCGACTCCATTTCCGCATTGAACAATTGAGAAATAAGTGATATGAGCTCCGATTCCAGCTCCATTTCTGAATCCATAGAAATAAGATGTTCCGGCTTCGCCTCCCTCTCCATAGTGTCAACGATAGATAATAATCGAAAAATGCAGGATCTGAGCCCCGAACCCCTAGCCAAAGAAGGGATACCATGGAATACTTGAGTGATGAGTAACATGAGCTCCGGCACTGGCTCCGGATCCAGATCAGAATCTATGGAGCTGATGAGAGAGATCAGTTGAGTCAGGAGTGATTTGAGCTCTGTCTCCGGTTCCGAATCTGAACCCGATATGGAGCTAAAAAGAGAGATTAATTGCTTAATGACTGATATGAGCTCCGACTCTGGCTCCGGTTGGGAATCCAAATCCATAGAGTCGATGAGAGAGTAAATCCCTCTAGCGACTGATATGGACTCTGAGTCTGATACGTCGATGTTCATTAGTTGATAAATGAGTGACGAGAGCTTCCACTCCGGCTCCGAATCCATAGAGTCGAGAGAGATGATCTGAGTAACGAGTGATAATGTGATATGAGATAATTTTTTGGAGTATGGTTGTGTGGTTAGTTTCTCTCTCTCTCTCTCTCTCAATATATATAGTTATAATAATAATATATTGAAATAGACAATCACAAGCTTACTGGCTGTTATTCAACCATTTTCATTTTGAGTCTTCGGCTATTGTTGTCCACATTAAGTCGTCCAAACTTGAAATTTAGGGTGAAATTTCCAAACAAATGTATTAGATAATAGAGATAAGCAATTGACTATTAAGCCCATTGCATTGGTCACTTTCTAGAGCAATTACGGCGAAGAAACACAAGGTATCGAGCCAAATACTAACTTGAATAGAAGTAATACGTACACACGAGATATGGACAATAGTATCAAGCTGGTGGTGATATGATACGTACACACGAGATATGGACAATAGCATCCATAATACCACAATTATCTTGTGTATCACCGGCTCTGAAACCATGTGACATTAGCTCAAATGAAAATTTACTACATTTTATGAAATTTTACATTAGTGGTTTCCACCTACAAATTAAAACCCACTATCTAATTTAAACATGGAATCTTTCTAAATTTAACAAAGAAAAAAAGTTTTCTGCATTTGACTTTTCCGTTCACCAACTCGAATAGTTAATGTTGTACATATGAGTAAGTAAATTGTGCGGACCAAATGCATTTCATCTGCCTAGTTTTTTTTTTTTTTTTTTTGACCAAAATTCATCTGCCTAGTTAGTGTATCAATAAATTAACTCCGACCAAGTAATTAATTATCTTACGTAATTGATTTAGAAAAAAATGACTACTATTAATCGATCGTTGTGAAGCTTATAAATTTTCATTAAAATATATATGAAGCACAGATCAATATAGATATACCAGTCACTTTCAGGCACTCAGCTTACATAATCTGAGCTACCTAGAATTTAGCAGCCCGAGTTTTAAACTGTCTAATTGTTCTATGTTATAGCGGCTAGCTAACTCGGACAACAATCACATAATCTCATATAAATCTCTCTCTAATTGGTATAAGGAACCAGCACTATGGTTTCAAAAATTGAGAGTTGTTATACACTTCTCGTGGAACTTGGTGTTTGTAGTGTAATAATTGTCCTTTTTTATAGGAAATGGCATGAAAAGCGGTCGTGCTGGTGGTACTGGTACCATAACGCTGCCTTCCAAGCTGAATTGAAATTAGAAAAAGAGATAGAGAGAGAGATTAGTATGAAGGGGAAATATAAAAAAGATCAAAGTGATCAATCAATCGATCAATGCTTACCTCAGGTAAATCAGGATGGGTTTCAAAATTTTCCGCAAACACAGCCGACATTCTGTTTCCCGGGACCGTTTCGACTCTGTCGTTCATGACCCTCTCGGCGAACGTTCCAAGTGATATTCGATGAGAGTAAAATCGCCAATACTAGCATCAAAAAGTTGTTTCACACGTTTAGCCTGGACACAAGTAGTTACCAAATCAATATATGAGAACATATGATAACATGACTCGATCGATATATGATAACATGACTAGTTGTGATATATTTCTCGTGGAACTCTCGGTGGCCGTAGTTGTGATAATGGCCAAGTACGTGTGATCAATGGAATTATTAAAAAATAGTACGATATTAAAAAAAGGTTTGCCACCGAATAGAAAATGAGATAAAAGAAATTTCATGTGATAAAAACATAATTAAATTTTCTTATATAATATTTTATTAAAATTTAGTATTAGTTTAGACCTAATTTAGCAAAAGACGAGCAAATAGTTATCATTAGTTTAGATCTAATTTTAATAAAAGACGAGAAATTTTTTATTATGTTTTAAATATTTTCCTGATATATATCTCTTTTACTATTTTTTTATTGATAAATCGATACTAAAAGAAAAGAAAAAAACAGAACAATGTATTTTAAACAAAAATGTAAAAAAATAGTAAAGATAGTATATGTTTTAGAAAGTATATACATTTTAATGGATCTTTAAATCCAAAGTTTTATTTTTAGTTTTTTCTTTTGGCGAAATCATGACAAAAAAATTTAAATAAATGTTTTTGATGAACTATGATGAACTTAGTTATGATGAAGACTACTTTTTGTAGTACGTATATGCATTTTAGTGGATCTTCAAATCCAAATTGTTATTTTTTGTTTTTCTTTGGCAAAATCATGACCAAATTTGAAAATAATAAATGTTTTTGATGAACTATGAAGAATAATAATATAAAAAAAAATATGCTTTGTCAAAAGAGTAGTAACATTTTGGTTCGATTCGGTTTAGTTGTTTTCGGTTCGATCCTACTGTCGAAGAGCGTGTCAAAATCCTAACCGTTGAATTAAAAAATCTACGCTTGAGTAAACTGTCAACGTCTTGCCGGAAGTAACCAAACGGAAAGTCGCTGGACAGTCGACGGTGACGTTCTCCGTGAGCTTCTGACTCCGTTTCTCCGTCGAGTACGACTGATCACTGGTGCGATTCTGGGGATCCTTTGAAAAAGTTGATTTAGTTGCTTATCATCTGTTGTCGCCGGAGAAATCGAAGGTCAGCGATGATTTAGGGCTTTTTTAGATCGAATTGATGTTCAACTTCGCTTAAGCAATCGATGTTACTGAAGCTTTAGGGCTAATTTTGGGTAAAACAATTGCTTAAGGTTAGTTTCTATTGACGGAAATTGCAGAGTGGGATGGTGAAAGAGGAAATCCGATAAATTGATCAAAATGTTCACTTGTGAAGATGAAGCTGAGATTGATGCTGAAGCCATTTGATTCAGAGCTGAGTTTTAAGCATTCGATAACAAAGATCTTCTTCAAGAGCTACAATGGCGAAAGTTCCTTTGTGGTGGGACCCTAGAATGTTGGGATATGATCTCTGTGGTGTGAAGAATTAGTCACGTTGGGAAATTTCTCCACTTTGTCGTCACGTTGCTTCTAATTAAACTCACAATTCAACTTGAGAGAAATTCTGAGAATCTGAATATCAAATCTAGATGCCATGAGAGAAACAGTAGCTTGGAGGTACTTGAACAGAGATGTTGTGCCGTTCAGTGCAATGATCGTAGTGGAGGTTGTCACGGTTGGATCAACCACACTGTTCAAAGCTGCGACCTTGAGAGGATTGAGCTTCTATGTCTTCGTCTTGTACACTTACGTTGTTGCTACGCTTGTTCTTCTTCCACTTTCTCTCTTCTTCGGAAGGTACTTTGATCTCCTCAACTTGTCTCTTTTTTTAACAAGTTTAAAACTTTTTCAAGAATTTGAGCTTCACATGCGCAGGTCAAGAAGATTACCATCAGCCAAATCTCCTGTCTTCTTCAAGATTTTCTTACTTGGGCTTCTCGGGTAACTAAGTAACTAACCATAGACACTCCATGATTTCCAGTTTATTCTTTTTTTCTAACATGGAGGGAACAGTTTCATGTCAATGATAGCTGGATGCAAAGGAGTAGAATATAGTTCTCCTACTCTTGCCACTGCTATCAGCACCCTCACGCCAGCTTTTACCTTCACACTCGCCGTTTTCTTCAGGTTCTTGCCTCCTTCTCTTTCCATTCTCTCTCAGGAAAGTGATCTTTACTCATTATGCAACTCTTACTGGTTCTGCTTTCTTTGGTGACTCGTAAAGGATGGAAAAAGTAGTGTTAAGGAGCTCTGCGAGTCAGGCTAAAATCATTGGCACCATAGTATCTATATCTGGTGCTCTGGTTGTTGTTCTTTACAAAGGCCCAACACTTCTCGCTGCTGCGTCTTTTACATCTTCACCACCTACCATTTCTCTTCACCAGCTGTTGACTTCATCCGATTCAAGCTGGATAATCGGAGGCGTTTTGCTCGTTTCACAGTATTTGCTTATCTCAGTATGGTATATTCTTCAGGTATATGGAAACAGACTTTTGGATTTGTTGGTGATACACATTTACAAAGCTCATACTAAATTTCGGCAGCTCTGTATTGATTTCAGACTCAGATCATGGAGGTATACCCTGAAGAAACAACTGTAGTCTTCTTATACAGCTTATGCGCAACGCTAATCTCAGCACCAGTATGTCTACTTGCTGAAAAAGACTTGACTTCCTTTCTGATTAAGCCAGGTGTCTCCCTCGCTTCAATCATGTACACGGTGAGAATCGAACCATATATGTATGTTGCTTCAACTAGTGACTATATTATAAGCTCAGTTATTTATCATTAACACTCTGTTTCAGGGAGGCACAGTTTTATCATTGGGCTCAGTTATACACACATGGGGTCTGCATTTGAAAGGTCCAGTCTACATATCCTTGTTCAAGCCTTTGTCTATTGTCATTGCGGTAGCTATGAGTGCTATGTTCCTCGGCGATGCACTTTACCTTGGGAGGTACTATATGCCTCTATATATATCGTCATATGTCTTTGCAGACGGTAATAACTGACACTGATTTCCTCATGTATGTGTTGTGTGCAGTGTCATTGGATCAGTGATTTTGAGCTTAGGATTCTACACTGTGATTTGGGGAAAAGCAAGAGAGGATTCAACCAAAACTGTGGCTGGTTCTGAGCAATCACCTTTGTTGGTTACACAGTCACACACCATAGAAGATGAAGCCTCATCATTAAGATGAGATTGTGCTAGTGGAATCCTGTTATGTTTAGCTTCGCTATGCTTTTAGTTTAGAACTGGTAAATGGTAATCAAAAGGGGATATAATCTTAAGTAAAAGGAGAATTTTTTTTAAAAGAAGCCATAAAGTTGCATAAATGAAGTCTCGTTACAAAGCAAAACCAAAAAAAAAAACAACAAAGACATGAGACTCTCAAATGTGATTCGGGAAAGTATGGAGCGTAGGCGTAGAATAATAATGGTTTAACGGTATGGGCCTAGCTTCGTCGTCTGCGATTCCTCCAAGTGAAAATCTTCTATACCTTATTGTCACCGGATCACAAAACAAAATATAATGCGATTTGCCAAAGGTATATGGTGCATAAATCAAGTCACCAGCTTGAGTGAATCCTTTTAGTTCGGAAGAAGTTCTCAAACTATCATCAAAGTGACCAAAAGGTACATCAAAGTTTTTATACGACCACCTTTGTTTCTCAGCATCTTCCAAAATCCACAATGTGTTCTTCTCTATGAATCTGCCTTTGTCACCAACACAAGCTAATCTCCCCTTATAATTTAGCAGCTTATCCCTAGAAATAGCTGCTGGTAAATTTAGCTTACGAAATGTTTCGGACCGAACATCAAAGCTCATTAAAACCCAAACACGAGTGTGATAAATATAGGCTTGATAATATATAACCCCATTAATGCATCGACCATAAGTATCCCATGAAGAACGATGCATATGGTTAGTTTTGACTGTTCTCCATGTTTCTTGATCTGATCCCAACGTTAAAATTCGGCACACATCGCAAGTTCTATTTAAAGGCATGCACATTACCTTGTGTTTATGTTCGATTGGATCGTATCCCAAGAAAACTTTTATTCTATCATTCCAGCTCAATCTTGGCTTAGGTAAAGTCAAGAACTGTCTTTTGCTTGGGTTCCAAACTATCGGCGCTGCTGATTCTTGAAAGCAGATCAAACCCTTGACAGATTCCGTAGGGGGCACGTTACTGATTTTTGGAAATTCCATATGATAACGATAAATGGGCTGCGATGAAGAGTATGATGATGACTCTTCTTTAAAGAGATGATCATGTTGCGGAATCGAGGAAACAAACAACTTGTTACCTTCTTTGAAGCAGAGTAGAACAGTCGGTTTTGGCAACCGAGCTTCAAACGAGTTGATGAAATATGGATCGGTGGTGATTGATAACCAAAGCTTCGACACGCAGCCAAACCTCGCAACAGATTTTTCAGGCAGCCTTAAGAGTATCTCCGAGGTTAGATCAAGAGGAAAAGACAAAGTTGATTTCGATTGTCTTCTTCTTTTTTCGGGGACGTAGACTTTTTCTCTTCTCTCTTCTTGTTGCTCCATCTTTTTGGTAAATGCTTATGCGTTGCTCTCGATCTTCATGATCTAGGGTTTTTACTTATTATCAAATTTAATGATACATGCAAATATGAAACAATTTTTTTTTATATATATATATAATTAAAGTGGAAAGAAGAAACGTTGGAGATCTGATTTTCTAACTAATCCCCTTAAATTAGGAGGAAATCAGCGTGAAGATATTAAGAAATATATATTCAAATTAAATGAACTTCCACTAAATCTTCAATTACTTATTTCTACAACAAACCCTCTTGAACAAAAATCACAAACGTGAAGAACAAATCTTTATTTAATTTCATTCATTTTTTAAAAAATTTTAATATGAGAGACTGACAATGAAGATGATTACTTTACCACAAAAAAAAAGACAATGAAGATGATTCGTAAAAATGTTTAGATTTTAGATTTCTTTTCCAAAGATGATGTGGTTGGCCCAAACGTGAAGAATTCTCTTTTCCAAAATTAGAGTTTAGATTTATTCTTTAAGAAAAAAAGGTTTTGAATTTTGTGCTACTATTGAATTTTTTTTTTATGAGATTACTTTTGGAATAAAAACTTTAAATGGCTCATTTTTTTAGAATTGCGCTTTTATGATTCGTAAGATGACATTGTTATTGGATTCTTAAGTAATCAATGTTACTGAAGCTGTATGATAAATATTTTGTGTAATAGGATTGCTTTAGGTTAGTTACTATTGGTGGAGATTGAAAAATATATCCTAGTGATCTCTGGTGGATTCTTGTGATCGTTGATGCTGATGTTGATGTTGATGCTGATGCGGAGCTTAACTTGAAGCGTTTGATATAACTTATAAGTAGTTGGAGTGTTTAAGTGGAAGTTGGAAATATCTTGAGCTGAATTATTACTCTGAAAGTATTGTAGCTGTAATGGGCAAAGTTCATTGTCGTGGGTCCCAAGAATATTCAGATATTATCCTTTGTGGTGTGAAATACTTGGTCAATTAAGTTGGGATTTTTTTTTTTTTTTATTTCTTCTTCACTGAAAATGTCTTGTTTCTACATTAAATAATTTAGCAAGCGTGGTGGATTTAATCTCCAAGACCATGAATCCTTCTTACTAAACTCAAGAGAATTTCTGAAAATCTCAACATCATGAGAGAAACAGTGGCTTGGAGGTACTTCAACCAAGAAGTTGTGCCGTTGACTGCAATGATCGCAGTGGAGTGTACCACCGTTGGATCTACCACACTGTTCAAAGCTGCTACCTTAAGAGGCTTGAGCTTCTATGCCTATGTCTTCTACTCTTATGCTGTTTCTTCACTTGTCCTATTTACACTTTCCCTCATCTTTGGAAGGTACTTTTGATCTCCTCAACTACTATTTTTTTTTTTCAAGAATATGAAATTAATTTTACATATGCAGGAAGAGAAGATTACCTTTAGCCAAGTCTCCTCTTTTCTTAAAGATTTTCTTGCTTACGCTTCTCGGGTAGTAATATATACATTCTTGTTTCAAGATTCATGAGAATTTCTTCGGTTTTTTCTTTTCTTGTTTTGCTGAAATCTCCTTGGACAAAACAGGCTCACTTCACGGATAGCTGGTCTTAAAGGTATAGAATATAGTTCACCAACTCTTTCCTCTGCTATTAGTAACCTCACGCCAGCTTTCACCTTCACTCTTGCCGTCTTCTTCAGGTTCCACTTTCTTTTCTCTTCTCTCTGGACTAGTTTCAAGTTACAATCTTGCACGGTTTGTTTGTTACTCTATATCTGGTTTTGCTTATTCGTAAAGGATGGAACAAGTAATCTTAAGAAGCTCAGCAACTCAAGCTAAAATCATTGGCACAATAGTATCAATATCTGGTGCTCTGGTTATTGTTCTTTATAAAGGCCCAAAACTTCTTGTTGCTTCATCTTTTACTTCTTCATTTGAGTCAAGTTGGATCTTTGGAGGCCTTTTTCTTGCTACACAATATTTGCTGCTTTCAGTCTGGTATATTCTTCAGGTATTAGATAGACTTGGATATCTTTTCATGAAAGGTTTGTTGTTGACACATAAACTTAGCTAAATTTTGGCAGCTGTACACTGTGGTTTTTAGGCTAGGATCATGGAGATATACCCTGAAGAAATACGTGTAGTCTTGTTCTACAACTTATGTGCAACGCTAATCTCAGCGCTAGTATGTCTATTTGCTGAGAAAGACTTGGATTCTTGGAAGCTTAAACCGAGAATCTCACTTCTTGCAGTCATATACTCGGTGAGATATCAAACCTCATAAGTTAAGCAGTGACATCTTAGCTTAAGCTCAGAAGCTAACACTCTGTTTCAGGGAGTCTTTGATACATCATTGGGCTCAGTTATACACACATGGGGTCTGCATTTGAAAGGTCCGGTCTATGTCTCCTTGTTCAAGCCTTTGTCTATTGCAATTGCAGTCATCATGGGTGCTATATTCCTCGGCGATGCCCTTCACCTTGGAAGGTACCATATCTTTCTATCTTCTTACTTTCAAGCTTCAATTAATTTTGTCTCTTTCTTGTTAGTCTCTAGTGATAAAAACATAAGTGTTGAAGTAAGTGTTTTGTTTCATCTTCAAATACATAATGCTTAACTCAATGACTATTTTAAATTTGTAAAATTTCAACTTAGGCTAGGCTTTCCAAAAGACTAAATGATTGGTACATATAATCTTTGCATATATGTTTTTCGTGGGCAGTGTGATTGGATCAATAATATTGAGCTTTGGGTTTTACACTGTGATTTGGGGCAAAGCAAGAGAAGTTTCAACCAAAACAGTAAGTGATGATTCTGAGCAGTCACTTTTGTTGCCTTCAACACACAACAGAGAAGATGAAACCTTATCTTGAAGCTATGTTAGATGCAAATTACTTTATTCATGGACACATTAGAGATATAATCTTTCTCGAAGTGGGAATTTCTTGGACTTGAATACAAAACCTCAATACATCAAACATTAAACAACTTGAAGTTACCAAAAAATCCCAAAAACGAGAAAGAGATGATTCTACTTTGTTGATCAAATTTGTAAATTCTCCAAGAGATGCTCTACGTTTACTCTATCTTTCCTTGCTCTGGATTTGGCTCTCTTCTTCTCAAGTTTCTCCAACCTAGTTTTGACCATCATCTTCCTCAAAAGCTGAGGTTGACCTCTCACGAAATTTTCATGCCCAAACTCCAATATTCCAGGAGGCCCCTTGATCCTTTTAAAGCCATGGCGATGAATATTGTAGAAAAACCGTGAGAAACATCTGTCGAATTCTGCCGATTTCAGAACAATCTCTTTGTAAAACTCTCTCAGTTTCCAGACGATGAAGCTATTGTTGCTTTTGCTCCACGAGATGATCGGATCCAACGAAGGGTCGTCCACAATCTGGTACACTCTGATGTAGAACGAAGGCAATCCTCTTGGGAAACTGTTAGCCATCCTGTTCGGTGAAAGTGAAACAACCCTAGCTTCCATGCTAAAACTTAAAAGGCAACGACTAAGATCGAGTAGTCGTAAGTAGAAGCAGAACCGGAGAGAGAGAGATCAAACGGAACAAAAAGTGTGTAGGATCTTCTGATTAGGGTAAGCTTTTCTAATCGAAATCCAGGAGAGAAATAATGGATTAGTATTTGGTTAGGGTGTGTATATATAGAGATGAGCCGTGAGCGTCAAGTTTATGCTACGTCCATTGCTTCATTATTGTTGGGCTTAATTTCGGCCCATCGTTAAGTCGGCCGAAAGAAGCGCTGTAGATTTGAAACATCTTTTTTCGGTTTAGTATCTTTTTCTTTGTGATAACTAGTTTTTCAAAACAATCTTTAACAAACCATGTTGTATATGTGATTGCACTTAGCTTAAGATTAGACCAATCACCAAATGTTGTTTTTGTTTTCTAACAAACCTTGAGTTACAACAAGACAGTAAACTGGTAATCAAAAAGAAAAAGAATTACAAGTCCAAGAATTTATATTGATGGAAAGAAAATAGATCTTTTAGTCTCCTTTATGTTAAAACTACGGTTTAGTCTCCCATTCACATATCACAAATGTCTATTTCAGAGACCAAAAACAAAAGGAAAGGTCTCACATATGTCCAAATAAGTATTTGTTTACGTATTTTAGAAATCTATATAGGACTTACAATGATCTTTGGTGGGTTCTTGTGATTGTTGATGTTGATGCAGAGCTTAACTTTAAGCGTTTGGTCAATGGAGTTGATGAAATGATTAAATGGAAGTTGGAAATATCTTGAGTCGAATTGTTAATGGGCAAAGTTCCTTGTCGTGGGTCCCAAGAATACTCAGATATTATCCTTTGTGGTGTGAAATACTTACTCAAAGTTTGGATATTTTCATTTTTGTCGTCACTCAAAATGTATTGGTTCTAAATAGATTTAGCAAGCGCGGTGGAGTTACTCACCAAGATCATGAATCCTTCTTACTAAACTTCAGAGATTTATTGAGAATCTGAATATCAAATTTATCATGAGAGAAACAGTGGCTTTGAGGTACTTAAAAAGAGAAGTTGTGCCGTTGACTGCAATGATCGCAGTGGAGTGTACCACCGTTGGATCTACGACACTCTTCAAAGCTGCAACCTTAAGAGGCTTGAGCTTCTATGTCTATCTCTTCTACTCTTATGCTGTTGCTACACTCTTCCTATTTACACTTTCCCTCATCTTTGGAAGGTACTTTTGATTTCCTCAACTACTCTCTTACTGTTTCAAGAATATGATCATAATTTTACATATGCAGGAAGAAAATATTACCTTCAGCCAAAACTCCTCTTTTCTTCAAGATTTTCTTGCTTGCGCTTCTCGGGTAGTAATAATATACATTCCTGTTTCAAGATTTCATGAGGATTTCTTCGGTTTTCTTTTCTTCTTGCTTGCTAATTTCTTCAATTTAAAACAGGCTCATGTGGCGGATAGCTGGTCTTAAAGGAATAGAATATAGTTCACCAACTCTTTCCTCTGCTATTAGTAACCTCACACCAGCTTTCACCTTCACGCTTGCCGTCTTCTTCAGGTTCCATTTGCTTCTCTTTTTTCTCTGGACTAGTTTCAAAAGTTACTACAACCTTTGCGTGTTTTTTTATATTATATCAACCTAAGTGAGTTTGCTTCCTCGTAAAGGATGGAACAAGTAATATTAAGAAGCTCTGCAACGCAGGCTAAAATCATTGGCACAATAGTATCAATATCTGGTGCTCTGGTTATTGTTCTTTATAAAGGACCAAAACTTATTGTTGCTTCATCTTTTACTTCTTCATTCGAGTCGAGTTGGATCATTGGAGGCCTTTTGCTTGCTACACAATATTTGCTTCTTTCAGTCTGGTATATTCTTCAGGTATTACATAAACTTGGATAGATTCATGAAATGCGTTTGTTCTTGACACTAAAATTTGGCAGCTGTAAATGTGATTTTTAGGCTAGGATCATGGAGATATACCCTGAAGAAATAAGTGTAGTCTTGTTCTACAACTTATGTGCAATGCTACTCTCAGCGCTAGTATGTCTATTTGCAGAAAAAGACTTGAATTCTTGGAAGATTAAACCGGGAATCTCGCTCACTGCAGTCATATACTCGGTGAGAAATCATACCTTATAAGTTATAAGCTCTCTTCAAGTAGTGACTCTTAGCTTAAGCTCATAAACAAATACTATGTTTTAGGGTTTCTTTGATACATCATTGGGCGCACTTATCCACACATGGGGTCTGCATTTGAAAGGTCCAGTCTATGTATCCTTGTTCAAGCCATTGTCTATTGCAATTGCAGTCCTCATGGGTTATATATTCCTTGGCGATGCACTTCATCTTGGGAGGTACCATATCTTCTTATAGATCCAAATATAGCGTCTCTCTCTAGGAAAAAGTTCATTTCCAGGTTGTTGAAATATTTAGTTTCATCTTCAAATGCATAATGCTTCACTCAATAACTAGTGAATACAACTTACCCTCCACAATCTTTGATATATGCAGAAAGAAAAAAAAACTGATAAGACTTTCCATAAGATTAGATAATTGGTACATATAATTTTTGTATCTGTGTTGTTGGCAGTGTGATTGGAGCAATGATATTGAGCTTTGGGTTTTACACTGTGATTTGGGGCAAAGCAAGAGAGGTTTCAAGCAAAACAGTAAGTGATTCTGAGCAGTCACTTTTGTTGCCTTCAACACACAACCGAGAAGATGAAACCTTATCATGATGATATGTTAGATATATCATAAACCATATTTCGAAAAATCACAACAACTTTCATTAATTAACACTAGAATATTGATGATATACAAGACGAGAGAGATGAGTCTACTTTTATTTATTTTACTCAAATTTGTAAATTTTGCAAGAGATAACAAAAAATTTCATTAATTAACACTAGAATATTGATGATATACATTATACAGGACGAGAGAGATCAGAGATGAGTATACTTTTATTTATTTTGATCAAATTTGTAAATTTTGCAAGAGATGCTCTACTTTGACTCTAGCTTTCCTAGCTTTGGCTCTAGCTTTCTTTGCTTTATTTTTCTCCATCCTCTCCGTCCATGTTTTGACCATCATCTTCTTCAAAAGCTGAGGTTGTCCTCTGACGAAATCATCATGTCCAAATTCCAATCGACCAGGCCTCCCGTTGATTCTTTTAAAGCCATGATAACGAAGATCGCAGAAAAACCGTGAGATACTTCTTCCCAGACCTACTGATTTCGGAGAAATCACTCGGCAAAACTCTTCCACATTCCAAACGATGAAGCTATTGTTGCTTTTGCTCCACGAGATGATCGGATCCAACGAAGGATCGTCCACAATCTTGTACACTCTGATGTAGAATGAAGGCAATCCTCTTGGGAAACTGTGAGTCATCGTTATCGGTGATAGTGAAACCCTAAGCTTCCACGCAAAAAGGCAAGACGAAGATCTGAGTAGTCGTAAGCAAATATTTATAGCTGAGCCGTGAGCGTCAAGGTTACGCTACGTCCATAATTTCATTAGTATTGGGCTTCGTTTCGGGCCCATCATTTATTCTTGATTTCTCATAATTTATGGGGCATGTAAATTATGATGATTTTGTTTTGACCAATGGCTTAAAAGTTAAATCACTGTATGATGATTTGAATTATCTTTTTTTTGGGGTTTTAATTTTTTTAGGCTGATTAGTGATTGCGTTTCTGTGATTGCGTTGGCGTTAGACCCATCAACAAATGATGTTTCGTTTTCCAACAAACCCTAAATTACCACAAGACAGTAATCATTTATGTGATGGAGATATTTCACCGGTTTTTTCCCATCCCCGACCCCAAGAATTTAAAAGATAATTTACTTTTGGAAAGAAAAAAAAAGAAAATTTATGTTGATGCAAAGAAAGTAGATCTAGTTTAGTCTCTTTTTCCTTAAAAGCTATACTTAAAGAAGAAAAGTCACACACATATGTCCAGTTAACAATATCTCCAAGACTCACGCTAGGTCAACAGGATTGGATTATTTGTTTTATAATATAACAAATTAACAATTGAAAATGTGTACGAGTTTTTACTTTTTAATATATTGAAAAGTGAAAACGTGTGAAAACTTGCATGACTAAAACACGTGTGAAAAAACAAACAAACCATGTTTTTTTTTTTGACGTAAACAAACCATGTATCTTATTATATAAAGCTGGATGCATGCGACGTGGTTGCGACACATAAGATTTTTATAATTTACAGGATCACAACATGTGTCACTTTTCATATTACATCCGTTAAGATCATGACACATGTCTTGGAAAAAAAATAATTAAAAAATGTTAGAAAAATAAAAGAAAATATTATTTAATCTATTATAGTAAAAAGAAAAATATTATATAAAAGTTATATTTGTCATATCCTAATAGAAAAAAAATTTCCATTCATCAAAATTATATTATCTTTGACACATATTAAATTCAAAATAGTTTGATACATAAAATTCTATTAGTACATGGAATAGATTATGCAAACTAAATTTTCTATAATTGCATGAGATAAGTTACATGAACTCCTATAAAAAAAAGAGTTAAGATAGTCTATTTTTTCTCATTCACAAACTTAACTCATCAAAGCAAATTCATCAAATCTCTTTGATTATCACTTGCACAAACTACGACATGTATTTTTTTTAATTCTGAAAGTACTAAGATCATGACATATGTCATATAATAAGAAAAAAATATATATCAGAACAACGAAAAATCAGAAAAACAGAAGAAAAAAAACAATTAAAAAGAAAAAATACTACTTCCATTAAAGGTAAAAAAACATATTTCTATTACGTAAAGAAAAAAACCAAAAATCAGACAAAGGTAAGAAATAGTTACATCCATTAGAAAAAAAGTAACCACATTCTCATTACAAAAATGAAAAGAAAAACAATATTATTATATAAAGTTGGATGCGCGCAACGTGGTTGCAACACGTAGGATTTTTATAAATTATAGGATCGCGGCATATGTCACTTTTAATGTTAAGTCCGTTAAAATCGTGACACGTGTTTAAAAAAAAATATTTTATTTAAATATTAGAAAAACGATGGGTAGTACCATCAGAATATTTAAATATTTAAATATGAGTGATTAAATATTTAAATCGTGATGTTAAGTCCCATCAGAACTCCGCAGTTAAGCGTGTTTGGGCGAGAGTAGTACTAGGATGGGTGACCTCCCGGGAAGTCCTCGTGTTGCACCTCTTTTTTAGATGACAAAAAAAAAAAACGAAAAATTAAGAAAAAGAGAAAATTTTAATTATTATATTAGTGAAATCCTAATAGAAAAAAATTTACCATTCATCAAAATTATATTATCTTAATACATATTAAATTGAAAATAATGTAATAAATAAAATTCTATTAGTGCATGGAATAGGTTATGTAAATTAAATTTTCTATAACTGCATGGAATATGTTAAGTGAACCCCTATAAAAGAAAGTTAAAGGTAGTCTCTTTGTTCTCATCCACAAACTCATCAAATCTTTTTGATTATCTTTCTCTAAAAAAAAATGTCTTTGAAAGTTCAAGAAAAGGTGGAGAATATTTGACTGTAAGTAAACTGGATCGAAATAGAAACTATCGCCGTACTATACGTGTTATTGGACAGTGAAAAGCTAAAAATCCTAAAGCAAATAAAATATTAATGGGAGTTGAGTTTCTATTACTTGATGAAAATGTTATTAACATATTATATTGATATATTAAACATATTATATTGATATATTATTATATAATTATAACATAGATTAACATTAAATTTTTACATTTGTTTGAATCAGGAAAATACAATTCAAGGAAAAATAGGAAACAAATAGCAATTTTTTTAAAAAAAATTATATCCATTAGGAAAAGAAAAAAAAACATACTCCCAATATCAAAAGGAAAAAAATCGAAAATCAGAAATTTATGAAAAATTATTACATCCATTAAGAAAATGAGAAAAAACATATTCTCATTAAGAAAAGGAAAAAAATAATATATAATAAGTTATAGCGTGCATGATTTATATGTGTGATTCTATCTTTTGTTTAAACTTTCTATTTCATTACAAAATAGAAAATAATGTATTTTAAAGTTCAAGATATCAATGAAAAATATTTAACTTTAGATCAGTTTGTTTGAAATTGAAATTTTTGTCGCAATATTTTTCTAATATATGATCATGTGATAACATGTGTTAACAAAAGAAAATTAGTAAATGTAATAACATAAATAGAAAACTAATAAAATAATTGTAAATAACAAACTAATTATGAATAAGAACATTTACAATGGTCCGAGGCAAAACAAATTGAAAAAGAACATGATAAATAGAAATTTAACAAAACAATTATAACATTAAAAATATATATAATTGACTGATATTCTAATTTTAATTAGATTAATTTTCAATTTTTTGGTAGGTAAAACAATATCAAGAAAAATATTTCATCAATTGAAATCTCTTAAAAAAAATAATCAAATTTTCATGAATTAATTAGCCTATCAGATTTAGATTAGATACGTGTAAGTCTTTCTATATTAGATAAAAAGAAAAAGAAAAAAGAATAATTCATTTTCATATCATTAATTAAAAAAAAATGTCAATTATGATTAAACTGTAAAAATATTACCATTTTATTTTATTTAGAGATTTGTTATTGGATTTAAATATTATTCTATTTACTTTTAAAAGTGACCAGATTAGGTTTAATATTTTCCTATAATTTATTTTATGAAAAATAAACCCGTGTATACGCGGGCCTAATCGAGTATGTAATAATCTTCGGTTTAATATGTTTTTTTTAATATACTTGCCTTTTCTCTCTTTGTGATATATGGAACATATAAGTTTCTTCTTAGGGGATATTATGTTATACATGCTTGGGCTTTGAGTTACAAGGGAACTGTGTATTTGTTGATGTTCAAGCCTTTATCTAATATTTGATTGCATCCGCATCAAATACCAATTTTCCTCGGTGAGTCGCTCTACCTAAGTGTCTAAGACAGTATACCATAATTTTGTTTGCTTCTCTTTGTTTTTGAATATGTTTTAATTCCATTACGTAAATCTCATCTCATTATTCTCCTTTGTTATGTTTCAATACACAGTTTGATAGGAGGAATAGTGATTTCAATAGAACTTTAATTTACATGGTCCTTGTGGGGTAAAAGCAAAGGAAAAGAAAGTGGACACAAAAACGACAGAGACATCTCCTATCGCTTTCATCTTTTGGGTAATTGAAAGGTAATATTCACTTTAAATTTTTTATTCTTTTTTTGTAAAAATATAAACTAATACAGATGAATGATAAATGTTTGTCCCCCCACAAAAATTATTGACGATAAGTGATATTTTGGAAAGATAGATGATAGTTGCCATGCATTTTACAAAATTTTGTAAACAATATAAAAAAACATGTACACATTTGCAGTCTTTAATTTGTAATAAATTGATAACTTGCGTTCCACACGTTCTTGGTCATATTATACATGTTTCACTGGGTCTGTTCCCATCAAGATTCCAATAATTGAAGGATCAAATATTTACAACAATCTTACAGAGAGAGAGAGAAAACAAAAACAACAGAAGCCAAGAACTGAAAATGGCTCCGGGAAGCTTCAGAGACGGTTGGATCTTGACGGCGATGGTGTTAACGGAGTTTTCTAACGTCGGAGTAAACACTCTGGTCAAATCAGTGACTTCCAAAGGACTTAGCCCATTTGTGGTTCTCGTCTACTCTTACAGCATTGGATCTCTTCTTCTAGTTCCTTTTGCCTTCTTCTCCTTCAGGTTTTCATCATTCTCTGTTTCCAAACTTTGATTACAACTTTTTCTTACATTACCTCATTCATCTCTACAGATCAAGATCTCTTCCTCCGTTGACTTTTTCAGTTCTTTGCAAAATGGTGCTTCTTGGTCTAATTGCGTGAGTTTCTTTTATTTGGTAACCGTACATGGTGTATCATTTGATCCACCTATATATTCATAAATACGTTTCAAATACATTTTGTTAATTGGTTCTTGAATTGCATGAAAAAGATTTGTAGAAATGTTTTTAGTTTCTTACATCTATTTTGTAATATTTTTTTCTTTTTTTGGGGAAAACAAAAAACAGAAGTGCATTCCAGATCGCTGGGTACAATGGTATAAAATATAGCTCGCCGACATTATCTTCGGCAATGAGCAATGTGAACCCTGCATTTACCTTCATTCTCGCCGTTGTTTTCCGGTAATGTATTTTCCCCCAAATAGTTGGTTTGTTTAAAGGGGAAATTTCAAAACTACACCTTTTGAAGTGCAAATTTTCAAAAATACACCTTTATGGTGCCAATTTTCAAAAGTATACTTTTTTCATTTAGTAAAAGAACTCCAAACCCTAAAATATAAATTCAAAACCCTAAAATCTAACATTGAACCCTTAAATCTAAACCCTAAACCCCAAAATCTAAACCCTAATATAGTATTAGTGAACCCAAACATATATATTAAAATTGGGAAAAGGTGTATTTTTGAAAATTTCCACATGTAGTTTTGAAAATTTGCACCTCAAGAGGTGTATTTCATAAAATTTCTCTCGTTTAAATCATTTAGCTTTTTTTTTTTTTTTTTTTGCTTTATAAGATTTAGTCAGTCATGCTTTCAAATGAATTAGAGAAAAGGAGAAGGAAATTTCTTGTTTCTTTTCTGTTTTTTAATATTATGAGTGATGACCAAGAACGTGTGGAAAGCAAGTTATTATTTTATTACATATACTGCAAATATATAAAGTGTTTTGGTGTATGACTAAGAAGTAAGAACATGTGGAAAACAACTTCTTAAAAAGTCACAAGCCACAACACAAATATCTACTACATTTGAGTCATTTGACAACAATTAAAAGTATACATTATTTTTTCATTTATAAGTCTGTTTTTCATTTTATCTCTTACAATTTTGGCCCACAGTAGAATAGTAGATTAAGAAAAAACACTGTCTATTGCAAACAAATTTTATGCAAGATAATATATGTCAACCTAAAAACAGAGTGATCTGAGGAAATACTCATGTAGTCTTGTGCTTCGTTTTTTCACACAGTAATTGGATTTCATCTTTCTTCTTGATTGTATTAAATGAGCGATCTAATATACATCGTTTTCTGCCACGGAGCAAATTTCGATTACTAAACCTATTGTTTGTCATATAACAAACACACACAAAGAATAAGAAAAAAAAAATATTTTTTTTTAATGTAAACTAACTTGCACTATTTGGTGAAGGATGGAGAAAATATCCTTAAGGAAAGAGAGTAGTGTAGCCAAAGTGTTGGGAACAATAGTTTCTATAATTGGTGCACTTGTGGTTACTCTCTACCATGGTCCAATGCTAATGTCTTCACACTCCGATTGGGTCTTTGGCGGTTGTCTTCTTGCTCTCCAATACATTCTTATCTCCATCTCTTACCTTGTTATGGTAATACATTACATCTTTTTATCATATACATATTAATGTTCTTCTTTCAAATGTTGTTTAAATTATTATATCGATTAGAATATATGTTAACTCGTAACTTGGGTATGTATAGGCTCACGCAATGAGTCGATATCCATCTACGGTCATTGTAACGCTCGTCCACAATGTTTGCATTCTCGTTGTGTGTACATTCGTTAGTCTTTGGGTGGAGAAGGATGACTCGAAGGCATGGATCATAAGATTTGACACAACCTTGATTTGCGTTGTGGCAACGGTAATATTTGATTTGTTTAGATTTGTTTTGTTAATTTATTCGTTTTTATTGGTCTTGATGATATGAAATACAATTTTTTGTTCATAGGGTATTTTAAATTCAGGATACTATATTATACATACATGGGCGGTTAGTCACAAGGGACCGGTCTATTTGTCGACGTTCAAACCACTATCTATATTGATCGCAGCCGCTTCAACTACCATTTTCCTCGGCGAATCGATCTACCTTGGACTGTATATAACTTCTGATTTTATGTCTTTTTGTTATGTTTTTAATCTCACTGTGTTTATCCCATCTCTCAATTTTCATGTTTTTCTATCTTTGAATACGCAGCTTGATCGGAGGAATATTGATAGCAATAGGATTTTACATGGTGTTGTGGGGTAAATCCAAGGAAAAGAAAGTCGAAACGTTAACCATGGAGTCATCTCCTTCCCACAAAACTCCTCTCTTGGGTTAAATATAAAGCTCATATCCACATTATAATATTATATAAGTGGTCTTTTAGGTATCGATACATCTAGAGAATGTTAAAAGACCGAAGCCAAAGAAAGAGCAGAGACACATATTGTTTGTTAAAGATTTATGTTTCCTATAATCCATGTTTATGTATAGTGAATACACAAACTTTTTTCTTTCTTGTTATTGCAATCATCACTTAGCTGTAAAAGAAATTTGATTAATTATATAGTAGTTAGATCTCTTCTAAATTCAACGAAGCCGAATTCAAGCTCGTACTATACAGTTAAGATAAAAGATTCTTTAAAAAGTCTATCTTAAGCAACTTTAAATTTTAAAATTCGCAAAATTTTGTAAACAACATATGTTGTTTTTACCAAATGCTCAACACACATTTGCTAGTCTGTGTAATAAACCAATAACTTCCTATCCACACGTTCTTGATCAGTCGTAGTATATGTGATGGACATTTTGACAGGTCTATTCCCATCATGAGTCCAAGAATTTAAAATATGAGATATGTACAACAGTCATAAACAGAGAAAGAGAGGAAACAAATTAAAATAAAAACAACAGAAGCCAAGAACTGAAAATGGCTCCGGGAAGATTATGTAACAAAGACGGCTGGATCTTGATGGCGATGGTGTTAACAGAATTTTCTAACGTCGGAGTAAACACTCTGGTCAAGTCAGTAACTTCCAAAGGACTTAGCCCATTTGTGGTTCTCGTCTACGCTTACACCATTGGATCTCTTATTCTTCTTCCTCTTGCCTTCTTCTCCTTCAGGTTTTCATCATTCTGACGACTCTGTTTCCAATTTTTTTTTAATAAGAACTTGCTCTTATATATCCTCATCTCCACAGATCAAGATCTCTTCCTCCGTTGAGTTTTTCAGTTCTTTGCAAAATGGTGCTTCTTGGTCTAATTGCGTGAGTTTCTTTTACTTGGTAACCATAAATTTGGTATCATGCGATCCATATCTATTCATAGATAGCTACCTTTCAAAAACATTTTGGTAATTGGTTCTTGAATTGCATACATAGAAAAATATCTCTACAATTCTTTTTTTTTTAGATTATTAGTTTCTTACATTTATTTTGTATTTTTGTTTGGAAAATAAAAACAGAAGTGCATTCCAAATCGCAGGGTACAATGGTATAAAATATAGCTCGCCGACATTATCTTCGGCAATGAGCAATGTCAATCCTGCGTTTACCTTCATCCTCGCCGTTGTTTTCCGGTAATGCATTTTCTCCCAAATGGTTAATTAGTTGAAATCATTTAGTCAACCATGCTTCCAAGTGAGCTAGTCGTTGACTTATTAAAAAAAAGGAGAAATATATATATATATATATATATTTTTTTTTTTTTGGTTTTTTAATATGACCAAGAACGTGTGGATAGCATGCAAGTATTATTTTGGACCACAGTAGAATAGTATATTAAGAAAAAACACAATCTCTTGTAAGCAAAATTTATGTCAAAATAATATACACCTAAAAACAGAGTGGTCTGAGGAAAAGACACGTATAGTCCAATATTGCTTGTTTTTTTTTCACACAGTAATTCAATTTCATATTGTTCTTAGTTGTGTTAAATGAGCGATCTAACAGTACATCGTTTTCTGCCACTGACCAAATTCCTATTACCAAGCCAATTATTTATCGTATAAAACATACACACACACGAGAATACCTTTTTAATGTTTAATAATTTGCACTATTTGGTGAAGGATGGAGAAAATATCTCTATAAGGAAAGAGAGTAGTGTAGCCAAAGTATTGGGAACAATAGTGTCCATAATAGGTGCACTTGTGGTTACTCTCTACCATGGTCCAATGCTAATGTCTTCACACTCCGATTGGGTCTTTGGCGGTGGTCTTCTTGCTATCCAATATATTCTTGTGTCCATCTCTTACCTAGTCATGGTACATGCATTACATATTTCCATGCACTTCAAATAAAAATACAATCCACAAAACAGTTTTCTATATACAGTAGAAACTCTATAAATTAATACTCGATAAATTAGTAAACACGATAAATTAATAAATTTCTCTGGTCTCAAGTTGGGCCAGTGTAAAATATGACACAATTCGATAAAATAATAAGATAATACTTTTTTAAAACTCTCATGTAAAATATGGTCCCAATAATATCATAAATTAATAATTATCATATAAAAAAAAATATATATTTATATATATACCTAAGATATCTAACTACTAAAATATGAATCTTTCACACACCAAACCGATATGGAAACTAAAAGAAAAAAGAAATTTAAAACAATATGGCAAATATGAGAAAATGTAAACAATAAAGTAAAAGTATAGAAACATCAAAAATAAAAGTTAAGAAAATATACATATGAGGAAAATTTTTATTAAATTTGAAGGAAAATTTAAAAGATTATTGATATTGAATTTTCTTTTTTTGAAAAAGATTTTCTAGTCAAAATCTATATATAACTCTATAAATTAATAAATTATCAAAGTTCCGACATTATTAATTTATAGAGTTTCTACTGTAACTTAAGTACCATAGACATATTCAAACTTTTACCAATGTGTTACTCGAGTATCTATAGGCTCACACAATGAGTCGATATCCATCTACGATCATTGTAACGCTCGTCCACAATGTTTGCATTCTCGTCGTGAGTGCATTCGTTAGTCTTTGGGTGGAGATGGACAACTCGAAGGCATGGGTCATAAGATTTGACAAAACCGTGATTTGCGTTGTAGCAACGGTAAAAATTCTCTAATATAATTTGAAACAAACTTTGGTTTTACATTTTTGTTAATTTACACGGTTTTCTTGATCTTGATGATATATGGAATATACATTTTTTTTCATAGGGTATTTTAAATTCGGGATACTATATTATACATACATGGGCCGTTAGTCATAAGGGACCCGTGTATTTGTCTACGTTCAAACCACTATCTATCTTGATCGCAGCTGCGTTATCTACCATTTTCCTCGGCGAATCTATCTACTTTTGAATGTATGACAAATAACTTTTGATTTTATATGTCTTTGGTTATGTTTTTATACTCATTTTGTTAATCTAATCTTAATGTTTTATGTCTGTATACATAGTTTGATAGGAGGAATATTGATAGCAATAGGATTTTACATGGTGTTGTGGGGAAAGTCCAAGGAAGAGAAAGTAGAAACGTTAACCATGGAGTCATCTCCTTCACACAAAACTCCTCTCTTGGGTTAGCGATTGTGCTTATATTTACTTTATATAAATGATCATTTAGGTTTCGATGTCTCTAAAGAAAGTTATAAGACGTACATTATTTGTTTCCTATAGTCCATCTCTCTGAATCCAAGCTCGTACCATACATTTAAAATATATATGATTCTTTGAAGTATATTTCTTATATATCAAATAAGGCAATTTCAAAACCTCAAAAAATCATTTCTTTGATTATGTCCCTAAAAAACTAACTTACCAAAACAAGATGTATACATTCTCCTTAAAAATTCAATGGGTCAAATCCTCAAATAGTTACGCAATAAATTTCTTATCATATATACTTCCATTTGTGTCCTAAAGTATCTATGATTCGAAATTGATTATGACTGAACTTTAAGACCCATTATTGGTCTCTCTCTTGGTGTTTCCTCTCACAGTAAATCAATGGCTGGTCGGAAGAAGACGACCGAACTCCCCAATGAATTGGTCAATGAAATTCTCACGAGGGTTCCGGTGAAGGCCCTGGTCCGGTTCAAATGTGTGTGCAAAAGATGGAAATTGCTGCTAAGAAGCAAGAACTTCATCAAAAAGCAAATGACTTACGCCCCAAGAAAGCTTCTTGCGATTGAAGACAATGGAGAGTCTCCTCCTCGTAGCATCCTTTACGAACACGAAAACAACGGTAACCCTAAAATGACACTCGAAGAAGCTGATCTAACTCGCGGTAGCAAACATTTGGTCGACTTAGAAGTGATCGGGCATTGCGACGGACTGTTTTGTCTCCGGCTCCAAGACAGAACTTTAGCGGTTTGGAATCCGTTGCTTAAACAAGTAAGAACGCTATCATCAAAATCTGCAAAACCAATAACTTCTCATGACTTGATAGGCTTTGGTTATGATCATTCAACTGACGATGATTACAAGGTAGTATTCTTCTCAGCATTGTCTGAAACCATTATGGCTCCAAAAGATTGGTCTCGCGGAGAAATAGTCACGGTGAAGTCATCTTCGCGCCGGAGTATCGATGAATTCCCCGAAATCCGTCGTTGTTTCGACATAAAAGGGACTTTTGCGGGTGATAAAATATTCTGGCAAGTGAATAACGATCCGGAAAACGCAGTGGAGTCAGAAACTATCCTTAGTTTTGATCTTTCGTCCGAGAAGTTCGAGTACATTTCTTTTCCTAGAAATCTTAAAGGATTTATACAAGGCTTGGTTGCAGTAGGAGGATGTCTAGGGTTTGTGGAAACGTACATGTTCCAGTACACGTCTAAGCTAGTTGCTTGGACCGCAAGAAATGACAAATCTTGGGGCAAGTTTTGTGTAGTTGAAGACTGCTATTTCGATGGCTTTATAGGGTCCCATAGAAACGACGTTGCTTTACTTAGGACGTATAAGAACAAAAATGCATGGAATGTGACGTATTTGGGACACGCAGCTATGAGGATTTACACTTATAACTTGGAGCAACGTGAGTTTTTTGAGGTCGAGACTAATTTCATTTCTTGTTATTTAACTTTATATGATTATGTTGAGACTTTGCTTTCTCTTAAGTAATGCATTTTTAGACATCAGACTTTGAATTTTGGTTTTTTTTTTTTTTTTCTCATGTCAAATTTTGATTCTATGTTTACCATATAAAATCAAGTGGACGGTTTAATTTGTTGAATGGGTAATCATTTTGATTCCAATGACTGAGAATTTCTGTGTCAAGACACGGGTTTGAGAGGTACGCAAGTAAAAAAAATTTAAATGACTACTGCCGTAACATGAAACGATTAATATTACGGCAGTAGTACATTTAATTTCAAGTAGTCAAGACACGGGTTTTTTTTAACTTGACTACTTGAGTAATCTCCGGTTAAAAAGGAATTGGAAATTCTAGTAAATAACTCGACACGGGTTTTTTTAAGACATAATTGTGTTCATGTTCTTTTTTTTTTTTTAAAGACCGAAGTGTTCATGTTCTGTTTTTTTAAGACCGAAGTATTCATGTTCTGTTTTTTTTTAAGACTGAAGTATTCATGTTCTGTTTTTTTTTAAGACCGAAGTGTTTATGTTCTATTTATTTAAAGACCGAAGTGTTCATGTTCTGTTTTTTTAAAGACCGAAGTGAACTGAGACGAACTTGTGTCTTTCTTTGGAGTGTTAATAAGACATTAGCTGTCGCGATGTCTGCACCCAATTTCCATGAATCTGGCTGCATACAGACAAAATAAATACCTCTTCTTAACGAGGCAAGCATCAAAACTTATCTAAATTCATAAGGAGTTAGCAGCTTCCAGTGAAAGTGTCTCCTGCTGTTGTTCCAATCCATCTTTATACCTCCTCCTCCTCCTAGATACCTCAAATACTCCCCACTCATGGAGACTTGGAATTTCGAAAAAGTTCTACGGAGAAATCCGACGCCGGCAAAAACGGAATATTTGGGCTTCCAAATTGATATAGTTAACTCATACGCCTCTTATGGCCCATTCGCTAAGATATAAGCCCGTCCAGTTGAGTACGTCCAATTTCCTTATTCGCAAAAATCTGCTATTACAGTTTAGTGCCATAATTTAACTTCTTTAGCCAATATTTTTTTTGTGTTCACTGAAAACATATAAATTTGTCTCCAAAGCAAAAAAAAAAATGAACGAGTATGGGGTGACTTTAATTTAGAAAGAACTAGAATTTATAAAAAAATATAAAATGGAAATCAGAGGAATAATGCTTCTTAAAGACTTTTTTTCTATGCTGTGTTTCGTCCTGCATAATTTCCCAAGTAAACACAAGTGTAAGAGAGTAACAATCAAAGAAAATAAAAGATATGGTTTGAGCTTTCGAAGCTCTTTGTCTTCCGTGACTCTGTAATTTGCTTGCGTCTTTCTATGGAGCAAAATCTCACTCTCCCTTTCTCCTCTCTCTCTCTCCTTCAATGTCTGTTTATGACAGCGACTGTTTCGTTTTCTCTTCAAGTCTTAAGATCATCAGACATAGCAGAAGGTATGCAGTGAGTGGTCAGAATATCTAACGTCGCCTCTTTCGCCGTCTTAGTTTGCAGGACAACAATCTGTGAAATCCACCAGAGACTTTTAGCTAAAAGTTTGTCACAAGTTTAAGTATAAAGTTAGTCAGATCATCAGAGAACAATACCTGATCATAATCTAGATTGAACTTCATGTATTCATCATCACAATTCTCCACCATCTCAGCTAAGCCTTTCAAGTTTTTCACAGGTTTGCCATTGAAAGCAACAACCTACACAGCAAATTCAAACCCCATTTAGAATTGATGGATGCATCTGTGTAAGGTAATGATAATAAGGTAATTTCACACACCTGTGTATTGACAATCTCCTCATAACCAATGTTAATGTCAGAAACGAGAACCTGCAAGTGGTGATATGGATGTGAGGTTTTGGAAATCAGACGGGAAGAATAATATTAGTAATTGCGTACGGAGATGGCAAAAGAAATCAACCTGTGAAACTACAACAAGCTGCTCGTCCACGGATTGAGCCATTGCATGAAGATGTTTCTCCAATAGCTTGACAGGCGCATCAAACTCGTATTCTTTTCCATACTGCAAAACACATTATTGGGAAATGGTTGTTATATAGACTGTGGATAGATGCTTTAGACAGAAAGAGAACAACAAAAGAGTGAGAGAGAGAGAGAGCAACGGACCTCAGATCGAAGATATGGAACAGAGATAGTCGTAAACACAAAGCCAGCAACGATGAAGTAAGAAGGAGGTTTGCCACATATGTGTGCAGGGATTAGCCTCTTGTGGATTGCAAGTTTTATGCTGAACTCGAGTATTTCTCCATCACGCAAGACCTTCACAAGAGCAGAATCTCCAGTGTACTTCTGAGAAATAAGATAGCTAAACCCAATTCGCTCTCCGTGCCTAAATGGAACTGAAAAAACAAACAAGAAACATAAATGTTGTTATAGCTCTATCTTTAGTTCCATGAATGTGAATAGGTGACTAAACTGTAAGAAGTTCTACCAGTTCCATCATTAGCAATGTTAACTCCGTCAAAGCTAAGGATAATATCCGAAGGCTTCAAGACCTGTGATTCCGGTGCGGTAGGCTCGATCCTTCTTATCCGCACTCCCTTCTGATGAGATTCCATACCCATTGACTTACGCAAGTCAGGATTCTCCATCTTCTGCCACTCAATCCCAAGAACAGGAAAACCTAAAAAACAGTACCAAGTATTGAGAAACATAGCACAGTGAAGAGATAACAAAGAAGAGAATCATCAGTGAGAGTTATTAACCTGTGTATTTATCATGCTTCTCATAATCTTGAATGAAATGTACAATCACCGGCGTGGGGATGACGTAACCGATGTTCTCAGCATCTTCGTGTTTCAGAGACTGAAAGGCAATGCCAACACATTTGCCTTTGTCGTTAAATGCAGGACCACCAGAGTTACCAGAGTTAATAGCTGCATCAATCTGCAAAACACAAACATAAGCGCACAGAACTTCCTAGCCAGAAGATATACAAAAGAAACACTCAAATGTGTCTTAAAACCTGCAAGCCTAAAAGCTCGGTGGAGCCATGTACATAAGACAATATCTCCATCCTTGAAACAACACCGCTCGTTACAGAGATTGTATCACCACCAATTGGATAACCAACAACAGTCACATCATTATGCAAAGCTGGTAAATCACCAAACTCCACAGGAGACACTCCTTCCCAAAACTCATCATCATTAACTGTCAACAATGCTGCAACAATCCAAAGAGGAAATAAAGATCCATTTACTTCACATGTTCCAATTGAAACTATAATCAATTCTAACTACACTGAAGAACAGTCCAAAACTAAAAGGAAACAGATTCATACCAATATCACATTCAGTGCCAATGGCCAAGACTGTAGCTAAATACTTAGTGTCAGAGCCACGCTTCTTGAGTTTCACTTGAGTATGGTGCTCAACGGAATGAGCATTCGTCAAAACTCTTCTTCCTCCGATGATGAAGCCACTGCTACCGGAGCTGTACTGTCGTTTCCTTTGCCACGGCAAGGAGAAATTAGGCTCAGTGTGGACGCAGAAGACCTTAACAACAGCGTCCATGGAAGGCACAACTTTCACCACGGTTTCCCAACTCGGAGGAGCAGGAATCGATTCCGTCGTTGTCGTCGTTGAAACAATCATCCCATTGCTGCAATCACCGTTCTTCTGATCAGAGTGATGGGGACGAGCTCGTCGCTCCGGAGACGATGTCCTCTGGATAGTATCGGCTTCTGATTGGTTGTTCAATCGACGCTTTTTGCTTCTCACGCGGTTGCGTCGCGACGGAGATGGGTTAGCTTCGGAAGCCGAAGCAGGCTCTGGGGATTGAGGTAGCGCCGGTTCGTTGAGCTGAGATACAGAAGCTTCGTTAACTTCGCCGCCGGCGTTTTCCGCCGATGAAGCGTGTTTGCGTGATCTCTTTTGTCTCGTCATTTTTCTCTCAACCCAGAAGGAGAAAAAGTTGAGATTTTTATCCTCTCGGCGAAATTGGAATTGAAATTTCCAGACGGAAAATTCCTCCCTTTTCGACGCGGCTAGGGTTTATAATTCGGAGAGTGAGGTAATGGCTAGGATGTAAGAAACGGCGATCAAATTGTCCCCGTCGTGTCTGAATATAACTAAATGGGCCTTAAATTAGGCCTAATAATCGAATATAACGAGCTTGGGCTTGTAATTACCGATCTTTTTAAAGAACCGATCATCTTCATATCATCATCATCAGCAGCATCATCATCCCATTTCAATCGTCGTTACCGACTCTTAACTCCGACCATGAAAAGAAAAATTCATTGATTTTCTTTCCAGAAAATTCAATTTCAGATTTCACTATTCAACAATTATTAGTGATAGAAACGAGAAACTCTTATATCCAGTGTGAACGAATAATAAAAAAAAACTGTAAACCAAATCTGACATCATTTCACTTTCCTTTTGAGCTCAAATCTCCTTCTTCACCACCACAATCACTCCAAATCTCACTTCAATCATCTCCAGATTCTGATTCTAAATCCGTCGGCAATTTTCTAGATCTCTGTTTCCGATCGTGATCCGTCTTCAATTTCTTCGATTTCGACAGCGAAATCGAAATGTCAGAAGGTTACGCAATCGAGCTCTACTTCGATCCGGCGCTTGAAAACCAGGTTCTGAAAGCTTGGAACGTCTTCGCTCGCCGTCAAATCAGTACGAAATTGATCAGCAATGAGTCTCGCCCACACATAACCTTGTTCTCGACCGTCTTCTTCGACTCAGCGAGGCTCGAATCCGTCATCAGAAACTTCGTATCGAAGCAGGAGCCACTCTCGATCGCTTTCTCTACCATCGGAAGCTTCTCGAGCGACAACAACGTACTCTTCCTCTCGCCGACACCGTCTCTATCGCTTCTTCAGCTACAATCTCAGTTATGTGAGACGATGAAGAAAGAAGGTGTTGAGATTCCTGAAGATTATCGTACCGATTCGTGGGTTCCGTTGTGTCCGGTGGCTCTTGAAGTGCCTAAGTCGCGTATGGCTGAAGCTTTCTCGGTGTTGAGAGAACTGAAGCTTCCGGTGAATGGTTACGGCATGGAGATTGGTGTGGTTGAGTTTTCTCCGGTTCGTGAAGTCTTCTCATTTGCTCTTGGTAACAACACTTTGGAGTCTTGATCATCGAAAAAGTTCCATCTTTTGGTGTTGGTTTGATGATTTAGCTCCTTTGGGTATCATCAATATGTACTGTTGAAAACTAAATTTCCAAGAAAATTTTCAAGCTTTTATAGATGTGTATTTGGAGCAGTGTGGAGTTACAATTCGATCTGAATGCTATTATGATTGCTTGAGCTAATTGATAGATAGAAGCAATGTGTTGTGGTCATGGCTGGTGAACAAGTTAGCTGTATCACCTTTATGCCTCGAACCTCTGTAACTTTTAGTCTCTGGACATAGTCTGTTCAAGAGGGTCTTATGGTATGATTTATACACTTTGTTAAATTGTTTGTCATGTTTTCATATGAACACAAAAGATGGTGGTAGAGATTAGCAATCCTCTACTCAATTTGTATGCAGGCTATGATCAATGAATACAATGAAACAATGCCAGTTATGTGCAATTTTTATATGTCCAGTAAATATGATGTGTCTGATCTCTTTGTAACACACAGAACTAAAGCTTGCAATAAGGTTTAAATCAGAGACATTATCGATATGAAATGAAGAACGATTCCACTTTACAAAGAGTACCATTAGAAACTCGCTCCAGGCATCTCTATTGGTCTTGGAGTCCGGTCTAAATTTCCCCGGTTCACCGATTTTAACAACTGGTTTCTGCGGTTCAATGTTGATATCACGGTTCGATCGGTTAAGTTGATCTTGCATTGTTTGTTCCCAAAACTGAGCATCCTTGTTTTGCTTTGTAACCGCTCGGTTCTCTATTTGGCTGTATTCAGGCGGTTGCAAAATTTAGTGTTGCGCTGGAGCCCCAGAGAAAGATGTTGATGGAGGTTTTAACGGAGATGCAGGACCAGAGAAAGAAGTTGATAGAGGACTTTACGGAGATTCAGGAATTGCTCTCCGATAATTCGTGTCATGTTGAAAGATCTTGACAACCTTTCTGAGGTGGGAGAGAAGATGGAGCTCCTTCACGCAAGCTCGGTGGAAGGAGCATTGAAGTTCCTTGACAAGAACACAGCTCATTCTCATCAGAAGTAACAGTCTTATTGAGGATAATTCTACTTTATAAATTCAAAGACGTTAATTATCAGAAATGTAAGAACGATTCTACTTTAAAAGTTCTTAGCTTCATTATTACATGAGTTGCTTAAGTATCACCATGAGAAACTCGCTCCATGCATCGATTGGTCCGGGCAAGTACCAGTGAGTGCAGTCATTGAAACCTTTCATCCATTGATTTCCCCAGTACGAGTTCGGATGCCCGTCTGCTCTCATTAGCATCACTCTAGTCACATCCAAAACCCCAAACTTCTTCTTCTTCTCTAAGCTGTCAGGTTTCATCTCTTTAAACTGTTCTATCTGAGCTCTCCTGATTTCCATATCACCACTACTCTCCATGTCCGTTTCATTTGCCCTAAAAGGTTTCGTCCTCCCACACGCTCCTCCGGTGTTCCAAGTCCCGTTCTCGAAATGCGTAGGCGAAAACGTCCTGAGAACAGTCACTAAGTTGCTTTTGCAGCTACGACATGCATTGATGTGCTTAAAAGCAGCTGAGAAAACAAGCTTAAACCCTTCTTTCAAGCTGATCTGAGTCATATTTGGTGAGTAACAGAAGATGCAACCAATCATCTCATCTCCTCTATGTATGTATATTGGTCTGAACAACCAATGACCAGCTGAAACAACGGCGATGTCTGTGTTTGGCAGATCCTTTGTCCATTGCTCATCGATTTTATCAATGTCGAGATCATAAACTCCTGTTCCGGTCTTGTTAGCGTGAGTCCTCTCGAATCCCGCCACTAGAAACTTCGTCCATGAGGTAGATAGAGTGAAGTCATGATCAGGGAAGTACCATATCCTGTTTCTGTCTTCTGCATCTTTGTAGATATCTTTAGGAGTTTCTTCCTGCACAAGCAAAAAGAGATATTTCTTGAGTCACAAGCTCAAGGAGTTTATTCACGAGATCAGAATTGTATACCGTTGATAAGAGGCAGAGAAGAGACTCCATGTGGTTTCTGGCTAAAGAATCACCAATAAAATTCATCTTTCTGCCTCGAATAAGATCTAGAAATGCTTTGGGATTGAATCTTGGAAGATCACAGTTTTTGGGTTTCCATCTCCAGAACAAGAAATCTTTGTTTGGTCTCCCATGTCTTATGCAGTTCTTCGAGTTAGGTATTGTAGGACAGGTAAAGTTTGTGTACAGTGGCCCTCTTTGGTCTGGAACCCATTGTCCTTGAGACAAATCACAGTCCTTCAAATCTATACAAGCAAATCAATTAAACTGAAGTTGAGACAAATTTTTAGATATACTAGTACAGTACAACAGTTTTTGCCTTTTGTTTTTTACTAACAACATGCATTATATGAACTTGGATCTTCATAGTAACACAACGAAGACACTAACACAAACTACATGTTTTTGGTCTAGATTTCGTTGTTAAAACTTGAAAATTCATTGTTTCACATGATGAAGGTTTTGAAGATTTTGTTTCTTTAAAGGGGAATTAGTTTTTGGCTTAATTTTGCTTCTTTAGTATAAAATCCAAAGGCTATATAATTTTGGTTTTTCTCAAAAAATAACAAAAAGATAGATACAAAAATCTCAAAAACTAAAGAAAACTAAAAAAACAAAATAACTCTACAAAAATCACCATTCATTCAAAGCTTTATCCATACTTTTATGATTTGACAAGAATCGTTTTTACAAAACAAAAAGGTTTTATTTCAACAATAAGAACACTAAAAGAATCAAAGAAAGAAAATCTCTTTTTTTTTATCAAAACTTACCGTAGAGGACACTGTGAATGTGATTGGGGTTGGAAATGAAAAGTGACGCAGTAATTATGAAGAGAACGGTGGAGGATATACAAGTTACAAGAATCCAAAGATACGGCGATTCTCTGATTTTTCTTCGATAAATCGATGACGGATTCATCGAACGTTGCATGTTGATATTTCTCCCAACAACATTCTACGTATGAACACCACTTTATATAGACGTAAACTTACAGTAGATGAAACAGAAAAGAATCTACAGATGAAGGAAGAGAAAGTAGTAGTCTTTTTAAATATTTTGGGAAAAAAATCTTCTTAGAAAAAGGTTAATAATATTTACAGATTGTGCTTTGCTAATTTTCCACTATTTCAATTTTCAAGGTTAGTAATAAAAACAAATTATTTGCTACTGAAAACAAAATAAAAATCAGTCTATTTGAGGATATTATTTTATTTCATTTTGTTTGAGACATTTCATCAAACATCATAAAGGCAAAACCAAATCCAACTCTCGAGTACGATATTACGACCAATAAAACGAAAGCTCAAAAGTTCCAAGACAGTGTCTGTGTCACTCCTCCTGTTGCCAGTTTCTTCCTTGTTGGATTTCTTTGTTCGAGCCACTTTGTTTAACGAAGAGTTACTTTGACACTGCCGATAAGAATTTGAGTATTCGAGAGATTTGATTGTCACTGATAGCTTCAATTTACAATGGTCTCATGGGTTTTATCCATCCATCCACAAAGTCTGCTACTTCCACGGTTTCCGGTCACTGATTCCGTCAACTGTAATTTGAAGCTCGTTGATTGTAGCTCCACGAGTGTCCGACGAGGCGTATCGGTTTCCGTTAAGAGAAACTCGCCGGCAAAGACTCACAATTTCACTGAGACAAATCGTCGAACACCTACCGGTCCTACGGTGCAATCGAAACATGAATTCTGGGAAGATCCAGACGATGGCAGTGACAGTGAAGACGAAGACGAAGAAGGAGATGAAGAAGACGGCATCGGAAACGATTTAAATTACGAGAGTGATTGGGAAGAAGAAGACTCCAGAGCCCGGAAACTAACTACAGACAACTACGAGGAAGAGCTTGCAAAAGGTTCTCACTCTTTCTGCTTCTATTATCACATCTCAATTGTTCAATATCTTCGAATTCTGAGTAAAGATCGACTGAAATAGTTTCAAAGTTGTAATTTTTGTGTGTGTATGTGTATGATACAGAGGTTGAACAACTTCTTGGACCTGAAGAAAGAGCAATTCTGCAGCAAAATGATAAACCAAACCTCAAGATGATGTCAACAGTAAGTTGTTTCAATTGATTTTCTTCTTTAGTATCTCATTGGCTTCAAGTGGTGTGTTTTAATTCACATGGTATGTATACTTATTGTGTATATATGATGAAACTTGCAGAAGACGTGGAAGCCGCTTCAGACTCTTGCTCTGTCAATGCAGATTCAGTTGATGGATAATCTCATTGAAAATGGACTAGACATTGATGATTTGGACAAGGTTTTTGCTTTTAAAACATGAAATCTTGTCACTACCAAATCTGGTTTCTAATATTTTATGATGTCATTGATTGAAACAGGACAGCCAAACGGCTCTTCACAAAGCAGTCATTGGTAAGAAAGAAGCAGTGATTAGTCATCTTTTGAGAAAAGGAGCAAATCCGCATATTCAAGATCGAGTGAGAACTTATCTCTGTTTCCATTTACTTAAACCCCATTTTGATAAAAAAAAAAAAAAGGTTTAAACTTTTTTCATAACCGGATTGTTTGCAACATTACAGGACGGTGCAGCTCCGCTTCACTATGCAGTTCAAGTTGGAGCCTTGCAGACTGTAAAGCTACTGATCAAGTACAATGTAGACGTCAATGTCACGGATAATGTCAGTATATCAACAAAAACCTTATCTTAAGCAATTCATTACTTAGAGATTTGATGAAAAATTTCTTTGTTTTACAGGAAGGATGGACTCCTTTACATATCGCTGTGCAAAGCCGGAATCGAGACATTGCAAAGATCTTGCTGACAAATGGTGCTGATAGAACAAGAAGAACAAAGGTGTGAATGGTGAAAATATGATCGAAAGAAAGATGAGATTATATGAATAGTTTATTTGCGTTTGATAAGACTAACAGATCGATTTGGTTTGTGTTTTTGTTACTGGTTTTAAACAGGATGGGAAGTTAGCTTTGGACATGGCTCTGTGCTTTGGAAGAGATTTCAAGTCATATGATCTTGTCAAGCTGTTGAAGATCATGCCCACTGGAGATGAAATATAGATAAAAAAAAGAGCAAGTGAGATTCTAAATGATCATGTTGAGATTACTAAACCAGGTTTTGATTGTAATCGTAAGTGGTATAAGTATGTAAGTTTTGTAGTACTAAACTAGAGATTGTTGTATAAAACAACTTTGGAGAAATTGGTATTCATCATTCAAGTCTATACAACAGTCATATACATGAACTCATAAAAGAGTTGAACAACACTTTATTCTGTTTGCTATATAAAGACATATACAAGTTTCATGCTTCACCGTTTGCTCAACTCCGATATGAGATTAAAGGAAGAGACTTTGATCCTGAAACAACATCCAAAAAAAACTATGAGGAATCAAATGCAAAAACACAAAAATGGCATTCCAAATTTTCATATGTTCGGTTTCTCAGAGATTACCGATGTTTTTCAAAAGAGTTCACGCTACTTACGACTTGGAACGAAGGTATTCATCTACCGTGATAGACTTAGCTCCTCCATACCAATTTATCAGAAATATATCGATGATCTCGAGCTTGAAGACGCGGAAATCATGACCCTTTGGCCAATCTGTAGCAAAAGAAAAAAACCGTTATAAACCGTTACACAACATACATTATCATGAACGAAACTGTTAGCTAAAATGATGAGAGATACACATATACTTACCCATCATCTCTGGATGCTTTGTGAATAAAGCTTTCTTGGCTACTTCTTCTTCCTCAGATCCTTCATCCAGTGGCACCAACTGAGACCAAAGCATATTTTAATAAGACTGAAGCATTTTCTTATTGTTAGGTTTGATAAGAAAAGCAAGACATTTACCTTTCCGGTGAGGGTTAGTTTAGAGCAAGTGGGATCCATTGGATCTCTCTTACAAGTCCCAATGGGAGATTCACTAACTGCGAATGAAGCTCTTGCATCTTTTAATGCGTTTCTTGTGGTTGGATCAAGACTTGTCAAGTAAAAGTATGGTATACCGCTGCCTTTCCCGGGCAAACCATCACTAAATGATACAACATTCCTGTAAAACATACCAGTACCAATGATTTTAACAAATAGGACACACTAATGGAGAAGACTTTGTGATTTGATTCATGGAAACAAGACCTTACCCGAAAGGTGCTCCTTGATGCTCAATGGACAGTGTGCTGCAAGAAGAATAAAATCACCAAAAAGAATTAGTCATCCACCATTGTTACATACACTCACAGTACCTTGATGTTGAAACGATTGCAACATTTTTATTAACATAGACTCTTGCAGCAATTTTTTCACTCAAGAAGGACAAATCAAACAGAAAGCAACTAATAAGATCTCTGACTTTAGTGACCAAATCCCAAATCCATTTCAAACTTCAAAGAAACCAAAGCTTAATGAAGTCAATTCATAGCAACAAAAAAAATGTTCATATATACGACTAGCAATTATTGGATTCAAATGGTTCTCCTACTTGACTTTGTGTCGAGTCCCAAATCAATTTCAATTTCAAAAGGATCAAAGCTTGATGAAGTGAATCCATTGCAAATCTCAAGAATCCACCAACCTTTTTCTCGCTTGACTTTTTGTCAAATCCCAGATTAATCAAAAGGATCAAACTTGATGAAATTAAATTTATAGAAGGATGATATCTGATTACTGAAGTGACAAAATCTTATATGCCAAACCCCAAATTAATTTCGATTTCAAAAAGCTCAAAGCTTGATGAAGCTAATTCTCAGCAACTTCAACATCATTCGTCAATACTACTAATATCAATGATTGGAATTTAATCAGCTAAAAAAGCTACAAACTTTCTGTAATAATTACCCCCAAAAGTGGTCCTAATAGATAATTGAGAAAGACCCAAATCAATAAACTTAAATTCCTACTGTAAGAAACTCTGGAATTAAGAAGACAAGATCTTGCTCTGTTCAAGTTTAAATACCTGAGGACACCCCAAATGTTCTGAGAGACAAGCCAACGAGCACTTGCGGCAACATCATGCCTGTCTGGCTTCGAGATCGTAAGAATCCGAGCAGAATAAGATTGTTCAAGAACTGTCAGTAGAAAAAAGAAGAAGAATAGCTGACGAAGACGGAATTGAAGTTCCATGCTTTACGTTTGCGATGATCGAAATGAAATGAATTGAGAAGAGAAGAAGACCAAGAAATAGGAAGAGAAACAAAGTTGACTTCACCAATCCCAAGATGGGTTTTTAAACGTTTAAACTTTAAAAAAGCCATTCTTATCTCTTTGGTTTTCAGATTTCTTATCTTCTTTGGAGTAACAGACAACTTTTTTGTTCTTTGATAAAGGGTAACAAACAAGTTTTCTTCTCTTCTTTGTCCGTATGTAAGAAAATAAGGAACAGAACTTATCTATACAGAGAAAAAGTTTTGAAGTTTAATTTCCATACGCCATTGGAAGATCTACTCAAGCTCGGGAGAAAAAAATTACTAGCAGAATTTTGAAGTGAAGTAGAGTTTTGGGTGATAACTGCAATAACAAAAAAGAAAAAGGCATAAACCCAATATTTTAATAAGTATTGGGTTTGTTCCGTAAATCATGAGGACTAGATTGTAGAAGAATATAGTTTGTCGTGGGGTTAAAACTGTAAATTTGACTACTTCATCACTGATTTAATCTGATCCTCAGAAAATTGCTTCGCCGTCGTCTTCGTCTTTGCCTCCGGTGATGAAAGACGGAAAATTTCGTAACTGGGCGGAGCTTCCATCAGATTTAACGTTTTCGATTCTCCTCCGTGTCAGCGTTCCCGATAGACTGGAAAACGCTCAGAACGTGTGCAGATCGTGGCGAAGCGTCTGCAAAGAACCCTCGTTGTGGCGGGAAATCGACTTGCGACACCTCGAGAACCTCAAATCCATGGAGACAATGTGCCGTCGCGCCGTCGATCTAAGCCGCGGCGGCTTGCTGGAGATCAACATCGAGAACTTCGGGAACAATTCTCTCCTCGCTTACATCGCCGACAGGTTCCTATTGAAAAAAATTGCTACTTTCTAGGGTTTCATAAGTTTCTTTTAGATCAAGTTATTAAATTTTGACCTAAATACTAACTTGCAGGTCAAGTAATCTGAAACGCCTGAGAATTGCAGAGTTTGAAGAGATAACGAAGCTGGGACTTATGAAAGCAGTGACGAAACTCCCATTGCTTGAAGAGCTTGAGCTATCTTGCTGCCGTTTTGATGATGTGTTTGATTTGAAAGGCGTAGGCTTTGCTTGCCCTAATCTCAAGACGTTGAAGGTGAACTATGTGGGGTTTTACTACAAGCATGTCGAGTGTGATGATGATGCATTAGCAATCGCTGAGAGCATGACCAAGCTACGTCGCCTCCAGCTTCTTGGCAACAGATTGTCACACAGAGGGTTAATCGCCATTCTTGACAATTGTCCTCACTTGGAGCACATTGATTTACGCCATGGCTTGAAGATTAGCGTCGTTGGGGATGTGGATAAGTTTGAAGCTTTTAGAGGGATCCAAGAACTCAGCCGCTGATTACCCGTTTGATGACATGCTTATCGATCCTGATGATGAAGATGATTATTATAATTATACCGATGAAGATGATTATACTGATACTGATGAAGATGAAGACAATGATGAAGATGAGGATGAAGATGAAGATAACTCTAACAAACTTGGCTACATCGTTTTCATTGATTATAGCTATATGGACAATCGATTTGACATGGAATACTAACGTTATCTTGTTTTGTTTAAAGAAAGTCTCTACATTTTGTTTGGTAACAAAGTAAAGTTGATTTTGGTTTCACTTGTTTTTAAAGACGTTACAAGAGAATGTGAAGTGATCATTCACAAGCATTGCATAAATGATCATAGTGGTGAAAGTTGTTTTGATGAAACAAAGTTTTGAAAGTTGTGAACTGTATCGTCTTTGTCTTGGATTTGGCCAAAGAAGTAAACAAATGTATGAAAGTGTCAAAAATCCTAATAGAAAACCCAACTTTATTTGTAGAGAATAGAAACTCTCATCTAACGGTTCAGATTCCATTTCATACTAATCCAACGGTTGTTGTTCCTTTCTGCCCGATTTTCCCTGAAGTCTTTCACTTTGTCCATGAAAAATCAAAACTTTGTTGAATTTGGGTTTTATACTTCAAAACTGAAGATCGCCGGAGTTAATTCGCTCAATCTAGACGACAAGGTAAGGATTTACTTACCTGGTGATTCTGATTCTGATCAAAGACTGTAGATTTCGCAGTTATGATTCTGATATAAAGTTCAGCTCAAAGACAATATTTTGATGATCTTCCTTTTGCAGAATTGCTTAGTCTTAAAGCTTTACTTGGAAATTGTATCTTCTTTTTAACTACTAATCACATATACTTGAGGAACTTCCTAACTTCTGGTAAGTTCTCTTTTTGCTCTCTAACAATTTTGCGTCTCTTCCATTGGAATGTCGAGGAATCATTGAGAATTGAATTGGGTTTTCTTCAAATCGCTAGATTTCGTTACCTTTAGGAATTGAAATTGGAGCTGTAAGGGTTTTTAGATGTTGTTTTTGGTTATAAAATGTGGTGGATTCTGAAACCACCTGTTTTGCTGTTCTTTAATCGTTTCCCTGATGGATTTCTGTTGACTATACTGAGAAATCAATAGGTATGGATGTTTTGTCACTGAATCTTGTGTTTGGTGAGAGATTGTTCTTTCAATGTTTCCAGAATTTGCCCTGTTTTGGAATTTGTCCTTTGTTTCTCTCTCTAGTTTCTTATGTGTTCAGTGTGACAAATTTTTGGCTTTTTTAGACTTTCAGTAGGTCTGTGTGTAATCTGATCTGAGAGCTATTGTAAATGGATCAGATAAAAAGAACAAAACAGCCAAAGAATGACAAAGAAAATGAGGAGAGTGGGGAAGTACGAGGTTGGTCGCACGATAGGTGAAGGCACTTTTGCAAAGGTTAAGTTTGCGAGGAACACAGAAACTGGAGAAAACGTAGCCATCAAAATTCTGGCTAAGAGTACAATACTCAAGCACAGAATGGTTGATCAGGTATTGTTTTAAGATTGCCATTCATGTAGAAACTAAGGCTGCTCTGTTAATCTTATGTGTATGTTCTTGCTTTTGTTTGTTTGTTTTAATCTTATATATACTTGGTTTGCCCTCTTGTTCAGATAAAAAGAGAGATATCGATAATGAAGATTGTTCGACACCCTAACATAGTGAGGTTGTATGAGGTCTTGGCAAGTCCATCAAAAATATATATCGTTTTGGAGTTTGTGACAGGAGGAGAGCTCTTTGATAGAATTGTAAGAAAAGTTCATACTTGTGTTGTTTAGCATTTTTAATGTTCACTAGTTAAAGCCTCTTTGGATATCTTTATGTTTATTGCAGGTTCATAAAGGGAGACTAGAAGAAAGTGAGTCTCGCAAATACTTTCAACAGCTAATAGATGCTATTGCTCATTGTCACTTCAAGGGTGTTTACCACCGTGACCTTAAAGTGAAGCCATTTCACTTATTTCCCTTAGAAACATTTCTACTTTTTTTTCATTATGTTGTTGTAATCAAGAGTGTGGCATTATGATATTTTCAGCCAGAGAATCTCTTACTTGATATTAATGGAAACCTCAAGGTTTCGGATTTCGGACTCAGTGCCTTGCCTCAGCAAGTAAGTGTTCCATTCAAATTCTTCTTTAGCTTTGTAAAGTTTCTCTCTTTTATCTCTTTCATTCATTTTCCATATACTGAATTAGGGAGTTGAACTTTTACGCACCACATGTGGAACTCCGAACTATGTAGCTCCTGAGGTACTTAGTGGCCAAGGTTATGATGGTTCAGCAGCAGATGTTTGGTCTTGCGGTGTTATTCTCTTCGTTATAATGGCTGGCTTCTTACCCTTTTCTGAGACAGATCTTCCTGCATTGTACAGAAAAGTAAGTAACCACATCTTTTTTTCTGGAAATGTTCATGGGCTTTAGCAGTTTTTGAAACACTTATCTATCTTTGAATGCAGATAAATGCAGCAGAGTTCTCTTGTCCACCGTGGTTTTCTAAAGAAGTGAAGTCTTTAATACATAGGATACTTGATCCCAACCCCAAAACAGTGAGTGTTTTCCTTTGTTGTCTACGAGATTTCCGTGTGTGCTAATCGGTTAAAGTTTTAGTAATTTTATTTCTGATTATCCATGATTGTTTCTCAATTAGTGCAGCGTATTCAAATTCAAGGGATTAGGAAAGATCCTTGGTTCAAATCAAATTATGTGCCTACCCGAACAAGGGAAGAGGACGAAGTGAACTTGGATGATATTCGTGCAGTTTTTGATGGAATTGAGGTTGGTCCTTCGTCTTCATTATAGATCAAGTTCTTTGTGTGTCAGTTTACGCATTTGACATGTCAGTTGCATTTGTTCACAGGGAAGTTATGTAGCTGAGAATGTAGAGAGAAAAGATGAGGGGCCATTGATGATGAATGCCTTTGAGATGATAACCTTATCACAAGGCTTAAACTTATCAGCACTATTTGACCGGCGACAGGTAACAACTATAACTTCATGAGATAATTGGTTAATGTGGCATTAGTAGATGGAAATGGAATCTGAAACGTTTCTCTGCATATTGGTGGCTGATTTATCCTTTTGATCATCTTGTAGGATTTTGTGAAAAGGCAGACCCGTTTTGTTTCTCGAAGGGCCCCTAGTGTGATAATTGCTAACATCGAGGCTGCTGCAACCTCAATGGGTTTTAAGGCTCAGACACGCAACTTCAAGGTAACTAATATTTACTTATCACTACTGCTATGCATTTCTTCTCAAAACGCAAGTTTTTTCAGTAGGTAGGGTTGTTATGTATGATTTGTTACAAATTGTTTCTTGATTATGCACTTTATTATGTGCTTATGAACAGACAAGACTCGAGGCAGGGCAATTCGCTGTTGTGATAGAGGTGATTATCGCTTCCTTGTGATTCTAGTTTTGACGTTTCGTTTGAATCTTCAAATAAAAGGGTTTCTACAAACTTATATGCAGATTTACGAGGTGGCACCATCGCTGTTCATGGTAGACGCGAGAAAGGCTGCTGGTGAAACTCTTGAATATCACAAGGTTTGTGAATGAGAATACAATCCAATACCAGTAATTGCATTTTATTAAGATTGATTAGAATCATATATCTTTGATACTTGTGGTATCGCATGCAGTTCTACAAGAAGTTATGTGGAAAACTGGAAAACATAATATGGAGAGCAACGGAAGGAATGCCAAAGTCAGAGATTCTCAGAACAATCACGTTTTGATCAAAGCAGGTCCTATCTCAATACTCAAGTAACTTATAACTTGGAACGGAAGTTGAATAAAAATGTAGATTCGTTTGGTAAATGCCGTCAATGTTCTTCACGTAGCTCAGAATATTTGCTTGTAGTATGTATGATTTGGGCATCGGATCTATCATACTTGTTCTGAGGAACAAAAAAAAACTTGTCAGTTTGGGTTTGATTCAGAGGAATTATGAGACTCAATAAAAGATGTGAACCTTAAGTGAAAGAGAGGGAAAAATAATCTTATTAGTCAATTTATCGGTTACTTCTTCTCTAGCTTTTGTTGCATACATAAATAACGCAAAAACTAGAGAATATTATGCTCCCTAAGTTGTGCTTCTTGTTCGTTTCAAGATTCTCAATGATTTCTCTTTGCCGGTAATTGTACGGCTTAACCACAATACATTGATAGTAATATGTTCAATCATGTGAGATATTAGTGATATTATTGAACAAGTCTTGGGAACGTTCCTCTGACTTGGCCTACTACTTGACATTTTGTCTTTAAAGCAAGAAGTCATGTTTTATACATTAATTTAACTTTAGGCCACCTAACAAGCCATGTTGCATACATTAAAATAGCCAAGATCTAGTAAAAAATGCGTGAGAACAGAAACAAACACTGACATGGAGAGCACCAAGTTTAATGCTAACTGTAATAATGGAGAGCACTAAATTCAAAGTTGACTTTTTGTATTCGGACAGCAAGTAAGGCTTGAAACTGTCTCGTGATTCTCAGAAACATAACATTTAGAGAAAACATAATCTCTCTCTCCGCAACGCTATGGATTCGGATTCAGAGTCGAAGCTCTTGTCACTCATTTCTCAACTCATACATGTCTACAACAACATTGACGATATGGATTGGGATTGGGACTCGAAGGTCGAATCACTCATTATTCAAATAATCTCTTTCATCAGCTCTATGGATTTGGATTCGCAGCTGAAGCCAGAATCAAAGCTCATGTCACTCACTACTCAAGTAATCTCTGTCTTGACCTCTATGGATTTGGATTCCCAGCCAAAGCCGCTGTCTGAGCTCATCTCGCTAATTTCTCAAAATATCTCTATAAACTTGGAGTCAGAGCCGAAGTCGGATTGGGACTTCATGGCACTCCTTGAAGAAACAATGATGCTCACGCCACGGCCAAAGCTCTCATCACTCATCCTTCAAATATTGTCCCTCGTTATCTCTATGGATTCAAAGTGGAAGAATCTTATTTCATTGTCCCCTCAAGTACAAGTAAGATTGGAAGGAGGAAGCTTTCATGTTCTTGATGAAGTCGTGTTCAGGAGCAATAACATATGGGAGTGTCTCCCTAAATATTGGGAAGAATTTAGGTCAAAAGAAAAAATCACTACCCACTTTTTCTGCAAAGGTTGCAAGGGTGAAGACCATCAAGAATATGAAAAGGCTCCACTCGAGATCAAACACCCTCTTCATCCAAAACATTCTCTTCAGCTTGTGAAGTCGGAATGGTGTGGAACCAAGAAATGTTATTGTTGTGATGAATTTCTCACAAAGATATTTTACTATTGCTCGGCGTGTGATTATGCTATGAATATAACTTGTGTGGAGAAACCACTAGTTTTATCTATAGACCATCAGAAGTGGCATGAGCATGATCTTGCTCTTTTCCCAAGAAAGGCGTCCTTAACATGCGACCTATGTGCCTTGGCCGATTCAAGCTGTCCTTTCTATATATGTCCCCCTTGTGACTTTGTGGCCCATCAGAGCTGTCTCAGCTTACCACGAGTCATAAGGATATCTCGCCATCACCATCGTATCTCTTTTACCTCTTCTTTTGACCAAGAAGATCGGTCTTGTGGTGTTTGTCGCAAAGAGATCAACAATGAGTATGGGAGTTATTATTGCACTGAAAAAGGTTGTTCGTATGCGGCTCATTCAAGATGTGCCACACAAAGCAATGTGTGGGATGGTAAAGATCTCGAGAATGTGCCAGAAGAAGTTGAAGAAGAACTTGAGCCGTTTGTGAGGATAAGCAGTGGAATCATACAACATTTCAGCCATCAACATCATCATATGAGACTTGATGAGGACACAAACAGAGAGTACGACGACGAAAAACAGTGTCAAGCATGCATCACGCCAATCTATTTCGGTAACTTCTACTCATGTATGCAATGTGATTTCATTCTCCACGAAGACTGTGCAAACCTTTCTCGCAAGATACATCACCCGATACATCCACATCTGGTCACTCTAGTGGGAGGATATGAGGGTGTTATGGAATATCTTGTAGATAGATGTTCAGCTTGTTCCTCGTGGTGTAAAACTGGTTTCTATTATGAGTGCGGTACAAAAGAATGTGATTTTCTGCTACATGTGCAGTGCGCCACAACTTCTGAGCCATTAGTCCATGGAAGTCATATCCATCCTTTATTCCTAACATCCAAACCAGAAGAGCAAAGACCATGTTCTGTTTGCGAAGACTCAACTTGGTATTACGACGAAACATTCAATTGCATCGAGTGTGACTTTGCTTTGTGTTTCAAGTGTGCTACTTTACCTCAACAGGTGAGATATAAGCATGATAAGCATATGCTCATTCTTTCTTATGGGAAAAAGATAAGTAGTACCATGACGTACTGGTGTGAAGTATGTGAGAAACAAGTAAATCCAGTGAAGCGGTTTTATAGGTGTGATGAGTATTGTTGTGTCACCCTACACATTTATTGTGTGATTGGGGATGAATTATTCATAAAGCTTGGTTTCTCGTGGTTCTACAACGATAAACAGGTAGATGTTCTTCTGAACAATCGCATGTCTCGACCTATTTGCTTCAATTGTGAGAAGCGGTGTCTACACAAAACAGTTTTACAGTGGTTTGGATTTATATTTTGTTCATACCGTTGTGTATTATCAAAAGTGTATAAAAAGAAGCCTCATACCATGGAAAGTGAGGTTGAAAGACGAATGGTGGCAAGCTGGGAAATGATTCTGCAGACGTGGCAAAGCAGGATGGTGAAGCAGGATTATTAGTTTTCAAGAGTGAAGAGAAATGATTAATCTTCTCTCTTATTTTCATTTCTTATGTTGTTGCTTTGTATTGAATCTGACGAGATGAGTCAGTTACGATCGTGATGTGATCGTATTTGGTGCTTTGTTCTTTGTGATTGGATCTTTCTCAGTTCAATAAAGGAGTTATCAGTTTTGTTTTTATCAGGTTAATGAAAGATCATACATTTTTGGAATAAGAAGCGGTGTTGTTGGAACAAACACATAATGGGTTGATGTTGATGGGGCACGTGAAAGTTGAAATAAATATCAAAATAACATGATTTTTAGAATTGCAAAAGAAATGTACGCTGTAAAAGAAATATTATATATGTAACATATACTTAACATGTATATTATTTTTGTAGTATCAGAAACGTGAGCAAGTAGCTTAACGGTCATTGCGCTTCAGTCTTGTCCTTCTTTTACATCAGTGGTGAATTCTTATCATACATGTATCTCCTACTAATATCATGTTGGCGAAGGTATGATCTAGAAATCTGTAAACACTGTAATAATCTAATGAAGCAAGATGCCAATGAAAAGGGTAAAGAAATGCTAGGATTGTTTACAAATTGTTTCTTTATTATCTCTAGTTTATGGGCTTAAAATGTTTAAAAAGTCTATTTATTTACCCCACCAAGATGTTTGATGCCTTCTTCTTGGCAGCTTCCTTCATTTTAAAACCAAAGTTTTACATGCCGACAAAATAAATAAAAAAACCCAAAGTTTTATAAAATATTGATACTTATCCAAATATTATTTCCACTTATCTCACCGATACAAAAGTTATCAAGAACCAATGGAGAAGAACAAGATCCGGTTTGTGCTTGTCCATGGGGTCTGCCATGGCGCATGGTGTTGGTACAAGGTTAAACCGCTTCTCGAGGCAGCCGGTCACGCTGTAACCGCACTGGATCTAGCTGCATCGGGTATAAGCACGAGCAGAGTGGATGAGATTCAGACTCTAGAAGATTACTCCAAACCTTTGCTTGACTTTCTAAGCTCGTTTGGCTCCGATGATCAAGAAAAAGTGATTCTTGTTGCTCATAGCATGGGAGGCATATCGGCTGCTCTCGCCGCAGACATCTTCCCTAATAAGATCGCTGCTGTTGTCTTCTTGACAGCTACCATGCCCGACACCAAACACCCACCTGGTTACCCTTACGAGACGGTATGTTCTTTCACACTGATTTGGTATGATGGAATCAAGTAGTGATTTTGATATCTTGAGTGAAAAAAAATCTCCAGTTTGTCCCGAGCGTTCCACAAGAGTTGTTGGACACCGTGTTTCGCAGCTACGGAACACGTGATCATCATTCACTGCGTACTGTTCTTTTTGGACCAAAGTTCATGGCCAAGAAGTTATATCAATTGTCTCCACTCCAAGTAAGACATCAAACCAAACATAAGTGAGTTTGCTAGCTATTAAGAATCAAACCAATCTTCTTTTTGTTGATTGTTTGTCGTGTGGATTTTAGGATCTTGAATTAGCGAAGATGTTGGTGAGGGAAAATCCGGCGTTAGCTACGGACAATCTTGCAGGGACAAAAACTTTTACTGAGGAAGGTTATGGATCGGTTAAACGTATCTATATGATATGCGGAGAGGATGATTTAATGAGTGAGGAATGTCAGCGTTTGATGATCAGCAACTTTCCACCAAATGAAGTGATGGAGATCAAAGATGCAGATCATATGCCAATGTTCTCTAAGCCTCAAGAACTCTGTGCTCTTCTACTGGAAGTCGCAGATAAATATGCGTAAATAAAACAAGATTAGCCATGTTTATGTATTTGAGAGCTATAGCAAGAAATGATAAGATTCAAAAGAATGGTTGTATGAGTAAGATTCGGAAACTGCAATCTCTACATTGAGCAGCATATCTTTAGCAACAAGTAACAACCATAAATAACATTTATCTGTCCATGCACCTAAGATTCAAATTTCACTCTACCTCAAAATGTTACGAGAATTAAAACTCATATCCAGAAGATGATGACATAATAAATCAGAAATTCAAAGACTTCAACATAACCACAAGTTTTATAACATTTCAGACTGTTTTTAACTTGACGATAGAAGCAATCACAAATGGATCTCAGCTCTTTAGCAGATGTAGTTGCAGAGATAGCTCCAGCTTCAGTTAACATAGGAACCAACTTACCGTCACTGTTGCTACAAAACAAAGAAAATCACAAGACTTTGTTTAGAGAAAATGAAGAAAAACTGTAAAAATATTTTGAAACAGAATTGCTCTGTTTTGGGATCAAAAAGTTTTCTCAAACTGAATGAGTGCAGAGAATCATAAGCCAAACCTGCATTTTCAAAGCTGCAAGCAATCTCATGAGCCATCATCCATCCATCAAAGAGTAGCAGAAAGAGCATACACAAATTTGTAAACCTTAGGGAGTAGGGACTCTAAGCACCGCATCACACCACTCAACATCCCCCCAAATCTCTCCACCGCTGTACCTTTGAAGGTAAATCTCCGCACACCAAATCATCCTCTCCTTTTTTCCCAACAAACTCGTCCCACAAAACCACCAAATTTACACCGTGATCCGCAAGTAAAGAATTCTTGCAGTCACACGAAAACTTTGGTAGCCCATCAAGACATTTTAATTTCCCACTGGAGACACCATTCACCTCCAGCTTCAGTTAACAGAGGAACCATCTTACCGACACTGTTTCTACAAAACAATGATAATCACAAGACTCTGTTTAGAGAAAATGAAGATTAAAAAAAAAAAAAAAAATCAGGAAACTGTAAAAATATTTTGAAACAGAACTGCTCTGTTTTCTTAAGTGAACCTTAAGTGAAAGAGAGGGAAAAAAAATCTGTATAGTCAATTTATCGGTTACTTCTTCTCTAGCTTTCTGTTGCATACGTAAATACGCAGAAACTAGAGAATATTATATGTTCACCAAGTTGTGTTTCTTCGGTCTACAAAGTGACCAATGCAATGGCTTAATGAAAATTTGATCATGCAAAAGTGTTCGTTTCAAAATTTCCAATAATTTCTCTTTGCCGGTTATTGAACGGCTTAACCAATACAGTGATAGAATATGTTCAATCATAGGAGATGTTTCCACAAGTACTTTAGCTTTGCAGTTTTGCATCAATTAGTGATTACTGAGCAAGTCTTGGGAACGTTCCTCTCACTTGGCCTACTTTGACATTTTGTCTTAAAACTTTAAAGTAGGAAGCCTGTTTGGAGTATTTTATATATTAAGGTAAGCAAGATCCGCGAGGTGCGGAAAATATTAGTAAAAAAATGCGTGAGAACAGAAACACAGACACACACACACACCCTGACGTGGAGAGCACTCAGATCAATGCTAATTGTTTTAATTGGAGAGCACTAAATTTATAGTTGACTTTTTGTATTCGCACAGCAAGTAAGGTTTGAGATTGTCTTGTGACTTTCAGAAACAAACCAAACAGAGAAAACATAATCTCTCTCTCTCTCTCTAGATCCCCAACGCTATGGATTGGGATTCAGAGCCAAAGCTCTTATCACTCATTTCTCGACTAATGCATGTCTACAACATCGCGGAGTCGGATTCGGCTTTGAACTCGGAGGGCGTAGCACTCATTATGCAAATAGTCTCTTTGATCAGCACGATGGATTTGGATTTGCAGCCGAAGCCGGAATCGAAGCTCATGTCACTCACTACTCAAGCAATCTCCGCCTTCACCTCTATGGACTTGAAATACCAGCCGACGCCGCTGGTGGAGCTCATATCGCTCATTTCTCAAAAAGTCTCAATAGATTCGGAGGCGGAATCGGTGCCGAAGTCGGATTCGTACTTCATGTTTCTTGTTCAGCAAATAACTGGAGTCAGCCCGGAGCAGGAGCTCATATCACTCATTCATCAAATATTGTCCCTCGTTATCCCTATGGATCCAAAGTGGAAGAATCTGACTTCCTTCTGCCCTCAAGTAGAAGTAAACCTGGAAGAAGGAAAGTTTCATGTTACTAAAGAAGTCATGAAAAGGAGCGAAAGCAAGTGGATGTGTCTCCCTATACGCTGGGAAAAATTCGGGTTAAAAGGAGAAGATACTAGCCATTTTTTCTGCAAAGGTTGCAACGGAAAAGACCATCATGAATATGAAAAGGCTCCAGTTGAGATCAAACACCCTCTTCATCCAAAACATTCTCTTCAGCTCGTTAAGTCGATATATACTGGAGCCAAGAAATGTTATTGTTGTGATGAATCTCTCAGAGTTATATTTTATTATTGCTCGGCGTGTGATTATGCTATGAATATAACTTGTGTGGAGAAACCACGAGTCCTATCTATAGACCATCGGAAGTGGCATGAGCATGATCTTGCTCTTTTCCCAAGAAAGGCGCCCTTAACATGCGACCTCTGTGGCTTGGCCGATTCAAGCTGTCCTTTCTATATATGTGGTCCTTGTGACTTTGTGGTCCATCAAAGATGTATTAGCTTACCACGTGTCATAAGGATATCTCGCCATCTCCATCGTATCTCTTTTACCCCTTCTTTTGACTTAGGAGACCGGTCTTGTGGTGTTTGTCGCAAAGAGATCAACAAGGACTATGGAGGTTATTCTTGCATCACAAAAGGTTGTTCGTATGCGGCTCATTCAAGATGTGCCACACAGAACAATGTGTGGGATGGTAAAGACCTCGAGAATATGCCAGAAGAAGTTGAAGAAGAACTTGAGCCCTTTGTAAGGATAAGTAATGGAGTCATACAACATTTCAGCCATGAACATCATCATATGAGACTTAATGAGGAGACAGACAGAGAGTACGACGAGGATAAACAATGTCAAGCATGCGTCATGCCAATCTATTTCGATAACTTCTACTCATGCATACAATGTGATTTCATTCTCCATGAAGACTGCGCAAATCTTTCTCGAAAGATACATAACCCGATACATCCACATCTGCTCACTCTAGTGGGAGGACATGAGGGTGTTATGAAGTATCATAAGGACAGATGTTCAGGTTGTTCATATATTTGTAAAGCTGTTTCTATTATGAGTGTGGTGCAAAAGAATGTGATTTTACGCTACATGTGTAGTGCGCCACAATCTCTGAGCCATTAGTCCATGGTAGTCATATCCATCCTTTATTCCTAACATCCAAACCAGAAGAGGAAAGACCATGTTCTGTTTGCCGAGATTCATTGTGGAGAATTAACTTGGGTGGTTACGACGAAACATTCAATTGCATCGAGTGTGACTTTGCTTTGTGTTTTGGATGTGCTACTTTACCTCAAAAGGTAAGATATAAGCATGATAGGCATATGCTCATTCTTTCTTATGGAAAAGATATAAGTAATACCATGACGACGTACTGGTGTGAGGTATGTGAGACAAAAGTAAGTCAAAGGAGGCGATTTTATAGGTGTGATGAAAATTTGTGTGTCACCACCCTACACGTTGGATGTCTGTTGGGGGATAATTTTTATCTAAAGCCCGGTTCATCATGGTTCTACCAAGCTAGGCAGGTTTACGTTCTTCCTAACAAGCAGTGTATGTCTCGACCTATTTGCTTCTATTGTGAGAAGCGGTGTCCACTCATAACAGCTTTTCAGTGGTGTGGATTAATATTTTGTTCCTATTGTTGTGTTAAAGCAAACGTGTATAGAAAGAAGCGTCATACCATGGAAAGTGAGGCTGAAAGACGAATGGTGGCAAGCTGGAAAATGATTCTGCAGACGTGGAAAAGCAGGATGGTAAAGCAGGGTCATTAGTTTTCAAGAGTGAAGAGAAGGATGCGAGTATAAATAGATTCTTCTCTCTTATTTTCATTTCTCATGTTGTTGCTTTGTATTGAATCTGACGAGATGAGTCAGTTACGGTCGTGATGAAATTGTATTTGGTGCTTTGTTCTTTGTAATTGGATCTTTTTCAGTTCAATAAAGGAGTTGTCGGTTTTGTTTCTATCAGGTTCATGAAAGATATCAGACATTTTGTTGGAATAAGAAGCGAGATTTGTTGGATCAGACAAAATGTTTGTTCTTTTTCTTGATTGTTTGTAAGATCTTGAATTGGCGAAAATATTCCGGCGTTAGCTTCGGACAATCTTGAAGGAGAAAAAAGCTTTAGTGAGGAAGGGTGTGGATCGGTTAAACGTATTTATATTATATGCGGAGAGGATAATTTAATAAGTGAGGAATCTCAGCGTTTGATGATTAGCAACTTTCCACCAATGAAGTAATGGAGATCAAAGATGCTGATCATATGGCTATGTTCTCTAAGCCTCAACAACTCTGTGCTCTTCTACTGGAAATCGCAGCTAAATATGTGTAAATAAACTGGATTAGCCAAGTTTATGTAATGAGAGCTATAGCAGGAAATGATATGATATTCAAAACAATGGTTGTATGAATAAGATTCGGAAACTGCAATCTCTAGCATATCTTTAGCAACAAGTAACAACCATAATCTCTTGTAGAAGAAGAACGGCCTTTTGTAACATAATAAATCAGAAATTCAAAGACTTCGACATAACCACAACTTTTATAACATTTCAGATGTAGTTGCAGCGATAGCTCCAGCTTCAGTTAACAGAGGAACCAACTTACCGTCACTGTTGCTACAAAACAATGAAAATCACAATACTCTCTTTAGAGAAAATGAAGATAAAAAAAATCAGAAAACTGTAAAAAATATTTCGAAACAGAATTGCTCTGTTTTCCTGCTCTGTTTTGTAATCAAAAAAAATTCTCAAAGTGAATGAGTGCAGAGAAAGCATAATCCAAACCTGCATTTCCAAATCTGCAAGCAATCTCATGAGCCATCATCAATCCATAAAAGATTAGCAAACAGAGCATACAGGAATTTGTATTCCTCGAGAAACCTTGCGTGACAAGGATGCCCCAAAGGCACAAAGTTTATGGTGTCTGATGATCTGGTTGTAACTCCGATGAATTCATCTTCGACCATTGGCTTGTTGAAGAAGATGAAGGTAGACTTCAGTGATCTCGAGGAGCATCAGATTAACATTTCCAGAGCAGAGGTATGCTTTTAATACTATTTCCTAAGTTTAGTTTTTGAATGTTTTGTTTCGGTGATAACCATATTGCTTCTATTGCAGCTAATCAGTATTCTCAGCGCTTCCTTGATAGCATCCAATGGTCTCTCAAGCTTGCTCCTCAAGAAACCAAAGCAAGAAACTTGTGTATGAAACAATCGCGTAAATGCAAGCGTAACACATAAAACTTGTGTCGCAAATTAAATGATCATAACATAAATCAAGTTTACCAAACTACGACCCTCTTTGCATTCTTCACTTATTTTTACGGTCTTATAAATAAACCTAAGATTCGAGTCACTTTACCTCAAAGAAGAACTAAAGCATTGCAAAACCCATATCCATAAGATGATAACAGAAAGCATTGACATAATGAATTAGAAGTTTAAACACTTCGACATAACCACAATCTGATAAAATTTAAGACAGTTTTGAAAAAAATGACGACAAACAAGTCCTTATTGCTGACTCAAACCTTAAAAATCCTGATAAAAGCAATGGCAAAGAGATAGCTCCATCTTCAGTTAACAGAGGAACCAACTCACCGTCTCTTTTCAAGTTGGCTGTTGCTACAAAACAAGGAAAATCACAAGATTCGGTTCAGAGAAAACGAAAAAGAAAAAATCAGAAATCTGTACAACAAAACTGAAACAGAGTTGCTCTGTTTTAGGTATCAAAAACGGTTTTTCAAGGAGACAAGACACAGAACAAGCTTAATACTAATCTACAAGTGAATGAGTACAGAAGTTCATAAGCCATACCTGAATTACAAAGCTCAAGGCAATCTCAAACGATAGCAGACAGTGCATACACCAGTTCGTACGCCTCCGGGACTGTGAGCACCGCATGACACCACTTGACGTGTCCCCAAATCTGTCCATTGCTGCGCCTATCCAGAGAAACCTCTGCACACCAAATATTCTTCTCATCTTCCCCTGCAAACTCCTCCCAGAGAGCCACCAGATTTCCACCGTGTTCCGCAAGTAAAACATCACCCGGAAACTCTGGAAGCCCTTCTATTGCTATACCTTGAACTATCCCACTGAAGAAACCAGCGTCCGTATTGGCTGACCATTCAATCTCCCCTGTATCTGACGCATAAAAGTAGCCAATGTTTGCTATGATACAGTCGCAATCCCTTTCTGAGCAAGTATACGATCCTATATACTCTATTGCCTTTGCCTTTGGAATATAAACTAAACCATTCTCACCAGGAGTTTCGTTTACGTTCTCCACGATAATCTTCCCTTCCATAGTCTCGTCCTTGAACTCCCGTCTCTCCGGCGGCACGGGCTTCCACGTCTGTGTCTCTGTGTCGAACACTTCAATGCCGTTCAAAGACTCTGGATTCTCGCACTTTCCGGGTAAATACATCTTGCCAACATACTCGCTGTTGGTGTGGTGGGCAACACGCAATCTCGGAGCTTCGAGCCAAGTGCGAGTTCGGCAGTCAAGAAATGGGACGTTTGAGAAAGGAGCTTCCTCAATGGATCCGCTGATAGCGTAGATGTAAGGACCAACGGCGACGAGAGTTGACCACTCGGAAGGAGCAGAGTTTTGAATTGAGACTGGAACCAGAAGCCTGCCACTTGACTCCTCCTCCTCCTCCTTATTGTTACCGGTGTGGTCAGGTTTCCAGGAGAGAGTGTACCAGCGAGTGTTGGAGTCAGGAGGGAATTGCAAGCACACATAGAGGCAACTCTCGGTGAGGCCTAAGCGGGAACGAGTCTCGTAAAGCTCAGGGGAAGCAATGAGAGATTGAAATCTCTTGGAGCTGAGGGAGAGAGACGGGTAGTACAATCTAGAGAGGATTGCGAAGCAGCTTATTAGCAAATCATCAGGGAGCGATGATATCATGTCTGTTGATGATATCATCTCTGATTGCTGGGGAGACGGCTTCTTCAGCTTCTTCATCGTCTTCTTGATTAGCAACACGATTCTTTGGTACCAATTCGGCGTTGGAGACAAAGACATGATTCGTCTCTTGAGGGGATTTTACTGTAGGAATGTAGGACTTTATGTGTTCTTGATTCAGTTATTCGGGTGATAATGATTCACGATAACATTATATAACCAGTGCCACAACAAGTAAAAGTGTATTTGCATGTATGTGTCAAAAAAAGTTACTTTGAAATAATAAAATTTTTCCTTTTGTGATTACTAGAGTATATCCCGCGCTACTAGAGTACAAACCGTTCGATCAAATTGATATAAATTACAAACCATTCGATTAGTGCCCAAAACAAAACAAGTAAAAATGTTTTTGCAAATTCTTGTCTACCATATATGAAATTACTATGAAATGAAAAAATTCTGTTTATGATTATTAGAGCATATCCCGAGAGCCTACGTGTAGTTTTGTATAATCCCGCGCTATCCGCAGTTTTGTTATATTTTGTTTTGGTATTTTATATTTGTTATCTTGTTAAAACTTATCTTTTTTTTTTTTTTATCTTTTAGTATATAATCTTGTTTAAATCTTTGATGGGATGTTTAATTCACTTCCAGAAACTCTTTTAACATGGGCATTCCTAGAGAAACCTTGCATCACAATGATGCCTCAAAATGCCATCTCCACCGGCAGTGAAAGTAAGTGGGTATCCTGTTAATAATGTTTGTTAGAAAGTTTGATAGAGATATTCTTTATGCTCAAGGGCAATGAAGACTTCTTTAGGACCGTGTAGGAGAGCGTCATCTACCATTTTTTTTTTGCCAGTTTCCTGCTTATTATAACTGAAGTAGCAACATTCTGTTATTTTCTTCCCTAGACTCGTTCCATGGTCTTCAAAATATCATAAATCATGATCGTATCAGTATTCAATCTTCCTCACTACGACGACCTCTATGTATTATTGAATTACTTTTACAGTTTTACCTTAGAGCCTGAGGCTCGAGTTTCGCTTTACCTCAAAACGTTACGAGAATTAAAGCACTACTAAAACTTATAATACGATACTGGCCATAATATCTCTATTAAGTTCGAAAACCGACTTGACTTTGACATAACCACAACTCAAAACATTTCAGACAGTTCTTTGAAACTTGACAAGAAACAAGTTCTTATTTCGGACTCAAACCTTTATAGAAGCAATCATCACAAGTAGATGTGCTCTTAAGCGGATGTCTTTGCGGCGATAGCTCCAGCTTCAGTTAACAGTGGAACCAACTTACCGCCACTATGCAAGCCAGTTGTTGCTACAAAACAATGAAAAAAAAATCACAAGATTCGGTTTAGAGAAAACGAAAGGAGTATGATCACAAAAATGAATCTTCGAAACAGAGGATTGCTCTGTTTTTACTTACAATCGCAGCCACCGATGTGTTTGCCTCCTATAAACACATTAGGCACAGTGCGTTGTCCTGTCCATTCCGCAAGAGCTGACTGAACTTCGCTACCATCACCTAATATTATACAAGAACAATGAACAAAGCGTGAGTCTGAATTGTCTGATGAGTATACACAAATCTGACTCAATGTGATATATCATAGCTCATCAAGGGTAATGATCCAGGAGAAAATAACGAAATTTTGAGGATTGATTCATGAACAAAACCTAAACTCAAATCTCAAGAGAAAAACCGAGACATTTTCTATGATGGGCTCGTGAACAACACCTATACTCAAATCTCCAAACAAAACAGAGCGGTCATAACCAAAAGTCCAAAACCTAAGAACAAATGGATCCATGAACAAAAACCTATACATACTTAGATCAAACAAAAACCTAAACTCGAATCTCGATACACACAAGCAAGAGGAAAATCGAAACTTTCCGAAACCATTAAAGAAACATGGTGAATGAAAATGAAATCATATGAAAAAGTTTGGTGATCTTACTTTCTCTGTCGAGTTCAATGGCGATGAATTTAGCTCCCAATTGTTTCAAGAGATCCTTTATTTGCACACAGTATGGACAATACGACTTGCTTCAATTCCATAGCAATAACCACAAAAACGACTCAGATCACTCAAATTGCTAACATACGCACAACACAGAACACAGACCCCCTTGGTTCATAAAAGCGTCTAGATACATTCATCATTCATCGATGCTTAAACCAGACAATCAAAAGCCATATAAAAGAAGCAGAGACACTGACTCGAGGATACCAACATTTCGCAAACAAACAATTCATACATAAATCGAGAGAAACGCGAATAAAATGGAGAATCGAGGAGGAAGAGAGAGGAGAGACCTGAAAACAACGACGGCATTGCTGGAAACGATCTCTTTAGCCTTCTGCATCGCCATCTTCTTCGTGAATTCGCTTTGCTGGTATGCGATCTGGTTCTCAGGGAGAGGAAAGAAATGGAATTTGAGAGAGAGAAGCAAAGTGAAGCGAACCGAATCAGTTATCTTAATAAAAACGCGATTGGAGAAATTGTAATTAGTCAAGCGCTCCAAGCAAAATAAAACGATTTTGAATCGCGAATTTATTAATGAGATATAATCTTCTATTGGGCTTTTTATTGGGCCGTCATTTTCATCTTCTCTTAATCTCTGGGCTTATAATTCATGTAAACGTAAACGCAAACGCCTTGTGTGCATTAAACCATTTAGTCGGATTTGTTTATGTTCTTCCCTTGACTGATTTGATTATCTTCAAATCGTCACTCGTTTTCATTTTATCTTTATCCTAACTACGACTCTTTCCATTTATTCAGTTACTTTTACCGCTTTACGTGAGAGACTTAAGACTCGCAAATCTCTTTCCCTCAAAATGTTACGAGAATGAAAGCTCTATAAAACATATACCCAGAAGTTCATAGAGTATATAGAGTTGGGACTTCACTAATTAGAAGTTCATAGAGTTGGAGATAAACCACAATTTTATAACAGTTCAGATTGTTTTTTTTTAACTTGACAATATAACAATTACATTTGTTGACGCAAACAATAACATTCAGACAAGAAGATTAAGAACGTTTTGAAGCTATTTGGTCATCAAATGAAAATCACTATCTCTTTATCGATTAGATTCTGGTCACGCTGTAACCTCACTGGACCTAGCTGCTCTAATCACGCTGTAAGAACGAGAAGCCGGTACAAATCACTTCATTTGGTTGAAAGTAGTTAATCATCAAAGAAAATGGATAATTTAACAACCTTCCATCAAATGAGTGATGATTTTCCAATATGCATAAATTAAACTAGTTTAAGCAAATATGTAATGGGAAACATTATAAGAATGGTTATATGAAATAAGATTCGTAAACTACAAACACTACATCGTGCAACATACATGTCTAAGAGTCTTAATATTACCATTGAAGAATAAAATATGACTCAGAGGTAGTGACAATTGTGATATTAATTCATCACTTCAAAATCTGATGAATACACATTAATAGATATACATCACCGGCACATAACAAACAATCACTAAGCAAAATCTTTTAAAAACATGTTTTTGGGTTGAAGTGCATCAGAGAGATTCCCATTTAGACAATTACTCATCATTCTACTTCTCCATACGGAGAATCTGATGTCCCTGTCTTTTTATCGTCACTTGCACTCACGCAGAACACCAAAGAACAAAAAAAATTAAAAAGGCCTCATTGAGAAGATTAGGCTTATCAACATGGATTAATTCAGACATATGCTTGTCTTAATCATTTTAATCATCGGCCAATTGAAGAAAAACATTCAATATAGAAAACAAAAAAGGACTCAGAATATGGGTGGTGATATAACAGAATGGTCGTCAAATAAGCTTTTTACGGCCGATATTACGACGAACGAGACCAATATCAATCGTCACTGTCCAAAAACGAAAAAATAACAACTTTTTAAGACAAAATTGGGGAAATCTCAGTCAAAGCAGCGTGTTTCACATCAATGTAATCAGACGGTAATTCCATAAGTTAGCAAAAATCATCATCGATTCCTCCCCAAAATCTCAAATAAATAAAAAAAACAAAATTTGAAAGCTGTAATCGCCGTATTGGCTCCGTGAATCACATATAAATCAAAATCCACAGGTTCCTATCAGGAAGCGAAACACAAACATCTGTCTATGTCCGATGTAGCATCGAAGAATCACAGCTATTTTGCTACATTCGACGTGGCATCAGACAATTTTACCAATCAAACAAAATAAATAAATAAACCCATCAGCGTACCCTTGTCAAATCAACCACAAGCAGAAGCGAACACGGAAACGGTGGGAAAGTACGGTAAAGATAACTTCGACCGAACAGATCGAAACCGGTCCGTAAACGGAATCGGGTTAGGACCCGAATACGGTTATCGGAGAAGACTGATCGGTGGATGGAGAGATCTAACCGGATGCTATCCCCTCGTTTCAGTCCGCTTGCTGCTGTGTAAAGTGTCATACGGCACTTCCTATCAATGGGATTTCTTCTTCATCGGGTAACTTAATCAAATTCGAAACAGAAAAAGCAAACGATTATGAGAAAAAAATTTAAATGGAAGAGAATCAGAGACGATAACATAACGAAGCTATAGAGTATATAGAGAGAGAGGTGAGTGGAGCAGATGTTGGGGATTGAGAAGCGAAAGCTGTATTTATATAAATGAATACGAGGCGGCTTAAGTCATAAACCCTAATAAATTTTTAGTTTTGTCGTGTTAGAATGGGCTTAAAGGCCTGCGGGTCTAAACGGGCTCTATGTACAATTTTCGGCCCGTTAGTGAGCATTCTAGAAGTTTTGATTCTTTTCATTTGTGAGCACTGTTTCTTTTTGGCTCAGGACATTCTTTGATGTTAGAGAATTTCATTAAAGGAAAAAACAGAGGGTCTTGATACAAAACAAAACTAGTTCCTGTCAGTAAAAAAAACATGTAGAGGAGTTTTTTTTACTTCTTTAACAAATACATGCCATCTCTAAACTCTAGTTTCTCTTCAGAGACTAAACCAGAAAGAAAGCTCTGAAGCTGTTGCAGTGACTTGTCATAAGATGGATCAGCTACACAGAACATCTACAGACACAAAAACAGAGTAACAATGATCATAAATCAAGACAGCAACGTTGTAAATCATAGTGAGAAGAGGTAGTATGCATTTGATTGTACCTTGAGAGTGTTGTGGATTCGTTCTAGTGCCATACTACCAAAATTTGTGAGCATTCCCATGATGAATTTCTGCAAACATTGTTGAGAATTTGTTTAGATTTTGATAATTTCTGGAGACAAATGATTAGTAGAATGAAAGTTTATCATCACATACCTCGTATATTGTCATTTCTTTGCGAAGCTGGTCTTCCACAGAGGCGATCAATCTTTCACTCTCTTCATCGCCTGCTAAGAGCTCTTCGCTTTCGTTCTTTCCAGAATCAGTCATGGATTCAACAAGCGTATACACAGTGGTATTCGAGTCTGTTCCTGTAGACTCTCTCAAAACTCCCTAAGTTCAATAATAAACTTTCAAAGTTAGTTGGCTCATCCTCGAAATGAATGCTTTCAAGCAGAAGACTACAATTACAACAGTATGTACCTTGCTTATCCAGAAGTTTACTCTTCGGTTTAATGCGTCAATGGGTATCCCAGTGACGGCAGCAAGATCTATAGAGGTCCAACTGAAATAGATTTACTTGATTTCAGTAACATTGGAAGATGAAATATCCACATATTGAGTGATTCTTGGAGCTACCTTTTCTTTTCTTGAAATTGCATGATAATGGCTGCATGTGTAGGGGAGACTGTGAACTGCATAGCTCTGTCTTCAAATTGCAACTCCAACTGAATTCATCCAAAGCAATTTCAGAGAGATACATTTGTGATTTGTCATCTTCTTTCTCTGATACTCCAAAGTCCAAACAAAGCATGAACTAATCACTACTTAAGTATTTACACAAGAACTACCTTGACAGTGCCAAGATTTTTCTTCCAAAGTAGTTTACGAGGGGTCTTGATTTGATGATATTTATTGGCATAATCTGATAGCAGCTTGTCAACAGGTCCAGGTAGCTCTAGAGGCTCATCCTGAAATTCCTCCTCTAATTCAGTGAACGGAAGCAATCACAGTAATATTTTGGTCGTGTATAATGGATGAAAAAACAGAAAGAAAGAACAAATGAATACCTGAATTGGTGGCCAGAAGTTTGTTGAAAGTATTGTCGAGGTAAGAGTATCAATAGATAGCTCACCCTCTCCTAACTCAGTGCCTAAAAACGAGTGATGGACAAAGATAAGAGTCAGACAACAAGAATCTACGTTGTAGAGGTAATACTGTGAATAGTTCAGAAACATAACCTGTTTTAGATGCCTTTTTAATGTTAGTGTTCACTCTCTTAGAATCAATCAAGTCGTTGAGCATTATCTCACATCTCTGCATGCTAGCTTCTCCAAAATGTATCTATTGGCATTATAAGAGTGAGGTTAAGTTAGACTCAACACTGTAGAAACGATTCAATAGTTTGGCTTAAGAAGATTGCCTTGAGAAGTTCGACGGTGCGTATCTCAGTGTCGATGTCGTAATCAGTCTTGTTGAGAAGCTTCTCAGCGAGCATAACACGATATTCATTCACTAGTTGCTCTTTAGATCCAATTATATCAACAAGCATTCCGAGTATGTCTACTTTCCTCTGACTAAGACTTCCTTTTAAAGGATCAGCCTCTACAGGGTCCGGTTCCCAACTGAAATAACAAAGCAGATTCATATGAGTCAAACTCAGACATATTCAATCCCATGCAAGATGATAAAGGAAGAGAATATACAGAAGAAGAAAGATACCGAGAAGCATTAATCCAGGCTTGCTTATCATCAGTATGAAAATCATCATCAAAACCGACATTCTCTTGACTCTCTTCATCTCTCATCAACTCTTCAAGAAGACTATCCCCAGGGTTTCCGGAACCATTTGCATTCCCTCCACTTCCATCCGTAAGCATAGTAACAATACACTTAATAGTGTCTTTCCTCCCTCGTAGATAGTCTCTGATTGGCTCCCCCACCGCTTCCAGAAACACACCAGCGGGGTCTATTGCTCGAAGGGCTTTGATAGTGGACACATACTGATGCAATATATCATTGGTTGAGGCACCAGCAGTGAGCAGACGATATTTCAGCGAAGATATAAAAGATTCCACTAGCTTAGAATGTTGTCCTGTATACTCAAGACACTGTTTTAAGTCTTCAATAGCTGGAGAACTGTTGCAATCAACAAAAATTGCCATCAGAGATACAATATTTGAAATAAGTCTCAGGAGAGATATGTGAGGAAAAAGAAAGTAAAATACCTCTCAGGATAATCAACAATGATCTCAAACAGTTTGGCGATCCTTAAATCTTGCAATGTCTCATACGCAAAGTACTCTAGCCGTAGTTTCCACCTGACGATTCCTTCTGAAGGAGTCACCACTCTGGAAGAGCTTGGAGATGGACAACAAGCCAGAGGGGACATGAGGCCAGACGATGTCGTACCAAAGCTTACGGAATCACCAAGATAAGAAAGAAGCGCATTAAGGAACTGGAGAGGGACTGTCTGAAAAGAGAATTCAAATGTCAGTAAACCAAAATAATATGATGGTTCAGTGAGAATCTAAGCAGAACAAAACTACCTGAATCCATTCTTTTATTGAACCCAACACAGAAGTCCTGTAATCATCACCAGCCAGATCATGCACTTTTGCCTGAAGTATAACATTGTCAAACAGATTATATATAATAAGTCTCAGTGAGGCAGATGAAATCTCTGTTGCATAAAGTTACCTTGAGAAGCAAGAAGATTGCAGAGGCATAAGCATTTTCAGCCATAGATGTGAATCCAATGCTTCTAAGGTCACGGACAACTTTCCCAATGTTCTTCACCAACCCGTCATGTCTTGAGAATTTGCCTTGGGGATCGCCTTCATCAACATCCATGCCATCATTCTCGAGTTCTTCGATATCATCTTCGTCCATGATCGCACTTAGCTCCTCCAGCTTTTCCTTAAAATACCAGTGGAGTATTTCTAAGCACATGATCCAGAGAGGACAAAATATGAGAGTAGTAAGTAATTGAACAAGTGGCAAAGCTATAAAGCAAACTTCCAAGCAACCAAATCAGAATATAAACTATATACCAGGAAAATGCTGAGGAAGAGTAGACATGAGAGTTGAAGACAACATTGACCGGAATCTAGAAAAAAGTTGGACTCTTTCTGCATCTGAGTTCTGTCTATCATCTGGTGACTGTTCTTTAAACGACTGCAAAGCCTGAACCACTATGGACAGACACTTCTCGTGATACTGCTTTTCTACTGAGATTTCTTTCAAAGCCTTGCATAACACTTCCTGAATCTCCTCTCCATAAATCTGTCCAAAAGCATCCATTTTTAGGAAAAAGCGTAGAATATAAAAAAAACAGTCACTTTCAGAATCTTCTAGCAAACAAAGTTTCAACCAAGCTTACAGGATGCTTCTTCTCGCTGTAAGCATCAAAATGCTGCCAAAAACTCGATGCACCACTCTTCTCAAAAGCTTGCTGAAACAAATGAATGTCATTAGAGAAGAAACATTCTTCAACAGAGCAGATACTAAGTAGAACAAACTCTGTTACTAAATTGGGAAGATAAAAGACTCAAACTTAAGCCAAAAGAGTAGAATCAAAGTTTTATGTTCTCAAAAGGAAATTTTAATACCTCGAGTGATCTGAGAAAGTGGTCACGAACAAGAGAATCAAGCCCGTACTTGCAGAGAGTAGAAACATGAGACACGAACTCTTGCTCGACTGAGGAATCTCCGGTGCCGGCACTGAGAGTCTCCACAGTAGTGAAAAACCCATCGTAGCTTTCTGTAATCTCCTGAATCGCATCGTCCGATAGAGTTTCTAAAATCCTTAAATTACACTCAGATGAGCCTAAAAATTCCATCTTTATCACTCGGCTAAGTACAACAACTTCCTTAAACCCTAATTTATTGCCTGGAAAATCCTCCGGAGGTCGGAATTTAACGCCGGTAACACATCTCTTGTAACTCTGTCTCCTCCTCTTCACAATTTAAGAAATTGCTAACCTGCCTCACCGAAGCAAGACTCTCTTCTATCACTATGGTAAACAAGACGATGAAATCGAATCAAAAGCAAGAGTCTTTTCTTCAAAATCCGATGCTATAGCTTTAAATCGAATTTCAGACTCGTCATTTTCTCAGAAACCACTTCAATTCAGTCAGTTTTTCGCCAAAACCAACTTTTAAAGTACAGAGTCTCCTTAACGGTTTATGAAGCTCATACTTTAACCGGAAATAACCGGATATCAAACATCGGTTAACACTTGTGAAAGATCAAAAAGCAACAAATAGTAATACCAAGGCAAGTCACGATCTGTGTTTTCAGGTTTGACTATGGTTCAGTAGTCATTTTCGAAGTAATAAAGTTGACAAAAACAAAAGCAAAACACACAGTTCTTCTTTTCCTTAACGTACGCTTGTTAAACAGAGGGCTCCATAGTCCATACTCATTTCTCTGTTTCTACTTGATTACAAACATTAGTCTGAATATCCGATTACAAAGATACCACCTTTCACAAAGTCAGATCATCGTCGTTCACGAATCTAGGGTTTGGAATCGACATGTCGGAAGAAAAAGTCGTCGCCGTGATCATGGTCGGAGGACCGACCAAAGGTAAACATCATCTAGTCGATTACTATACTCTTGGATCTCGAATTTGATTTTGGTTTTAATTTGCTAAATGTGGATTGATTTAGGAACTCGTTTTCGTCCATTATCGTTCAATACACCGAAACCGTTGATTCCCTTAGCTGGGCAACCGATGATTCATCATCCTATTTCTGCTTGTAAAAAGGTTTGCTTTTTGTGCTTTCTTATACAATTCCTTGTTTGATCCCTGACAAAATTGAACTTAAGTTTGTTCCAATTTACAACTCTTACTTTGGTACTGGCATTTTTGGAAGAAAGCCCTACACTTTTGTAATCTCCAAGTTGTGAACTTTTTTTGTTACATTAGCTGGGAAAGTTAGGAACTTTTAAATGATTGATTGCTCATAGAAGGTTCTAATTTTGACATGGATTGTGTTTAAACTGATATGTCATATATATTTGGAGGGCAGATACCGAATCTGGCTCAGATATTTCTGATTGGATTTTACGAGGAAAGAGAATTCGCTTTGTATGTTTCTTCCATATCTAGGGAGCTGAAGATTCCAGTACGGTAAGTTTATAGCACTTTGTGTGTAGTTATTGTTCCTTTGGTCTCCAATGTAAAATTTTACCTTCTCATGTTGTGTTCTTGTGTTTTGCAGATACTTAAAAGAAGATAAGCCTCATGGTTCCGCTGGTGCGCTTTATTACTTTAGAGATCGAATCATGGAAGAAAAACCGGTTTGATCTCTACTGAAATTCCGAATCTTTGTTCTTGCTTCACTCAGTTATGTGTATTTGTTTTGATTTTGTTGAGGTTTTGTTGTCATTTTGAACAGTCGCATGTTTTCCTCCTCAATTGTGATGTTTGCTGCTCTTTCCCTCTTCAAGACATACTCGGTACACACTCCATAAATCTTAACTCTGCCTCATCATTTTGCTTTTCTTGCTTTGATGTAACTTGAAAGCAAATCTTTGGCAGACGCACATCGAAGCTACGGTGGTGTTGGAACTATGCTAGTTATCAAGGTTCCATGTCATTGATCAGTCTTGTTTCCTTTGTTCATAAATAGATATAAAGATCGAAGTTTCATGAAATTTGTTTTTTGTTCTTGCTTCAGGTTTCTGCAGAAGCAGCGAGCCAATTTGGAGAGTTGATAGCTGATCCTGAGACTAAAGAACTCCTACATTACACAGAGAAACCCGAGACTTTCGTAATATCTCTGCTAAAAATCTCCTTTTCTCTTATTTCCTTCATTGGTTCTGGACTTTGTTGAGCTTGTAAGGTTTCACTTGTTGCAGGTTAGTGACTTGATCAACTGTGGTGTCTATGTGTTTACCTCGGATATCTTCAAAGCCATTGAAGGAGTATACAACCAAATGAGAGAGACATGTAAGTTTTCACTCTTGGCCTTTATCTCAAGAGACTTACATTATTATATAATCACTTTTGACTTTATACTAAATTTTAGCAGCTAGCAACTACCAGATTTCGAATCAGTTCCAGTCGGCTACAAGGTCTGTTCCTGCGGATTTTGTGAGATTAGATCAAGATATATTATCACCACTTGCTGGAAAGAAGCAACTATACACATATGAGACCAAGGATTTTTGGGAGCAGATTAAAACTCCAGGGTAATTTGGATTTTACTGTCTTTGTCCTAGTAAATCTTTTTGGATCAAACTGTTTATAACTTCTCATGATAACAAAATGATATAAACAGGAAGTCTTTGAAATGCTCGGATTTATATCTCTCGCAATTCCGGGAAACATCGCCTCATCTTTTGGCTTCAGGAGATGATACTAATAAGAAACCGACGATTGTTGGTGATGTGTATATTCACCCATCTGTAAAACTACATCCAACCGCAAAGGTAACTTTTTTAACAGTCTCATGTATATATGCATATGACACACTTATCTTAAAATCTAAAAATCTTAAATTCCTTGGAACAAGATTGGTCCAAATGTGTCAATCTCAGCAAACGTTCGTGTTGGACCTGGTGTAAGACTTATTAGCTGCATAATCTTGGACGATGTTGAAATCAAGGTAATGGAAAATGAGTTTTTAGTGTTCCTTTTGGTTACAGATTAAAAAAAAAAAAAAAAAGATGTTTTATTGATGTTTTGTTCTGTGACTAAATGCAGGAAAATGCTGTTGTTATAAACTCGATCATCGGTTGGAAATCTTCGATAGGTCGATGGTCAAGAGTTCAAGCTAGTGGAGATTACAACGAGAGGCTTGGAATCACAATTCTTGGTAATTTTCATTCTCTCTTATAATACCTCTTTGTTCAACATATGTTTCGTTTGTTCTGATACATTTTGTCTCTCTTGCAGGTGAAGCTGTGACAGTAGAAGATGAAGTTGCAGTCATAGGAAGCATTGTTCTTCAGAATAAGACTCTTAATGTCAGTGTTCAAGACGATATCATCTTATGAGTTGTATTTTTTTTCTTTTTTTTGGATAATCCAAACACAAAGAAGAATCAAAGAACTGAGAGCTACTTGCATTGAGCTCACATGATTAATGGAATCATTGTACTTTTGTTTTATATAGAGAAAGAATCCATGAGGCAGATTTAACGAATCAAACAAGTTCTACTTCTTGATTCTATTTAGCGGTTTTGAGTTTGGCAAAGAACATTCGGATTATATCTTGACACAAGACTATAACAAAAACAAAAACCGTAAGTCTTTTCTAGAATTAGATATGGCCACACTCTTCTGGTGCTCCATTTTAGGACAAGATCGAACACCGATCAAAGCTTCAAATTAACAGATTTTAATACTTCTTCATTTAAATAAAGGAAATTCATCTTTGGTTTCTCTAATGTGGGCCTAAGTTGGGCTTGTAATAACAAAATTGTCAGTTTAAGGTGAATTATAAAGAAAACGAAATATAAAAATTCCACATCTCTGATTTTCTCTCTCGCATAACTTCGTCGTCGTTCTGTTCTCGTAGGGTTTAGCGATTTTGCAAAAGGGGAAGAGTGCGATCTCAAATCGGCCTTAATGGCGGACGAAGATTACAACGAAGTCGATGATTTGGGGTATTCTCTATTTCTCTCTCTCGGTTTCCTATGTCTGTATAAGTTTTCGCTCGGTTTCGAAGATGATTCTGTTTTCTTCTCGACGATTTTTTAACGATTGAGAGCAATTCAATTGATTAGTATCAAAGATTGAAAGTTTCTCCATGGTCTTATTCGATGAAATTTTACTTGAATTGTTGAAAAATGTTTCTCCGGCATAAAGTATTTGATTCCAATCGATTTCAATGTAGAAAACCCTAATTTCATGGTCGGTTGATAGAAAAAAGCTGTTTTTGCGATCCCTGAGCTCTTATTCAAAGAGAAATGTTCCAATGACAAAGTTTACAGATTTCTAGATTATAACCTTCCTTGAATGTTCATCAAAATGTTTTTGCTAGCTTGTAAACATGTTTTCTTCTCATGAAACTTTTGAGTAGATTGAAGCTTGTTTTGTTGCTATGTGTTCAAATTGTTAATGTTGCTGCTTCAATTGGTTTTTCCTGCAGTTATGAGGATGAGCCAGTGGAGCCCGAGATAGAAGTAAGTTAAACCCTTTTTGTAGAAAAAGACATGTATATTGCTTTATCGCAACCTGCTAGATTCTGATTACTTTTTTGATTAGTAGGAAGGAGTAGAGGAAGATGTTGAAATGAAGGAGAACGAGGATATCAATGGCGAACCTCTTGAAACAGAAGACAAGGTCGAAGCAGAACCTGTGCAGCGTCCTCGTAAAACGTCAAAGTTTATGACCAAGTATGAACGTGCACGTATCCTCGGCACTCGCGCTCTGCAAATCAGGTCTGCTTCTCCTCCTTTTTTGACCATTGCTTCATGTATCTCCAATATATATCTGAAGTTTCCTAAGAAAATATCATCATGTGAAGCATACTTAATTCAACTTGTGTTTGTTCCATTTATCTAGACTCGCTGAGTTTGATGCTTTTAATGTCACTCACTTGTCCTGAATTTATCATCATCATGTTTCATAAAAGTCGATGAGGATACTTAACTCAACTGAAAACAATCTTTGTTCTATTTCATAGCATATCGTTTTGTTGGCTCGAAAAGTTTGATTCTTTTACTTGCACCCACTTATCCTTTGATCTCATATCTCAGCTCTGTTAAGAATATATCACCATGTGTTTTAAAAGTTTGATTCTTTATGTTGTTTTTGGTTAATACAGCATGAATGCTCCTGTCATGGTGGAGCTTGAAGGCGAGACTGATCCTCTTGAGGTGCTTACTACTGTTTACTTGCACTCACTTATCCTTTTCTTCTTGATCTTTCTGGACATTTGAGCTAACTTTTGAATTTGTGTTTTAAGATTGCTATGAAGGAGCTTAGGCAAAGGAAGATACCATTCACGATCAGACGCTATCTACCTGATGGGAGGTGAGTTTTGCGTTAGCCATATCGAATTTTTATTGTTGGAGCACAAAGCGATTCTCTTCTCTTACCTGACATGTTTCTCTTCTTTTGGTGTGTCTTCTTATGATTCTGAATCAGTTTTGAGGAGTGGGGTGTTGATGAACTGATCGTTGAAGACTCGTGGAAGCGTCAAGTCGGTGGTGATTGATAAATGATACTTTGGTTACCCCCAAAACTATGTATTTTGCAATCGAATGATATGAGTTTCTGATATTGTATTAGGCTTATTAACTACAACTTAATCAAAATTTATGTATAACGACCTGTTAAGTGTTCTGTTTAATTTCCCGTAAATTTGGTAAACCAGAATCATCCATCTGAAATCAACGTCCAATTTGGTTGAATCTATTTGCACATTTGTTATCTATATTTGAAATCTGTTAGGCACAAATTAGAATTTTGTTTTGCTTACTTTATCTATTTGGTTCCGGTTCAACCAAGCGCATTTGTAAATTTGGCTAAATCAACTAACAACAAACAAATATCATTTTCAAAATTTCTCACAACATAACCAGAAATCGATTTCAATTTACATGTATAAAACCCAAGATCTACTTCATGAAGATGGCATTGAAGATTTGGAAGGACCAGTTGCTGCTCTTCAACAACTTGGCACCATCCGTGAGACAGATGTGCCTCCTTTCACATTCCAAACTGATCATCCGACCCCAGGACTACTTGAACGAATGTTTGTGCCTATCAGTTTCACTATCGTCATGGAGGTGGAGGACTACTTGAACGAATCAAACCCCAATATATATCTAAACTGGAACCAGAGAATCCGTGAGATGCTAGACAACCATGGGCCAATGACCGCTTCAGTGTCTTGGTTCGACTCTTACAAAGAGCAGCTCGAGCTTAATGTAAGTTTCTTGTCCTTTTTCTTTGCTTTGTTTTCTTCATTCGTTTCTTGTTCTTTTTTGATTTCCAATGGTCTTTCTTGGATCGACATAGATTTCCATTTAAAAGTAATTTGGAATTTAAAATGTTTGTGCTTTCTTTGTGCAAATGAAAATACATCATGTACTTTTCAAAAAAGTTTCCAATTCAACAAGAAATACACTAACTTTTGTAGCAATTTGTCGATTAGTTTTGTTGACCTAAGATGAAGATTGTAAATTGATCTTTTGGTCTAGTGTTTAATTTAGTATTTTGGAGATATTATGGTGATACATAAGTTAGTCGTAAATGTTGGCATTGATAGTTTGCATTATTCTTCCGTGAAGCCGAGAATCCCGCTCAGGTTTTCATATTGAAGTCACGTCATTAGTTATGTCAAAATATTTGTTTTCAGTTTATTTGCTTAAACTAAAGCATTTATTGGTGTGATTTCAAAATTAAATAAGATTTGGAAATTTTTTAAATTAGAGTGGTGGAGTTTAAAATATCAAGGTTTTATCTTGGATTTGGTTTTTGTATTTTTAACTTAAAAACACTTCCAAATCTATTGAAATCCAAATAGGTTTTGAAATCTATATAAGAAATCACTAAACCAATAACACCAGATTATTTAGTATTTAGAAATTATTAAATAAAAAGGGATTTTGATTAAAAAAAAAATCATTAATCCAATAAAGAGAATTTTAACTTAAATTTGTAATTCCATCAAAATACATGTGAATCAATAAACCCCAGATTCTGATTTTTGGTTTTTGTTACTTTTCCTGTTTGGTTCCGGTTTAATTCGGTTAAACCAAACGCATTTTGGAAATTTGTCAAAATCCACCGAATCACAAAAAAAAATATCATTTCAGAAATTCTCCCGGCGACTCACAGCAAAAGAGTCAAGCTTTCCGCTTCAACAATGGCGGATCATCACCACCACCACAATCACCATCATCATCATCACCAACAGCACCGACCCAATCGTCTTTCACTGCCTTCACGAACGACCTCAACAGTCGGAAGAGCTTACCCTTCTTTCCCTTACACTCCGACTCCAACCCCTTCCAAAACCCGTCTCAGATCGATCCATGGAACCACTAAATCTTCAATTTCCTTTCTCTTTCTCATCCTCTTCTCTTTACGATCCCTCTACTCTCTCTTACCTTTCCTTCGCTCTTCTCCTTCATTCTCTCTATTCCCTTTCTCATTCCTCGTCTCTCTTCTCTCTTTCGTCTTCTCTCTCGCTTTCTCTCTCTTCTCCGCTTTTTCTCCCTCCAAAAAAGACCCATTTCTCCGGCAGAATCGCGCCGTTTTCTCAGTCTCGTCACTCTCCTCGTCTCAAATCAAACTCATACTCGCTAAATCTGTTTTCCTAGCCGTCGTTTTCCTCCTCCGATTCCAAGCTCTCCGTTACTGCGGCGCAGCCGCCATGATCTTAGCTGAGCTCTCCGGTACAGTCTCCGCTAGAGTTTTATCGGAGTCTCGGAATCGAATCGCTGGCGATAACGGCGGAATTGGATCATCAAAGGTTCGTGGCTTCTGCATCTTGTTTGCTGGGTTGTTGCTTTTATCAATCAGCTGGGATCGTGTAGATTGCTTCCCTCTCTCTTCGTCATCAGTTCAAAATTGGAGCTTTTGGATATACCCTAAAGAGAATTGCTTGAGAGTGTGGCCTATGTTGCTTCCGTTTCTTTCTGGGTTTCTAGGTTGCTACGAGAAAGTCTCCATGAATTGGATCGAAATCAAACAGCTTGATCAGAAACGAGTTCGATTGTATTCTCTGTTTCTCACCACTGTGTTGCTGTTCCCTCTTGCAATCTGGAGCTTCCTCTTCTCCGGAAACGATGACGTCGTCGTCTCAATTGGGAATTTGGGTTGGCCTTTAGCTAACACTGTTGTATTCGGAGTACTGTTGAGTGAGAGTCACAACGACGATAAGCTTTCGAGCTCGAAGAAGGACTTTCTCGTTACGTTTCTATGCACTATAGTCTTGGAGCTCTTCTATTTCCCTGAGCTTTCTCTTTGGGGATTGTTGTTGTGTGGTTTGTTGCTTTACGTTGCTGTTAGAGAACTGGACTCTGTGGATTCAGGTTATCAAGAGATTGGGATGGAATCGCCAGACTCGTTCTCCACCATGTTTATGAAGCCAATCCGTCACATTTTGAGCGAGAAGAAGTCCAGAAAGATTGCTCTGTTTCTTTTGATCAACACTGCGTATATGGTTGTTGAGTTTGTGGCTGGATTCATGAGCAACAGTCTTGGACTGATCTCTGACGCTTGTCACATGTTGTTTGATTGTGCTGCTTTGGCTATTGGGCTCTATGCGTCTTATATCTCTCGTCTTCCTGCGAACCAGCAGTTCAACTATGGCCGAGGTAGATTCGAGGTGCTTTCTGGTTATGTCAACGCAGTGTTTCTTGTTCTTGTTGGAGCTTTGATTGTTCTTGAGTCGATTGAGAGAATCTTGGATCCTCAGGAGATTTCTACGAGTAGTCTTTTGGTTGTTTCCGTTGGAGGGCTTCTTGTGAATGTTGTTGGGTTGATCTTTTTCCATGAAGAGCATCATCATGCTCATGGTGGTGGTTCCGGTTGCTCACATTCTCAGTCGAATAGCCATAAACATGAAGAGCACCACCATGAGCATGATCATAAACATGAGGACCATCATGAATGCAACCATGATCATGAGCATCATCATCATGAGGAGAACCATGAAGGCAACCACAGCCACGACCATGACCATCATGATCATGCTGATCACAAACCAAAGAAGCATCGCCACATTGACCATAACATGGAAGGGATCTTCCTTCATGTATTAGCAGACACAATGGGGAGTGTTGGAGTTGTGATATCGACGCTCTTGATCAAATACAAAGGCTGGTTAGTTGCAGATCCAGCAAGCTCAATCTTCATCTCCATCCTCATCATAGCTTCAGTGATTCCGTTACTCAGAAACTCTGCAGAGGTTCTACTGCAAAGAGTCCCCAAGGCACACGAGCTTGACCTGAGAGAAGCCATGAGGAGCATCCTTAAGACGAAAGGCGTTTGCAGTATCCAGAGGTTACATGTATGGAGCTTCACAAATTCAGACGTTGTGGCTACTCTCCATCTCCTTGTATCAGCTGATTCGGACAAGAAGGATACTAAGTTGCAAGTCTCACGTATGTTGGAAGATGCAGGAGTAAAGGATTTGACTTTGCAGGTGGAATCTGTAAACTCATAGCAATTGATATAATACTTTTTGAGAGTTGTCACTGAACACAGAACCTTTTTTACAGTGTTGTTTAGATAATTTGTGTCATTGAACTTTTCTGAGTTTTGGATAAAGATATATATGGGAGATGATGGCTGTGCATACATATATGATTAATAATGTTGTAAACTGAAAAAGAATTTTGATTTCAAACCTTATCACAAAATCTCTTCAAATACATTTGTTTTGCAGTTATACATAGTCAAAATAAAAAAAACATAATAAACAGCTACATTCACCAGGTACTTGCTTCTAACTTTCCTTTCTACTGGCAGTTTGTTACTTCTCAGAGAAAATGCGAGTTGTCGGAAAGAAAGTAACTGTTAGGAACGGTGTAGAGAGATGGTAGAGTTGATCTCTGAAGTAGACTGCTCTCAGAAGATTGAACATCATAGCCTGTATACATATCTGGAAACTCTTGAAGGAAGCTAGTGTTACCGACCTGAAATTCAGAACAGAACTCATCTAGAGCGTTGTTGTTGGTAGTATCACTCTTACACATGCTCTGTTCAAAACCATAGAGCTCTTCTTGCTGCATCAACTGATTCAACCCAAAGTTGTTCACAGGTTCTTGTAACTCTGATGGTAACGCTGAGAGATCTTGTGTGTTTGAGTTTGAGACGCAAGAAAGTTGAAAGTTGTTGCTGTTGGTGACATCACTCGTACACATGCGCTGATCAAAACCGTAAGGCTCTTCTTGCTGCATCAACTGATTCAACCCGAAGCTGTTCACAGATTCTTGCAGCTCTGATGGTAACGCTGAGAGATCTTGCGTGTTTGAGACGCAAAGATGTTGAAAGTTGTTGCTGTTGTTGTTGTCACTCATACAGGCATGAAGTTCTTGATGCATCAAGTGATTCTTCAACCCAGAGTCTTGTGCTGCCGGTGCCGAGTAACCACCGTTGGTGAATTGTGTGGGCAATTGGTTAAAATTTAACGCAGAGAGTGGGATCTGAGAGAGAGTAGCATCTCCTTCGTTATACATAAACAGCGAGAACCTGCTAGGGTTTAGAGATTGACTCTGATGATCCTCCAATTTTATCTCCTTCTTCTGTTTCTGTGCCTCAAGAAACCGACGCCTCTCTTTCAACGTGGAGTAACTCTGTTCCAAGGACTGAATCAGCTCGGAGATTTGGTCGGGAGAGTAATGATCGGAGATTGGATACCTTAATTCGTTCATCTTCGCCTTCTTCTTCAGATGCGTCTTCACGTTCTTGTTCTTCATCAAGAAACCACAAAGATTGACGCTTTTCTTGCTTCTCTTGGCCTCGTCTAATCGACTATACCTAAGAGCCAAGTCTCTCACTTTCTCTCTGTCTTCAGGCCATGTTTTTAACTCGCCGTCTGGTCCGTAATGGATGACGCAGGCTTCGATGTCACAGAGAGTCGTAAGCTCGTAAGCTTTCTTGAAGATTGTCTCGAGTCTGTTGGTTAAACTTGTGGAAGCGAGTGAAGAGGAAGAGGAAGACGAATAAGGAGGAGATCGCATGGTGTGGTTTTCTTGTTGATTACGGAAACAAATCTCAGGTTTTTTTCTCTCGTTGTCGTACGAAGAAGATAGCACAAAGAAGAAGAAGAAGAAGAACAGGAATGAAATTGAGAGTGAATTGGATTTATTTATAGATCTGTAATTTACTTTTGGCCCGGCCCAACGGTAACAAAATAAATCGACGCGGTTTTGATTCGATTTCCTTTTTTTTTTTTTTTTTGCTTGAGAAAAACGTAAGAAATTTATATTTGACCAAATAGAAACGAATCATACGATCATCCCTAGTCCAATCAACTAAACATCAGCATTAGTATAATGTATAAGATTAGAAGTGGTAGAAGACATCATTTTCTCTTACATTATAACATATAGTATTTGAGCTATAAGCGTGGATGTATAGCTAGTAAAGTCCACTCTCTATCCGTCTGAGAAGAACCACTCTAGTTTAAAAACTTATCAATACTAAAATCAAGCTTTTAATTATCTCCATAATGCTATTTGCGGCGAACTTTTTTCTCATATTTGAATTTAGTTAATCATGATGCCCGTACATAGTATAGGCCAAAACTACATATTACACAAGTATATATGATAAACTCGTGATCAAATCATTTTTCTTAGTTCTGTGTATATATATATTTGCGTTTAAAGGATGTGATCGTTGAAAAAAATATTAAATACAACTGATTCTATATCATATAGTATAAATTAAGACTTTTTCTTACACAATATCATTGCGATTACATGGTTAAGACATAGTTAATCGATTATGAGCTAAATATATGTTGTATCCATTACATGAGTAAAATATAAGCATTATGTAAGCAAAATAAAAGTAAAAAGTACGAAAAAATGCAACAATCTAATGTAGTAACATAGTTGAGAAGCCTACACTTGACATAGATAAGACTTTTCTAGAAGTGTTATGTTTGCGTTATTTAATTTTAATTATTTTATATGTTCATGGCCGTGAAACCTGTTGCAGTAGTTGTCTACTTGATAGACCTCCGTCGTCATAGCCAACACATCACGATTCTTCTCTGATCGAACCACCTCCTTTGTTTCCCCTGTTTCCCTTGAGCGACAATGCTTCGGCTCACGACACATCTTCTCCACCGCCGACTATACACGGCTCATCTCCTTCTTCTCCACTTTAGCTAACACCTCCGGATGAGATCGAGCCATGTCCTTCTTCTCCGATGAGGCGAAGGAACTCTCCACCGGTATATCAATATCAAATTCGACCGCGTCCCCAAGGAGATGTTAGCATTCGCATCCAATCCTTCCTCAACGTAGTAGGATTCTTCTTTTTACTCGTTGCACATGGAGTGTATGCTCGTACACGCCCCGCCATCGCCTTTGTTTTAGACAGAGTGGCCTTCGTATTAATAGTGCTGTCCGCTTACTTATCAACAGTGCCGATGTTTTCTCCATATTACGCCATATTGATGTTCATTATGTTAGTTTTACTTTTCCTAATTGCTCGTCGTAAGGAATGAGTATAGTTAATAATATTTGTTAGGATCCCTTTACACATATATTCTTAGCTTATAGTATTGGATGTGAGATTTATACTTCGGATTGAAGCACTGTGTAGTGATCAATCTAATTTGAGTATTGCATTAAGGTTAATAATATTCATAAGGATCTTTGTGACTACTTTTCTCTATGACTTTATTCTACATTCATAAGGATCTCTTTATGACATAGTTTACAATCAACCGCTTCAGACAAACCTCCTTAGCTTTCACTTTATGATTTCCTCAAGAGATTCTCTCCCACATCAGCTGGAGTCATCTTGATTTCTTCTACCTCAAGCAACGTCTTAATCTCTTCAAATTACCCAACATTTTCTTTTTCCTCAGCATCCAAATATTTTTTTGCCGATATTTTAAACGCTTCAAAACCTACGACATTTTACTTACGACATCTCTAGATTAGGTTTCAATAAATATCTGAAAATCTACAAGAAAAGTTGTACATTGCGACAATTTTCCACCCTTTGTGTGTATTGGCAAATTTGGCACAAAATATTTGTGCTAATATGTGGCAAATGTTGACACGACTTTTGTGTGCCAATTTTTGGCAAATATTGTCACAAATTTGGTCAACGTACGTAGCAAATATAGTTTGAAACAAACCGCCAAAATTTTTTTTTACAAATTCTGTTGTTGTGGTAAATTTGTGGCTAAAAATAGTTGCCACGGAAATATTATGGCAAAACTGTGGCAAAATTTGTGATCATAGTCATCATTTCTTTTTTTTTTTTTTTTTTTTTTTAAATAAAGTACCATTTTATAAATTTCCTTCAATCCCAGAGGGAGCAATTACAAACGCAAATATAAGCTTAAGTCTTAAAGTGCCAACAAGCGGCAACTAAACACATTCAAAGCAGCAAAACCAGCAGCACCAAACCTGTAAAGAGAGAATTATGGCTGAAAGAGCCCAAACCAAGTAGAGAGGAAGGAGTCCTCTTGACCAAACGCAGATGAGACTGAGGAAGATGAAGGGGCAATGGATCGATCCAATCCAAAGAGTTTTGTCCTTAGAAGAAGTTGGATTTCTTTTACCAATATATGAACCGGTTTAGACATGGATGTGTGGAGCCTCGCATTCCGTTCCCTCCATATAGAATAAACTATTGCTTGCACCAATAATTTACAAATTATGTTCACCTTCTTTTGGCGAGAAGGGGAATCAGACCATTCAACAACTTCCTCGATTGAACTTGGGAGAGTAAAGGTGTGGTGACCAAAGAAATCCGTCCAGACTTCCTTGGCGTAATTGCAATCAAAGAGAAGATGATTTTTCGTTTCTGGCTGGGAATCACACAAGAGACAACTTTGTGGTACATTGAGACCCCAAGACCTCAACTTGTCACGAGTAATAAGACGATCTCTCATAACAATCCACATAATGAAGGTATGCTTTGGAACCCTCTCTTGAAACCAAAGTGGTTTAGTCCAAGGTAGAGACGGTCCAGCCGGATGAAGATAGGTCCAAGTTTTTGACGATGAGAAATCTCCGGGAGGATCCGACTCAGAATTCTTCCAGAGATAAACATCAAGTTCATTAGAAAGAGAGGAAGGGAGGTCTAAGGGAAGGCAATCTCGAAGCAATTTCAAAATCGGGTGCCTTCCCCTTGATAATAACCACGACGACCCTCGACAAGCTTGGTTGACGGTGGCCATCCTTTGAATACCAGTAACCCTGGGTCCGTTAGCTCCCGTTAACTCAATAAGAGGACCTAGATCTGTCCAATTATCATGCCAGAAAAGAGCTGAACTTCCTGACTTAACTTTACAGAACAAATGGGGTCTTCCAGAGATAGTCATCATTTCGATAAAGCATTCACAGTCTCATCGTATCGATCATGTTAGATCGTGGAATTGTGTAAATTATGAAAACGATAATGACATTTATACATGTATGTATATGCGCTTATATATGATAACCATGGAATTTATGGCAAGATATACAGTAATTAGATCAAGTAAACAATGTAAGAGCAAATAAAACATATATAAGACACTATCACTGAAGTAGTAAATCGTAAAGAAAAGCAATAACATAGCTATATTGCATCGTAAACATCATGTTCTCTTGGAATTCTTTTACGTGGAGCTATGACCCCAACCTGACGGACAAAACGTGATAAGGTATTCTTTGGCGGAGCAAGTGACCAAAGGAGGAGGTGTGTCGTAGGCATAAGTGTAATAATTGGGACAAGCTTCTTTAAACAACATAGAGTACGTAGTCCTTTTGCACTTTTCCGGCGTCCCGTACGCATTCCGACAACAGAACCTGTCGTTATCAAACGCTAAGCATGCACTCTTGCATGCCACGACTCGTCCCTCTCCGTTCAAAACCTATACAAATGGTTATCATTGATCTATATAAGGAGCAGAACTTCCTATTTATCGACTTTGAAAACGTTATTCCTTTTGAGTGAACATGTTACCTGTAGTTCTTCGGGACATGTGGTTTTGAGATCTTTATGACAACCTAAGATGGAGCATTTAGATGATACTGGTTTGGAGTTCACTGCGACGGGGAGGTTATAACCGTCGACGAGGCTTACATCATAGAAAGTAGGTTTGGATTTGTCAGCTTGTACCGCAATTTGTATAAGAGTCACTGGAGGTTTTCCAATCAGTCCGTTGCACTCCAAACGTCCACCACAATCACCTAAAATTCATTGTTATCCAACAAAAATTAGAATCCTAACCTTGTTTTGAACAATATCGTATTCCCTTCTTCAAGTCATTTGAACATATAGCATTAGGATTTAGTGAAAGAATAGGTTTTCTGAGAAAGATTGCAACGTAAGTACGCCAAGAAAATAAAACTATTCAATGTAGAAAAAGCTTAAATTTTAAACTAGAGATGTTACTGATCAATATTTGAAATTAGAATTACAGTTACCTGTTTCACATACTTGATTGTTGGAAGCAAAGTCACAGCCTGTTCTAGCCCAAATACGACCACTCCAACCCCAAGGAACATCGATACGTCTGGTATCTCCGCATGGTAGGTAAAAACCACCGGAGGCTAGCACGGGATGGCCGGAGTTGGGGGCAACAGCCGGCCAAATCGGAAATGAGCATTTATTTTGCACATAAAATGTTACTCCATTATTACATGTTACTTTACCTACGCATAGCATTGATCATGGTCATGATAAGATCAAATATATCAACAATTTGGTTTGAGAAATGGTAAAACAAATTACCATAAGCTATACAACTCCATATAATGAAAAGTTGTAACAGGGAGGTAGAGTGGAATCTCATTGGAACTTCTGTTGGAACTTGAAAGTTTAATATTAAATGATACAATTTGGAGTATTTATATGTTACAAGAGTGATGTTTTTGCAAAAACAATTCATGTTGTTGTCGATCTTATATTATGCTTAAAGATTGGATTATAGGTAGAACTAAGGTTTTAATCTTTCAAGACAAGGGAGTTGATGTCGCGTGGTATTAAAGAACGTTTGAATAGTAAATATGTCTTAAAAGAAAATCAATGCAACGATGAAAATGCTATTTTGGGGGGTAATTGGGTAAGTAATGTTCTTTGGAAAATGCCACTGGCCCACAGCCACAAATGTCTTTGAAGAAGCCTGTGTTTGCTTTTTATTTCCGTTTCATGTAATTTTTATACACTGTCCATTACATTCGATTTAAAAACTAGACTTAACCATGGTATATAACATATTGGTTTATATTAGTGTTACTTATCATCAAGTTTCTGACCCGCATTATACACGTTAGTACGTTACTGACATAAAGAATGACTAAACCTAAAAGAATTACCACATTCGAGTAAATTAGCTTTAAGGAAGAGGTAATATTAACCTTTTAACCACTTTTAATCACTAACTTATAAGTGTCATTGCTAATGTAATGTATATGATTATTTTATGTTAAGTTTTATATCTAAATTCAGAACCGTAATTGTCATAGGCATTGGCCTTGAGCCACATTTTACATTTATAATGTTGTTATCGGAGTTAGTTGAGCGACAATTGTAGTTTACTTGTTTATTTTTGTGGGTTTAATTATCTTGTTTGAATGCTCTTTATTTTCAGCTTGAATAATTTTCTTAAGACAGTTAAGTGTTTTAAACATTCGTTCCCCCCAACCATATATTATCCCAAATTTCAGAAAATGACAAACACAACTTCTCTACAGTTTTAATATTCAGATTCTGAGAGTTTTGATTTGATCAAGACTATGGCTCCCTTTAAGTAACCAGAAATGTATCTATAGCTCACTAAAGTCGCAAAACCGACGGAATTGATGCATACCTTTACAAAACTCTTTTTTTGCATAACTACACAAATAAAAAAAAATAATTAGTTTCCCAAATGTGATAATCATCAGGTATTTATGTTTATTTTTGTTTTACCTTTTTTGCATAGTTTTCTTATACGAAAGATAGACACGTCATAAACAAACGTTGAAACTCAGCAAATAGAGTACCAAAATGGTATTGGTAGTTGTGTTTTAAACTGGCTTAATGTTATAGGAAATCTAAAACTATTTCTGTTCTCTCCTCGTGAACTCCACACACACACACTCTCTCTCTCTCTCTTCATTTCTTCAATTTTCGTTAGTTACTCAAAATTCTAATTCATTATTGTCCTCATCAACAAATAGACTGCATCACTTTGTAGTTTGTATGTCATGTTTCAGCTGCTTTTTTTTTGTATTTGAAGAAAAAGAAACTAATTCGAACTTATAGGATCGTTGTCTTATGTAGAGCATATGCTTGAGTTAAATCTTAACCGTGACACACGATACGAGTGTTATCCACTAATGACTTCATTGGGTTTAACAGAAACAATTAATTGTTAATCACATTAGTTTATTAGTACTACTCTACTGCACACAGAGTATAACAAAACACACTGTTTCAAAATTTGAAAAATCCCTCTTCATAAAAATGAATTTTAAACACATTTTTCATCAACAATCTCAATGTCTTCAAAAAAAAAAAATCGTCTCTTTCTCTCTCTCTTTGACCACCTCGAGTCACATCACAGAGCCTTGACCATCAACAACACTACACAAACCCATTAGATTCTTAAAAGGAAACATCTTTCTTCTCACTTCTCTCACTTCCCCTCACTTCTCATTCATCCATCTTCTTTTCTCTAGTCATGAGTAGACAAACTCCAAATCTCGAATCTTCACATGACTGCTCCTCCAATTGCAACAACAATGCAGCTGATTCGAGTCCAGTTTCCGGATCCGAGAGCTTCAAAACCAGCAGTAATGGCTCTCAAGACGTCAGGCTCAACAACAGCGTCAGCTTAAGTTTCTGTAGCAGTAACAGTGTAAGCAGTGAAGCTAATCTCGAAAAGTCTCGATCTTTCGATGCGAACGAGGCTAATTTCAAAAGGGTCTTCTCTCCGTCGAAGCCCCACAAAGGGAACGATCTCCGATGGGACGCGATTCAGAGCGTGAAATGTAGCAAAAACGAGGATCTGGGTTTGGGGCATTTCAGGCTGTTGAAGAAATTGGGATGCGGAGATATTGGGAGTGTGTATTTAGCTGAGCTTAGAGAGATGGGATGCTTCTTCGCCATGAAAGTGATGGATAAAGGAATGTTGATTGGGAGGAAGAAACTTGTTAGGGCTCAGACTGAGAGAGAGATTCTTGGTTTGCTAGATCATCCTTTCTTGCCAACGCTTTACTCGCATTTCGAGACTGAGAAGTTTTCATGTCTTCTTATGGAGTTCTGTAGCGGCGGAGATCTTCATATTCTCCGGCAGAAACAGCCCGGAAAACACTTCTCCGAGCAAGCCGCCAGGTTAATTTGCTTTAAAGCCCTTCAGTTTCATGTTTTTTGGGTATCCTCTGAGAGTGAAAGTGAATTGAATCTGAAAATATTGAAACTTTAGATTGTAATTGGTCCTCTGTTTTGTCCTTTCATGGTGTTTGTCTGAGAGTGAAATCAACTGTTTAGTTTAAGAATCTGCAAAAGATTGAAACTTTAGATTTGAATGGATCCTCTGTTTTGTCTTCTAATGTCAATTGTTTTGAGTTTGGCTAATAGTGAAAAATCAGTTTGCTTTGATTGTTCTGTGTAGTTTAAGAATCTGCAAAAGATTGAAACTTTAGATTCGAATGGATCCTCTGTTTTGTCTTCTTATGTAAACTGTTTTGAGTTTGGCTAATAGTGAAAAACCAGATTGATTTGATTGTTCTGTGTAGCTTTTTAAGAATTTGAATGGATCCTCTGTTTCTCTCTGTTCTTGAATGTGCAGGTTTTATGCTTCTGAAGTGCTTCTTGCGCTGGAGTATCTTCACATGATGGGTGTAGTGTACAGAGATTTGAAGCCAGAGAACGTAATGGTGAGAGAAGATGGTCACATCATGCTCTCCGATTTCGATCTTTCCTTGCAGAGTTTCGCCAATCCTACACTGATTCAATCCACATCACAACCATCTTGTCACATTGCTTCCTACTGTATGCAACCATCTTGCATTGTAGAATCATCCTGCAAAGTACCTGTAGCTTGTATCCAACCATCTTGCTTCAAGCCTCGTTTCCTCAACAGCAAACCAAGAAAGGCCAAAACCGAAAAAGCCGGTTCGGATTCCTTCCCAATGCTGATAGCTGAGCCAACGGATGCTCGGTCCATGTCATTCGTGGGGACGCACGAGTACTTAGCTCCAGAGATCATAAGAGGAGATGGTCATGGAAGCTCTGTAGATTGGTGGACTTTTGGTATCTTCCTCTACGAGTTGTTAACCGGGAAAACGCCGTTTAAAGGGAACGGCAACCGCGAAACGCTCTTCAACGTTGTTGGACAACCGCTCAAGTTTCCTGAAGGAGGAGGAGGGTCTATAAGCTTTGCAGCTAAAGATTTGATTAGAGGTTTGCTTGCTAAAGATCCCAAGAAGAGGTTAGGTTTCAAGAAAGGTGCTACTGAGATAAAGCAACATCCTTTCTTTGATAATGTCAATTGGGCTCTAATCAGAAGCACAAACCCACCAGAGATACCTAAACCGATCGATCTTTCGATACTTAATGAAACCCTCAAGTCATCATCTGTTCAACAACAACAACAGCAAGACAAGCATTCTACAAAACAGTCAGATTCTTCATCAGGTCCTTATTTAGACTTTGAGTTCTTCTGATGAAAGTGTTTGATATTTGTATTCATATCTTCTCCATGAATTTGTTGTTCTTTTTCCGCTTTTTAGCGTTGTTTTCTGTTTTTAGCCTTTGTATTAAGCAACAGTTTTGCATTTGCGGTTAGGTTATGGTTTTGATTAATTCAAATGGATTATTATTATGTTCATAAAGGTTCAAGCATTGAAATTTTGGGAAATGGTTTAGTAAAAAGCAATAGTCTTTTTAGTCTTTTGTTGCATGAAGCCATGAAGAAAAAAGGATTTATTTTTGTGGTGTGATCGAGAAAAGTGAAACTAAAAGATGCAAACTTTTATCTTACAGATGTTAGTAGTCCCCACCTCAAGTTTTTAGCTTTTTAAGCTTTCTTATAAAGACAAAACAAAAAACCTTTTTGCATGAATGATTCATTTCGTACACAAAATTTTGATCTTTTTTTTTGTAACAGTTATTCTCTGAATATTCTAATAACTTTTTTCCCAGAGAATGTAAGTTTCTGAAAAGAAAACTGAAATGAGACAACACAGAGAAAGAAAACGACTTGTTTCATCTTTATTGCTATGGTCTGGCTCATGGTGAAAGAAAAAGCTTTTGCTTTAGATAGGCACAACATAATGCATATACAAAAGAATCATATTTAAACTCAAAATGCAAATCTCGATCAAAAATTTGTGAAAAAGGTATTTCACGTTAGCCAAATTCAAGTAATAAAAAAAGGATGGATTGAGAAACATCAAGAAACAAAGACGTTTAGTAGCACGAAATTAATGCACTAAAAACTCGCAAAAAACTGTTATTCAGATTTAATGGTCATGGAAGTTCTGATTTAATGTCATGGAAAATGTCATGATTTAATTCAAATCAAGTAACATGAGTATTCAAAGGAAGAAATTAGCTAGAGGAACATGAGAATTCAGAAACAAAAGATGGTTATACACTTAATTAATCCATGGAAAATGTAATGGTTATACATCTAATTAATCCATGGAGTATGTAATTCACTTTATACGATTTCCAGGAAAAACCAAAATGAACAAGGATTTCAACACTTAATATATCCCTAAGGCCAAGCACATCACAGATTATGTCATTCAATACAAGATCTTTGGCATATTCTACAGTCATTACATAAGATCTCTAGTTGAAAAAAACTAAAAATGATGAACCTTCAAGGAATATTAAATTGATATCTTAATTAATTCTGTTAGAGGGCAGTATGAATGTTTTATCACGTTCCATTAATCATTCAATAAAAATTCAATCGTTGCTATTAACAACATAAGATTTCTTGTAAAAACGACGCATGGATGTTCAAATTCCATAATCTATGGAAAATGTCACTAATACGAGAATGTAAACTAATAAAATCCAGACATTAATAAAAGAAATCAACATAAAAGACGAGAAGGTAATACGCATATCGAAACATGCATCTAACAAGGGGGAGGGGAGTCACGGGCACAATGACGGAGAAACCTCTGTCCCCATTGTGACAATCACCAGCCTGGATCCTTAGACTCAAAGAAGAGACTCTCGAGCTCATCTTGGCCATGTCCACATCTCTCTCAAGAATGGTTCTATTTTCGAAGAACATCAATCGGTCCTCACATATCTTCAACTATCTTTATGGAGTAGATAATTCGGAAGGTGGTCTATGGATCGAGATGGATTTCCATTTAAAAATAATTTGGAATTTAAAATGTTTGTGTTTTTTTTTGTGCAAATGAAAATACATCATGTACTTTTAAAAGAAGTTTCCAATTCAACAAGAATACACTAACTTTTGTAGCAATTTGTCGATTAGTTTTGTTGACCTAAGATGAATATTGTAAATTGATCTTTTGGTCTAGTGTTTAATTTAGTATTTTGGAGATATTATGGTGATACATAAGTTAGTCGTAAATGTTGGCATTGCTAGTTTGCATTATTCTTCCGTGAAGCCGAGAATCTCGCTCAGATTTTCATATTGAAGTCACGCCTTTAGTTATGTCAAAATATTTGCTTTCAGTTTATTTGCTTAAACTAAAGGGTTTATTGGTGTGATTTCAAAATTAAATAAGATTTGAATTTTTTTTTAAATTAGAGTGATGATGGAGTTTAAAATATCAAGGTTTTAAAATATCACTAAACCAATAACACCAGATTATTTAGTATTTAGAAATTATTGAATAAAAAGGGATTTTGATATTAAAAAAAACATTAATCCAATAAAGAGGATTTTAACTTAAATTTGTAAATCCAACAAAATACATGAACCAATAAACCCCAGATTTTGATTTTTGGTTTTTGGTTACTTTTCCTGTTTGGTTCCGGTTTAATTCGGTTAAACCAAACACATTTGTAAATTTGTCTAAATCCACCGAATCACAAAATAAATATCATTTCAGAAATTCTCCCGGCGACTCTCAGCAAAAGAGTCAAGCTTTCCGCTTCAACAATGGCGGATCATCACCACCACCACAATCACAATCACCATCATCATCATCAACAGCACCGACCTCAACAGTCGGAAGAGCTTACCCTTCTTTCCCTTACACTCCGACTCCAACCCCTTCCAAAACCTTTTGCTATGGTCTCGCTCATGGTGAAAGAAAAAGCTTTTGCTTTAGCTAGGCACAACATATTGCATATACAAAAGAATCATATTTAAACACTAAATGTAAATTTGGATCGAAGATTTGTGAAAAAGGTATTTCACGTTATACAAATTCAAGTAATAAAAAATGGTAGGATCTTCAAAGGAATAAACTGTGTTGACCGATTGAGAGACATGAAGAAACAATATAGCACGAAATTAATGCACTAAAAACTGGCAAAAACTGTTGAATATGACTATAGTAGAAGGTCATGGAAGTTCTGTTAATGAGGTTCATGGAAAATGTCATGATTCAATTTAAATTTGTCCCTCACGGATAAGATATCAAGTCAAGTAACATGAGTAAATCAAAGGAATAATTAGACTGAGGAACATGAGAGTTTAGAAACAAAAGATATATGGTTACACACTTAATCCATGGAAAATGTAATCAATCAGTACAAAGTAACACTCCAGATTTGTAGAATAAGTAATTCAGTTTTTACGATTTCTAGGAAAAACCAAAATGAACAAGGATTTCAACACTTCAAATATCCCTTAGGCCAAGCACATCATAGATTATGTCATTGAATAACAAGATCGTTGGCATAATCTACATTCATTACATAAGATCTCTAGTAAAAAATAAACCTAAAAAACATGAACGTGTATATAAAGTTGATTATGAATCTCGTAAGTTAAAGTAAGCAAACCTCTAAATAATCCATAGAAAACATCATCAAATTAATTAATTATTTCTGTCAGAGGGCAGTATGAATGTTTTATCAGCATAAGATTTCTTGTAAAAAAGCATGAATGTTCAAATTCCATAACCCTTGGAAGATATCACTAATACTAATTCGATGGCAGATTTGTAGAATATGTCATTAACTGTAAAAAAAAAAAGCATGAACGTTCAAAAGAACATTGAAACAAATAAAAACCTTTATTCGCACCAAACTCTAGAAAATTAACGAGATAATCCAAGTAAACCAATCAAATCCAGACACTAATAAAGAAACCGAAACAAAATAAGAGAAGATAATACGTCGAAACATGCATCTACCATGATCATCACAAGCTAAGATCAATCGAAGAGGCTCATCATTCCACCGTCGTCTTCTGATTCCTCCTTCTCCTCTTCCTTCTTCTTAGTTTCAGCCGCCGCAGGCGCAGCCGCGGGAGCAGCTCCACCACCTACTCCGGCAGCAACCGCAACAGCAGGACCACCGGAAGATAGAGCCGCCATCTTCTCACGTCCAACCGCGATTAACTCAGTCACATCGTGATCTTTGATCAGAGAGAAGAACAGATCTATCTTCTCTTGGTCGATCTCTGCACCAACAGATTCCAAGATCTTCTTCAGATCAGCGACGGATAGCTTCTCATTGCCGCTGAGTTTGGCAAGAAGGTACGCCGCAACAACCTTCATTTTCTCTTTTAGTTTTTTGTCTGCAAAAAAAATGAAAGATGTCAATCGACTGCGACTAGGGTTTTCGTGAAATTTCGCTATTTAAGGAGAGATTAGGGTTTTCGGCACGTACCACAGAAAATCCTCACGTGGGCTACACGAAACCTTTCTATATTTGTTTATGGGCCCATGATTAAAAAAATACGGCCCATTTTAATCATTTTTTTTCTCTGGTCAAACATTTTTAAACTTTATTGTAACAAATGATCATCTCAAATAGCTAAGTAGCAAAAACATAAACACTAACAACAACAACAAGAACCTGGTTAATTTAACCTTGAAGAAGCTTTCAGTTAAACTATGTTACAAATACTATTTGATGGGATAGAACAATTAACTTCATAAGGCAAAGATATAAACGACTGTGAATTTAATCGATTTTTTTTTTCTGTCACATACATGCCATGTTAATACAATTATATTGAGCCACATAAAGGTTATATCGTCTCTGAAGTTGGCTTAAGATGGACTATTATTAGTTAAGCGAGCTTGTGAGATCCCCAATGGCTTGGTTGCACAAAAATTTACAAATCAAAACAAAGCAAAAGCTATTTGATGGGTCCTATATGTTATTTAAAGCTCTAACTCTCATTCTCTCTCATTGTCTACGTATACATATATCAAGACAAATAGACAATGCTTTCGCTTTTTCTGCTTCGTCTTTAGATAGGACCAATCAGAGATTTGTTCTCCAAGGTATATAAAACATGACCTAAGTGCTTGTTCTTTACCAAAGAACTCTCTCTCTCTCTCTCTCTCTCTCTCTCTCTCTCTCTCTCTCTCTCTCTCTCTCTCTCTCTCTCTCTCTCTCTCTCTCTCTCTCTCTCTCTCTCTCTCTCTATTTATTTATGTGACAGACACTTCAGAAATCACTATGAATCTTCTCCTCTGTTTGTGTCTTGGGGTTTGTTTGTATGTGTAACACTAACTTGTAGGACACACAATCGCAGAAAGAAGAAAAACTATGGGATCAATGAGAGGTCTTGTGTCTTTGGGTGTTATTGTGTTTCTTCTTTTAGCTATCCTACCATGCTCTGCATCAAGGGTTTTATCAACACAAAAGGTCAATTCTTTGCGGTTTCACGGTAAAATCACAATTCAAATTCACAAAACTGTGAATCCATTTAACGTGAGCAAGCGAAAAGTTCCTAATGGACCTGATCCTATTCATAACAGGTATTTCAACTGGTAAAGCCATTATTTTCCTCTTAAAGATCAATCCTTTAAAGAAATCTGTGTTGATAGTGGCTTATGAAGTGTTTTTATTCGAGCATAATTCTTATTTTTTTTGGCTTTTTGTAACATTTATTTTGTAATTCTTGTTTCTTCCATATATTCTTCATTGTATGTGAAGAATTGGCCTTCTGAAATGTCTTGAAACAGAAATTTTTTGGTTTTAGTTTTAAGTGAAAACTTATTACGAATTTTTTTTCTTTCTCTAATGCGTAGAAGAAAAAAGGCTGTCTTTAAAGAATTTGACCACTTTAGACTTTAGTTAAAGTTTCATTGCAAGGAAAAAAGAAGTTTGCTTTACTGAAAGGAGATTTTTCTGTTCTTTCAGGAGAGCAGAGACATCAAGACGATCACCACGAGTTCGATGAGACTGCAAGAGCGTATTAACAATAGAGTATAAACCGCCCAAATCGGTTGAGACTTCGTATCTTGGAGCTATCTTATGAGGAAAGCTATAAATGCTATGAAGTGAATCCATAGATACAATTTGGAGATTGTCATTTGATAAACAAGAAATTCTTGAGTTTAGATTTTGGAAGGTGGAACTGTGGAAGTCTTGTTTTCTATTTTAAATGCTACAATCTTGTCTAAGAACAGTGAAGATGAAGGTGAGGCAGAGAAGTATTTGTCATCTAATTTTTTTTCTATATTTTTTTTGTTAATATGCTTACCCCTTTTTAATGGAGAAAGTAATATGTTTATCTACTCTTTGCCTTTTCTTCCAGTTTGAATTTTGTTAAAGTGTGTTTTCACCAAGACAACCATTAATTAAAGTTTGTTCTCTTTTTTTTAAACATTTGTTGTTGTTGATAGGCTGATAGCATATTTAGCATGTGTCAGATCCTGTTCTTTTTATTTATTTCTTTTGTTTTATCGAATCAGCAATTTCAGAAAACAAGATAAATCATTTATTTATCCAATATGGAGTATATAATAATTTTCTAAAATTCATGTTCTGTTTTTGTTTTCGTTTGTGTGTGTGTGTGTGTGTCTAAGCTTTGGTAAAATCTTGATCTTTCTAACTAGGTGAAATGCAAAAAGGAGAGGCTCAAATGCTATATATATCTGAGATTCTTTAACTGAGTTTTGATTTGTTTTTACTGAATCGAGAAGCTATAGGTCATAAAGTAAAATTCTGCATCCTGTTTAATTGTTCTGCCTGAGACAGGACAGAGATTCCCATTTTCAGTGAAGACTGTTTTGTCCTCTTCCAAAACTACACAAAGAAATCTCTTAGCTCTTCCATAGACCCATGTTTTTAATTCTTAGTTCTATAATAACTTAATAAGCGTCTCTCTCTCTTCACAAGATTTAACAATTCTCTTGCTTCAGAGTAGAAATAAAAGATAATTCAAATCAAACAATCAAACAATATGAACACATATATGTACTCTATATTTTAAAACCAAAGCTGTTTAACATTCTTCTTTAGAAAGCAATGTAGAGCGGTGCAAGTCTTTGTCAATTATTCAATCTTTAGGATAACTGTAGTAAAATGATTCTCATTTCTCATTTTATATGGTATCCGAGTCAAAAACATGTTTGCTTCACACGTTTAGATTAATGTCACTGCTGACAGGTTCGGCTTATTACAGTGTCAGTGTATTCTTCGTTTAGTGTAGCTGTTTATTTATTATTCTTCCTCAATTTCCAAACACAAAGGAACAATTTTGTTTTTTTTACTTTCTTTTGGCTAGGAAAAATCAGACAGAGATTTCTAAACACAGTTGAGCTTCTTATCGTACCCCGATCATCCAACTATGATGTTGATTCCCCCATCAAAGTATACTACAGAGTTTACAGACAGCCGAAACGAGATCATATTATCTGGGTATTTGACATTAAACCGAGTTATTTCAGTACCCTCGTTAAGGGCTGAGCCCAAATATTTGTTCTATTGGGCCTTGACTTCTTTATAGTTATCACGGCCAAACTTATTTTAGTGTGTTATTGGACAACTAATTTGAAATTGTACCTTCAAATCTGTTATTATTGGATTTTTATTTACTTCAAGATGTATTGTTTGAGATATATTTTTAAATAAAAAATATTCAAATCTCATGGGTTTAAATGAGATTGTAGAAATTTTAAATCAGTTGTCTAGTGTAAAAGAGCCTTTTGGTTTTAGCTTGATTATCCCACATGTTTAGTTATTGGGGATCATAGCACATAAGTAATAGAATAATGAAGAAGATTATCTGAGATTTAGGTTGAAGAAATCATCGAAAACAACAAATAGAGACAAATGTGCTTTCAATTGGCATAATAGAACAATACGTTGTCTATCAATTTAATATTTCTCTTTGAACAATTGGAAAAATAGTTAGTGTTATTGAACAACTGATTTGAAATATTATTATTGAAATTTAAACATTGAATTTTTAGCGAATTCAAGTTATTTTGTTTGATATTTTAACTGAGATTGTAGAAAATATCAAAATCTCATGGTTTTAAAAGAGATTATAAAAAATTTGAATAACAAATCATGATAATTTTTCTTATTCATCCAAAATCAGCTTCAAACTCATTAAAATTCAAATCCTTCGAAATATTTGGTTCTTTATACCTATGTTATTTTAGTTCACCATTCTAAAATTGTAAATCTAACTAACATTTGGTTATATAAAAATGCTAAAAAAATGCTCAAAAATGCCTTAAAATGTATGAAAAAAACAAAATTTCACTAACTTTTTATTTGTTTTTCTTCTAATTTTAGCTGGATTTTTGTCTTGTGAAGATATCTCATTCAAGCCTCTAACCAGTCCATCAAATAATAATCCAAAATCACATAGCTTAGGCATTTATGTGATGTATTTTAAACTTTGCAATTTCTGTTCAGCATGATCAAAACAAAGTTTCACAATACCGAGAGAACTCATGCTCAAGTAAAGTAATGTTTAACAAAACAATTGAAATAAACATAAAAACAAATATTAATTAATTCGTCACAAGTCATTATGATGACAATTTCTAAGAAATTTCCAAAATAAAAGAAAATAGCAAAATGGTCGGCACAACTAAAGTAAAGACTTCATATTCCATTATCAAGAGAGACGACGAGACCCAGAAAAATAAAGTCCAACACGTTCAAAGAAGCACAACGTGTTGAGCGAAAGACGAAATTGCCTATAGAAAAACATATAACATTTTGTATTTATTTGAAAAGTTAGTCGATTATAAGTTTTAACTTGTAACTTTTGGTAGAGTTGATGAAATTCACCAAGTAATTGGTTCCACAAGGCAAAGAAAAGCAGATATGTTAGCGAATGGGATGAAGAAAATTGCTTATAGAGTATCAACGTTTTGTATATTAACGGTTAGGATTTTGTCACAACTTTTTAAGCGAATCCAAACCGTTCATTTTGAGTAGATAAATGGGAAAGCATTTGAACAGTCTAGATTGAGTAGTTGTGGCTTCTTAATATATGTGACTAGGTCTCATCCATATAAGCAACAGGTTTAAACTTTTTAGTATATTTTTTTTGGTAAATTAAACTTTTTAGTATATTAGGATTATAAAAAGGTGACTGATGGCTATAATATCACTATTAAAAAGACCAAACTTCCGTCATAAGGAGAAACTTTTAACTACGTAAGACTTATATAATAGTACTATATACTAAAAGACCAGCTTCATTTGCTATAAATATGAGTCCTAGGACCTTTGACACAAACCAAAAACACACAAAGACACAAAAAGAAAGTAAGAAAAGATTGTTCTTGGTATATAACGATGATGATGATGGGAGATACATTTGGAAGTATAGGAAGTTTGTTCTTCATCTATGCAACTATTCAACAAATCTTCCCAAACCATTTGAAGATGGCAATCAAAGAGTTTCTCTTGTCTTCATTCCACCAACTCTGTTTTGCTCAAAGAGTTTCTGACTATTTCACCAACTTGTTCTCTCCTTATGTTGAGATCAACTTCCCGGAGAGCGATGAGTACCGTCTCAACCACGCTTTCTCAGCCATCGAGACCTACCTTGGGTCAAAAGCAACCGATAAATCCAAACACCTCAAAGGAAGCCAAGTGAAGGAAAGCAAAGGTTTGGTCTTGAAACGAGACGAGGTTAAAGTCAGAGACGAATACAAAGGAGCTCATATCTGGTGGGAGATTGTGACTAGTGCTGATGGAGAAAGATCTTACAAGCTCACGTTTCACAACCGCGCAAGGAGTCTCATAACCGATTCATACGTACCATATGTGGTTGAAGAAGGAAAATGTATTGAAGCCAAGAAAAAGCAGACGAAGCTCTTCACTAATAACCCTAGTTCTCAATGGGTTTTTAGCCATAACATGTGGAGATCTATTGAGTTCGAGCATCCGGCGAGTTTTGAGACACTAGCCATGGATCCAGAGAAGAAAGAAGAGATCATGAACGATCTTGTAGCCTTCAGAAATGGGAAAGATTATTACAAGAAGATCGGGAAAGCTTGGAAGAGAGGTTACTTGCTGTATGGGCCACCAGGAACCGGTAAGTCCACCATGATCTCAGCTATGGCTAATTTTTTGAACTACAACATCTATGATCTCGAACTCACGGCTATAAAGAACAACTCGGAGTTGAGGAAACTGCTCACAGCAACAGCGAGCAAGTCCATTGTTGTGATTGAAGACATAGATTGTTCTGTAGATCTCACTGGTAACAGAATCAAGAAGGACAGGAACTCAATGGAAAAGAATGGAGAACAAGATAAAGATGAAAACACGGTCACACTCTCTGGCCTTCTCAACTTCATTGATGGTATTTGGTCTGCTTGTGGGCAAGAAAGGATTGTTGTGTTCACAACAAACCATTTGGATAAACTTGACCCGGCTTTGATTAGGAGAGGAAGAATGGATATGCATATTGAGTTGTCTTACTGCACTTACGAAGCCTTCAAGATTCTTGCCAAGAATTACCTGGATCTTGATGACCATGATGATCATCCTCTGTTTAGAAAAATCAAGTCTTTGTTGAAGGAGACAAAGATTTCTCCAGCTGATGTAGCAGAGAACTTGATGGCAAGAAACCATCAAATAGACGTTGATGGATCCCTGAACAATCTGATCAAAGCTCTGGAGAAAAGGAACAACAGTCAGAGAAGCCAACATGAGAGGAAAAACAACAAATTTAGAATATTTGGTTGATGATCTTATTTGATAAGCTTTAAAATGCTTATGCTGTTTCACTTTTACTTGTGATTTCACTAAGTTTGCAATGCTTTCGTTTTAATGTTGTATGCCTTCTCTAAGAATAAAAGAACATAAACGTTAAGAAGATGCAACTTTGTGAATTTAGAAGTAAACTGTACAAAAGTTGAAGAGAAGAGAAGAGAAGTAAAACACTTGAAAAATCTCAAAATTCCAATCTGTGAAAAATGTGAGAACTACAACAATACCTCAAGGCATATTCTGTTACACAGATGCTTCCAAAAGCCATAGCCTAATCTGTTCAGTATCTTCTTCACTTAGACTCTTGACTAAAAGAGAGATACTATCAGATTCTAAAATCACCTCTAATCCCAATAATGAAGGCTGCTGCTAGATTCAATCTCTCTGATGTTCTGCAATGTGATTCACTAGAATTTACTTGCACTGTTTTGGTCGGAAATTCTCTGTAGATAACAGCCAAGTAACCAGTTTCTCAAGCCGTTTTGCGCCTGGACCAGGTCTGATGACATCGGTGTTACCAATAACATCACAAGGGTCAGTCCCATTCTCATGGCTTCCAATGCACCAACCACCAGGTGTAACCATGCCAGGACCTCGGTCAAGAAGCTCATCGTCGATCTTGTCAAGAACAGGATCTTCTCTTCTGAACTTTCTTGCAAACGGTGCGTTGCTATCGACCATTTTAGTCATGTCCCCAAGAGTGAGATGGTGTGGATGCTGCTTAGGCGGATTGTCCCACGATATGTAGTGCAAGTCGCTGTTTACTGTCGTGTTTCTGAACTCATCAGCGTTGCAGAGCACGGTGTGGAAATATCCTTCAGGAGATGAGAGGAAATTCGAGTAGTACATTAACACAGTACGAGGTAGATTGTCCCAACCCCATATACAATAGTCCACGAAAGGCCTAGATAACGCCATCCAAGCAGAGCCTGTTTCCAAGAATCACACTGTTAGTTTAATGGCAAACAACACACAACACACTCAACTTTTCAAGAACATGTGCAGACATTTTCTCAGTAACGGTTCTGAATTTGATGCAAGTTTTGCCTAGCAATGTAAAGCATAATGATTCAGTGTTGTTCAACCAATGAGAAATGGAGCATTTCTGAAAAAGAACCAGCCGAACTAACCAGCTATGCAACATAAAGACAATCAATCAAGTCTGAAAAATTCTCAGAGATGAGAATGATTTGTCTAACAATCTATAAGCTTAATGATTCAGTGTTGTTCAACCTATTAGAAATGGATAAAATCATAGCAAAATCCCACTCCAAACTAAAGAGCTAAGCAACAAAGTCCATGACTTGCTCATAGATTACTATAATCTATTGGACTGAGTAGGTTTAAGAGGGATCAAAGCACCTGTGAAGAGCTTGAATGCTGTTGGGATGCTTCGTCTTTGAGTAACCCAAAAAACATCAGATTTCTTGTTCAGATACAGTCCAGGATCTATAATTACCGGTTTTGCTCTTTGTGATCTGAAAGAAAACAACTCCAAAATCTGAGCTTTTACTATATGAAACAAAAGATAACAAAAACAAAAAAAACAAAACTTTTGTTCTCTTACGCTTTCCATCCAATGTTACTAGTATGATCAATGAAGTTCAAATCCCGCGGCAAATGCGAGAATATATGCAACAAATCTGGTACACAAAACACAGAACAACAAAAAAGGTCAAATCTTTATGTACAGTATAATCATAACAAAAAGTTTCAATTTGTAAGTGAACAAAATTTCTCAGAAATCTCACCGTCTTGAGTCATTAGAGGATAATCAGAGGAGCTGAGATTGATGAACCAATCCCAATCAGCTCCTTCTCTGAGCAAAATCGCCGCCGCGTGAAGCGTGTTCGCAACCATGGTAGGTCCACGATACGTGACGAGATTAGCTTTCTCAATCATATGAACATTCCCGAATCTCCTAAACAGAGACGAGTTTCGAATGTATCCATGGAGATCCTCTCTCTCCTCCGGCGAAGACTCTCTGTCCAGATGAACAACGTACCGGTTATTCGGATGGTAGAGCGCCAAAAGAGTTCGCCGGAGAGACTTCCCGTCGCCGGCGGATCCGGAAATCAAGTAAGCGAATCGGGGCAGAGCAGGGAGGGAAGAGACAGGTTTGGGTTTGATCTTCGATTCGACGAACGCCGACGATTCAGATCCGGATAGCAAAACGGGTCGGGTAAAAGGGAGGAATCGAGCTCCGTTTGGTGAAGTTAGCGTCGTGAGGAACAGTAGGAAGAGAGCGAAGATTGAGCCAATCACAATAGGGAAACAAATCCATTTCCTCTCTGCTGCAACAGCAGCATTATGATGATGATGGTGATGTCTCGCATTTGAGTAATAGCTTCTCAATTTCTTCATCGGAATGAAACGAATCGAATCTCTAAACACAAGAATCGAAAAACCCTTTTAAGGTTCGGTCAATTCAAAGTTGACGCATTTTTTCACTATTTCTGGGATTTTGAGGAAACGTTACAAAAACCCCATTTTTGTAATAAAAACTGAAACTTTGGAGAGATGGAGGAGAATCCAAACTGAAACTTTGAGAAAATTTGCAATTAGGGTCTTTGTTTTGAAGGGGAAATTTATGATTTATGATTTCTGATGGATGAGGGAGGGAGGGAGAAGAAATAAATTTAAGTAGAGAAGAAGAAGAGATTTGATGAAGTGAACAAGGGAGAGGAGGACAAAGACAGAAAGTGAGGATATGGTAATAACAAAAGCAGTAAGATTTACTACTGGTCAAGCGCATTAAAATCAGATCAGATCTTAAATGGAAAAATTAAAATAAAATCTGGAATCTAGGTGATGGGCCACTAAAAAGCCCATATCTTTGGAACGTATAAGTCAACGATTAACTTTAATGGTTAAAAGTAGGTAGTAAACAAATACATTAACCTAGACGTGTTTGTCTGATTTAGGCTTGTCCATTTCTGATTAATAATGAACTATAGTACAAGTAAATCAGATATATATAAAATATTAGGTCGAATAGGTGGAATTTTCATTAGATTCTTTAAAATAAATTATTCAGACCAAACCGATAATCACAATATCTTTATCCAAATAATTTTGGTAATTAGAATTTGGTGTGTGGATAAGGTTGGATGATCCGACCTAAAATGCACTTCTCTAATACTTAATCCGGAAGTTAATTCAGTATGGAATTTGAATTTAGTCATAATATTTTATTTTCATTTTTTAATAGTTACCAAACTACATATCAATATAGTATATGTACCGGTTTGGTGTTGCTATTTCACCAATTCACCATTATATTAAGACTTTATAGACCGGTTTGGTACAGTTTTGCTTTCAAAATGTTATTTGCCTCCAGCTTATTTCACATTAGGTAGCTAACAAGCATGCATTTGGATAATCGTATATCAACAAATTAAAATCATCAACAAGTGTAAAAATGAAGATGAACATTGTTTACTCAAAGATGACACAAGAATCATACACACATACCACATGTTTCATCTAGAACGGCTTCAAAATCCCTCTTTCTCTCATCCGATTCATGACTCTCGAAGCATCATTCAGTTTATCAGCTCTCTCATACAAAGCCGCCACAACCAAATGCAACTCCTTGTTATTAACATTAGCATCAGAGTCCAATCTCTCAAACAACGACTCAACCATCTCGAAATCTCTCTTCGACGAATACAAACTCAGCATCTGGAAATGAACTTCATCAGGATAAACACACCCTTCCTCTTGCATCTCTCTGTAAACCGTATCAGCCTTCTCAAACTCTCTCTGCTTCCCATACGCATTCAACACCAAAGCAATCGCGTTCGAATCCGGGAAATAGCCAGCGCTTCTCATCTTCTCAAAGACTTCGATCACATTCACATACCTCTGGTTTCTCGAGTAAAGATTGATCATACAACCAAACACAGATATGTCTTTCACCTCCCCTGCTTCAAAACCTTGCCGGAAAACCCACGTGGCCTCCTCCATCCTCCCGGCTTTCGCAAGAATCGTGATCGCAGTCTCGCGAGGGATATTGTCAGGACGCTTTAGCTCTTGAAGCAGACGCTTAGCGTGACCCATTAGACCAACTCTTTCATAAGCAACAATCATAGTCTGATACAGAACCTGATCAATCTCCACACCAGACCTCCTGAGCTTCTGAAACAACATCGCAGCTCGGTCCAACTTCCCAGCTTTCCCCCATATCGATATGATCGTCGAGTAGGTAATAGCGTTAGGCTCTATCCCTCTGCTCTGCATCTCCTGAACAAGATTCGTCGCCTTCTCATGCTCAAGCGTCTTCCCATAGATCTTAACCATAGTGTTGTAAGTCACAACGTTCTGCTCAATCTCTTTCCTCTGCATCAACCTGAAGAGATGAATCGCTTCGCCGAACAGCTCAGCTTCACCGTAGACACGGAGGATAGTGTTGTAGCTAACAACGTTCGGCTCGATCTCCATCTTCCTCATGCTCCAAAACAACCTATCAGCTTCTTTCACCATGTCAAGCTGACCATAAACATCGATCATGATGTTGCAAGTGGTGAGATCCAAAGAGCAGTTCACTTCTTTCATCTCTGCGAAAACAGATAAAGCTTCAAGAAACTTCTGGTTCTCAACGTAAACACTCAACAGAGTCGAGTAACTAACTGTGTTAGGCTCTACACCAGCTTCCTCCTTCATCTCCTTTATAAGCAAACGAGCCTCTCTGAACAATTTCGCCTTTCCATAGACATTGATCATCGAGTTATACGCGACGAGATCAGGCGTGATTCCGGACTTCTTCAACCTCGAGAAGATGGAGATCGCTTTAGAGTAATCACAGAGCCTCCTAGAGAGCTCAATGAGGTTGCTATAGAGAACAAGATCACCTGAAACACGGTCTTGCTCCATCTTCTGAAGCCAAGAGAGAGCAGAATCGAACATTCCTTCTTTACCAAACGAAGTGATTAGAGTCGAATAAGTGAACCTATCGGGTGCAAGAGCTCTATGACACATTTCGTCGAACAGTCCGTGTGCAATCTCGAATTGCTTTGCTCTGAGGACGTTTCGGAGAGCGACGTTGTAGGCGAACACGGAAGGTGTGTATTTGGCTTCGTCGTGGACCCAATCGAGCAATGCTAATGATCTCTGCCAGTCGTTTTCTCGGGAGAGAAGCGAGACCATGAACCGGATTGACAATTGTCTGTCTTTGTAAAGAGAAAGCAGAGTAAAAAGCTCGTCTTCGTTCTGGGTTTGGTGAATTGAAGCTAGAAGGTCGTCCATGTCGACTTTGTGATCGAGAAAGGTAGATCTTTGGTACCTCCGGTGGTTCCTCGACGGTGTTGATTTCTCCGGTTGTTTTCTCCATACGTTTTTGGTTTGTGTGGATGGTGATGGTGAAGAAGGAGTAAAGGCAGAGACTTTGAAGATGGGATTGCGTTGTGTTGATTTAGGGATGGTGAAGAAGGGTATGGAGGTGTAAATATGAGGTCTGGTGAAGGGTAATGATGGAAGAGAAGGAGAAGGAGAAGAAGAAGATGAGCCAACAATGTTTATGTACATTTTCATAAACAATCTTTCGAAAAAGCGAACATTATTTTTTATGTAACCGGAAGGCCTCGAACGACGTCGTATTGTGTTTACCGCGACGACCGTTATATTTACTTTGTCGACTTCGTTTTTTCCCTCGCTTTTTTACCGCCAGCTCTAATAATTATATAGACCTAACTTATTCGTAATCACACTTTAAATTTTATAAACTTATTATGCTCTTAGTTGCATTGTTTCATTTGCTAATTTTTGTTTTTGTTTTTCGTTTATGTTTTACATATAAGAAAAAAAGATTCGTACATTAGAGTAACCCTCTTTCTAGGAGAGTGGCTTTCATAGCTTTGAGAGAGTCCTCCATTTCATCACAAAGCTTGTGAGGATTGGGTATGGCCGTAGAATCGACACCTATCGAGATTATCATCTTTCCCGCATAACTTAGGAAATGTATTGTTAATGCCTAAAAACACAAAGAGAATATATGAGAAGATTAAGAAAAGAAGAAGGATAAAAAGAATTTGTTACTTGTTAGTAAGCACTACAACGAGAAAATACGTACATGAGAGTGTCCATATGTACTTGGAGCGATGAAAGCAATGGGGTTGCCATGGAAATTGATTTCTTCCACGGGACCAATAATGTTGGAAATGAATGTCGTCGTGTTCGAAAAAATCCGTTTGCCTAATATTTCACATACCTATACAAATGACACAAGGTCTAATTATATTTGCAAATTCATCACAATAAATTTGAGTTCAGTTGATCAATTCATATACCTTTGTTCCGAAAGTATTGTAGAAGAGTTGTGTACTTGAATATGTCCAAGTAGCTAGAAGTGAGTGTTTTTTCCGATCCATATTTGATTTAGCCTTTGTTAGATACACCAACGGATCAGTCTCTAAACCGATGGATAAAGGAAAACAAATAGAGCTGAAGTGGTTTCCCCATCTGCATTTAGAATCCTTGGCCATCATATCTGCCAATGGCTACGTACATGTGTTTTTTTCATGTCACAATAAGTTTGTGTTTCTTTCTATATTTGGACATGATGTTTAGTTAAAATTTAAATATAATCGTGTAGGTTTCTAACCTGAATTCCAATGTTTGACCTTAAGTTTACGAGGACACCAGCGGTAAGACGTATTTTTCCAGGAAAGTTGTTGAGATAGCGTGAAAGAGCAGCTTGTGTAACTCCGAGCAGGACATCGTTGATAGTCTATAATGACGAACACGAGAAGAAGAAATAATAGTTATCAATTAGCTTAATCAATAGAAACCCTTTGTAAAAATAAAATAAAAGAGAAGAAGAAAAAGAGAAACCCTAAAATGATTAGCTTACCAAGACGATTAATTCGAGAAAAGGTACAATGTTATTTTGGATGAATAAATTTAATATAACAAAGTTTTCTGAATGAATAAATTTTACGTTATTCGAAAAAAATAAAAACGTACCATGTTCATAACTTCCTTTATAAGTTTTAAGTCATCCAATGAGACAATCCGGTGACAAAATTTCTTCGGATTACTCTCGACACCCACACCAGCTTTTAGAGGCGTCTTTGTATCCTTTAAGAACAGAGGAATTGCCGAGACCAGAAAAAGATCCACGAAAGTGTTCCAAATCAATCTCACTGATGAAGAAGCCGCTAGTACCAACCTCAAGAACCATGGGATCTTGTCTTTATGCACTGTTTTACGCCGTTTAAGAACATTAACAGGCGAAACTGTGTCGTGGTTTGGTGTCTTTTGAGTGCATGCGACTAGGAGAGACATAAGGGATGTTCCGTCTCCTAATGAATGGTGAGATCTTACTACACAAACCGCTTCTGCATCAGATGTATTGACGTTGAGGATGTGAATGTCCCACAAAGGCTTTGATTTATCGAGAGGAAACATCGTAAGACGTGAAATGTAGTCCTTAACGAGACTTTCTCCATCTTCCTGGATCTTCTCTAAGTCTATATCTACTACAAACACATGGTCTTCTACGTTGACGTGGGTCTTAATCCAACTTGAACCATCATTAGACTGTGAAAGTAGAGATTAAACGCTAAAAAAAAAGTTAAAGACTAAACACTAAGTCAAATTTGTACAATATGTGTCCTTTACCAATTTGCTGGAGAAACGAGGATGCTTGGAAACATTTTGCTTCAAGCTACTTATAACGACGTCAGCTTTAATCTTGGTTTTGCAACCGATCATGGTGATGACACAACAGTTGTTGCCAGGCGATTGGAACAAACGCGCCACCGGGCTGAGCGGTTCTCCGTCTTCGTCCCCCGTCTCTTTCTTCATCTTCTTTTTCTTACGCAATTTTTGCTGTCTATATAATTTATCTCCCACTTTCCAATGTGTTTTCATATGTATTAAGCTCATATTGTAGAACCACAATTCTAACGATACTGAACAATACTTTTATATATATAATTATAAAAAAAAATTAGAATCAAAATTACTATAACTGATACCAATATCAGGTGTTTCAATTTGATGCAATCAGAATCCCAAGATACAAAACTACTGTTCCGCAACACTAGAGAATAGAAGCTAACGAACTTAGAATCTATGTTGTTCCCTCAAACACAAAATAAAACAGAAGAAAGAAACGTGCGAGGGATGTTTAGTTTTTTGTAAACTTATATATATATATATATATATATATATATATATATATATATATATGTGAATGAGGAATTTACGAGCCTTTTTATAAAGTCTCACAATGTTGCCCAGTATATCCAGAGAGATGTGGAGGTTACGTTATTCACAACATTGATTGAATAAATGAGACAATCAATATGAATTAAAATGCTTGGTTGGCCAGCAATTCAAAAGCTAACGTGAACCCAAACATATACATATGTGTCAAATACATAATAATAAAAATTTGGAACACAAAATGGAGTTACGGGTCGTTTCCATTTACCACATTTGACGCATGTAACACGAGTCCAACAATATCTAAAGTTCTTGTTATGAGTTTATCATTTTATATACAAGCTAATTTCACATATGTTACTAATGTATGATATCTCATAAATGTTACATTTTACAATCAACCTACTTTAATTTGGACCTCTATTTTTTTCATTTAAATCAACTTTGTTTTTGACATATAAATACACTAATACATATTGCGCTCTGCGACAATTTAATCATGGCTTAAACCCAATCATTCCAGTTAATATGTTCACCGGAAAATGGTATTAAACCATTTGTCGAAAACGAACTCCAACATTGTAACGTCAGAAGCCTGCCTCACGAGAGAAACTATTCATAGATTATAACGTCACGTAATGATCGATCTGTTACGTAAAGCAATATAACATAAATGGATATAAACTCTTTGTGTGTCATACGACGTTTGACGATTTGTTATTTATACGGGCATGAACGGAAACGTAGGCGTGGCTTTATATATACAAGGAGATAATTAGGTATAAACCAGCAATGAGGAGGATTTAGTTAGATAACCGTATGAATATATAAAAATTCCTTCTCATTTATTTAAATACCATGTAGTAAAATTTCACGTGTTTGTTACGTTGTTGTAGTTTTATGTATTAGTAAACGTTGGAGTAACATTTTTGTTGATTAGCAAAAGAACAAGAAAAAAGAAAAACAAACAAACAAAATTTAGCAACAAAAAAAAAGAAAAACAAATTTTGCTGATTACTATACCGCGGTACCGCCAGCTGGGTCAACCATATTTCTTTTTTTGCTTTTCTTATAGAGAAGAATGAAAACTGGAACTGTCGTTCCTACAAAACAAGAAGCAAATGGGAAAAATGGAAATAGCACGTGGCTTACTCTGAAACTACAAACCAGGTCAGAGACGAGAAAGTATTGTTTGCGATTAAACAAAAACATAGAAGGATCGAAAAGATGATAATCCCATTCCGTATACAAAAATCATACATTAGAGTAACCCTCTCTCTAGGAGAGTGGCTTTCATAGCTTTCAGAGTGTCCTCCATTTCATCACAAAGCTTGTGAGGATTTGGCACGGCCGTAGGATCGACACCTATCGAGATTACCATCTTTTCCGCATAACTTAGGAAATGTATTGTTAATGCCTAAAAGAAAAGAGAGAATAGTATATATATATGAGAAGAGAAAGAGATGAATAAGAGGTTATCAATAAGTAATAAGTTGTTTTATATCATTTTCCCCTTATTGTAACATACATGAGAGTGTCCATAGGCACTTGGAGCGATGTAAGCAATGGGGTTGCCTTGGAAATTGATTTCTTCCACGGGACCAATAATGTTTGAAATGAGTGTCGTCGTGTTCGCAAAAAGTCGTTTGGCTAATATCGCACTTACCTACAAATTAATGACAAAAAGTATTGTAGTTAAATTCCTAGCAACAATTTTGAGTTTAATTGATCAATTCATATACCTTGTCTCCGAAGAAGGTATTGTAGACGAGTTTTGAACTTGAATATACCAAAGCAGCTACAAGTGAGTGTTTTTTCCGATCCATATTTGATTTAGCCTTTGTTAGATACACCAATGGATCAGTCTCTAAACCAATAGATAGCGGAAGATAAATAGAGCTGAAGTAGTTTCCCCATCTGCATTTAGAATCCTTGGCCATCATATCTACCAATGGCTTCAAAAATATTGTTGCCTTGTGTCACAATCAATTTGTTTCTTTCTAAATTTGGACATTTAAATATAATTGTACAAGTTTCTAACCTGAATTCCAATGTCTGACCTTAAGTTTACTAAAACACCTGCCGTAAGTCGTATTCTTCCAGGAAAATTGCTAAGATAGCGCGAAAGAGCAGCTTGTGTAACTCCAAGTAGAACATCGTTGATAGTCTACAGTGAAGATAAACACAAGAAGATAAATAATGTTGGCAAAAAAAAGTTATTGATTAGCTTATAATATGGTATCGATATCAACTCGAAAACGTACCATGTTCATTACTTCCTTTATAAGTTTTATGTCTTCCAATGAGACAATACGGTGACTAAATTTCCTTTGATTATTATTTTCGACACCAACATCGCCTTTAAGAGGCGTCTTTGTATCTTTCAAGAACAGAGCAATTGCCAAGACTAGCAAAAGATCCACAAAAGTGTTCCAAATCAATTTCACTGATAGAAAAACCGTTAGTACCGATCTTAAGAGCCATGGGATTTTGTCTTTATGCACCGTTTTACGCCGTTTAAGAACAGGAACAGTAGAAGAAATTGTGTCATGGTGTGATGTTTTCCGAGTACATGCGACTAGGAGAGACATTAGAGATGTTCCGTCTCCTAATGAATGGTGTGATCTTATTACACAAACCGCTTCTGCATCAGATGTTTTGATGTTGACGATATGCATGTCCCATAAAGGTCTTGATTTATCAAGAGGAAGCATCGTTAGACGTGAAACGTAGTCTTCAACAAAACTTTCTCCATCTTCTCCAATCTCCTTTAAGTCTGTATCTACTACAAACACATGGTCTTCTATGTTGACTTGGGTCTTAATCCAACTTGAACCATCATTAGACTATAAAAAATTGGAGATGAGACACTAAGTTAAATCCTGATAGTTAACAAAAAAAAGGTTAAATCCTGATACTAGATTTTGTATATAGCAGAACAATTATTAAGTGTTTGTTACCAATTTGGTAGAGAAGCGAGGATGCTTGGAAACATTCTTGTTCAAGCCACTTAGAATGACATCAGCATCGATCTTATTTTTGCAACCGATCATGGTGATGACGCAGCAGTCGTTGCCCGGCAATTGGAGCACACGCGCCATCGGGCTGAGCGGTTCTCCATCTTCATCGTCCACCGACGACATCTTTCTTTCTTCTTCTGCTTCTCCTTACGCAATGTTTTAGCTGTTTATATAATTCACGTCTCACTTTCCAAAGTGTTTCAGAATTTTTTTTTTTTTTTTTTTTTTTTTTTTTTTTTTTTTTAATGTAGTAACTAACATACGTCAAAAGTCTGTCTCACGAGACTACTATTCATAGATTGTAACGTGACGCACGTAACGATCTGTGACGCTAAGCAATATATTAATGAGTTGATATAAAATTTTGTGTAATCTTTGTGTGTCAGACATGAAATGGGCTTCGATTGATGAAAAATGTAGGTGGCTAGGTGTGGCATTACTTATGTGTTGCTTCCTCCGCATTATCTATCCACTTCAAACAAAAATACAAACTTGTTGATGCATTTTGTAGACCGAATTGTTCTTTAATTTATTCATATAATATTTTTTGGAAAAACCATATAAGTTTTGTAGTATTTTGGAAAAAAAAGTTTGTGTTATTTTTGAAAATTATATTTTCTGGTATTTTGGAAAAAAGTAAGTTTTGTGGTATTTTTGGAAAAATAAAGTTTGTGGTATTTTTGGAAATATATGTTTTGTGGTATTTTTGGAAAATAAAACTTGTGTCATTTTTCAATGTTATATAAGAATATATGTAGAGTTCTAGCAATGTTTGTAAATTTTGTCTTTCAAAATGAGAGAAAAATGTTGTGAATCTTTTTCTTTAATAAAATCGTTGAAAAGTTTGACTAGCAAGTTTAGTGAATGGTAATTTTGGGAAAAAAAATGCTAGGAAAGTTACTATTTCAGCAATTCCTAATGCATGCAATGCCACTATCTGATTCGTATTTCTCCCTCAATTGTTGGTTTCACTCGACATCCTTTGTCTCAATAGAATTAGTTTTCAAACATTTTTGCTTCTGTTTTGTATACGGATCTTTAAACATGTTCATATTAGTTACCTAACAACCAAAAGAGAACACCAAACTAAAATGTTAATAACAAGAACACTAATATTGTATAGTTGTTTAGACGATGATGGAGACGGCGGAGAACTATCAGGCTGTTGCGAAGGAGCTACTGACGTTATGGTCTCAAGAGGGCAATGGACGTTACAACGGCTCGGACGAACGATTCTGTAAAGACCAGTGCTTGCAAGCAAATATATGTCTTTCTTGTTGTCTTCTCCAAAAGAGAACACAAAGCCAAGTACTGGAGATGATGAAGAAGAAGAAGGCTCCGTTCCAGATGAGCAAGAGATTGGCGAATCCGAGGCGCATTGTAACGGAATTAGAGAGCTCGTGAAGTTTCCGCTACCTACTGGAGTTTCAGCTCCACCCCAAATTATTCCAGCGTATAAGTCTGCATAGAGGTACCTAACGTAACAAACAAACAAAACAAACGTAAGCAAAAACAGAGGAATGGTTCTTGTTTTACTATATAAGGAGAAGATGAATGAGCAAAAACATACGTTCCATACAAGCATGGATCAGTGGAGGAACGATAAAAGTATCCACCAGTTATTGATGCTGATCCTTCTTTCTGGTTTATGTCAGAATGATTATACCACATTACCGGAAAAATCGGATTTTTGATCTTTGTTGAGTTACTTATTTTAGAAGAACTTGGCGGATTAAAAGGTAAAGGTCCTTCATAGTAATGCCAACCATAGTTTCCTCCCTTTGTGATCATATCTACTTCTTCATATTTGTCCTACAAACTCAAGACTCATAAATAATATGGAAAAAAAAATGAAAATGTTGGTCTCAACTTTGGTAAATATATATACCTCGCCAACATCTGCACATAGGAAATAAGATGGCCTCTCTGAATCAAAACTGCATCTCCACGGATTTCTAACTCCCATGGCCCATATTTCAGGCAGCAGATTATTGTCTTGAGAGTATGGATTGTCTTTTGGTATAGAGTAGTTTCCCCATAGTTGAAACCCACTCATTGCTTTTGCATCTGAAAACAAGAAAAAACAAAAAATGGATGAGAAAACAAGAACCAAATTTGATATGTTGTGTAACATAATATATTACCAGGAACATTATCCACATCAAGTCTCATGATCTTCCCTAGCAAGGATTTCTTGTTCTGTGAAAAGTTGTGTGGATCTCCTTTACTTCCTCCATCTCCCATCATGAAATACAAGTAACCATCTTTGGGTCCGAACAAGATTTGTCCACCGTGATGGGATGTAAAAGGAAGACCCATTGTAAAGATTCTCCTGACCTCCACCGGTTTAACATAAGTCCCTAAAACATGTAAATAACGTCTCATCAGAAAAACATATCAATAAGAAGCGTCACTCGATCCTATGACATTTACATGAGATATGTTGCGTACCATTGGTAAAGAATTCTGAAATGACACTGTGGTATTGACAAGGGTTGGCTCCATTGTCAGAATCTAGCTTTTCAGGGTCACAATCAACATCTGAGTTGCACGCGCATCTGCCAGAACATTCAGGCCACTTAACTCTATCGCAGTTGAAAGAAACGAAGAATCTACCGTTTTTCAAGAACTCAGGATGGAAAGCTATTCCTAGAAGACCAAGCTCAGCATCATAATGCACTTCTTTAGTAAGATCAAGAAACAGGTTAGTCTCGTCTATTGTCAAGAGCTCTCTAGACCCTTCAGCTGGAATTGTTGCCAAGAACATCTTCCCGGCTTGATCAGATAGAAAGACGCGGTTAGAACCGTCCGGATGAGGCACCATGTTAAGATATGACCCATTTGTAAGCTTCTCCAGACAGATCCCTGAAGAAGACGGACCGTTAACTTTCGACATGTTAAATGAAACCGCTTGGCCGTTGAAGCATACAGAGGATTCATCTGAAGCTCCACCAAAAGTCTTGCAGAAGTCATTGCTTGATTTCCAAGTTTCAGATATTGTGGAAGAGTTGCCTCCATCTCCAGCTTGAGATGCAAACGGAGTGTTGGCTACAGATAGATTCTGACATTCACTCCAAAAACTGGCGCAGAAATCGATTTCTGCCAGAGTTTGTGTTGACTTGTTAGAAGAAACTGTTGAATTACAGAGCACAGGAACTTGTCTAGATTCTGAGTCAGCTCTGAAAAGCTCTGCTGCAAAAGGATCACACCTCTGCAACCATATAATGTAATCATCAACTTATAACTAGAGAGGTTCTATAACTCATGAACAGCATCCAAGTGATCTATCTAACATGCCTTACCGAGCAAAGCAATGATTTGAGAAGCGGAGAACAACTCTTAGATACATTAAGTTCTTGAAACTGTTTCTGCAACTCCAAGTCCTCCACGGAGTTACAGCATACACTTCCATTGAATTGACAAAAAGCAAGCGGTTTCTTCAGATTAAACGGCGCAGCTGACCATAACAATACCAAAAATCATAAAAAGAAACGACACAAAATACAAGTTGTAACAAAGAAAGAAAAAGAGTCACCTACTCAAATCATTACATAATGGATGTGAGAAAGATTCTTTGGCAAGAAACAACAGAAGGCAAGAAAGAAACAGAGCAATTAAACAGAGAGAACCCATTTTTCTTGAACAAATAAGAATTGATTTGTTTTGAGTTTTCAGAAGAAGTTTCAAGATCTACCCAAAAGCATGAACTAATAGATCAAACAATCTGAAAAAGTGATGAAAACTCATAATAGTTTCTCTCTACAGATTCCCACATAAATGGAACTCTTACCAAGAAATCAAAGAGAAGACCATAGCTCCAGACAAGAACTGATAATATCTTTTAAATAAATAGGGAGTTTTCAACTGAACCAGAAGACAACTAGCAAGCATCTTTAATAAATCTAATATGAAAATTGGTTTTGCGTCACTCCATAAAATAATACATAATGAATTATTGGCGTCAAACAAAATCTGTTGACTTTGAAAAGATGCCACACCAACCTTTGGTTTCAGACTTCTGTCTTTCTCCATGTTTTAACCAAAAATAAGAACAGATGAGCATCATCATCCTTGGAAGCATCATGCAACTAGTTTACCCCAAGAAGGTGATAGTGGTTTACTTTAAAGCAGAAAAATAATTTGAGAACTAAAGCATTGTTATATTGAATATGGAAGGAGAAGGTACAAATATATATAATTAAGAAACAAATTTTGTTTTTTTTGTCTTTCTCTTTCAGTCTCATGCATGTAGTTGAATCCAATATCCTCCATAACAAACATATCTTCATGGTAACATCTTTGAGAAACATTTGTACTCAAGCTTCTCCAATTTCTCTTATAGCGTGTCTTACAAGTTACAAGTTCTCAATATAGCTTGACTTGTTATTTTCTCTCACTTTCGAAGTCAAAGGCAAAGAATTTCGCTGAACAAACCCAAGAGATCAAATTCATGGCAAACAAGGAAGAATCTCGATCTCACTTCATCTCCCTCAACTAGCAAATCGGTCTAGCTAGAACAAAAACCACTAAAGAAACTCATTCTCATCGATGGCAATCCTCTATTTGGGCTGAACCACAAGGAAATGTTGTCAAAAGTAGAAGAAAACAGTAAAATGTTAGAGACATGTTGTAAAAAATGATGCACATGTTGTAAAAAATGACCTTTTTTGGGTTCAAAAAAAAAAATGTTAGAGACAAAAAAAAAATCTGCATTTATTAGACAATATTTTGACCTTTTCATGGCAAACAAGGAAGAATCTCGATCTCACTTCATCTCCCTCAACTAGCAAATCGGTCTAGCTAGAACAAAAACCACTAAAGAAACTCATTCTCATCGACTGGCAATCCTCTATTTGGGCTGAACCACAAGGAAATGTTGTCAAAAGTAGAAGAAAACAGTAAAATGTTAGAGACATGTTGTAAAAAATGATGCACATGTTGTAAAAAATGACTTTTTTTGGGTTCAAAAAAAAAAATGTTAGAGACAAAAAAAATCTGCTATTTGGGCTGAACCACAAGGAAATGTTGTCAAAAGTAGAAGAAAACAGTAAAATGTTAGAGACATGTTGTAAAAAATGATGCACATGTTGTAAAAAATGACTTTTTTTGGGTTCAAAAAAAAAAATGTTAGAGACAAAAAAAATCTGCATTTATTAGACAATATTTTGACCTTTTTTGGGCAGTTCTTAAGCAATATTTAAATTCGAAATTCCATCCATATAGTCAAAAGGAACCACTAGACCACCATATAGTCTGAACTAAAAGAGAAATAATCAGTAATTAGTGTTTAATTTCATCCATATAGTAATTTCATCCATATAGACAACTAATTTGACGTCGTTTTGGTGTAAGACGATTTTCGTCTTACACCAAAACGACGTCGTTTTCGTATTAAAAAAAAAAAAAAAATCTAAATCAAAATTATGTGTAATGCTGTTCGTTTTGATGGGCTTGATTATTTATCGGACCTCTTCGTTTCCATGGTAGCTTTAAATGGGCTTACTGGCTAATTAGCTCATTTCATTTCCTTTTAAAAAGGATTGCAATTATTATTATCTATGAGTCTGTAGGATAATAATCAATCTATAATGATTGTTAGTATAAGGAAAATTAGAAGAACTCAACTCCAGTCGATAAATTATTGTATAAAAGAACAAAAAACATATGAAACTATTCACTATGAGTCTATATAAGATTTCACGTAAATAACAACTAAATTTTAAAACTATATGAAAAAAAACAAAATGCAAAACTTACAGAATCTAATATATTCGAGTAAAAAACAAATGATATATTCGAATCTAATGTTCTGAATAATTAAATTAAAAATATTTGGTTTAATAAACCCGCGCATTGCGCGGGTTCTCTCCTAGTTACATTAATTACTTGTACAGATTTTTACTTATATTCAATTTAACCCTTGAGTTTCGATTTATATTGACTCACATTTCCAAATTTCAACTATATAAATCACAGAATCACTCCGTTTGAGTTAACAAAACAAAAACAGAAAGAAGAATTTAAAGCTTTTTTTTTGAGTTTCGATTTATATTGACTCACATTTCCAAATTTCAACTATATAAATCACAGAATCACTCCGTTTGAGTTAACAAAACAAAAACAGAAAGAAGAATTTAAAGCTTTTTTTTTAATCATACCAAATATGAACAGCGACGAGAGAAAGGATAACAAAGATGAGAAGTCCAAATTTTATGATACCGCAACCACAGTCATAGGCATCGCTGGAGCCGTTGGAGCAGTCGTGGGTCTACTATCATGGATTGGCTCGGGCTCGAAAGCGAAAGGTCCTCAAGAGAAGATGATGAAGGCTCCTGGAAAAGATGGTCATATTGTCAGGAAAGATTTCGAAAACAACCCAAAAGACTACTTCAAAGACTTGTGTGGCAAGAAGTGAATATCTCGCAATATTTATGAGGAAATAATATCTCTTTAAGTTTATCTGTGACTGTGAGGTTCGATCTTGTTAGCCTCAGAGCTTCTCTTCTCTTAATAAGTAATAATTCAGCTTTCAACGAGAGAAAGAATTACAATTCCGGCAACCGAAGCAGGAGGTTTGTCAACAACAATGGCCTGAGTTTGTCAACAACAAAGAATTACAATTCTTAGCAAAAAAAAAAAAAAAAAAAAAAGAAAGAATTACAAAGATGAGATATTGAGAAGTCTAAATTTTAGCATAAAATACACTTTTAGCAACAAAATAGGTCTAAATTTTACGATACCACAACCAAAGTCATAAGTCTTAAACTCTTTACACACTAATGTACAACAAAGCACTGTATAAAGTATATATATACGCGAAGACTATACGGTGCAAAAAATATAACACACAAATTAGAGCCAAACGATAGAGCCCTAATTAGATTTATATATCAGTGAACTAATGGAAGGCTGAAGCAGTTACTCAAACTAAATTTTCAAGGAAATATCCTGAAAATTTTGGTGCGACTACTTCATTCATATCAAATGTTGAGAATAGTTCAAATGTCATCCATTCAATGATTCAAAGTTGTTATCACTTTAGTAAAACTCATATCAACTAACACTTTAGTGTAACTCTCAGTATTATATGCTTGTTTCTCTCCTCAAGAGTCAAGACTTATATGAATCGTTCTCCACTGAAAAAGTAATTCAGACATAAATTAAACACCAAATCATCTTTATTCTTAACTTTGAAAAAGAAGAATAGGCATACCTTAAGTGAGAAGCTACCTCTGACCAATAGACAAGAAATTAAAGCAGCTTTAGGCGAGTATAGTACAAAACTACGAAGTTATAAAATTCATTCATTTTGGAAATTATAACAGTACAAATGCTTTATACTGTTTATTCCCACTGAAATGATATTAACCAATTATAGTTCTTATTACTAGCTCCGAATGTACACTAAACAAGTAAATAGTAAATAATCTTAGTTGTTGGCCTTACATTTTCCGATCTATATAACTCAGTCACTCATGCCCTCTTTCAACTCAACAAATCAAAGAACACAAAAATAAATAAATTCAAAATTAGAAGAAGCTAGTGATCATATATATCAATATGAGCGGCACACCGAGAAAGGATAACAAAGATGAGGATTCATATTTCGAGACCGCGACGAAAGTCATAGGCGTGGTTGGAGCCATTGGAGCGGCCGTGAGTCTATTCTCGTGGATAAGCTCAGGCTCGGAAGAGAAGAGACCGGAAGAGAAGTTGATGAAGGCTCCTGGAGGAGGTGGTCGTAGCATTCCTAGGGCACCTTTCGAAGCCAACCCGAGAGACCACTTCACGAACCAGCGTCGGCTAAATAAGGAAAGGAAAATGGGAAATTATGATCAGTTCTAAAACTCTTCCGGCTTTGTATTCTATAACTAAATAATAAAATGTTGCATGTGTCGTATATGTACCATGCATATGTTATATGTGTGTTGGTAACTTGGTATGGTATTTGCTGTTTTGATTTACTCGTGTGGTCGTGTTTATGCTGTTTTAATAATAGTAATATAGATATCGTAAATGTTAACATGTTGTAAATGGATTCGTACAATATTGCTACATACTCATGATGAAAACTAAGAAAGTACGAACACAATTTTTCACTGAAAACCAAAGTAAGAAAGCATTAGATACTACAAGTTCAATGATATTAGAACAAATTATTAAAACTGTCTGAATCCCCCTTTAGTTAATTATGAAGACTTTCCTATATTCCAAAATTCCCCACTGGAATTGTATAAGTTAATTAGTCTGTACTCTATATTACTTGTTGGAAGCACATTTGCACCTCTATATAAATCATTCATGAATCCCCTCACATAACTCAACAATTTAAAAACACACAAAACAAAACAAAAAAAAAAGAAGTTTTGAAGCTTTGTGATAGTATCAACATGAACATCAACGAGAGTCTTGATGATACCCCAACAAATGTCATAGGCGACCTCGGAGCCGTTGTAGCAATCGCTGGTCTACTCTTTCTGAGCTTCGCTTGGGATTCAGAAACGAAGATGATGAAAGCTTGTGGACAAGATGGTTATATTCCCATAAAAGATTTCAAAGACCACCCACCCAAAAGAGTACTTCAAGAATCAGCGTGATCAGAAATGAAATTATGAGTACGTAAAGTGTTTAATTCTTCCGACTTTGTATCATATAACTAAATAATAAAACGTCGGATATGAAAAATTATCATATATTGTAAACGTCGGATACGAAGATGTTACAAAATGTTTGATAAGCAAAGTGTTCTTAAAATATTTCTAGAGAGTTAGCAGAACAAGAATGATACCTAGAATTCAGACTAAACAATGTTTGTTTCAAACGAATGTGCCTTGAGGAATAAGACATATATAAGTAGAATCGTGCGAAACAAGATACAGAACTACAGAGCATCAACAAAAACAAAACTAGTTCATGTTTCTTCACTTGTGATTAATTCTTAAACCGAAACGGTACGTTTGTCCGAGTTGGTTTTTGTCACCACACGACCACCGGAGCTTCTTCCGGTTCCACTTCCACTTCCACCACCGCCGCTTGTCTTAGGCGCTGTCCGAGCAACAACCCGCTGAATGATTCGAATAGGAATCCCTCCCAGATCAAAGTCTTCTTTCAACGATCTAGTCAAGAACCTTATGTCGCTTTCCAGTAACTGCGTTTTACCGCTCACAAACGCCACAAAAGTCGGCGGCCGAGCTTTCACCTGAGTGAAAAATTTGATTTTTGGCTGCGAAGCCGAGTCTTTCCAAGAATGTCGACTCATCACCTAACTCAACACACAGAACAAATGATTAAGCAAGTAACAATGTCACATTTTTGTATATCATATAGTCTAAGTCATTAATAGGACAGACCTTAATCAACCAGCGATTAAGGCGGCCTGTGGAAAGTCTTGAACACCATCTCTTGTATGTGTCAATGACTTCAGTCATTACTTGCAAACGTCCTCTTCCCTCTAACGCAGAGATAAACACAACCGGTATTCCGGTTATCTGCAAACACAATATCATTCTTCTCATCACTCAAGAACCTGAAAATAATTAGCAAAAGATTCAAATTTTGGTTACCAAGACAGATCAAATCACCTGAGGAATAACAGTCTGTACTTCAATGGGAACAGCTTCTTTGATTTTCTTGTACATCTCAGAGTGTTGTCTCCCTTTTAGACGATCCATTTTGTTAACGATCACGACTAGACCACGTCCTTCCTCTACAGCGCGTCTAGCTATAACTACTTCTGAATGTTTCATACTGCATTGCGCTTTAATGATCTGGAGATTGTTACATACAGTAAGCATCTATAGATTCTATCTCTATAGCTATAAAGTATGACTGAATATGACAAACCTCCTCAGCATCAAGAACTAAAGCGATAACATGTGCTCGCATCAGGCTCTTTCTTGACTGCATGATACTTAAAGACGCTGGTCCTTTGTCTCGATCTGTTCTCTCCAACCAACCAGCAGTGTCAACCTTAAACAAACGAAGCGAATTAAGATCAAAAGCTTGTTAAGAGAAGCATAAAAAATCACAAATTTTAAACGCACCAGATACACAGTCCGATCCTGAAACTCGAACTGAACTCTCACAGCATCTCTAGTGAGACCAGCTTCAGGACCAACCAAGACACGCTCTTCTTCCAACAATGAATTGAGCAAAGTCGATTTCCCAACATTAGGCCTACCTACAATAGCTAACTGCAATGGCAACTTGGACTCGTCGGTTTCATCAGAGAGATTCTCACCGCTTGGAACATCATCTTGACTGCAACTATTACCGTTTAACTTTTCGACCATGTAATCCTCTAGTAAAGGACGGAGAAGCTCATAAAGCGCTGTCATACCAAGTCCGGTCTCAGCTGATATAGCAGTAGGCTCACCAAACCCCAACGCAAGAGCCTCTGAAGAAACTTCATCAAGAGAATCACCAATTGATTCCGATTTATTCATTACTACAATCGGCTTAATCTGTGGAGCATACTTTCTCAGCCATTTACCAACCTCTAAATCCAATGGATGCAACCCCGCCCTGTAAAAAACAACGAACACAAACACAACAATTAAATTCTTGTTTAGCAATCAGATTAGTTGATAGCAGCTTTGAGAGTGAAAACTCTCTTCTCACCTAACGTCGATGATAAGAATCGCAAACTGAGTTCTTGCGAGCACGTTAGCAGTCATTGTTGTGGTTCTACCGAGAATAGTGCCAGAAGAGACTTCAGTCTCTATACCAGCAGAGTCCAGAACGTTGAATCTCAAACCACCTAGTTTCGCAATCCCTTCTCTTATATCTCTTGTTACATGATCATCTGGAGTGTTGTAAACGAGAGCTTCTCTCCTTCGAATCAATCTGATAAAAACAGCACAATTTACTGAATCAAACAATCTCAAAGTTAATGAAAACTTGAGAGTGTGTAGTGAAGAAACTAACCGGTTGTATAAGGCGGATTTGCCAACATTTGGCCGGCCAATGATCATCACGGTTGGTAATAGCTTCGCATCGATTTTGGTGAAATCAATTGGCTTCTTGTAAACAACCTTTGGCTTCTTATCCACAGGTACTTCAACATTTGAGCTCTTAGAAGAAACATCATCCTCAATATCGATTGTGTTTCCATCGGAATCGAGATTCGTGTCAATGTCAATTACTCCGTTCGAAGAAACCGAGCAAAATCCATTTTTGTGTCGAGCTAAGCAGGTACGATTCAACTCCGGGATCAAATTACCGGAAAACCTTCTAAAATCGGTTGGAAAATTTCCTGTATAGCGAGAGAGAGAGAGATAGAAACAAGTAAAGACGACGGTTCTACCGGAACCGTCGAATCTGGAATCATAAGAGCGAAACAAAAAATGCAATTTTTACCTGAAGATGAATGTTTGCAGTGATTGGGAGCAATGATGTGCCATTGGGAGTGAAATTGCCGAGAGTAACTACATCTGTAGTAGAACCCAATACCGAATTGATTCTTCCGAGCTGAGATTGCTCGAATCAGTGACTGAGACATCGCAAGCAGGCGATGAATCTCCGGTTAACGCTTTACACAGAGACGCGAGGAAGTAAGTGGCTTTGCATTCGATAGAGATTTATAAAAATGATCTGAGGATTCAATTGAGAAACCGAAAATGAGAAGAGAGAGAAAAATTAAGAAAGTGAGAAGACACCAAAAAGGGATTAATCAGAGAGCTAAAACCCTAAAACCCTAAACCATCGTCCGCCGGAGATACTCTGAGAGCCGGTCATGGCGACGCGAGTAGAGGTCAGCCATGATACGTCGTCGTTTTCGCCGAACTTGCTGCCAAAATTAATTGGGCTTCTAAGCCCACTTAACAGAATTCAATTTGTTAGACCGGTTCGGTATGGAAAAGAGAATTAGACCTTGATATGGTACAACAGCGGTTTTGCCTCTACTCTCTTCTTATTGAAGCCAAAGTTAACTTACATTAAGATCTAAGAACCTATTTCTATGAACCTAGAGGGCTTTGTGTGGCTTGCTCTTTACTCTAATACTTCTCACTCAAAATGTAACTAATGAAGATCTTCAAGGGATCAAGTGGAATATACAACAGCCAAATTAACTAAGTGCACCGTTTAAATGAAACCGCGTAAGTTGTTGTGGTTTTAAAATATTTTTGTTTCTCTAAAACCCATTTCAGAAAAGTTAGATTCCGTGTTTTCTTTGATTTCATACCTCGTAGTAGTAAGTTTAGCTGGTAGAAAAGATAATTACCTTTGTGTATAACCATTTCATATGGACCATTAGATTTCGTGTGGTGGAACTTGCAAGTCTAACCACTTTCTAGATATAGCTCAAGTTAAACTTTCTCTATTTGGAGGTGTGATCAGAAATGAATACTGAAAACAAAAGAGACGAGTCATCGAAACGAAAAAAGTCCGAGTCATCGACCAATCGCAAGCTAAAGGTATCACAAAGTTTTTATTACTTGGCAAGTGAGTTAGCTGAAGTTGCTAAACTAGGAATATAGTTTAGTTAAGACCATATGAAAAATGAACTGTCATCGCTTAAGTATAAGATTCCTAGTGTTTATTGTGCGCACTAACTTTGTATTTATCTTTGTAAATGTTAATTTCCCTAAATTAATCTAGGTTAAATGAATCGTAGTTGCATTGCACTTACTACTCTCTATATATAGAGAGTATTGAGACATACAATTAATCATCTTCATTCTTCATTTCTTCAATCTTCAACTGGTTCTGCTTTCATTTCAAAAAATAAAATAAAAATATAACAAAAGATGGAAGGGTTTGCGTACGTTGAAGATGATAATTACAAAAATAATGTTCATGTGTTGGTGTTGCCGGGATATCAGGGAATTGTCGATGCCGCAATGTCAGACCGCGATGATGTCTTTAAAGATTTACTAGGTACTTATTAAACAGAAATCGTAGATTCTGCTAATTCCTAGTCTCATCTATACATATTCTTATTATTTAATTGTTGGGCAGCGCATTTTGAGGATATCAATACCGTTGTTGATACTCGTGGAAATACTTTGCTCAACGTGATGACCATTCTAGGGAGGGTTCATTTCTTCAACCTTATAATTGACCGAGAGGATGCGAATCTCGTGGCAACTGACGACCAAGGCAACACAGTATGTTCTTTTTTGTTTTTGTTTTAATTTTGTTAATTAATTTTATTTATAAATTTTTCTAATGAACTCTCACTCATCATGTTTCACGTATAGGCGCTTCACTTTGCTGCGCGGAAGGGGAATATAATGGGGCAGCCAGAAGGCAGCGGCTAGCGGCTAGAAACCGCAACAATCAGGTAATGAAACTATACACACTTGTTTTTTGTTAAAGATGAAACTACGTACACACTTATTACTTACTCATTCATCTCTCTTTGATTAATTCAAGACTCCGGTTATGGTGGCCCATCGGAATCTGACGAGCATAATAGAGCAATTGAACCTAATGGAATCGAGCCGTTTAATCGCTGCGGAGTGCATGGGAAACGTTTGAAGGAAAACCAAAATCAGGATGAAGTCTAGGTTGATGATGATGTGTACGCGCGTACGTACCTACTACGTATATACTAAGGAATAACTAAACTCTAAAATATAACGTAATTAGTTAACTAGTATTAAAAAAAATAAGAAAGAAAGTAAATTATTCCTACCTACTGTTTATCGATCAAGAATTCAAGACAGTTATTGCAATATCTCACTTTATTACGTTGTTTGGACTATCTTAAACTCTTACATCTTTTCTGTTTATAGTATGCGTTGTTTCCGATCCATCAAATAATTTGTATGAAAACAAAAGGGTATATTATCATTTATCAGTACTATACAAGTCCAAATATATAACCGATCAATAAACGAAAAAATTAATAAATAAATATATCAAAGAAACAGAACAGTAAAATAAATATATCAAAGACAAGATTTCTCTATTTTTTCTTGAGAACTCAGTGTCTATTCTTAGGGTTTGTTTGTTGGTAGTTGATTCTTTTTGGTGTTTATCCTTGTTTTAATTCTTTTTTTTTTTTTTTTAATCATGCAAATTACTCATGTTTAAAAACATTGTCATAAAGGAGATAAAGACTGTTTTAACAGCAGCTTTTGACTTTTGAGAATCCATACATAAGGAAACATTTTCTCAGAAACTTTAAACATGTGACCAACAAATAAGTGCAAGATATTCGAGGGGGCCCAACGTTGAGCTGAGAATAAGAAAAAAGATGTGCTCCAAACACTCATACCAAATTAGCTCATTCTTTGGTCTTAATACCCTCAAGCCTTAAGAATCATTATCTTGAGCTTGTGTCCCTATTACACAAAGCATTAGTGAGAGATAATATATGTATATAACTGCTAACAATTACTTTGAACGTAACTTAGTTTTACCAAGATGAATTTAACTTAAAACATACACATGCAATCCACGTTAGAGATCAAAGTCAAAACAGTACTCTTTTTTTACGTCCTTATCCAAACAAGAAAATCAAAAATTGATTCCTCCGTACCTATAAAAATAAACATGTCAAACACATATAGAAGTCAAGCAAGTCAATCTATTTATTTAACTTAAGCAAGTCAAGCACTGGATCGATCACAAAAACTGCGAAGCCGTAATTAAAAAAAAATTGTTAATCGTATAAAATAATTTGTTACTACTTACTACGCAAATTCTAGTAACATGAAATCGGTACTATATTTTGGTTATAAAATATGAATCAAGCAAGCATACCACTAGTGTGTGTATTGGCACTAAAACATGAAAATACATCGAGAATTTAGCAAATGTTATTATAGAACTAGTTCATTCAGCTTTAGAGATTTTGACGGAGGAGGATATAAGAAGGCTCTTTTTTATTTGCTTTATCGTATTCACAAAATTCAAACTAACCTATTTTGGCAGGCTTACGATAATACGCGTAAAAGAAGTATACGCGCAATTCAATTTTCTTGCATCAGTAAACTTATGTCACATTTCAAATTTCACACAGTGCAATAACACTACATGTCATTTTCTTTTAACCGTGTACCAGGGCCGTGCCCATGTATAAGATTTTGAAACATTGGCCTAGGGGCCCAAAATTTCTTAAAAAATTGAAGGGCCCATATACATAAGTAGTTTATATGTATTAGTAGTATTAGTAAAATGATTTATATTAATATAGCAACTAATTACCAAAAATATTAGGGCTTTGATCTTTTCTTCTCTGTCGTCTTCTCAACTTCTTCTTCTTCTCCAGAAACCAGAACAAAATCAAACAATAAACAAAAGGTACTTGCTAATTTTTAAGTCTTCTTATATTAGTTAATTGTTTGATTTGGGAATTCTAGTAATATTTTATTGCTAATTGTTATGATTGATCAAAAAGTCAAAAAATTGTCTTTGCAATACGTTTGATGTTTATTCAAAACTAGCAATATGTTATATGTTAATCAAATTGTGACTTAATGTACATGAATGGTTTGTTAGTTGTTTACAAAACTGTGATTTAATCAAAACTGTAATTTGTTTTTTTGGGTAAAATTTCAGAAATGTCAAAGTGAGCTGCTTAAAAGTGTGGACTTTGAAAGCTTGGTTACTCATTTTGTTGGAAAGAAGAACAGAAAAGTTAAGTTTTAAAATTAATGTTGTATTTTTTTTATTTTTTTTTTTTGTTATAGTTTTTATTTGCTTTTTTAGGATAATGATAAGTTAAATCTTTGAAACAATCTTATTATTTGAATGGATTAGTTTTTTTTAGGGCCAATTTTTTTTTTTTTCTGTTTAGGGGCTCTAAATCTCTGGGAACGGCTCTGCCGTGTACCATACATATGTTTCGCCAAAAATATATATAAGTTGTACCATCCTAAAACAAATATTCCCAAAGCATCACAGACATTAAAAACAAAAACTGCGAAGCAGTAATCAAAAGAAAAAAAAAACAAGATAACAAATATGTAAATGGTTTAAGCAAAGTGTGATAATATGTAAAGTAGCGTTAGTCGTATAAAATAACTTGTTACTACTTACTACGCAAAATCTAGTAATATGAAATCGCTACTATATATAAAAACAAGGGAAACAAACGTGTAGACGGATCGCTGTTATTCTGTTAAGTAAATGCAATGATTATTTATGGTCAATTAAATCGGTGGAGCAAATCTGCTTGGTAAGTACGGTAACAAGGACTGAAAAGTGTTGCTCTTGTTGTTGTGAAGTCATGTACGGAGAATCCAACTGACGTAAAAGCTTTGACGGCAACTAATACATAAAAATGTACCAGTGTGCAGAGTCTATGCTTCTGCATTAAACTTTTTACGCCCTTCTCCAAAAAACAAAAAAAAAAAAGACCAAAATAAACCTTGTATGTGTTGTTTTTGAGTAATACGAGTTATATTAACTGCTTTTTGGGCTTTTAGGTTTGGGTCCAAAACAAATGTTAAGAGTCTATTCGGGGTGGGGCCTAAGCTTTTCATTTATGAGAAGGTTATTGAAAAATCGATAGGGCACCTTTTAATGATAAAAACATACTTATATAACTCTTAAATAACTTGATCTTAGCAAAAAAATAAAAAGGAAAGTATCTTTTACAAGGATAAAACTAAAATCATAAATTATATCTTAAAGAAAATATGAGTTGTAGCAATTCCTATTATATACTCTATAAAATGAAAACATATACTCTCTCTTTTAAAAATGAAAACAAAAATAATATATATTTAATTGCAACAATGGCATAATCTGAAGATTTTAAGTAGCATATCTACACAAGACACTATCATCAGTCTCATGCATTAATGATTTCTTGACTTGAAATGGCAGTAGATCTCAACATCCAAAGCTTCATGCCCTATAAATATACTAATATATGCAAACATCCAAAGCTTCATGCCCCATATTGATTAAGTGTATTGTTATTTGTCACATTATTATTATTATTATTATTAGAACTTGTGTTACTTGCTAATTTGCCGATGTGTGTGCCTGCTATATATCCACCTGACCAAGCATTCGGTGTATAGTAAGACAATCTCTAACATTTTGATAGCATCATATACTTGAAATCCATGAATTTTCATTTCTACATAAATGGACATTCGTACAATTTTATCTCGAAATGAAAAGAAATAATATATAAACCGTGTACATAAGTTATTAGAGATTAGACTAATTCTCACAGATTCCTTGGTTTTATATCAATTTTGAAATGAGAAGTACATGAACAAACACAAACAATAAGTTTATGCATTGTCTATATATTCTTTTTGGATGTATTATCTTCTCTTTTTGGCATCATATGTTTTATGTATATATAAAGTATAAACCAATAGAGATGAGACTAATAGGAGTTTTGAGTTGAGTATACACTTCCAGTGACTTGATATGTACAATGTTTAAGCAGATCCGAAATAGTGCTTAAGGAGTTATTTTACTATATCTTTTTTTTGTTTGTCCACGACTGAGGCCATGTTTATATATTAACATATGTCGCTACTTTATCATGCATCCCCTTAAATTTTAATCTATTTTGTTGTTCCCCGAAAAGGAAAAAAACATGGACATGTTCATTATTATGAGTAGCTCTATAAATTGTTTTGCAAGAGAAAAATTCACAAAACCGGTGTTAACAAAGGACATAGGTTATTTGATATTCTAAATTTATACTTTTCAGAAAAAATTAAGAACATCATCTTCCATAGTATATGTATATAACTGAAAACAACTACTTTGATACGTAACTTAATTTTACCAAGGTGAATTTAACTTAAAACATATACAGTCCACGTTAGAGATCAAAGTCAAAACAGTAGACTCTTTTTTTACGTCTCTAATCAAACAAGAAAATGAAAAATTGATCATCCATACCTATAAATATAAACATGTCAAACACATATAGAAGTCAAGCAAGTCAATTTATTTATTAACTTAAGCAAGTGAAACACTGGATCGATCACCTTACAGCGAGGTCTATTTACTTAACTTAAGACACAAGTTTCTTCATGGACAAGAAATTTGAACCTAAACTTGTGACTTCTGTTGAAGACTTGACCATTTTTCCGATATTTGTTTTTGTTTGTCAACGACTCAAGCCATGTTAATATATTAACATATGTAGCTACTTAATTTTATCATGCTTTCTTTTAATCTATTTTGTTGTTCCCCGAGAAGGAAAAAAACATGGACATGTTCATTATTATGAGTAGCTCTATAAATTGTTTTGCGAGAGAAAAATTCACAAAACCAGTGTTAACAAAGGACATAGGTTATTTTGATATTCTAAATTTATACTCTTCAGAAAGAATTAAGAACATCATCTTCCATGGTATATGTATATAATTGAAAACAACTACTTTGATACGTAACTTAATTTTACCAAGATTAATTTAATTTAAAACATATACAATCCACGTTGGAGTTCAAAGTTAAAACAGTAGACTCTATTTTACCTCCCTAATCAAACAGAAAATCGAAAATTGATTCCTCCGTACCTATAAAAATAAACATGTCAAACACATTTAGAAGTCAACCAAGTCAAACACTGGATCGATCATCATATAGCGAGGTCTATTTATCTAACTTATGACACAAGTTTCTTCATGGACAAGAAGTTTGAACGACCTAAACTTGTGACTTGTGTTGAAGACTTGACCATTTTTACTATATCTTTTTTTGTTTGTCCACGACTCAAGCCATGTTTATATATTAACATATGTCGCTACTGTATCATGCATTCTTTTAATCTATTTTGTTGTTCCCCGAGAAGGAAAAAAACATGGACATGTTCATTATTATGTGTAGCTCTATAAAATTGTTTTGCAAGAGAAAAAATCACAAAACCAGTGTTAACAAAGGACATAAATTATTTGATATTCTAAATTTATACTTTTCAGAAAGAAAGGAGAGATTATTATTTGACAACAGCTCTTTGTAAATCTCATATGAAGGAGATTTGGAATATGATTTCAAAGCTTAGATGACCATCAAACACACAATTATAAGAGCATACTTTCGTATTCTACCGTACGAAAATTTGTGACCAGTCATTACTTTTCAAAACTTGCACTTCAAAATTGGTTTGGAACTAGATGCTACGCACAATCGAGTTTACTTTAATGTGTTTCCCTTTCTAAATTTCTCAAACAAATGCATGCACTTGATGTACAAAAAAGACTTTGGATTTGAATTAATTTTATATTCATTATAAAAATAAAAAGTGACATGGGAGTCATACCTTTGGTCACTGGGACTTCTAAAAGAGGAGAATAGAACAATACCAAATTTTATTCTGAAAATTTTACCAATTAAATAAAAGATAAAAATATTTGTTGTCACATCTTTTTTTGCTGGATTAATTTCCTAATGTATGTTAAATAATTTATAGCACTTTTGCTGATTCACTCTAAAATTTATCCAACTTTCAGTGATAAGACAATATCTTGATATATTAATGTATAATAATTTTTTATTTATTATGATAAATTAAATAAATTTAGATATTATACTAAATTAAGAATATGGCTTTTTGCAAGTTTAAACTTATAAAAACGCCATTCTTCTCACTGCAAAAGTTAATCAAAATAACAAAAGATGTTCTAAATAAAACTTCTCGAAGTAGTTTTTTTCTGGATTATTCAGTTTCGAGATATCTATCGGTTAGATTATGCACTATATATTTGTTTACTACCTATGTTTCAGTTGGTTTATGTTTTTTTTTTTAATGACCGAGACAAGATGAATTCTTATAGCTTCTTGTTATGTTTTTTTTTTTGTTTTTTTTATTGTTTAACTAGTGTTCTTGGCTTCTTGCTATACGTTACTTAATTCATATATATTGTTTCAAGAAGTAGACGAAGAAAAAGAAAAATGATTAGAAGTGTGTGAGCCTTAACACTTGTGAAACCCTCATTGAATTGGAACTCTCTAAAAACCCTTATGATTCAATTAAATAATAAGTTTACAAATCTTTCTGAATACTAGCACTTTTGATATTTAGTATCCATATATCATGTTGTGTTCCTGAAAATGTTAGGCATTAAATGAAGGATATTTTTTTTGTTTAGTCTTAGCAAAATGCTTTCTGCTACACCAAAATCACAAGAAGTCGAAGTTTCTGAGAGAGTTGAAGAGAAGATTTGTGAGGATAGAATCAGTGCGCTACCAAACGATTTACTGGTACATATCTTGTTGTTTGTTCCAACAAAAGATGTTGTGGCCACCATGATTTTGTCGAAACGATGGCAGCCTATCTGGACAGCGGTGCCAAGACTCGAGTACAACGACATCAGGGAAATAAATAACGCTGAAAAAGAGAGCGTTTGGTTTTTTCTTGACAAGTCGTTGCATCTCCACAAGGCACCTATACTAGAAAGATTGTGTATCCGACTTGGTGAAAGTTGTCCTATTGATGCTGATGTTACAAAATGGGTTGCAAACGCAGTTGATCGTTGCGTGCGCGAATTAGTGTTTGAACTTGAATGGTCCGCGAAACCTACCAGCATGCCTCATAGCCTTTACACTTGTGAAACTCTCATTGAATTGAAGCTCTCTCAGAAGGTTCTCCTGGATGTTCCTTCTTCAGCTTGCCTCCCATCACTTACAAAGCTTTTCCTTTGTCATGTGGTGTATAAAGATGAAGTTTCTATCACTAGGCTTCTATCAAGTTGTCCTGTTCTCAAAATGTTGCTTGTGTACAGATTGTCACAAGAAGACGACAATGTGAAAACGTACAGCGTAAAAGTGCCATCTTTAGATGAATTCAGATACATTAATGCTAGGTCACATGGCAATGAATCGGGCCAGTCGTCGGTGGTCATAGATTGTCCGGCATTGACGTATATCTTTATGCATGATACTTCAGGAGATTCTTGTTCTATCGGGAAGATGCCTCACCTTGAACAAGTAGTTTTTTTTATCTTTTGCTACCCTGATAAAACGTTTATCAGAAATCTTTCCTCGGTGACGTCTCTAACTTTGACTTTGCCCCATGGATTGGTAGTTATTTCGAGATTCTTTTTTTTTTGTTATTTTTTTGGTGTGTGGTAACGCTAATATGTCACTTACTATAGCGTTGGATACACTGCAAGTGATGTGTAGCCCTGATAACTTTACTAAGCTTGTAAGACTTTACATATACCCACGTGACTCAGACCGGATGATACAAGTTATGCTGTTGCTAAAATCTAATCCTAAACTTAAAAGTCTTACAATCGAGAGTGTACGTAAACCATCCTCCCTCCATGCAGTTTTTAAATCTGATTAACACTAACATAACGTTGTATGTTGTTTTTCAGATGTCTGAAAATGTTCCACTCTTGTGGAGCAAACCGGATCATGTTCCCAAATGCTTGGAGACCCATCTTGAAGTCTTCAAGATAATTTCATATGAAGGAGGAAAGGAAGAAAAAGAATTTGTGGAATACATGCTTGCAAACTCGAGGTGTTTAAAGGAAGCGGAGATACTCCTGTCCGGTTACACGAGTTTAGAAGAGGATAAGAAGATGATCCAAGAATTGAATTCCATGTTCAAGATTTCACCATCATGTCGATTAACCTTTTACTGATATGCAAAAATTAATCTATACTACTAAAGAATTAAGACTTTGTTTTTTTTTTTGGTGGGCAGAATTAAGACTCTGTCATCTCATTATAAATTATTATAATATGTGTTATTATTATTTTTAATTTAATGTAAGACCCAAAAATAACAACCATATTCAAAAGAAGTAATCCGGTTTAACATACAAGTCAGCTTAGAAAACGGCACGATGTGTGAAATAAAACAGCAGGGTGTTCATACGTGGAAACAATAAAAAATGCATTTATCGTTGACGAGAGAAAGAGGAGCGTCGTTCTTAAGCGAATTTTCTTCGGAGAAGAGAAGAAAAGAGAAGAGAAGCGAGAATGGGAGCTGTTTTATCAGCTGTGCTCGGAGGTTCCGGAGAAGCTGCAGAGGCAGGGAGTGAATCTGAGCCTAGCCGCGTCATGAAGTTTAGCTCTTCGGCTCGGTGGCAGCTTCACTTCAACGAGATCAAGGAATCTTCGAAACTGGTATGTGTTTCGATTCGATTCGATCCGATATAGTTTCTCTGCAATCGATGCGTTTCCGATTGAATAAACTGATTTGAGAGTGTCTTTTCTGTGATCGGAATTTTGAATTTGGGGGAAAAAAAGCTGGTCGTTGACTTCTCGGCATCGTGGTGTGGACCTTGTAGAATGATTGAGCCTGCGTTTATCGCCATGGCTGAGAAGTTCACTGATGTTGAGTTCGTCAAATTGGATGTCGATGAACTTCCTGTAAGTATCTCTCTCTCTCTATCACACTGACTTCTATTGATCCGTATATTGCTGTTATTTCCTCTGAAATCTATTGTTTGTGATATCGAATGTTGTGAGTAGAAGTTAGATCCGTGTACTTCACTGTTATATCGAGTAGAGGTTAGATTTAGGTATGTTGCAAGTTACAACTGCAGATCACTTGGATTCTAAGTATCAGAATCAAAATTGGTTGAAATGAATTGAGGAGCAAATCAAGCTTACTGTATGATGAATTGTGTGTTTCAGGATGTTGCTAAAGAGTTCAATGTGACGGGAATGCCAACATTTGTGCTGGTGAAAAGGGGTAAAGAAGTTGATAGGATCGTTGGCGCCAGAAAAGATGAACTTGAGAAGAAGATTAGCAAACTCAGGGCTTAGTGATGATCCATTCATTTGTAAACACCTTCACCAATAATAGCCATGTGTTATGTGTAAAAACTCAATAATAAATGGTATGTTGTGTTGGTGAGGAGGGCTTTGTTGTTGATTTATGTTGATTCAAATGGTTTGTTGAAATGTTTAGTATCTACTTTGGTATGGTTTACGATACAAAAGTTTATGGTTGTTTTTTTTCAGTTTGCGCATTAGGTTTTGCCTCTACTATCTCTTCTCACTCAAAATGTAACTAATGAAAAACTTCATGGGATCAAGTTGTACAGCCAAATTTACTAAGTGCACCGTTATCATGGGCCTCAAATTTTTATTGTGGGCTTTTGTGCAAAATATATGGGTCTCAGTCCGTCGTATTAACCTGAACCTACCATAACCGAAAAAATCAGACCCGGTCAAATGCTAACATAAGGATAAGTTGTTGTTATTTGCACACAGACAAAAAAAAAAGGATAAGACCAGCTGGTTTGAGTGTCTCACTCTCTCTCTCTCTCTCATTTTCTCTTTAGAAGACTAAACAACTGTTTTCTTGAACTCGATGATTCAAATGCTATAAATGACATAGATTGTTCAGTTGTTGGAAACCCCATTCCTCAATCTTTGCATCTTTGGTAGCTTACAGAGGCAAGCAAGACACCGGTTTGTTACTAGATAATTGAAGATTCTACTTGAGTTTGGTGCTCGGAGAGCTCAGGTTTCTATTCAAATCCGTCTCATTTTAAAAGCCAAAAGGGCAAAGTCATGGAATTTCTTTATCTTGGTATTTGTTGGAAACACAGTGAAACTAGAAATGATATGTTTTGTGTTGAAACAGTATAGAATCCAATTTTTTTTAATATGGCTAGGCTTTAGTGCTGATAATGTTTTAACTTCATCAAGTTAACATGAACAAATATTATCTCTTTAAAGATGGAATATATATCCAACAGAAATCAATGTATAAATATCCTCATTTATTTATGAACTTTGGATCTAATTTTGTTTTCTAAAGAGAAACCATGTTTATTTACCACAACAAACTCTTTCGTTGAGGATTTTCCGTTACAAATTTAGTTGGAATTTTAAACTATATGTACAGATACTTGATGGTTATTTCGTTAAAAATCCTCTCTCTCCATTTTTTTTTTTTGTGTGGCGTACGTTAGGGGCAATCTCAATTTCTGAAGATCTTGCTTCACTCATGCTGACCCTACAAGATCAATGTTTTGGCTTATTTCACTGTCCTATTCTTTACACAACCATTCGTTTTCAGACCCTATGAGAAGAAGGTTCTTCAATGGCGTCCTCAAACTCAAAAAAGAGATGGATTTTCCCACTAGCAATAGGTTCTCTCATGTTCATATTCCTTGCAGCTGTATTCTTCAACATGGGTCTCCTCTCTTCCGTCCGCTCCATTAACTCACTCATCTTCTCCTCAAATCTATCGACCACAAACCAAACAACCGCAAGAAGCAACCAATCCACTTCACATCTTTCTTCTTCAGTACATTCTAGTCCTCGCTTTGGTTATCTTGTTTCAGGGTCAAGTGGTGACTTAGAGAGTCTATGGAGAGTGTTAAGAGCAGTTTACCATCCGAGGAATCAATACGTTGTTCATCTCGATCTTGCGTCTCCTTCCGAAGAGAGGCTTGAGCTAGCTAAACGTGTGAAGGAAGATCCTGTTTATAGCCACGTTGGTAATGTCTTCATGATCACAAAGGCTAATCTTGTTACATATCGAGGACCTACAATGGTGGCTAATACGCTCCACGGCTGCGCCATTCTCTTGAAGCTGAGTAAAGATTGGGATTGGTTCATTAATCTCAGCGCCTCGGACTATCCTCTAGTGACTCAAGATGGTATGTGTCTATATATAAAAATGTATAGACGGTCGCATACATTTTCGAATAATATCTCAAAGCCCTCTTGCAGATCTTATTCATACATTTTCGAGGCTAGACCGGAACCTTAACTTTATCGAACACACTAGCAATCTAGGCTGGAAAGAGTAATGGTTCTTGTTATTCAAGATTTCTATGTAGATATGCTTTTAGTTTGAAATCTGTTTAATCCAAATGAGATAATTACCGCAATCTTCTTCTTTTTTTTTTCGCAGAGATCATAGAGCAAAGCCTCTGATCATAGACCCGGGGCTTTACTCGACAAATAAATCAGATGTCTTCTTGGTTACACCTAGCAGAACCGTGCCAACTGCATTCAAATTATTCACTGGTAATGCAGTAATTAGTGAGTAGTGATTATGAAAAATGGTGACTAAATCCTATATTTCAATGACACTTATTGGAAGATCGATGAGATCAACCATATCGAAGTTATGGAAATCATAAAGATCAAGAAATGTCTAGAAGATTACTGATATTTGTCATGAGGTCATAAATTTTAGCATTACCATGCATAAATTATTTCCATGCTCCCTCTATATCATTTTACTTAGTGCTTTTGAGTTTTTTTTGTTTTTTTTTTCTTTTTCGTTTTTTTTTAATTGAAGTGATGTTTTTCAATTCCAATGCAAAATTGAGTTGTGTTTTTTTATTGGTTTTTAGTGTCTGAATTCTGGATATTGCTTTTTTATGGGTGAATTGTTTTGTAGTTGATGATAAAACATGTTTTGTTTTGAGAATAATCTTATATATAATAGGGAGTTGCTCTCTCCATCTAGAGTGTCCACATCAGCACAAAAACATTAAATTGTATTTAAAATATTTATTAAATATATGACTATTCATATTTCTTTACATTTATTCATATTTAATAAAAATATACAAATAAATTAATTAATTAATAGAAAGTATGTGATAATTTGATGTTAAAAGTTATCAAAAAGTTGGAATATAAAATAGAGATGGAGTAAAGAAATATTTAACTTCAAATAGTATATATTTACCTTTTTATTCAAAGGATTATCCTATTTAAAAATGTTATAATGTGTTTACAAGTTAAAAAGTTGAATATAAATTAATTAAGATAATAGAAAGCTAATGAAAATTAGAGTTAGAGTTTGTTTTTCTAAACAAATAGAAATGGAGTTTTATATGTAAATTTAATTGTAGTGAAAAACAAGAATATGTTTACAAATTTTAACCTTCAGTCAGTCAAATGCATATACATATTTATAAATTTTAACCTTCAATCAAATACATATACATGTTTACAGTCTAATATAAGTAAAAAAAAAGTAAACAAACATAATATTTATAACATGATAAAATTTTAGAAATAGAAAACTCGAGATAAAGCGGGGTGTTAATATCCTAATAAATTAAAAAAAAAACAAATTATTCATATTTTTTAGTGTTAGTGGTTGAGTTAACTCAAAACATAACAAAAACATGAAAGTTAACACAAAACCATCATAATTCAAATCAACGAGTATAAATAAAATTAAACAGAAAAACTATCGCAAACAACCCCGCGCTTGCGCGGGGCTTCAAACCTAGTTACTAAAATAACGACTTATTAATCTATGTACAAAACCTTAAACATATCATTTATTGTGAAACAGAGTACTAATTTATGAATTTAAGTGGTTTTCATCTCTATATAAGTCTATGCATCTAGTCACTTATTAAACACTTAATTTTGATGAGAGTCTCATAATAATTCTTACTAAAAACTTTTGTGTTCTTCTACTCATCAATTTATCAAAACTTTCTTGTAGGTTCCTTTTGGATGGTCTTATCTCGGCCGTTCGTAGAGTATTGCATTTGGGGATGGGACAATCTTCCACGGACACTTCTAATGTATTACACAAATTTCGTCTCTTCATCAGAAGGATATTTCCACACTGTGATCTGCAACGCACCAGAGTACTCGACCAAGGTGGTGAACCACGACCTGCGTTACATCTCATGGGACGATCCTCCCCAACAGCATCCTTTGACACTCGGCATCAATGACACAGAGAAGATGATTGCAAGCGGAGCCGTGTTTGCCCGCAAGTTCAGACAGAATGATCCTGTTTTGGAAAAGATCGATAAAGAGCTGCTCGGTAGACGTAATGGTAAGTTTACACCTGGTGGTTGGTGTAAAGGAAAACCGAAATGCTCGAGGGTTGGTGATCCGGCGAAGATCAAACCGGGTCATGGAGCTAAACGGCTTCACGCGCTTGTTACAAGACTTTATTTTACGTCTAAAATTACTCAAAAACAATGTGCATAGGGCTCAATGCGCTTGTTATGGGCGAATTCTGTTTACATGTTTCATGATACTTCTTTCTAAAATGTGAAAAACTTTGTGAATATTCTGTCACTATTTCTCGACGTATAACTATATAAGATCCATATCATTGTACGTAGATAAATTTATATGATATAATCAAGACATGCACGTCAACATTATGTAAAAAAAAAAAAAAGATGATCCAGTGTTCATATGCTTCTTCGACGCATGTATGGATTTGGTTTATGAATAATGAAGATTAGATAGGTATAACCATATAAACTTGTTCAAAGGAGAAACAAAGCTTCACCATGCTTAAAGCCCAAGTTCTTAAGAGCAATTGACTTGTTATTGACAACCTTTATGCAATCATAAGCATCTCTTTTAAATTTTAATCAGAATGAGAAATAGACCGCTTCGAAAACGAGCCAAACAGTTACCTTCGTCCGCTTTGATGCTCTGAAGTGAAGAGATGGTGTTCACACTGCACCCATGCAGAGAGCACTACACGGGGACAGGAACAGGAAACGGGGACCTAGTATATTACTTCAATCTCTTTAGTTTCCAATTTTTGAATAAGTTAATATACATAACTCTACACGGGGACACCTATTTGGATAGAGATACGTCCCTGAAACCGTCCCTATTTTTTATGCCGTCTCCGTCTTCCATGGGACACTCCCGGGACGTTTCAGTGGCGTCCCCGAAGAGTACCAGTCCCCGGAACGTTTCCGGTACGGGAGACGGCAGCAAAATGGCGTCCCCGTGCATCATAGGTAGGGGCAATCTAAGTTTCTGAAGATTTTGCTTCACTCATGATGATCTTACAATATCAAAGTTTTGGCTTGTTTCGTTGACCTATTCTTTATATATTATTTTGAGATCCTAAGATAGAAGGTTCTTCAATGGCGTCCTCAAACTCAGAAATGAAATGGATCAAACCGGGTCCTGGAGCTAAACGGCTACAGGCGCTTGTTAAAAGACTTGTTTCTACACCTAAAATGATACAGAAACAATGTAGATAAGGCAAAGCCCTTGTTCGTGGCCGATCTATGTTTTGATGTTTCATGTGGATTAATCTGTATACTATATAAGATCCATAATGTACGGAAATAAATTTATTTGATATGAGACGGGCTATTCAACGCAAGAGTGAGAAAATAAGATAATATGTGTTACAAGTCAAAACTGATTATTCAATGATTTGGTTTTGTTTATAAAGTAAACGAGAAAGCTACACATTGCCGACATAATACATATCTGAGCTTAAATTCTAGAAACTTCTTATCAAAAGAGAAAAAAAAAAATCTAATATATATAATTAGGGAGTTGTTCTTTCCATCTAGAGTGTCCACATCAGTACAAAAACATTAAATTGTATTTAAAATATTTAATAAATATATGACGGTTTATATTTCTTTACATTTATTTATATTTAATAAAAATATAAAAATTAATTAATTAATTAATAGAAAGTATGTGATAATTTGATGTTAAAAGTTGTAAAAAAGTTGGAATATAAAATAGAGATGGAGTAAAGAAATATTTAACTTCAAATAGTATATATTAACCTTTTTATTCAAATGATTTATCCTATTCAAAAATGTTAGAATGTGTTTACAAGTGAAAAAGTTGATTATAAATCCATTAAGACAATAGAAAGCTAATGAAACATTAGAGTTAGAGTTTTTTTTTTTCTAAACAAATAGAAATGGAGTTTTATATGTAAATTTCAAAGCAAATAGATATAGAGTTTCAAAAGTCAAAACATAACAAAACATGAAAGTTAACACAAAATCATTGTAATTCAAATCAACAAGTATAAATAAAATTAAACAGAAAAACTATCACAAACAAACAAACGTGGGCTTCAAACCTAGTGGTAATAATACTGATGCAATGTTTTTTGCTTTTAAGTTGTAAATCCTATAAAGCAAATTATCCAGTTTGCTAGTTTTGATATATTTTCATAGTTACCATGTAAGTACTAAATACTAAATAGAAAATAATATCTGATTAAAATCTGTGATATACTCGAATGTGATATACTCGAATAAGTAAATGAAATGCATTTTTGTTATAAAATCTTGGAAGAAATCAAGGTTTTTAAACTATATAATGAGACAAAATCTCTATATAAAAAATAAACCTCTGTCAAAAAGAATGACTTTATGTCAATATCTTTGGAAGAAGGCATTCCTCGATAAAAGGATTCTAGTTCTCACTTGAAGTACTATTTTGGCATATACTTTGGAGTATAAAAATAGGATTGACCACATTAGCCAGTTTTTTTGTAGCCATTTTGCTAACAAAGAAAGAAAAATGAAGCTTTTTGGTTAATTCTGGTTGGTTGTTAACTTGTAGGGTTACCTTACTGAGGACATTTAATGAAGTGTTTTAAATGGATGGCTGTGATCGTTTATGAGAATCAACGGTGGAGATTACAAAGTGGGTCTAAAAGGAAGAATAAAGCCACGATCAAGAGAAGAGTAGCTCTAACTAAATTAGATTCATTATTGAAAAAATGTTGTTACAGTTTTCTTCTTCTTCTCTCTTGAGGAATTCATATCCATTGTTTGAATTCTTGAGGTATGTTCGAGATTTCATTGTTTCATGAACATTGGAATTTCCATTTAGCTTCTTCAATTAAAAGCACGGTTTATTTGTATCATTTAAAAACATGAACAAGGGGAGATGAATAGTCAACAATCCGATTGATTCTCGATCAGCGGTCAACGAAATTTGTAGCTCTCCCACGTACAGACTCGTCTATGATTCTAATTCGCTCTTCCTCCCTAACTTTTTTAAATTAAACCAGAAGATAGGACAGCGGAATCTAATTTAGTTAGAGCTAGAGAAAACTCAATACAACAATTGAAATAGAGAAAAAAAAAAAAAATTAGAGAAACCGGCTCTCATCCATTCGCGTACTTTGAGACACCAAGTACCATGCCCTCCACACTTGGTTTGAAGCAAGAAGATAACTCCTTTTAACCTTCTTGTATCAAATCCCTCAGAATTATGAAGCAGATGTAAACAATGACTTTTTTTAGTAAAAATTGCATTAGAAAAAAAAGAAAACCCTAACAAGGAGGCTAAACGATCTTAATTAAAGATTGACGCTAAATGAAAATAAGATGGTGGATTTCAGTTTAGATAGCACCTACCATAAATCAAATACTATGATTAATCGGCCAGAGACTATAATGTTATTTATAACATTAAATCGGTATAAATTAAATGAAAACGGAAAGAGGAATGTTATTTATAATATTATTAATCGGTATAATATTAAATGAAAAATATTGTAATACAAGGTTATTTATCGTATTAACTTTTAACCCATGCAACGAGCAAAGATGTATACAGAAATTACCACGAGGAACATAATGATAGCAATGTGGGGAGGAAACATGGGCATCGAAGCTAAGTAGGCTGAGGTAACGATGAGAAGGAGCGATAAACGATCTAGAAAGGCAGCAAGAGTTGGGTGTGTTCCGCGAAACACCGCGTGGGCCAAGAGGAAGAGAGAGAAAGCCAACGGATTAAGGAAGCATTGGATGTAGATGCTGGTATTGAGGTCTGGAAGTTGGGACCATATTGATGTGTAGGCTACCGCAGAAGCAAAGAAATAGCTTGGGACGCATAAGATCATCATACGCTCCATTATGTGGAATTCATCTTGGCCATGTTGTACCGATTGATTGCCAAAAAATCGTTCATACAATGTTCTGCTCTGACCCGTGGGAGCTGAGTGATCAGTCCACACCGTAACTTGATGATTCGCGTTGTCCTGACCCGGCGGTGACTGAGACGGAGGGCTCGGCTTAGTGTGATATTCTGGCTTCGTTTGGTGACTTGCGGAGCAAGGAACCCTCACTTGGTTGCTGAGCTGTTCTTGCTGGATTGGGTTAGCCGGTGACGAAGGAGGGTGATCGCTCGGCGGAGTTGCGTCGCCCGGTAACTGAGAGTCCATGTGGTTCCCCGGAAATGGACTTGTCGGGTTACTCTGGTTTGGTGCTGTCGGATGACGTCGACCACTGAGAGCAACAACAGATGCTAAAACAGTATATACCATAATGATCACTATTATAAAAATCATCTTTGGGAATGTTTAGAGAGAGAAAAAGATTTCAAGTGTATGGTACTGTTTTTCTTTAGTCTTTATAGACAAATTTGGCATACAGTGACGGCCGCGTGTGAGTAATGAATTAGGTGATGACGTGAGTGTTGAAGAAGAAGTATATCGACTCTCATAACTTATTCAATATACATAAAACGAGTGGCGGATCCAAAATATTTTTTCATGGGGGTGACCATGATCGTACATATTCTATAAAAAATACGCCATTTTTTTTTTTTTTTTTTGTTAAAAGAACAATAAAAAAAGAAGATAAAAACAAACATGTTTCAAACATCTGATTGGTTCTCCCGCTACCACCCGCAAACGCAGCGTTTGCGGTTCGTAGCGGTTTTCGGCGGTTTATAACAATCACGACAACCGCTTTGAATCGCTCTATACCACTCTGTACCGCTCTATATCGCTGAAAATCAAAAGCTCCTTTCCGCAAGCGTTTGCGGTTGCGGGCGGTTGCGGGTGGATAATTAAAAAAAAAAAAAACACAAACTTATATAAAATCCGAAAATAAATAATAATATTTATTAAAAAATAAGATTTGGATAATAAAATCACAATATAAATAAAAAATTAGTACTTTTAGTCAATATTCATTAAAATCATATAATACTTATATATTTATAAGTTCTACAAATCAAAATTCTCTTCATAAATATTCTTTTCATACTAATACATATATATCTAATAAATAAAATTGTAAAATAAATTTAATTTTCACATTAAATATATATTTTGAAAATAAAATCACATTTTTATTTAAATTATAGAAATTAAAAGATAGACGTAAGTATTATACACATATTATTATTTATAAAAAAATATTTTTAATTATGTTGAACCATAAATTTAAAATTTTCATTATAAATATTTTTGATATTTTTATAATTATATAATGTGTTTATATTATTAATTTATTGTTTAACCGCTATTGCATCCGCAAGTGAACCAGTCATAAGTAACCCGCAAACGCATCCATTTTCAATTGTTATGCCAGTCGTACAAACCGCTTAATAACGCTACTAATCACAACCGCCCGCTTCGCAAACTCCCGCACCCGCAACCGCAACCGCAGCGGTTAAACCAGTCAGGCCCTTAAAACCTACGTTTTGGAAGCTTCTACCTAAAATATACCTGACAAAAGAAAACTAGTAGATGTAGCAGTACCTGCTCAGAGGAGAGGTAATCACTAACTCGATAGTGTTTAGTAATCCTGATTCAAGGATTTCCTTGCGCCGTTCAGAAACCTGAGAAATGATCAAGTTTCATATTTATCTATACAAGAGTGCATGTCAAGGTATCATTCTCGTGGTTCTGTCCTCTCATTCTTCTTCGTCTTCTTCTTTACATGTTTATATTATTCTTGTATATATACACGCAATGTACCCTCACTTCCTTCCACCCACTTTCATAGAAACATCTTTGAGTCAACTGAGGTTTAAATTGCATTCTCTTTTGGACTACAAAAATGCCTCTTTAAATAGTGAAAGCCTAAACCTTCATGCCGTGCTGATTCGGTTGGGTGGGTGGGTCGGTCTACCAAACGTACACCATTCGTTTCAACTTTCAATATCCTTTTTCCGTCATTTATTTATAAAGATTTTGTTGGGATCGGAATTCCATTATGGGTATCATTAAAGGTTTAAAGCGTACAGTGGATAGGTCAACATTACTCCATATATAAGAAAATTACCATAATGCCATCTATTTTCAATTTTCATTAAGAAAAAAAAAATTAAGACATGTGAAATAGTATTAAGTTTTCTTCTCATTAAAGTAACTCTCAGTAATTAACTTGCCTTTTTGGCTGGCAGGCAAAAAAAAACACTTGCCTTTTATGCTTACAAGTTGCAAATTAGATAAGAAGAGCGCGTATTCTTATCGCGGCGACTATATAAATACAGTATTTATCTTTGTAACCAATAGGTCTCTTATTAATTACAGAAAACGAATAGTATATGAGCACGAGGGGTTCACGCAAATGTAGAAGAATCTCAAACTTGACAATATTGGGTTTCAAGAATAAAACAATAAAATAAATAATTAGTAGCTTAGTTTCTTCAGTGTTACGTTAATTTTGAATAAAGACTCCGTAAACTCTCTGAAACTTTCTCTGTGGAATCATTTCTCCGTGGACTAACACAGGCTGAAAAGTAAAAACATAACAAACAATAATGAAAGGTCAAGAAATGGATATAATAATAATTAAGTAAATTGGTTATGTAAGATCATACTAACCCTTTGTCTACAATTACGAAAGTACGAATTTCGCAATTAGTAAACCTGTAAGATAGCATATAACATATATTATTGATCAAAAGACTATAACTAAACAAAGAATTAACTATTTGATTCATATTGCAAATGATGTTTTTAAATTTTAAAGGAAAACAAAAAAAATACCTCTTGCAAAGTTCATGTCTAATTGACTGGTCACAATCGTTTGCCAGCACATACAACATATGCTGCAACACTATGCCATGGCTAACAACTGCGACCTCCTTCTCTGGTCTCTTCCATAACCTAATGAAGTTATTATGGTCACCATTTGACAAACTCAAGGCCTCTAGCGGAAACTTCTTCTAGGTTTTCCCTTTCCTCGGCTTGCCATAGAGGATCTTCATCACTCTCTATCTATAATCAAATGAAAATTAATAAATTTATTAAAATTTTGAAAGTAAAAACAAGTTCTGTTGATGAACTTTTAAGGAACCAGTGAGATCATGAAGGCCTTTAAGAAAGAAAGAAAAAAAAGAAACAGTGAGATCTTTAACTAAATAGCTACCATTGTGAAGTCGATATCTGAGAAACGAGTGCGATAGGTACTTATATTTTCTCTCTGATCACATGGATATAACCCCTGCGAATATCAAACAATCAGAGTGTATGGTTATTCATTTTGATTGGTTATCAGAGTGTATTCATTTTGATTCGTTATTAATATATAAATCTTTGACCAAAAGTTTGGGATTCTGAGCTCTCAGGTTCAGAGAATGACTTACTAAATTTCTTAAAGAAATTAAAGAAATGAATATTACCATGCGTTCTCTACAAATCTCAAGTGCGACAATTGGAGGGAAGTTGTGAGCTTTTTGAAAGTTTTCGAATCGATTTGTAGCTTCTTGCCCCCTAAAAATTCCAGTTGAAGTTTGCATTGCCCTGAAATTGAATGGATTGTGTTACTATTATCGTGTCAAACCAGACTAACCCGCCCCATTTAACCGATTTTATAGTGGATTAAGATCTTTCATCGACTTCGACAAGTTGGTTGGGTAAAGGAACTATCGGGTCATAGAATCACCAACTCATACTCACCATGTTTGAGTTTTGTGGGTCAATCAGCAAATTGTTAAGACTTTCAGTAATTTTTTCTTATTTACTTCTTTGAATGAGTAATATATAAGATTTATATTTTAAGTGGGTCCGCTGTGCATGCGAGTTTAGAACGTTTATCAATTCTTTAACTTACAATTCAAGAAAGGAAAAAACAAAAAACAATGGTCCCAAATCCAGATAATAGTTTATTAAATTCGATTTTTGTTATTATCATGATTTCACAACATTATATGCTCGACCTACACGAAGCGATGAAAGACTCCGTCAAAGCTTCTCCCAAGACCACCACCGTCCAAGCCGTTTCCACAAATATGTACCTAATTCAGTGAACCATAAACAATTAATTACTTTACAAGCATAAGGCTCTTTTATAAACCTAATTTGTGATTGTGTACCTTTAGACTACACAAATAAGGAATCAACACAAAGAAAGAATAATGAACATGACTACTCTTCTCTTCCACGAGCGAGTGTTATGGCAACTGTGTCTCATATAGATGACAGAGAATCTTGTTATCACAAACATATTATTTTTCAAGGTATGAGACTTTAATTAACAATGAAGAACCATGAACACAACAAATGGTATTGGGAAATGAAACAAAAAGGCTCGATTTGTTCTGTAGTCAAACTAGTTTGAGAAAACAAAAGCTATGTTTCTCACAAGAAATATGAAATATTACAAAACCTGTCTTTCAAGAAACCTATAATATCATTACTTTTCTTTCTGTAGAACTTGTGTTGCTTGCTAATCTGCCGATATGTGTGCCTGCGATATATCCACCTGACCAAGCATTCTGCATAAAACATTACTTACATGAATTAATATTACCGTTTTTTTTTCACATTGTGATTGCATCTTATACTATGTATGATTTTCATTTCTTCGCTTAATAGTAGAAATGTGTATGTTCACCTGGAAATTGAAGCCTCCTGTAATTCCATCTACATTTAGTACCTGAAGACTCAAAACGTAAGAGAATATATGATGTTATGATGGTTTTGTCATGTGTATCTATGTGAAAGACAAACGAAAAAAAGCTTTGTAATAAATTGTTTTACCTCTCCTGCAAAGAAAAGATTCGGAACCAATTTGCTCTCCATTGTCTTCAAGGAAATCTTGAAATGGCCAGAGACATTGTAAAATCAGATTCATTCAAAACTGCAAACAAGAAAATGGATTGAATGAAGTTTGTTGAAAAAGACAAACCTCGGATAAAGGAACCCCACCTGCTGTCACAAACTCATCTTTGTATTGACCCTTTTGCAGCAACATAACAATACATAACTTTGTCGTTATCATCATCTTGAGTAGTATCATAATGATAAGTTTAATGTTTGATGTTTTACCTTTCCAGTGACTTGAAATGTACAATGTTTAAGAAGATCCGAGATAGAGCTCAAGGAGTTATTTGACAATGAAGCCCACAAGGTGTCTTTTGAAGAACCCTGCTCGATCATGAAGACAGTCAAAGACATTTGCATAAGTTTAAGAGGTTTTTTGCAATATGGTAAAGCTATGAACGAGGATTCTAAAAGGTTTGGTAAGAACCTCGCGGTCTAGAATGTATCTCCAGAATCTATTGACAAGACCAAACTGAGGAGGAAAGGAATTGGAGACCTTATGCTTCTGCGTTAAACAATGCTCAAAACTTTAAAATCAAAGCCAAGTAACAAAGAGAACAAAAAGAGTAAAAGGTATGAAATGTCGTTACTGAAAACTGCAGCTTGTGTTGTCTGAGTTGAGATTTTGCAGCTTCGATGTTGATATCCGGCATAAAGTCAACAATAAGAAGCCCTGCAACCAAACCATATCAACCTAATTGGAACATATTCTTAATAAAAATTCTCTTTGAAAATGGAAGATTCGAGACCTTTGTACTCTGAAGTGAAGAGATGTCGTGCACCCCATGCAGAGAGCCTGAGAATAACCGGTCCACTAAGTCCCCAATGCGTTACAAGCATTGGACCAATCTTCAAACAAAACAAGTAATCTTATAAACGTATCTTCATGGTAAAGAATGTTCAAACAAATAAAGAGGATTAGAGAAGTTGCACACACCTGAACAAGGTTTGACAAATCCGGGCGTTGATTCTCTAATTTCAGTCTGGCTTGGACTTTGGAGAAACTAATCTGAGCAAGAGAAAGAAACAATGTCAAATACGAAGCTCATAAGTCATAACACTTCTCCGTTCTAGGCAACTTTAGGTAAATATGGAGATTACCCCAGCTAACTCAATCAGCAACGGATCATTGATCTTGAAGGTGAATAAACTCGGTACTGGATCCACAATGGAATGACCAAATCGAGTGGCTAAANTGTTGACCTATTCTTTATATATTATTTTGAGATCCTAAGATAGAAGGTTCTTCAATGGCGTCCTCAAACTCAGAAATGAAATGGATCAAACCGGGTCCTGGAGCTAAACGGCTACAGGCGCTTGTTAAAAGACTTGTTTCTACACCTAAAATGATACAGAAACAATGTAGATAAGGCAAAGCCCTTGTTCGTGGCCGATCTATGTTTTGATGTTTCATGTGGATTAATCTGTATACTATATAAGATCCATAATGTACGGAAATAAATTTATTTGATATGAGACGGGCTATTCAACGCAAGAGTGAGAAAATAAGATAATATGTGTTACAAGTCAAAACTGATTATTCAATGATTTGGTTTTGTTTATAAAGTAAACGAGAAAGCTACACATTGCCGACATAATACATATCTGAGCTTAAATTCTAGAAACTTCTTATCAAAAGAGAAAAAAAAAAATCTAATATATATAATTAGGGAGTTGTTCTTTCCATCTAGAGTGTCCACATCAGTACAAAAACATTAAATTGTATTTAAAATATTTAATAAATATATGACGGTTTATATTTCTTTACATTTATTTATATTTAATAAAAATATAAAAATTAATTAATTAATTAATAGAAAGTATGTGATAATTTGATGTTAAAAGTTGTAAAAAAGTTGGAATATAAAATAGAGATGGAGTAAAGAAATATTTAACTTCAAATAGTATATATTAACCTTTTTATTCAAATGATTTATCCTATTCAAAAATGTTAGAATGTGTTTACAAGTGAAAAAGTTGATTATAAATCCATTAAGACAATAGAAAGCTAATGAAACATTAGAGTTAGAGTTTTTTTTTTTCTAAACAAATAGAAATGGAGTTTTATATGTAAATTTCAAAGCAAATAGATATAGAGTTTCAAAAGTCAAAACATAACAAAACATGAAAGTTAACACAAAATCATTGTAATTCAAATCAACAAGTATAAATAAAATTAAACAGAAAAACTATCACAAACAAACAAACGTGGGCTTCAAACCTAGTGGTAATAATACTGATGCAATGTTTTTTGCTTTTAAGTTGTAAATCCTATAAAGCAAATTATCCAGTTTGCTAGTTTTGATATATTTTCATAGTTACCATGTAAGTACTAAATACTAAATAGAAAATAATATCTGATTAAAATCTGTGATATACTCGAATGTGATATACTCGAATAAGTAAATGAAATGCATTTTTGTTATAAAATCTTGGAAGAAATCAAGGTTTTTAAACTATATAATGAGACAAAATCTCTATATAAAAAATAAACCTCTGTCAAAAAGAATGACTTTATGTCAATATCTTTGGAAGAAGGCATTCCTCGATAAAAGGATTCTAGTTCTCACTTGAAGTACTATTTTGGCATATACTTTGGAGTATAAAAATAGGATTGACCACATTAGCCAGTTTTTTTGTAGCCATTTTGCTAACAAAGAAAGAAAAATGAAGCTTTTTGGTTAATTCTGGTTGGTTGTTAACTTGTAGGGTTACCTTACTGAGGACATTTAATGAAGTGTTTTAAATGGATGGCTGTGATCGTTTATGAGAATCAACGGTGGAGATTACAAAGTGGGTCTAAAAGGAAGAATAAAGCCACGATCAAGAGAAGAGTAGCTCTAACTAAATTAGATTCATTATTGAAAAAATGTTGTTACAGTTTTCTTCTTCTTCTCTCTTGAGGAATTCATATCCATTGTTTGAATTCTTGAGGTATGTTCGAGATTTCATTGTTTCATGAACATTGGAATTTCCATTTAGCTTCTTCAATTAAAAGCACGGTTTATTTGTATCATTTAAAAACATGAACAAGGGGAGATGAATAGTCAACAATCCGATTGATTCTCGATCAGCGGTCAACGAAATTTGTAGCTCTCCCACGTACAGACTCGTCTATGATTCTAATTCGCTCTTCCTCCCTAACTTTTTTAAATTAAACCAGAAGATAGGACAGCGGAATCTAATTTAGTTAGAGCTAGAGAAAACTCAATACAACAATTGAAATAGAGAAAAAAAAAAAAAATTAGAGAAACCGGCTCTCATCCATTCGCGTACTTTGAGACACCAAGTACCATGCCCTCCACACTTGGTTTGAAGCAAGAAGATAACTCCTTTTAACCTTCTTGTATCAAATCCCTCAGAATTATGAAGCAGATGTAAACAATGACTTTTTTTAGTAAAAATTGCATTAGAAAAAAAAGAAAACCCTAACAAGGAGGCTAAACGATCTTAATTAAAGATTGACGCTAAATGAAAATAAGATGGTGGATTTCAGTTTAGATAGCACCTACCATAAATCAAATACTATGATTAATCGGCCAGAGACTATAATGTTATTTATAACATTAAATCGGTATAAATTAAATGAAAACGGAAAGAGGAATGTTATTTATAATATTATTAATCGGTATAATATTAAATGAAAAATATTGTAATACAAGGTTATTTATCGTATTAACTTTTAACCCATGCAACGAGCAAAGATGTATACAGAAATTACCACGAGGAACATAATGATAGCAATGTGGGGAGGAAACATGGGCATCGAAGCTAAGTAGGCTGAGGTAACGATGAGAAGGAGCGATAAACGATCTAGAAAGGCAGCAAGAGTTGGGTGTGTTCCGCGAAACACCGCGTGGGCCAAGAGGAAGAGAGAGAAAGCCAACGGATTAAGGAAGCATTGGATGTAGATGCTGGTATTGAGGTCTGGAAGTTGGGACCATATTGATGTGTAGGCTACCGCAGAAGCAAAGAAATAGCTTGGGACGCATAAGATCATCATACGCTCCATTATGTGGAATTCATCTTGGCCATGTTGTACCGATTGATTGCCAAAAAATCGTTCATACAATGTTCTGCTCTGACCCGTGGGAGCTGAGTGATCAGTCCACACCGTAACTTGATGATTCGCGTTGTCCTGACCCGGCGGTGACTGAGACGGAGGGCTCGGCTTAGTGTGATATTCTGGCTTCGTTTGGTGACTTGCGGAGCAAGGAACCCTCACTTGGTTGCTGAGCTGTTCTTGCTGGATTGGGTTAGCCGGTGACGAAGGAGGGTGATCGCTCGGCGGAGTTGCGTCGCCCGGTAACTGAGAGTCCATGTGGTTCCCCGGAAATGGACTTGTCGGGTTACTCTGGTTTGGTGCTGTCGGATGACGTCGACCACTGAGAGCAACAACAGATGCTAAAACAGTATATACCATAATGATCACTATTATAAAAATCATCTTTGGGAATGTTTAGAGAGAGAAAAAGATTTCAAGTGTATGGTACTGTTTTTCTTTAGTCTTTATAGACAAATTTGGCATACAGTGACGGCCGCGTGTGAGTAATGAATTAGGTGATGACGTGAGTGTTGAAGAAGAAGTATATCGACTCTCATAACTTATTCAATATACATAAAACGAGTGGCGGATCCAAAATATTTTTTCATGGGGGTGACCATGATCGTACATATTCTATAAAAAATACGCCATTTTTTTTTTTTTTTTTTGTTAAAGAGAGGGATCCACCCGACATAAAAAAATCAATGTTTCATCAAAAACAAACATGTTATACAAACTACTGATTGGTTCTCCCGCTACCACCCGCAAACGCAGCGTTTGCGGTTCGTAGCGGTTTTCGGCGGTTTATAACAATCACGACAACCGCTTTGAATCGCTCTATACCACTCTGTACCGCTCTATATCGCTGAAAATCAAAAGCTCCTTTCCGCAAGCGTTTGCGGTTGCGGGCGGTTGCGGGTGGATAATTAAAAAAAAAAAAAAAAAACACAAACTTATATAAAATCCGAAAATAAATAATAATATTTATTAAAAAATAAGATTTGGATAATAAAATCACAATATAAATAAAAAATTAGTACTTTTAGTCAATATTCATTAAAATCATATAATACTTATATATTTATAAGTTCTACAAATCAAAATTCTCTTCATAAATATTCTTTTCATACTAATACATATATATCTAATAAATAAAATTGTAAAATAAATTTAATTTTCACATTAAATATATATTTTGAAAATAAAATCACATTTTTATTTAAATTATAGAAATTAAAAGATAGACGTAAGTATTATACACATATTATTATTTATAAAAAAATATTTTTAATTATGTTGAACCATAAATTTAAAATTTTCATTTAAAATATTTTTGATATTTTTATAATTATATAATGTGTTTATATTATTAATTTATTGTTTAACCGCTATTGCATCCGCAAGTGAACCAGTCATAAGTAACCCGCAAACGCATCCATTTTCAATTGTTATGCCAGTCGTACAAACCGCTTAATAACGCTACTAATCACAACCGCCCGCTTCTGCAAACTCCCGCACCCGCAACCGCAACCGCAGCGGTTAAACCAGTCAGGCCCTTAAAACCTACGTTTTGGAAGCTTCTACCTAAAATATACCTGACAAAAGAAAACTAGTAGATGTAGCAGTACCTGCTCAGAGGAGAGGTAATCACTAACTCGATAGTGTTTAGTAATCCTGATTCAAGGATTTCCTTGCGCCGTTCAGAAACCTGAGAAATGATCAAGTTTCATATTTATCTATACAAGAGTGCATGTCAAGGTATCATTCTCGTGGTTCTGTCCTCTCATTCTTCTTCGTCTTCTTCTTTACATGTTTATATTATTCTTGTATATATACACGCAATGTACCCTCACTTCCTTCCACCCACTTTCATAGAAACATCTTTGAGTCAACTGAGGTTTAAATTGCATTCTCTTTTGGACTACAAAAATGCCTCTTTAAATAGTGAAAGCCTAAACCTTCATGCCGTGCTGATTCGGTTGGGTGGGTGGGTCGGTCTACCAAACGTACACCATTCGTTTCAACTTTCAATATCCTTTTTCCGTCATTTATTTATAAAGATTTTGTTGGGATCGGAATTCCATTATGGGTATCATTAAAGGTTTAAAGCGTACAGTGGATAGGTCAACATTACTCCATATATAAGAAAATTACCATAATGCCATCTATTTTCAATTTTCATTAAGAAAAAAAAAATTAAGACATGTGAAATAGTATTAAGTTTTCTTCTCATTAAAGTAACTCTCAGTAATTAACTTGCCTTTTTGGCTGGCAGGCAAAAAAAAACACTTGCCTTTTATGCTTACAAGTTGCAAATTAGATAAGAAGAGCGCGTATTCTTATCGCGGCGACTATATAAATACAGTATTTATCTTTGTAACCAATAGGTCTCTTATTAATTACAGAAAACGAATAGTATATGAGCACGAGGGGTTCACGCAAATGTAGAAGAATCTCAAACTTGACAATATTGGGTTTCAAGAATAAAACAATAAAATAAATAATTAGTAGCTTAGTTTCTTCAGTGTTACGTTAATTTTGAATAAAGACTCCGTAAACTCTCTGAAACTTTCTCTGTGGAATCATTTCTCCGTGGACTAACACAGGCTGAAAAGTAAAAACATAACAAACAATAATGAAAGGTCAAGAAATGGATATAATAATAATTAAGTAAATTGGTTATGTAAGATCATACTAACCCTTTGTCTACAATTACGAAAGTACGAATTTCGCAATTAGTAAACCTGTAAGATAGCATATAACATATATTATTGATCAAAAGACTATAACTAAACAAAGAATTAACTATTTGATTCATATTGCAAATGATGTTTTTAAATTTTAAAGGAAAACAAAAAAAATACCTCTTGCAAAGTTCATGTCTAATTGACTGGTCACAATCGTTTGCCAGCACATACAACATATGCTGCAACACTATGCCATGGCTAACAACTGCGACCTCCTTCTCTGGTCTCTTCCATAACCTAATGAAGTTATTATGGTCACCATTTGACAAACTCAAGGCCTCTAGCGGAAACTTCTTCTAGGTTTTCCCTTTCCTCGGCTTGCCATAGAGGATCTTCATCACTCTCTATCTATAATCAAATGAAAATTAATAAATTTATTAAAATTTTGAAAGTAAAAACAAGTTCTGTTGATGAACTTTTAAGGAACCAGTGAGATCATGAAGGCCTTTAAGAAAGAAAGAAAAAAAAGAAACAGTGAGATCTTTAACTAAATAGCTACCATTGTGAAGTCGATATCTGAGAAACGAGTGCGATAGGTACTTATATTTTCTCTCTGATCACATGGATATAACCCCTGCGAATATCAAACAATCAGAGTGTATGGTTATTCATTTTGATTGGTTATCAGAGTGTATTCATTTTGATTCGTTATTAATATATAAATCTTTGACCAAAAGTTTGGGATTCTGAGCTCTCAGGTTCAGAGAATGACTTACTAAATTTCTTAAAGAAATTAAAGAAATGAATATTACCATGCGTTCTCTACAAATCTCAAGTGCGACAATTGGAGGGAAGTTGTGAGCTTTTTGAAAGTTTTCGAATCGATTTGTAGCTTCTTGCCCCCTAAAAATTCCAGTTGAAGTTTGCATTGCCCTGAAATTGAATGGATTGTGTTACTATTATCGTGTCAAACCAGACTAACCCGCCCCATTTAACCGATTTTATAGTGGATTAAGATCTTTCATCGACTTCGACAAGTTGGTTGGGTAAAGGAACTATCGGGTCATAGAATCACCAACTCATACTCACCATGTTTGAGTTTTGTGGGTCAATCAGCAAATTGTTAAGACTTTCAGTAATTTTTTCTTATTTACTTCTTTGAATGAGTAATATATAAGATTTATATTTTAAGTGGGTCCGCTGTGCATGCGAGTTTAGAACGTTTATCAATTCTTTAACTTACAATTCAAGAAAGGAAAAAACAAAAAACAATGGTCCCAAATCCAGATAATAGTTTATTAAATTCGATTTTTGTTATTATCATGATTTCACAACATTATATGCTCGACCTACACGAAGCGATGAAAGACTCCGTCAAAGCTTCTCCCAAGACCACCACCGTCCAAGCCGTTTCCACAAATATGTACCTAATTCAGTGAACCATAAACAATTAATTACTTTACAAGCATAAGGCTCTTTTATAAACCTAATTTGTGATTGTGTACCTTTAGACTACACAAATAAGGAATCAACACAAAGAAAGAATAATGAACATGACTACTCTTCTCTTCCACGAGCGAGTGTTATGGCAACTGTGTCTCATATAGATGACAGAGAATCTTGTTATCACAAACATATTATTTTTCAAGGTATGAGACTTTAATTAACAATGAAGAACCATGAACACAACAAATGGTATTGGGAAATGAAACAAAAAGGCTCGATTTGTTCTGTAGTCAAACTAGTTTGAGAAAACAAAAGCTATGTTTCTCACAAGAAATATGAAATATTACAAAACCTGTCTTTCAAGAAACCTATAATATCATTACTTTTCTTTCTGTAGAACTTGTGTTGCTTGCTAATCTGCCGATATGTGTGCCTGCGATATATCCACCTGACCAAGCATTCTGCATAAAACATTACTTACATGAATTAATATTACCGTTTTTTTTTCACATTGTGATTGCATCTTATACTATGTATGATTTTCATTTCTTCGCTTAATAGTAGAAATGTGTATGTTCACCTGGAAATTGAAGCCTCCTGTAATTCCATCTACATTTAGTACCTGAAGACTCAAAACGTAAGAGAATATATGATGTTATGATGGTTTTGTCATGTGTATCTATGTGAAAGACAAACGAAAAAAAGCTTTGTAATAAATTGTTTTACCTCTCCTGCAAAGAAAAGATTCGGAACCAATTTGCTCTCCATTGTCTTCAAGGAAATCTTGAAATGGCCAGAGACATTGTAAAATCAGATTCATTCAAAACTGCAAACAAGAAAATGGATTGAATGAAGTTTGTTGAAAAAGACAAACCTCGGATAAAGGAACCCCACCTGCTGTCACAAACTCATCTTTGTATTGACCCTTTTGCAGCAACATAACAATACATAACTTTGTCGTTATCATCATCTTGAGTAGTATCATAATGATAAGTTTAATGTTTGATGTTTTACCTTTCCAGTGACTTGAAATGTACAATGTTTAAGAAGATCCGAGATAGAGCTCAAGGAGTTATTTGACAATGAAGCCCACAAGGTGTCTTTTGAAGAACCCTGCTCGATCATGAAGACAGTCAAAGACATTTGCATAAGTTTAAGAGGTTTTTTGCAATATGGTAAAGCTATGAACGAGGATTCTAAAAGGTTTGGTAAGAACCTCGCGGTCTAGAATGTATCTCCAGAATCTATTGACAAGACCAAACTGAGGAGGAAAGGAATTGGAGACCTTATGCTTCTGCGTTAAACAATGCTCAAAACTTTAAAATCAAAGCCAAGTAACAAAGAGAACAAAAAGAGTAAAAGGTATGAAATGTCGTTACTGAAAACTGCAGCTTGTGTTGTCTGAGTTGAGATTTTGCAGCTTCGATGTTGATATCCGGCATAAAGTCAACAATAAGAAGCCCTGCAACCAAACCATATCAACCTAATTGGAACATATTCTTAATAAAAATTCTCTTTGAAAATGGAAGATTCGAGACCTTTGTACTCTGAAGTGAAGAGATGTCGTGCACCCCATGCAGAGAGCCTGAGAATAACCGGTCCACTAAGTCCCCAATGCGTTACAAGCATTGGACCAATCTTCAAACAAAACAAGTAATCTTATAAACGTATCTTCATGGTAAAGAATGTTCAAACAAATAAAGAGGATTAGAGAAGTTGCACACACCTGAACAAGGTTTGACAAATCCGGGCGTTGATTCTCTAATTTCAGTCTGGCTTGGACTTTGGAGAAACTAATCTGAGCAAGAGAAAGAAACAATGTCAAATACGAAGCTCATAAGTCATAACACTTCTCCGTTCTAGGCAACTTTAGGTAAATATGGAGATTACCCCAGCTAACTCAATCAGCAACGGATCATTGATCTTGAAGGTGAATAAACTCGGTACTGGATCCACAATGGAATGACCAAATCGAGTGGCTAAATCGTGACCCTGTAACATAATCAAAATATATCCTCTGAAACATGAGAAGCATTATTACGAAATGTTCTAAAAATGGGATGCTATAACCTGTTGGCTACTTCCAGTAGCAAGAAGAAGATATGAAGCTTCGATAGTTTCAGACGTGTCAGCACTTCGCTTCCCAACTTTGATACTGAACTTTCCGTCTGGTTTAGTAGAAGCACTTAACACAGACTTTCCTCTCTCAAGCCTAACTGGTTTCAAGAAATTTGAGTGTATATATGAATGAAGAGAACACAACAGTTAAGAAGAATGAATGTTACAAGAGATGCGTTATGATTACCTCCCCTGATATGTGCTTCATGTAAGAGACAATCAACTACAGAAGCTGAATCATCACTCACTGGGAATACTCTTCCATCGTCTTCAGTCTGTTTGGACACTAGAGTTAGGCGAAAATGCGGAATAAGTACAAAGAGTTATGAACGTTAGATTGACGAGAGAATTCACAACCTTTAGTGGCACTCCATGCTCAGAGAACCATGACATGGTATCAGCAGGACCATGTGTGTAAAAGAAAGAACCTTTAAGCTCTTTGTTACCACGAGGATAATTCTCTGCCAATCTCTACACCAAAAATTTAGTTACTGAGTTAGCAAAGACTCAAACCGAGCTTCCCACAAGATGAAAGATAAAACTAGAGAAGACAGCTTCATGATTTGGCAATTTCCAGGCATAAAGTTTCAAGCTTTCTATGTCTAGTAACATTCACAATATTTTCTGTTGCAATGCTCTGTCAATCTCTACATCCAAATTTAGTTACTGAGTTAGCAAAAACTAAAAACCAAGCTAAACCGAGCTTCCCACCAAATCAAAGACAGAAAACTAGAAGAAAGCTTCATGATTTTGCAATTTTCACAATAAAGTTTCAAGCTCTCTATGTCTACAGCATTCACAATAGTGTCGTTGCAATGCTCTGCAAATCTCTACATGAATATTTGATATTAAGTTAACAATAACACAAATCAAGTTAAACTAATATGCTTCCCACAAGATGAAGGAGAAAACTACAAGAAAGCTTCATGATTCTGCAATTTCAGGCACTAAGTTTAAAACTTTCTATGTGAACAACACTCGCAATATACAAATCTGATATAAAGTTAACAAAAGCAAAAAAAAACAAGCTATGAACAGAAAAGCTTCATCATTCTGCAATTTTCAAGCATATCAAGTTTGAAACTTTCACTGAGAACAAACACTCACAGTTGTATCGGTGCAATGCCCATTTGTCACATTGCATCGACCACCACCAGAAATCTTCACCTGCGCATTGCAAAAACGATTAAACTAATGAACAAAAAGACTCATTTTTCTCGTCAACTGAGTTTAGCAAAATGGAAAGAAGAGGCCTAAACCTTAGAAAGAAATCTTCCTTTCTCGATAACCAAAACCCTCAAATCAGGTGAGAGAGTTTTAGCTCTAATTGCTCCATAAACACCAGCTGCTCCCCCACCAACAACTACCAAAACCTCATTCTCCTCCTTTTTCTCCTTTCAAATTTCAAATAAAAAACCCAACAGTTCAGACAAAAACAAGCAAAGAACTAAATTTTGATTGGGTAATGAACAAAACAAAGCGAAACTTACCTTTGCAGCAAAATTGATTGTAGCAGTGGCACTGAATATCCTCCTTCTCCTGCTACTTCTACATAACAGAGCTTTCACAGGAACCCATAAAGGATTTGCTAATTTCAAATTCATTTTAGCCGCTCAAATTTCCTAACTTTTTTCCTCACTTTATCCTAACTAAATCGATTCGAGCTTCCTTCAAACAAAAAAGAAATTGATTCTATCAGCAAAACAAACCCCAACCCAGAAAAACTACCCGTTAAACCCTTCAGTGGTGTAAACTGTGACTCAATGGTGATGATAATGATTTCAGAACGACGGTTCTCTCAAACCAAAACGACTTCGTTTGAAACGGATAAAAGTTTAATGGAAAAAATATGTTTTTTAACTTCTAAAGGATCTTTGGACTGGAAACAAGAATAAAGATCTTTGAACTTTGTTAAATTTAAATCTCTTATTTTTACTTGTCTTAATAAAATAACAAAGTATTTTTCTTTGTCTTTGGTATGACAAGGATAAAGTTTTCAATCGAAATTTATAAGCAAGAAGTGATAAAGTGACTTTGCTAATATACGTATCAATGCTTAATTATTGATTAAAACATTTCTTTTAAATCCACATCAGCTTGATACCCACCGGATGGATGCCATGAGCTGGATCTCCTTGTCCTACTGTTTTACCGCCGTATTCATACTCAATGCCATCTTCGCCGGAGTAAAAAACCAACCGATTTTAGCCCTCGAGCGAGGATACTCTCCTTAAGCACGATGATTTCACTAACCTTTCTTCTGGCGTATTGGTTTGATCGTGCAGGAGTGGCGCTGGTCTTGCTGTCGGCACTTGCTGCCTCCGTTCCAAATGTTATGCTTGGCTGGTCTTTGGGGTATATAGGTAGTCTTGTTATTTGTTACTCCCTCCGTTTTTTTAAGATGAATTTTATAGATATTAGTTGATGTTTCACAAAGATAAATTTTCTACTTTTTTAATACACTTTTTCAGTTTTCAAGAAAATCATATCTGTTAGATGTTTATTGGTTGAAAATTATAGAAAGTTGTTTTATTGCAAAAATCAATACATTAATGATTGAAAATCTGCTTTTCCTTAATATGTGTGAAAATCCTAGAAAATTTATCCAAAAAAAACGGAGGGAGTATATTTTTGTGAGAATTAGGGCGTTTTATCGAAGTTAAATGTACGTTTCTTTTTTTTTTTCAAAAAATGTACGTTTTTTGAACACGGAAGATTCGAACCTTTGTACTCTGAGATGAAGAGATGGCGTGCACCCCATGCCATGCAGAGAGCCTGAGAATAACCGGTCCACTAAGTCCCCAATGTGTCACAAGCATTGGACCAATCTTGAAAGAAAACAAGTATTCTTACAAAGTTATCTTCATGGTAAAGAATGTTAAACAAATAAAGAGGATTACAGAGATGCACACCTGCTCAAGGTTTGACAAATCCAGACGTTGATTCGCTAATTTCAGTCTGGCTACTAATCTGAGCAAGAGAAAGAAACAATGTCAAATACGAAGCTCATAACACTTTTTCATTCTAGGCAATACACTTTTTCATTATAGGTTGAAAACTAATACAGCTAACTCAGCCAGCAACGGATCATTGATCTTGAAGGTGAATAAACTCGGTACTGGATCCACAATGGAATGACCAAATCGAGTGGCTAAAGCGTGACCCTGTAACATAATTCAAAACATGAGAACCGCAACTATGAAATGGTTCTCTAAAGGAGATCTTATAAATTATAACCTGTTGGCTACTTCCAGTTATAACGCAATAAGGAGATATGAAGCTTCGATAGATTCAGACGTGTCAGCACTTCGCTTCCCATCTTTGGTTTAGTAGAAGCACTTAACACAGACTCTCCTCTTTCAAGCCTAACTGGTTTCAAGAAATTTTGAGTGTATATATGAATGAAGAGAACACAACAGTTAAGAAGAATGAATGTTTCTAGAGATGTGTTATGATTACCTACCCTGATATTTGCTTCATGTAAGAGACAGTCAACTACATAAGCTGAATCATCGGCTCACTGGGAATACTCTTCCATCGTCTTCAGTCTGTTTGAATACTAGAGTTAGGCGAAAATGCGGAATAAGACAAAGAGGTATGAACGTTAGATTGATGAGACAAAAATTCACAACCTTTAGTGGCACTCCATGCTCAGAGAACCATGACATGGTATCAGCAGGACCATGTGTGTAAAAGAAAGAACCTTTAAGCTCTTTGTTACCACGAGGATAATTTGCTGCCAATCTCTACATCCAAAATTTAGTTACTGAGTTAGCATATTTGATATCATGTTAACAATAACACAAATCAAGTTAAACTAATTTGCTTCCCACAAGATGAAAGAGAAACTACAAGAAAGCTTCATGATTCTGCAATTTCAGGCACTAAGTTTGAACCTTTATGTGTGAACAACACTCACAATAGTAACGTTGTAATGCTCTCTGCCAATCTCAATATAAAGTTAAAGAGGTATGAACGTTAGATTGATGAGACAAATTCACAACCTTTAGAGGCACTCCATGCTCAGAGAACCATGACATGGTATCAGCGGGACCATGTGTGTAAAAGAAAGAACCTTTAAGCTCTTTGTTACCACGAGGATAATTCTCTGCCAATCTCTACATCCAAATTTAGTAATTCGGTATAAAAAAGCTCAAACAAAACAGAATTACATTTTTCAAAATTCCAGGCATAGAGCTTCAGTGTATACAACACCGCAATAGTGTCGTTGCAGTGCTCTTAACAGAAGCTCAAATCAAGCAAAACAGTAGGGCTTCCCTCAAGATTAAAGACAAATTTAGAAGAAAGCTTCATGCTTTCGCAAATTTTCAGGATCAAGTTTGAAGCTTTAAGTCTATACCACACTCAAAATACTGGCGTTGCAGTGCTCTGCTAATCTCTGTATGCAATATTTTCTTAAGTTAACAAAAGTACAAATCAAGCTAAACCCGATACACTTGCACAAGATTAAAGAGAAAAACTGCAAGAAAGCTTCATGATTCTACGATTTCAGGCACTAAGTTTGAAGCTTTCTATGTGAACAACACTCACAATCGTATCATGATTCTACAATTTTCAGCATAAAGTTGGAAACTTTCACTGTGAACAAGACTCATACACTCCAGCTGCTCCACCACCAACAACTACCAAAACCTCGTCCTCATTCTTTCTCTCCTTTCAAAATTCAAATCAAATTCCCAACAATTCAAGAAAAAATAAAGAAATAACCGAAATTTGAGTGGGTAATGAACAAAACAAAGCGAAACTTACGTTTTTTTAGCAGTGGCAGTGAAAATTCTCCTTCTCCTGCTACTTCTACATAACAGAGCTTTCACAGGAACCCATAAAGGATTTGCTAATTTCAAATTCGTTTACCCAATCAAAATGTCCTAACTTTCTTTCTCGATAAACCTCAACTAGTAGAGGACCCGCGCAAACGCGCGGTGTGACGTTGCGGTTTTGTGAATAAAATCTAAATTCAAAATCTGAGCCCGACTCAAAAACCCTAATCAAAATTTTAAAAATCCAAACCTTTTTAATATGTCTAAACCCGAAAACCCGAAATCCAAAAAATCCCGAAAACCCTGAACTGAATAAAAAAACTCCAAACTTTTCACCCGAAACCCGAACCCGACCTAAAAACCCTAATAAAAATTTTAAAATATCTAAACTTTTTTAATATGTCTAAATCCAAAAACCCGAAATCCAAAAAATCTGGAAAACCCTGAACTGAACCCAAAAAAACTCAAACCCAAACCGAACATAAATTTTCAAAAAAACCGAACAGAAATCCACAATTTGATTTAAATCATATGTATTTCTATTTCACTATTGGAAATTTTGCAAATATCATTCGAATTTGGTATTATCGATAGATTATGTTAATTTTTCTTTTTTGCCGATTTTTTAAGAGCTGGAAAACGGAAGTTTTCTAAACCATCGGTTTGTTTTAAGTTATTATTCTTGTATCCAAACAATTTTTTCCATTTATTCTTCTATCCAAATAGATTATTCTCTTATTCTTATATCCAAACAACTTTTTTTCCATTTATTCTTCTATCCAAATAGATGATTCTCTTATTCTTGTATCCAAACATTAGAATGTACTTCTCAATTAATAATATAATAAAGACTAGTAGAGAACCCGCGCGCGCAAACGCACGGTGTAACTTTGCGGTTTTGTGAAAAAAATCTAAACTTAAACCCGAACCCGACTCAAAAACCCTAATCAAAATTTGTAAAAACCCAAACCCTTTTAATATGTCTAAACCCGAAACCCCAAAATCCAAAAAATCCTGAAAACCCTGAACCAAAAAAAAAAGAAAAAAAACTCAAAAATTTTCCATCCGAAACCCGAGCCCGACTTAAAAACCCTAATAAAAGTTTTAAAATACCCAAGTTTTTCTAAATATGTCTAAACCCGAAAAAAATCCAAAAAATCCGGAAAACCGTGAACTAAACCCCAAAAAACTCGAAACCAAACCGAACAGAAATTTTCAAAAAAACCCGAAAACAGTTTGATTTAAATTAGACGTATTCTATTTCACTATTGGAAATTTTGCAAATATCATTCGATCATATTCTATCGATTTGGTATTATTGATAGATTATAATAATTTTTTATTTTTTACAGATTTTTTAAGTGTTGGAAAACGGAAGTTTTCTAAACCATCGGTTTGTTTTAAGTTATTATTCTTGTATCCAAACAGTTTTTTTCCATTTACTCTTCTATCCAAATAGATTTTTCTCTTATTCTTATATTCAAACAACTTTTTTTTCCATTTATTCTTCTATCCAAATAGATGTTTATCTTATTTTTCTATCCAAACATTAGAATGTAGTATCCAAACAGTTTTTTTCCATTTACTCTTCTATCCAAATAGATTTTTCTCTTATTCTTATATTTAAACAACTGTTTTTTCCATTTATTCTTCTATCCAAATAGATGTTTATCTTATTCTTCTATCCAAACATTAGAATATACTTCTCAATTAATAATATAATAAAGATGGTGATGATAATGATTACAGAACGACGTCGTTCTTCTTAAACCAAAACGACTTCGTTTGACACAGATAAACTCATAAAAGTTTAATGGGAAAAATATGTTATTCAACTTTAAAGATCTTTGGACTGGAAACAAAAAATAAAGATCTTTGGACTTTCTTGGGGTTAAATCAGATTAAATCTCCTCTTGGAGTAATACAAAAAAAAAAGTATTTTACTTTGAGTGAGTTACAAATCAACTCTAAACTCAAGAAAGAGAATGAGAATGAGAATAAGATGGAAGGGTCATTGACTGTGAAAAACAACACAAGACAAAAAAAAAAAAAAAAAAAAAAGTTAAGCTAAACAATAACTAGATGGAAACAAGTTACGACTCAATACGTGGAAATAGAGTGACACAATCTTCGAGTTCCACTAAAGATTCGTATCAGAAGAGAAAGATCAAAGATCAAAGGAGAAGCTATAATAAAGAGGTATATCAAAGAAAAATAAGAAGAAGATAGATGTGTCTGATTATAATTAGTTCATAACTATATACCGATTTTTATAGGTGCTAGAAAATCTCGAGCAACTTAGAAAGCCGAGTGATTTAAAAAGACTATACTATACTAAAATTAATACATGAATATCGCGTGTTGGAGCACTAAGTTCAAATATTTAACCTATATAGTACCCGTCTAGCGCTTAATTTCCTAATACACATAAACGGGCTAAAACGATGTTTTAAATGCGACGCTTCGTATTTTCTCGGATACATCGGGAAGATGCAAAAAAAGTTACTACAAACTTTCCGTCTTCCTCTCCAGAAAATTGAGCCTCTATAACTTCCAAAATCTACTAATGCAGTTGAAAAGACTCTCAAACTCAAGATATCAACGTTGTTGTTTTCTTTCAACAAGTGTGTTTGACAAACTTTGAGAGATAGAGATGTCGTCGTACGGTAGTACTGGTCCGTCTATGGCTAAGCCATTGATGAACAGTGATGAGTCTGGTCATCAAATAAGACGAGTGGTGATGTTGAAGAAACAAACGGAAATCAGGATCCATGTGCATGAGATTTCGCCTCTTAAACTCCGTGTGCTCGATGGCAAAGTTGAGATTTTTGGTTCCGAGCTTCCACCAAAAGCCTGGCTCACATTTCAACCTCTCCAACAATTCGCCGTATGTTTTCACACATATTCAAACGAATTTTCAGCTTCCTTTTGGTTATTGTTCGGTTCCTTGAAATGGGTTCTTGTCTTCTTGATAAGTTTTGTTAAATTCCTCCTCTGTTCTTGTGGGTTAGTTGAAAGGTTTGAGCTTTAGGTAGTTTCTGTCAAATTAATCATTCTTCCCTTTTGTACCTTTTGTAGTTGAAATGATCATTGAGTGGGTTTATGGTTTACATAGTAAGAAAGCTGTAATCTTGACGGTTTATAAAATTGCTCACTTTCAGGTTTTCACATGGTATGGTGCAACACTTGAAATAGATGGCGTCACAAGATCTGAAAAAACATCTGACGAGGTAAGGTTATGGTTACATCCTCAAACATCAATTAGTTATTGATGTATTTTTTACTAAAATTGTCTCTGTTCTAGACACCTATGATGAGCTATCTTAATTTGCACAACACTTTACAAGTGCAAAGACATCATGTTACGTCCTCAGCAAGGTATCCTGGATCTTCACAGGTACTTTTATTTTTCTCTTACTAAAGTTTCATTGATTTATAACCATGTAGAAACTTGAAGTTATGGTTTCTGTACATACGGTTTTGCTTGATGCAGGGACCAAGAGTTATCATCGTAGGGGATACTGACTCCGGGAAGAGCACATTAGCTAAGATGCTTCTTAGTTGGGCAGCAAAAGATGGTTGCAAACCAACATTTGTTGATCTTAACGTTGGTCAAAGCTCAATCACTATGACTGGAACTATCGCTGCTACTTCCATAACAATGCCATTGGATCCAGTTGAAGGGTTTCCTGCTAATAAGGCTATTGTGCATTACTTTGGTCACAAGGCAGCGAAGTAATTTCACTTCAAATTCTCAATCTTTAGGTGTTTTAAGACCTTATAACTTGGAACTTATTTTATTTTCTTGTATTCTTAGTAACAACATTAAACTGTACAAAGCTCTCGTTGAAGAGCTTGCTGGAGAATTAGAAGAAGAGTTTGCTAAAAACGCTGAATCACGAAATGCTGGTATGGTGATTGACACAATGGGATGGACCAACGGTCTTGGTTGTGAGGTAACTGTTAGCTTCTTCTGTCAAAAGGGAACGGTTTACGTTTGCTATGAAACGCAGACTTTCTGATTTGCCATATCCTGCTTTTGATTTGCAGCTGCTTAAGCATGCAATAAGGATGTTTAATGCATCCGTAGTTGTTGTCCTTGGTCAAGTAATGCATCGAACCTCTCCTTAATCTTTATTTCTAAATCAAGAAACCTATATTACTCTTCATTGATATTTGTCATTTGCAGGAGGACACTCTCGTCAAGGATCTAAACAGAGCTTTCAAATACAAGAAGGATTTACAAATCTTGAAGCTTGAAAAGTCAGCTGGAGTTTTCTCTAGATGCTCTACTTTTCGCAAAAGATTGAGGAACAATAGCATTAAGGTAGATTTTTCGCTTTGGCTATTTCATTAATCGGAATTTTTTTCTATGTCTGGTTAAAATGGAGGGATTTTAAATTTGCTTATGTACAGAAGTACTTCCATGGAGCCACTAATGATCTCACGGCCTACACCAAAACCGCAAAGTTCAGTGATGTGCAAGTATACCAGATTGGTGACTTGCGAGGATCATCAAGATTTGGTCAACCTTTGAAGATCACACCTGTGTCAATTGACATGGATCTTGTGAATAAAGTTCTTGCAATATCATACGCCAAACAGCCTGACGAGATCATCTCAAGGTAATTATTTTCAGCTTTGTATGATGCAACTTATGCTATGGATGGAAAAATTGTTACCTTTGTAGTGATTGTGTGTTGCCATTTTGCAGCATTGTTGCTGGCTTTGTGTGTATCAGAGATGTTGATATTGATGAGGAGACAATCACATATATATCTCCATCAGTTGCGGAATTGCCAAGCAATATATTGATCATGGGAACTTTGACATGTAATGAAACTTGAGCAGCAAGAAACTTATTAAAGATAAGAAAAAGTGAGGAGTTTGTTTTTTTTTTTCTTTTAAAGTTGTAAACCCTATAATTAAGCAGAATATCCAGTTTTCTTGAGTTTATTCGTCTACGTTTAATTGAAATGGTGGAAAAATAGGTCTAATATCTTTTAGAAATCGTAGTTACCATGTAAATACTAGATAGAAAAGACAATGAGATAAAAATAGGCCTCATTACCCTCGTCATTCATGGAGAATCCAACACTTACAAGCTCTACAACTATACGTGTGGTTACAACTATCAAAATCTCGGAGGTTCATCATCATCATCAATTTGCTTGTCACTAGGATTTTGCTTATGTTTTTCTTACATTTTGCTTATATTTTGTGTATCTTTTGCTTATGTTTTGTTTATATTTTTTTTTCTATTTTCGGATTTTTTTTGTAATAATTATAACATGTTAAATAGATATTATAGTGGTATTCAATGAATTAGAGATTCTTGAAACGGTTAAAGCCGATAGATTTTACATCCCATGCTGTTTTTCTGGTACATACATGTGAAATGTCTAATTTTTGTTTTTTTTTAAGGTTCATATATTTTCTCTGTCTAAAAAGAAAATGGATCCCTTTGCATATTTTCTAAATATTATTATATAACTATTTTCTATTGGAGGAAACTAAGCTCCATTAGATGTGGAAGAAGAAGACTTTCAAGATCTAGAGCTTGGTATGAGCTCTAGATCAGTTAAGTTCTTCAAGAATTTGTTCAAATTAGGGTTTTTGTTCAAATTAAGTGCAAAATCTGAGAACATACTACATGACTATTCTAACATAGTAGGTATTGAAGAATCAGTACGATGTGGCGTTGCCGGGTTCGAGCTAAACGGCTATCTACCATGACGTTTTTGTTAAATTAATTGAAATGACGAAAAAATAGTTCATATATCTTGTCGTCGTTATCATGTAAATACTAAATAGAAAAAAAGATTGGATTTAAATTGTGATATACTCGAATTAGTAACTGAAATGCATTTTTGTTATAAAATCTTGAAGAATCTAAGTTTTCAAACTAGATATAATCAGATAAAATCTATAAAACAATTTTTTTAAATAAAATATCGTAGACTTAGATTTTGCAACAAAATCGTTTTAAGTAGAAAATCACTTCCAATTTTGTTAATCGAACGTAGAAAACAAAAATGGCTAACCTCTTAGCTTTTCTTCTTCCTCTAGTTCTCTTCTTCAGCTCTCAGTTAGTTCAGTCTCATCCTTCTCTTAATCACAACAATAACAATTTCAATGTTCTTGATTATGGAGCAATAGGAGATGGATATTATGACGATACAAAGGTTTGTTTCTTTTGGCAAATTATTTCATAGATATTGAAAATCCACAAGTTGATATATACATATTTGTCTTCTTAATAATGGTTTCAGGCATTCATGGATGCATGGGAAGATACATGCAATTACATTGGATCCAAATCAACTATGATGATTCCTCAAGGAAGAACGTTTCTTTTGCAACCAATTCAATTTCATGGCCCTTGTAAATCCAAGAAAATCATTTTTTCGGTATGCAATACTTATATGCACATGTTTAATATTTAACTTTATTCATTGATTTAAATTTGAATCTGAGTTTCTATTAATAACTTACAAAATCATCAATATACAAACAGTCACATGATTAGTGTATGCAGTAATACGCATTTATATCACTAGTGCATTAATCATAATTCATAGGTAAATTTATCGATCCGATATAACAATTATCGACATTTTTTGCCAGATCAGTGGAAGCTTAACTGCTCCTGAAGATCCAAATCAATGGAAATGCAAGGAAGATCACTGTCATCAGTGGATTGAATTTGCACATATAAATGGACTTTATATCGATGGGCAAGGTATTGTTGATGGTCAAGGACCAAAATGGTGGTCGATAGATTGCAAAAAGTACAAACAAGTAAGCCTTTTTGTTTATTCTTCTTAGTATCAATGTATCACCCTTTACATTATTAATTTGTTCATAACTCATAAAACATTTGTTTTCATATATAGGAATGTCTCAGAAGACCAAGGGTATGTAAAAAACATTCGATAAAACCCCTTAAAATATAATATTATACAAGTCGTTGTAAACGGTTTGATTTGATTTTTTTCTTTGTTTCCTTTAGGGTGTGGTTATATCACATTCTACTAATGTGCATATAAGCAACATTATGGTTAAAGACAGTCCAAATTTTCAAATGTCGTTGGAAGATTCGAAATGGATTGTTGTTAAGCAAATCACCATAACCGCCGACGGTGATAGCCCTAACACTGATGGGATTCACATTCAACGTTCTCAGCATGTTTTGGTATACAATAGTAATATCCGCACAGGTGATCGATTCACTAATTCTCTTTGTGTTACATTTATTATTTATACATATCTAAGATAAGATCGAATATATGTTTGTCCTAATTCTAACAACTTTAGTTGCATGCGGTATTTGATATTTTCAGGTGATGACTGTATATCTATTGGTGATGGTTCAAAGTACATTAATATATCACGAATTTCATGTGGTCCGGGTCATGGAATAAGGTAACTTTTAGCTTTGATTATTGTAAATTTAGTCAAAAGATTGTAATTAAATTGTAGCAAATATTATTTTCATTAAACCAGTATCGGAAGCTTAGGCCGATATGGGACTAAAGAGACAGTGGAAAATGTCGTCGTTCAGGATTGTACATTTAGAGATACAGATAATGGGGTTAGAATCAAGACATGGCAGTTAAATATACAAGTGAAGAAATTGATTAGTTAATTGTGTTTACTCTCTACTTGATTTAAATATTAGAACTATCTAACGACAATATTATTGTACATTTATTGTTTAGGGAGGAAGAGGACATGTTCGAAATATTTTATTCGAACGTATAAAGCTACATGGTGCAACCCGACCTATCATCATAGACCAATTTTATTGTCCTCACGCACAATGCAAAAACCATGTAAGTAAATTTTCTAATTCTTGTTATCTAATGATTTTTCTCATATTAATTTTTTTTTTCGTTTTAATTTTGATATTTTCTCATGTATATGAGACTATATATATGTATTTAAGTTTGGGGTAACAAGCAAAGCATCAAAATAAGTTTTTTTTTTATATGAAAATTTGATGTTTACTTCCTATGTATACAGCCAACAGCTGTGGAGATCAAGAATGTAAGGTATAATCACATACATGGAACATCGATCAAGAAACCGTATGTACAACTTTTGTGTAGCGAATCAGTTCCATGCAGAGATATTTTCATGAACGATATAAACATTCACAACGAAGACAAAGATGAATATGAGAAAAAAGGTCGTAAATCACGTCATGATCATCCTCTTGCTGAATGCATCAATGTTAGAGGACAAGCTAATGGTGTGGTGAAGCCTAAACTGTCTTGTTTGATTTCGAAAAGACATTGATTTGTTTTTTGTTTTTTTAGTTTTTTTTTGTTTAGTATTTAAGACATTTTGTCAGCTTTTTGGGGCCTCAGAGGCTGCCCATGTCAGCATTCCTATCAGTGTTCCCGTCCTGCCACGTCACCTGCTTCCATTAGAAACGACACGTCAGCAGTGCAAATAGTAAAAACGAATCGGGCTTTCGTGATTTGTTCTGAGCCCATATACAGTACTTCTTAGCCCACAAACTCAAACCGGACTACGCCTGAATCGATTCATCGTCTTCGTCGTCGTCTCTTCTTCCAACTTGAATCGATTCATATGTCTGTTATCGGTTACTCATATGTCCACTCCCTCTATCGAATTTATGGCACCTCCAATCCGGAACCTCTCTTTCCGATCGATCCTATAAAAAGCAAATCAGCAAGTGCAAAAAAAACTCAATTTCAGAGATGCTTCGTCTCCTCTTCTTCTTTGTTGCGTTAGTATTTATGCAATTCGTATTCCAGCGTCCACCATGTTTTTTCACATTCTAACTGAGCGAACAAATGCTTTCGTTTGATTTTCTTCCCATCACATCTTCGCAATGTCGCCACCACCCAAAGGCCTTTTCCCAGCGGCTAATCTCGAGGTTTGTCTTCTTTTCAGGTTTAAGCTTTGTTTAGTTACAGTCTTACAGATATAAACGTCGTTTGGATCTGTTCTCCTTAGATTTCTATGTTCTCTGCAATTTCAATTGATCACTTCCATAATGATGATTTGATTTATCTGTTTGATTAATCTTCGGCTCGCAAGTTTAGAAAGTTTGTGTTGTCTGATTATAAAGTCGTAATTCTCGGTCTACTGCTTTCGGACCACATTTATCTCTTTTCTATTTGGACATTGCTTTGACTCTTATAACAATCCTATGAGATCAACTGTGCAGAAGAGAGTCTCATGATACCTTATTATTTTCTGGGTTGCGAACGGTTCCTAGGGATTTCCACTCACAGGTTTGCATGTTGTTTTTGTTTATTGACAATATCTGATTGGGAACATGAGGATAAATTGCGTTCTCTGTTTTGTTTTTCTTTAGAGAACATGAGGAGAATCAGACCAAGTTTAAGCTACTGAAACCTAATTAATGAGGCATACCAAAACGAACTTGCAAAAGAGATCTTGAGAAGCCACAAAAAGACACAACAATAGAAAGGCTTCTACATGGAGTAAGCTTCTGATTACAATGATTTATCTTTTTAAGTATACCACTTTCCTGATTTTAATGTTTGAGAGCTTCTAACTAAATGCAGGAAAAGGTGCCAAATCAGGCTGTGATGTCGAAGTTATATCTTTCGAGCTCTTGTGGAGTCCCACCAGTTTGGTTCCCGGTGAGTTTATAGAAAAGTTTACAGGGTTTACAGTGAATTGAGCTTAGGGGTAGGATATTGAGAATCTAAAATCTCTCTAGACAGTTTATTAACTTAATGAGGATACAATTTTCAAGCAAGAGATGATGGTGCACGAAACTTGAAAGGTAATGAGGTAAACTTGCTAATATTATATAATTCCCCCTCCTTTATTTTGCTTCAGTTTACAACGATCTCAGCCTTACGTTTAGCAGTAACATTTAAAACGACATATGCATCACTCTTAGTTTCCACATCACTAAAATACATTTCCTCTGTTTTCTTGGCAGTTTAACTACAGTCGACAAAATCATGGCCACCTGACGATCGATGCTTACAAAAGTATGCTTTTCAAGGCTTTCACATGTATTTTTTTTTGTTGATGATTGAACTTGATTTCAACTATATTTTAAAATAGTAATCTCAGATTTGAAGACTGAAGTTGACTACATCTTCAACGGATGTAATTCGCTCCCTACAGTTTCCGCTCCAAACATTATTAAAGTAGTTTTTTCAACTGATGTTTTTATAATTAACAATTCCATATTACATAGCAAGTGGTCTATGGGTTTCATATAATCAGGTTGTTTTGTGTATTGGTTGATAAAAGTAGTTGTTTGAGTTTAGCCCGTAAATTTGTAATGGTATGAATTCTACCTTATTAGAACTTTGACATGTATATGTTGTCTCCTATAATTTTCTGAACCTCTTTCGTTTCTGTACTGATCATCTTCTCTGCTAGAATAGAATTTGGTTCTTATCATCAGTTCAAGAAGGATAGCGTAAAACACATTAATTTCTTACCTCTTATTGTAAAAGGAATTAAAGCTTTCGGCTACATTGGGAGAGTCTTAGTATATATTAACAGCTTCTCGACTTTGGGAGAGCTTAGAGAATTCTAAACGAGATAGATGAGAGAGAGCTTGAGTTGAGGAACACTAAGGAGTAATTTTTTTTATTACCATAAGTTAGCTCTTTAAGTTCATCAATTTCCCTGATTTTATGTTCCAAAGCTTTTACCAAAATAAGAGAGAGAGGAGAAGGATAGGTCGGGGTAGAGTGTGGCGTTGCAGCTCTTGCGGATGAAAACAGAGCTGGGAGTGGGAAACCAACGTTGAGGATTGGTGGGAGAAGAGAAGAAGAAGAAGAAAAAGTCTCATCATTGTTACCTTTGTGTATGTATCTCTTTCGAATTGGATTGATGACTCTTCCTAAGACTATAAAAATAGAGTTTCACCACAACTAAACTCATGTTTATCATATGGTTTGTAATTAGACTCTTAATATTAGTTTCTGTCATCAAAGAACACAGTATCAGTATACATTTGGTTTTAATTGCAGCGCAAGAATCTTACCCAAGTAAAGGAAAGAGTTAAGAGGAAAGTAACTCCATCTAAAAGTAATTTGTTTTGTCTAACTATACTTGCAGAAAACGATTAAATGTTCAACTTTTTGGTGTAGGACACCAAGATCAATACTACAAATCAACTATACACTCTTAAGATCAAATAATAATTATCAACTCTCATAAACATTATTTTCTTCTTCTTACCAAAACTGCAGGAAAAAAACAAATTTATGTTGAAGTCTTTGTTAACAATATTGTTCACTTTCATATAGTTGAAGCTATTCAAAAACACTATTTATTTCTTACAAAATAAACGCAATTGCTTTTAATCACATTTACATAAATATTTTCCGAAATATCTTTTTAATTTAAAGGGCCTAGCTAGGTAAAATAATAATTTCAAAATCAATTTATAAAACATAATCTTAAATATGTTGTGTTCTTCATACCACAATAGAAAATTTATTTATTAAAATTCTATAAATATTGTATATGCCAAGTGATTTACTGAATACAAGTAACATCAAACATCAGCATGAGTAAATAATAATAATTAGTAGCAACTTATATTCTAAATTAAAAAATTTTGTAAGATATCCAACAATATTACTGTATAGATCATCTTGACAATAGTTAGAAATTTTTTTTTTTTATATCATCACAAATTCGTATAGATTTTTTTGACAACATTTACAAGGTAGAAACAACAAAACAACTACAAATGTAAATTATAATAGGAAATCGAGATAATGTTTATAAGATAAATTTATAAATAATATTACCCCGGGCGTAGCCCGGTCAATCACCTAGTTTTTACTAAAATCACTATTCTCCATATTTTGTGAAATTAAACACATACACAGACAATCCAAACTGATCAGTAACATGTTTACTGATCCACATTGGTTATCATATCCAAAGACAATCCGGTTCGGTTAAACCACTTAACATTGACATGGTTATTGTAATTTTTGTAATCCAAATGAGACGGTGTCGTATTAGCGTCGATATGACTTTCCTCCCATTTCCTAACTTCTTCTTGTTGAAAGGTTCCAAAATCTCACCTTTCGCCAAAACCCCCAAATGGGTTCCATGTACAGAGCCTCTAAAACCCTAAAATCGTCGAGACAAGCATTCTCATTCTTGTTCAATTCTCTCAAATCCAATCGACGAGATCCCTTATGTATCGGATTGTACCAAACTTACGATTTCAGCTCTGATTCTAGACAGAGCTCCAGAGAACCCGCCATTGATTTGACCCAGTTTCCTTCCGAAAAGATCCGAAATTTCTCCATCATTGCTCATATTGACCATGGTAAATCTACTTTGGCTGATCGTCTTATGGAACTTACTGGCACCATTAAGAAAGGCCTTGGCCAGCCTCAATATCTCGACAAATTGCAGGTAGTTTAAAGTAATTTATGAGCTTGCTTCCTTAAATTAGATGTTTTGTTATAGTCGATTCAGAGGAAATGTTTCATAAAGTTTTAGTTTTTAAATCTGTTCACATTTTGCTTAGTGATGGATAATTAAGTCGTTATGGATGTTTGTTATAGTGGAATCAGAGGAAATGTTTCATAAAAGTTTTGATTTTTGATACTGTTCATGTTTTGCCTTAGTGATGGATGATTAAGTGGTTAGGTTTTTATAGTGGATTCAGAGGAAAAGTTTCATAAAGTTTTGATTTTGGAATAAATTGCAGGCATTTTAAGTAATTTACGAGCTTGTTATAGTGGATTCAGAGGAAATGCTTCATAAAGTTTGAATCTGTTCAAAATTGATCATTTTGTGCTTTGTGATGAGTAATGAAGTAAGCTATGGATATTTGTTTTAGGTAGAGAGGGAGAGAGGAATAACTGTAAAAGCTCAAACGGCAACAATGTTCTACGAGAACATTGTAAAAGATCAAGAAGCTAGCGGCTTCCTTCTCAACCTCATTGATACACCAGGCCATGTTGATTTCAGCTATGAGGTCTCTAGATCACTATCTGCTTGTCAAGGAGCTCTCTTGGTAGTTGACGCAGCTCAAGGTGTTCAAGCACAAACAGTGGCTAACTTTTACTTAGCATTCGAGTCTAACCTCACCATCGTCCCCGTGATCAACAAGATTGATCAACCAACAGCTGATCCTGACCGTGTCAAAGCTCAGTTAAAATCCATGTTTGATCTGGACACAGATGATTGCCTTCTAGTCTCTGCTAAAACCGGTTTAGGGCTCGAGCATGTCCTTCCTGCGGTTATAGAACGTATTCCTCCTCCTTCTGGACTTAGCGACTCTCCTCTACGGATGCTTTTGTTTGATTCGTTCTTCAACGAGTACAAAGGTGTCATTTGCTATGTTTCTGTTGTTGATGGAATGCTGAGTAAAGGAGATAAGGTCTCGTTCGCTGCTTCTGGTCAGTCTTATGAAGTGTTGGATGTAGGGATTATGCATCCTGAGCTTACTTCTACAGGAATGCTCCTCACAGGACAAGTTGGTTATATAGTAACCGGCATGCGAACCACCAAAGAGGCACGTATTGGTGACACAATTTACAGAACTAAAACCACTGTAGAGCCTCTTCCAGGTACTTGTTCTCTCTTAAGATCTCTTGCACTTTCTTCTATGGTGTTTCAAGCTCGCTGATCTGCGTTTGATGTAGGTTTCAAACCGGTGAGGCATATGGTGTTTTCAGGCGTGTACCCTGCGGATGGATCTGACTTTGATGCACTAGATCACGCCATGGAGAAACTGACTTGCAACGACGCAAGTGTCTCTGTAGCTAAAGAGACAAGCACAGCTCTTGGAATGGGATTCAGATGTGGCTTCCTCGGTTTGCTTCATATGGATGTGTTCCATCAGCGGCTTGAGCAAGAATACGGTACACAAGTCATCTCCACAATCCCTACCGTGCCTTACACGTTTGAATACTCAGATGGAAGCAAGTTACAAGTGCAGAATCCAGCTGCTTTACCTTCAAGCCCTAAATACAGAGTCACAGCGTCTTGGGAGCCAACGGTTATCGCCACAATCATCCTCCCGAGTGAGTTTGTTGGAGGAGTGATCAACCTCTGCTCTGACAGAAGAGGCCAGCAGCTAGAATACACGTTTATAGACGCGCAGAGAGTGTTCTTGAAGTACCAGTTACCGTTGAGGGAGATAGTTGTGGACTTCTACGATGAGCTGAAGAGCATAACGTCTGGTTACGCTTCTTTCGACTACGAGGACGCAGAGTATCAGAAGTCTGATCTTGTCAAGGTTGATATTCTGTTGAACGGGCAAGCGGTTGATGCGTTGGCGTCGATTGTTCACAGCCAGAAAGCGTACCGTGTGGGGAAAGTGCTTGTTGAGAAGCTGAAGAGCTTTATAGATAGGCAGATGTTTGAGGTGATGATACAAGCTGCGATTGGTTCGAAGATCATTGCGAGAGATACGATCTCTGCGATGAGGAAGAATGTTCTTGCGAAGTGTTATGGAGGAGATATAACAAGGAAGAAGAAGCTTCTTGAGAAGCAGAAAGAAGGGAAGAAGAGGATGAAGAGAGTTGGTTCTGTTGATATACCACATGAAGCTTTTCAACAAATACTCAAAGTCTCTTAGAAGACAAAAGACTGAAGAAACTGGTAGTTGTTTTATGCAATTGAAGATTATTTTTTGGAAAATTATAAAATATTTTTTTTTGTTCCTTTACTGAAATTTTTACTGTCTGTAATCTTGATGTTCTCAGAATTGAAAACGTTGAGAAATTTTATTTTTTTTCAGTTTCTCATTACGAAATAAACCAAGAATTGAAGATACACTGAAAAGCATTATTCCATTAGGCAGAGTCCTTTCTTTCTGCGGTTGGGGTTTAAAAATCAATTTTCAAAGTAATGGGACTTTTGTGAAACGTTCAAAAGGCAAAACCTAGTGGTCAATCTGCTTTTCTTTTTGCGGTTGGGTTTTAAAAATCAATTTTCAAAGTAATAAGACTCTTTTGTGAAACGTTCAAAAGGCAAAACCTAGTGGTCAATTTGGTAAATACTATGTTAAAAATAAAAATGGAGATGCAGGGTATCGATCCCTGTACCTCTCGCATGCTAAGCGAGCGCTCTACCATCTGAGCTACATCCCCATTTGATAGAGTGGGTTAGAAAAATATTTTCAAACTAATGGGCTCTTTTGCAAACAATGCAAAAATCAAGGGGTCTTACTGAAATAATACAATTCGGAAAAGAAAATGGAGATGCGGGGTATCGATCCCCGTGCCTCTCGCATGCTAAGCGAGCGCTCTACCATCTGAGCTACATCCCCCATTTGGCAGAGTCGGTCAGAAATTGTTTTTCAAACTAATAGGCTATTTTGCTGTTGTCTACGATGATCTAAGGCAATGCATTGGAGAAAAAGTGTCATATCTTGAGATATCAATTTTACCTTCATCAAGTGAATACGACAACAAACGAATAAGACTAAAATCAGAAGAAAAACCTATAAATTTACAAATACTAATTAGAATCCAAATTGAAAATTAATAAATTGTACAAAGATTTAGAGATCTTTTTGGATTGTGTTTGATACAGTGTACTGTACGCGTTGTTAGATCTTTTTGTTACTATAAACCTATTGTCTCTTTCATGCGTCAGAAATGCAGTGTACAAATCATCAACTGCGCTCCTTACTGATTTGTAACGTTAAATAAAAAGGCAAAGGAAGCACTTTCAGTCCCTTATGTCTCTCTGGTTGCGATGAAAGAAACTTTATGTTTCTAGTAAGTTCTGTAATCTTGTTTTTTACTCCTTTTTTTGCCAAAGATTACTTATGCTCTAGGTGTTTATTGTTGTAACTCCTTAACTTTCATTCTAAATGAATATTAACATTCCTAGCAAAAAAAAAATATTCTAGTCAATGTAATTTTGCACTTTTTAAATAAGCTAAACCAAACAAATAAAAAATATATATAAAGAAGAAATAAAAATCATAAAGTAAGACGATCGATAATGGATGTATCAAACCACTACATGATTCAAACGACATTGTCTTCAAAAACAAAACCAACGAAGAACATAAAAAACAAGAAGAGCTGCAAGAAATGAAACCAGTTGCTTACTTATATTATGATTGGATTTGAACCAAACTTGGAACATAATTGAAAAACAATGGCCACCAAGATCCTTCACCAGGGTTGGTATAATGCAACAACACTGGATCCGTTAAATAAGGGATTTCTACGTGATATTCATCGTCCTCTCCAATAGTGTATACCTTCCTGTAGGGGAAAAAACATGAATCACAACACAAGGCCACTTTCTTTTCCTCGTCGATTAAAAGACTCGTGAATGGAGAAGAACTTTGCATGTCCACTGCAAAGGATTTGCTCCATGACAACTCAGCCTCAGTATTAATATTATTGGTCACCCACATCTCCACCTCTGCTGAACCAACACTCCAATGTAAAACTGAGAGTTGTTCATCTCTAACAACCGATAGAGCCATATAACCACACTTTTGACATGTGGGAGCAAGACGTCCAAATCTCTCTCTTGTAAAATCAAAACTGCGTAAAGAATGGTCTTTGCCACCAGAAATCCAGTAAGCATTTCCCTTCAAAGTCACGCCAGAATAACATATTCTGACCCAGATCGGATCATTCACAACCCTCCATGAATTAGAGCTAAACTCATAAATTTCAAATCCACTAACCCGGCGGTTAAATTCATAAAACATCAAGATTTTGTAGGTGCGGCCAGATTTGTTGTTTTCGTAACCTAGAGCAAACCTAGAGTATCTCTTGTAACCATTTTCGTGTTGGATCCACCTTGTTTCTCCTAAATACGGATTACAAACCACGGGTCTATTGTCCTTGGTGATGCATAACAACAAACCGTCGCAGTGAAACACTTTAGCTATATCGAGTTGTTCTGAATTAAGACGAGAACTCTTTAGGTCAAGTGCACCTTTAAACTCTATAGATGGAGGAACGACGTTGAGATCGATGCTCATTGGAAAAAGCCTATATTCTTTCAACATGACAACACAAGACTGGTTTGGAGCTTTACGAAAGTGCTTCTCGTTGAATCTTGGCTCTTTCAATAAAGCTTTCCATCGTTTGCATGTTGATCGTAATGGTTTCAGAGATATGGCCGGAACCCAAGAGAGAATTTCCTCTACCAAATCCTCAGGAAGATCGGACATCGTCGTTGTTTCTTTTGTCGACTTCATCCCAAAAGTAAGAAGTTATGGTTTTGGGCTTTTTTTTTTTTTTTTTTCCACGTTTCTCACCGAACAAATCATGTCTTATACATTTCGTGGGTTCTGCTTATTAATTTTACTTTAATTTTTTTTCCAGATTGCTTTTTTTTTCTTTCCTAAAAGAAAAGAAGCATATCTGTAAGATCAAATTTGTTTCCTCTTGACTATCAAATCATTTAACCATCACAGATTTCAAATTAACCCCAATACCCATAGTAGTATATCAGATCTCAGTATTTACGCAAAGTTGGAAATTAATCAATTAAATTCTCAATTAAAAAACTTACAAAATTTATTTTCCGAAATGGAAACGCTATTAAATTCTACACATAATACTTATGTACATACGATTTGAGCTTCTGAAACTTTTTAATTACTAGTATTAAATTGGTGACAAAAAAATCATTAAAATAAGCAAAAACCAGTTCATAACAGAGTTTATAAAAGAAAAAGTTATTTTCTTTTATAAAACATTAGAAAACATTAGAAAACCGAACTAAAGAGAATAAAGAAGACAAGAAGTTATTTTCTCGATCTCTAGGTGAATTCAAAGCCCAATCGATTCTCTAATCATCATACTATTATTTGCAAAGTCAGAATTTCGAATGGAGCCACCACGTTAACTCTCAGCCGCGGAATTACCGAAGTACCCTTAATGAAAATCTATTATTAAATCTTCAAATTTTTCTTTTTTTTTATTAAAAAGGAATTTGATTATTGACTTAAATCTTTTTAGATAAAAAGGCTAACTACCATATTCCGCACCATATTTTTGGAAAAAAATTATAAAAAAATTGGAAAAAAAAAATAAAACCTAGGTTTCTTAACCGATTTTGTATTATATAAATAGATAGTAACAATCAAAATCAACACAATTTACGATTCTTCTACCTAGAGGTGAGATAATTTCTTCGAGTCCATATTTCATCTTTTGTCATGTAGGTTTATTATTTATACTAGATATTGAATAAAGATGAGTTTTTGACTTTAAAGAGATTTAAAATTCGAATGATATGATCCATTATGCTACCGATTTGGTCATGGCTTTGCTGGAATTTTTGGATTGATGAACTTGGTCTGAGCCATCATCTACATATTGTGTTTTTGATTTGAAACGATATAGCGTGTTTGGAGACGGATGCTTTAAAGCATGACTTGGCACATGAAAAATCTGTGGAAGATAAAATCTTCATCGAGGTTCATGTCAACACCACGATTATATGATAATTTTTGTGGGTGGTACGTGATGGTTGTTGTAAGACATCCGTTGAAGAACCATAAATCTGTTCACGAGTTGTAATTGTATCATGTTTAAGTAAGACAGCACAGCACATATGTTAATGAGATCGGAAGCAAAGTGTAATTTGATATAAAAGGGAATAAAGATAGGGAAAGGTGAATCTGTGTGTGGAGGTGCTATAACTCTGACTTCTTTGATCTGGACTATGAATTTGAGGCTGATTTCCAAGGGTTTAAGGGCGATTCAGCTTTTGATTTGTGTATTGATTTGAGCTATGTTTTGGTAATTTATTGATCTATTGAGTAGAACTATCATATGACCTTTTGATTTATTGTGTGTGTTGTTTGTGCTTCTGTTGCACCTCCTAATATTTTTATGATTTTGGTTTGCTCGATGATCTTGACAAATAACTAAACACATGTTCTATAAGGGTTAGGGAATTGTATGGATGGCATTTTCCCGAGCTTGCTAAGATCATGTAGATTCCCTAATGAAGTTGATTCTTATGTTATAGACTACAGATATATAAGCAGAAAAATTGTGTATTTGTGTCTTCGGCCTTTGTTGAATATTATGCAACTCATATATATAGTAAGAAAATAAATAAATAAAAACGAAAATAAAGACGGAACTGATAAATAAGATGTTGCAAAAAAAGAAAAAGATAATACAAAATGATGAAAAATATAAGATAAAATCAGAAAAAAACAAACTTAATAGAAATAAGGAAAAGATGAAAGTTGAAAGACGAAGACGAAAAAAAAAAGAACGAAACAAAAAAACAAAAAGAATTTGGGAATATGTGAAAAATAAAGAAACTGGGAAAATCAAAAGATAAAAAGAAATGAAGAATAAGAACACAAAGTCAATTGAAAAATAAATTGTTAATAAAAGGAACAAAACGGAAAAACAAAACAGGAAATAAAAAGATGACAAATGAAGAGAGGGAAAAGAAAAATAAATAGAAAGTTTGATAAGAATAAGATAAAAACGATATAAAATGAAGGAAACAAATATGAAAGAAGTAAAGAACAAAGTAAAAGAAGAAGATAAAATGAGGTTGGGGTCTATGATCTACGGTTTATATTGCAAGAGTAAATTTTAGATTTTGGTGCATTGTAAAAATATTGAATTCTTTACATTACCGATTAAAAACAAAAACAAAAAAAAAATCTTTTAAAAAAAAAGAGAAAAAAAATCCTGAACTAATTTGTAAAATGTGGGGTTCGGGTGTGCAGTTTGGTGGATTGGAGGGGGGGAGATGTTGTGTTATAATGTGGAGTTTGGGTTTAGGGTGTAGGGTTGTTTAGGGGGGCTGATGTTACACTTGTGGGTTTGAGTTTATGTTGATGGGTGTAGAGTTTAGTTTTTAGTGCATTTTTAAAATTTGAATTATTATGGAAGAATTTTGTAATTAAAAATCATTGATTATAAAATTATATCTATATTTCTAAATTGCATTCATAAATAGAAAAAATTAAAAAAAATTAAAGTAAATCCAGAATCGAAAGATAACAAAACCATTATAATTTTAAATGATCTCGACTATATGAAGATAAAAATTATTTCACAAATCTTTGAAAATCTAAACTATCGATGAATTGATAGGTGAAATACAAGACATAGACAAGAACGAAGAAAAACACGAGTAAAAGAAAAGAAGACAATGAAAAAGAAGATAGAAAAAATAAGAAGAAGAAAACTCGAACATGATTAATAAAAATCAAAGAAAAATGGAATGTGAGTTGAAAAAAAGACAAAGAAAATAAAAATAAAAATTAGAATAATATGATGTAAAGAATATAAAGATGATAAAGATAGAGAGATGGGAATGAGGAAGAAGAAAAACCCGAAAAAGAATGTAAAGAATTTTAAAAATAAAAAGAAGAAGAGGGAATTGGTGAATATAAAGAAACAACAAAAGATTGAAAGACACATATTGAAAGAAGAAAAAGATGATGAGAATGAATATAAAATTGAAAGAAAAAGAAGAAGATGAGATAATTGGAGAAGAATAAGAGGGAGAAGAAAACAAGAAGTGGAAATTCTTTTGTATTTCTTAAAGTGATTGAAGAAGATTATGTAGAAGAATGAGAAAGAGAAAACAAAAATAAGACATATAAAGATTACAAAAAATAAGAAGTTGGCGAAAACAAAAATTCTACTACCTATATTATCCAAATGTTTTATTAATTGACGTGTTTTAAAAATATTGTACCTGCACAAGGTGCGGGACAACCACCTTGTTAAAAGATAAAACAAAAACGAGTAAGAATCGATACCTTCTTCAGACCTAAAGCCCTAGACCTTGGCTTAAAGAGAATTACTGGAAAAGAAATCGCCTCTGGAAAAGTAACCTAGCAAGCGGCTCTTGAGACCTGACAACTTCTCCGTGGACGAATCCGCCAACAAAGTAATAGTTTTTGTTACCCTAATGGCTTTCTTGTTATTCACTCTTTTAAACTCTGTTTTCGTTAGTAGAGTTTCTGATTTAGATGTTTTGTACCTAGGCCATTCCAGAACCAAGAGCCAGGTAAATTGATTGGTCTTGTTTTTGAGTCTGAGATTTCTATCTGTATAGATGTGTTGTTGTTGTTGTTCTTGTGACGTTGATAATAAATGTAATATCAAATGATTGCAGTTACAGTACTGGAGGGATATCCGTTGATGATGAGGCACCTAGAGCCAAGCTGATCATAGACAGCAGGTCTTTCGATGTAATATCTTTGTTACTCTCTCTTTTTTTTTAAGGCTGTCTTGTTATTCACGATATGTTTGGTTAGTAGAATTTCTGATTAGATGTTTTGATGAAATTGAAGGATCCTGGTCCAACTATTGCAGAAGCAAAAGCCCGGTAAATTGATTGGCTTGAGTCTCGAGTATTTGAATATCGAAATGTTCTTGTATGTCACGTTGATAAATAATGTAATTGCAGTGGCATTGAGAGGATATCCGTTAGGGGATTTGAACGTCGTGATCATGAGGATGTGAAGAGTGCGTTGAGAGAACATTTCGCTTCATGTGGAAGGATCACTGATATTACCATATGGTTTCGTCAAACTGTTGCTAATATTTATTTTGTGGGAGAGGGCGCAGCAGACAAGGCCTTGAAACTTGATGGAAGTGTGGTTGCTGCCGGAGGATGGAAAGTCTCTGCTGAGCCTTATCCGTTTAGTGAGGAAAGGTGGTAAACTGAATTTTCATTTTTTCATATTTTTGTTTGTCTCTCTTTAAGATTTTGCATGTGCTCATCATTTAGCTTTTGCAGGATTGATGTAGTAGTTATTCGAGGATATGACTACACTTCACTTAGTGATAGTGAGGTCGATGTCGCTGTGAGGGATTTTTTGTCTTCATGTGGACAGGTCATCCAAGTTATGGCTATTAAGCGCAAAGGGTTTGTGGCTTTGTTCTTGGTCCTAATTATTTCATTTTGACGTCCCAACTTTCTAATGCTGACTAATGAGAGACTGGCTGTTGATTTTTTTACAGAAGCATCGTGGCTTATATCAAGGGATTTTTTGCAGGAGAGAAGGTGGTGGAACTTAATGGGAGCTACCTTAAAGGACACAAAGTAGCTGTTACTGTTCTTACTACACCCTTCCGCAATCGTCGTCGTATTACAGGTAGAAATGCACTCCGCATTCCTCACCCAGGTGAATAAATCTTTTCTTCATTCTTGATTCTTGGTGACAAAAGTAGAAAATAATATTGACCACCCACAATCCTGGTTAAAACTTGTTTTTGGATTTTCAGGCTGCGAATAATATGCCAAAGCTCGACTTAGCTCAAGCTCCTCTGGTGTTTTTTACCCTTTATTTAGTTTCTACTTGTTATGCGTTTTGTCTGGATTACCGTGTTTATGTCTTGGTCTTGGATGTTTTAACCAAACGCAGTAACATGTTTATGTCTTGGTTTGGATGTTTAAATGTTTTAACCAAACTCAGTAACATGTTTATGTCTTGGTTTTGGATCTTTAAAGTTAAGCCTCAATAATCACTATCCATCTTTGTAATTTATTATTAACCCCAAGAGAGAATGAGCATCACTATAGTCTATATTAATTCAGGCCCGGCCCAAAGCTAAAAGCGTTTTTCAAACTAATGGGTTTTTTTGGCAAACAATTAAAAAACAAAGGGGTCTTTTTGAAATAATACTGTTCGGAAAAAAATTGTGGAGATGCGGGGTATCGATCCCCGTACCTCTCGCATGCTAAGCGAGCGCTCTACCATCTGAGCTACATCCCCTGTTGCTGATTTTCTTACTTAGAAATTTTTCAAGGATTAACATGAGACAGGATAAGACAAAACACGACAATATCTTTTAGCTGTACTTGTAGATGCGTTGACTATACAACAATCCGACAAAAGCGTACTTGTTTCTGAAGTCATTCTTCCGTTATCTAAATTCTAGATTTGTCCTTGTTTGTACTTTCAAAGACTTCTTTTTATATACATCCAAAAACACAAGAAAATCCAGAAAACACAAAAAGTAAAAGAAAATTAAAAACAAAAGGCCATTTCTTTTTTTTGGTTTGCACATAATACATTTTGTTCATTCTTTGATTGTTGGTCCACTATACATCAACGCCATAACCGTCAAATCCTCTGGTTCCTCTTCCCTCTCTGTCAACCATGCATGGCCTTCCTTCTCCTCTTCAGCAACATCGACTCCATCAACTGAAAATTTCCAAAGAAAAAACAACCCAAAGATCTAAATCCACCTTGCTTCTCAAATTACCTAGTAAGCCTAGACATTCGGAAAACTAGTTGCTAAATGTAGATCCAGCATTCATGATGGGGCAAGTGTTGGTGTGCAGAACTTTCTGACAGTAGCGCACAAAACATTGATTTGATTGTAGAAATCTATAGTTAAAAGAAACCAAACACACAAGAAAACATAGTACAAAGTTTAAATTAAGAAGAGATAATAAAGTATGGATATAGTGATTAACAAGAGTTTTTATTATGTATGTCTTAATTGTTAACCGCCAACCACTGGTTAATGTCTTCACCAAGAGGTAGTTTCACCGATTCTTTGAGGTTGCCTCTCTGTGATGAGCCTTTCAAGCTCAGAACCGTAAAATATTATTAGAATCTTAAAAATTTAGATAACAGAGTTACAGAGCCATAAATTATTAGACCACATGATCCAAAATATGTACCCCTGTTATCTAAAGTTTTAAGATTATAATAAAAAATTTGGGTTCCGAGCTTCAAATGCTCACCACAGCCACTCTCAAGAGAGGCAACCTCAAAGAAGCCGTGAAACTACCTCCTGGTGAAGACATCAACGAGTGGTTGGCCGTTAACAGTTAAGACACGTACATAATAAACTCTTGTTAATCACTTTATCCATACTTTTATTATCTCTTCTTTTAGTTTAAACTTTATATCATGTCTTCTTGTGTGTTTGGTTGCTTTTAGCCTTAGATTTTTACAACCATATCAACGTTTTGTACTAGTACACTAGTGTCAGAGAATTCTGCACACCCAACACTTGCCTATGATGAATGTTGTATCTAGGTAAAAGAATTTAGCTAAATGTATTATCATGTATTTAATTAAGAAAATGTTATTCACCCTATTTCAATTTAATTGTCGTTTAATGTTATTGTAGACAAATTAAGAAAACATTGAAATTCTATGTTTTATCCTGACTACTTTACTAATTTGCTTGATATGAATAATTAATAAACTGAAAAGGTAGGGATAAAACTCGAAAAAAATCACTTGAAAAAGTAAAGATAAAACTCAATAAAACTCTATTGAAATTATAAAACGACAATTATTATGAAACAAAACTTTAACTCTAAAACGACAAAGAATAGAAAACCGATATAGTATTTTTTTTAAAGTAAATTTCAGTTTATTCAGTTGGATTCAGTTTGGTTCCCTTTATTCGGGTATTAACAGTTACCGTTTAGGACCTTTAGGTTATCATGAAATTTAGTTCGTTTGTTTTAATGTCCACTCCTAAGGACTGAGATTCTCTAACACACAAAAAAAGCAGGAACAAAAAGGTTTCGAAACAAGAACCTGAGAATTTCGAAAACGGGTAATCGAAATAGTAGGTGCAATGTCGTCCCGCCGGATCAGAGTAAGGAGGACCAAGAACATCAAGAACGAGTATAGAAGTTTCACAAGGTGCCGTAAACTCTGAATCCACTTTCACTTCCGCCAAACGAGTGTCCGAACTCGGCTCTACATTGATCCCAAAACAACAACAACAAAAATTAATCAAACACATTAATCCTAAACAAAACACAAGTCTTGGTGTAATGAATGAGAATACACTTACGAGGAGAATCAGTAACCCAATCATATGACTTGATGTGCATTGTGAAAAGGGATCACACCAGATGGTGGTAAACAGAAAATGCCAATCTTGTAACACACACACACACACAGACACAATATGATAAGAACATTAAAAAACAAAAAACAATTCGAGATTATTAAATGAAGGTTGAAACAAAAAGAGAATAGTACCGAGAATCTATGACATTCATAGAGGTGAAGATACGTCACCACCGGAGATTGTCCCATCGGTTGAGATCCAAAAGACGACATTTCAGGACTCACATAAACATCTTCAGGCTTCATTTCATCTGATCCAAAAAAAAATAAAACAAACAAAACATTAACTCAAAAATTTACCACAAAATTCGAAGAACAATTTGCGAGTTTCATGTTTCAAGTTTCAAACATTAAATTTTTGGGATTGGAATTATGGAATTTACCTAGAACGGATCGAAGCATCTGAATGTTTTCAGGGGAAGGGACGGCTCCGGAATTGCCATTAGCGAACACTATTTTGCAAGTTTCGTATAGCTTCTGCACCGGAGAGATCACAGCTTACGTGAGTTTGGACGATTCTCCTGAGCGGCGGAGATCGGTTTCGCCACCGGAATATTCCCATTTGGATTCGGTTCGTTTGATATCTCAGACAGATCTTTCCTCACTCGTCCGCTCACAGCTGTACCAGTTCCCATTACTAAACAAACCTGCGATTAAAAAAAAACTTATCGAGATCGACGAAAAACACAAACTTTCAATCTGGGTTTATCGAGAATCTGATAATGGATAAGAGATGAAAACAATTACTGTTCGATTTGGTTCAGTAAAACTCCAGAGAAGAAGACGAAAGCGTAAAGAACAGTGTTGGGATTAACGAGGAGATGGGCAAGAGAGATAAAAACGAAAAGGTGTTTGGAAAAGGGAGAGATTGGAGAAAAGTGGATTTGAGGAAGAAGAAGATTGAGAGGAGAGAAACATCTTCAGGCTTCATTTCATCTTTTTTATGCTAAGTAAGAGAGATTTTTTTCTTTCTATGGGCGGGGGTTTGTCACATATTCAACTTTTTTATTTTATTTTTATTAGTCTTCCTTATTCTTCTTTTTTGGGTTTCCTTATTTTATTTTTTAAATAAAAGACTTACCTTTCATCACATTTAAAACTAATTTACAGAGAAAAATATTAGATATCTTTCCAAATATCAAAGATTATTAAACAGTTCTCTCATATATATACAACATTTTTGACTAACATAATATGCATAGATAAACTCTCAATAATCTCTTAACGTACTATTAATTTTCATAGACGAAAAAAATTCTGAATTGATATTTGTATATTCTTAAAAATTTTTAATAATTTTTTTGGTTCACATTTTCCATACACTGTGGTAAAATATATACAATAGAGACATGTTAAAATTATCAAAAACTTTGTAAAATTTAAAGATGTACACATTTTTCTTAATATTTTTAAGAATTTTCAAAATATTTATGTTTGTAACAAGTAATATAAATTTTAAATTTTAAATTTTTAACGTAAGGTATGTCAAACTGAATAACGTAAAATATGATAATCATTAAAATATATATAACGACAAAAATTTAAACCCTAGATAACAAAAATAACGAATATGGGAAATAACAAACCTAAACTGAATAGTGTAAAATATGATAACTATAAATAACATATAAAAATAAAATAAAAATTATATATGGAAAATAGTATATGAGAATTATTGAACCCAGAGTAAATAACGTAAAGTATGATAACTATAAAAAACCTATAATATGACGATAAAAATTAAACTTTCCATGAAAATAGTGAATATGAAAAATAGTAAACTAATAGCATATGGAAAAAAACTATAAGGATAATGATATAAACCCTAGATAGAATTATAGCGAACATAAATTAAATAGGGTAAAATATGGCGATCGGCATAAAGAACATAAAAATCTAAAAATTTAAACCCTAGATAGAAATAGGGTTTATAGATTAAGCTAAACCTTACATGGAATTAAAAAATGTTGAAAAAATAATATATATATATATATATCTAGGATGCAATTTTGAAACATCATTTTGCAATATGCTTACCAACAAGGATGTAAAATAATCTTTGGATCCTCACATAATGTCATTTGCAATCTTTAGTGGTGCATTATGTTTACCACCAGTGGTTTCTTTACTTTGAACCTTTTTTTATCAGTGGTAGACTTTGAACTTTTTTATCGGTAATACAAATTAATTAAGTATCAATAGTTTGGTAAAAAAAATTGAACTTTTGGAAGAAGAAAAATGGAAACGAATGGGGAGAAAAGATTGTCTTAAGGACAAAAGTTAACAAACGTTTGGACGGGTTAACCATGCTATGTTTAATCGTAATCGTAACCATAATTTATATTAAACCAGATAGTATACTGCCTAATCTTCATCATATATACTGTATACCTTTTTGATATGTTGTTTCCTGACTATTTGTCTTTGTTTGGTTGATAGAATGTTGGGCAATGTAGATAAAATATGCCATAAGAAATATTCGTAATTAGATATGTGATATGTTGCAAGTTTGCAACTTTCATTTAGTTACATACAGATGATTCCGCAAGGCATATTCCTTCCTTCGTTTGTTAAAATATTAGCAGAAAACAAAAATCAGAAACTATATATATGTATAGATAAACTCATGGCTTCCTTCGTCTGTTGGTGGAGAAATGCATCATATTATCCCCTCATCGAAACAAAATGTTTGTAATGTGCCCTGTTCCTTGACCTGAATCCATCTTTTCCGGCGACTCTCGTCTTCCCGGCTTCGGTTAATTCTCTGCCGTGGTTACTTCCAAGAAAAGAACCGAAAAACTGAGTAAACTTATCCAAAGTGGTCTTGACTTCTACGTCGGCCTGAGCTCCGGTGTTGGCTCCGGCCGGTGCTTGGGAGTTGACTCCGACTACGTATAATTCTCTGCCGTGATTACTTCCAAGAAAAGAACCGAAAAACTGAGTGAACTTGTCCAACCTGTTGTTGACTTCTACGTCGGCTTGAGCTCCGGCGTTGGCTCCGGCCGGTGCTTCCGCGTTGACTCCGACTACGTATAATTCTCTGCCGTGACTACTGCCAAGAAAAGAACCGAAAAACTGAGTAAACTTATCCAAAGGGCTCTTGACTTCTACGTCGGCCTGAGCTCCGGCGTTGGCTCCGGCTGGTGCTTCCGCGTTGACTCCGACTACGTATAATTCTCTGCCGTGGCTCATGACTTTAGCTTCGGTTAATTCTCTTCCGTGAGTACTGTCACCTCCGAGATAACCACCAAAGAACTTAGAAAATCTCTCGTAAATGGTTTCATTGACTTCAGCTTCAGCACCAACATGAGCATCGGCATTGACTTCAGCTTCAGTCAGATCTCTTCCATGAGTTTTACCTCCGAGATAACCACCGAACTTGTCCGAAAACTTCTCCAAGAATCTTTCGAAACTATTTTTAGCATCTTCATCTTCATCTTCTTCAAGTGTTCTTGCATGAAGACCAACTTTCTTCGTCTTCTTCTTCTCAAGATCAATGACTACATCCACGAAAGCACTGATCGAACTCTTGAAGTCCAACACAGCGTCACCGATGACTTTGGATTCGTGAACGCTGATCTTAGCATTGGCCTTGAAATCATGTTTGGCTGAGATCTTTACGATCGTCTTTTGAATCTTAAGAAACCCTTTTATCAAACCACCACAGCTTTTCTTTAGCTTCAAGGAAGTTTTCTTGTCAACTTTTACGCTAACACTAACACTAGCTTGCGCCACAAGAATCGCTTTGGTCATTAGGGCGTATTTGGTCTTGGCAATTCCCAAAACATCTACGATGGGATTCTCAAACTTGTAGACGCTCTCGAGGTATGCGATGTAGCCTTTGCACATTGTGAACATTGCCTTGAACTCGGCGGTTTTCGGGGCAAGCTTCTCTTTCTGCTTCAAGATCTTGGTGATTTCGGTGAAGGGTAAGGTCTGGAGTTCGGATACGGTTTTGGGACATAATGTTTTCTTAAGCGGCACGGAAGGGGCGGCGTGGCCGGAAACCGAAAGGAACAGTGACCCGACGGCGAGAGCAAAGGCTAAAGAGAACAACAGAGAGATCCTTGCCATGGTTGTATGGCTTATATGGCAATAGAAATGTTTAACAAAACTCTAAAAGAGAAAAGAAACTACGAAGGAAGTACGTTTTTGAATTGAGATCTTGGAATGGTTTATATAGGGTCTTTGTTCATAATATCTAATTATAGGATAAAGAAGTGGTTACTTAAATTGAGAAAAAGAAAGGTAAAGACAGAGATGTTTATGGAATTCTGTTAATTTGTTCTTTTTAAGAATTTTCATCAATGATAAACAGATTGTATCAGTTTCAAACTAATCGTTACCTAAGTTAAAAACAAAATTTGTTACTTAGGCTATTCAGTGTTACGGGTTATAGTTTGTTTAAGTTGGCTCAACTTCTTTAAACAGAAAGTAAATGTTTATTATCAAACATATAACACCTTCGCTGATACATTTTTTTGTCCAATTATATGCGAACGAAAGAATAATCAAAGAGTGGGAGATACAATCGAGATATTAGCAGGGAGTATCATGATCGATTTATCCAGGTTATAGATTGTAAATTGAAGGAGTGCCTAAATCTCGAGCATTTGAAAATTTGAAGTGAGGCAGTAACCCCATAAAAGGGTTTTAAAATAAAAATCATTTGTCAAGAAATTACAGATTGAAAAGAAAATATAAAAGGGACGTCAAATTTGAGAGGAGGGTCCAAACAGCCATTTGTATGGTTGATGGGAGAACCATTTAGCCCACATGAAGTAATAACTATTTGGCCTATCTCTATGTCTTGATCCATGTGTGTCCCCTTACTTGCATGTACTCTATAGATTATAATACTACAGGACTACAGGAGTATGTGCTTATTAATCTTATGGATCAGTCAGAGTTTAGCTTAACTAATTGATTAGCTTAATTATTAGTAACCTTTGTCTTAGGATAATGGGAATCTATTTGCTTTGAAACATGTGTGTTCTAACTTCTAACATTATAAGTCAATGAGTAATCTTCTATATTCAGATGTTTTACTCATGATCTATAGTTTTCTATACTTTTTTAATCCTGTCTTTTTTTTAACTTACTTTGTTTGCTTTCATAAGTTTATTTGGCTTCATCATATGAATTCCTTCTCTTTTTGTGATCGTCTAGTCTTGTTTCGTTATAAACTTGAAAAACAAAAAACATATAGTAGTTTTGGCCATTTAGTGTGTGTTTACTTAATTCATTGAATTTTTATCTTTAATAACCTCATGTTTGCCTTGCACTTGACGCTTTTAATCAGACTTCGTGTTATTTGATAAAGTACGTAATTACTATAGAGCTTTGAAAACAAATTCAAATGACAACGTTGTTTTTGTCAATTACTTCCCAAAATTTGGTTGTGTGATAGTAACTAGAATTTAAATTAAAGATAAAGAGTAAGTAAATATAGATAGAAATATCTATTACTAATAAAAGTTGACCCTATATGTATTAGAGGTGTCCACATAGGATTCTAAAATTGAATTTGATTGGTCCATGTCATTATCTTTAATTTTGAATTTGATTGGTCCATATCATTATCTTTATTATTATTTTTTCATTAAATAATGAATTTTTGTAAATTTCCTATTTTACATATAATTTATTAATTAGTTTTTTATAATGATAATTTTCCTCAATTAAAAATTTTATCATAATAATTCAATTCATTAATCATCGTATACTTACATATATTATCTAAATTTACATAAATTATTAGTAATAGTTATTTTTTTTTAACACCGAGTAATAGTTATTTTTTAGTGGAAAATTTACACATAGTTTAAGTAATTATAAATATAAATTTCCTTTTCAGCCAAAAAGCTGCTATGGTGTAGTGGTTATCACATTTGTCTTAAACGCAACAGATATTGAATTCGATCCTTTGCAGCACTAGGTTTTAAAATTTTTAAAACCGTTACAAAAATAATTATATCCACATTGCCATTAAGTCAATTCACGAAAATATCTCACAACAAACAAAAAAAATTAAAGAAAAAAACATCATCATCGATAGGGATGTCAAAATGGATCAAAATTAATAGATCCATCCAATCCACCCAATCCATTAGACTAAATGGATTCAAAATTTGGATACAAATGGATTCATAGGCAATTGGGTTAATGGATCAATTAGGTTGGATTGAAATGGTTAAAATTATATTGGTTTGATGGAATGAGATGGTTAACCAATTTTAACTTTTCGGTTTACCAAAATCAGAAACCAATTGATTGAGAAAACGTGATTTTGAGGTTTTGATGGAAAAACGTGGTTTTGAGATATTGACCAAAAACGTGATTTTGAGATTTTGACGGGAAACATGATTTCACGGTTGTTGCTAGAAAACATGTTTTTGATTTCGACGGAAAAACGTGATTTCACGGTTTTGACGGAAAAACGTGATTTCATGGTTTTGGCGAGAAAACGTGATTATTAAGGTTTTGGCAAAAAACGTGATTATGTGGTTTTGAGATTTTGGCGGAAAACGTGATTTTAAGATTATGACGGAAAAACGTGATTTTGACGGAAAACATGATTTTGATTTTGGAAAACATGAGATTTTGATGGAAAACATGATTTTGAGATTTTGACGGAAAACATGAGTTCACAGTTTTTTGCGAGAAAACATGTTTTTGAGATTTTGACGGAAAAAGTGATTTCACGGTTTTGTAGGAAAACGTGATTTTTAAGGTTTTTGCGAAAAACATGATTATGCGGTTTTGAGATTTTGGCGGGAAAACGTGATTTTAAGATTTTGACGGAAAACGTGATTTTGAGATTTTGATGTAAAAACGTGATTATGAGAATTTGACGGGAAAACATGTTTCAAGGTTTTAGCGAGAAAACATGATTTTGAGATTTTGGCGAAAAACGTGATTATGCGGTTTTGACGAAAAACGTTATTTTTAAAGTCTTATTAGCTTCCAACGTATCATCAATGCTAAACACATCGATTATGAATTGCAAGTACACATCACCGTCTTTTATATATTTTGTAGATTACATTGCCTCGGTGAGGGATTAAGGCAGAAACTGTTCCCTCAATCAAATAATCAAATTAGTTTTTACAAGTTTCAATCGCTAAGAAGGATTAAGGCAAATAACGAAGATGAGAAATATAGAAGAGGAATTTCGCTGAGAGTAACAATGTTCCTATGGGAATAAGGTACAAACATTGGTCGATCATGTTGTCGCAAATGAAGAAAAACAACGAACCATTTATAATAGATGAGACTAATTTCAATGTTTGCATTTCTAATTTCAATGTGATAGCAAAACTGAACCGTAACAAACCAAAACAATGGAACCGGGAATTGGAAATGTGGTTATTAATCAAACAGGATACGAAAAAAAAAGTTTGGAATATATAAGTCAAAACAATGATTTAAAAATAAAGAGATGAAATTTATTAAATGGAATTGAATGCATAACAATTAAACTAAAAAAAAAAAAACAAGTTAAGTATAAATCGTAGACACTGAGCTGAAAAAGCTAAACTAATAAATTAAATTAAAAAGGAAATTAACAACTAAAATATGTATTAGACTAATATTGGATTGTACAAAATCTTGCCGGATGATCTTTAATGGATATAAATTTTTTAAAAAATATCTAATTAATAGTAAAATCAAGGGATTAATTTAAGAAATGTGAGGATAGGAATGTTTTCTACAGAAAGTATGTTTTTAAAAAGTACATTACTTATTATGACTAATTATAAAATAATTAAATTGGTTAACTAAAAAAAAAGTATATTACAAAGAAAATTTTATTTAAAAGAATAACAAAAAGCAAAAAAATAATAATTTAGAAGCGTTGGTAACAAAAAATAAAAATAAATATAACAGTATAAAAATTCATTAAAACAAAACCCGCGCGTGCGCGGGTAAAATACCTAGTATCTTGTAAAAGTTTATCTCATTAAATTAAATTGTGAAACTTATCCACAATTCAATTATATATAATTTAGTAGTATTATTTATAAAATATTTTTTTCCTATGAATTCAATTAAATGAGAAGATATAATTACTCATTTCACTAAAATTTATGTTAAACATACAGAAAATTATATAAGAAAAAAATTATTTTTTTCCGGTAGCATTTAAATATCTTAGGTAATAGCCAACAGCCCAACAGTAGTATATTCTATAAATTATCTCTTTCTTCTAGATGGTTTTAAACCAACACAGAAAAACGATATGCTTTTAAAAAAAAACACTTCAAAGATTCAAAATTCAATTTATTCAAAATAACTCCAAAAGAGTTGGATTTATTTCCTAGTCTTTTACTTTTTGCCAACAAATGTATTTCCTATTTTTTTGTTCTTACCTGAAAATTCAATTATATATCCTAATTTAAGTAAACAGGGAAAATTACTTAATTTTAATAAAATAAAAAAATCTAAAATTCTATCCTTTGAGGAGCCTAGAAAAGAACATCACCAAAGCATCAGTCAATTCAGAAAATAAAATACTACAAATATAACTCTCTTTTAATGCACAAATTTTCCTTACGTACCATATGCTTCTTCTCTAAAAGTCTAAAACTTTCATAGAGAGAGAGAGTGGGACCATACAACCACATCGTCCAACGAAGAAGAAGGTGAAGATGATGATGATCATGGAGATTCCCTTTAGCCCTCTTCGCTAATTACTGCCACTCGAATCTCTTTCCTTTCTCAAAATTTCCCCAGAAAGTTCTAATTTTTCCATCGATTCTTCTCCTTATAAGTTAGCCAAATTTTGCCCCCTCTCTGTTTCATCCACCAGTCATCTCTGTCTTTTTACGGATTTGTCCAAATCGGAGTTTTAAAGCTTTTAAAAGTCCCTTCTTTTACGATCTGTCGGTTTCTCAGGAAAATAGAAAAGAAAAAGCAGAAAAGCTCTGCTTTCACTTTCTCTTTCTCTCTCTCTTTCGTCCTTTTCCTAGATCGCATTTCTAACTGTCGCTATTTTGTTTTTCACAAATCTCGCCAAATTCTAAGAAATCTCATCGACTTTAGCAAACCCTTTGTCTCCAAATCTAATCTCTGCGTCAATCTCGGTCCAAAAATCAAACCTTTTTCTTTTCCCTTTTCTCTGTTTTTTCCTCTGTTTTTGATTGATTGATTAAAAATGGGTTGTGCAAGCTCCAAGCATCGAAAGCGTTGCAGTAATTGCCAAAGAGGGTTATCTCCGGTGGTTGTTCCTCGGAGCTATTCAATGCACGTTCATCATTCGGCGCAACATTCCGGCGACACCCATCACACGGTGGCGCTAACTTCCTCCACCATCGGATCTCTCACCCTCTGCGATTCTCCTTTCAGGCATATTCACAAACACTTGGAAGACATCAACGAAAAGCGACTCCTTTCCGACGAAACCGTCGAGAAGAAGATGATCTCCGGTGATGGGTTTCATCGCGGCGAGGAAAAGGAGGAGACTTTGCAGGCTAAGCTTACCGAAGCCAAGGTTTGGTCGAGTATGATGAACGAGAAGATCCCTAAGGCTGCGCCTAAAACTCCGATTGTGACTCCTCCGGGAGAGCCAGAGACGATCAATACTTGGGAATTGATGGAAGGTCTTGAAGATGTTAGTCCTTTACCGAATCATCTGAGAAGCTTCTCATTTGATGTTGTTCGTATCCAACCTTGTAATGATGATGATTGTGCTGATCTTCCCAAATCAAGGTTTCGTGAGAATGTGAAATCGAATAGCGATTTGGATCCTCCTGAGATGGTTTCAACTTTCAGGAAATCGCTTCAAGAGCTCCCAAAGGATCATCCTTTTCATATCCGGATTCCGGATATGAATCCACAATTCGGATCATCAGATGAAGAAGAAGAAGGAATCTACAGAGGGAAGTTCGAAAAGGTGATACTTTACTTCACAAGTCTTAGAGGTATAAGGAAGACGTATGAAGATAGCTGCAATGTGAGGGTGATACTGAAAAGCTTAGGGATTCGTATCGATGAGCGTGATGTGTCGATGCATTCGGGTTTCAGAGATGAGTTGAAGAAGCTAATGAAGGATGAGTTGAGCAATGGAGTTGGAATAACCCTACCTAGAGTTTTCTTGGGGGACAAGTATCTAGGTGGAGTTGAGGAGATAAAGAAGTTTAATGAGAATGGGACACTTGAGAAGCTTGTTGAAGGCTGCCAAAGGGTTGAAGATGGGTTTGGAGGTTGTGGGAATGAATGTGAGGCTTGTGGAGATGTTCGGTTTGTGCCGTGTGAGACATGTTCAGGGAGTTGTAAAGTTTACTATGAAGCTGAAGAAGAAGGAGAAGGAGAAGGAGAAGAAACAGAGTATGGGTTTCAAAGATGTCCAGATTGTAATGAGAATGGATTGATCAGATGTCCTGTTTGTTGTGAGTAAGATTTTGAACATACAAATTCAGTTTTCCATTTTTTGGGTCTATTGAATTTCCATTTTGTGGGATTTGGGGATTTTTTGGTGTTGAAGCTCGTTGTAAAGTGATGTTCTGATTGATAGTGAAAGGAAACTTTAGGTTATAATAAAATGTAGATTTTGATTATTGTTGTAATATCAAAGCAATACCAAAACAGAAACAGAAAAAGCAAAACTTATGACTAGAGATTGTACATTGTAGAGTGGGTGGAGAGGAGAAATCAGCTGCTAATTTCTGACCTGAGAAAAGGTAATTTGTGAACCAAACAAAACACTAGAAATTGAACATTAGTCTACATCACTTTTTCTCTTTAAGCATGTTCCATCCATTATCGCTTAACTAAATAATTTTAAACAAATAAAGCAATCAATCAAGTTGTTCAAACATCTAGACATCATTGTCTTAAAGCTCGGATTCCAAACTAAGTTAAAAGATAAAGAGCTTCTGGAATTAGATATCAAAACGTGAGTTACAAAGAAAATCAAAGCATCTCTATTGCTAAATCCTACAACATCTGTACTTCTAAAAAAAGAAAAATTGAAAAAATGAATTCAGTGAGAGATTCAATCTAGCCTAAATCTAAAATAAACAAAGATACCAAATAAGGGATGAGTAAAAAAGAGAAGGAGATGATTCATCACCTTCAAATTCTATCCCATTTTCAGATGGTATATATAATAATTGAATTTGTAGTACTCTTAGAGTTACTGTTTTCTTTTTAAAAAATCCTACAAATATAGTAATGCATAGAAAATGTAGTAGATTAATAATAATAAAACTATGTGTCATATATCAATAATCTTATGTATCCAAATTTTTTGATAATAAACTAGATCATGAAAAAAAACAGTAGTAAGGACCAAATGTTATGGTCTTGAATATTGAGGTATATTTCGCCGACTATATAAAGAAGTGTCATGTAGAGATCAAAGAACCAATCCAAAACTTTCCCATACTCGTATCGTTGACTCTGTTCTCTAAGGACATTAACTTGAGGTACGTTCCTAAGTACTTATCTATGAACAGCAAGTGATTAAATATGGTTTTATTCGTAGAACAAGTTGATCCAAGAGACCAAGACCCATTATCAGTTAATTTGAAAATTCTTACAATTAAACTTGTGTCGAGTACATACTTTAGCAATAACATTTTTACTTGTAGGGATGATAGTTAACAAAATTCCAACAACTATAACATTGAGTCAACGAATCTTAACGTAAAAAAACAAGAGATATCTTAGTGAGCAAGGCGAACCAAGTATTGTGGGCCACTGAAACCTGTTTATGAAGTGAAGTCCATGAAGCCAAACCGAAGAATATTCTAGAAAATCCTACTGTGATAAGTATATGGGTCTTATTCTCTTGTATCAATAACACAATTCAATAATATATTCTCTTCTATAAAATTTGTCAATATGTTTTAATTAAGACAATCTTATACATCCATAGATTGACCAAGATCTACAGCTTTGATGGGAAACATATGTGCTTGTGGAGAGCCGGACGATGAAAGTAGCATAAGCAAAAGCAACTCTAACAGATCCGATGATGGAAAGTCGAAAGATGATAGCAGCAGTTCCTCGACAAGTGGAGGAAGATAATTCTAGCCACTCGCACAGTTCTGATTCTGTATGATAGGTCTTTTTCATCAGGAGTTTCATCTCCTCGATCCTATTAAATAATCTTCTTATGTGTCACTTTGATTACAAAGTTTGTTGGAAGTATGAAAACTTCAATAACTGATAGCAATATATTATAACAAAATCGACTATGCAAATCTTAACTTATCTGAGCGATGGACTTTGTTCATTCCATTACTAGTTTACATAAGAATGGAAGTGGTAATAGTTAACTCAAAGTCGTAATCTGTCTTTGGATCTTCCATAGATCTGTAAAGGGTGCCTTTAAACTCTTGCATCACTTTCTCACCGTCCTCGAGTACGCGCTAGAGCATATTTACCTGTAAGAAACGTGTTACTCATCAAGAGCTTTGTAATACATGCATTGGTGGCTTCTTCTGTTGCCGTGTCAAAACGGAAAACACATGTCAGCTGTCTAAACATCGCATGTTCACGTGTCTTAAACTTATCAGAAAGTATTTTCTTAGTTTGGATTTGGGATTTATACCAAACTCCATATCATTTTTATGTTTTAACTCAAAACTAGACGATCTAAGAACGAAACGGTCTAAAAATTAGACGATCGTTTAACAAGTTTTTCAGCAAAACCCCTCGCAATTTTGTTCTTGGCTTTGATTATATTGTTTTTGTGTTTTAGTGTTTTACTTTTTCTCCCGTTTGTTTTGATTCTGGAAAAAAAATTCTTCTACCTAACATCGTTCATGTCGCTGACTTCCGGAGATCTCCCTAAGGGCAAAAAAAAAAATGAATGTAAACATTTCAAACTAATATACTCAAGTTTTTATTTAATGATCTCTTAATTTTGTTAACTTTCTTTAAAAAATATGTTAACGTTGATCAACTATTGCAGGAAAAAGGTGAAAAAAGGAAAGTAAGGAGATGATAAACGAAGAAGAATGTGAAATCAAATAAGCAGAGGAAAAGTTGACTTAAATAATGAAACTAAAAGTTTGTGGAATTTTTGCCAAAGGTTTTAGATCAAACGAGCACTTTTTTGCAAGAATAACGAAAACATGAGGATGAGCAGGTCTTTTATATCACATACGCGTCTTATGCATAGTAAATCTGTTGAACAATTTTTAGAACTATATGAGTTTTAAGTTTTATTTTTCAGTTATTATTTGTTAACATAACTTGTGCTAACGAAGGGATCCAGTGTTCTCTACTCTTTGTTTTGCTTGGTAATAAAACGTTGATGCCCTCTTATAACTAAGACGTAAAACTTAAAAATGATAGATAATTGTATAATTCGTGCGATGTATTTATTTTATTATAGGATGCATGCATCCGTGTGTGTTATAAAAGACTCTGCTAGTCTTTGAAATGAAACAGATTTCGTTCTTCTTTTTAAAAATCTTCGTCTGATCCAAAACCTTTCCAAGTTTTTACATTCTTTCAGTCTCATTATCTAGGTCAACCTTTCCTCGTTTCTCTGGTTCAACATTAACATTGTTCTTCAGTTTTGCAAAGCTTTTTGGTTCCTTTCCAAGAAGGCTAGGCTTTCTCGTACCACTGCTAGGCACTGGAAAATATCCCTGTTTGCTTTCTACTGTGGTTGCGGTTTTTTTTTCTTGCCCTTACGAAGCAATGAATCCATCAAAATCCTATTAGCATAACTGATTCTTACCATTTACCAACCTTTGGCTCCAAGAAACGATTTCACCTGAAAATTATAGAATCAGACAACAGGTTTCTCAGCAAATTCTCCTCTTAGAACACTTTTAAAGCTATTTCAAAATTTCAAGAAAACAATATCAACCCCAATCAAACCAGAATCAAGGCCTTCTCTTACTTTTACAAATTCATGATGATTCAGTTTTAGAGCTTCTCTTGCCTTTTGCGAGACCATATGTATGCACCGTTTTTTTGTAGAAATGTTTTTGCAGCTAATTCGGAGTTCTGTTTCCAAAGTAGAAAGGCTATGACGTTGGTCTACAAGCTCCACGCCGTTGCTCTGTTCTTTTACAGCTCACTAGTCGCTCTGGAAACTCATCTACTGAGCCTTACATTACATCGTCGTTTACGATGTTATTCTAACTCACGCCACGGTTTACATATACAGGGAAACGTAAGGTTGGTGAATCAATACTATAATGGAAACATGATGATATATATGAATACAAGATATGGTTTTGATGTATGATTATGATTTATGACAGGCAAAGCAAGGAGGTTCGTTGGGGGTAGCGTTTGATGTAGTGTGGTTTGATGTAATATGGTATGAACGGATTCGAACAAGAAAGAAGACAATGAAGCTGACAAAGAGCCCAAGACTTTCAACTTGACTGGTAAGCTTCAACGAGTTTTATGTTAATCCAAAACGCAACCACCGCTTTCTTGATCAGAAAGTGATATATTTTAATACGATGTTAGGTTTTTGAATCCGTTGATGTTTGGGGAACCCGAGTTCCATGAGAAGCAGAGTCGGAATCCAGTGTTTACAGGATATCAACCTGCTCTGGTGAAGGCTTCTCTACTAATTACTACACAACGTGCTACGCAAGGAACAACGCCACCAATCTCATTGGCACTCTCCTACACGACGCCGTTTCTGATTTTTCTCAAAATGTCAGTTATTAACAGAATAATAATGGAAAAAAAAAAACAACTATCTTCAGACCTAAACCCCTAAAACTGGAAAAGTAACCTAGCAAGCGGCTCTCGAGTCTTGACAACATCTCCATGGACGAATCCGCCAGCAAAGTAATATTTTTGTTAACCTTAAGGCTTTCTTGTTATTCGCTCTTTGAACTCTGTTTTGTTACTAGAATTTCTGATTAGATCTTTTGTAACCTTAGGGGAAGAAATTGAAGGTGATCAAAAATAAAAGGGGGATGAAATTGAAGCGTTGTAGTGCATCCATTCCAGAACCAAAAAGCCAGGTAAACTGATCAGTCTGGTTTGAGTATGAGATTTCTATAGGAACTCTATAAATTGATACTCGATAAATTAATAAACATGATAAATTAATAAATTTCTTTGGTCCCGAGTTGGGCCGGTGTAAAATAAGACACAATTCGATAAGATAATAAGATAATAACTTTTTTTGAACTCCTATGTAAAATATGGTCCCAATAATATCATAAATTAATAATTATTTTTATTTTTATATATATACACCTATAATATCTAACTATTAAAATATGAATGTGTCATACATCAAACATATATGGAAACTAAAAGCAAAAAAAGAATTTTTAATAATATGGCAAGTATGAGAAAATATGAACAATAAAGTAAATATGGAAACATCATGAAAATTTTAAGAAAATATACATATAAAGGAAACTTCTGATTTAATATTGATTTTTAGTCAAAATCTATATATTAATAACTCTATAAATTAATAAAATATCAAAGTCCCAACATTATTAATTTATAGAGTTTTTACTGTATATGTGTTGTACTTGTTCTTGTCACGTTGATGATAATGTAATATCAAATTATTGCAGTGGCATTGGGAGGACATCCGTTGATGTATGTAACGACGTAATATTTTTTGTTACTCTTTCTTATGGCTTTCTTGTAATTAACTATTTAAAAGATATGTTTGGTTAGTAGAATTTCTGATTTGATCTTTTGATGTTGTTGAAGGAACGTGATGCAGCCATTCAAGAACCAAAAGCCCGGTAAAAAATTGTTTGGTTTGAGTCTGAGATTTGTATCTGTATACATGTCTTGTTCTTGTCACGCTGATAATAATGTAATATCAAATGATTGCAGCGACATCGAGAGGATAACCCGTTACAGGATTTGACGGTCATGATCTTGAGGATGTGAAGAGTGCGTTGAGAGAACATTTCGCTTCATGTGGAAAGATCACCGATGTTTACATTAGGGATGGTGGGACATGTGCTTATATATATTTTGTGGGAGAGGGAGCAGTAGACAAGGCCTTGAAACTTAATGGAACTAACATTGCTGGAGGATGGAAAGTCTATGTTGAGCCTTATCCGTTTAGTGACAACAGGTAAACTGAATTTTGATTTTCTTTAAAATTGATGTCCTTAGAGATTTTACCACGTGATGATAATATATTTATCATGCTCGTGCAATCCAACTATTGCAGCCCTATTACAGCATTTATCCGTGGATATGATGACACTTGTCTTAGTGATAGTGAGATGGAGGTGGCGGTGAGGGAGTTTTTCTCTTCATGTGGAGAGCTCAAGGAAGTTTCCGTCTACAAGGAGAAGGGGTTTGTGGCTTGTTTCTTCCTCTGTAATTTTATTTTCATTTTGTCCCAAACCTTTTGAAGGTGGTTACTAAAGACTTGTCCTTGTTGATTTTTTTACAGAGTCTGTTTTGTGCGTATCAAGGGAATTGACGCAGCAGAGAAGGTGCGGGAACTTGACGCGAGCTACTTTGGAAGAAACGCAGTTGTTCGTCTTCTTACTTTACCTCCAAGACATAGTACCCACAACCGTATTCGTAATTATGCCCCCAGGTAAATAAATTCTTATTCTTGTTGATTAATCTTGATTCTTGTTGATTCTTTGTAACAAAATACAACTTTTGTGTTTTAGGAATTAGATTTGCTGGCTGCGAATCATATGACTGCGGAGTAGAAAGCTCGAGGAAGCTCACAATTCAACCCTTTATTTATTTTCTACTTGTTATGCGTTTTGTATGGATATGTTTTAAGTTTTAACTAAACTCAGTGTTTAAAGTAAAGCTCAATAATCATTGTTCATTATTAACCCAAGAGAATCATATCAATGCATATGTTCTCGTAATTAAATGTTAATCCCATATGAACATACCAAATCCAATTGAGTCCCTTGTCATTAAGCTCGTGGTTCTGAGTTACCAAGATCAGATTACAAGCTTTTTCCAGAATCTAGAAACTCTTTTCTTCTTGACAAATCAAGAATCACAATAAGCCTATACGATCGAAATAGGCTTGAAACATGGCACGTATAGCACTAATCACACGATCGAAATAGGCTTGAAACATAGCACGTATAGGACTAATCACACGCAGGACATTGCAACTCTTGACTTGAGTGAGTAATCCAAAGCCTCATTGCCTACTGGTGTGTGGCATTTATTCTGCCTAAAAGACACATGCATAAAAGATTCGGATTTGGGCTGATACTGCGACTTGTCACTAATATAATATGTTTCATTTCACATCGGTACTTCTAAGATTCATAGTACTATATAGAATGCATGATAAGCATAATTAATATGACTGCGGAGTAGTAAGCTCGACGAAGCTCCTGGGTGTTTTTCACAATGCAACCTTTCTTAACAATATATAAAAGTTATAAACATGGTTTCTAAACATTTGAGTACTTTTTTAACAATATTTGGAGATTTTCTTATGAGCATTATAAAATATGTTCACAGTATATAATACTCAAATACAAAATATATAACTACCAAGAAATGAATAGTTTTATAAAACAACCATCCCCTAGTAATCAATGAAACCAATAAAAGAATCGATATTAAAGCAAAATAAACCCAATAGCTCAACTTTAGTAAATTAGAGAAACATAATATTAACCTTGTGGAAATTAGCAACTATCATCTTGTTTACAGTTTGAAGGGCATCATCTTCCCTTCCAGCCTCAACATATGCATGAATCAATGCTTTATAGGTTGCAGCATCTGCTTCCGTGACATATTCTTTCAAAAACTCACCAAACACATTCTCAGCGTCCGACAACCTCCCATTCTGACACAACCTTGTGATAAGGTTCCTGTAAGCTCCCACAGACAAGTAGTCCACCTTTGCCTTTGTCTCGGCGAAGATGTTGACTGCATCGCTGAAGCGACCCGTCTCGAAACACTCGTTCACCATCATATTAATATTCTCTTCACGAAACGCACTCCAGCCGTCGAAATTGTCAACCATATATCGGAACAATGACCATGCTTGGGTTTTCTTTCCGTACTTGAGCAACACTTTCAAATACGCATTCCCCACAGCTCCGTTTGATGTGAAGCCGTTGTTGTTCAACGAGGTCCTGTATAGCCCCATGGCCTCTTCATCATTACCTTGCTTGAACAAATACTCGACGAATGCTGAATTTAGGATTGTGATCTTGTTGCGTGTGGAACACGTCTTGAAGTCGTCCCGCAGCTGATACGCCATGTCGAGATTCCCTCGTTCCAAGTAGCCACGAATGAGATTCATGTACATGGCTGGCTCTAGGAAATTGAATAAGTCATTTCTGCCTCTCAACAAGAGATCCAGAGCTTGGTCCATCGATCCGGCATCGACCAGGGCTTTGGTCAAGAGGTCGTACGTTTTGTGGTCGGGAGAAGGAGTGTGGTAAGAGGAGAGGTGGTTGTAGAGCTCAAGAGCGTCGTTAAGGCGGCTTTGCTCGCAGTGGGATTTGACTATGAGATTGCAGGTAGCAATGTCAGGCTTCATCTTAAACTCATTAAAAAAGAAATCAAAGAGATCCAAGGCGTCGCCGGACCGGCCATTGTCGCACATGGCGCCGATGATTGCCTTGCAGGTCGAGATGGCCCTCTCGGGGTTCCTCTTCCTAACAACTGAACGGGCGTGTTTGGCTGCAATGTCGAGGTCAGAAACGTCATGGATCAGGAAGCGGACTCTACTTTGAAGCAGCGATAATGGACCGCGAATATTGGTGCAGTCCTGACGTTGCTTCCGGGGATGATCCCTCCCAACCGGATACGGTTTTGATGTTGGTTTTGGTTTTGGTAAAGACATCATCAGCCTCTGGACGAAGCAGCGGCTGCTTGATATCGCCGGCGAAGACATTATTAACCTAATTTTGGACTCTCTCAACGTTATTAGCTAGCTTATAACTATATATACTAGTAACCCTAAACCGGTTCGATCAGGAAGAGTACCGAAGCCGGTTCAATTGGAAGGTGTTGCCAGGTCAACGACGTCGTTATTGTAAGTTTGAATGTAAAAGTAATACATGCTAAATTAATTAAGTTTCTTTTTTATTTTCGCCAACTATACTAAATTCAAATTTTAGATTGCAAAAACGGAAGTGAAAGAATTAATACGAATTAAAAAAAGGAATGACGAATACTATATTAGAATATTCAAATATATGCCTAAACGATATCATTGTATCAATCAAACATTAAAAAAAAAAAAAGTAAATCTATTTTGGCAATTACATCGTCTTCCATTCTCCCACGATCTATTTTGGCGATCACATCGTTCCCACGATCTAATTTGGAGAGGAACCTCCTATCCTCCTCTGTCTAAGAATCTTCACGTTTGATCCCCACTGTACCCCAATTGCTCCAAGTTCCCTGTACAACGACTTTTGAATTCTGTAGGAAATTCCTTTAGACTCCAAGTATTTGGCAAACGCTTTGGCAACCTCAGGCTCATCAAAAAAAGTTGGCTGGCACCTACCAAGAATGCTTACTATGATCTCCCTGTTTGGTGTGTACAATAAGCACTTGACTTCCCTAACCGCATGAACAAGTTCCCCCTTCCTTGCTAACGCATCTATATAAGTGCCAACATGATGTATGGCTGGTTCCATTGAGAGCTTTTTGTAGATCTTACCCAGAATGTAGTTGGCCGCTTTTGCCTCTCCAGAATGGCTGCATGCAACAAGAACATTCCAATAGGTAGTCTCTGTTTTGACCAACTTATTTGGCATATGGTGGAGAACGTTTATGGCTTCAGCTCCTCTTCCTCCAATGCCTAGAGCTGCAATGAGGGCATTGCAAACTCCAACACCAGCAAAAGTTGAACATTCTAAGAAGAGAGTCTCAGCTGCTGATGTATATCCCAAAGCACCTACAAATCTGATCAATTTGCCTTTAATTCGATCAGATTTCAGCCCCATTTTGACTATGGTTGCATGGATTCCCCCTTCAATCACAGCTTTACCCACACCTTTGCTCTCAGCTAACTCAATCTTCTTCTCAAGAATTTCTACAAGATAATCTTCTGTAAACTCATTCCTGAAATAGACAAAAAAAAAACAAAAGAGACTAGATTAAATGTGACGAAACTTATGGGAAACAAAGTCAGTTTGCAAATCGCTTCAAGACTAAGAAGTTTAAATATCAATGTACTATGAGCTTCTAATCTGACCAACCATGACGATAACTTTGTGAGAACATCCATTTCTTGACAAAATAATTTGATAATCAAAAACACAGAACCTAATAATCACAGACTCGTGACAAAACAATTTGATAATCAAAAACACAGAAACTGATAATCAGAGACTCAATAACCAAGAAACATCAAATAATGAATCAAAATTGTATTCATCAACCTCAAAAGAGAGCCTACGAAACATGAATCTAATATCAATCAAGAATCACATAGCTTTATGATTTCCCAATCCCTGGACGTTACTGTGATTAAGATCCGGGAACTTGTTTCTTCAAACTCAATAAGATATATGTTAACGCTATAGATGTTAGCCACATATAACCAAAGAACATCATATATTGAATCAAAACTTGAATTTCCATGTGATCAAACCTCAAAAAGAATCAAACTTGTATGTGATCAAACGCTATATATGTGATCAAACTCATATATTGAATCAAACTTGTATTTCCATATGATCAAACTTGTATTTATATTTTTTTAAACCAATAGCTTATTGTGATTAACATCCGTGACCATTCACATTATTAAGAGGAAGAGAAGAAAAGAACCTTGGGTAGTGGCCGATGTAAGACGAGGAAAAGAGAGAACGATTCGCAACAATATTTCCCATAACCCTGGCCAGATTGAAGATCGATCATAAGAGTCTCTTCAATGTTCCATCTCAGTAGCGATTCCGATATGGCTATTACTTGTGAAGAAAGAAATTTAACGAAGAAATTACCTCCGGTATTTGACGATTGAAGACGAGGCAGAGAGATAAGAAGCATTGGGATTTAGATTTCCAGAATATCTAAACAGATTGAAAATCGCCTCGCATGAGAAGTTCCCTTCGATCATGATAGAGAAGAATGAAATTTAACAAAGGAAGACGGAGAAATTACCTCCGGACTGAAGCCGAGGCAGCGAGAGAAGAAGCAATTGGTTTGAAATTTCCAGAAGATCTATACATGTTGAAAATCGCCTCGCATGAAGTTTCTCGTCGATCATTATAGAGAAGAACGGAAATTAACTAAGGAAGACGAAGAAATTACCTCCAGAGTGAAGACGATGCAGCGAGAGAAGAACCATTAGAGCTTTGATTTCCAGAAGATCTATACAGATAGAAAATCGCGCCCCGCATCAGAAGTTTCACTTCGATCGTTACAGAGAAGAATGAAATTTAAGCAAGGAAGACGAAGAAATTACCTCCGGATTGAAGACGATGCAGCGAGAGAAAAAACATTAGAGTTCTGATTTCCAGAAGATCTATACATAAAGAAAATCGCCTCGCATGAGTAGTTTCTCGTCGATCATTACGGAGAAGAATGGAAATTAAGTAAGGAAGACACGATGAAATTACCTCCGGAGTGAAGACGATGCAGCGAGAGAAGAACCATTAGAGCTTTGATTTCCAGGAGATCTATACAGATAGAAAATCGCCCCGCATCAGAAGTTTCACTTCGATCTTCGATCGTTACAGAGAAGAATTCAAAATAAACAAAGGAAGACGAAGAAATTACCTCCGGAGTGAAGATGATGCAGCGCGATAACCATTTGCGCACAGATTGAAGATGGATTTCATCATCTGAATTTTCTCTCTGTTCTCAGAGTTCGTTCGAATGGAGAGGAAGGAAGACGATGACAGTGTTGTAAAGAGAGAGAAAAAGAGAGAGTGTAACAGAATTCGCAGGTTCCAACGAGGGAGGAATGAGAACCAATATAAAACTGACACCTGGCGAGCGCTGCTATTTGTAAACATTTTAAAAATAAAGAAATTTAATACCATATAAATTCAATACAGTTATTAGTATATTAGTAATGGAAAACAAGGTAATTTGAAAATAAAAGAAACTGACAACTATAGAAAATAAAATGTCACAAGCTAAACAACTAATAATATTTCGTTTACTAAATTGACAATTATGGTAACTATAGAAACTAATGGTTACATACTATTAGTTTCACCTTTTTTCTTAATATTTTCAAGAAAAAACATTATCGTTCGTGCAAGGTATGATTTGTTCGCTTAATACATTTTTTTCAGGGTACTGAAAATGTGTTCGGCATTTCGTTTAAAGTAGCAGAAATGGAAGAGACATTGATAAGAGATGAAAAATTCAAAGATTTGAAAAAGCTACAGTGTATGAGAAAGGAGAGTTTGTACGGTAAAGAAGTCAAATTGCATTTAGTAAAAGCTAAAGGCCTCCACTCTTTGCGACACCGCCTTAATATTACTTGATCGGTGGATCACTCACTCGTTTTGGCCGTAATGTAAAATCTATAGATAGGATTTACTCAGTTTTCCTGTTATGAATTTGCTTATGTGTTATACTTTACTTGTCCAGGTGATATTAAACATTTCTGCCACTACTGGTCTACTCTTTTTATGTGAATCATTGAGAATTTTCGCAAGATAAAGGCAACGTCTATTTCGAGTGGTTCGTCCCAAATAAAGGTTTCATGAGAGAATGTTAAGATTTTGGGAAAGGACAAAAGCGATGATTTACTTCACAATTTCCTTTTTTTTAATCTTATTGTGGGTCTTGGGGATTTGTGTGATAGTGAAAGGAGACTTTAGATTAAATAAAATGTATAAGATTTTGATCGTATATTTGTATGGGATAAAAGAAACACACATGACCAGTCCAAACTAATTAATTAATTAATCTATAGATATCGTTGATGCACGTACCAGATCTAATTGAGTCTCTCTTGTCATTTTTTTTTTGTTCAAATCTCTCTTGTCATTAAGCTCGTGATTCTGAGCATTGAGATCAGATTACAAGCTTTTTCCAAAATCTACAAACTCTTATCTTCCTCACAAATCAAAAATCACAATAAGCCTATTATGAATATCCCAGTCATCAATCACTTCGAGTATCTACACTCGAGTCCAAAACTGCCGACTTTGCAGAGATGTGAGTCTAGTCGTCGTCGTGTATCCTCAACTTCCCACTCCCAAGCATCATCTCTGAATTTCTACATCTCTCTGCGATTCGCGCATGGCTTCTCCTTCTTCTTCGTCTCCTCCTCCGCCTGTCAATTGTCTACACGATGTTTTCCTCAGCTTCAGAGGGGAAGATGTCCGCCGGAAATTCCTTTCCCACTTTCTCAAGGAGCTCGACCGCAAATTAATCACCTTCAGGGACGATAAGATTGAGAAAGGCCGATCTATTGCCCCCGAGCTTACCGACGCCATTAGAGGATCGAGGATCTCGATTGTCGCGTTTTCCCATAACTTTGCTAGCTCGAGCTGGTGCTTGAACGAATTGGTCGAAATCATGAATTGCAGAGAAGAACAAGGCCTAATCGTGATTCCCATTTCCTACGATGTGGATCCTTCTCATGTGAAAAGACAATCCCACGGCTTCGGTGAGATCTTCGAAAAGACTTGCCAAGGCAGATCGGAAGAAGAGATACTTCAGTGGCGGCGAGCGCTGACCGGGGCAGCAACCATAACCGGAGAGGATTCTCGGATTTGGTACTACTTTCTTAATCATTATGCTTCTTCTTCCCATAGTATCTACATTATGCTTGTGCTATTGTATCATCATCATCATCATCATCATTGTTAGGTCTGGGAATTGGTACTTTCCTAATTTTGATTCTCCTGCTTTCTTTTCAAGACTAGGCTTCACTCATTAGTGTCTGCATCATTTTTGTTAGGTCTGATGAGGCGAAGATGATTGAGAAAATCGTCAATGATATATCAAATAAACTGAACTCTACAGAATCCAATGATTTTGGTAACTTTGTTGGTATTGAAGATCACATGACAAAGATGAAATCGTTATTGAATCTGGAATCGGATAGAGTGATAATGATAGGGATTTGGGGTCCATCTGGAGTTGGCAAGACTACCATAGGACGAGCTCTCTTTAGTCAACTCTCATGTCAGTTTTCACACAGAATTTTCATTGATAAGACCAAGGAAAACTATTCAAGGGCAAAGTCAAACGACTACAACACGATGTTGTACTTGCACACACAGTTTCTCTCTGAAATTTTGGACCAGAAAGACATCAAGATACATGGTTTAGGTGCGTTGGAAGAAAGGTTGGGGCATAAGAAAGTTCTTGTTATTTTGGATGATGTTGATGATCAAGTCGTCTTAAAGGCCTTGGTGGGGAATATTTGGTGTTTTGGTCCTGGGAGTAGAATTGTTGTGATTTCGAAAGATAGGGAGCTTCTAAAGGATTGTGGAATCGAGTATGATTGTATTTACGAGGTGGGTTTCCCGTCGAAAGAGGTAGCTTTCCAGATGTTCTGTCGATGTGCATTCGGGCAAGACTCTCCTCCTGATGGTTTTATGAAGATTTCTATTGCAGCTGCAAGGCTCACCGAGAATCTTCCACTGTGTCTCAATGTTTTGGGTTCGTCTCTGCGAGGGATGAAGAAGGAGGAGTGGGCAGCAAGAGTTCCTCAGCTTAGAAATAGTATGGCTGGAGAAATTGATAAAACATTAAGGGACAGCTATGATATGTTAGAAAGTGATCATAAAGCACTATTTCGTCACATCGCTTGTTTATTTAACCATAAACCACGTAGCTACGTGATGCGATTGCTTGGAGATAGTAAGTTGGATGTTGGTGCTGGACTTGATGCTCTAGCTGAAAGGTGTCTCATACAGATATCTGAGGATAACATCATTAGGATGCATGATTTCCTGCAAAACATGGGTAGAGAAATCGTCCGTCAACAAGAACAAGATATTCCTGGAAAACGTCAGTTCTTGATGGACTCTAAGGAGATCTCCGATGTACTTGTTGATGGAACTGTAAGTTTCTAGTTATTCATGTTTTGCCTACCTCTATACGTGTATAAGCATGTCCTTAGGTTACTAATACATTTTGTCTTCCTAATAATTTTCAGGGAACTAATAGTGTTTTAGGCATCTTTTTGAACTTATCTGAAGTTGAGGATGGGTTTTCTATTAATAAGAAAGCATTCAAAAGGATGAAAAACCTTCGTTTCCTAAGCATCTACGGGGTCTTACAAGAGGAGAAAGAAGTCTTGCTTCATTTACAAGGAGGTGAAGACATTATGTGGCGCCAACTTAGATTACTGGAATGGTGGGGGTGCTTAATGAGATCCATGCCTCTTAACTTTCGTCCAGAAAACCTCGTTGAACTCAAAATGCCGGATAGTCACCTTGAGAAATTGTGGGAAGGAGTTCAGGTCAGTTTTTGTGGTTTGAATGCGTTAAAATAGACTGAAATGAAGCATTATATTTGTTCATAATCCTGTCTCCTCATTATTGGTTTCACACAAGGCTTGATGAAATAATGGAGCGACACTTGTTAAATTTTTGGTAAATGAAAAAAAGGAAACATATTGTGCAAATTCAGTTTTAAACGAAAAGCTTTCAAACGAGATTAATGAATAAAGGCCGAAAGGCAGAGTTTTTGTCTTAACCTTTTCTGAAATAAACCATTTTACGACATCTTTGATATATTTTAAGTTTGCCTGCCTTCTTCTTGTATTTTGGTTCAGCTGCTTAAAAGCCTCAAGAAGATGGATCTGCGGAGATATAAAATGCTGAAAGTAATCCCTGATCTTTCAAAAGCCACCAATCTCGAGGAATTGTATCTTGGAGATTGTTGGAGTCTGGTGATGATTCCTTCCTCTATTCGGAATCTCAACAGACTCAGGAAGCTAGACATGAGAAGATGCAAAAGACTGCAGGGTCTTCCAACCGACATCCACTTGGAATCTCTCCATTCCCTCGATCTTAGTGGATGCCTACAGTTGAGAAGTTTTCCTCAGATTTCAAGTAATGTTTCATCTCTCTTTCTAGATGAAACAGAGATTGAAGAAGTTCCTGCTTGGATAGAAGTTATCGCTGGGCTCAATTACATATTGATGAATGGTTGCAGCAACTTAAAATATATATCTCCAAACATTTTGAAACTGAAAGATCTTGAGGTGATATTCTTTTCAAACACTTCTTTAACTGAAAAGAGTTGGCATGACTCTCCAAGTGCAGTGGAAATAGCAAGAGACAACATCCACACTCAATTACCAGATGCTTCTGTCTCTCGTAATTGGAAGAACGAAGTCTACCTAAGCTTCAGTGGAAGGGATGTTAACAGAGCTTTAATCAGCCACTTTATCAAGGCATTCCATTGCAAAGGAATCAGTACAATTATGGACCAGGCGGTTGAGAGAAGGCAGAACCTAGCCACTGAGTTTGTACATGGGATACGAGAATCAAGAATAGTTATAGTCATGCTTTCAGATAATTACGTGTCATCGAGATTGTGCTTGGATGAGTTGGTGGAGATCATAAAGTGCAGAGAAGAGACTGGTCTAAAAGTGATACCCATTTTTTATGGTGTGGGTTATGTTCATATCAGGAAGCAGATCCGAGACCTTGGAAAGACCTACAAGAAGATGTATAGAGTGGACAAGCAACAAAATTTGGTACGAGCTCTTTCTATAATAAAGCTGATTCCGGGATATGATTGCCGGAACTGGTAAGTTATCTGAATCATTCATTACTTGCTTTGACTTTAAGTTATCAAGTTTTTTTTTTCATGGATGTTAAATTCTAAATAGTATTTACTCCGTTTTTATTGAGCCATCCTCTTTCTTCCTATCAGGGCTTCCGAAGCAGAGCTAACTGAAACAATTGCTGATGATGTTTCTTTTAAACTAAATTTTACACGAAAAGAGATTTATGATGTGGTTGGAATAGAAATGCTGCCCAAGATTCGTAAAAGCTTAGACCAGGAAACTGAGAAAACATTAAAAGTGCATTACGATGGTTTAAATGGGAACGAGAAAGCGTTGTTTCGTCATATTGCTTGCTTTCTGAATAGCGAAACATATGAGAATGTGATGCGATTGCTGGAAGAAAGTTGGTTGGATGTTGGATTTAGTCTTAAGATTCTATATGATAAGTCTCTGATACAAATATCGGAAGAGAGAGTCATTAGTATGCACGATGGGCTGCGACAACTAGGCAGAGAAATAGTTCTTGGACCTTTCATTCACCAGCCTGCAAAGCGTCAATTCTTGATGGATACTAGCCAGGGTTGCGACCTACTTATTGATCAAACTGTAAGTTTTTAATTTTAGCATCGTTATATATATATGTTTTTAAAACAAGTAAATTTGGTTTCTTATATAAGATCAGGGTATATGATTTGTTCCCCTTCAAATATTGTTTTCAGGGTACGGAAAATGTGTTCGGCATATCGTTTAAAGTAGCAGAAATGGAAGAGTCATTGAGAAGAGATGGAAAATTCAAAGGATTGAAAAAGCTACAGTTTATGAGAACGTGCAAGGAGAGTTTGTACGGTAAAGAAGTCAGATTGCATTTAGTGAAAGGCCTCCACTCTCTGTGGCACCGCCTTAATATTACTTGATCGGTATGAATACTCACTCGCTAAGGATTATTATCGTCTTATGTCTTACTCTGTTTTGGCCGTAATGTTAAATTTATGGATAGGGTTTACTCATTTGTCAAGTGATGGGATTTGCTTATCTAGTAAACTTTACTTGTCCAGGTGATATTAAACATTTCTGCTACTAGTGGTCCACTCTTTTTATGTTGAATCATTGGGAGTTTCCGCAAGAAAAGGCAACGTCTATTTCAAGTGGTTGCAGAGACTAAGGTATGGTAATGATTCATATCTATTCACACTGTAGTAACGGACCATATAGAGTAATGTTCTCTCTGATCACTACAGTTTACCTCACTATTATCTTCCACAGACTACCATTATAGAGCATTGGAGTTTTATAAAAGTAACGAGAACTGACAGCAACAGAGACACTGCACTCTTGAGGTTCATATACTAACAGAGACAAGGAACAGCAGCCGACTGGATGTTCTTTGTCGATTTCATGATTGCTGGTATGTCAATCTTCCTCAGCTCTAATATTATTCTTAACGGAGTCAAAACTCTGGAAAAGATAACTGTGATTTTGGCTAAGTGTGTTTCTGGATGTTGCTTATGTGTTTTGGATATGACACTAGTAGGAGTGGTCATTGGAGTTATAGTGAAAACTCCAATTGAGTGTCTCTTTGACAAATTCTTTTTGATTGCTCTCATTGCTAAAACCACTCTCTGCTTTCTACAACTTAGGTCTTGTAGACATGTATATATTCAAGAAAGTGGGATTTGAGGATTTTTGGTGTTGTTGCTGGAGAAGGTATGTATTATTGTACAGTGAGGCTCTGATTCATATTTATTTTTCAGATTTTACGTTAATATTTCCACTGTTTTAGCTAGTTGAAAATAGAGTTTTACTAATGAGGCATGAATATTTGTTTTACTTTTGAGGCATGTATATTTTGTTAATCTAGCACACATGACATTCAGTCATTTACCTTAGGGGAATATAATTGAAGATAGTGACAGACAATGGTCAAAAAGTAGAAAGTGTGTACTTTTTTCTCATAGTAAATCTTTCCCTTTAAAAAAACAATCCTCAACGGCTAGATATAGTAAAATTAAGGAAATTACGCAAGCTTTGCAAAAAATGAAAACCGAATCTAAAACACACACAAAATATGAAATCACACCATGCGATCTCCTCCTTCTTCGTCATCCTCTTCCTCTTCAAATGTTATAAACTTGAAAGTCTAGAGCGTGAAAGGAGACTTGTTATAAACTTAAATGATTAAAATTTTGATAAATGTTTGTATATGACCAGTCCAACGTAGTCATGTGTATTTTCATCTTATGAGTTTTATCAATGTGGAAACTAAAGTAGTGACAGATTTGATTTGACCACTCACTCCAACTATAACTTGACCGGACCGAACCGGCCTTTAACACACATGTACATATGTATATCAGTATGTGTGTGTGTGTGGGTGAAATAAACAAATATGCGTTATACGTGTGTTTCAATTAATTAATGTGGAACTATATGATATCAAATAGACATTGAGGAGACAATACTATTAAAGCAAATGTAACTATAAACAATGCATATACCTAATTCGGAGGTTGCATGCTCAGCCAAGTAAAGGAAAACATTTAAAAGGTTCACCAATTCAGAAAAAGACTCGTCTCTTTCAGTTTTCTTTTTCTTATTCTGAACAAATGACCCACAATGTATGTAAAAGATCTTACGTAATTTATGACATAATTACCCCAACTTTCTCATTCATACAATTCATCATTGGCACTTGAAATATGAATTTTCTTTAGAATTTTTTCGGTTGCTTTATATTAGTTTAACAAATAAATCAATATCTTAAAGTAAAATTCTTTTTTTTTTTGGTGTGTGGACATCCCTAAAAATAGAAATTAGTTTTCCCGTCCCTCTCCATCATTCATACACATACAATATATACTCATTGGAGTCTTCTAATAATCGGTCAGATAAATGTGAAGCACGCTTGTAGTAATCATGTGTATATATTTTTTTTATTTTTTTTTTGTATTTGTTAAAGGGCATTTATCAGTCTTCTTTCAGCATATTATGCCTACATTAAAGGCTGAGTATATGCCCAAAGAGAAAAAGAGAGATAGTCAAATTTTACTTTCTTAATTAACGCCATGACTTATCGGTTACATGTGGTTTCTTGATTTTGTGGTTATGGTTGAAGTTAAAAAATATTTGTTTTCAGATTTACATTTGTATTTCAATGTATTGGCAGGACGACTGTTCTAGCTGTAGTTGAAAACTAGTTTATCACTGTTCTTAGTGTTGTAACAGATATGTTTATCTATCCGTATTAGTTTTATTTTTTAGACATGTGTATTTGTGCTAACTAGTTGGGATAGTTTTTAACAAGTTTTGCTCTAATTTCTTTTTGTCCTCGGTTACTATTTTTGATGGTATCTCTATTTTGAGGTTTATATTTTCTTACCTCAAACTAAATACATATAAGTCTCAAATGTTCGCAATTAATTTTCTTCTGGCAATTTTCTTGTCCATGACTGACATAATCGAGTTCAGACATCACAATCTCTGTTTTTTTTGTTGGTTAGAGAGAAAAAAAGAAAGATTCTCCCCTATCGAAATTCATCCTATTGATTTATTTTAATAATGTATGTGAGAGAGAGAGAGAGAGAGAAACAAAGATTAATTCATCACCTACTAATGCTACACTCATGCAGTTCTGCAACACATATATATGTCGGAGACTTTTGACTATGAATTTAAATGCGACTTCCGGGACCAAATTTGTATATTTGAATGGTAACAGTGGAAGGGAGCTTTGTGATGAGACAATTATTCTAGGTACAATAAGTAAAAAGGTGTTGTTAATGTGGAACAGAAATATTGGGTACAGCGTATTGAACAGGACAAATTTATGAATAATTGGGTACAGCGTAGTGTGACACGAACGAAACAAACCTAGAATAGTGATTGTATAGTTGCAGTGAACGTATGAATAACAATCTAGTAACTAGGATTCGCCTAACACAATCCAGCTTTGACTAAGATTAAACACTTTAAATAATCGAAACATTTATTTTTAAGAGATTAGAATAAATATATAGGTCACAATTTCATTCAAGGTCTAAGGATTTGAACAAAAAGGCGGGTGATATAAAACATATAGTATAAGCTAAAAACCGTGATGCTTAGTCTCCACTCAAGGTCTAAAGATCAAGCACGTTTCTTTAAAAGTTCATACAATAAGGACGATTAGGTTACAAACATATAGAAACTCATTGAAGATTACATGAGTAAGCTTCTAATAACGGCGGCTTCAGGGCTATCTTCATCGACAGATTCGAGAAGCTGAGACAAACGCTCACTGAGGTTGTCAACTTCTCTGTTCAAGTTTCGTATGTAGTTGCATGTCTCTTGCAACACTTTCGACGCTGACACCTATTTACACATAGTTAGTTAAAAAAACTGGCGTGAGTGTATATATGCACATGCATGCATGTGAATATGTGCATGTGTGTGTAGATACAGTCATGGCGATGACTTTGATGGAAAATGTATATCAATGTGTTAATTTGTAGATGGAAGAAAAAACTGTTGTCAACATTTCCTTGATGTCCGGAGTCAAAAAGTTCCGACTTCTTTTTTCTTTTGTTTGATTTTAGTGTCCTCTCTTCTTTTAGTAAAACTCTTCTTTTTCGGATAAAGAGTTTGCAAGAAGGATAATGTGTATGGTCCTTATAAATGTGTATATGTATATATCAATATATGCGGGGATACCTTATCAGAACGACGCCGTTGACCAATCTCTGGCAAAATCTGACGGAGCTTAGTTACAAGGTCGATCATTTGATCATCGGAGATCCTTGAAGCACTTGAAGATTGTCTTGATCTTCTGTTAGACATCTTCTATAATGTCGCAAGAAATAGACCCTTACGTTGTTGGTCTCTTCTCTTTCTCTAACTATATTGAACAAGTTCTTTTGAGGAATAGTTTAGGAAATGGAAATAAGATAAGCTATGTGGCAAGTAGGTAAAGCTTTTATGTTTTGATAAGGTTTTAAGTTGCAAAACAAAAAAGGTCAAGAAGAAAGAAAACAGGAAAGCAAGAACAAAATAGAGATGCGAGTATGAGACAGTGTTTTGGGTTCTGAATATACTTGATATATAAAGAAATTGAGAATGTGATAAGAGAGATTTAAATAGGCCAAGGACCACTAGAGAGAGAGAGAGAGAGCAATAAACCTCGACAAGGATGTCACGGGGGAGAAAGCGATAGGTTTGAATGCTCATTAACCACAAATCTTCGAAACCAAATTTCCTTTTATTTAAATAACAGGTTTCCAAACCTTACATGTTTGGATGTATTTCATCAAGTCCAGACCATAACTAATCATAATACCAAGATAGGTGCGGGATCGAGTAACTTTAAGATTGTTATATATCTTCATATTTTTTAACTGTCACCAAAGATTAATTACTGTGGCTTTCATTAGAGATCAAATCAAATGAATCATAATACTGAGATAATCAGTTATTTTCTCTCTGCAAGTCATGCACTGTTGTCGATACAACAATACTTCACACGTAAGAAATGAAAAAACAAATAAATCCAGCAGTTACATTTATGTTATATGAAACTAATAATAAACTATGCTAATTTTGTTAAAAACCCCTTATTTTACACGTGAAAATGAAAAAACAAATTAGTATATTCAACAGTTATTGTATCGAAAACTATACATAAGGTCACACGGAGATGGCAGACTCTTATACTATAGTAAATGTTTCTATTTATAGGAGGAATAAATAAGTGGGTGCTATAAAATATTGTTATTTGGGGAGTTAGTAATATGTAAAATGTTCTAAATTATTGGAGGAGATATGATATAATTTTAAAAAGGAGGAAACTAAGAGTTCCCAGAGATGGGGTTTGATGAAGGTCAAGGGGATTTAAGATAAGTGTTTCATGTTGATCTAACATTGTGGCCCTTCATCTGCAATGTCACAAAAAAGCAAATACCATGTGATGACATGACTTTTCGTTTCATTTTTTATTTTAATTCTTTTTTTTATAACATTAACATGCCTGAATAATCACTTTCAGTCTATAGAAACTTTTACCATATACATGTTACAAAAGTTTTATTCATAGTGCAAGCAATTTGTGTATGTACTAATTAACAGCTAAAATATCTACATGACTTCGTATATACATTTAGTAAAAAAAATTGTATGATAAAGAGGATAGAAATATCTAACTAAAACCCTATTTCCTCTCAATACTTCAGGGACAAGAAATCCACCGCTGGTGATGAAGCAGCTCCTTTATAGTACGATAAACCACGAGGATGATATGAAGACCGACGTGTCTAAGATACACGAAATCAAAGAAGTAAGGAATTTTATCAAAGAAATGGCGGTATCTATCAAAGTGTACGCTTTAGACCGACGTATCTAATATTTTTGCTCAAATAGAACATATATGTTGGTTGGATCGTAGCTCTTACGAGAGCTTTGTAAGCTTTGCTGAAGATATAAGGGCAAATATCTCAATGTTGGAACCGGTTAATATAAAGGTGTCCATCGCCGGTTTAATCTCAACTGAATTATGGTATAAAATTCATTATATTATTTTAATTAAAAAGGAAAAGAAAACATCAGGGATTACAATGTCGATGATATGATTCTATGAAGACCCCAATCTTAAATGTGGTGATACTCAATTTTTTTTCCGAGTTACATTCTCTCCTAGAAAAGAAAAAAGTAATTTGGATAGAACTTGAATTTGCGAGAAACAGCTAAAGTTTCTCATTGATCAGAATATACATAGAGTTTGTATAGCCCTAAGAAAATATCTAAGAATATCATACATGCATGAACAGTATATAATCACACGAGAATAGGAGATGTAACGTAACTAAAAAAAAATATATAGTGAGATTTTACATAGTATACGAATTAGTAGCTTCACCTCATATTCAAAAATATTGTTTATCGATATCTTAAAGATAATAACAGTAGAGTGTCTATATACAGTACATATATGTAACCCAAAATATTGCAAATATAGAACAAAAATCAACTTTAGAAAGAAAAAAAGCGTGAGACCTAAATTAAATGCATAAAAGAGACATCTCAATTGGTTTTAAATTCAGCTTCAACATTGAAGCTTCTCCATAAACAAACGAGAGCAAAAACAAAGTGTCTAATAAACCTTAATACACGTGCATTAAAGAACCTCAACTAACTAATCCATAACTTGTTTAACTATCTAACAAACTGTTAACTAACTAATCTAATATTAAATTTGGATAAATACATTTTAGCAAAAAATAATCAAATCAAGTGTCTTCACTTTCTTAGATCTCCGTACACTTACACTTTGACAAAAAAAAACAATAGCCACTTATTTGATTAAATATGATTCTGAAGTGATAATGTATGTCTCATTCATATAACTTATTTTAAGAATTGAGATCGATTGGTCCATTATTGGTTAATTATTCAATAAACAAAACAATTCTCATAACATCGACTACGACACGTGTCACACCAATGTCTCGTGCTACATGCTGCCCTCGGGTCCTGGGTCCATAAAATCAATCTTTTAGATATCTTGTTCTCCAATTACATTATCAATAAAGATCCGACAAGTATGTAACACTGGAAAATATAAATATATCTGTATGAAACTATGAACTATATTATTACTTTTTGGAAATGAATACAAAATTTTGAAATCCTCATTCTCCCCTGAAGTAGTTCATTTGTATGCTGTATTAACTTAACATACATGTAATGTAGTATATTATGTTGAAGTAAAAATTAAATATTCAGTAGAACAAGTCTAATTCAATTAACAAATAACAAAAAGCTAAAAAAAATATGAAAGAGTAGTTTTCCTCTTCGTGTGGTTTTTCATTTATTGTCTAACCGATTTCATCCGACAAGAAATTCACACTGATAAGAGAATGATATGTGGATCATACAATCATAAGTACATCATTATACCTTTCTATGATCTATCTACCACAAGATATTAAAAGAATAATTTAATTCATATGTTAAATAATACACATACCTTTTTCTATCAATAATGCACATAATTGATGAGAGCATGCATTATATATGTGAACACAAGTATGAGTAAACTTAAGTGCGTTTGTTTTATATATACAAGATTATTTAAAGAAATTGATCCAAATTCTAATAAATTGGAAAGGGAGATTTTACATGTTAGTCCATGTGGGTTCGGGTACTAAATGTTTGGTCTCATAGGCTCCACGATGTTTTTGTGTCTACTTTTTCCGCAATTAATAAACATCTTTACAACCACGTTGTAAAAAAACGACTAATCATGTGGAAATGAACGACTAGTTAAAATAAGTACGTGATTTGTAAACCACTCATAAAAATCACATTTAGAAAAATTGAGAATTTATAATGAATAGCCAAAACACTATAGTACGAATATGTGCATTAATAGCACCAATCATATCATCGCAGTGAAATAAAATAACATTGACAAAGTCCTCAAAACGGCATCTTCTATTCTGTCTTCTCTTTTCTCTTGTCGGCCTGTTCTTTCTTCTAAGATTTAAATTATTCAAATATGTAAAAATATTTGATCAATTCGGAATGTACAACAAATTTTAGATTAACATACTTATTAGGTTCTGTTTTGTTTTTGGATTTCTCTGAAACATCCGACTGATTCCACGTATAAACATGTTCATTGACAAAGAGTTGCCTATCGACGGCGTAGTGTGTGTGCATATACGTAAAATGACTTATAATTGATAGATTTACACCTTCGTGAGATATCATCTTCTGCTAGCTGATGCAACTTTTTTTCTAAGTCCAAATATTGTATCTAGTTCTACACCGTGTAAGATTTAGTTTTGTGGAGGCAAATGGTTCTCATTTGACTACTAAAAGTCAAGTTGAGGCAATATGATTGGTTCTTACATTCTCTCATCACAAAAAAAAAAAAAAAAAAAAGAATTGGGAATATAAAAAATTAAGTGGCTGAGACGAGAGTGTTACCGATATAGTTTTCCAGATTTGGTACAAACTTTTAATAATAAGGAAGACGTAACACATGATGGTCCATGCAGACCAATATGCAAATAAATGGTCCCCTTTAACCGATTTGTTCTCATTATTACACAATGATGGTTTCGCATAGTCTTCTGCAAAGCAATCAGAACCCCCTCTACACCAAGAAGCTTCATATCAACATTCAACATATCTATTTCTGTTACAAAGGTAATAAATTTTTGTTTGTATATTTTGTCAATGTTCAATAATTTTACTAATATATCACATTCTTAAAAGCAGATCATAATAGAAGAGAAGATGTCATGTACATTGATGAAACTTGTTGCTTGTATGCAAAGACACCGAACAAAAGTTTTACTAGTATCTCGTAAGAAGCAAGATACGAGAGTGATAATGGTTCAAGAACCAAAAACATTATTGCAAAAAACACAATAACATGAAGAAACTAAATCCATCACCAAACCAACACACTTCTTCTACTAGTTAAAGATAACTATTAAACCAAAACATCTTCAGCACCAAAAGTGACAAGAACAAAAGATTATCAACTTAAAAAAGCATCTTGGCAGTAGGTTTAGGTAGTATTTTATCTTATAAAGGGTTGTTTTAGGGTTTGAGACTTTCACTCTTCATCATCCTCATCCCCATCACCACCAGCAGCTTTCTTGGCTCCAGCTTTCTCGTTCCTTCTCTTCACTCTTCCAGGTCTGCCACCACCGAACGGACTGGTCAGAGAAAAGTCTATGTGCTTCTGCGAGTCCACTCTCACCATGAACGATGGAATGTTCACCAATTGCCTCCCAACCCTAAACACCAAACCAAAAAAACCATTAGCTCAACAATCAGCTTCTGTCACAACACCAATACACATCATCAACACAATATGATGTTCACAAGATTACATCACAAAAAGTCACAATCTTTAGGACGTGAATGAAATTGTGATTACCTGATGTGCCTTTGACGGATAAGGACACGAGCATGGTGAATGGACTTAGCCATACCAGACTTGAACACAATGGTCTGGAGACGACGCTCGAGGAAGTTCTCAACAGTCAAAGCAAGAACGTAATCGAGCTTGTTCTGGCTCTCATCAAGAAGACCATATCGATTCATCCTCCTAAGAAGAGCTTCACCTTCAAAGATCCTTTTGGGATTCTTCTCATCGAGAGTGAGGAGATCTCTAGCAGCGTTACGGATACGGCTAAGCGAGTATTGGACTCTCCACAGCTCTCTCTTGCAACGAAGACCGTATTCTCCTACAAGCTTTAGCTCAGCGTCAAGACGCTCCTTCTCGTATGGACGTCTTGGCTTCTTGAATGTCTTGCCGTCTGAAAAAAAAACCAAACTCACACCATTAACAATCACAATCTTCAAAACATTACATGATATCAAAACAGAGTAATCTAAAAAACAGAGTAATCTACAAAACAGAGTATTCTACTGAATAATCACATATTTCAACAATCCTAAATGGTTTTTCACATAAAATTTGATCAAACAGATATATCGAAATCATTTGCATGCATCTATAGTCTTAATCATCATTTCAGCAGATACGATTATATACCAAAATGCAAAATTGAGTCGGTACTGTGAGAAAAAGTGAACAATTTGGACTGTGTAGAGAAATTAAACGAATCACAGAAACGATCCATGGCTATAACATCAAAATCAAATCATACCCAGATGAAAAAAACTAAAACTTTCAGTAAATCAAAATTAGAGAAGTAACAGAGTCTAAGAATCGGAATTCAGAATTGGGGGAAGAAACTATTTTCGAAAAGTTAAAAAAGTAGAATTTCGGTCACATCTGATGATAGAAGAAGGAGGAAAGAGAGCTTACAGTTGCGGTAGAATCTGACTTGCACCATGGCTGCTACTAAAACGAAGAAGACGATACGATCGCGAGGAAGAAGAAGAAGAGAGTTTTTATATTACAACTCTATGAGAAACCTAGGACGGCTTTAAAGTGTCGATGGACCATTTTGTTTTGGGCTTTATCACATTTAAGTTGGCCCGTTAGGCTTGTTTATCCAAAAGAAAATAAATTTTGGTCCATTAGGATTTGTCATTTTTTGGGGTTGTGAATTAGCTTTTATTTACAAATTATTTGGTTCATACTATGTCGTATGCCCAATTCATTGTATAAAAATGCTTAAATTTTGCTTAAGAAATGCCTAAAAATGTAAAATATTGATGTCATAAAGGAAACCTTAATCGGCAACAACATATGTAAAACCTGAAAAGAAAGTTTTGATTTGAAAAACTGAAATAGTTTCAACAAACAAAATGTTAACCCCAATAAACAAAAAAAAATATTTAACTTCCCGAACCACATCGGATGGATGCACTAAGCCGAATGTCGTTGACTGAATGTTTGGTGTATGGATTTCGATTTCTCTTTGGATTGACTGGCTATGTTTGATTTCAAATTTTTGATTATATGAAATGTTATTTTTTCTTGCATTACCAAGGTTTGCATATATTTTGCTTCTAAAAATTAAATATGTCTTGCCAAATTTCAGTGTTGTGTAAATTATGTGCATATATTCTGCCAATATAATCTCATTTAGAAAAGCTAACGATGTTAGTCAATATAAATGCACAACATGATTTTTTATCTAACAAAAAAATGTATATACCAATACTAGTTATAATAAATAAAAGTTTTGCTCCAAAGTATATAGCCATTTAGAAGAAGAAAATATGCAAAAATGTTCATTAATTATATATATAGCATACATGTAAGATTGAATCCTCTTGTTTTATGTGAAATATTTGCTGTTTTAACTTGTAAAGTAAACAAAATGACTGAAAATATTCTCGTCTGCGCAATAACGCCTTGGATACACAATAATTTACACATTGCATAAAACTAATGATAACTGAAAATTTTACTGTCTCATCAAAAATGAAGAAAGTCCAGAAAACATTTTGCTAAAAAAATTACTAATTAACCAACACTTCTCTGCAAAATCACTATGAAACTACTTTCTTAGGACTCTCCTTCACACCAAAATTTTCTGCTTTCCTCCTGAAAACAACACACAAAAACTCTCATCAAAATCCACAATTTTACATGTCGAGACACAACAAAATCTTGAAAACGATCACTTAATCACTAACTTGATTATTGAAGTTGGTCTGTCATATCCTCTATCTTCCTTCTTCTGACCCTTCAATATCTCTTCCTTAGTCTCCATCTTCCAATTAGCTTTAGTCAAAGACTCACCCAACAACTCTGCAATATTCGTCGCCATTGCTTCAACCTTCTCCACAAACGGAAAATTCTTCTCTTCAAATTGGTTAGACAGCCAAAGATACATAGACAAAACCTGATGTCTGCTCTCCAAATCCAACAGCTCTGTATCGTTCCTAGCAGAGCTCTTTGGCATCCCCATGGCCACATTAACCGGCATATCTTGGCTATAAGTCGAAGCAAACCGATACAGATGATACATCGCCTTCGGATTCCTGACATTAACCGGCGCAAAACAGAAGTTAAACCGGTCTTCTAGTGACAATCCTTCAACTTTCTCCAACATGTTTGCCACTTTCTTGACATGATCATGACGGCACAAGAAGTAAGAACCATCAAGTCTACAATGCTTCCCAAAATGATCCAAGAGCTTCGAAAACGCCATGTCAGGAACTTTAGCAGCGAAAAGCTCAAGCTGTTCAAAGAAAGGGAAGAGCCCAACTTTCTTAACTTCATCAAACGGTTGCTGCAAACACTCAATCAGATAGGTGAGATCTTCCAAGTGCAGCGTCGTTGCGAGTCCATCTGGATAACGACTTCCTCTCCTTCCAGCTCTTCCAGCGATCTGTTTCACCTGTGAAGCCGGTACAGGAACGTTCTTGTCACCATTATACTTGTTCAAACTGTAGAACACAACACGTCTTATGTTGAGATTCAACCCCATTCCAACAGCATCGCTTGCAACCAACACATCATACTCGTTTCCTTCCTCGTTAAACAGATTCGCTTGATGCCTCCTCGTCTCAGGAGGCAACGCACCGTAGATAACACAGCAGCGATGCTTCGTGTGCTTCTCAATAGCCATCTTAACTTCAAAGATCTCTCTTCTTGAGAAGGCAACAACACAATCACCAGACTTAACATTCTTAAGATCTCCTAACAAAGTCTTACCTTCCACAACCAAAGGCTTAAACCTCTCGTAATGCTCTTCAACCAACTCATCTCCTATATCAGCACACATCTTACGCACAATCTCCAAAACACTCGGATCTCCGCATAAATGAACCTCGTCTGCTTTCAATCCAAGCAAAGCTTTGGTCCAAGCGTGACCTCTACTAGGATCAGCCATCATTTGTATCTCATCAACCACAGCAACTTCATACAACTCATCCGTAGACACCATTTCAACAGTGCAAGAAACATGGTTTGCAAAAGGAACATGCTTCTTCTCTTGACCAGTCAAGAGACTACAGTAAATCCCTAAAGCATTAACTTTATCAAAAACCTCCATAGCTAACAACCTAAGCGGACTGCAATACAAACCGTTCTTAGCTTCCATAAACCTCTGCAAAGCATTGTAAGTCTTGCCACTGTTCGTCGGTCCACAATGGTAAACGATCTTCCGCTTCATCGCTCGAGCAAATGGGAACCAAGTCGCAGGTTTCGTGAGGTCTGCAGAATCAACAACGCTCTTGAAACGTTTGATCTCATCTGTAAACTCTTCAATACAGAACTCGACAAACACAGGGAACAAGAACTTGACAGCTTCATCCGTAGCTCCAACGCGAACAAGATCTTGAACAACCTCAATCTTACATTTCGATACAAAGAAGTCTCGGAACTTGCTAACAGCAGTTGGAAAAAACGATCTCCCGATATAGATAGCAAGAGCCTGATTAGCTCCCCAACTTGATTGTGCAAAGTAACTGAAAATCTCACTTAACGTATCCAATTCACTACTCTGAAGCTTAGCACGCACTTCACTTTGCCTAAGCTCTCTGTATAGCTCCACAGGATCTTGATACCTCGCGTTTAAAGCACGAGCAGCTTCACTACTCTCTGTAACATTCTCACCAATCTCAGAAACCGCTGAATCATTTATCAAGCTTTCATCTACTTCACCAAGCTCATTAACCATACTTTCCTCATCATAATCCTCACTCTCAGAGCCAAGACCTTCTTCACAATCAGATTCAGCTTTCTCATCGTTTTCGCCATTAGTATCCACCGTTGACGAAAAGCTCCTAACTTTACCAAACCCAAAACCCCCAAATCTGTAATCGTTCCATTGACGCTGAGCTCGAATCGGATTATCTGAAGCAAACCGGCTCGTGGTGGGCTCATCAAATTGGGGATTAGCTAGCGATCTACAACCAGTTTCTCCAAAAGAATGTAAATTTCGGGTCGATAACAGAAACCTAACTCTCGAAGTATACGCTCTACGCAAAACTCCAGCTACACCTCTCGCCATAGTCACGATAAACTAAGAATCACAATTGAAAAATGACGACTTTTTTGCAGTAGAGTTTTTTACCCTGTTTCAGATAAACTCGCCTCCTTTTCCGTATTGCTTCAAATTGGTTTTCGATTCATGGAGGATAAAAATAGTAAACGAGGTCAAAGCTAGTTCCTTTAACCGTACCTGTGGAGAGAAAGAGACAGAGAGAGAGATGCGGGAAAATTGGTGATGGTAGGCGTTTAAAGCTAGAGAAGAAAAACCCTACAACATTTCTGGAAAGTGCTTGTATCGATTCTACAATTTTGGATTTTGCCTTTTTCCTTGAACCAAATTTTAATGTTTTTTTTGGTTCTTACTGTAGTATTATATCACTCTTCTATCAATTAGAAAGTTATAAATTTTACTATTTTAGTCGTGAAAATATTTAAATTCTAGTTTTTATATTAAGAACTGTTCCTAAAATTATTTCTAGGTAGTATGAATCAAATCATAAGTGGCATTAAAACATTTGTTTACACTTTAAAAAGTCAAATCTTGTATGTTGTATTCTTAGATTTTTTTTCAAATGTTAGTGACAATGAAACAGAAACTTTTTTTTTTTTTTCCATTGACAATTTGATATACATATTTAGAGAATGAGAAGCAATTGTGACTTGGCTATTTTAAGACATAAAGACAGAAAACAGAGAGATTTAAGAGGGAGAGAGATCAAATGTCGTCCAAATGTCATCAACTCTTCTCTTCCAATGAGATATGCAACTCTAAATCTTCACTTCCTCTCTTGATCTTAAGTTTCACCTTATCATCAACACTATACTCATCCAATATCTTCATCAATTCAGCTTTGTTTTTCACCTAATTAATCCACACAAACAAGAAAAGACTCAGAATCTTAGTGAAATCCTTAAGATACATCTGAAGAAAAAGAAAAAAGGTTCTTCCTTTCAAGAATAAAACAAGAAATGCCAATCACAGAGTGACAAAAACAAACTGAAACTTGATAATCAATTTTCTTGTTTATGTAAAAGATTCAGCAAGCTTACTGGTTTGTCATCAACTGCAACAATGACATCTCCAAGTACTATATTACCAGCAAAACCCCGAGATGTCGGACGTAACCCTGCATTTTCCGCCAGACTATTTCCCGGTACCTGCATTCACAAACACAATCATTCCTGTCAGAAAACGAAAGAACGGTTTCAAAGTTTTAGAGTATATAAAATGTTTAGATAGATACCTGAAGTACAAGAGCTCCATTACGAACATTGAGCTGATTAGCTACTGGATCCGGGGCTAACTCTATGTTAATACCAGCTCGAAGGACCTGAAAATTTCGATTCAGTAACAACATCAAGAAGTTCCAAATACGGATGGATTAAGAAAGCAAAACAATGGATTTTGTGTGTGCTTACTTTGCTGAATTGGATTAGTTGAGGAACAATCTTCATTACAGTTGATGATGGGATTGCAAATCCAACACCCGCAGATGTTCCTGTTTAAAGACAAGAGTGAGTTACACTTTCACATGAAATATTTTCAACAATTGAGTCACTGAAAAATCACCTGTCTGTGTGAATATGGCTGTGTTGATCCCAATCAAATTCCCTTTTGAATCAAGCAGAGGACCTCCACTGCAATATTTTAACACAGAAAGATCCATTGACTAAACACACACAAGAAAAGTTATAATGCCCTTTTGTATAGACAGACTTACCTGTTTCCAGGGTTAATGGCTGCATCGGTTTGAATCCCACCACCAATTGTAACTCCGGTTTGACTGAAAATGTCACGGTTAAGACCACTGATGACACCAACCGTAAGGGTGTGGTCAAAACCAAACGGGTTTCCAATTGCTAAACACTGCTGGCCAACTTTTAGAGAAGTTGATTGTCCAACTCTAATCGGTTTCAGGAGATCTTCAGGAGCTTCTACCTACATTAGCAGTCGTTTCTTTTCATAGATTCATCGACAAATGTCACCAAATGTGTGTTTCTATATATAGATACCTTCAAGACAGCAAGATCCTTAGCACGATCAGCACCAACAAGTTTTCCTTCAAAATTCTTCTGTACCCTTTAAGATTTGCACAATGAGTGGACATGAGAAATGACTAGAGAGCCAAGAAATGGCTGAAACAATGCAAAACTCACCCATCAGATGCAAGAATATTCACACGACCAACTACATCCCCGGGGCTTGGATTTCTTGAAAGAGCATTTCCAATAACTATTCAGCAGAAGATACAACTAAAATTACAGTATTATCCCATCTCAAGCACTTGTACACTCAATCATGGATCATCTTACCGTGATAATTGGTCACAATGTATCCCTGTCCATTCCAGACTACTCCAGAGCCATTTCCTTCAGGTATCTACAATTGAATTTTGAGAGGCACTGTAAGTTAAACAATAGAGAAACATAAACAAGAGATAAGTTTATTTTGGTTATTGAGAAACATTTACCTCAACCACACCAGTCATTTTGAGCTGAGGCCGTAAAGTCACATCAAATATGTTGACAACAGAATAAGTATTCTTCTCAAACAGTTGGACAATCCTCCCCTGAAACGGAATAACAGATATATGAATCTTAGTGTAACGATGCAAAACCTGAAACTTCGAAAACCATTTACACTCATCAAAGAAGCTAACCAACCTCGGTAGGGAAAAGAGGTCCAGCAGGGAAAACAGGTGGACTAACATCTTCAACCTTCGTAACAGATGGATCACCAAGTGCTAAGGCTGAATTTCATCAATAACCGAATCATACCACTACCAAATGATTGAAATGCATCTTATTGTAAGTATAAGTAACGAAGAAAATGTTATCAAAAGGCCAGATTATATCTTGATGAACCATGATCACTACTAGAGAAACAAATCCTAAAGCTAGATTGATACTGATATTGTAAGAGATTTGGATCATCAGTAAGCTACGAGAGTACGAGCTAAGATTCTGTTGATTGTTAAAATTTAAACGTCTAGTGACATAATTTGAAGAAAAAAACAAATAGCTGAACAAGGTGCAGACCTGATAAGTACCTTGAAGGATTACAGCACAGATTCATGAACAAACTTGTCAACAAGATTCTCCTTGTTGTGGAAGGGACACTTTTCATGGCTAACTCTTGCAAATTCGACTTCCAATCTCGACCAATCCTAACAAAGAAGAATACGGCAAAAGTGGTTGTGTAAAGCTAATGCTGACTATCAGGAACATGAAAATGCATAATCTTTGAGGAACCCAAATAAAAAGGGACGATTTTTCAAGGAAAAAATATCAGCAACTAGAGAAACTTGAGCCAAGTTTGGAGCTAAATGCTTACTTTACTGAAGAAACCGGTCGGTCTGAAACGATGTCGCCGCCGCCGCCTTGGGAAATTCTGGAACATGCGGAGGAGAGAAGCTGTCGTCGGCCCACAAAATCATTCTCAATTGGAATGATCGGATTAGGCTTCAAAGAGCAGGACGCAATTACCTGCATCTTTGCAACAAATTTCTATGACCAATCGTTCTGACTAAAAACGGAACCTGGATAAAGTAAAAAATCTCAGATTTTTGTAGCTGAGGAAGAAGGAGCTAACTGAGATACCTAAACTACCCTTCACATCTCTCAATCTCATTTTCAATCGTGATTAACTATTAACCTTACGTGTCAAAACATGATTGGTTTCGTTTATGTTTTTTTTTTTCTACGTCGCTGATAATTTTGCAACAGAAAAGAAAAACAGAAGAAGTAAGACGTGTTCTTGAGCAAAAGGCGATCATTATTAAGTTCAATCTTGTGTGCTTTAGGGTCTTAGAACGATTTGGGTATAAAGAGTTCATCCAAATGTGATTTTAGGATCGTTATGTTCTGATATGATTAACCAAAACTGTCACAGAGTTAAGGACTTTATTAGAGTTCTATAACCCAAATCACACAATTGTCACATTGCTAACAAAAAGATTAAGGATCATAAACAACGAATTTCGTAGTACACAGTCCTAAACTTTAAGCTAATGAAGACTTAAGAAAAAAAAAACTTTCTTCTTCTGATTTTTTCACTTGGAAGAAGCTTCAGATGCTTTGACTTCGACAGGGCACTGAGATACATATGGTTTCAGCTGCAAAATCCAAAAATCCAAATATTCATCAGTAAAGCTAAATCACACAACAAGCTTAGTGCATTAAGTAAGTGTTCCATTTCACAAAACTAGCAACGAGCAAGAATTATCAAGATCACAAACCTAAGGAGGTCAACCAATAAGACTTGTATCAAACGATTTCTCAAAGGACTAATGTTTGGTTTGACACACTCAACTATTTACGTAGAGGAATCAGAGAAAAAGGGAACAGAATAATCTAAGTAAGCGATCCATTTCAGGTTCCACACAACAAAACTCACGACGAACAAGATGTAATATCAGGATCACAACTAAGGAGTTTCGACCAAATAAGACTAGTATAAAAAGATTTCTCAAGGGAATCCCTATTGTCTGCTTCTCATGCTTTCAAGCTACATACTCAGAGCTATTTATATAGACTTATAGAGGATAAACAAAACAGGAACAAAAGAGTTTTAGGGTGAAATGAAAAAAACCTTGAAGCCGGTCAGGTCAGGGACTACGTAGTTTGGCAATTTATCTGGCTGCACAACATATCCTCCTGCAAAACCATGTCGCAGAATTAAGAACAAGGTAGAAAAAAACGACAAGTCTAGATACAAATGATCAATTTTTGACAAAATTGAGTTACAAAGTTGTTAGCTTTCCACCTAACGAAACTGGTTAAACTGATAATAGCTCTCCTTAGGTTGCATTTACATCTAACTCAAAACAACTTGGCATTAACACCAAGCACAACATTCAATGGTCAAGCATATAAAACAAGTGTTGAGAAGAAAAATCCAATTGTTCAAAGCAGAAATGAATTGATCCTTAACTTTGGATAAAAATGAAACCTTTTTCTGGTGTCGAAACCAGTACTAAGCAGCATTCAATTACGAAAACCCAATTTTTGTTCCAGTTTCAGGTTAAACTTCGAATCAGAGATGCAATTGAACACAAGTAGAGAGAGAGTGCGTGAAATTAGGATAAAAATGAAACCTTTTCTGGTGTGGAAACCGGAAGGTTTGCAGTTTTTGCCCTTGTAGAAATCTCTGGGAGCTCGTTTGGGGGAGAGAATGTCAAGCGAAGAAGCTCTCTTTCTTCGGAACGCTCTTCCAATCCCTAATAACAACCCTAGCGTCATCCTTCCAATCTACCAATCATATATCGATGAATTAGAAAAATGTCGAAACTCAGAGCCGAGAAAATTCAAAATGAGAGAACAATTGTGAATGAACAGCTATCACCATAAAGAGAGCTTGATAAAAGAAAGATACCTTACTATGATCACCGAGAGAGAGAGAGAGGCGAGCAAGCGTCTGAGGAATTTAGGGGTTTTGTTTGAAGTGCGAGTGAGGTTGAAGAGAGAAGACGACCTGAAACGATGTCGTTTAGGTGGAAATTAGAACGACGTCGTTTTGCAAACATTTTCTTTTACCATGTATGGATTTTTAATATTTTGTTTATCTAGGCACATACTTGGATGCATAGATACATAGAGATTTCAAAACGAGGGTTGATAACTTTGATGTTTCACATATAAAGAGAAAATGAAAACTTAGTTTAAAAGCTATTGACCAAATTTACTAACTTGTGGTTGCGTGGGTTAAAAATCCCATGTCTTTTTCTTTGGACTTATCTCATCTTCAATATCTTTCCTTCATTTTGTTTTGAAATTTTTACCACGAGATCTTCATTTCTTGTTTTTACATGTCTCAAACCATGGAGACATATATAGCAAGCTTAAGCAATGCATTCGTTTTTACCGATGTCCAATTGACTTGCGTATAAGTTTATTTATCCCTTGTATGTTTGAATATACGAAATCTCTCACTGCTCATTGCTCAACATGAGATGTTAAATTTAATTATATGGATATTAATTTATTTTGATGGATAGTTATATTCTTTTACTTTCTTTTACCTTTTGTTACGCACCACAACTTTCAACTTCAATATATTGATGAGTTTTTGGTAGAGTATTTGAATGGTTTACATATACTTTGTTGTATGTTTGTATTGACAACTATCGATCACAGTTTCGTTTCTATCCTATTATACTCGCATAATCATTGAGTCACTAACAATGTTTAGATATAAACATATAAAGAATGTGACCAACACATCTAATTAAAATTATGCTTCTAAAGTATAAAAAAATTAACATCTTATGCACATTTTTGTCGATAGTTTGACTCGTGGCCTCAGTTTCAAGAAGTACACTGTACACAGTAACTTTGAAGTTTGAATCTCTCCCCAAAATTAAGCAAAATATATAACAAAGTTCAAGAAACCTATATCATCATATCTTTCTTGCAAAACCCTCCACTTCTTCAAGAGACATTGGTCGTAAACATACGCATCACTTTCCGGTCCCAACTATCGTTTCCCCATGCACACCTTTCTTCTTCTCTAAGAAACTTATTCCTTCTTCTCCAAACTCTCCCTCTATAAAATATCTCTGTCTCTTTTCATTCTCTTTTGCTTAACTCTTAACCCCAAATTATAAGTAATAGCTCTCTTTGTGTTAGGGTTCTAGTTATGGACGATGAAGAAAGTAACAACGTAGAAAGACTCGACGACTTCGTGTTGCCAGGGTTTAGGTTTCATCCCACAGATGAAGAGCTCGTAAGCTTCTACTTGAAACGGAAGGTTCTACAGAAATCTCTTCCCTTTGAACTCATCAAGAAAGTCGACATTTACAAATACGATCCATGGGACCTCCCAAGTAAGCTACAAAACTCATAATTCCTAACATTTCTCCAAATATATGAAATTTCAAAATACTGATGATGCATTTTCTTGAATCAATGTTTGAAAAGAGCTTGCGGCCATGGGAGAGAAAGAGTGGTACTTTTACTGTCCAAGAGACAGGAAATACCGGAACAGCACGAGGCCTAACCGAGTAACCGGAGGAGGATTCTGGAAAGCGACCGGAACAGACCGGCCTATATACTCGTTGGACTCGACTCGATGCATCGGTTTGAAGAAGTCGCTTGTGTTCTACCGAGGCCGAGCTGCTAAAGGAGTCAAAACTGATTGGATGATGCATGAGTTTCGTCTCCCTTCTCTCTCTGACTCTCACCACTCATCATATTCCAACTACAGTAACAAGAAGCAACACCACAACAATAACAGCAAAGAGATTCCTTCAAATGTAAGCAATTGGATTTGCCCTAACTTGCTTTACACGCAAGAAGACTCTTAATTTGAATGACTTATTTGAGTTGCAAACATTGCTTTGTAGGATGCTTGGGCGATTTGCAGGATATTCAAGAAGACGAACTCGGTGTCATCGCAAAGATCAATCCCACAATCTTGGCTTTATCCGACGATTCCTGAGACTAACCAACACAACTCACAGTCACAAACCACCAGTCTCTTAACTTCAGCAGACGTTCTAAGCCACATAGCAACAAGACAAAACCTTATCTCTGCTCCAGTCGACGAACTCACAAGCTTCACGGACTCATCCGCTGCTCTTTTCGCTTCTCAGATGCTCGGATTTCCCTACAACGCAGCAAGAAACAATGGAACAGGGGATGCTTTGTTTCTGAGCAACAACGAGAATAACTACTTCAATAACTTGGCCGGAGCGTTGACTAATGAGCTTCCGAATGTAAGATCAACAATGGCGAGTGAGATGTCGGCGACGTCGTATTCCACTAACAATTAAGATGTATCACACTAACACTTAAAATAGTGTAGCACGTCGCTAATATGCATTAATTTTTAGTTATCTTATCAATGTTGCTTTGGTTTTTGTTTCTTGAAGACCAAAATGAAAGAGAAAACTAAGACTTGCTTTGCTTCGTTTAGTTTTCTGCCTTTTGAAGTAACCTAATCTTGAACAATGTAACTTCTGTTTAGTAACCTAATCTATGATTTGTCGAATCTATTTTCATAAAAGTCAAGACTCCGAGTAGGTCTAAACAATTAATCAAAATGTAAGTTGAAATATTAATTTTCAACCACACATGCATTATGAGTTGAAGAGCCAAAATCATATAAAAATGTAGATTTGCAAAGTTACTAAATTATGTTTCAATCTCCTAATTTCCCTTCACAATTTTGTTAGAAGAACATCATAATAATTTCCAACTAAAACATATGTAAATTTCAATGCCGTTGCCAGATCTTGTTGCAACAAAATTTTCAGTGCAAGACATAGGGAACAAAAAGGACCAATGTGATATTTAACAAAACAGATCTCCGTAAGAGAATAAAACTGAACATATGAGGACTATATTTGCAAATGTCATTTCCAACGATTTCCATGTGCTTTTACAGCTTCTTCATCGTTCTTCCGCAAAGTTCTGCTGTCGCTTTGTCACTCGCCGTTTCTTCTTTCTTGCTACAATATGAAGCATTTCTGTTCAATTCAAGGTTAATCTCATTCAATCTTATTTTTCTCAGTCTGTTAATGGTAGCTTCGAACTTTACTTTGTGCAATTGGATAAAAGAACCCTACCTTCGTTTACTGTAAATTTGAGAAATTTGTGAATGTTTGTGGATGCAGGTTATGTACCCAGAACGGAATTTGGGGTTTTAAGGTACGCAAAATCAATAATTTCGCTTTAATTCAAATAAAAATCCAAACTTTTTTCGACATTGATCTTGTTCTGCTTCTTCCAACAGACATTGTTTTGAGCAAAATCTCACTCTTTCATGGAGCTTAAAGCCATGGAATTTGAGAAGTTTGAGCACGATTTCGCATTTCCAGAAACTTCCTTGTCCTTTGGTAGCTTCAACTCAAACGCATTACAAAAACAGTCTGATCTTGAAGAGATTCTCAGTTGCTGTTGGCACAGAGGAATCTTCATTGTCAGAAGAAGATTCACTAGACGACTCTCTCTCTCGACCTCTCACTAGTGACGAGGTTAATTTAAAAGCTTTCATGTACTTCGTCTTTGTTACATTCTCTGATGCTGAAGGAAATAAACTAACAAAGACACTCCCTTTTTTTGGTTTTTGTAGTTGAAGTCTTTGCTTATTGATAATGAAAGATCGAAGCTTGTTAAGAAATTGAGTGAAGCTAATCAACATAGCCGGTTCCTCAAGCGCCAGGTGCTCGATTTTACTTTGCTTAGTAACTCTATCTGTTCATTGTTTGATGTGCATTATGTTAGATGATGATGATGAGTTATTTGCATACTTTAGTACACTCTCTATTGCTTTTAGTTTCCGGTAGCTTTTGCTGTTGTTTCATCTGTGTGTTTGATGTGCATTCTCTTAGATAACTCTGACAAAAAATGTTTCTTGTTTGGTGATTTGATAAAAGCAAGAAAAAATCTCTCCAAGGCTTATAGGGAATTTAATGTTGAAGATGATGAGTTTATTTGACTTGTTTGTGTGTTGACTACTTTTTGCCATCTCTTTTTGCAGATCAAAACACAGGAGGATGAGATAAGCAACATCAAAAGCGAGCTTGCAGTTATGGAGCTTGAATTTCAGGTCCTTACATCTACTTTTTCAGACTTTTCAGTTTCAAATCATACATAAACATATGTATAAGTTTCTTAAGTAGAAAACATTTTCTTGATATTGTTCTTGTTCTATGGGAGAAGTAGGCTCTGGTCAAACTGGCTGAAGAAGTAGCAAACCTCGGGATTCCTCAAGGTTCTAGAAAGATCAGCGGGAAGTACATTCAATCGCACCTTCTCTCCCGTTTACAAGGTTCTTCTCTTCTTCCGTTTTAGTTTCAAATCATTATTTAGGTTCTTGAATATACTAAGCTTTCTTCTTTGCTCCTATTGAAAGCTGTTGAAAAGAAATTGAAAGAACAAATAAAAGACGTCGAAGCTGCACAATCAAAAGAAGTCCATGTGTTCTGGATCGGTATGGCAGAGGTAATGTAACAATCTTCACATTCTGATATGTTCTTACAATAATATTGATCCTCAAATTAATCATCATTTATTGATAATCTTGACATAAAAGAGTGTACAAGTAGTGGGATCGTTTGACGGATGGAGCCAACGAGAGGATCTATCACCTGAGTACACAGCCTCATTCACTAAATTCTCCACCACGTTGTTCCTTCGTCCCGGGAGGTACCATTTTACTTCTACTTTCTTTCTTTTTTTTTGGCATTCAACATCATATTTTTCATGTTTCAAACTAGTTTTCTTGAACATTCTTGAAATCTTCAAGGTATGAGATGAAGTTTCTAGTAGATGGAGAGTGGCGGATCTCACCTGAGTTTCCTACTTCCGGAGAAGGAATGACGGAGAACAATGTTTTAGTTGTGGAATAGCCACTCATCTTTCTGCATTCACACCTTTAGGTAAGACAAATCCATAAACATATCCACTGTTCACAAATTCAGACCACTGTAGATGAGATTCTAGACATGAGAAGTGAAGTGTCATGGAGGGTTTTTACTTGTTGATTTGTTATGCTGCAATATAGAGTCTGAGATGTTTGAGACAAAGTGATCTGTTTTCCTGAAGCTATCAGCTCCATAGAAGAATAATTTACTCCTTTATCTCATGTTCACTCAATAGTGTCTCATTTGTTCCTTACATATCTAAAAGTATTCTCTGAGATTGATTTTGTTCAATTGTTCTTTTTTTGGCAGTAGCTACAGAGAGAAGATAGCTTCAATGGAATATCAAGAATTTCTTGTTTTGTATGAAAGATCCACATAGAGACAAAGGAAAAGAAGAGAAGAAGAAGAAAAATTCATGAGTTTTACATTACAGTAACATGAGGACAAAATTTGTATTTTTTATTACTTTTTTACTCAAATGTATCTACAGACTACAAGTCGGTTAATACAAAAATCTTTAACAAGGGAAGAGACAGAAGGAAGGATCTAAAAGTAACCTTCTATTCACAAAGCTAATCTTGTTCAACTTATTATGACACCAAACCAAGTGATCTTTACTCAATTTCGACATGTTCAAGACTCTTGTCACAAGCTTCATGTCCACTTGCGAGAAGAAGTGAAGCACTTGATCTTCCGCTGAATCTTCCTCCTTGTGCTTTTGGAATCTTCTTATGATACATCTCTCACTCTTCAACACATCTCTCAACCTCTTCTCCTTCTGCAACCACATCACATCAATCAAATGGGTAAGTAAATCATTCAAGAAGTTAAAAGTTTTGTGTTTTGAGATAAAAAAGAGAGAAAAACTTACATTTTGAAGTTGTAATTTGACCTCTGCAAACATCTCAAGATCTTCAGAGTCTTCCTCATGATCCGGTTCTATCTGTGACTTGGTTCTTGATTTCTGATCATGAATCGAGCTAGTTAGCTTATCACACCGCACAAACCGCCAGAACAATCTAATCGTTTCCTCCATAATCTCCACAAGCTGATCGCTTTTAAACGCTCCTTCATCATCATTTTCATCGCAATCTCTTCTTCTTCCTTTCCTCTTGTCCTTGATTCCATCTTCTGTTAAAACATTCCAAGAACCGGTTAGCAAACTCCTGAACCGGATTAAGGATTTAGTAAGTTTTGGTTTAAGGCTTAATTACCTCGTATAACCGGGACTTGAAGGAGATTACGGAGGAGACAACGTTTCTTGATGTAATGTTGTACTCTAGGCTCTTCGAAAGGCTCGTTTTCAAGAAACCTCTGAAGCAAGACTTGAAACTGTTGAAACTCTCCGGCGACTTCGTTGTACCGACGAGAACCGTACACATCGGATTCGTGTAATTGAATGGCTTTTTGGTATTGCCAGTGAAGAATCTCCCATGATAAACACATGTGACCAACGTAGACGTTCTCTAACTCTCCATGAATCTCCTTGATGAATTGAACCATTGGTTCTGTTTCTGATTTCTTCGGTTTCCATAACCGGAGATTAACCGAGAAAACCGATGAAAACGTGGCATGTGAAGGAGAGGATCCAACGGTCGAGGTTGCTTGTTGAGTGTTCTTTGATTGAAGAAGCCCTTTAAGGACAATACACAACAGAGAAAAAATAAGTTAAAAGGAAACAAAAATAAGCCAAGACAAATTGTAGAATTTAAAAATAGGCACACAAACTTAATCAAGCAAATGATTACTGGCCTACTAAAATTTCCAAAATCTAATAATCAATACCTTATATGTATTCAAAAGCTATAAATTATGGAAGATAAGAAAGGTAGAGATTCCCACTAGCAAATATCAAAGTTAGTGGAGAGTGGAAAAACAAAATTAGGTAAACAAGTTCCATAAAAGAGCTATACAATAAAGAAGAAACATGAAAGCCAACTTTGAAAGCTAACCCAAAAATAAACATAAACACATTTTGGTTAAACTAAGTTTTCAATTCCCACAAACATAGCTTTTATAGTTGGGGCAACATTTATCACACATCATCTACATGTGGTCTACTTAGCTAAGAAAGGTAAACAAAATCAAAATGCCTTAAACAAACTATAGAATACAAAAGTGATTGTAAACTGTCAAATTTTAATGCATTAAAATACCATGACACACACATTTTTGTCAAAGATTCGTTCTAGACTCTAACCCAAAATTAATTAATAGACTAAACTTAAGGTAAATCTATTATAAATGTGTATTTGTTGACAAGCTATAAGCCTATAAGAAAAGACTAAAATGCTTCTAACTTCTTCTAAAATGACAAATGTCCCCTACCAATTTTGTTACATGCTCTTCATGAATTAATAAACTAAACCTAAACACATCATTCAAGAAAACATTTACTTAAGAAGTAGTAAGAACCTCATAAAGACAATTAAATAATGGTTAGCTTTTAGGTTTGGTGCAATGTTCATTTTCAAAACGCGTAATCAAACACTAATAAGAGACATTAAATTCCTAGAACCCTATAATGAGTAGATTTCGTGGGACCTTAAAAAAAATTCTAACTTATAAAACACTGCAAAATAAAATAAAAACTAATATAGGCCAAGTTATTTGACTAACACTAAAAATTTAAAATCAATTATGAAATTAACACAAAAATTAACAAAAAAAAAAGAAAAAGAGAAGAGATTTAGAGAACGTACCAAGAGCATAAGATTTCTGAAAACTCAAGATATCAAGCTTTCGCATTCTTTCTCTGTAACTTCTATGGAACTTGTGAACTTCTCCAATCGTATCTACATGTTTAAACTTCTTCTCCTCTTCGATCTTCCATGGCTTTAAATCTTCCATAATCTTAGGACAACATTCATCTTCTTCACGAATTGTCGGAAGCCCACCGATTGCTTTAACTTTCTTCATCTCCATCTTAAGCTGCTCAATCAAATCCTGATGCTCCCATAAACTCTCGAACTCGTTCGTATCTTCTTCTCCTTCTTCACCACCCTCTGAGTCAGAGCCAGAAACAGAGCCAGAATTGTCGTTTTTACGATTTTGCCCTTTCTCAACCTCCGGCGAGGTTTCTCCGAAATCGGAATCTGACAAAAACCGATCTTCGTTGCTTGTGAATGTGTGACTCGAATCAGAATCCGACTCCAGAAAATCGTCCTCTGTTAAAAATCTGAGCTTTTTCTTCTCGAAGGAAGAAACAGAGTAAACCTTCTCTGTTTTCTCTCGCTGCTTCTCTTTCAAGCAATCCTCAACCCTAAAAGTCGCCGCCTTTGGGTTTTCGACGACGAAAGTGAGATTCTTCGCCGGAGTCGGTGTCTCGTACTTGTTCGCCGCCGTGGAAATCACCGGAGAAGAAGACGGAAAACTGTTCTCTTTCTCGCTATCGGTCTCACTTGACGATCTGTAACCTTCTCTGCTTAATCTCTCGAAAGTTTCCGTCTGAAAAGCGAACTTGAAAACGAATAAAACTTAAACGTGACGTATACATGTACGCATGCATAATATTTGTGTATGTATCAACGATTTGTCAATGTGTGAGTGTGTTGTGTATAACAAATATATACATATATGCGCACATTACACGCAAAAACACGTACTATATAGAATTTATCAAATCGGGTAGTCTCGCAACGAAATGGTTTGGTTAAAACTAAAAAAGAAATGCATGTTTGGTCGAGTCACGAGTGTGTATGGAATACGTATCCGCCGAAGTTATATACGTACGCCACAGTTCCAACCTCCATTGTATACCAAACATATAGTTTAATAAAAAAAAAAATCATCTGAAAATAACTTCAATTCAAATCTATAGTGTATATTAATTTACACTATCAACAACATATATTAGGGTAGGTTTGAAGTTGCTTGATGATACAACAACGTACAACAATACACAAACTGTATACTACATGTTTTTTTTTTCTTGAATTTGCAATATAAATATGTTATTGGTGTGATTAATTTAGTAAAAACTAGTAGTACAGTTGTTCTTTGACGGTACAAAAAGTAATGGTTCTTTGACACTTTTGTTTGTTCTGAGGAGCTTACTTGGCTTTGAAATGAAAATTACACATTGCTTTAGTTGTTCTCACACGTGCCACTCATGCGTGCCAACTCATAGTTACCCTTTTTCTTTTGCTTTATGTTTTTTGTTTAAGAAAAAAAAAGGTCGAAACCAGGCGAAACTAACAGAAAAAAAGAAGACTTCCGATATAATTACATTACTTCGAAAATCTACGTATTAACGTATACAGTAATAATTATTTGACAATTGCGGTAAGAATTTAAAATACATTTTCCAACAATGATTTGTTTATTTGTTTTGTCGTAATATTTTCATTTTAAGGTTAAATAAAGTCACGTAAGCTGTCTCAACCTCCAACCTAACTTCCTCTACGAAGTACAAACATCTGTCTGTATCTCTCGCCCTCTATCTCTCTTTACTTTTAATCTGACATCCTAGTTCACAAGTTTAATTGACGTCATATTCATATACCTTAGTTTGTTTTTCTTTTTCTTTTTATAATTATTTATTTTTAACAACATTAAATGTTCTTTTGCAGAAAGCAATAAAGAAAAGAAAGAATTTAATACTATTAGTGTGTCATTTTAGATTGAAAAGTGTGCAGTCAAAGTCCCATGCTCCTAGTGAAAATAAGGTTCCATGGTCCTAACAAAGAACCAAATTTATGAGGACATGAGGACATGTTAATATTTATTCAGGGGGCTCATAACAATGTATGTAAATACAAAAACTCCCAAACTAGTATTGCTAAACCAAAATAGCAAAGTCATGTATGTGAAACACATAACCAATTTAGGCCAAATGCAAATTGAGAAAAATAAGGTCTATAATCATTTCAGTTTAGCTTTCAGGTCTACTGATCTATATCAAGAAAAATCTATAATAGATATCGATGGCTCTTTATAAAAAGTACAAGAAGCACATGCATGATGGGGGCACATTTCCAAAACTAAATTTCATCAGTTAACCACAAATCTAAAGAAAATATGGAGAAGTTGTGTCGAGAGGTCCCAGAAGCATTAATGTACATAACGAATCATAAGATATCATTTATGAACGATTTTAAACTTTTAGAATTAGTCCTTTTAAGATCACAGGAATCATACAGATTGAATGTTAAATTGGTAATCACTTACAATGTAGTATTCGTTTCGACCAAAAAGAAAAAAAAATACAATGTAGTATTCGTAATGGGTTCTTTTGAACGTATATAATCCAATTTGCGCCATTGTATCATCATATGATTAATCAATACATACTTCGTAATGTAACCCATAAAATAGACCAATAAAACTTAACAATATCTACCTTGTTATTATTTCTTGAAAGAAATTGCATTTTTCTCAATTTGTGATATATATTTGGAGAGAGGCACCAATCAACAAAGAAGTATGAACCAAAAAAGATGTGGATGTATTTTGTTTTTTATTACGCAAGGATGTAGATGTTTAATTACACCAATACTTATACAAACAAATTGCATACAATATAGACGTGAGAATGCACCTAAACACCTAAGTAATCATTATTTCTCTGCAATAGTCCTTGATTATCGACTAATAGATACCCTTGATCCTCCTTTAAATCATCATCATCATCCTTTTTTCTTTTCGGTTTGGTGAGATCTTATATCTTAAAATCATGATCAATGTAAAAGTGACGCCTATAATGTGTACACAGTACACAGCCACATTTTCTAAACCTTATAGCAGGTCCAAAACTTGGTATGTCATTAGACTCCTTTTTAAGTTTATGAATACGTGATCATTTTCCAGCTAATGCATGATTACGCGAGTGATCACGCATGTGATGCTTTCCAATATTTTAACAATGAACTTAATTAGAAGGAAAACAAAACGGGGTATCCTTGAAATAATTTGACAAAATTTGTCTTAATCCAATAAATTTTAATGTTAACTATATATATAGCTGCCGACTATAATAAGATCAAATGCATGAAGAAAAGAAAGACTAAAAAGGAAAAGCAAATATAAAGACCTAAATTATACATCTTTAAGGGATAGCTTGAGAAATAAGATAAGCATAAGATTGTTTTTTTAATAATATATATTCGTCTCCCTTTCAACATGTGATCATATGAGTGAAACCTTTTCGCTTTATAAGCTCATGTGATCAATCATCGTAGTAAGACTTGTAGGGTAGCATTGGCTTTGTGAGCTTTGGCCAGAGTGTTTTAACGGATTCCAAACTGTTTAATGTAATAAGTGGCCACAAATTTATTGTACAATCTGAGTTTTAGAACTTTTGATTTTGGTTGATGAAAGTTGGTTAGTACCACCATTTTGTTAAGCATATACATATCTTTCAGTTTATGCCATTCAACGTCATGCATCACTAAAAACCCCAATAAAAAAAACTTACTAGATAAATATTGTGAATTACTCTTTTTTTCTCTTTATGAAGTGACTGTGAGTAATTTCGATAAGCTGCTTGCCTGCTTTTACTAATGATAATTTCGATATAATGGATTACTTACACCTTCATTTAGAGAGAATTTGTTAAATTTCATTTCACTTGCTAATGAAATGAGTTTTAACATGATGTAAAAAATACATACTATTTCACCTCATTGCTAACTGAATTCTAGTTGATAACTCATGAACCTTATTTGATGTCAAAGCCTAAATCAGCCGTGTTAAGCATGTTCTCTATATTAGATAGAGATCTTCATCCTAGCTAGAGATTCGGTTTGTAATATAAGTATATAATAACTAAATCGTGCTGCTTAAATATGATCAGGTAACGAACTTTGTTTACTCAGATAAATTTGTCTAACCACTTTTTCTCTAATGCCCACAAATAGGAAACGAAACTTGGTAACGTTCTTGTATATTGGACTGCTCTAAATTACCTCAACATTTTTTAATCGGTCCCAAAATCATGTTAACATTTCTTCAAGCGTAGGGAGAAACACTCACGATGATGTGTACAAACACTAAATGGACCTAACAAGGAAAGTGGGGCTGGCAATATCAAAATTAAATTTAGCTCAGATATATATAAATCGAAAGACCTAATCTACGTTTTGTGCTGAACTTAAATTAGAATCTTTGGACTCCTATTATATCACTCATGTCTCTATCCTTCATACTATTTCCAACCCGATTTTTACTATTACAGTAACTTTATAAACAAATCTACTTGTCTATAATAGAGGTATAGTCGTATAGATATATCGTTTTTCAATTTTTTTTTACTTTTTTCTGGACAACTAGTTCTCTAATCTGTTGTTCAATATTTCGACTGATTATTGATTAGTCATACATATACAAATTATGTATATATACTAGTTATAAACTTATAGTCTGAGACCCTATATCTGTAGATGTTTATAGTAGTCTGGACCAATCTATTCTTCGAATAATGCAACATTACAAGTCCTTGAACGGTGGCAAGAAAAGAGATTGCAATCGAAACAATGAAAAATAAAGTGGCCGTATAATGTTTTAGTTGTGTAATTCTATTAAAATAAGACTTTCACATATTTTTAAGTAATCAATCTCTCAAAACAAATCGTTATTGTCACCCCATTTAGTTGGTGTCATACTTTATTATTAAAATATTTAAGGGTTTACTATTGCTAAATGTTGGTTATTCACCTAAATTTCGCAATAATCTCAATATAAGAAAACTTGAAAAAATAGTGTGATGTAAGGTAAATTCCGGTTAGGTGCTCAAGAAAGGTAAATCCCAACCTTACTATATACATCTTATTATATTTTAGTTGCTTCTGCTTTTTATAAATAAAAAGAACTATGCATACCTAATTGTATATGATTTTCTCAAAGTAACTTCCATGAAATTGAAGCATTGTAGTAGAATCACAATAGGTAATGGTTATATCTGTACAAGCACATTTAAATTTGAAAATCTATTCATTTATGACAAAACATGGTGGGCCATTTCTTTTCAAGTCTACATATGTCCATCATCTATAAAGAACCGTACTTTATTTAATAGATCTAATAATTTATATGGTGAAACGTTTTTTTAAGGGCTTCGATAAGATTAAGTGAAATTCTTTGGGTTCGTCAATATATCAAATTTCAGCGATAGCAAGACTATTTATAATGATAATCTTATGAGCAACTAATTGTTTTCTTGCAGTTCACAAGTTAAAATTATCACTTTTGATGGCTAATTATTTGTTTTTGTTTCTGTTTTGATATTGTGTACTTATAGCTAAATTGTTACGTTACAAATTATAAAAAATATTATTAACAAGTGGTGCACATGGTATATGGCAGTTAGGGCCATAACCTCAGCTTGTGTAAAGTTTTGACCCCACCAAAGAATACGGAAAAGATATTTGTGACTTGACAAAATGTGTAAAATAATTGATACTTCTAAATTTATCAATTTTAATTGCTTAAATAATTGTAACAAACCCGTATGGAGGAGATACCCATATCCTAATCTCAAATTATTTAATATTCTTTATTGTGAAGCCGACATTTCAATACTCATCCCTACGTTTCCCCAAATGGAAAGTTATTCTTTAAATTATTCATCAACTCAATGATTAGTGTTAGTGCCACGCCTTAAACCCTATTTAGAAATGGTACAGATTATGTATATAATTTAGTAGTTGGTGAGAGCCAAAAAAAGATCTTATTATAGAATATTGCATTCCACGATCGATGTGATATAATAATACTTAGATTAGATCTAACTTTAGTATGCATTGTACTAATTTTCCCAAAATAAAAAAGGTGTATATGCTTGTTTGTACTTGATATATGAGAATAATTAAAACTAAGCATATATATATACCAAAAATGGGTTATCAGAAAGAATCATTGAGAACGACATAGATTAAAGAGGAAATTGGTATTAACAAAGTGCTAATAAACAAATGATGGCTAATCATTTGAAATAGAATAATAAGTTACGTATAAGCAAATTAATGGGATCTAAGAAAAAAAAATAACACCTGCATCTTAGTTTTGTCGCAAATAAAATTAGGAAAGGTACTTATAAAGATAAGATTAAAATAGTGATTAATTAATTATTTAATTTAGGGAAAACCATCTGACTTCCCATCTCTATGTTTCTTCATAAGAAACAAGATCACCAGATAAAACTGAATCATTTAATGGAACTTAATAATCACATTTCCGGATTTAAATTATCGAAAGCAAGACTTAGTTTACAAATTAATTTGTTTAAAAAGCACTTAATTCTCTCAATGTTTAAATTATTATTCCTCAACGAGCGAGACACCGTCGTGGTAAAGAACATTTAATTAAAAAACTGAAAATTAAACTAATAATAATACAAAAACAAAACAAACACAGCTCTAAAGAGTTTAATTAAAATATTAATAGACCGTTATTAACGATGATAATACGAGTAGCTTACTCTAAGCTAAAAAGCTTAAGCTTCTTATTGATCTTACTCTCAGATCTTTACTACTTCACGACGAAGATGATCCGTTTACGTTGCCGCCGTTAGCTCCGTCTCCACCTCCGCCGCTATCACTATCGAATCCGCCTCCGCCGCTACTAACACTTGGGTGGAGCTCGTCGCCTCCGTTATTGTTGTTGTTAGTTTCGCCGGCGGGAATCAGAGTGTGGTTTCCTCCTCCTCCGCCGCCGTTATCGATTTTTTGGATCTCGGCGGCTCCGGCGAGTGAGAACGGCGGGAGATCGCGGCGGTTAAAGTTGTTTTTGTTGTTGTGCATCCAGACTTTGAGAACGCTTTTGTCAACTCCGATCTGACGGCAGAAATCGCGAACGTCGTCTTCGTCGCGTTTCTGCATCTTCCAGCCGACTCGATCGGCGAACTCGTGCATCTTCTCTTTCTGAAATTGGCTGAATTTCGTCCGGAATCGCTTACGAGATCCCGGCGGGTGGTTGTGGTGGTGGTGGTGGTTACCGTTGTTGTTGTTGCCGGAGAAATTGAGATCGGAGAAAGCGAGGTTGTTGTTATTAGTTCCGGAGAGAGAAAGGAGCATGTAAGAGGAGGAGATTGGCGGAGGAGAAGCGGAGTTAGGGCTACGCGGAGGAGCTGCTAGTTGCGGCGGCGGTGGCGGATGGTGGCGGTGGTGAGGTTGGTACTCAATTGCGGCGGCGACGGTGGAAGAAGGCGGAGGTATTGATGAATTCGGGGAGGAGAAGTCGTTTTCCGGCTCACGGCGGTGGAAATTACGGTGGCAGCCGCAAGCTGCGCATTTGAGAGAAGTCGGATCGGTGGAGATTGACGACGGAGCCGGCATGAATTCGCCGCAACCGTCAAGCGCGTGGCTGCCTAACGCCGCCGCGTGGTTTTTGAGACATTCTTTGTAAGTGAAGAGGAGAGGAGGGTGGTGGTGGTTGTTGAGGTGGTTATGGTGGCGTTTGATGATTCCGTTGCTGAAGGAAATGGGTTTCGCAGGTTGGATCCGGGTCGGAGTTTCGGATTCGGGTTCGGGTGATTTGGGAGGAGCTGTTGTTGCTGTTATTGTTGTAGGAGTCATATCCATAGCTCAAGACATGAAAATAAGCTTCCAAGAAAAATGAAAAACGGAAAAAGAAAAGCGAAAAAGATGAAATAAAGAAAACTTAGGGTTTGGGTTTTTAAGCTTTGGGAAATATTATGGTATGAGTTTCAGAGAGAGAGAGAGTGAATAGAATATGGAAGAAGAAGAAAAAAGATAAGTAAAAAGGTTCTTGTGCTTTTTGGAGATTGTTTATTAATTTAAACTGATTTTCTTTGTTTAAATATTCGTTTTTGTTTAGAGGAAGAAGAGGAAAAGCAGAAAATGAGATGATGAGAGTGACGACTGTTGCTGAAGCAAATAAAGAAACTATTAAAAGGACAAATATTAAATTAATTCATTAAATGAAGCAAAAATAAAAATGAAATTTGAAGGATATTTAAATCTCGAGGGAGGGTTGATGTTTTTAACCATGGTTTGGTTATGTATAGTTTAAAGGAGGGGAAGGGGGGCCCACAAAGAGAGTGCGTGTTAGATTTTGCGGTGAAAAGCGTAATAAATGTAGCTAACTGAGTTCTGTCTTAAACCTAAAGACAGTCTCATGGCAGAAGTCAAAACAAAAACACAAGTCTTATGGTAAATTGGTAATGTTTAATTTGGTTAATTTGTTTCTAAACAATTCTTCTGCGATTTTTTTTTGTTTGAGAACGCATTTGCGACTATTACTTTTGTTTTAGCTTATAAGATGTGTTAGGTGTTGTTTTCAAAATATACAATGTTGGTACTAAATAAAGTTTATAAGGTATTGACCAATGAAATCGGGTAATGTAGATATGGAATCCTTAAAGTGATCTTCTGACGAGAAAACGATGATATCGGAATCGTGTCGGAATCGCACTGAGTAGTTGAAGATGTGAAGCTAAAAACGGAGATTGTAAGCCAAAAATCGCAACTTGAGGTCAACCAGGTTTCATGTTTTGGGTTTCGTTACGTTAATCGGAATTTGAATCAATGGGCTTTATGCGTTTACAAAAGAAACAAAATAAGAGTTTGGGTCAAGTCAATATCTAAGCCCACACAAAAGGAAGCAGTAGAAAAAAGGTTGTTACAAAAATATGACAACTACTTCACTCTTTTACATCTTCATTTTCTTCGTCGATCTCCGTATATGTTCTTTGATCTTGTGTTGAAACTTGCAACCTTGATAATAGTGATAAAACTCGTAACAAGAGAAGAGAAATCACGTCATACGTAGTTTGTAACCTTTTGCAATTCTTTTGATTGCAAGTCTTCGATTTACACGAGTATTGAGTGAATATAGCAACTAAAGCCAAAACAAGCCTTTCGAAATAATGAAATACTCATTTTGTTTTTAGAAAGACTTTTAGCTCTTTAATTCCTACAAGTGAAATAGTTTATAAAGATATTTTTTCTATGGATTTTGTATGTATTTTTTTTTGTAAATTAAGGATAGTTTATAAACTTTTTGAAATATTGATTTAAAATTTAAATTTATTGAATTATTATTGGTTTAGAACTACGATAATTGAATTATTTTAAAAATTATACATTTATAAATAAATATTACCCTTAATGTGTAATATTTAATTTTTAAATGCATCAATTTTTAAAAATTAATACTTTACCATAACTCTAAACCAATAGTAATTCAATAAATTTTAGACTTTAATCAATAAATTCTAAACAATTTCTTATTATTAATTAACAAATAGGGCAAAGAGAGCCTAAGTATTTATTTTTATATAAAAGATAATACTTTTGTTTATTTTTTAAAATATATGTTTTTGTTCTTTACATATGATTTCTTAGTGATATAAATTTTTAATTTTTAATTTAATTGGTAGAATAGTTGCATAAATATTTGGCAAAGAGAATAGTTGCATACATAATTTGTAGTAGCATCTACGATCAAATTTTAAACATAACTCGTTGTAAAAAAATTAAAATCTATCAAATCAGCGACACCTTTACAATTTATTTACTTTCTTCGAGAGTAACATAAAATCTTACAGCGAGTGATGAAGTGAAACTTTTGAAATTTCGTTTGCTAAACTAATTAATAATTTAACTAAGAAAGTTATGAGTTTAGTCTGCTTACGTATAACATACCGAGAGATAATGGTTGGTTACGACGGCGGACGGCAAAAGGAACCGTCGGGATGGCAGAACTTCGAGAGGGATCGTTGGATCTTCGAAGGAAAGAAACGACGGAGATGGCATGAAATCGCTGCAAGCGTCAAACTCGTAGCAGCCTAACACCGCTGAAGACAAGATAATTTATTCGATATTTCGATAGAAAGATTTCACTGATCAAATAAATAAAACTTATGGATTGCATATTGATAAGGTGCGATATGTGAATGTGTGTAATTAAATTGGGTTGGGACTCACAAAAGATAGTGCATGCATGTTAGAGATTTTGGTCAAACGCTTTTAATGTTGGCTTTTGCCTTTTGGGAATGGTTAATTATTCTTACTTTCATAAAAATTGAGGTAAAAAATTCATATGATTCCTCACACGGCTCCCAAATGAGCCACTACGTTGATCGGGAGAAATCTAAAATAATTTGTGCGTTGTTGTCGTGAGATCATTTGTGAATAATCCTGATTCCTGACATTAGAAAATGAGATTCATTTGAAACTTTATTCAAAATTACAGTAAAAAAATTGTAAAAGCGTGCCACAAATGAAACCACTAATTAAAGCATGTTGGAATGGAGCAGGTTCAAGAATGCGTCTTTGAAAACACTATTGATCACTTCCAATGTTGACTGTGCTAAAATATCTAGGAAGGGGTAATTAGCACTAACCAAACAATGCATAAGATAGGATATGCCAAAATCTCTGAAAGACTTATAACACAATAACAAAAATCTATGAAAGATTTATATAACACATTCCACATCATAACTCAAATCTTACAATAACAACATAAGACATTACCATTTTTTTTTAATTAATACTTACACTCTCTAGGCTTTATTTAATACATAATGTAAAAAACAAAAAAAGTGTATATAGAACATATATATACTCAAACACAAATCCATTCAAGAAGATGGACCATTCTCGGGTTCTTCGCGTAGGGCAGTTTTGATTGGATCCGATTCTTTTACTTGAGGGTTCCTCTTAGATTCCATGATATCTTTGTACGTATTTATAAATTTCTTCATGTGTAGTCGTTTCCACTCCTAAACCAAATAAAACCACAAAAATCCAAAACATATACAACGATCAAAAACGTAAATTGAACTATTTCTCATCAATGGTTAAGTAAAGAAAATTTTCATACCTCGAAATCCCATTCTCCATCCATTTCAGGATCATCCTTATTAATCCATATATATGTTTTCACAGGCATCTTATCAAAATTATCCTGTATATATACAAGAAAAAAACAAAAAAATCATAATCTAATCTCATCAAGACATATAAATTAATCTAGAATTGTGTTTTTGGAGATGAATAATCAAAACTTACATCCCTTACAGCCCCAACTGTCACTCTCTCATATTCATTACCCTCACACGTATCTAAATTCTTAAGCTCTTTATCGTTTAATCCCGTTAGTACCTGCAACAAAGTTGAAGAAAATCTCTCAAATCTAAACCCTATAAAAAGCCTCAATGACGATCAAGAAATAAAAACTTACAAAAATAGCTGAACTATTTCACCCAAAAAGAAAAAGAAAAAATAAATTGAACCTTTCCATGGACGTCTCCTTCCTCAGACGGCACAATACATGGATACAAACGTCCTTTAAGGCTAAGCATCTTACTGAGAAAAAAAAATAAACCCCAAAATTGCCATCAAATCTTAGACCTAAACATATAGATTAATAACGAGAGAGAGAGAGAGAGACTTACAAGCCAGGGAGTGTAGCAGAGATCATCTCAGGGACACGATCAAGAATGACCTTGATGACATCAGGCTCCTGAAAGCTACCGTAGACGAAGATATTGTGAAGCGGAGGACCGGAGCTACTCATTTTTCTCTCTTCTTTGTAATTAGTTTTGCTTCTCTGTTTTTTTTTTTTTTGTTTCTTTATATGTTTCCTTTGCTTGTATATATATTGTGCCTCTATCAGAGTTTGACTTGATAACGTCAAGATGAAAGACCTGAAGGTGAAGGACAACGAAAACGGTGAACACGTGGTACGGATTCTCTGACGACAACCTTTGGTGATTAATCGTCGTCCTTAGTCATTTTTCATTTTGTTTTGTCGGCAACTATTTGATACATATCTTGATTAATTAAAATACATTTCCAAATTCCAATCCTCCTTTCTGTGAAATATTCTATTGCTTTTTTTTGTTGTTGTCGTTGAGAAAAGGGTAGAAATTTGTATTGCTTCAACAGCAAGTACTTCTAAATTTTTTTGTTTCAAAGATTTCCTCCGCTCCTATGTTTGCAAATGTAACATCTTTTTCACTGATAAATAAATGTAACAACATTTTGACCAACAAAAAATTGACCATGGCATGGATCATAAAATGTTATTGTAAGATAATAAATTATGTCCAAGAGACTTTTTTTTTTTTTTTTTTTTTTTTTTTTTTTTTTTTTTTTTTTTTTTTTAACAACTTTTAGTAGATTAATGGGTTACTCGGTTATAGGGGTAGGTCTTAACCCAAACTTAAAGACATAAGCTGACTTTTCGCATTTTCGCGATCGAATATGTGGAAGCATTTTCCGATCGAGAGATTAAACTAAAAACGATACTGAAAAACATAGAAGCGAGAGTTTAAAAATCAAAGAGAATCCCAAAAATCTCTTTATTTTGCTTTTGCAAGGTTATAGCTCGGATGAGATCCTGAACGTCAGATGTGGAGATCAATGATTCCCATCTCCAAGACATTGTTGAGAGCAGATCGGATCGCTATGGCTTCTCCCATCTCCAAGAAAATCCAAAAATGCTATGTGCATAAAAACGTTTAACACTAAGAAAAATTAGAACAAGGCATATCTCAAGCTATAGAATGCTAAATTGCTAATCAGTGATCAAAGCATTTTCTTAAACGCACTTGGTTAATTACGGAACTAACCAAAAGTAAGGTCACGAGCGCAAATTTTAATTACAAAGCCACAGGGTTAGATCTGTAAACATCCAATAACTAAGCACACACGAAGACGAATCGTGCAATTGAAGTGGCTCGTTGGCTCGTAGCCACTGGTTAGGTGGCTCGTAAAGACATCGTTGAGGTGAATGACGGAAGAGGGCACTGAATATAGACACGTGGCTTTCTATGAATGGACAATCTCGAGGCTATTATGGTCAGATTGATATTTTTGCCATTTCTCTTTTCACGGGAATGGATGGATAATCAGAATGCTCCATCTCCCTCCTCCCTCAAATTAGAGTAAACCCTAATTGTTTCTATAGCTTTCTCTCTGACTTTTCGAAGGGGATCAGTCTAATTGCTTTCTCTCGACTTCAGTTTTTTTGTTGTTCTCTCTTTGTCTTTGAATTTCCGTGGTGTTTCTGCGAAGAGAGACATAGATCGGATATGGCGGCTGATAACACGGGCGCGAAATCGAGCTCCGCCGCGGATTCTTACGTTGGGAGCTTGATTAGTTTGACATCCAAGAGCGAGATCAGATACGAAGGCATCCTTTACAATATCAATACAGATGAATCCAGTATCGGACTCCAAAACGGTACGATTCGTTTATTTTCACTTCCGATTCCGGATTGTTAGATGCCTAGTGTGATTTTGGTGGTGTGTTCTCTTTCTGATTTTGGCAGAAACGTTTCGATTTTCCAATTTTATCTTCAACTGCTTAGCTCGATTAGAAGAAAAGTTTTGCTCTTGTGCTTGGAATTTATGGAAAACAAGTTTTCATTTCAGCTATTTAGCTTATTGAATTGAAACTATTGGTGGAATCATGAGAGCTTAGTCTTTGGTTGTCGATTTTGGTGAGCTTTGAGGTGTACTGATCCCTGAATTTTCAACATTTTGTAGTCCGATCATTTGGAACGGAGGGAAGGAAAAAAGATGGTCCGCAAGTTCCTCCAGGTGACAAAGTTTACGAGTACATATTGTTCCGTGGGACTGATATCAAGGTAATCCAACAAGATTATGCTAATTCCTTTTTTTTTTATGTAATCAGTAATCACTGTTACCAGCTTTAGACACTGATTGTTCTTGTTATTGGCAGGATTTGCAAGTCAAAGCTTCTCCACCTGTTCAGCCTCCACCTACTTTGAATAGCGACCCTGCCATCATTCAGGTAAATGGTGGAAATGTTACAAAATTTATATCTTTATGTGACGTTAGAGTCATTTTGATATATCCCTCACACTTGTCTTTGTTTTTGTAGTCTCACTACCCTAGCCCGGTTCCAGCATCTAGTACTAGTAGCTTGCCTGATATGAGTTCTCAACAACCTGGACAACATGGAATGGGGTTTCAGAATGCAATGCCTTTGTATCAGCCTGGTGGAAACCATGGTTCGTGGGGAGCATCACCACCACAACCACCGCCAATGTATTGGCAAGGATACTACACTCCACCTCCTCCCAATGTCCTTCCCCAAATGCATCAACAGTCTCTGATTCGACCCCCTCACGGGCTGCCAATGCCCACCTCTCTGCAGCAACCCCTTCAGTATCCTAGCTTTAATGCTCCTCCTCCACCTATTGGTTCATCAAGCTTGCCGGAACCACGCTCTTCGTTGCCTTTCTCTGGTCCACCTATGGCGCTGTCTTCAAGCCTGCAATCTCCTCCTCTAGCTTCAGAGATGGCACCTCCTTTGTTGTCGAATAAAGCTCCTACTGCTCTGCCTCCTCAGGATACGAATTCGCTTCCCTATTCGCTATCAACTACTAGAGCCACCGACCACGCAAGTGCTGGCCTTCCACTGTCTAACAAGCCGAGTGTAGTTACTGGTCCAGTTTCTCTGCCGCAGACAACACCATCTGCTCCTGTTGCTGCTGGAGCTTCCAGCTCTATCAGCCAAGATAAGCCGAAACCTTTGTTGGTTACTCCTGGCCAACTGCTGCAGTCTGGATCTTCCGCAGTCTCTTTACCTCCACCCTCTAAAAATGCGGATAAAGATGTTGAGGTGGTTCAAGTATCATCATCATCCGCTGGGTTGGAACAATCTGCTCCGAAAACATCTGAAGCACAACCTCCAATACTGCCATTGCCTTCTTCCGCAAGGCCAAATGGGCATTCTTTCCCAAACCACAATGGTTACAGAGGACGTGGGGGGAGAGGAAGAGGAAGAGGAGCAGGGGTAATATTCTTCTCACTCATCTGTAGAATGTGACAAGGGTTTTATTTATTTTACTGGGGAAAGATCCACTAGTTGAAAATAGCTCATGAACCATAGCTATGTATGCTAATGATACTTCTTGTTTGCAGAGATCACACCAGGTAATGAAGTTCACCGAAGATTTTGATTTCACAGCAATGAATGAAAAGTTCAATAAGGATGAAGTATGGGGTCATCTTGGGAAGAGTACCAATGGTGATGGTGATGGTGATGATGATTCCCCAATCGTACATGAAGCTGAGCTGCCTAAGATTGAGGCCAAAGTAAGTGAAGTAGACTAATAATCAAGTAAAACCGCTATATTCACTCCCCATTCCTGGTCTCATATACCTCAACTGTTTATTGATGTAGCCTGTTTACAACAAAGACGACTTTTTCGATAGCCTCTCATCAAATTCCATTGACCGAGAATCCCAAAATGCAAGGCCTAGGTTCGCAGAGCAACGGAAACTGGATACTGAGGTACACATCTATACATATGTCTGGACATAATTAGTCTCCGTCTTCTTTCTGGAGATGCTCAATTTTTCAGAATCTTAAAGAAAAAACCGCATTGACTCTTAACAAACGGTATTGGTGTGATTCCAGACATTTGGTGAGTTCTCAAGATTCAGAGGAGGTCGAGGAGGGCGTGGTTATGGTCGGAATGGTCATTCACGTGGCGGTTATGGTGGACGTGGTTATGGCGGTTATGGTGGGCGTGGTGGTGGCGGCGGCTATGAGTATGGTGGTCGTGGCCAAGGTAGAGGCGTATCAAATCGTACTTCCTAGAAGCTCTCATGCTTTTGAGGCCATTTGGTATGTTGCAATAAAACAAAAAATCTGCAATAAAACAAAAAATCTGCATCATTCTCCATCCATATCAGGATCGTCCTTATTTCACAGTCATCTTCTCGGAGTTGTGTAAATTAATCAATCTTTATCAAAGACCACTCAAAATGTGTAAATTTAGAATTGTGGTTTTACTGTTTTAGAGATGAACAATCGAACTTACATTTCTTACAATCCCAACCGTCACTCTCTTATATTCATTACCCTCAGAAGTATCTAAATTCTTAATCTCTTCATTGCTTAATCCCGTTATTACCTGCAAGAAAATTCAAAAAAATCTCTCAAAAATGTAAACCCTGGAACCCTTAATTTAAATACATTTCGAATCCTGATATTGTATTGCTACCCTTTTCTTAACAACTTTCTGCTATTTTCTCCACGAATAAAAATATTAAATATCATTCTTTGTATGTCAGCCAATTCGAGTCTTTCACTGGTATGTCTTTACAAATTGTTATATATAATTTTAATATGTATTATCAAGTTGTAATGCTAATTTTGGATGGACTTTTGATAAAATTTTTGCCTCTCTTATTCACATTTATTATAATCCAAAAAACTGTGGTAGTTGTTTCAAAAAGGAAAAACATGATGAATGAAGAAAGCTCAACAATGGAGATTGATCAACAAAACGAAGATTTAAACAATTGGTTACCGGTAACGGCCTCTCGAGAGGCCAAATGGTGGTACTCCGCCTTTCATAATGTCACCGCCATGGTCGGTGCCGGTGTTCTTGGTTTGCCTTTTGCCATTTCACAACTTGGATGGTACGTACAGTCTTTGTTCCAAAACCATATTCTCTAATTTAAATTAATACAGTTGATTCTTTGCTTTGCAAGAACTACCATTAAAAATTCTTGTTTACTTATGTTGTAGGGTATATGGAGTAGGGGCAATATTAGGATCTTGGGTGATAACATTCTACACATTGTGGCAACTTGTGGAGCTACACGAGGCCGTTCCCGGAAGACGGTTTGACCGTTACTCGGAGCTCGGTGAATATGCTTTTGGCCCGAGACTAGGTTATTGGATTGTGATGCCACAACAAATGTTGGTCCAAGTTGGTACTGATATAGTCTACAATGTCACGGGAGGAACATCGCTTAAGAAAGCGATTGAGCTCTTGATACCGAGTTTCGCGATGAGGAACACTTATTACATTTTGATCTTCACTTTGATTCAACTTGGCTTGTCTCAGATTTCAAACTTCAACTCTCTCAAAGGTGTTTCTCTTTTAGCCGCGGTCATGTCCGTTTGTTATTCTATGATAGCATTTGTTGCGTCGACGGTTAAAGGAACGAGTAACCAACACCCTTCTAGCTACGTGATTCGGTCTCACGACTCGGTCGATATAGCGTTTAACGTGATGAATGCGTTGGGAACGATAGCGTTTGCGTTTGCAGGACATAGCGTGGTTCTTGAGATCCAAGCGACCATTCCTTCAACACCTGAGGTCCCTTCCAAGAAACCGACTTGGAAAGGAGTCGTAGTGGCTTACGCCATCGTCATCATTTGCTATTTAGCCGTCGCAACCGCCGGTTTTTGGGCGTTTGGAAATGTAGTGGAAGACAATATTCTTGTGTCGCTTCAAAAACCTAGCTGGCTAATCGCAGTCGCTAATTTCATGGTGTTTCTTCATGTTGTTGGAAGTTATCAGGTTCATTATTACAATTTCAACCCTCTATAAATTATTTATTTTTCGAATAGTACTTATGTAATTTGAGTGTGATCCAAACAGGTATTTGCAATGCCCGTGTTTGATGCAATAGAGTCGTGTCTGGTGAAGAATCTCAACTTCACTCCTTCCACATGCCTTCGTATTGTGGGACGTAGTTCTTACGTTGGTATGTGATTAACTATTCAAGTTAAAATTAATTAATCAAAACGTGTTAGTGTGTTACTATACGATCATTGTAATGTTGTATCATTTTTCAGCGTTAGTGGGACTTGTCGCAATATGTATTCCATTTTTTGGAGGACTACTAGGGTTTTTTGGCGGTCTTGTTTTCTCTTCAACGTCCTACTTCGTAAGTCTGTCTATACCGCAATACTCTTAATTACACAAATTAGGCCTTTTTATTAAAGTTTACAGATTTGATTGTCTTCTAATCGTTGTGGTTGGAGCTTAACCGCTGTAGAAGTCACCAATAAACCGTACCATATATATATATATATTAACATGTGTTTATGCATTAGTAGGACTATTTTAATGGTGGTTGTAGACTTGTAGTGGTATAATACAATTTGAATGTGTCACTTTAACTTTTTTATTTTTTAACTTTTTGCAGTTGCCATGCATAATATGGTTGGTCATGAAACAACCCAAACGGTGGAGCTTTCACTGGATTGCATCATGGGTACATAAGCTACATTTTCTTCCAATCATATATAGCGTAAATCATAAGGAAATATAATGCGAACTAATATCTTGATTATGGAACATTATTTTTACAGATCTCGATCATAGTTGGAGTCCTTATCGCGGTTCTAGCACCAATAGGTGGAATGAGACAGATCGTTCTTCAAGCCAAAACATACAAGATGTTTTCTTAGTTAATCTGCAACGTTTAATGCGTTACATATATTTTAAATAATCATATCGTTTGACTTAATTATATATAGACAATGGGCTAGCTAGGGTTTGTATCTCATGTCCATTTCATTCCTAGTAATATTTTTATTCATAGCAAGACAAAAAGAACAAGAAAAATGTGGAAACTGATGTGAACACTTAATAGAGCCTCATTATAAAACTGAAGAAAATTTAAATGTAAAACAAGTTTCAACTTTCAAGTCTTTCTCAAATAACAGTTTCAACTCAGTTCTCAAAATATATAACATTCACTTTTCTCAAAAACATCAAGATCAAGAACTCCAACAACAACAATGAAGACCTCTATGATCATCTTCTTCGTGACCTTTATTGCAGTACTCTTTGTTGCCTCCGTGGCCGGGAAAATAAGCCACGAGGAAGCTTGCATAAGAAGAAACATTGCCCGGTCTCAACCACAACCACCACGCTCTTCATCAGCCAAACCTAAGAGATCAAAGTTCGACTATCTCGCGGACCAATTCTGCAATGACACTAGCCGTGCCATCATGTTCTACGTGAGGATGAACAGAAAATTCCCATCTCACTACATCAAGACGTTGTGCAAAGTTTTCTTAAACGATCAAAAGAAGGTGAAGGAGTATATTGTGACCAGATGGATTGGATCTTCTAAGCTTGCCTCTGGTTTAACTTGTGTTTCTCATTGACAGTTTTTGTTACGATTATATAGAAATTAAACCAAAATTGACCAATAAACAAAACTCAGTTTTTAACTTCTATTGTTCGGAAGGAATCCATCTTTAGCCATCTCAGCAAGAACATCAAGAACCACATCCAAATTCCCTTCTCTATGATTAATCTCCACAAGCACTTTAGCTTGCTCTGCTTCACTCAACTCACAGCTTCTCAACACATTGTCAACAACACAATTCAACTCACCAACCATATCTTCCTTGTGCAACGCCTTAACCAGAGCAATAACTGTCACAGTATGAACAAGAAATCCGGATTTCACCATCTCTATATACAGACTATACGCTTTGCAAACATCTCCTCCTCTGCAATGACCATGGATCATAACGTTATACGCTGTTCCATCCGGTTTATGGTTCTTCTCAAGCATGGATTCGAATACCCGATCTGCTTCTTGCATCATCCCTTTCATACAAAACCCCTTAATAAGAGAAACCACACTCTTGAACTCGATGTTACTGCAATTCTCTATGAGAGTCTGATACGTGACATCGCTAGGGACTGACTCTTCGTAGAACATCTTGAGAAGAAGTCTCTTCGCTTCTCTCGTTCGAGCTTGCTTGTTAAGCCCGTTGATAAGCACACTGTAAGTGACAACGTCAGGCAACAAACCTCTCTCGACCATCTCGTTGTGCAAGCTTAACGCTTTCTCCAAACCGCCTTCTACGCAATGAGCATTGATCAACGCTGTGTACGTAAACTCATCAGGAGGAAGACCAACGCTAAGCATTTCATCGAAAAGATCACAAGCTTCCTTCGTCCTCCTCTGTTCGCAAAACCCTTGAATCAGCGACGAGTAAGTGATTGTATCAGGTTTAATCCCTTTCTCAACCATCTCCTTCTTGACTCTAACCGCTTCATCAACATCATAACCTCTACAAAAACCAGATAACACCGTGCTGTAACTCACCACATCCGGAGCCAGACCTTTCTCCTTCATATCTTCAAGAACCGCAACCGCACCTTCCATGTTCCCATCAACACAATGTCCATTAATCAAAGCATTATAAGTCACAACGGAAGGCGAAAACCCTTTCTCAACCATCTCTCTCATAACCCTATACGCTTCATTCATATAACCCTTTTGAGAAAACCCATCAACCAAAGTAGTGTAAGTACGCTCGTTCGGAGTAAGACCTCTCACACGCATCTGATCAAGAAACTCCACCGCTCTATTCATATTCCCAGCTTTACACATGCTATGTATCAGCGAAGTATAAGTGATAACACTAGGAGACAATCCATTCCTCAACATCTCAGCGTGCATCACAAGAGCTTGGTGAAAGTTACCTTCTTTACAATACCCTTTGATCAGTGTGTTGTAAGTGACTTCATCAAGCCAAAACCCTTTCTTGCTCATCTCCTCAAGAACAAAGCTCGTCTCTTTCATCCTCCCTTCTCTACATAAACCATTGATAACGACATTGTAGGAGATTAAATTAGGCTCTAAGCCTTTCAACGCCATTGCTTTCAGAAGCTCAATCCCATCATCGATCCTACGCACCTTGCAATACCCATCGATCAAAGTGTTGTAAGTGACAACGTTAGGCAAACAACCTTTCTTCTCCATTAGATCGAAGAATTGCAGAGAAACGTCTAAATTCCCAGCGAAGCAAAACCCTCTAATCAAGATATTGTAAGTGAAGACGTTCGGAGAGACCTGAGATTCCGTCATTTCTTTGAAGACGCTCTCGGCGAAGGTGATGTTTCTCCTGGATCTGATGGTTGCATCTAAGACGGCGTTGTAAGACAAAACTCCAGGCATGAAGCCATGGGATTGAGCTAAATGGATGATACTCAGAGCCTTATCGATCAGATTTACGCGGGAGTAAGATTTCACCACCAGATCGAAGACAGAGGAAGTCGAATTGCAGAGATCGTAAGTCTCTTGAAGCGATCGGAAGACGAGAGAGGCGTCGTCTTCGTCTGGGGTTTTGGCGGCGACGTCCTCGGCGAGGGTTTGAGCGGTTTTGTAGAGCTTGAATCTGGTGAGGATGTGGAGAGTGATGCATTTGCAACGGAGGGTGAAGAATTGATGAGGTTTCGCCCAATTTAGGAACTTGAGGATCAATTCCTGGTCGTTCTGAGATTTGAGGAGGAGACTGGAGGCTGCGTCTGGAGTGAAATTTGCGGAGAGGGATTGGAGGTGGTAAGGATGGCGTCTGAGGATGGTTAAGGCTTGGTCGGCGAGAAGGGAATCGGAAGGAGAAGAAGCGAAGGTCGAGAGCGATCTTCGTATTAGGGGTTTAGAGAGAATCATTTAAGAATTTGATTTGGGGTTTTAGGAAGAGAATTAGCTCGATGAAGAAGACGATGCGAAATTGATCTCAGCCGTCCGATCTTTCGTAGGCCATTTTTGTTTTGTTTTTTTTTGTTTTAAATATAAATTCATTGTTCAATTTCTGTTTGATTTTCAGAATAATTTCAAATTCTGCATTCTTCGAGCTTAGTATAATTTTTATTTTCTCAAACATACAACTCAAAAATAAAAACTAATTCATTTTCTTACATTTAATTTTAGTAATAATTTGTTTTATGAATTTCAGTTTTTGTTTTGTATTATATTTCCCTAATTTTGCTTGTCTTTATTTGTTTTCATTGAAAAACTCCACTTTGTATTTCAAATTAGATTGTTGTATTGGAGATTTCGTGGAGTCTTTCAAGCTTTTATGTTGGTGAGATCGTTTAGGCTGATGCTATCTTATTGACTGAGAATTCTGTTTTTGGATTTAGTTTTTGGAGAAATCTTGTCTTCTAGGGACTTACTTTTCGGGGAAATCTTATCTTCCGCCAGCTTAGTTTTCGGGATTGTTTTTTTTGTTTTTCCAGCGTTTTAATAATTTTATGTTCAAATGAAATTTCTAGATGAATTTTTTTTTTATTTGATAAATATATAACTTTCATTCACCCAAAAACTAACACAGGCCTCATTTTTTCAATAAAATATTGTTAAAAACAAGAGCTCAAATATTCAGCAATGAAGATACGATAAAAGATTTTACATTTCAGCAATGAAGATACAATAAAAAATTGAAATAAACAACTGTTATTTTGTCAACACTTGAACAAAAATCTTATTCTGTTTAAAAGCAAACGTTACAAAAGCAAATTGCCAATCATATTCATTTTTATTTGTTCTCACATGGACCACCAGCTTTTACTTAGAGAAAATGTAACAGAAACTATTATTTTTTTTGTATAAAAAATATAACATGACAAACAATGTATACATGTGGTAAAGCGTGGGGGAGGGAATATATAGAGAATTAATGTTTGGAACAAGTAAAAAAAAAACTTTGTCAGAGCAAAACTGAAACTGTTCTTCCACAGAGCAACCATGAAAGATGTGTGTGCGTGTGTGGCTTTTACCTTCTTTTTCCACTTCAGTCCTCTCTCTCTCTCCTCAAAGTAAACACTAAACACTCTTCTTCTCTCTCCTCACCTTTCCATTTTTAGATATCAAATTGTTTTTATACGATTAAACCATAGCCATCACCGAATATCATTACAAATATGCGTCTGTGTCTCTGTATACATATACTGTATATGGAAAACAACTTGGAGAAGAACTCAGATGGATTTCCAAAAATACCCTTGTGACGTCTTCCGTTACAGAGCTGAGAGTACCATTTAATGGGTTTGGAGAAAACAATGCATCATTATTATTACTGAGAGAGGTTTTGTAATAAAAGAAGTATGGTGATGCATCAAGAGAGTAAGAAGAAGAAGAAGAAGAAGAGCTCTCCAAGGGTTTGTAGTAGAGGTCACTGGAAAGCTTCAGAGGATTTACAGCTTAGAGAGCTTGTGGAGTTGTTTGGTCCACAGAACTGGAACTACATTGCAGAGAAGATGCAAGGAAGAACAGGTTAGTTACCAAATATCTTCTCTTGTTGTTGTTTTTACTCTGTTTTGGTGGTTTCTGAAACCTGTTCTTGTTTTTGTGTGTTTGAAGGGAAGAGTTGCAGATTGAGGTGGTTTAACCAGCTGGATCCAAGGATCAACAAGAGAGCTTTCAGTGAGGAAGAAGAAGAAAGGCTAGTTGCAGCTCACATAGAGTTTGGCAACAAATGGTCTTTGATCGCTAAGCTTTTCAATGGAAGAACAGACAATGCAGTGAAGAATCACTGGCATGTTCTCATGGCGAGAAAGATGAGGAAGCAATCAACTTCTTACTCAAGGAGAACACTCACTCCTTCTCCTCATTATCTTACTGATGAGAATCAACAAACCTTCAATCTCTTTCCCGGTTTGTGTTTCCTTAATCTCTCTTGAATTCGATTTGATGAAGAAAATTCAGAGTTTATTCATGTTTTGGATTGTGTGGTTGACAGGGAGTGTAGGTGATGAAAGTACAGAGATGAAGAACAACAGCTGGAAGATGCTAAAAGAGGAAACTAATGACCTCAAAGCTCAGTATCTTCAACAAGAGTATTGTTCTTCTTCACGCATGCCAATGCAGTACTCAGGTCATCATCATCATCATCACTTCCCTACCTTCTCTGCAGATTCCTTGGCACTGTTCACACCGCATGTCTCCATCTCTCAACCATCACCATCATCATCATCACCATCATCCTCATTACTGTCAACATCAGAAGCAGAACACACAATGGTGGCCAGATACTTTGAGACTACTATACCCCCAAGGTTCATTGATTTTCTTGGAGTAGGAGCTTCTTGAAGTTAAAAAAAAAGAAACTCAATTGTAACCTTAAATCCCTTTAATGATGTCTCTGTGAAACATTAACTTAACAAGGTTGCATTTGTACAAGCAGTGAAACATCAAAAGTCTTTTCTTCTATTAATCGAATTTGTTAGTCCATGGTAAAATCACATTTATCCCACTGTCAAAACTTGAATCCTAACAACAACAAAGATAAAGAATCGATTCAACAATCAAATAACTTAAACAGCTTGAGCAATACTTGTGTTTGTCTTTGCCAAAGTTTCTTTGAGCTCATCCACTGTGAGAAGTCTAGTGCTTTCTATATGCTCTCCACAAGAATCATCAATCTCATCCAAATCAATTTCCTTCAACATGAATTGTGTTCCCACTGCGTTTATCGTTTTCTCTATAAACACTGATCTTTCGATGTAATCTTTCATTCTACAAACGAAATCTGTATGATCTCTTTCCTGCAACACTCAAAATGAAACTGAACATCAAAAAATCTGCACCAAACTACAAAAAACACTTAGACCGGACTGAAATTAGAGATCTTACAAGCCGGTACTGAGGCACTCTTGAAGGGAGCTTAAGGTAAGACATGTTCTTCTCATTATAATCCCATAGAAACGAAGTATGATGAATCCATCTATTCCTCGTTATCGACTGAGCATTTCCACCAAACTTCCGATCACCAAAGACATAATCTGTAATCCAATCCCATAAATTAAAAACGTAAACTTTCATTGTCTCAACAGAAAACACACAACAGCATCATCAGTTTCTCAGGAAACAAACCGTTCTCACGTAGCTGAAACTCGCTACTCTCGTTAAACACATCGCTATACAACGAACCACTCCAAGCCATGACAGAACGTGGATAAGGCTGAACATTTGGAACATCATTCCTATTGCAAATCAAACTCACAAAGAGTGTGTTCTCGTCAACAATCACAGTCCCTCCTCCTGTAAACCGCTTAATAACCGGGATTCGATCTCTTATCACAGGTTCAAGCTCAACAAGTTCACAAGCCTTCCTGTGTAAAAAAAAATCAAAACTTTCACATTTTTCGCCACAATTGTAACAATTTAAAGCCAAAAGCTTCTCTTCTTACCCTGACATGCCCATGACGATGTTAGGTACATTGGTTCCGTCGTTAATGATACACCAATTCTCAGAGGAAGATCTAAGAAGCCTTTCTTCTAGAAGCAGTTGCTGCAAAATCGGTGTTTTTCTAAGCTTCACGAGATTCATTAACGGAAGCCCTAAATCCTTGACTCTATTCACACTCATCCTTATGGATCTACCAACTAATTTCTCCAGAAAAAACAAAAAAACTTCAACTTCACTTCACTCTGAGAAAAAAGTTCGATTTTTACACCAAAAAATTGAGGATTTAAGAGAAGTTCAAAGATCGAGAGAGGTGAAATCAGAGAATCTTTGATGATTTCGAATTTCGATCAATGGGTTTGATCTTTGTGGAAGATCGAGAAAGGCAACAAATCTCGATTCCGATATTGAGAATTTGGGATGTCAATCCATGTTAAACCGAAACAATACCGGAAATCATTCCGGTCTAACCAAATGGAATTTTCACTATATATATGAGAAACCGAAATGTTTCAAAAATTGAAATTTAAACCGGAAAATCTGAGCTTCTTCTTCTCCGTTAAACCTTGAGAGCCACTTTGCCTTTTCGGAGAAAGGAGCAATTTTTGGCGCCATGTCCGCCTTGTCTGTGGTCGAACGACGAGTAGTGAAATCGAATAAGTTTGCGTCTTTCTTACCCAATTCAATCGAAGCTCTTCCACGGCTTAAACACCTTAACCACCTCTTGACAGTCTGTGGTAAATCAAATCACCTGAGGACTGGTGAATCGATTCACGCTCATTTGATCGTCACAAACCAAGCGTCTCGCGCTAAGGACGCATGGCAGATTAATTCTCTGATCAACCTCTACACGAAATGCGGGAAAACTGTAAATGCACGAAAGGTGTTCGATTTAATGCCCCAGAGAAACGTTGTTTCTTGGACTTCGTTGATGAAAGGTTATCAGGATTCTGGGTTTGACTCGGAAGTTTTGAAGATGTTCAAAAGTATGGTTTTTTCCGGTGAATCGGAATCGCGACCTAACGAGTACGTAGCAACTGTGGTTTTGAAATCTTGCTCAAGCTCTCTGAGATTGGAAGAAGGTAAGCAGTGTCATGGATGTTTTCTTAAACATGGTTTGACGTCACATGAGTTTGTACGGAACTGTCTTGTGTACATGTACTCTTCGTGTTCGGGGACACGAGAGGCGATTCGGATTTTAGATAATCTTCAGTATTGTGATCTTCTTGCTTATAATTCAGCTCTTAGTGGATATTTAGAGTTTGGTGCTTTAAGAGAAGGTGTTGACGTATTGAGGAAGATGGCTAGAGAGGATTTTGTGTGGGACAACTTCACGTACATGTCTTGTTTAAAGCTATGCTCTAGTCTCAAAGATTTGGAAATGGCTCGGCAGATTCATAGCAGAATAGTGAGAGCTGGTTTGGATGAGGAAGGCGTGACTGGTGCGCTGATTAACATGTATGGCAAATGTGGTAAAGTCTTGTATGCGCAGAGAGTTTACGACAATACGAAAGATCGAAACATTGTTATGAAAACATCGCTTATGGATGCTTACTTCCAGGACAAGTCTTTTGAGGATGCTCTGAATCTGTTTGCGGAAATGGATACTAAAGAGGTTCATCCTAATGATTACACTTTCGCTGTTTTGTTGAACTCGGTCTCAGAGCTTTCCCTTCTGAAACACGGCGATCTTGTACACGGTCTTGTTGTGAAATCCGGTTTTCAGAGCCATGTTATGGTTTGTAATGCGTTGGTTAACATGTATGCTAAAAGTGGCAGCATTGAGGATACATGGAAAGTATTCTCAGGGATGAGTTTTAGGGACAGAGTTACTTGGAACACATTGATATGTGGATTCTCACATCATGGATTAGGGAGGGAAGCGCTTGAAGCTTTTGATAAAATGATGACTTCAGGGGAGATCCCTAACCACATAACCTTCATCGGCGTTTTGCAAGCTTGTAGCCATATTGGTTTTGTGGAGGAAGGGCATTACTACTTTAACCAGGTAATGAAGCAATTTGGTGTTGAGCCTGATCTACGGCATTACACATGCATTGTCAGACTTTTGAGCAAGGCTGGATTGTTCAAGGAGGTTGAGACTTTCATGAGAACAGCTCCTATTGAATGGGATGTTGTTGCGTGGAGATCTTTGCTAAACGCTTGTTATGTTCGCCGGAATTACAGTTTAGGTAAGAAGATAGCTGAATACGCCATTGAGATGTATCCAAACGATTCGGGAATGTACATTTTGTTGTCCAATATCCATGCCAAGTCGAAGGAGTGGGAAGGCGTGGCGAAAGTGCGGACTTTGATGAAGCAGAGGAGGGTTAAGAAGGAGCCTGGAATAAGCTGGATAAGTATACGGAACCAAGTCTATGTGTTTCTTTCGGAGGACAATCAACACCGCGAGATTTTGCTGATTTATGCGAAGGTGAAGGAGGTTTTGGCAAAGATTAGGCCGTTAGGGTACGCAGCTGATGTTGCTGGAGATTTCCATGATGTTGATGAAGAACAGAGAGAGAACAACCTTGCTTACCATAGCGAGAAGCTAGCTGTGGCGTACGGTCTGATGAAAACGCCAGAGAACTCGACGTTGTACGTGACGAAAAACGTGAGGATATGTGATGATTGTCACTCTGCAATCAAGCTTATCTCGAAGGTCTCAAACCGGTTGATAGTCGTTAGAGATTCCAATCGGTTCCATCATTTCAAAGATGGTCATTGTTCTTGCTGTGATTATTGGTGAAGATTGCAAACCGAAAGTTGAATCCTTTGGAAGGAAAAAGCTAGTGCAATGGAGTGCTCTTGCGCCTCTATTCCAGCCTCAAGAACTTTGGTTAGAGTAAGTTATACGCAAAGCATTTTTCAAGCTCTCTAGTCGTCATTTTTTTAGGCGTAAATAGTGTCTAAGTATGTGACAATAATTTCTGAGCTCATTGGTTTTGTGCTCTATAGGAGCTTTTGATATTAAAGTTTGATGATTTTTACAAGAAGGTGATGAGACAACAATATGAACAGACACAAGAACCAAAGCAAGAAGATGACAGATTACTATTACTTCAGAAACAATGTTTTTTAGCAGAAGTTGTTCTCCATGAATTTCACAAATCCATGGAAATCGATTCTTCCGTCTTTGTTTCCATCGAACGATCTGATCATTCTCCTGCAGTTCTCAAGGTTAGATCCTTCTTTTAAGCCAAGGATGGTCAAAACTCTCTGCAAATCTACTGGATCGAGAAACCCATCTCTGTTTTCATCAAAGACTTCAAAAGCTTGCTTCACTTCCTCCAAGCTTGGCTCTTTCTCTTCAAACAGATTCGAGAGCTCCTCGGAACTGTAACGTTTTTGAAGTCCTTCGCTTTCTTGGTCGGTGAAAAGTCCTAAGCTTTTCATCACCGTCTCTGCATCTTCTCTGTAAAGACAATCATCATCGCGTTTGATCGAACTCTGGACCTCAAGATCTTTGCTTTTCTTCTGGCAAACACATTGCTGCTGCTGGTGTTGAAGAATAGGATAGAATTTGGAGAAAAAGATCTGAGCAAAAGAAACCCATCTGAAAAAGCCGATGAGGAAGTATTCAATCAGACCAAACAGAAGGAAAGAAGAAGAAGAAGAAGATGATGATGATGAGGAAGAAGTGTGTTTGCATTTGGACAAAGAACTCTTCTCCATGGTTATAAGACAGTATAAATGGTTAACATTCATAACTTTTGTTAGATGTTTTGATTCAAAACTTAAGTTTAGCAAATTAATGAAATTAATGTTTTAGAAGAGATGTGGAAGATGAGTTTGTTTAATGGCTATATATATATATACAAGATGAATAAGTCAATGTGGACATAGTTTTGGTGGAGAGGCAAAAGTGAGGAAGGTGCAGTGGGAAGAAGAGAGTAGGAAGGAAAGGGAAAGAGGAAACTTACAAAGAAACTTTAGTCTTGGAAAACAAACAGTTAAATTAAGAGGAAATTTCTTCTGCACCAATTTATGGGAGTTGTTTTTTTGGACTTATTCATGGTCATGTTACTATTTTTATGAATTTAGTTGTATTTTAAACTTAGATGTTAGAGCTTATAATATAATGATCTGTATACTAAAGTTATGATGGTGTTAAAAGGGATGTCAATATCTAGCTTGATCGTGTTCGGACCGTGTGATTCATTTCAGTTTTAAGGATACTAGTTTAAGCTAAAATGTAGAAGTTTACATAAAACAAAGTAAGAAAGGAATCAAATCAAAAGCTGAAGGGGCAGTATAAAAAACAAAATGAGTATGTCAAGTAATTTATGAGTTTAGTGAGCAAGTTATTAGAAGAAACAAACTTCAAAACATGACAAACAAACTTCTTTATAATTTGTAAAAGAAACAAAAATTATACAAAAGAGTTCGTAAAATGATATCAGAAATTTAAATCTTAAACAATAAACGTTATATGATTAGCTTTAAATTCATGATACATAAACTGAAACTATTAGAACCAATAAATAAAGTCTCTAAATTAGTCAATTTCCACGATTACTCTACTGACAAATTTCTCTTCAAAAAATTACTAGTTGTTTTTTTCTCTCACCATGATCCGTGACTTGTTTGACCAAAGATTATTAAATGATGACTAATTCATACTCCTGCTTATTGTTAGGACATGAAAAAGACAAACAAAGAATTAATGTCACAATTGCAACTAACTTCTTTTGTAGTTTCCTGGAAATTTAATACTAAGTGGCTTTCTTTTTCTTTTGATGTTTTTCACAAACGTAATATTAATATATGATCAAAATGCTTTTTGATTGGTTGTTTTGGTCAATAGGCTATTTTAATCTACTACATAGCTGACTCTGTCAATCCATTCCATTTATCATTGTGAGTAAGTTTGTAATGTGCTTCAAAGGGTTCATTTTATACTAATTTAGTATTTTTACGTAGAGATAAACATAAGTATTTTGTGATAACTCTATTGTCTCTTTAAGAACATCCAATAAAATGAGAACCACACAAAAAAAAATTAGCATGATCTACAAGTAAAGATGAGGTTTTCAAATCGATAAATGATCCAAATGAGACTGTTTTGAATCAGAAAAATAGTTATAGAAATATAATTGAACTGAAACAATGAAGCAAGTGCAAATTGAGTGTAGGTTTTCAGAATTCGATAATTTTGCTTTTTCGTCTTAAGAAATCATATGGTCGGTTTTGTTGTGGTCTCATATCTATGTAACTTCAAAATGGTATAAAATTTATCATATTTACTATCAAAAATATATTTTACCTAAACAAGACTTCATCAAAACAATCTAATCAATATGTAGTTTTTCTATATTCGTGAGTGCAAACTATCTTCTGTTTCTTCTTTTTTGACATCAATAAGTGCAAGCTATTTTAGATAACATGATTTCTTGAGAGTTTTATAACATCATTCATCAAGTAGATATAAGAAAACCGTGTCAAAAGAACATAAAAGATATCAAAACACTTTGGAGTTTGGAATAAGGTTCTGAATTAGAAAACAACATTACTTTTAAACTTATCCGACTTTGTCTAAGAACACACAAAGTGATGATCAACATATATTACATTTTAGGATTCTTGATTCATCTGTGAACACACAAAGTCATGATCGACATAAATTAACCTTGAACAAAGATACTAAACAACAATGGAAAATCTTTCTGAGACCATAAGTTATTTTGTTCCTGCAAGATTTATTTAACTACAGTTTCAAGGGTTTTACCATTATATGATACAACAAACTTTCACTCTGCAACCCAAAAACTAAACCTCCTCTCCCTCACTATCTCCCTCACTATGTGAAACCATTAATATAAAAGCTATATGTACAAAAGGACTCACTGTTTCCTTGGAACACAAGAAACCCAAAAACAATCAAATCCATCTTCTTGATCATGAGTTTTCATGGAAGTTTGCTGACCTAGAAAAAGCAGCATTAGATTTCGCCATTGAAACTATTGTGAATATTGTGTATCGCAGCATTAGAATAATGTGTATCGGCTTTGAGACTATTTTGATTAGCTTGTACTGTGTTTGCAGGTGACTGCTTCTTCACTACATTGATACGATATCTCAAACAACTCGATTTCACTACCTTGTTGGTTCACACGCCTCAAACACGATCTCTTCTTCTCGAATCCACTCCTACCCACAGACTAACCAATTCTGTTTTTCTTACCCCAGATCCGCCTACTATGGAGTAAGAGAAAAACTGAAAACTGAAAAAAAAAAAAAAAAAAAAAGATTCTTATAGTGAAACTTATGAAGCAAATGCAAATTTTTAAGTATAAGGTTTTCAGAATCGGTATTTCGTCTTGGGTCGATTTTGTTATGTTTCTAACTCGTCTTTTTTGAGTTTTTTTTCATTAACTATTGGTATAAAACTTTACACCTTATAAAAAAAAAGTATTTTACCTAAACAAGACTTCATCAAAACAATCGAATCAATATTAAGTCTTTCATATTCGTGAGTGCAAACTATCCTTTTTTTTTGACGTGAATAAGTGCCAGCTATTTTAGATAAAATTATTCATCAAGTAGATATATAAAAACGGTGTATATATACCAAAACTATTTGGAAAAAGCTTCTTAATTAGAAATAAAACAACGTTATTTTAAATTTGGCTGACTTTGTCTTATAACACACAAAGTCATGATGATTGATGAACGTAGATTACATTTTAGGATTCTTGATTCATCTGTGAACACACAAAGTCATGATCGACACAAATTAACCATAACAAAGACACTAAACAACAATGGAAAAATGGCAAATCTTTCGAGACCATAAGTTATTTTTTTCCTGCAAGATTTATTTAACTAACAGTTTCAGGGGTTTTCCCATTATATGATACAACAAACTTCCACTCTGCAACCCAAAAACTAAACCTCTCCCTCCCTCACTATGTCAAACCATTTATATAAAAGCTATATGTACAAAAAGGACTCACATGTTTCCTTGGAACACAAGACTGAACCCAAAAACAATCAAATCCCATCTTCTTGATCATGAGCTTTCATGGAAGTTCGCTGACCTAGAAAAAGCAGCCGGATTCGCCTGCAACTCCGGTCGTCTCCCCTGAAGTTTCCCTTCGGAAAAACTGCTTTTTTCTTTGCTTGACGACCTGAAAGCTCCAAAAGTATCAGCCTTTTCGTCTTTCTTGATCCCTAACGTCTCCCATATCGAGCTTTTAGCAGCTTCCTCTGGATCATCGATCCTCAGCGTCTTGGGAACCCACAAGCATCTCTCCGGTTTGCTTTTCTCTCTACCACTCTCTTCAAAACCTGTTCCTGGCTCAGCATCGTTCTCGTCTCTTGAATGCTTACCAAGTGTTGGAGAGTTTGGACCGGAGCCAGAAGGTGAAATGGGTTGAGGCATCCAGGTGAAGCCGTTCCAAGCTCCCGGCGAAACACCGGGACAGCTCCAGTAAGCAGGCGGAGGGTAAAACGGTACAACCGTCCACGAAACTCCGTTCCAAGCGTAAGGCCAAGTAGGTGGTGGTGGTCCTGGAAAGCATGGTACTTTAGGCAATGGACTGATCACTCCTGCCTCCTCGTTAGGAACCGTGATCTTCAAACCTTCAACGGGTTCGGTTTGCGTCTTCATCATCGACTTCTTGTCAGCAAGATTCAATCCAGAAGCCATAGACTCACAGAGGACTGAATCAGAGCCGAAAGCAAGAAGCTTAGAGCCATTAGGATGTTGCTGTTGAAGATCGGTGGTTGTTCTTGCCGCCTTCTGCATAGCTTCCGTGCTCACATGACGGTTAAACTGAGAAGCCGGGCTCTTGTTCTTGCGCCTCCCTGCACCGACCGGAACGTTTCTCATCGTTCCACCGGCAGTCCAGTATCTCTGACATTTCTTGCAGAAGTGGCGAGGCTGGTTAACGTTGTAGTTGTTGTAGTAACAGAACTTGGTCTCCATGCTGTTGCATCGCGGACAGGGTAAGATCTTGTCCGGTTTCTTTAGCTTCCCCTCTTGAGAGCAAGTCCCGTTGTTCTGTGACGACGATGAATCTTCATCCGTCTTTGAAGCAGCTTTTGTTGGTGTTTCTGTTTTCTCTGTTATACCCGAAGAAGAAGTCGTTGTAACGTTTTGAGACTCGTCTTTCAGTGACTCTTCTCCTTTCTCTTCTTCACACTCATTTTCTTTTTCTTCCTATAAGATAAAAACATTCAAATTGATTGCAATAATCACATCAAGATCGTTGTTATGTATCTCTGACTAAACAAACAACAACACAGAAGCTAAACTCAATGGAATCAGAATCAAAATGTAACACTCCTCACATAGAAGAAGATCTGGTTATATAATTAATGAATCTACTATTCATTACAAGTTTTTAAGCATTTGGAACAACACAGAAACAGAGAAAGGTGAGATTTTTATTTCCCTGAAATGAGTAAAACGTCGTAAACCCTAAGAGTTCTTCAGCAAATGGATATCAAGAACTTGATTCGGCGAAAGATCAAAAACTGAATGAAACTATTAAGATCTCGAATCACACTTCATAAGAAGAACCTTGTTCCAGATTTAATATCTCGGAAATGAAACAAAAGAAATCCCCAAAAGGGATTGAAAAAACCTAACTTCAACAAAAAAACATAACCAAAATCAAACCAAACAAGATTTACTTTTTTATTTTCAAAAAGTTGAGATTTTGACCAATCTGACATCAACCCATCAGGTCATTTCCGTGGGTTTTCACCAAAATCGAGAAACGAAACGATTCACCAATCCAAAGAGGCAATAAAAATCTGACCTTTTCACTCTCGTTATCTCCACCGGGAAAGCCACCACCGTCTCCTCCTCCTAAACCGGAATCACCCATATCTTCATCATCTCCGGTACACGAATCTGATAACCGAACAAGATTATGTTCTTGATGTTGTTCGGTAACAGAAGAATCACCACCAAGCTCAGGCAAAGGAATTGTCTTCCCAAAAAGCTTAATCGCCGGATCAGACATCAATTTTTTTCTTGTTTTTCCCTCACTTCCTCTTCGTCTTCTTCTTCTCCAGCGAGAAAAAAGCGGAAACTTTTGAGAAGACAGAGAAGAAAAGCTACAATTTTTTTTTTAAACAAAAAGAGAAGAAAGAGAGAGAAACGACTGTCTTGTTTTCGGTGGTTGTCTGAGTTTTTTTTCTTTATTTCTCGATTTGTTTATTTGTTTTGCCTCTTTTTCTCTTTTGCCTTTGCGAGAAAAAAGATTACAGTTTTGCTGTGATCTCGCGAGTTGTACAACCTTTTGATTCGCCCAGAGTGCCACGTCATTACTCGTGAGGATTCTTAGCCACAAGTTTTCATTTTCTTCTTTTGTTTTTGTGGACTTTTTTTATAAAGTGGATCTCTTTCGCTTTTTCTTCTCTTTTTGGCTTTCTTTTTTTTTCTACTTCCTTTTCAATCTGGTCAGCACTTTTTTTTTTTACTTTTACTTTTTCTTAAATCTTTTTCTCCAAATTTCCAACCTTGTTTAGAGGATAATACATCCCAAAATACTAAGAAAACTGACAAATGGTCGAGGAGCAAACAAGTAATGGACTTGTAAAATCAGGCTTATTTATTTTTTTCCGATTTGATATTCGTGATAAAAGAAATGCTCAATTCACGAGTATGCTGCTCAATGCAAACTTTGTAAAATTTAAATAATTGATCTTGTATTCTATTTTTCCAAATTTGTATTCGATTATTATTGATATCTTTTGCAGCAACGAAAGTATTTATGTCATAAAATCCTCAACATATCCGAGATGCGTGGCTGTAAGAAGTCATGTTAGAAGTTGTGGTGACTAATGAACGCCATGTCGATTTGGAAAAAGTGCAACTTAATGTGGATAAGTATATGATACCTTTATTTCAGACCACCCCAAATCCCTACTCGATAATTTAATAAAGCTGTTTGGATACATTTTAATTTATTTTATATAATATATTATCCCCACTTGGACGCACGACTGAAAAATACATATTCTTAATCTTGCTAAAGATGCTTAAGAAACATTTATTTATCATTTTCTGACTGTTGTTTCCCCCAACTAAAGAAAGGGCTATTCAAAAAAATTTCGTATCTTATAACATTTTTTTATACTAAAGAAAATCTCGTTGATATCACATGACTGCTTTTCTAAGTACTGATCAATCTTTTCGTATTGCAATTTGCAATACACATTCTCTGACTAAAACTACAAATTGTTTCTCAGCACTGAAAATATTTTCACAAACATACTAATAATTCAAACTTTTTTTAGTACAGGGTTTTAAATATATACTGCTTAATTTAAATGATTTTGAAACCACTGTTCAAAAACTTCATTGTATTTTCAAAACCATGAAAAAACAAAATTTGAAACACTTTGGATATGAAGCTTCAGTAGCTTTACCTTTACGGATAACAACAGCGAAGACTTTATCAAATTTCACTAAACTCTTTAAAAGCCCGATTAAATCCACGTCAGCATATCCCCTAACCACGAAGCTCGTGTTCACACGCGTCGGATATGACAGCTCATTTTCTCGATAGGAAAAAGCAAATCAAAAAGCGACGAAAAGGACATTCAGTGACTTGTGGCTCAAATTTTTCTGTCGTCTGTTATAAATTTATACGTTTTTTTTGCCACGTGTTCCTTAATAAGCACCAAAGTGAGTGAAGTTGTTCAGTGCGTGTTTATCAGGATGTTCATTTTGGCCCACGAACTCGAACTACTAGAAGTAGAAGACTAGTACTGGTCGGTCATATTACTATAATTTAGCTCGAACTAAACAAAAGATTTCATAGGTAAAATGTTTATGTAAAACCGAACTAATCTAATTCGAACTGTATGTAAAAAAAGTTACAATTTAAGTAACCAAAATTATCTAAATATTTCTAAAATAACTCAAGCCTAACCAAAATTAAACTGAACCGAATTTTGTATAAGCTCTTTCGTTTTTATCCAAGAAACTAAGAATCAAACATAAATTTTCTTTTATATCTTCATGCCATGACAGATTCTCCACAATTTTGATGAATTGTTCAAGATTCATGTCATGACCGGACGTAAATAGTAAGTATCAACGAACCAAAGGCCATCACATTAGCTTGGTGGGCCGGAACCAAATTCAAATTTTCGTTTTCTTTCGAATATCCATCGGAGATAACGCCTAATCACTCGTCTTGATTGGTTAAGTTTCGATTACTTAACTTAACCGTTTGGTAGTTGTTCTTCTTTTTGTTAATGCTTACATTCACATCATTCTTAAATATTTTGATTGATGTGTAAACGTTTTCATACAACATATCTAGATGATCGATCTAGTCTAGATCTAACACAACATTTTATTTCACAATACAATATATAAACAGTAGATAATAGAGTTCAAATTCAAATCATATAAATTACAAAGAAAACTAACAAAATAAATAGTTAAATGCTAAGAAACACCAAACAATACACACAAAATGAACAAAAAAATCAACCGGTCATGCATCCGACACCGTATCGATTCGTCGGAAAAACAAGAAACAAAGCACTACAAACAACTCCGACCATCAGTGGAAAACTCTCCATAACTTGATCCATCTCTTTCTCTTTCCCTGGAAACAAACAACCGGTGACTCTCCGATCCGAAAACGCAATCGCCATAAACACCAAAACGCTCATCACCGCGTGAACAAAGTCGTTAACCTTCAACTTATACCTATCATCCGTCACCGGAATCTCCGCCTCCGTGATCACATCTCCCCCTCCGAACTCCGGCGGCGGCGGTTTCATGAACACCGCGAGTCCACGTGGCGTCACGAAACCGTAGTAGATTTTCCCATCCGAGGCTTTGAAACTGTCGGTGAAATGGAAGAAGAAACAAGACATTGCGCAGAGAAGCAAGAGGAGATGGATCATGAGTGTGTTGATTCCGTTGCAGTCTCCGTCACGGTAGATCGATGGAAGAACCATCTCGAACATCAAGAGAGTTCCTGTTGGAAGGAAGTTGACGAGCATTGATGTCTTTGAAACCGTTTTTTGAACTCCTTGTGCCACCATGCGACGTTTTCGACCCCTTCCTCCTCCGGCGGCGGCTCCTGCCGGAAGTGTAGGCAGTGAAGAGATTAAGACGGGTTTTGGCGAACGAGACAGTGGTGGTGATGGTTTTTGCGGCGGAGTCGCCGTTGTGTAAATTCTGATTCCGACACTTTCTTCTGATTTCTCCATTTTTGTGCGTTTTTCTTTTGTTTTGTGATTCAACAGTTTTCGTCTGTTTTGTGCAATGATTTTGTAGAGATTAGACAATGAGGGTTTTCTAATTATATATACTGTATGTGTTACTAATTATTTTCAAAATCACGGCGGTTAATGACGGTTATAGAGTGTTGTTATCCAACGGTTATGTAATTTTTTTGCATTTTGTTTGATAACAAGCCACGTGGTTCATAAAGGAGATTTCATGAAGGAACAATAACCGTCCGATTCCATGATGAAAGTATAATTTACAAGGAAAAAAAAATCAAAATGAATCATTTCAATAGTACGTTACGTAGAAGAATAAACTCAAGTAAACTGGACGGACATTCTGCTTGATAAGGTTTACAACTTTAATTAGTTTCTTGCTGCTCAAGTTTCATGGCATGTCAAAGTTCCACATGATCAATATACTGCTTGGCAATTCTGCAACTGATGGAGAGATAGATTTGATTCTCTCTTCATCAATATCGACATCTCTGATACACACAAATCCAGCAACAATGCTGCAAAATGGCAACACACAATTGATGCAAAAGTAATCGATTTCAAGTGTTTGCACCATATATACCATGGTCGAGCCCTTTTAAATGTGATCTAATAGATCTTAAAATTAAACAATCAAAATTTACAACTTTCCTACTATGTAACCGGCCAATTCAATGATCATTTTCACTACCTAAAGTTCAAACCTTTCAACTAACCCACAAGGACAGAGGAAAAAGAAGACAAGAACCAGTTCAAAGACCCATAACCACATAGAAAAAAAAGAACCTGAAAGTTCGTTGAATATGTGTGAAAACATACGCAGAATTTTTGGAGAGGTTGTAAATGTGAGCCATACTTTTGGAGTCGAAGTCTCATGCACTTGGATCCAGTCATCCTGATTTCGGTTTGTCTCTCTAAAAAGTTTAAAGATCTTTATTTCTGTTGCTTACCTTTCCTCAATGATTATAAAGTGTATTACTTAATTTTTTTCAAAAAAAAAATGATTTTCAACTGCAAAAAACTTGTTAGTTAAGATTTTTAAGGTTTAGAGTTGTAACTGGTTGCATTTTTTATAATTTTGTATGTTATTTTTCCAAAGTTAAAACCTCGGTCAAACATATTTTTCACTAAACTTTTCTCTGTTTAAACGACTTCGTTTACGGTTTAAGAAGGAACGATGTCGTTCTGAAATCTTTATTATCATCATCAATCATCATCGTTGAGGTTTATTGAGAAAGAAAGTTAGGACATTTTGATTGGGTAAACGAATTTGACATTAGCTAATCCTTTGTGTGGGTTCCTGCGAAAGCTCTGTTATGTAAAAGTAGCAGGAGAAGGAGAATTTTCACTGCCACTGCTAAAAAACGTAAGTTTCGCCACTCAAATTTCGGTTCTTTGTTTATTTTGTCTTGAATTGTTGGGAATTTGATTTGAATTTTGAAAAGGAGAGAAAGAATGAGAATGAGGTTTTGGTAGTTGTCGGTGGTGGAGCAGCTGGAGTTTATGAGTCTTGTTCACACTGAAAGTTTCTAACTTTATGCTGAAAATTGTAGAATCATGATACGATTGTGAGTGTTGTTCACACTGAAAGTTTCCAACTTTATGCTGAAAATTGTAGAATCATGATACGATTGTGAGTGTTGTTCACACTGAAAGTTTCCAACTTTATGTTGAAAATTGTAGAATCATGATACGATTGTGAGTGTTGTTCACATAGAAAGCTTCAAACTTAGTGCCTGAAATCGTAGAATCATGAAGCTTTCTTGCAGTTTTTCTCTTTAATCTTGTGGAAGTGTATCGGGTTTAGCTTGATTTGTACTTTTGTTAACTTAAGAAAATATTGCATACAGAGATTAGCAGAGCACTGCAACGCCAGTATTTTGAGTGTGGTATAGACTTAAAGCTTCAAACTTGATCCTGAAAATTTGCGAAAGCATGAAGCTTTCTTCTAAATTTGTCTTTAATCTTGAGGGAAGCCCTACTGTTTTGCTTGATTTGAGCTTCTGTTAAGAGCACTGCAACGACACTATTGCAGATGTCGAATTTCTTGAAACCAGTTAGGCTTGAGAGAGGAAAGTCTGTGTTAAGTGCTTCTACTAAACCAGATGGAAAGTTCAGTATCAAAGATGGGAAGCGAAGTGCTGACACGTCTGAATCTATCGAAGCTTCATTTCTCCTTATTGCGTTATAACTTATACTATCTCCTTTAGAGAACCATTTCATAGTTGCGGTTCTCATGTTTTGAATTGTGTTACAGGGTCACGATTTAGCCACTCGATTTGGTCATTCCATTGTGGATCCAGTACCGAGTTTGTTCACCTTCAAGATCAATGATCCGTTGCTGATTGAGTTAGCTGGGGTAGTCTTCCTGAAATTACATAGAATGAAAAAGTGTTATGAGCTTCATATTTGACATTGTTGCTTTCTCTTGCTCAGATTAGTTTCTCCAAAGTCCAAGCCAGACTGAAATTAGAGAATCAACGTCCGGATTTGTCAAACCTTGAGCAGGTGTGCATCTCTGTAATCCTCTTTATTTGTTTAACATTCTTTACCATGAAGATAACTTTATAAGATTACATGTTTTCTTTCAAGATTGGCCCAATGCTTGTGACACATTGGGGACTTAGTGGACCGGTTATTCTCAGGCTCTCTGCATGGGGTGCACGTCATCTCTTCACTTCTGAGTACAAAGGTTCGAATCTTCCATGTTCAAAGATAGAATTTTTAATGATGAATATGTTCCAATCAGATTGATATGGTTTGGTTGCAGGGCTTCTTATTGTTGACTTTATACCGGATATTAACATTGAAGCTGCAAAATCTCTACTCAGACAACACAAGCTGCAGTTTTCAGTAACGACATCTTATGTCTTTCACTCTTTTTGTTCTCTCTGTTTCTTGTTTTTGGTTTGAAAAGTTTGAGCATTGTTTGATGCAGAAGCATAAGGTATCCAATTTCTTTCCTCCGCAGTTCGGTCTTGTCAATAGATTCTGGAGATACATTTTAGACTGCGAGGTTCTTTCCAAACCTTATAGAATCTTTGTTCATAGCTTTACCATATTGCAAAAAAACCTCTTAATCTTTGTTCATAGCTTTAATTACCAATACCCATTTGTTGTGTTGATGGGTTCTTCATTGTTAAATAAAGTCTCTCCTGCCTTGGGAAATTATATGTTTGTGCTAATAAAAACATCATATTATATCTCTCTCGTTCAGGTTTAAAGTCCATATACATAACAATTCTAGGACAAGAAATGTCAAAACACTTTAGAATAATATGCAGACTTTGTTAACTCTTTTCTTTGTTACCACCTTCCTAAACGTACGCCCTAATGCTCACAACAATATAAGAAAACAAGAGACAAAAGACAAGAGACAAACATGTAATCGTCGACTCACTGTGAGTCGTGGCAACGACTCCAGAAAGCAAAACCAAAGCTGCTCCAACACGGTCAATGACAAACGCCGTCCTTGGGGCGAAGTGAGGAATTATCCCATTTGCGAAAAGGAGACATCCTAATGCTATCATGGAGGCTATAGTGATAATCCTCACTCTGAGGCTGAATTCACCTGGGACGTTGTCTCCTGCGTAGAGCGCGTTGAGCGCCATGAGACAATACGCCAGTGCCACCCAACTTAGGGCATCCATGCGGTGGTGGGGTTCGGGAAGCTGGTTTGGGGGAATCCTCCTCCACCTAGGAGCTATGGGGTTGCTGTGAATAGGAGTAGTGAGGTTACGACGACGAGGTGTAGAGGTAGACGATGATGGTGGTGGTGGAGGAGAATGACCTAAAAGTCAAAGGCGATGAGTGATTAAAAAAAGAAATCGAGGGGGGAGACTAAATCGTTATTGTAGTCTAAATAAAGAAAGAACGAGAGTGATTGTAACTCATGAAGAACAAAAACCCTAATTTGAACAAAAGAGATTCTTGAAGAACTTACTTGATGTAGAGCCCAAACCAAGCTCTAGATCTTGAAAGTTTTCTTCTTCTTCCACTTCCACATCCAAAGGAGCTTGGATTCCTCCAAAAGAAGTGAGATAGAGAACAATGTTTATGAAATATAGAGAGTGATGCATTTTGTTGGGAGATGTAGAAGAAGAACTAGAGAGATAAAAAAGAAGAATGAGAGAGATCAAGAAGATCAAAAAGATAATAATATATCAAGAAGCAGAAGTAGAGAGATAAAAAAGAACCAGATCTAGAGCGATGAAGAAGTGTGTATAGAGGAGATGAAGGAGAATTAAGAAGAAGTCGGAGAGATGATGACGCAAATGAAGTCAAAAAGACAAAAAGAAATAAAAAAAGGGAAAAAGTGCGGTTGACCAGATTGACCAGATAGGTTTCGATTTTTTTTTTTCTTTTTTTTTCTTGAACATCTTGAACTTTTCTCTCAAGTCGCAAGATATTTTTCTCTTGATTAAATTGACGTCGTTTTGGTTGAAAGAGGAAACGATGTCGTTCTCAAGAGAAAGGGAGATTTCTTTCTAAGAGCAATGCAACGTCGTTTTAGGGTCACGATTTAGCCACTCGATTTGGTCATTCCATTGTGGATCCAGTACCGAGTTTATTCACCTTCAAGATCAATGATCCGTTGCTGATTGAGTTAGCTGGGGTAATCTCCATCTATTACTATAATTGCCTAGAACTGACAAGTGTTATGAGCTTCGTATTTGACATTGTTTCTTTCTCTTGCTCAGATTAATCTGCATCTATTGCTACAATGTCACTCACATGACATGACCATCATAGCATCATACATTTTGTGTCTTCAGGTGCTAAATGTAGATGGAATCACAGGAGGCTTCAATTTTCAGCTGAACATGCACGTTTATACCTTTTTTTTTTTTTTTTTTTCATTTCGAAATAAAATTGTAAGACTTTCCATATAAGTAGAAATGAAAATCATGAATATCAATGTGATGCTATCAAAATGTTAAACATTGTTTCGCTATATACAGAATGCTTGGTCAGGTGGATATATCGCAGGCACACACAGGAGCAAATTAGCAAGTAACACAAGTTCTACAAAAAGAAATGTAATAGGATTGTAACGTTTTAACTTTTGTATTATCTATATGGGAACGTAAATTTTATTTTATTTGGGGTTCTCTAAACTAATTTGACTACATAACAAATCTACCTTTTTGTTTCACGTACCAATTTTAACCTTTTCTTTGTTTCATTTACAAATACCATTGGTTGTGAACCTTGTGGTCATTGTTCTTCGTTGTAAAATAAAATCTCTCATACCTTGAAAAATTATATGCTTGTGATTGACAATATTTTCTGTCATCTATATCTTGGAGACACTTATAGTTGCCATAACACTCGCTCGTGGAAGAGTAAGTATGTCTTTGACAAAAAATACTGTATGGATCTTTTGAGCAAAACACTTTTAAAATTGTTAAAAAAATCCACTTAAATAAATTCTCCTTTAAAAAGTTACGTAACATGTCTTTATCAAATAAGTTATGTAAAAGCTTCTCCAATGAATATATAATTTTGCTAGTCCAATGTGCTTGAGATCTGAAGAAGTAATAAATTGAACGTACCTAACGAGTGAGAGATGTCATTCGCAGATTCATCGGATGGTCAATTTATACCCTAGGTAGATGCACTATTCACATCTCTCCTAAAGTATAACTGTATAAGTTACTTGCAGTTTAGAATTCATCGCAGAAAAAGATTGGTATTAATATTAATTGCATTAAAAGCGCTACACATATAACACATATGGTAGAAGTGATAGGTAAGTGAGTCCATGCAAGGAAAATGGTGAATAGTGAATAAAATAAAAAGTTGGAACAAGTTAAGAAAATTTATTGGATGGCTTTAACAAAAGTTATTCCATGTGTTTTCACGGTCTTCGTTTTTCTGATGATTTATTCCCTTTTGTCTTAGTTTTTGAGCTCCAAATCAGTAGAAATGTGATTTATTCAATTAGATATGCGAAGGTGTACGTATATGATATAGACTTCACATAACTCGATACTTATAGTCAAGTACATACTTCCTATTGTTTGATGTGTCTTCTTTGTACCAAAGCCAACTTACTTCCTTAAATGTATAACACAGTCTATTTCATAGTATACAAATGTATTTTTTACCTTTTTCAAATTTCCACTGGTTAGACGTGTGTATCCTTATATTAATTAGTATGGTTTGTAAGAAAATAATGTAGTGTTTGGTTAGTTCGTTCCTTTTACCAAAAGAAAAAAAGGAGTTGTTTGTGCCTGTGTTTTATATATTTATTTATTTTTGTTTGTTAAAGGGTTTTCATCCTGTGTTTAATATTATTTATTTAATTATGTTATATAACTTACCAAAAAAAAAAGAATACATAGTAGATAAATTTGTTTCATCTTGCATTTATACAAACTACATGCCCATAATGACATAATATAACCTTTTTTATATGTGCACAACACATACTTTTTATCTAATCCTGACATTTTATTAACAATGTTTATAATAAGATATTGGTGTGGGAACAATAGTTTGGTTTAGCAAACCCAAAGATCATGAGTATACTGTAGTTAGATTAAATTAATGAATTTTTCTGCTAGTTTAAATAATTATTCGAAAAACTGCTCGACAAAAATCATATGCAAAGGACAGCTCCTACGTGTATTAGATATGCATCTTTCATTGTAGGGATTAAAACTATGATAATACATATAGCATGCCGTTCTCGAGGAGATAAATTATTAACTTATATAGTTTATTTCATTTATTCAAGGCTGCAAACATAAAAAACTGTTATATATGTACGACGCTATTGGAAGACGAGCCTATGCAACGAAAACTAAACATTAATGAGCAATCGAAATTTAGCAGAAAAATCTATAAGTACGAAATACATTGTGATAGGTTTATTTACTTCAATAGAGCAAGACAATGCGACTTGCAAACTTGAAAGATCTTTTCATATTTTCTCCATTTGCTTTCTCTTTATATGGTCTCTCGTTCCTCTGCTTTTTGTCTTCTTCCCCAAAATTCTTGGAACAACAACTACATAATTCACAAAAGAGCGAATTTAGGTGTTTTAACATCTGCAATTTTCTTCCAAATTTTCACAGTCTCTTTTGTTCTCATTTTCTTTTTACTTCTTTAGAAAAATGTTCTTCAGACCAATTAGTCGACGGAAAAAAAAAAGAATTTACTTTCCTTTTTTTTTTTAATAGCTAGGAATATCAACTTTTGATAGGAATGGAAATGAAGATGCATGGAGGTGTCAATGGATTGCCTCATCTAAGGTCTTGAATGTGGGAAAAAGGCTATTGTTGTTTAGCCAAGGATGACTTGCCGGCAGCTTTGTATCTAACTTTACTCTTTATTCAATTATATTATGGAGATTATGCTTCATATATGGGGAGATTTGTATCATTTATCTACCTTGATATATATATATATATATATATATATATATATATATATATATATTTACTTATTTAGTATTTATATGTGTGTTTGGTGGTGGGATGTGACAAAACGAGCCCGGCAAGTCATCTGTGGCTATGCAAATGCCTCTTTCTCTCATTCTAGACTTACGATGATACGTAAAAATGGTCATGGAGCACTCTTAAGATAGATGAATGTGGTGATGAGTAATATGGTGATGCTCCAATCAAAGGCGTGTTTCTTTTCGTTTTGTTTTTGTCAATCAAAGGTGTGTTTCCACAAATCGAAGTTATCTTAATTTAGTTGTTATATATAATGCATTTAGTTTGGAGGTCAAGATGTTAAGTGATTTCAAGTAATAAAAATGTTTCTTTTTTTTGTTAAAATAATTTGTGTAGGAGCTTCGCACTTTGGTAGGTCTAAGCACGACCTTAGTCCAATATACTAACATATATACATGATTGATTTTCTATGATTTTACACTCACATGTTTCGTTCTAACTTCTTTTGTTTTTTTTTCTTATTGACAGCTAAGATATCGTACAAGTAAGTAAAAAAAAAACAAAACTTCGGCTAAACATGTAGAACAGTACTTTTCATGTCGGTTTCATATTAGCATAATTGTTTATTTCTATATATTCACTTTTTTTTTTCTTTATATTCACATTGATATGCTGCACCGTTCCAATATACTTTTCTTTCCCTACTTAGAAAAATAAAATCATCACAATACGATACTTTTCTCTTAAATGACGCCGTTATAAACAGTTTTTAAGAGCAAAAGCATTGCACAGTTTTTCACAGGCTTTAAAGTGAAAAAATAAAGAAAAAAAGAAATTATATATGAGTTGGCAGCTCTCAAAATTCTGAGTCGTCTCTGTGGGAGCATCCGATAAAATCAGCTCTGTGTGACTGTTCACGACACGTGTCAATAAGCTATTGGTTTTTATTTTATTTTTTCTGATATAATTTTATTTTTTAGTTTCTCTCTTTGCTTCCTCTTTTTCTTCGTCTTCTTCAGCTTGATTCCGACACAATCAATCCGATCCAGTGACGCAATATCTCTGTCGGCAAGAGAGAAACTAGAATCGAGATCGAGCAAGAAAGAGACTAGAATCGAGATCGAGCAAGAAAGAGTGAGAGAGATCAGAAAAACCAGAATCTCCTCTGATTCCATGGCTGAATTGATTCACAGAGGTTTTGGAATCGAGATCGATGATCGGATTCGGCGTCTGCTTCCTTCAATCCTCTAAACCCCAAATTGGATTCCACCATTCTTCATCATCTTCTTTTCATCCAGATTCCACCATTGTATTTTAAACAAAGACAACAATTTGTAAAACTTTAAAGAATCTTATATGGTCTCTGCAATGTGGAACTGAAAACCCAGAAATTGTTAAAGGAGCTATTAACTTAAATTAATAATATATTTAATCTTAAAATATTCTAAAGAGTCTCACATTGAGTTGTGCAATGCCCATGCTCAATTTTGAAGTGCTTAAAATTGTTTCTACCTCAGTACGTCATACATCGCCGGTAATTATTACGGAGTGACCGACTGACTCATCCTTCTCTACGAGAGTAACGAAAATGGAAGTATTATAAAACCGGATATCTTTGTTAACCAAAATAAATACCAAAAAAAAATTAAATAAAAAATGGAAAGAGAACCGCCTACACACACACACGTATGAGAAAAATAAATTGAAGAACCCTAAGTAAAATTGGTGAGGTTCAATAGGAAAAACATGTTAGGACGGTTTTTGCTTATACTAGGGTCGATATGGTTGGGACGAATATCAATACAAAGCGCCCGACAATTCGGGAAGAAAAGAGCCATACGCTGTCGGAGAAATGGAGGCGGTGAAGATAGGATCAGTGCACTGCCAGATGATTTGCTTGTCCGGATTTTGTTGCTTGTCCCAACAGAAGATGTAGTGGCTACAATGATTCTGTCCAAACGATGGCGGTTTGTTTGGACGATGGTGCCACAACTAGAGTACAATGATATCGAATATGGTACTCGCAAAATATGTCTTGGCGGTTTACTTGGCTTTTTGTTTGGGAAAAGTGAGCGACCCCAGTCTATAAGGCGGTTTCTTACCGAGTCAATGCGACTCCACAAAGCACCTGTATTAGAAACATTGTCTATAGAACTCGGTCCACATTTTCCTGTTGCTGTTAACGTGAAGATGTGGATTGCAAATGCGGTTGATCGTAGGGTTCGTGAGCTAGGTTTTGCTCTCAAGTGGTCCGGAGGTCCTATTAGCTTGCCTAAAAGCCTATATATGTGTGAAACCATTGAGCATCTCCATCTTTCCGACAAAGTTTATGTAGATGTTTCTTCTTCTCCAGTTTGCCTCCCTTTCCTCACATCTCTTGAGCTTGTCTCTGTGATATACAAAGATGAAGATTCTCTTGTTAGGCTCTTGTCAAGTTGTCCTATTCTCAAGTCTTTGCATGTGATGCGACGTGACAAAGACAATGTGACAAAGTTTAGTGTAAAAGTGCCATCTCTAGAGACCTTCATGTATAATCATGTGGCGTCATTCATCGAAGATGTCGGAGAATCTTTGGTCATAGATTCTGCGAGTTTAAAGAAATTCTTCATTTCCGATGGTTGGACAACCTCTTGCTCGATTGAGAACAAGCCTCGCCTTGATAACGCACGTATCTACATTTGGTTTGACCCTGATGAGGAGTTTATGAGATCTCTTTCCTCAGTCGTGTATCTCGAGTTAGAACTGAATGTTGCAACGGTACTTCAACCTCACTTTTCTTTTCTTAGTGTTATGATCACATTTCTATCCTTAGCTTATGTGTTGTCGTGTTGTGTTGGCTGATTGAAGGTTGCGTGTCTTGAGGCCATTATATTCTCCCAGCTTACAGAGTGCAAAATACGTCCTTGTGAGTTAGACTGGTTTGAGCCATTAGTGTTGTTGCTTCAAAATTCTCCTAAACTGAAAGTTCTTGTCATCGACCAGGTTTGTATTGTAACCTCTTCCAAGTTAGTAACAAGTTAAAACTGAAATAAACATGTTAGTTACATACTTTGATGTTGCTTTGCTTCACAGGTACTTTTTCGAAATGAGGACTTTCCACTTTCGTGGAACCAACCGAGTTCTGTTCCCGAGTGCTTGTCAACCAATCTCGAGGTCTTTGAGTGGGCAGGATATGGAGGAACAACCGAACAGAAAGATATGGTAAGCTACATCTTTGCCAATTCCAAGTGTCTAAAGAGAGTTGGAATCTCCTTGAGCTCAACATGCAAACGTAAAGATAGAAAGAAGATAATGAAAGAGTTAGAATCCATGTCTCGGATTTCAACATCTTCTCAGCTTCTCTTCTCCACTCAATTGAAGTTCACCTGCTGCTGAGTAAAAAATTGCGTGTTAAATCTACGATTTTCTTTTTCTTTCAATTTGTAACATGCTCTTCTAATTGGAGAGAAGCACGCAGCTTCTAAGCTGCCTCTACAATTTTTAATTTATTTCCTTCTCTTATGTGATTTACCATTGGATAAGGACAATGCTAACTTGTGCTTAAAAGTTCTTTTAATAAGGTTTAAAAACTAATTCAAAAATATTATGCTTCTCAGCATTTAACTGCGCTCCTCTTGCAATTTTTTTCCTTCCACTAAAATGACTTCTAAGAGATATGCAATGAGATGAAAACCACACAAAACAAGGACAAAAAATGCATAATTCCTACAAAATATCATGTCAAAGCTCACACAATTATCCTGAGCATGCTGCATCCGTTCCTCCACTGGGTCCTGCACATAAGCATGGTAAGTTATGACTTATGACGCAAGAAACCCAAACAAAATGTATGGCATTACCTCGACAATGAATCTTTTGACTTCTTTATGCCCAATTCGGTAAAATCTCATGATCGGTTGCCGGATTCCATTATGGATCCTAAGGCTTTTTAAGAAACAAATGAAAAGTCTTCATCAATATATATCAATTCAATGCAAGCCTGATACATCACAGAAACATACATATCTTAAACTCTATCTATTCGTTTCTAACAGAGTTTAGGGGAGCTGTTAGAAAATTATCCATTACTTCAGCAACACACTACTTATGCTCCGTACTACTAATGCTCGGCTCATACCAATCATGGCAGTAAACTAAATTAAAGTCTTCTTTTATAATTTCTAGTCTTGATCACTTTAAAATATACAGTTTCTTCTAATCAGTAGCTCTCACAATATTTAGTTTATTTAGATGTACAATAAACTACAATAATAATTTTTCTTTTATAGAGTTTACTCAAAAATAAATTATGTAACTGTAAATAATTATCTAACTATATATCTAATGTTTTTTTTTCTCTTTTATTATTCAGTAAACTTATACCTAGATAATTCTGTTTCTGAAATAAAAATTTTACAACAATTAATTAAAAGGTTATATTTTGTTTTGTACATATAAAAAAACTAACAATATATATGTTTCTCTCGCTAGTTTTATCAAAAGAAACTGCTACTAAATATATTTTTCTTATCAATTATAATCCAGTGTTATTTAAAATTACAAAATCCAATGATATTTTTATCAATTACAGTGATCAATGTAAAACTATATAAAAACATACAATTAACTCCGATTTTGTTTTCCAAAAGACTCGCGCATGGCGAGCGATTAAACCTACTATATATACATAAAAAAAAAAAGCGAAGAACTCTCAAATATTGGTGTAGTTCCATTGAAAAACGATGTTAGGGTTGGTTTTGCTTATATTCGGTTCAATATGGTTGGGACTCTTTTTAAGGAAAAGACCCATAAGCTGTCGGAGAATTGGAAGAGGTGAAGATCGGATCAGTGCATTGCCAGATGATTTGCTCTTGCGGATTTTGTTGTTTGTTCCGACAAAAGATGCAGTGTCTACCATGATACTGTCCAAACGATGGCGGTCTATTTGGACGATGGTGCCACAACTCGACTACAAAGAGATCAAATATGGTACTCACAAAATAATTCTTGGTCGTTTATTTGGGAGGCCCAAGTCTATATGGCGGTTTCTTAACGAGTCAATGCGACTCCACAAAGCACCTATATTAGAAAAATTGGCTATAGAACTCGGTCCACATTGTCCTCTTGATGTTGACGTGGATTTCAAGTGCGGTTGATCGCAGGGTTCGTAACCTAGGGTTTGGTATCAAGTGGTCGGCAGATCCAATAAGCTTGCCCAAAAGCCTTTATATGAGTGAGACGCTTGTGGGTCTCTGTCTTTCTGACAAGGTTTATGTAGATGTTTCTTTTCCAGTTTGCCTCCCTTCCCTCACACATCTTACCCTTGTCTCTGTGGTATACAAAGATCACGATTCTCTTGCTAGGCTCTTGTCGGGTTGTCCTAATCTCAAGCGTATGTATGTGGCACGACATCACCAAGATAATGTGACAAATTTTAGTGTAAAAGTGCCATCTCTAGAGACCTTCATGTATAACCATGTGTCGTCATTCAACGAAGATGTCGAAGAATCTTTGGTCATAGATTCTGCGAGTTTAAAGAAATTAAGCATTTCAGATTTTTGGACAGAATCTTGCTCGATTGAGAACAAGCCTCGTCTTGATAACGCACTTATCTACATCCGGTTTTACCCTGATGAGGAGTTTATGAGATCTCTTTCCTCAGTCATGTATCTCGAGTTAAATATGTCTCCTGCGACGGTATTTCAACCTCACTTTTTTCAGTGTTAATTATGATCACATTTCTAGCGTTTGCTTACGTGTTGTTGTTTCTTTATTGAAGGTTGCGTGTTGTGAGGCCATTCGATTCTCCCAGCTTATAGAGTGTAAAATACGACCTTTAAAGCTAGACTGGTTTGAGCCACTATTGTTGTTGCTTCAAAATTCTCCTAAACTGAAAGTTCTTGTCATCGACCAGGTTTGTATTGTAACCTCTTCTAAGTTAGTAATTATGTTAAAACTGAAGCAAATTTAACATGTTAGTTACATACCTTAATGTTGCTTTGCTTCACAGGTATGTTTTCGAAATGAGGACTTTCCACTTTCGTGGAACCAACCGAGTTCTGTTCCCGAGTGCTTGTCAACCAATCTCGAGGTCTTTGAGTGGGCAGGATATGGAGGAACAACCGAACAGAAAGATATGGTAAGCTACATCTTTACCAACTCCAAGTGTTTAAAGAGAGTTGGAATCTCCTTAAAATCAACTTGCAATAGAAAGAAGATAATGAAAGAGTTAGAATCCATGCCTCGGATCTCAACATCTTCTCAGCTTCTATTCTCCACTCAGTTGAAGTTTACGGCTTACAGAAAACGTTACTAATCTATATGTTTTTGAAGGATCATGTTTTTCTAGTTTGTTAGTCAAATTATTTGAACTCCAAAGGATCATGAATTCGTTGTTTGTTAACAGAGAGTCTTTACTGGTAACGGAATGCAATAGTTAGCATTTCCTTATTTCTGATGATACCGTGATACTATCACATAATCATGGTAAAGAGATCTTCAAATTTTTTGATTACTAACGACGCAAGAACCCTATAAGAATTTATGGCATTACCTTGAGACACTTAATATATACGGTTATGCTTCTCAACATTCAGCTGAGCTCCTTTGGCAATTTATTTTCCTTCACTAAATAACTTCTAAGAGATATGCAATGAGATGAAAACAACACAAAAAAGGGACTAAAAATGTATAATTCCTACAAATATCAGGTCAAAGCTTACACAATCATCCTGAACATGCTGCATCCGTTCCTCCACTGTGTGATGCACATAATCGAGATGACTTGTGATGCAAGAAACCCAAACAAAATGTATGGCGTTACGTCGACAAATCTCATGGTCGGTTGCCGGATTCGATAAAATCTCATGATCGGTTGCCGGATTCCATTATGGATCCTAAGGTTTTTCAAGAAACAAATGAAAAGATCTTCATCAGTATATATCAATTCAATGCAAGCCTGATACATCACAGAAACAAACGTACATATCTTAAGCTCTATCTATTCGTTTCTAACAGAGTTTAGGGGAGCTGTTAGAAAATTATCCATTACTTCAGCAACAAACTGCTTATGCTCCATACTACTAATGTTCGGCTCATTCCAATCAAGGCAGTAAACTAAATTAAAGTCTTCTTTTATAATTTATAGTCTTGAGCACTTTAAAATTATAAATATATAGTTTTTCCTAATCAGTGGTTCTCACAGTATTTAGTTTACATTTATAATAATAATTTTTGTTTTATAGAGTTTACACAAAAAATAAATTATGTAATTATAGATAATTATCTAACTATATACCTAATGTTTTTTTTATCTTTTATTATGCAGTAAACTTATACCTAGATAATTCTGTTTCTGAAATCAAAAGTTTACACCAATTAATTAAAAGGTTAGATATTTTTTTGTACATATTACAAAAAACTAACAATATAAATGTTTCCCTAGCTAGTTTTATTAAAAGAAACCACTATTAAAGATATTGTTCTTATCAATTATAATCCAGTGTCATTTAATATTACAAAACCCAATGATATTTTACCAATTACAGTAATCCATGTATAAAACTTTATAAAAACATACAACTAACTCCGATTTTGTTTTCCAACAGATTCGCGCATGGCGATCGAGGGATTAATTAACCTAGTAAATATACATATATAAAAAAAAAACAAAAAAAGTGAAGAACTCTCAAATATTGGTGTAGTTCCATTGAAAAACGATGTTAGGGTTGGTTTTGCTTATATTCGGTTCAATATGGTTGGGACTCATTTTAAGGAAAAGAGCCATAAGCTGTCGGAGAATTGGAAGAGATGAAGATCGGATCAGTGCATTGCCAGATGATTTGCTCTTGCGGATTTTATTGTTTGTTCCGACAGAAGATGCAGTGTCTACCATGATACTGTCGAAACGATGGCGGTCTATTTGGACGATGATGCCAGAACTCGACTACAAAGAGATCAAATATGGTACTCACAAAAGAATTATTGGTCGTTTATTTGGTAGGCCCAAGTCTGTATGGCGGTTTCTTAGCGAGTCAATGCGACTCCACAAAGCACCAATATTAGAAAATTTGGCTATAGAACTCGGTCCACATTGTCCTGTTGATGTTGACGTGGGAATGTGGATTGCAAATGCGGTTGATCGCAGGGTTCGTAACCTAGGGTTTGGTATCAAGTGGTCAGCAGGTCCTATTAGCTTGCCTAAAAGCCTATATATGTGTGATACCATTGTGCATCTCCGTCTTTCCGACAAAGTTTATGTAGATGTTTCTTCTTCTCCAGTTTGCCTCCCTTTCCTCACATCTCTTGAGCTTGTCTCTGTGGTATACAAAGATGAAGATTCTCTAGTTAGGCTCTTGTCAAGTTGTCCTATTCTCAAGTCTTTGTATGTGATGCGACATCACGAAGACAATGTGACAAAGTTTAGTGTAAAAGTGCCATCTCTAGAGACCTTCATATATAATTATGTGTCGTCATTCATGATTCAACGAAGATGTCGGAGAATCTTTGGTCATAGATTCTGCGAGTTTAAAGAAATTATGCGTTTCAGATTGTTGGACACAATCTTGCTCGATTGAGAACAAGCCTCGTCTTGATAACGCACTTATCTACATTTGGTTTTACCCTGATGAGGAGTTTATGAGATCTCTTTCCTCAATCATGTATCTCGAGTTAAATCTGTCTGCTTTAACGGTATTTCAACCTCACTTTTTTCAGTTTTAATTATGGTCACATTTCTAGCGCTTGCTTACGTGTTGTTCTGCTCATTGATTTAAGGTTGCGTGTTGTGAGGCCATTAAATTCTCCCAGCTTACAGAGTGTAAAATACGTCCTTATAACTACGATTGGTTTGAACCATTAGTGTTGTTGCTTCAAAATTCTCCTAAACTGAAAGTTCTTGTCATCGACCAGGTTTGTATTGTAACCTCTTCTAAGTTAGTAATAAGTTAAAACTGACAAAAACATGTTAGTTACATACCTTGATGTTGCTTCACAGATATATTATCGAAATGAGGATTTTCCACTTTCGTGGAACCAACCGAGTTCTATTCCCGAATGCTTGTCAGCCTATCTCGAGGTCTTTGAGTGGGCAGGATATGGAGGAACAACCGAACAGAAATATATGGTAAGCTACATCTTTGCCAATTCCAAGTGTCTAAAGAGAGTTGGAATCTCCTTGAAATCAACCTGGAAACGCAAAGATAGAAATAAGATAATGAAAGAGTTAGAATCAATGCCTAGGATTTCAACATCTTCTCAGCTTCTGTTCTCCACTCAGTTGAAGTTTAAGGCTAATTGACTATATGCATGTCTTTAAAGGATCATTTTTTCTCTAGTTTGTTAGTCAAGTTATTTGAACTCCAAAAGATCATGAATTCGTTGTTTCATATCAACAGAGATACCTTATTGGTCACGCAACGGAATAGTTAGCATTTCCTTTATTTCTGATGATACCATCACCGAATCATGGTAAAGAGACCATCCAAGTTTTGATTACTTACCACGCAAGAAATTTAAAAGAATTGATGGGATTACCTTGTTACTGGATCTTCTACTGAATATATTATCATATCATAGAAATGTGTGCCATATATTAACATCAACTAACTGTTTTATTAAAATCAAGTTTTACAAAACTGTTTCAAAATCATGATTCCGGGCACAGTGCGGATACAACCTAGTAAACAATTTAAACTCTTCTTTAATAATTTATAGTCTAGTTCTTTCAAAAATTATATATTAGAAGTTCTTCTTTTATAAATTTTATCATTTATGTACATATAAACAATCATCATCATTATATATCAAACAATATTCCTCTTGTTTTATGCACTGTGTCATGCACATAATCATGGTAAGATTGATAACTTGTGATGCAAGAAACGCAAAAGAATTTAAGGTTATTACCTTGACAATGAATCTTCTTTGATGATTTCTCATGATCGCTTGCCGGATTCAACCATGGATACTGAGGTGTTGCATGAGACAAAGCAAAATCTCTTACCAGTAGAGATCATAAACAAGAATTCAAAGCAAGTGACCTCCCCAAACCAAATCCTGATCTTACTCCACTAGAAAATTACCGTCTTCCACTTTCACCCTTCTTGTAGTCGAGTGTTCGTGTGTGTGTGTATAATGAAGATTCTTGTTACATTTTCTATTTGTAAAAAAAGAGAAAAAATTGCTACAGGGCAAGTTTTTTTTCTTTCTTTTTGGCAGATTAGCATTTTCTATTGATATAATCGATTGACTTTCCAATCAAATAATATGACCATTTCTAGACCTAATTTAACAAAGTTAGAATTTAACACTTGTTTGCGTTGGATCGCCTAAGTTAACAATACAAAATCTAGACGATCTGGACGCGTGTCTTGTGTCCTCTGTCAAGTTCATGTTTCTTCTCAGGAAGCATGGGCAAGAACTTCAAATCTCACTTATTTAATTTAATTGACTAAATTAGCTCCTTTTCAACAAGTTATTAATTAAGATAATTAAGAACATACGTATTCTCCTCACCATTGACATCGAACCACGTGTCTATTGTGTTCACTGACTACAGAAATCGCCAGCTGTCGGATTAAGAGAAGGTTGGCATTGCCAATACGATTGAAACTCTTGCCGTTTCAAAGAGAGAAGCGACACGTGTTTTTTGGGCTCACCAGAAACTAAGATATTTATAGAAACATTTTTAAATATATTTTGCTGAAAAGGAAATGACTGCTAAAACAAAAAGAAAGTATGAATTAGCTTTAGAATTAGAATTATTGATTTAGCAGATAAAATGAATCATTTCTGTAGCCAAGATTACAAAATATCGCAAGTACACGATTGAGATAGCTTTGGGGATTTTACCGAAACACCCTTGACTGCTGATCTGCGTCACATGATTTGAGAATGGTATTTTTGGTAGTTCCGGTTGTTACTCAAGTAACTCAGTTTCAGTCCATGCACTTACCAAATGTAATGCATATTTCAATAAGTTTATATAATAGTCTAATATAATTACATATTTTAATAAAGTAGAAGAATGAATGTCTCAAATATCCAATTTGGATAAAAGAATTAAAATTCTCAGCTTCCCAAATTGTATCTCATCTTAGGCAAATTGATTAATTTGCTTCGACATGCTTTATACGTTTATGATACATGGATTCACACTAGGAAGGAACATGTGGCTACAGAAGGATTCACACACCAAGGAATGTTTCTTAACTTTCTCATCCTTATGCTTCTCGACTCTTCACGATATAATTAAGTGTTACCACCAAACTTAATTAAGTGTTACCACCAAACTTAAGCTAGTAAGGGAACGGCGAACCAAAATAAAACACAATCTAACTATAACATAAACACACTAAGTAGATCGTATATATATCGTAACAAAACTCCTAAAATACAAAATTTGCTTGCATTACCTTTTACATTGATCATTCCAATGATCAAGGAAACAACCCTGGTTGATTTTCTATAATTTTGAGGAATACAACTTAGGCTTAAAAAAGGTCTTTGTGAGGCAGCAAATGTCGATCTCTCTGTTCGTGTTGAGGTTTCCATGGATATGTACTTTCCTTGGAACATCTACTCAATATCACATTTCTTTTAATGAAGCTGTTCATGAAATCTGTTTGGTTATGTTATCTGCGTGTAGCTTTCAAAATCATCAGTGAAAAGACCACTTTGAAGAAGATGTATATGCACCAAGGAAGAAACCGTTAAGGTCTCGGAATATACAGTTGGTGTTTGCTGAAAAAAAAAATCAACATCAAACGCATAAGGTGTGAATGTGTTTGTAGACTTGTAGTGTTTTGTTTAATAGATGTTCACATTCATATGCTATTATTGTAAAACACCTTTAACTTTTAGAAGAAAGAAACTGTTACAAAATCAAGTAACTAGTTAATTCAAATGATGATACCGAAAAGAAAAGAAAAAAATAATTCATAGATACAAACTGAAAAATTATTTGCGCGTAGCGCATGTGCTTATCTATTTTTTTAAGTGTATGCTTCTGGTCTTTGTCAATATTCTTTATGTGCTAAGATTTTCTTATTTTCTTTTAGTGTCAAGCTTATTGTATATCTTTTTCTGGCAACTAGTGTCAAACTTATGTACCTTTTTCTTTTGAGTCTGGAAAATTAGTTCAAAAGAAAAAGGGGGTATGGACTATGGAGAAAGGTAAACTAATAACTATCCAAATTCCAATCCATGGTAACTTTAATAAATTAAAGATAGAAATTCGTAAATAATATTATAAAGGTGTAAGTCAATAAATTAAAATAAGCAGAAATTTGGCTAGAGGAGAATAAAAGTGTACATGTTGTAGAAGTGACAAATGACAACCTCGTATGCACAAACGCGTGATTCGATAATAAAAAGCAAAATAATTCACATATGATATTGTTGAGGTTGTTCAAAATGTCTTCAGATTCTAACAGAATTTCATCATCACTATCCTCATCCATTCATCATCATTACTCATCTTCACATGTTAATCGTTTTTCAATCCATTTTTTCATTGAACTTTAAAATAACAGTTTGGATATTAATATTATAATTTCTTATAACGGTAGACATTGGAATAGGACAAAAGAAACAGTTCCTTTAATATTAGCTTTTCAAGGTTCATGCATGCACACAGCATACTCTTTTCATGAGATGGATAACATTTGTTAAACAAATAAAACAAATTATATCTAACCATGGGAACTTTTTTTCTTATAGTTATCCTAAAGATGAACACCAATAATAGTGACACATACCGTACTTAGTAGTAAATGTTAAAAAGTCATTCTTCAACACATTCAAACTATTTAGAACAAAAAAAAATACCATTCCAACCAAATTATTATCTCTATTGTCTATTGACAATCTAAATCGATATTAACATAAAATACTAGTGCCAAATTTAAAATTCCAAACCTCGATCATCACGAAGTATCAATCAAAAGTTGTTTCTAAATCAATAATCATAGTGTTACTGATATTTGTTTCCAACGACTAATAATTAGTTAAAGAACGGACAATAACATCACGATTTAATGTGATAAGATTGTTCTTATCACATTAACACAAAAAGGGACAGGGAGCCACAGGTGAAGTGTTCCTGGTCAAATTGAAACTTGGAAATATTAAAGTTCTTGAAATAGAAAGGTTTATTTTATAATGAAAACGATTTCGAAAACTACACATCTTAAGTTGCCTAACAATCTACGCATCTTCTTCTTTCTCTCTCCTACTTAGAAAACTAATTATAGTATGTGTGTACACCAATTTCTGATTTATAATTCCATTTGATGGTTGTACGAGAATTAAATCTGAAAACCCATTTATGTACATGTAAGAAAGATCATTTAGAGAGCGAAGATACAAAGTTTTATTTTCTTTATAGTAGGTGAAACTCTTGAATTTTAATACAACTAAAAGAATAACTTGATGTGAAAAAATTGACCAATTATTGGTCAATATTAATAATACTATTTTTTTTCCTCCAATTATCTAATGAGAAACTAGTATATAAAGAGGAGCTTCGTTGCCCAAACCCTTTTCTCTTCTCTTAAAACCCCCAACTTTCTTCCCTCTCTCTCTCTCCTAAAAAAACCCTTCTCTGTACTTTCTCTCCCCAAACAACAAAAACAAAAGATATTTTTCTTGTAAGAAGATCAAAACTTGGAATAATTCTGAGAAACCCTTTTAGGAGAAAATGGATTACGGGTCATCAAGAATCAGTGAAATAATAGAAGATGAAGAGCAAATTGATCTACCACCTGGATTCAGATTTCACCCTACTGATGAAGAACTCATATCTCACTACCTCAAACCAAAGGTTTTCAACACTTTCTTCTCCGCCACTGCCATTGGTGAAGTCGATCTCAACAAGATCGAGCCTTGGGACTTACCAAGTAAGTTTCAAAACCTTTCAAGATTCAAAAATTACTTTTACTATAAGAACCAAATTATATATGGTCTCTTATATCTTTACATCTCATTTACATGTTTGATACAAATTATTTCATCCTTCATGCAGAAAACCTACAAATAGTTTGATCCTTCATGCATATTTTTTGTTTTCAAATTCTCTGTTGATTATTGTTTTTCTGTAATGAATTAATCTCACAATTTTGATTGGGATTTGCTTTTGGTGGAATAGGGAAAGCTAAAATGGGGGAAAAAGAATGGTATTTCTTCTGTGTGAGAGACCGGAAATACCCAACCGGTTTAAGGACGAACCGAGCAACTGAAGCCGGTTATTGGAAAGCCACAGGCAAAGATAAAGAGATTTTCAATGGAAAAGCACTTGTTGGTATGAAAAAAACTCTGGTTTTCTACAAAGGAAGAGCTCCTAAAGGAGTTAAAACAAATTGGGTTATGCACGAATATCGATTAGAAGGCAAATACTCTATCGAAAATCTTCCCCAAACCGCTAAGGTATGCTAAAAAAAAACACTGATCATTGTTTTGTGTGTTTTTTTTCTTCTACTATATTTGTGAACTTGAAATTGATTATTGTTTGGTTGTTTATGAATGTAGAACGAGTGGGTTATTTGTCGTGTCTTCCACAAACGTGCTGATGGTACAAGGGTTGATATGCATGGTTTAATGATGATTGATTCACACATTAACCGAATCGAACCGACCGGTTTGCCTTCGCTAATGGATTGCTCTCAACGAGATTCTTTGCCTGGTTCGTCGACTCACGTGACCTGCTTCTCCGACCAAGAAACCGAAGACAAGAGACTCATCCACGAGTCCAATGGCGGTGCTGGTTCTCTGTTTTACTCTGATCCTCTGTTTCTCCAAGACAATTACTCGCTAATGAAGCTGTTGCTTAACGGTCAAGAAACCCAATTTCCCGGTACTGATCAATCCAGTTTGACCGGTACGGAAGAATTAGATTGCCTTTGGAATTTCTGAGATGTAACTTCTCTTGTAGACTTTGTTAGTCATGTGTTCGTGTGTGTGAATGAAAAATTTTTGTTACATTTTTTGAAAAATTCTTGTTACATTTTTTTGTAAAAAAAAATGCTAGAAAGTCAATTTACTTTGCTATGTAGGATTACTATTTTAACATATATAATAGACTTCCCAATTAAACAATATAATAATTTCTTTTGCCATATAAAATACTAGACCTATAATTTAATATATAGAAATAAATTGTTATCAATAATTTTCAACATTATTATCTTGAAACTAGAGTAGTTAGAAGCCAAATTTGTTTACTGTTCTTCTCAATGACGAAATGTTAAATGACATGTGTTAGGCCACCAACCAAAGAGTTAATATTGTGACTTATGAGTATATTAACAAAGTTTGAATTTTTTTGTTTCACCAATATTATATTGTTTATGTCAAACTTAACATGTTTAGGTGATCATCTTGTTTTCATACTACCTAATTTCTATATCTTAACGAACACTGATAGCATTCCGAAGACAATCCTATGATCGACAACTTCTTTTTGAGGAAACAGAGAAAAAGCTTACATCAAAATGATAAAGAACACGTGTGAGTTAATTTTCCAACTCTATCTAAATGCATAAAACAAGATTAAATTTACGATACACGTTTAAATATCTTAAAACCAATTGCAAATACTAAAAAAAATCAGAGCAAATTCTGGTTTAAATTTATAGCCGAACCGGATAAATCGAACCGAACCAAATGGAATAACAGTGAGGGTAATTTCGTCATTTTAACAGCAGAAACCCTTTTCTTCAGTCGTCACCTGCATCACTTCTTCTCCACTACCCTATTATTCTCGCCGGACGATCGAGACCGGAGAGCTTCCGTCGACCGGTAATTCAGAGATTTCCTTTGAAACCTTTCTTTCGATTGTGTGTTTCCTTTTCTATGTGATTGATACTTTGTTCTGTTCACGAATCATTTGATATGCGGCTCAGATTTTGGTAGTAGATTCATCTTCAGATCTCTAATAGTTCCTATGAATCTGGAAGTATGATTTACGATTTGTGATTTTATTAATCCGAATATCAATTTACTTTCTGTAGATTTTGCACCATTTCTCTTCCTCGTCGTTTATTTTGTAGAAATGACTCTGCAATTACTCTCCGATTTCATAAAAATTAGCACTTTTTCGATATTCTCTGGTGATATGTAATTGATCAAACGATTCTTTGGTTAATGGCTGATTTAGGTTGAAAATTGCATAGAAGATGTTGAAGTTTCTATCAAAAGTAAGAGTTGAGTACAACACATTGGATCCAAGACTCGCGTCTTGCGTCGAGTTCTTAGCTCAATGCAATGCAAGAAAGGCAAAAGATTCGAATCCTAATTGTCAGGTTCTGGTGAAACGCAGAACAGATGATCAGCCACCGCAGATCACAGTCACGTTTGTCAATGGCGTCGAGGAAGCTTTCGATGCAGCGGCTACTTCAGCTCAGTCGATCAGAAAGATGATTCTAGATAAAGGTCAGTATCTGGAGACAGAGCAAATGTTCCGTGAAGCTGGAGAGCAATGGCCTGTGATGATTCCTGATGAAGAGCTTCGCCAAGAAGCTCCTGGTGTTAAGGTTTGTCCTCATTGCTAAACATATCCGTTTCCTCATTTGAAATCTTTAAAGTAGAAAACTTTGGAAACAGGACATCAAATTAAGCTGATCTTTGTGTTTTGGTTTTCGTTTTGCAGCCGAGAAAAGCAGAGGACAAGAAGTAATGCTGCTCGTATCATCATCGATACCTCTTGGTGTAATCTCGTTGAATTTGACTTTGGTAATGTAAGATCTGAGAGTACTTCAGTATGCAAGTCTCGAGCTTTAGGGTTTTGGACAGATAGATTTGTATTGTTTCTCTTCTTCTGTGGAATAAAAATCACATTTTTATGGGAAAAAGATCAAATCAACACTCTGTTTTTTGAGTTTTGGCAACAATAGTATACATACATAACTTACACACTGGATCCAAGAGCTCACAAACAGCAGGAAATGAGTTTCTTGAATTGTATGTTTTACAGACAAAAACGTATATGTTTGTTTTTTATTTATGTATATCAAAGATCAAACCAATCTTGTGTTCTTCATTCATTTACCTCTCTCTTCCTTTCTAGCACTAGGAGCATTAGGATTACCCATCATGTCCATCATCATTTTCTCAGGTGAATCCTCCCAATTCGTAAACGTCTTCAAGTCGATCTGCAGATTTTAAACAAAAACAAAGTGTCAAAATTTGGAAAAATCTTTGTGCATTTTGCGTAGATCTCATGTTTTTATTTTACCTTTCGACGTTGGTCAGTGAAAAGCTCTTCTCTCTTCTTGTATGCGTCTTGAACATCTTTGGCCTTTTTGCCACCTAATGCCCATGCTTCAACATCTAACACCAAAGCCTCTGCTTGTAAATAACCCTGCAGCAAAACAAGAGTTACTATTAAAAGATTCAAGAACATAAATTTGACATATAGAGAGACTTTGTGATTCGTTTTTCTTTTTACCTGGTTTGGGAAAAGAGAGCCTGGCTGGTAAGTTTTATCAACTGCATGATGACGGAATGTGATCTTAGAAAAGTCTTCATCCATGAATATTCTCTCGTTTCCTAGTGTTCCACCGAATCCAATCCCAACAGGCTTTGGGTTTGCGTCATAGACTCTACCAGAAGGATGCAGATGGCTATACGCAAAGTTCTTCTCTTTGCCTGAAGATGAACACAAAAAGAACATAAAAGACTAGACTTAATGCATAAAAGTTCTTCGCTTTTGTGCAGTACCTGAAGATGAGAATGCGTGGAAGACTGGACTAATAGAGAACAAAGTTCCAGAGCTTCCATAAAATGTATCCTTGTTCTCAAAACCTTGCTGCAAGATCGCACCAATGACCCACTTCTTCTCGGTTGAACTTCCCTCGTAGTCTTTCGCAGAGATCACAGAAACCATCACAAGTACTGGAGCATGATACCCTTGAACGTTAGACCACAGTCTATTCATGCCTTTCCCGTGATATTTTGAGCTGATAGAGAGAGAGAGATCAATCAACACAACTCATTATATACTCTGCAGAGATCAATCAATACTTCCCAAGAAACAAACACATTTAAGGATCATACCGGTACAGAAGATGTTCATTGGTTTCATCGCTATTCCCCGGAAAACAAGAGCTCAAAATCTCCTCGCTGATTGTGTTTTTGCACGCCAACGAAATCGCCCATGCTCTTCCACATGTTAGAAGTACGTTTTCAGATGTCTTGGACGCAGAATCAGCTGAATTTGAAGGTCCAGATCCATCCTGTAACCACACAAACAATGGTGTTTATCAACAAATCCTCTTTAAAGAAACTTGGTTAAATGCAAAAGCATACCTCTACACTCAAAGAATGTTGAAGTCTCGAGTTACAAAAGTGACCAAGACACTCAGTGACGCTAGGAATCGTTGTCACAGCCCAAGTAAGAAACTTTCCAATAGGAATCTCAAGCTCTAATCCGAGAACATCAGCAGAAGAGTCCCAAACATCTAAGCTCTCTCCAGATTCAGTGCAAGAAACAATCGCTGAGAGAATCAAATGACTAATCTCCGGAAGAAACAATTCATTCTCAGACTTTGTGGCTCGACCATCCCAAGACATCGTCCAACACATCCACAGAAACGTAAGCAGCTCCGTCGCCGAAATCGAGCCGTTGATCTTGCAATCGGATTCGTCAGATTCGAACTCTAGCTTCGAAGAAATGCCTGCGTTTTGGGATGTGACGTGGAAGAGTCTCAACAGAGTGTTGAATGACATTGAAGCTGACATTCTTCCGCAGCATTTGACATAGCCTTTAGCGAATTCGACCCAGCTCAATCCTCCTCCTTTCTCAGGTACGAAGAACAAATCTACTAAAGATGATCCTAATTGCTCCAATAATTTGGGAAATGAATCTGGGATTTTCTGGTTTCCTTCGGAAGTAGTTGTGTTGTAGCTCAAGCAGAAACTTTGCTACGAAATAAGAAACGAAAATTCGTTGAAACTCATCACAAATTTGAAGCAGAGATCTGAGAAATTTTATCGATTTTTGACATTTTTTCCCCCAAATTACTGAAATTGCAAACCCAGATTTTCTAATTCTGATGGAAATTGGATTATACCTTGAAGGATTGAAAAGAAACAGTGTTGGATTGAGAATCTGCGAGATTGGAGAAAGAGCGTTGAAGTAAAGGGAGAGCTCCGGTGGAAGCGGCAAGGCTTTCGATTTCTCGCTTTTCCGGTGACTCTTTGTTATCCGTCGAAGATGAAGCACCCATAGTGAGGAAGATGAAAATGAAACCGGAGAAGATTGCAAAAATCAACACTGATATTTTTCAGAGCTCTGTTTCTGAGAGAAGAAGTATCAGAGAAATGGAGTCCATGATTGCAATAGTATGATGATCTATTAGGAGAAGAAAAAAAACATTTTTGAACAGTTCTTAACTTTCTTATCTTTCACGATTCGCCACGTAATTGATTTTTGAGTCAACCGTGTGGATTGGTCGATCCGGTTCGGTTTCTAAATAATTCAGAACCGAATTGATTAGAAAATGTTTTTTTCTTCCAAATTATAAAATGGATTTAAACCGATCGAATACCAACCAGTTTTAGATTTCAAAAAAATTCATATGTTAGATTAGAGGTTGTTTGCGTAATCCGGTTGTATGATCATAATTCTCGCAAACAATTCAGATGACAAGGTTTAAAAGTTTCCAAAATCGAGCTCCTCTTCGACAAAATAACCCCCAATTAAGAACCATGTGAAATTTCAGTACACATTTGATGAAATTGAACATAATAGCTATATAACAAAACTCATGGCTTCAATTGTCACTTTAGCAAAGGTTAAATTTAGAATTGTATGACAATTGTAAAGATGCATCTACAAATAAAGATATGATTTATGAAGGATTCTCAAGTTTCTTTCTAATTAAAATTAATTAATACCAAATAGTAATTTTTGTTAAAATATATTATATATTTATTTATTAAAAACTCTGGAATGAATTCATGAATGGAGTTATCTAAGATTCTTAAGTCTTCTGAAAAAAACCATTAATTTTTGTATGAATAAATGAAAATATCCGTAAGTAGCTTTGAATTGAATAGATTCAAAAGAATCGTGAAATAACAACCCAAAAACGGACGAACTAATACAAACAGAGATTTTTAGAAAATTTACCGACAAAATTTGATTGAGTTTCTTTTACCAAGCCTAAGACCTCTCCATGTAACTCACTTCTTTGCAAAGGAGAAAAATGTTAAGTTTGACTAGGAGTGAGAATCTTGATCCCAACAGAATTTTTTTTTTTAATTTTGTTATACTCTTTTCATTTTATAATAAATGTCATTTAAGAAAATGAGAATTTAATGTATTTAGATATAATTAGATAAAATAACACTTATTATTATCTAAATACATTCAATTATTGTTCATATACATTTTCTCTAAATGATACTGTATTTATTATGAAATGGTAGGAGTATTAGAAAAAGTAAAATGAAATGTGTGCCTAACGGATAACCAAATGTTCTTTTATGGTTTAAAGCATTATTACTCCGGACATCATAAGAGCATCATTAATGCATAGACTATAAGAGTTTTTGAGGTAAAAAAATAAAGAAAACAATTAAAAAGGAAATATGTGTCACTCAAAATGAGGAGAATCATCCCTGCTAGAAGCATATTGAAGAAAAACTCCCCAGGTGTCACTATATCATTAGTTGAATTTTTTTTTTTCATTTTTCATTTTTTTTTGTTAGGGAAATCTTTTTCGATTTTTTTTTTTTTTTTTTGTTATACATTATTATCTCCATCATCACTTTGATATTAATTCTTCTCTGTTACACCTTTGTTAGTTTGTGCCAAACGTAACAACAACATTCAGATTCTTTATGTTATAATTCTGAAACAATTGTAAATCAGCAAGAGCCTAAGATAAACTCATTCTTCTTACATTTTATACTGATTTGTAGTAGATTAAAAAGTGGAGCTCAAGAACTGAAGCGTATTAGACGCAATGGTCTTCAGAAGAAACCCTCTCAAGAGTATATCAAGCTTTAGCTCTAATGGTGGCTTAATTGATCATCTGAGAAAGAGAGAGAACAATTTTCTTTCCAGCAGAAGACCTTGTGGCTCGACCATCCCAAGACATTGTCCAGCAGAAGACTTTGTGGCAGAAACAATTCACCAGCAGAAGACTTTGTGGCTCGACCATCCCAAGACATTGTCCAACACAACCATAGAAACGTAAGCAGCTCCGTCGCCGAAATCGAGCCGTTGATCTTGCAATCGGATTCGTCAGATTCGAACTCTAGCTTCGAAGAAAGGCCTGCGTTTTTGGATGTCACGTGGAAGAGCCTCAACAGAGTGTTGAATGACATTGAAGCTGACATTCTTCCGCAGCATTTGACGTAGCCTTTAGCGAATTCGACCCAACTCAATTCTCCTCCTTTCTCAGGGACGAAGAACAAATCTACTAAAGATGATCCTAATTGCTCCAATAAGCTGGGGAATGAATCTGGGATTTTCTGGTTTCCTTCGGAAGTGGTTGTGTTGTAGCTCAAGCAGAAACTTTGCTACAAATAAGAAACGAAAATTCGCTGAAACTCATCACAAATTTGTGAAATTTTATCGATTTTCTGACAAAAAAAGTTTCCCCCAAATTACTGAAATTGAAAACCCAGATTTTTCTAATTATAAAGGAAATCGGATTATACCTTGAAGGATTGGAAAGAGACTGTGTTGGTTTGAGAATCGGCGAGATTGGAGAAAGAGCGTTGAAGTAAAGGGAGAGCTCCGGTGGAAGCGGCAAGGCTTTCGATTTCTCGCTTTTCCGGTGACTCTTTGTTATCCGTCGAAGATGAAGCACCCATAGTGAGGAAGATGAAAAATCAACAAAAAGAGAGATTCAGAGCTCTGAGTAATAAAAGACCATTTTTGAACAGTTCTTAATTCCTTATCTTTCACGATTCGCCAAGATTTTTGAGTTAACCGTGGACTGATCCGGTTCGGGTTCGAGATAACTCAGAACCGGATTGATTATAATTTTTGTTTTTTTTTTTCGAATTATGAAATAGAATTAAACTCATCGAATACCAACCCATTTTTTTATTTCAAGAAATTTCTATGTTACATTTTTTTCTTGTTAAATTTTATTTGTTACTTTAGAGTAACAAATCTTCTTTGTTAAAGTTGTGATGCTTTGTGGCTACCAAGAGGAATTTTGTTTTTTTCTGAACAGTTCTTAATTCCTTATCTTTCACGATTAGCTATAGCCTATAGCCTATAGCCCACAGCCATGGGCATTCGGGTTTCGGATTGGGTTCTAAGATCGGTTCTATTTGGGTTTGGATTGTTTTGGATTGCTAAACCCGTTCGGGTTTTGATAAATTTTGTTTCGGTTCGATTCATGTTGATTTGGGGATAAATTTTAGACCCGTTCTTTGTGCAAATTTCAATTCTTGTTCGAGTCTGTTTTGGGTAGGCTTGGGAACGGATCGGATATCGGCATTTTCAGGACATCCGGATCCGGATTTGGATTCGGCGGATCCGTGATTTTACTAGTCGGATTCGGATACAAAAACTTCAGGATATCCTGATTTAAGAGAATCTCTAACATCCGTAAACCGAAAAGGTGAAGTTTTGATCGTATGTCGAGCGACACACAAGGTGTGTCGGTCGACACAAGCTCTAGTTCGCAATTCCGGTTTAATTTGAGTGAAATCGATTTCCGGTTTAGCTTAGTTTGGGTGGAAACCCTAATTCCCAGAGTTTAAAAAACGCAGCCGCCATTCTTCCTGCTTATTTTTGTCGTTTCGTGCACGAAAGTTAAAAACCCTAATTTTATTTTTGTCGTTTTGTGCACGAGAGTTGTCGCTTTGTGGGATTTGGAGGCGATTTCGGTGTTGTTGGTAGAATCTGAGGTCGTTCGTCGTCGTTTTGGAGGTTTATGTACATGTGGTGTTTGCTGTGTGGTGTTTCGTCGTTGTTCTTCGCCGTTCGTCATTACTATCGAGGTGAGTGCATGATTGTGGGTCCGTGATTACTAGATTTTGTTGTGTGATCGTTTATGTGGTGATTTCGTGTTGGTATTGATGTTTGATTCGTTGTTTATGATGGATTGCCTGTTTACTGTGTTGTGAGTACTGTTTATAGCTTGATTTGTGTTTCCGCAGACTGTGTCAAGGGACACAAGTTTGTCTTGGTCGATACCAGAAGATTTTGTGGCTCGACACAAATCGTGTGTCGGTCGACACATACCGGTTATCGCTAGTTTAAATTATTTTAACTGGTTTAATTGAAATTGGCTAGTTTAATTGAATTGATCATGGTTTAACCGAATTAGATTGGTATAATCTAATATTTAATTAATTATTAGTTATTTAATTAATGAAATGGTTTAAAATAATTATTATATTAATTATAGAAAATGAGAATCTTATTATATAAAGCTGGATACGCACGACGTGGTTGCGACACGTATGATTTTTATAAAGTTCATGATAACGACATTTGTCACTTTTAAGTTTATGTCCGTTAAGATCGTGACACATGTCTTAGGTAAAAGAAGAACTTAAAAAAAAATTCCAGAAAAATGTTAATTAATAAAAAAACGAAATTTAATTTAGTCTGTTATATAGAAAAGGAAAAAAAAATATTTGCCAACTCCAAACAGAAAAAGGTTTCCTATTCATCAAATATCTTTTATTATATAAAGTTGGATGCGCACGACGTGATTGCGACACATATGGTTTTTATAATTTATAAGATCGCAACATGTGTCACTTTTAATATTACGTCTGTTAAGATCGTGACACATGTCTTAGAGAAAAAAAAATAATAACAAAAAATTTAGATAAAGGATTTTTTTTAGAAAAATATTCTATTACAGTTAAAAGAAATAAAAATATATTTGTCATATCCTAATAGAGAAAGGTTTCTCATTCATCAAATTAATATTATCCAAACAAATAATAAAATTAAAATAATGTAATCAATAAAATCCTATTTGTACATGAAATATGTTATGTAAACTAAATTGTTTATAACTGCATGTAATATGTTACTTGAACCCTTATAGAAAAGAGTCAAGGTTACTCAATCATAAATTCATCAAAACAAATTCATCAAAACCCCAATGTGATGCACGTAAAAGGTTTTTGTGATCGCGGAATCAAAGCTAAAGAGGAGATGATAGGATTGATTTGTTTTGCATGTATTTGAATTGGTAGCACATGGTGTTTAGGTTGCTAGATTTAATTATTATTTTTTGTTTCCGCTGAATGATATTGTTATTTGATGGATTTATTTAATTTATTTTAAAGACCTTCGCTAGACTTATTAGGATTTAAAAAAAAAAGTGATGGTTGTTTCATTTAGATATCAGAGCCTAGACGGTTTTAAGACTGTTAGAATTATTAGGCTTTAGTATCATCCGTTTCAGCTACAGGAGATTCTACGGGGAGTTTTTGGTGTTTGTGTTTTTGTGTTTATTGTCTAGTTGATCATGTTTGGGTCCATGCAGTGAGATGGACAGAGTAGCTAGAGGTTGTGGTGCGAGAGGGCGCGATGCTTGAAGCCGTGGTTGGCAGAGCTAGAGGCCGTGGAGGCCGGGGCTGAGGTAGTGGACTTCTTGCGGATTCGGGAGAAAGTGTGGCGCGGAGTGTGGCGACTGAGTCGGTGACCCAGTCAATATCCATGGCGGGTGAGGCAAGTGAGGATGCTAGTGTTGGTTTGAGAGCGGGGACCGCTCCAGGTGGGGGTGGTGCTCCGGCTCAGGGTCGTGATGACTTGGTGGTAGGTTTGCTGACGCAACTAGTCGCTCGTTTTCTGGCAGAGGTTCCACAATGGGGCACCGGGAGTACCTCTAGTGGCAGAGGCGCATCTTCAACATGGTGCTGCAGAGGGCGTTCAGCCGAGGGCTGCGGGTTTTGGTGTGTCGCCTTATCTGAAGATTATGGAGCACATGCAGAGGATTGGTACGTCGTTTTTTGAGGGCGAAAGTGGCAGACGCGTGGTGTCAGAGGTTGGAGCGGAACTTTCAGTATATTAGATGTCCTTTGGAGTACCGAGTGGAGTTAGCAGTCCACTATCTGAATGGCGACGCGCATTTGTGATGGCAGGCCATTGAGGGGTAAAGAGTAGTGTGGCCTGTTGTTCATTTTATTTGTGATAGAATATTGGAGGTTCTCAACGCATTGAATGTTAGGGACCTTGTTAGTGGGCGGTTTTGAGTCCCACGTTTTATTCGACTCTGGAGCATCGAATTGCTTCATTACACCGGAGCGTGCCGAGAAGAGTGGCATCCGGAGTAGCGCTGGCGAGAGCGCGGGCATGGTCAAGGTGGCGGGAGGTGGATTCTTGTCTACTTTGGGCCGTGCTAGAGGAGTCGAGATCGAGATTGCGGGGCAGTCAATGCCAGCAGACTTAGTCATCAGTCCGGTGGAGCTGTATGACGTTATTCTCGGGATGGACTGGTTGTCACACTACAGAGTTCATCTGGATTGCTACAGAGGTAGAGTGGTCTTCGAGCGAGATGCAGGGAGGTTGGTTTATCAGGGAGTGAGACCGACTTCCGGGAGTATTGTGATATCTGCTATTCAGGCCGAGCAGTTGTTAGAGCGGGGCTGTGAGGCGTATCTGGCGACGATTTCTATGTCTGAGTCAGGAGCTGGAGTTGTTATGGGAGATATTGAGGTTGTCCAGGATTTTGAGGATGTCTTTCAGTCATTGAAGGGATTACCACCATCTCGGTCTGATCCTTTCACGATTGAGTTAGAGCCGGGGACAGCACCGATATCGAAGACGCCTTACAGGATGGCGCCAGCTGAGTTGGCAGAGCTGAAGAAGCAGATAGAGGACCTTTTGTCTAAGGGGTTCATTCGACCGAGTGTTTCACCGTGGGGAGCACCGGTGTTGTTTGTGAAGAAGAAGGATGGGAGTTTCAGACTTTGTATCGATTACAGAGGTCTTAACCGAGTCACTGTGAAGAACAGGTACCCACTCCCGAGGATTGATGAGTTGTTGGATCAGTTGAGGGGTGCTACTTGGTTCTCCAAGATTGACTTGGCGTCGGGGTATCATCAGATCCCGATAGATGAGGCAGATGTCAGGAAGACTGCTTTCAGGACGCGTTATGGGCATTTTGAGTTTGTGGTTATGCCTTTCGGTTTGACTAACGCGCCGGCAGCCTTCATGAGATTGATGAACGACGTGTTCAGGGAGTATTTGGATGTGTTTGTCATCATTTTCATTGATGATATTCTGGTATACTCGAGGAGTCAGGAGGAGCATGCGACTCACTTGAGGTTGGTTCTGGAGAAGCTTCGGGAGCAGAAGCTTTTTGCTAAGTTGAGCAAGTGCAGTTTCTGGCAGCGAGAGATGGGATTTCTTGGCCACATTGTTTCTGCAGAGGGAGTTTCTGTGGATCCGGCTAAGATTGAGGCTATCAGAGATTGGCCTAGACCTAGTAGTGCCACCGAGATCAGGAGTTTTCTGGGTTTGGCAGGATACTACAGGAGGTTCGTCAAGGGGTTTGCTACCATGGCGCAGCCGATGACGAAGTTGACCGGGAAGGATGTCCCGTTTGTTTGGTCAGCTGAGTGTGAGGAGAGCTTTAGTCAGCTCAAGGAGATGTTGACTACTACACCAGTGTTGGCGTTACCCGAGCCAGGGAAGCCTTACATGGTGTATACAGATGCTTCAGGCATTGGTCTTGGTTGTGTGCTGATGCAGGAGGGCAGAGTGATAGCATATGCTTCGAGACAGTGGCAGGGCAGTGAGCGTAACCGTCCTACACATGACTTAGAGTTGGGAGCAGTGATCTTCGCGTTGAAGATTTGGAGGTCTTACTTGCTAGGTGAGACAGTACAGGTCTTCACGGATCACAAGAGTTTGCAGCATATCTTCACTCAGCCGATGATGAACGCGAGACAGACGCGCTGGGTTGAGTTCTTGGCGGACTATCAGGTGAGCATTAACTACCATCCGGGCAAGGCTAACCTAGTGGCGGACGCGTTGAGTAGACGGAGGTATGATTCCGCAGTTGAGCGAGATGTGGAGTCTCTAGTTGGCGAGATCAGTACCTTGCGTTTGTGTGCCATTTCGCAGGAGCCTTTGGGTTTAGAGGCAGTGGATCAGGCGGATCTACTTAGCAGGATCAGAGTTGCTCAGCAGAGTGATCAGAGTTTGCTAGATGCGACGAGAGTGACTGGTTCTGAGTATGAGGTCTCTGCGAATGGGACTATCTTGGTTCGTGGGCGAGTTTGTGTGCCTAAGGATGTGGAGTTGAGACATCAGATTTTGGGAGAGGCTCATGCGAGCAAGTTTTCCATTCATCCGGGAGCGACCAAGATGTACCATGACCTCAAGAGGTACTATCATTGGGTCGGGATGAAGAGGGATGTAGCAGACTGGGTTGCGAAGTGCAACACTTGTGCCTTGGTGAAGGCAGAGCATCAGGTTCCGGGTGGTCTTTTGCAGAGTTTACCCATTCCAGAGTGGAAGTGGGACAGGATTACGATGGATTTCGTGGTTGGACTACCTGTTTCGAGGACTTTTGATGTGGATTTGACTGTTTCTTGGCCATCAAGAAGACAGATGGATTGTGGCTAGGAAGTTTGTGCGAGAGATTGTGAGGCTGCATGGAGTGCCAGCTAGTATTGTGTCAGACCGTGATCCCAGATTCACTTCAGAGTTTTGGAGAGCGTTTCAGGCAGAGATGGGCACTAAGGTGCATTTGAGTACAGCTTATCATCCGCAGACAGATGGTCAGTCAGAGAGGACTATTCAGACCTTGGAGGATTTGCTGAGGATGTGTGTGTTGGATTGGGGTGGCCATTGGGCAGATCACCTGAGCTTAGTTGAGTTTGCATACAACAACAACTTTCAGGCGAGTATTGGCATGGCTCCATTTGAGGCTTTGTATGGGAGGCCATGTAGGACACCCCTATGCTGGACCCAAGTGGGGGAGCGCAGCATGTATGGAGCTACTTATGTTCAGGAGACGACAGAGAAGGTCCGTGTTGTGAGGCTGAACATGAAGGAGGCTCAGGATAGGCAGAAGAGTTATGCAGATAGACGCAGACGAGAGCTTGAGTTTCAGGTTGGAGATAGAGTTTATCTCAAGATGGCTATGTTGAGGGGTCCTAACAGATCCATAGCAGAGAACAAGCTGAGTCCGCGTTTTATGGGTCCGTTTCCAGTAGTGGAGCGAGTTGGGCCATTAGCTTACAGGCTGGAGTTGCCTGAGATTATGAAAGCCTTTCACAAGGTTTTTCATGTGTCGATGCTGAGGAAGTGTCTTCACCCTACAGAGGAGTTAGTGGCTAGGATTCCAGAGGATCTTCAGCCAGATTTGACAGTGCCGGCAGTGCCTGTGAGGATTTTAGAGAGGAGGGAAAAGGTTCTGAGGAACAAGAGGATTCCCTTACTGAGGATTTTGTGGGATTGCAGTGGTTCTACAGAGGAGACTTGGGAGCCAGAGGCAAAGATGAAGTTGAAGTTCAGGAAGTGGTTCGACAAGCAGGTCGAGGAGTGAGCTTCTTTCATTTTTGTAGTTCCCAGTTGTTTTAGCTTTTGAGCTTTCTACTTATATTTTCGTTTGGGGTTTAACGATATACATTTTGGAGTTTTAATGAGATGCAGTTTTTCCTCATTTTGTCTTGTGTTGTGAAAATGGTGTTCGGATGTTACATGTTTGACCAATTTTGGTTGTGAGACGGTCTAATCTTATTGTTATAGACGTTTTCCAGAATTTTTACTCTAAGGATTGCGATCCTGAATAACTCATCATGTTTTTGGAGACTTTAGTTCTCTGGCAGACTCTCTGGGTGCAAGTAGACCTCAGTTGAGTGTAACTTATCTGGGTGCAAGTAGGCCTCATTATAAACGATTTCGGGTTCGTCTGGGTGCAAATAGGCCTCGGTACGGACCGATGTGGACATGTCTGAGTGCAAGTGGGCCTTAGTACAAGTGGTTTTGTGTGGTTTTGGATGATGAGTTAAGTGTGAAAATGTCTTGGAACGTGCTTATGACATAGGATTTGACGTGCGTCTCGGGGGATCAGGTCTGGATCTCCAGTGTTGCGGCCTTGCGAGGTCGAGTTTAGTGGTCTTTGTGACGTTCGGAGTTTGGATTCGAGGAAAAATCCAGTTTAGTAGGGGGAGAGTTGTAACATCCGTAAACAAAAAATGTGAAGTTTTGACACAAGCTTTGATTCGCAATTCCGGTTTAATTTGAGTGAAATCAGTTTCCGGTTTAGCTTGGTTTGGGTTGGAAACCTTGATTCTCAGGGTTAAAAACACACAGCCGCCGTTCTTCCTCCTCTTTTTGTCGTTTTGTGCACAAGAGTTGAAGGGAGAGGAGATTTAGGTGTGTGTGGTGGCTGCTGCGTGGTTTTTCATTGTTGTTCTTTGCCGTTCGTCGTTACTGTTGATCATCTCTTTCAATTTCTTCCCTTTTTCAATCCGAAATCGAGGTGAGTGCATGATTGTGGGTCCGTGATTACTAGAGCTTGGTTGTGTGATCGTTTCTGTGGTGATTTCGTGTTGGTATTGATGTTTGATTCGTTGTTTATGATGGATTGCTTGTTTACTGTGTTTTGGATACTGTTAACAGCCCGATTTGTGTATTTCCGGAGATGGTGTTGAGCAACACAAGTTTGTGTCGGTCGACACCATAAGATTTTGTGTAAAGTGATACAAATTGTGAGTCGGTCAACACAAACCGGTTATTTCCGGTTTAAACCGATTTAATTGGTTTAATTGAAATTGAGTGGTTTAATTGAATTAGAAATGATTTACTCGAATTAGATTGGTTTAATCTAGTATATAATTAATTATTGGTTATTTAATTAATTGAATGGTTTAAATTAATTATTTTAATTATAGAAAATTATTATTAAATAATGAGAATTATTATAATAATTATTTAATTGCGTAATTGATCCGTAGGCAGGATGATTGTCTTAAATACATCTCTTTCGCAATGTAATGCCGGTAAAATGTTTGTGATCGCGGAATCAAAGCTGAAGAGGAATTGATAGAATTGATTTGTTTTGTATGTATTTGAATTGGTAAATTGGTGTTTAGATTGCTAGATTTAATTATTGCTTTTTGCTTCCATAGAATGATATTGTTATCTGATTTATTTATTTAATTTATTTTTAAAAGCTTCACTAGACTTGTTAGGATTTCAAAAAAGAAAGTGTTGATTGTTTCAGAATCCGTGAAGAAATCGGATATCTGGCTCCGATCCGAATCAAATTTTCTATTCATTAATTTTAAATTTGAATTTTAAAATAAAGTGATAAAATGATCAGTAAGTTTTTTAGTATAAAATGGTGGGTTTTTATCGGTTTTTTTTAACCGAATACCCAATCATACCCGAAAATCTGCAAAATAAACTAATTTTTTTGTTTTTACTTTGTATTCTACTAAAATGTTTTGAATTTCTTAAATATTTTGGTTATTTTATTCTAAATATAGTTGTTATATATATTAGATTTACAGTTGTAATTTTAGTTATTTTTGATTTTTTAAAATCTAAATATAACTAATATTTTAGGTATATAATTATATTTTGAATATTTCGAGTATTCATTTCGTTCTCGGTTTGGTTCCAGTTCGAGTTTGGTTTTTTAGTATAAATTTTTTGGACCTATCAGATATTTGTGTCGGTTCCTGTCGGTTCAGTTCCATCTATTTTGGGTAAGGTTCGATTGAGAATTGATCCGATTGATCTTATTGATTTTTGAGTTAACCATGGATTGATCCGGTTCGGATTCTAGATAAATCAGAACCAAATTGATTTGAAAATGTCTTTTTTTCGAATTAAGAATTAAACCGATAGAATACCAACCAATTTTAGATTTCAAGAAATTTCAATGTTACATTTCTTTTCTTGTTAAATTTTATTTGTTATTTTACTAATCTCTTGCGTCTTTCTCTTTGTTAAAGTTGTGATGCTTTGTGGTTTTAGATTTGGTTTGTGTTGTATTTAATTTGTAATGTGTTGTCATTACACATAAAAAATGCTCAAAATCTACTGCAAATTCAAACAACAAAAACTAAACTCAAAACAAAAAAAGCCAAAAACCAAAAATACTCAAACATTAATAGCCATGTTCTTGTTTCATTTCTCAATACATATCATATCAAACAAGAGAGAGAGAGAGAGTCTGAGAAACATCAACGAGTTTTCTATTCAACCACATTCTCAAAGTACAGTCCATGCATGTAGCTTACCATCTCTGCCACCGCTGAACAGAAATCCCCTTGTAGCAGTCCAAGTGTCGATGGTAGATGTAGACAATATACTTCCTCTTAATCCAAACCTGTGTCACACAATAAATAAAATAATCAAACATTCAAAATGATAGTACAGTGGACTATGATGATTACAATACAATATACAGTAGTTCACTTACGTGTCTCGGTCGTATACATTGGCAATTCCATTTTGGGCCGAACACAATATGACTGGTCTATTGTCAAAGTCACGGAATCCCCAAAGAGCATGTAGACTCTGTTTCCAAACACAAAAAATTGATTAGTTATAAATATTAAAAAAAAAAAAGAATTATAACTAAAAGTTTGTAGTTAAATAAATGGAAAGTTCTTTATCAAAAAAAAAAAATAAATAAATGGAAAGTTTGGAACTTACGTTTCTCTCGGTGTGGGATTTATCATAAATCCATCTCCTTCCCTCATTGACAAAAGCCATAATTGTACCATCGAGTGAGCAAGAGAACAAAAACTTGTCCCAAATTAAAAGAGATGTTACAGCATCGGTGTGTGGTGTCAAGCTCGCCGTACAGATTAAGGACGGGAGACTCCAAACCTGAATAAGAGTTTTTATAATATTGTAATTTGTAAAGCATGTTGGAAAATAAATATTAATAACACTTTCTGGAGAAACAAATAAAAATAAGCACTTACTTTTATCAAACCGTCCCCATAGGCTGAAAACACAGTCATCTCTTTAGACGCCAAGCACGTCACTCGACTCTGAGCTGCTGGCAGACTTCCGAGGTAAGAGAGACCTGAAGGCGTTGTGCCATCTTGTCTCCAAAAAACAATGCTACCATAAATTGTCCCAGAAAAAAGAAGCTCGTTGGCAAAGACGAGAGCTGTGACAAGCCCAAGTGAATCATTCTCATCGTTGGTTAGAGGCTTAGTTAGGAAACTTTGATTGGATTCGTCGTGATAAATCTGCAAGTTAATAGAGCAATTGAAATTCTTAAGCCCACAAATACCAATCTAAAGCTCACAAATACCATTTACTAAAGCCTACAAATACCAATCTAAAGCTCACAAATACCATTACCTGAATGCCATTTCTCAAGCCCACAAAAACCAAACTTTCAGTTGTGAAGAGACAGCCGATTTCTCCTCTAAAATCTTGACTTCTTAGCAAAGAAAAGCTTGGAATCCTGAATATCTGAAGAATCCCGTCCCTGCTTGCTGAAAATAGATTGTCTGAATTCTTTGGAACACAAATACCCACAATATCCTGCATCAAACAATAGAGGTATGTCACTGATTTCTGATGTATATGTATAAAACAGTAACATTAACCTAAAACTAACCTTTTGATGTCCTCTAAGTTCAATTTTCCATGCTAATTTGGGAGACGTGGACGAGTTGAAGTGAGCTTGTATAGGAAGTACTAACTCTTTGATTTCTCTAGGCCTCACCTTGGACACTTTTAACATCTCCAAAAGAACAACAATTGCCCACATAACAGTTCTGAAATCTTCTATGGTCTCAGGAAACTTAATGAAGAGATAAACAGAGAGAGCCATGATGCTGTCTGCTAACCCAAGATCTTCAACACGAACTATTTTCATAATTGCCGTGACATTAAGGAACACAAAAGAAAAGAATCCGATGGAGTACCAATCTTTGTCTTGATGCTCTTCCACAAGTGCAGTCAAATAAACAAACCCCGCCAAAACCAAGATCATACCTCCTGCCTTCAGTATAAACAGAGATGCTCGAAAATATATCCTTGCTCTCTCTTTAAATCCAAGAAACTGATCATTCACTTGCCTTTGAAGGTAAAGGGCCGTGAAATCTCCAACGGAAAGAACACTGATGCAAATTATCATGTAGTTTGATTTCCTCATGGTGTCCATGCTGCAAAAGGCAGCGCCTATGGTAGCCAGAAACCCCAATACACTAAGTGTGTATCTGTAAGACAGACCCTTTTGTATAAGTCGACCAATCTTCCTCATAATCAAGTCAATTATGTGCAAGAGCATGAAAAGCAGCCATCCCCATCCTTGGTTGGTAAGATCTGGAAGAGGAGTTGAAACATCGAGCGAGTGTACGTGCATCTTTCTATTGCTCCTTCACAATTTAATTAAGAAAAAGATTCAGAACAATCACAAACTAATGCAACACAGATTCAAATAAACCCAGAAACGCACAAAATGGGAAAAGCAGATTCATAACACTCAATCGGAAAAGGATAATCAGAAGAATAAAGCATTGCAAGTTTGCAACTTTATCGAAGCAGTGAAGTGTAATTCCTCTAACATCTAGCAACCAGAAACGCACGAAATAATCTGAAAACAAGGTGTAATCTTTTGCGTTTAGTTGCCTTTTATCCTTTTATCCTCAAACATTGCGTCTCCAAAGAATCATTCCCGTGAAGAAAAGAAAACAAGCCAGAAACGCACAAACTAAAGAAAGAATGTGAAAAGCAGATTCATAACACTAACGGATTGAAAATCAATCAACCAGAAATGCACTAACTCAATCGGAAAAGCATCAATAGAAGAATCAAGTATATCTATAACCAGAAACGCACGAGCTAATGAAATAATCGTAAATCCAGATTCATAACACGCAAGTAGTTGATCGGTAAAGCAGATTTGAGAATTTTACCTCTTCGCCTAAGAGAAAACCTCTCACGCACTCTCTCGCAGAAAGAAGAAAAAGCAGCTCTCTCTCTCTCTCTCTCTCTCTCTCTCTCTCTGTAACTCCTCTTTCTATTATTCACGCACTCTCTCGCAGAGGAAGAAGAAGCATCAGCTCTCGGTCACTCACACGCTTGCAGAGGAAGAAAAGTTGAGGTTTGACTCGGAGAGTGAGAATCTATTGACCCCAACGGATTTTGTTTTATTCGTTTTATTAAGAAAAACAAATAAAGTGTGGCCAAACTTTTTCGGTTATGAACATTACTAGCACATGCATAATCATTATTTAACGGATTTAGTAAATGAGAAAATTAATCATTACAATTTAAAACAAATTTAAATATTGAATTTAAAAGAATCTTTTTTTAAAAGAGAAATAGTTAGGAAAATAAGCTCCTATGACAATAAAAAAAAAATATAAAATTAAGGAACTATATCCATGTTAAAGCCGTATTGTGTGTATAATGTGTAGTATGACAAAATTATCTCATCATCCACAATAATCAGATCCATATCTCCCTCTTACCCGTACTGGAAAGAATAATGCAAGTGAATAAGCGATATCATATTTTTTAATTTTCACAGGCTCACAGCAAACTATAAAAATATGTAACAATTAAAAACAAAAAAAGACGATAGTTTTCAGTATTACATCAAAGAATTTAACCAAATATGTAACAATCAAATTTAACCAAATATAGAGTTTTACTGTTTTAGCGAAACACTGCATCGTTGATAACTTGATAAATAAAACACATATTTTTGGGATAGTTTTTAGTAACTGGTGACCAAGTTGTCCAGTGCTCACTCATGTGATGCTAGCTATAACTTTTTTGAATTTTATGACTGTTTTTTAACAAGGACATTATACGAATGTCAAATGCAAAAATCTGTTTCGAATGTTTGGAGTGCGTGTGTTCTTCTTCATTGTTAGTCTCTACTTGTTCATCCTATGTTGTAATTATGAATTTAACTTCATAATCGTCCCAATTAAAGTATTTGACAAATATTGTTTGCCAGTCTGGTGTCTTTACAACCAAAGCCGGAGCAAGGAAAATATATATTTTGGGGCTCATTTCAACGAAATCCTTTACTAGTCTAGTGGTGAGCATCCTTAGCAGGGGACTTTAAGATGTTGAGTTCAACCCACCCCTGACTCAAAATCGTTTTTTTGTCCTTTTACAACAAGAGCCGGAGCGACACGTCAGCGCTGGAAGAGATGGCCACGTGGCTTTCTCACAGCAGAGTATTCCATCTTTTAGTCAATCAATCGAATCGACGCTGCTTCATATTCCAATCTTCTCGCCTTTTGTCTTTTCTCTCTCTCCTCCGCCAAATCTCATCTTCTCCGGCAAATCTCGCCGCTTCAACCCTAAATCGGATGTCGCCTCCAACACCATTTCCTTTCCATCGAAATTCATCGACGCTCATTCAGAATTTTCTTCGAGGATTATTATTTTTTAACTTCACCCATCGCTTTTATCTCTTCTATCTCTCCTCCGCCAAATCAGTTCTTCTCCGGCACCACTCATCCGCTATTCACATCGCCCAGGTACCAATCTAATCCTGCCTTTTCTCAGCTACAATGGAACCATTTTGATTTCCCAGCTCATTTCCCACCTGCATTTCCATTTTACTAACACGTCGCTATGTTAGATTACTAAGAAAATCGCTCTTAATCACCGCCATGTTCTCGAAATACACTCTAGGTTCGATTTTTTAATTGCTTTCTCGTCTGCTGATAGCTGGATACAGTTTCAGGTTAGTGAGCCGGGAAAATGGGGATATTCAGCTGATTCGAAGAGAGTGCTGGCTCACTTTTTTGGAACACAACAGATGTCAGTTCTCCTCCCCTTTACCTCTACTCTCTCTATTATCTATTTACTTACGGCCGGTCGTACTCCGCGGCTGAATGCTGAGATTGTAGTTTCAATGTTTGTTCTTTTCCTCACTAACGTTCCCCTTCTCACATTCTTTCACTTTATTGCAATCGCATCCTTTAGATGGTTGGAATAGTTTATTTATGCTCTCCTTTGGAAACTATTCTCCTCTGAGAATTATTCTTCTGTCTAACCATATGGAGTTGGTGACATCTTGATGTTATTTTATATATGCAGAGCTTTCTGCAGTCCTGCCGATGTTGAACCATTTACGGAGGAGAAGAAGCAATCACTATTGACAAAGCCTCCGGCTCCATTTCAGATTTTGTTCGTGCTGTGAAGGAGATTATAGAGAGAAGCTGAAGCAGCAAGAGCAAGCTGGTAATCTCAAATCTGCTGACGAAACCACTCGTGGGAATGCTGGGAGTATTACACTGCTGCCTCAGGTCAGTCATCCAACTGAGACAAGTCTTCACAAGCAAAATCTGGGATTCATTTTTAAAACATATGGGTTTATATATTTGTTATCTCGTGTTTTATTTCAGTTTCATCTCCACATACCTTCTTTCTGCTTACGCTCTTCTTCATCGGTTAAACAATACAATGGCTCTCTTCCATTTTAACAATCGGTGTGTATAAAAAAGTTTTTCCTACGCTAATGTCTAACCAAAGACTTTCAACCGGTTTTTATTCTTATAAACATTTCATAGCTCCATTTCTCAGCTACAATGGAAGCTTTTAGATTTCCATGCTCATTTCCCACCGGCTTTTGCATTTTCCTAACACTTCGTTATGTTAGATTCCTAAGAAAATCAATTTTAATCACCCGCGCATTGTTTATTATTTTTCAGCAGATTTGATTATGTTTCTCTCCGATTACTGTTAAGAGATTGACAATACCTAAGTCGATTTAGGTAATTACCCTTATTTCAACAATGTACTTTCTTAAGGAGGCTTAATCTGAATAATTGTGGTATTGATAGTTCAATGTTCTGTGTGTATTGGTCGATGCATTATCAGTAGCTATACGAGACAGACATGTAGAAGCTATATTCATTGTTTACGTTCTTCAAGTCTACAAGTTGTTCCTCAATTATTATTTATATATGAATACGTTTGTTTCTGTACCTAACACAAATTTTGGATTGTGCCTGTGATTAGTTGGATGATGGTTCAAGATCCTAGGAAACCAAAACACGTTGACGCCCTATTTCTGCAACCTAGGCAGTCAGCTGTAGACAGACCCGTTGAGCCATCATCGAGATCAGCTTCTACAACCTTCACTGGACCTACTCGATTGTTGTCTCGCGAAACAGTTTCCTCTTCTCCTAAGTAGGAAAAGCAAGAACAGCCTCAAGTGGTTATGCACACCATCACTTTCTGGATCAACAGTTTCACCGTCGATGATGCTCCCTTAAGGAGGTTTGATGACCCCGAAAACAGAGCCTCAAGTGGAGGTATTATCCAAAGCATATTAGTTGTAATACCAAGCTCTGTGTCATTGATATAGTTTCTTCTCAAGCCTAGGATTCATTTATAAAACATATGGCTTTATATTTCATATTCATAGGTAAAAGCTACCTCTTGGAGCCAAATTTAGGATAAAACTTTATTAGCTTTTATGTGCAATGACAATGTTTCCATATATATTTCAGAGGTTTGGAGCATTCTTGGCTCCTTTGACCTCTGGCCGCCTCACTATTGCGTCAATTGCAATTTAATATGCAAAGGTACAACTTTTTATTCCTTTCATTTTCATCTTTTTAATAAACTTTTGTGAGATATTATCAACCTGACTGTTTCAAGGAATAAATGTCACTGATTATGATTTTTACTATGGCAGGTCGGTTTAGCTACTGCGATAAGGTACTCACTATCGAGAAGAGCCTTCACTGCTGCAGCCAATGGTCCTGAAGTCCTCCTCCTTCACTACCCGAGTCATCAGAGGCGATTGCTACCACTCCTACCAAAGACGTAAGAATCTTTATGACCATTATGCTTTCCCTCTCGGTTTCTAAATCTTTCCACTAAATTAATAATACCCAGAAGCTTGAATATATCATCAATTCTGTTTCACTCAACTGAGCTTAAGCTTCTCCTCCATTGATTCAGTGACATTAACCAGTTTTGTTTTTACTTGGTTTATGTTTTGTTTTTAACCAGTCTAGACGATCCTCCTCATATCTAATGCAATCTTTGACCTCTATAGTCAACAACGATGCAGGCCTTCATATCAGCCAATAGACTTCACGGGTACAAAGACGCCTTCAAATCGAACACAATATACAGGCTCAAGAAGTTCATGATCAATCCCTCCAAAACTCTTTACAAGGTGACATCCCACAAATACGGCATCTGCTTCACTGATCAGACCACCTTTCTTGAGGAAACCGAAGGGGTTCATGAAATCGACTCCCACCACTTTAGGCTAGGACTTTTCTCTCCTTGCTGACACCGGAGTCGACCTGTTCGGTAACTACGTTTCTTATGTTTTGTCAATATATCCCCTTTCTTGATTTGTATCTTTGACCAAGTTTTCTCCATCAAACATTTATGGTTTAACATATACATGGAATTGTTACACTGTTTTCGTTATATATTAAAGAATTACATTGAGTTCATGGTAATTAGTTATGATTTCATGATTTCAACTCTGTACAATCTCTGAGTTAATTATTTTGGATTGGTTCGTTCATTTTGGAGATTTTGGATGTACACTGGTGAAGAAAAAAAATGTGGACAAGGATTTCGTTAGTGTCTGTGTCCAGTTTAAATCTTTTGGTATTTCCTGAAAATTTCCTAAAGATATGTGGGCAGATCAAGGATTAGATTTCATTGCTGGAGGATTGGATACAGTCAAGAATATCGCTAAGGAGGCTCGCTGATACAGATATATGCATGATTGTGTGGTTTGAACCTTTGTATCCATTTCATCCACGAGTGGTTCTTCTCTGCTAGGTGTCAGTTTTTTCATTTGTCCAATGCAAATTAATCCAGAAATTCAGAAGTTGAGTATACTTTCAAAAATTTGTTTGATCACAAAATCATAATTGGACAAGTATTTCTCATGTATCAAAATCCTTACGTTTCAGTTTTGTATGTTCTTCTAGGTGACAGGGACGATGCAGGATGAAGAAGATGAGTTTGTTAGTGTTCTTAAGGTTAGTTTAAAAGACAACTGGGTAGGCAATCTTGGGATTGGGTATTCGTTATCTTCCTACCATAGCTTTATTCGAATTTTCTTACTTTTTGTTTGTGTTACCTTGGGTTAATTTTTCCCAATTGCAGCGTAACACATACCCTATACTGTTTGAGATTCTTCTCTCCACACCTGCTTGCATCTATAGGAATTTTAGAGCGCAATCTATTATTGGGCACTTGAAATTCTGGTTTTTGATGACAAGGGATAATGTTTCCCTTTAAATTTCAGTGCTTCCGTGATTTTGTTATATTGATCTGTTAGATAGATGTTATTTGTTTTGCATTGAGAATTGGAGGATAACCAGATGTTCATACTTCTAATAAGAATATTATTTTCAGCTGGGAGAACAATATAAACGTTGGTAAAATATTTCATCCGAGAAACGAGTAAAGCAGATAAAACTGTTAAGACTGCCCTTCAAAGATATACAAGTTGCTCCACAAAAGTGACAACCAAATATCAGAGTATCAGAGTAATTTAAATTGTAATGGGGGCTGGCATAGATGTCTGCGTCCTTGGCGTAGTCTGTAACTTCTTATGTGAAGCTAATGAGTTATTTAGATTGGGATGCAATAGAGAACGAAGTGTAGATAAGTTCTTTGATTAATAATTTGTATTTTAGTAATTTTATGGGTAAAGGTTATAGAGCTCGAGAACAACGAACAGTGTTTTTAGAAGCCGAGTTAACTTGAAAGAACAATAATAACTTTTTTATTTGTTGGTTGAGAGAAAGAGATTAATTGATATACACTATTGCGTAAGTTTTTATTTATTTATGTTAGTGTTTTAAATTTTAAATTGCAAGAAGAAGATAACCTTAGCCATATCAACAATCACACCACCTGCAGCAGGATATAGTTTGATTTACTAAAAGAGAACCTTCTACACGTACTGAATTCAATAGAAGACCAACTGGTTGAGGAGAAGATCAGGCAAGCAATCCCGTGGGCTACAGCAGGAAGAAAGTCATAATTGGAATACATTAAACCAAGCGCCTACACAATACGCTAGGTTCAATGCGTTGGAAAATAATTGGCATCTTCCACGGTTGGGTTTAGTGAAGTGTAATGCCAATGCAAACTGGCGTAACAACCATCTACATAGCGGTGGAGCTTGGATTGCACGGGACGGCGGGACCATAGAGGATCAGTCTTGTTTCATGCACGAGAAGCCTTCACTCACTCCCCGGATCGACTAACGGCTGAACTACGGTATATTATATGGACTCTACAAAGTCTCCGAGACCTGCATATTCCGAACACAACCATCGCAACATGCCTTATAGCAGCAGTCGAAGCCCCTCACAAAACCAAGGGACTGGCCACGGTACCGCTCTTTCACCGATCACATCTTTAGACTATGTGGAGGTTTCGAGAGATGCGAGTTTGATTTGGAAAAGACATCAGCAAATTTGGTAGATCTCATCAAGTGTGACAAAGTATGGCATATTTCAGTCTTATTTAGCGCTTCGATGTCGGGCTTGACTATACAATCGTTTGGGAATCTGGTCGAAGCTTTTAGTTCTTTTTACATTGTTAACATCTTTTCCTCCTTAGCAGTAGGAGGTTGATGTGGTTTATTTTTCAGCTTTCATACTCTCCTCTGTTTCCACATTACTGGTTTTCTTACAATCAAAGTTTTTGGACGATCAAAAAAAAAGAAAAAAAAGAAGCGGAGTCATTAGTTGTATTGAATAAAAAGCTCAGTCATAACATAAATCAACATTTCTTAGCTGGTGTTTTAAATTATTAGAAGCTGAGTCATAATATAAATCAACATTTTTTAAAAAATATATGGAAAATAACCCAAGTTTAATTGATGCAAAATATCAAAAACGCTAAATACGATTAAATTGTCCAGTAAAACGCTAAAATTAAACTCACACAAACCCTAGAAACAAAAAATGACCTTTGAAGAGACATTAAAACCCAAGAAAAGAAAACACTTAAAGATATAAGTACCCAAATTTTATTACGCATGGGATTTCGGGCTTCGGCTATCATTCGGTTTTGTGTTGGCTTTTTTAGATTTCGGTTGGGTTTAAACATATAGAAACCGATCAAATATTTATAAATTTCTGGCCATATTTGGGTTGGGTATTTTTGGGTTCGATTCGGTTTTTGGGATGTACATCAAGGGTCTAAATGGTAACCGCTAAATGTTGCTGAATGCGAAATCTGGTTGAATAAAATGAAGATTTTTTGCAGAATCTGGCTGAATAGTTTGTAATATGAATGGTAACAACTGAATGTTGCTGAATGTTGAATGCAGAATAAAACCTAACAAATTATTTATTAACAGAAAAAATATATTTACCCAGTTAAATTAAATAAAAAAGTAAAACATATAAAATAATTAAATAATATTGGGCAAATTTTTAAAATACACCTTTTAAGTTGTCTATTTTCAAAACTACATTTCTAGATTGTTAATTTTCAAAATTACATTTTTCATCATGAAATGAAATAACTTTTAACCCTAAACTATAAACTTCAAATCCTAAAATCTAAAGTCTAAACCCTATATATAATCCATAAACCCCAAAATTTAAATTTTAATCTACGATTAGTTAACCCAAATGTTAAATTTAGAAAATATAATTTTGAAAATTAACACTAGAGATGTAGTTTTGAAAATAGACACCCCAAAATTATATTTCTTAAAATTATTTGAAAAAAAATTATTTACAGTACATATAAAAATAAGAATTTAGATTCATAATAATATATTAATCATCAAAGAAAAGTATACATTTTAGAATTATAATATTTTTCTATGATCAATTCATTAATAAAACTTATAAATAGTCATGTAAAAGAAAAAGGTAAAAAATCTGTGACTTTTGTTTTTCTGTGACTTTTGTCCTCTTGTTACCCATTCTACAATTCCACAATTATGTAACTGGTAAGTGATTAATTTTTTTGAGTGGAATTCCTCAACATTCCACAAATCTCTTGTTACCAGTTAGGGCCCAAATCTGAAAAAAATTGAATTGTTCTTTGGTTGTGTAAATTTGGGATTCTCGGTTTATTGTCACCTTTTCTATTTTCTATTTTTTTTGGTCGAAATTTTTTCCAATGTTTTTAAAATCAGATCGAAAGGCGAACCACTGTGTGACTTTCATATTTCTAAATCAACTCAAAATCTAAGATAACTGATTAAGTAATTGAATAGGGTAGAGTTTCACATATCTTAAACTTAATAACATTCACACAACTCTATCAAATCTATGTATGATGTAGGAATTGCAAACCATAAGTTTTATAAGAGAGGAAATAGATCCCATAATAAAATCGTCACTGGTGGAAAAAAGAAAGACTCGAGAAACTAAATAAATACTGCATTGGAGAGACTATTATTTAACCTTTTTTTGCTAAATAAGTAAATAAGAAAAAGTAACAACACCACCCGCGCGTAGCGCGGGCTTTCTCCTAGTTGTTATATATTTTCGGCCGCAATACTAACGAAATCATTTACCATCCTAGTGGTTAGCTGCCTTAGACCATCTCCAACCCCTCATGCCATATGTTATTGCAAATGGCAAAAATATAGCAATAGCATTGGGTTTCTCTCCAACCCCTCATGCCATATATCATGCTATAATTTTTTTCCAACTTATTATTAATTGTTAAAACTACTTGATTTCTTCAAATTTTACAAAGTGAATCATTTGTTTTTCTTTTTTTGCAAAAACAACCAGAATTATATTTTTTATTTTTTATTATTATAATATTAAAACAAAATACATCATATTACATAAAAATTATAGAAAACAAAGATTTTAACCTATTGTTTTATGTTTTTTGAATTTCAGTATTTTTAAAAATAAAATTTTAAGTTTATTATGGTTATGTTTTTATATTTCTATGAAATAAATATTATTTATATTTTGAAAAAGTTATGAGTATTGTTTATTTATTTAAATAAATCATAATCAATATAATTAAACTGTTAAATTAAAAGTAATTACAAATTGAAGGACTATTTTATAAATATAATCATAATCAATATGAATTTCATCCAGATACATCCACTTTTTTCAGATTCATTTTGCCCAACTGCTTATAATATGAGACAGAGAGAGTATAATTTAACGAAACATTAACGAAATCCTTGACTAGCCTAGTAGTAAGCATCCTTATACTTTATGAAGCTGAGTTTGTCCCTCCTTTGATACAGAAATGTTTTTTTTGTCCTCTGCTTGTGGTCCTGATATAACATATACTCTCTCTGTCCCATAATATAAGCTGTTTTAGCTTATAAATTTTGTTCCACAATATAAGCAGTTTTGATATTTCAATACACTTTTACTTTATGGAAAACTGTGTGACCATTTATATTTTGCAATTGTTTTTTATGATTGATTGGATTATATTTAATCTATATATTAAATGATACTTTTTGAAACAAAACAATTTTCTTAATTCTTGTGTTTAACAGCTTATAATATGGGACATAGGGAGTATATATATATATATATATTGTTTAGGGCGCATTTAACGAAATCCTTTACCAGCCTAGTGGTAACCAACCTTATCAGGGTACTTTAGGAAGCTGAGTTCGATCCTTCCTTCATACAGAATTGTTTTTTTTGTCCTTTGCATGTGGCTCTGTTACAACTATATATATATGTTCAGCGAAAATTTTAATGAAATTCTTTACTAGCCTAGTGGCAAGCATCCTAAATCAAGGGACCTTAGGGTTCTGAGTTCAACCTTCCCTTGATACAGAATAGATTTTTTGTCCTTTGCTTGTGGCTCTGTTATGAGTATAGATATATGTTTGGGGATAATTTCAACGAGATCTTTTACTGGCCTAGTGGTAAGCATCCTAAATCAGGGGACTCTAGGATTCTGATTTCGACCCTCCCTTGATAAAGAATATATTTTTTGTCCTTTGCTTGTGGCTCTGTTATGACTATATATATATTTTCGCGGATAATTTTAACAAAATCCTTTACTAGCCTACTGATAAGCATCCTAATCAGGGGACTTTAGGAAGCGTTCGACCCTCCCTTGTACTTTATGTACCGAGTTCGACCCTCCCTTGATACATAATTGATTAATTGTTTTTTTGTCCTACAAAATGTCAGGGCCAGGCACCGGAGGATACGATTCAGGAAATTACAGAAATCTAGGATGGGTTTTTCACTACTGTGAACTCTCTCATTTCCGGCACCGGAGATTCCTCAGTCGAGCAAGAGTTCGTGTCTCATGTTTCTACTCTCTGCAAATACGGGCCGGCTTGATTCTCTTGTTGTGACCCCTTTCTCAGATCACTCGAGGTATTAAATTTTTCCTTTTTCTGGGCATTAAACTTTTAAGTTCAGATTTGAGTCTTACCTTAACGGATTAGCTTGTTCTAGGTATTATGTGCTCTGTTGTGAGATAGCAGGTGTAGTGTTCCAGTTGAAGAATGTTTATTCTTTTATGACATTTATATGTTGCAGCAAGCTTTTGAGAAGAGAGTTTTCGGCAACATTTTGATGCTTACAGCGAGAAGAAATTGGTTGGTACTTTGTTTGCTACAAGATTCTTAAATTGACTGTTTGCTTTATTTTTTTGCTATCGTAAGTTTTGACTAGAAATGGATGCTTTTGGGCAGAATTATGGAGAGGAGATTCAAGTGTTATGCAAGGCTTTGGAAGAAATTTCTGTAGAGAAGTGTCTGTCCATAGTTTAAACGAGTCAGCCGAGATGGATAGTATTGCCTGCCAGGTGTTCGATGAAATGACTCTGGTAAGAATAAGGGGAATAAAGAAGAGGAAGAAGAAGAGATGGAAGGCATCTTTGGAGATTCATGAGCGATTTGAGAAACATTCTCTTTCTGCAGAGAAAGAGAAGACATCTCATAGCTGTGGAGAGATGGGTTTGGCGTTAGTGGAAATCAGGGAAATGTCAACAAGGATATATACAACCGCCAAATGTTCAATAGATGGATGCTGTGGAGTTTTACAGAGAAGAAAAAAAGAGCCAACTGGGAGCATGACAGAAAGAGTATCAAGCACAACAGATACGCTCATCAATTGGTGGTTTATGCAAAGCCGTTTATGGTACACAAGGCAGTTTTGAACAAGCTACGGTGGAAGAAACATAAATTCAAACAGAAACACAACAAGCAGCAGGAAATGATCAAGACAAGGTTGTCAAGATACAAGCTGAAGGGTTTAGTGCTGTAGAAGAAGACGAGATTATCTGCCAAGATGAGTGCATATGCCTATAAAGAGGTTGCTGAAAGACGAGTGAGAAGAAAGAGAGATGTAGAATATGGTCAATTTAGGAGGTGTAAGTACAAGCCACGGGAAGGGGACCAACTCCACCTTCAGTCTCACATGAAGAGAGACTTCAAAAATCAAGGCATGAGGAGAATGAAAGGAGGTAAAAGAGTGAAGTGTTGCTGCATTGTGCTTGATGAACTGCTGTTGTGGGAAATTTTGTTGAAGAGGAAGAAGTCACAAATTGGAAATAATGTGGATTGTGGCCAAGTGACTGCTGAGGTGCTGTTCAGCAGGATTAAAAGAGCGAATTGGAAGAAGAAGCCATGGGAGGTGGTGAACAATACGCCCTGTTTGGCTGAGATGATGTTGCTGCCAGGAATTACAAGGAAGGGGATAGAAGCTTATGCACAGTCCAAGAAGATGAAACGAAATAATATGGTGATAAAGTTCTCTGCACTTTACTTCTACGCAGGTTATGGCTTTGTATTTTCAACAAGAGGCTCCAGTCTTGGTTTGTGCTCAGTTGGGAACCGGACCCTGTCGAGGCTGGTTCTTCAAATCGTTTCTACTGTGTTAGATCTAACTTTACCTTCTCTTATGTTGCTAATAGATACATTTTGGAGAAGCTAGTATGCAAAGATGTGAGATAATGCTCAACGACTTGGTTGATTCTAAGAGAGTGAACACTAACATTAAAAAGGCATCTAAAACAGGTTATGTTTCTGAATTCTTCTCAGTTTTACCTCTGCAACGTAGATTCTTGTTGTCTGACTCTTATCTTTGTCCATCACTCGTTTTTAGGCACTGAGTTAGGAGAGGGTGAGCTATCTATTGATACTCTTACCTCGACAATACTTTCAACAAACTTCTGGCCACCAATTCAGGTATTCATTTGTTCTTTCTTTCTGAGTTTTCATTCGTACAAATTTGAAGGTTATATAGACTATTGTGATTGCTTCCGTTCACTGAATTAGAGGAGGAATTTCAGGATGAGCCTCTAGAGCTACCTGGACCTGTTGACAAGCTGCTATCAGATTATGCCAATATATAATCAAGACTCCTCGTAAACTACTTTAGAAGAAAAATCTTGGCACTGTCAAGGTAGTTCTTGTGTAAATACTTAAGTAGTGATTAGTTCATGCTTTGTTTGGACTTTGGAGTATCAGAGAAAGAAGATGACAAATCACAAATGTATCTCTCTGAAATTGCTTTGGATGAATTCAGTTGGAGTTGCAATTTGAAGACAGAGCTATGCAGTTCACAGTCTCCCCTACACATGCAGCCATTATCATGCAATTTCAAGAAAAGAAAAGGTAGCTCCAAGAATCACTCAATATGTGGATATTTCATCTTCTAGTAAAACTGAAATCATGTAAATCTTTCAGTTGGACCTCTATAGATCTTGCTGCCGTCACTGGGATACCCCATTGACGCATTAAACCGAAGAGTAAACTTCTGGATAAGCAAGGTACATACTGTTGTAACTGTAGTCTTCTCTGCTTTAAACCATCCATTTGGAGGAAGAGCTAACTAACTTGGAAAGTTTATTATTGAACTTAGGGAGTTTTGAGAGAGTTTACAGGAACAGACTCAAATGCCAACGTGTATACGCTTGTTGAATCCATAACTGATTCTGGAAAGAACGAAAGCAAGAGCTCTTAGCAGGCGATGAAGAGAGTGAAAGATCCATCGCCTCTGTGGAAGACCAGCTTCGCAAAGAAATGACAATCTATGAGGTATGTGATGATGATGATGCTTAAGGGAAAATTTCATTGTACTCATCATGTGTCTGAAATAATCAAATCTAAACAAATTCTCAACAATATTTGTAGAAATTCGTAATGGGAATGCTCACAAATTTTGGTAGAACGAATCCACCACAACACTCTCAAGGTACAGTCAAAGCCATAAACCTCACTGGTTTTTAACAATGTTGTTATCTTGATTATTATGATCACTCTTTGCTCTGTTTTTTGCAGATGTTCTGTGTAGCCTATCCATCTTATGACAAGTGTCTGCAACAACTTCACAGCTTTCTCTCTGGTTTGGTCTCTGAAGAGAAACTAGAGTTTAGAGATGGAATGTATTTGTTAAAGAAGTAGAAAACTCTTTTACATGTTTTTGTTTACTGAGAGTAAATAGTTTTGTCTTGTATCTAAGTCCTCTGTTTTTTTTCTTTAATGAAATCTCTAACTTCAAAATATAAAAGTCCTGAGCCAAAAAGAAACAGTGCACCTAAGTGAAGTAATCACACAGATTGAACGACTCAGTGATGTATCATATCCTTCTTATTTGAGTTGCAGTGGAATGTTTAGTCAGGATTGATTACAGTTCCAATGGAATATGAGAAGTAATGGATTTAGTTCGTTCTTTGGATTATTGCAGCATTGTTGACAGTTAATGATGATGAGTTTTGGGAAGGAGTGTCTCCTGTGGAGTTTGGAGATTTACCAGATTTGCACAATGATGTAACTGTTGTTGGATTGGTGGTGATACAATCTCGGTAACGAGCGGTGTTGTTTCAAGTTTAACGTTTCTCCAACATTTTTTTGTGTAGTTAAAGACTACTGTTTATTTTTTTTTTTTTTTTTTTTTTTTTTTTTTTTTTTTGTCATCTGAAAATATATTAAAAACATCGACTGATACAAAGAGAAGCTTAGCATCGACAAAGGAAAAGCGTAGCTAAGAATTAAGTATTACACACATTAACACCAAAAACCATAAGGGCACCATAGCCAAACTACCAAAAAACCAACAGCACTAGATAGAGGCAAAGCTTTTCTCACTTTCAAATAAAGCATGAAGCCATTGAGGGTAGCTACCAGCTACATACGATTGCTAAAATCGATCCTTCAAAGCACTTTGAGCAATCAGAAAAGCACCTCTATTGGCTGCTCGTGACACAACTTCCACCTTCCAATTAGCTAACTTCACTAACGACCTGTTAAGCTCCCAAAAGTGAGCTTTAAAAGAAATCCACTCATGTGGTCTTCTCATTATACCCAAAATATCAGCCTCCTCCGCTGATATAATCACTTTATCAACCCTATGTAAAGTTAAACTCTCTAAGGACCAGAGCATACTCACCATTTTGGCCTCAAACAGACTTCCAATAGTAGAGAAGGATCTTCTACTATGAAGTAAAACAGTCCCTACATGGTTTCGTAAAACCCATGAGCACCATGCTACATTACTTCTTTTGTCCCACACCACTATTGTGTTACACTTCAACCAAGGCAGAGAAGGCAACTTCCAGTGATCCTTCTCTCCTTTTCTTCTAATCTCTTCCCTTCCATCAACTTCCCTGTTGACATGTTGAGACAGAAACCAAGACTTGACCTCCTTCAAAATTTTATCAATAGTAACATTAGCTCTGAAAATGACCCCTTCATAGATAAACTTGTTTCTGTTTTTCCATAGAAACCATAGGACCCAAGGGAAACATCGCCTTATAACCAGAGGAACTCTGATATTTTTGCTCATCATCATAAGGTAATGGATATTGACTTGGACCGATTCAACATGAAACCCATTTTCAGGAAATGGAAAATCTGTCATTGCCCAAATCTGGCGAGCTAGTGAACAAGTGAACAAGACATGGTTTGAGGACTCACCATCAAAACCGCAAATTTGACACTCAGCTTCAATCTTCATTCCTCTAGCTAAAATGTTATCAGCCACAGGGAGAGCATTTGACAGAACTCGCCACAAAAAAGTTTTAATCTTTGGAGCTGTTTGCAGAAACCAGACTTTCTCCTTAATTCCATTAAAAGAAGGTTGCACTTCAGCTTCCAACTGTACCTCTGTCTTGTTAAATTGACAAGCTAACCAATAGGCTGATCTTACAGAGAAATCACCATTTCTATTGAATTTCCAGGACCAGAAATCAGCTAAGTGAACCGCTGGTTTTATGCTCAAGATACGCTCCACATCTCCTTGGAAAAACTGATCTTCTAGCTTTGATCTGTCCCATGACCTTGTTTCCACTATGATAAGGTCACTAACCATAAGATCTAAGTTTATTAATGGGTGTTTCATCCATGGGCATCTTGTTCCATTGTCTTCGATCCAAGGATCAATCCATACTCGGATATCTTGTCCATCTCCCACCATTCGTTTCAGACCTTTTTTCAGCAGATTTCTCCCGAATAGGATGCTTCTCCAACCAAAGGAAGGTCTCGAACCAATAGTAGAGGATAAGAAACTATTTTCATTGAAATACCTGCTTTTTAAGAGACGAGAAAAAAGACAATCAGGTGACTGCAATAATCTCCACGCCTGTTTAGCCAGCAAGGCTTGGTTAAACCTTTCAATATCCTTAAAACCTAGTCCTCCCAACTTTTTTGATAAGCACATTTTCTCCCAGCTAACCCAATGAGTTTTCCTCTTGTGATCAACAGAATTCCACCAAAAATCAGCCATAGCTCCAGTCAGGTTTTTAATTGTCGATTTTGGCAACTTGAAGCATGACATTGCATAAACTGGCATCGCTAATGCTACTGCTTTCAGTAGAATTTCCTTCCCTCCATGAGAAAGAGAACGAGCAAACCATCCTGAAACCCTCGATTTTAGCCTATCTTGAATATAACCTAGTAGACTCGCTTTTGAACCACTAAAACATTCAGGAAGGCCTAAATAAGTGCCAGCTCCTCCTTCATTAAAAATTCCAAAAGTTTCTTTAATCTGAACCTTTATCGATGAATCCACCTTCGAGCCAAAGGTTATCGATGATTTCAAAAGGTTGATGACTTGCCCTGTAGCCTCTCCATAGACTTTTAAGATATCCTTTAATGTTCTTGATTCCGACGCAGAAGCTTTGCAGAGAAAGAGACTGTCATCCGCAAATAGCAAATGGTGAACTGAAGGTCCTGAAGGCGAGAAACAAACTCCTTGGATATCTCCTGATATTTCTGCTTTATTTAGAAGGTGAATGAGCCCTTCAGTACACAAAACAAACAAAGAGGGAGAAAGAGGGTCACCTTGGCGCAGTCCTCGAGAAGGAACAATGCGCTTTTGGGGATGATCATCAATCAGAACTGAGTAGGATACTGAAGTTACACAAAACATTATCCAATCAATCCATTGTTGGTGGAAACCCAAAGCTGTTAGAAGGCTTTTCACATAAGACCACTCAATTCTGTCGTATGCTTTTGACATATCAGACTTGATTGCCATAAACTCTTTTGAAATAGTCGGATGTGTTCTCAAAGCGTGAACTACTTCATGAGCAATTAAGATATTGTCTGAAATCAACCTTTCTGGAACAAAGGCTGACTGTGTTGGAGAAACTATTTCAGCAAGAAAAGGTTGCAGCCTTTTAACCAAGATGTTAGAAATGATTTTGTAGAAGACTGAGCAAAGGCTTATGGGTCTGAGATCACTCATCTCCTTCGCTTGAACTATCTTTGGGATAAGACATAAAAGAGTGTAGTTCCATTCATAAGGAAAACGGCCAGACCTGAAGAAATTTTTCACTTCTTTGAAAACCTCACTACCGATTATATCCCAATATTTCTGAAAAAAGAAACCTGTCATTCCATCTGCTCCAGGAGCACTTGACGGTTTGATGGCAAAGACGGCTTCCTTAATCTCTTCATTGGTGACCAATCTCGTTAGCTCATCATTCATCCTCTGAGTAACCCTTGGAACAAAGTCTTCAAAAATGTCTATGAAGGTGCTTGGATTTGAGGATGAGAAAAGATTTGTAAAATAGGTAGATGCTATAATACCTTTTGCAGCTTCTGATCTCTGTTCAACGCCATTAACATCAACCAAACCCTGAAGCCTTTTTCTCCCTCTATTCTCTTTTACAGAAGCATGAAAAAACTTGGTATTTTTGTCTTCCTCTTTTAACCAATTAGCCCGACTTTTTTGACTCCAAAAGGTTTCCTCTTCTCTGTAAGCTTCAGTTAAATCCTTTTTGAGAGAGAGTATTTTGTGTGTCACAGGCAGATTAGAAGACTGTTCTGTTTCAAGAGCAATCTGAAGATGGGTAATTTTGTCTCGAGAATTCAGAGAGTTTGTCTTTTTCCATAAACTTAAAGCTCTTCTGCATCTTTTTATTCTGTCAGAAACAGAACCTACTCTCCTACCATTGTTATGATTCCAGGCATTTTTAATCGCTTCCTTGACCAGAGGTTTATCAAACAGCCGTTTATCAAACTTGAAATTCCCTTTATATAACTCAGTAGACGAGAAGATCTTTGTTAACACCGGTCTATGATCTGAGTCACGCTTGTCAAGAAATACTTGATTTGACTCTGGATATCTCTTGTGCCATTCTTTGTTACCAAAACATCTATCCAGCTTACATTGAATCCAAGATGAACCTCTCATGCCTCCCCAAGTGAATGGATTACCACTGCTTGAGAGTTCCACCATTTCACACACACTCAATATATCATTGAAGTCAGAGAAATATGATTCACTTCTTTTTGGCCCTCCTATCTTTTCACCATTATGGCAAATGGCATTAAAATCTCCAAGAATGCACCAAGGATCAGTCCTTAGAATACCAGTTCTAGTCACACGTTCCCAGACTTTTGCACGATTCTGAAACAAAGGATCACCATATATACAGGATACAAATATACATACCTCACCAAACTGTACATGAAGATCGATGAGATTTTTATCTGCAAATTTAATATCAACAGACACTGACTGCTTCCAAAAAACTGCCAAACCACCACTTCTACCAACAGGATTAACTGTATATACACGATCATAACCCAGCCTAGTTAAAGACTACTGTTAATTTTATGAAAAGGAGTATGTTATACATTATTATTTCCATCATCACTTTGGTATTACTTATTCTCTATTACACCTTTGTTAGTTTGTGCCAAAGGTAACAACAACATTCAGGTTCTTATGTTACTATTCTGAAACAATTGTAAATCAGCAAGAGCCTAAGACAAACTCATTCTTCTTACATTTTATACTGATTTATAGTAGATTAAAAAGTGGAGCTCAAGAACTGAAGCGGATTAGATGCAATGGTCTTCAGAAGAAACCCTCTCACAAGTATATCAAGCTTTAGCTCTAATGGCGGCTTAATTTATCATCTGAGAAAGAGAGAGAACAAATTTTTTTTTTCCTTTGCAACATGATTACAATTAGGATCAGATAAGTTCATTTTGCCATATCCTCCATTACTAAATTACATTTTAGTGAGTTGTACGACTAATGTTACTTAGAATTCAATAGCTTTCATTAATTTGCACAGTGTATGTGTATGGGAACACCAATAAGCGAATTTCAATAAAAGACTAGCAAAGATGTTTGGATCTTTTCTTTATAAAGGTGCATGATCATGAACATGGTGCTTCATACGCATATTTATATTTAGTGCATTACACATGAATCAAAGCCCAAGAAAAAAAAAACACTAAACAGAAAAGCAAACATATGGTTCGAAAGATAAAAGCTAGACCGGGTCACTAGTCACTACGCCTGTTTCACCTTTGCAGTAGATTTGTAATACATAGCATACACTATTAGCTCCCAACCAAAGATCACTGCTCCAAGAACATTGCCTATCTATATACACCATTAAAATATCCAATCAATCTACAAATAAGAAAAATCAAAGTTGTTGAGTTAAAAGAAAAGAAGAATACTTACAAAGAGGTAGAGATGGAATTTGTGTATCATAGAGTAAGCAGTCCACATCAAACAGTCGATGAAAGGAAAACAAACTTCCCGAATCTGTATGTATTGACAGCTTGTCACCTCCAATGATACTATCTGTTGTTATTTCACACACAAATTTTATTAGATAGAAAACAGTTTGATCGTTACTGAGAGATGAGAAGAAGATAGTTGTACTTACGATGATATGCAAATGAACTAAAAACGCAAAAAGAATAGAGGAGATAAGGCAAATGACACCAATGAATGTTCCTTTAGCAGATGAGCTTTCAATTGCGAAGAGCGTAAAGAGAACAATCGCTACCACAAATGTGATCCTACCCAAAATACACAACGCAATGCTCCTCTGCACATCATCAATTAATTATTCAGTTTTCTTACTATTATGAATTTCTAAAGGATTAGAGATTAAAGAAAACATACACAGAGTTCTTTCTTGTGGCCATGGTAGATGAAGAAGATGGTTAAGTAGATAGATTTGACCCCCAAACCGAAGACACTAAGGGCTAAAATGAGGGTACTACATTTCTCATGAAGTTCATAGAACACCAACAGCATAAGGTGCATCACCGCGTTTACAAGGCGATAGAGTCTGGCTTCGCCCTCATAACTCAATTTATTGGACGTTACAAACTCAGGCCTGCATGTGTATTAGAATCCAGATATTCATAAGATCATATAAGCAACAAGAAAGAGAGAAAGAGGAAAAGGGATATTACACTGGGAAAGTCAAGCCATGGACGGTAATAACACTCCCTGCATCCAAGGGAGAATTTGTGCTAAGTACTTAAAGCTTTCTATATGCATATCGAATCTTTGAACAAAAAAAAAAAGCATATCGAATCAATCTAGATTAGCTACATGGCTATAGTATACAAAAAGAGATCCGCCACTAGCTAGAATCGATCGATCGGGAGCTCCACACACACAACACATAATAACAAAACCTAAATTGATCGGATTCACATCATACAACTACAATGAATCTTCACGGCATGAATCAGTAAAATTTACTTAGCATATCGATTTGTGAAAAGAGACAGAGAGAGAGAGAGAGAGATGGAGATCGTACCGATAATTCCGACGATATAACGAACTTGTATCAAGTCAATCATAGTGAAATCCAAGGACTGAGGCAAAGAGAGATTGGCGACGAGGAGTAAAAAGGAGAACGACAACAAGTAGAAGAAAACCAAATCGAAAAGGGGATTTAGATCGTTTGGGCTTTTCAATTTTTATTCCTTTGCACCGAAATCCCAAAGCCCAGCTTTCAATCTAGGGATGTTAAAACAAGAGAGCCCGACCGTTTAGGCCCGACCCGTTTACCCGCCAATACTGTTTGCGCCTGTTTAGATCTAACATTTTAAAAATATATATATTTTGAAATATTTGATCAGTATGGCTTGTTAGAGAAGAGAAACTCTCGGCTATGCATCAGAATTATGTGACGTCGTCAAGATATGGATAACGACGTACCACTGATAAGATTGATCAGACCAAAGTCTTGCCGCATAGGAGTTTTTTCATCCACGAGGATAAGAAGATGGATGTGTGTTCTAATTCGGCAGGCTTGGATAGGGGCATCAGTAATGTTGTCTACGTGATTGGAGAGGATGGTGAATAAAAAGGAATCCCCTTTGAAGAATCTGCAAACACATTACTGTGGGCTGTGGCCAAAATCAAACTCTTCTTCATCAAAATAAACCCCAAGAACCATTTGAGATTTCAGTGTATATTTGATGAAATTGAACATAAATGCCATATAGCTAAACTCATGGCCAATTATGCAGCTGGTTTATGAAGGATTTTCAGATTTTTTTATAAACTCTTGAAAACTCCATCAGATGACATTTGTAACTTATAGATTACTTCAAGTTTCTTTCAAATTAAAATTAATGTATACCAAAATAGTAATTTTTTGTTAAAAGATAATATATATATATATATATATATATTTTTTTTTTTTAAAACTCCGGAAAGGATTCATGAATGGAGGAGTTCCCTAAGATTCTTCAATCTGCTGAAAAAACCCTTTATTTCTTCTTTTTATGTATAGATTATGTTGTTATTAAAATGATCTTTAAATTAAAATATATAACATGATAGAATCCGTACGTAGCTTTGAACGTAACTACTCCCCATTCAACATTGACGGGTTTCATATATTAATCTTCTGAATGCAATAATTACATATTAATCTACACCAATGGGATGTTCGCGTTTCGGATATTCCATTAAGTAATCCAAAGTCGGTGCATTCTATAAATGAAACTTATCCTCATCTCTAATACAATATGCCTTATAACTAATAAAGGACTTAGAGATAAAATCAAAAGTTGTTATACCCACAGAAAGAATATTATACAATCAACATTCAATATAAAATGAATTAGACAGAAACGAACAAATGAAACAAACAAACCCAACATGCTCTTGCAGTCGTCAACGCGCGGAGCCAGCCAACAAAACGCGTTTCTCTAACAGTTTTGAATTCCTCGCAACGTTGTCGTTTTTATCCCATTACAATGTAGCCGGTTTCATTGACTTCAACCTCATCCTTTGACTCTTCTCAATCCATCTACTATAAGTGACTCACGTTCTCGTATCACTCCTCATGCATCTAAAACAAACTCAAAACACACTCGAGATCTTATCTAAACAGAAAACAACCAAAAAGGAAAAAAATGGGTTTTGTCCGATCATTATGCTCATTCATAGTCTTCTTTAGCTGTCTCGTATCGGCTTTTGGCCAAGGTACGAGGATCGGGTTCTACTCAACCACATGCCCTAATGCCGAGACGATTGTTAGGACCACCGTGACTTCTCATTTCGGTTCTGATCCAACGGTTGCACCCGGTTTACTGAGAATGCATAATCACGATTGCTTCGTCGAGGGTTGTGATGGTTCGGTGCTTATATCGGGACCAAACACTGAAAGAACCGCCGGTGCAAACTTTAACCTTCGTGGCTTTGAGGTCATTGACGATGCCAAGAGGCAGCTCGAGGTGGCGTGTCCTGGTGTTGTCTCTTGTGCCGATATTTTAGCCTTAGCGGCTCGTGATTCTATCACCCTCGTAAGTATACTCGTACAAATATCATACGTCACAAATTTCTCTAAATTCCAACTTTTGCTTTTGCGGAATTAATCTTTATTTTCTCATAAATGTTTTTATGCAAATTGAACGCCGAAATCAAATAGAGTTTGAAATAAGATTTGAATCTTGGTTAAAATACTAAAAGTTGTAAATTCGTTTGTAAGAAAGTATATATGTTCCTGCTACATTTTAAAACAAAATTTGGCATTTGAAACAATAGAGATTCTAACTAAAACATCTATCTATGAGATACTAATTAACACGTACGTTTTTGCATGTAGACGAAAGGACAGAGCTGGCAAGTCCCAACAGGACGTAGAGATGGACGAGTTTCTTTGGCAACAAACGTTAACAATCTTCCCTCTCCAAGTGACTCTTTCGCCATTCAACAAAGGAAATTCGCCGCTTTCCGTCTCAACACTCGTGACCTCGTTGCTCTCGTTGGTTAGTAATTTTTTAAAAAATTCAAGCCTCGAGATTTTGCATGTGATCCATCGTACATGTATTCATTAGTAGTTATAAGATTTGGATCGTAGAAATGACAACATATACCATGTTTTAATCAAATTGAATAAGGATCTATTATTTTATCAGGAGGACACACGATTGGAACAGCTGCATGTGGATTCTTCACAAACAGGATATTCAATTCGACCGGAAACACGGCAGATCCGACGATGGACCAAACGTTCGTACCACAACTTCAAAGACTTTGTCCCCAAAACGGGGACGCATCAAGACGCGTGGATCTTGACGCCGGAAGTGGCAATACTTTTGATACTTCCTTCTTCAACAACCTTAGCCGTGGCAGAGGAATTCTCCAATCTGATCATGTTCTTTGGACTACTCCGGCCACGAGATCGATAGTGCAAGAGTTTATGGCTTCTAGAGCTAACTTCAATGCTCAGTTTGCGAGGTCGATGGTTAAGATGAGTAATATTGGTGTGAAGACAGGGGCAAATGGAGAAATCCGTAGGGTTTGTTCGGCTGTTAATTAATTTTATTGGTTAAATTTTACGGCTATCTTTCTCCAAGTGTTTTGATTCGTTTATTATTAATTTCAATAATGTTGAAAATCAATTTAAAATAACCCAAAAGTGGGTTGTTATATTCTAATATACTATACAAGACCCGCGTATACGCGGGTTTATTTTAAGATTTTGTAATAAAATCATGGAAAAGTATTAAACCAAATTTGATCATTTTAAAGTAAACAGAATAATATTAAAAACCCGATAAAAATATTTAAATAAAATAAGATCGGTAACCTTTTTACGTTTTTATTGTAATTGATATTTTTTTTGAATTCATGATATGAAAAATGAATTAATTTGTTTTATTTTTATTTTTATCCAATATAGAAAGACTTATATATGTCTAAATATGATCAACTGATTAATTAATTCAACAAAACTTTATTATTCCATTCAAGAGATTTCAATTGATGAAATCTTTATTTAATAATTTTTTACCTAACAATATTGAAAATTAAACTATTTAAAATTAGAATATCGGTTCATTATATTTTCTTAATATTAGTTAGTTGTTGATGATGTCAAAAAAAATAGTTGCTTGATAATTAATTTGTTAGTTTTCTATTTATATTGTTTCTTTCTCAATTTTGTTTTTGACTCAGACCATTATAAATTTTCATTTTCATTATTAGTTAGTTTTTTTTTAATTATTTTTCTAGTTTTTAAAGGACTATAAAAACCATATACTGTATATCCCTAAAGTTTTTCCTTTTGTTGAGGAGATAAAAGAATAATATTTAGGGAAAGAGAAAGAGGTTTATTGAGAGGGAGACATCTCTTCCTCTATATAAGAAATTCTCATCTATCTTTTCTTTTTGTTCATCCAATGGAAACCCACCAGAGAAACAATAATAATATCCGATCTTTCACAGGATTTGGTAGAAGAGGTACTTTCTAGGATTCCAGCTAAAACTTTGGGAGTGATAATAGTTTCACCAAGAAGCACTTTGCTAAAGCACCAAGGGAGTTTCTCATGATCATGTTGAAGGACTATAAGCTTTACTCATTAAGCGTTAATCTCCATTATAAGCAACTTATAACAAATAATATTGTCGTGAAGAGAGAGAGTTGCATTTTTATCTTCAGAATAGACGAAGGAAAAACTTGTAATATAAAACCATGAGCGATGGACTTGACAAAACTTGTAATATAAAACCATGAGTGAATTTCATTTTTATCATACGAAACCTAATTAGTATTAAATGAGGTTTTGATCCAACCCTAATTAGTCAACATATAAGCACCATTTTTAAGCACATAAGATGGTGACAGCTGGCAGCTAGGCAACGTGTTCATTAAATGAGGAACCACCGTGACCAAGCATAAAAATGAGGAGAGAAAATTGAGAAACACAAAATTCCTTGGAATAATGGGAATCCAAAGAGCAAAGTGAAAGCACACATACTAGCAAAGTTCAAACAAAATGGGAGTCCACAGCAATGTAAAGCCTCAATTAGAAGAGCTCATCGGATTCTCTCTGGTGTCATAAGTAACACTGTCGCAGGAGCAACTTCCTCACGCTCTGGACCACGATCTGAACCGCTGCGATTGCACATGATGAAATCAACTCGTGGTATGACTATGACACATGAAATGATTGAGAGCGGTGCTGTCTCAAGTAGGATGTTCAATATAAGTTCCGTAAGGTAGACAAAGCTTACCAAAATCGAGATTGTGCCTCCGGCTTCCGAGAAAAACATGAAAGCATTAAAATACCTTCTAACTCCCTAGCCTCTTGAAATTGTATCAATCTATCATAATCATGACACATAAAAGAAAGGTGCCATCAAATCTCCAAAAAGAGATTTCAAACTTCCGCATTATGTTATATCACTTGTTATGGTATACATATATCCCATCAGAAACAAGGCGTATCTTTCAGCAAAAAAAAATAAAAAAAATCAGAGGTGTTTTTTTTACTCATTGTTTGTAAATCAATAGCTTTTTCACATTTTCAGTTGATCAAGGAGAAGAGTTTATGCCGTCAGTGGCAAGTCCAAGGGTCAGTGCCGCCCAATGTGGTGGGTCACCACCCGTCACCTAAAGCAAATAAAAAATATTTTGGGACATAAACGAAAAAAGAAATCACTAATAACCTTTAACCTAAACGCTATAAATGGAGATAAACCATTACTCAAACTGTTAACCTTAAACGCTATAAATGGAGATAACTGATAAACCATTACACTACAAGCCTTTTTTTTACAAATTTGGTACTCAAAATTATACTCCATATGATTTAAGAACATTTTGTATATTTGATTTATATATGATATTTTGATAAATTATAAATGAGTTTTAAAAATTATATATTTGATTTATAAACAGTGATTTTGAAGGAATTTCTCATTTATATATGATATTTTGGGAAATTAAAATGATTTTGAAAATATGGGTTAGCTTTCAAAATGGACAAGTTTTGGTGAATATATTTACAAATTTTCTTCAGATTTTAAAACAGTGTAACAAACACAAAATTTAGCAAATTTTCACTTATTTTATTTTCTCTCTCGTTGAAGGTTTCTCTCTTCGATATCCACGAGAAAAAAATCCTCCTCCATACCGATCAAACTCCTCTTCTCTGATCGAATGTAACAGGATACCTTACTTTTTCTTTATCAAAAAAAGAATGTAACTAAAAAACAAAGAAAAGCAGTTATGTAACAGTCAGGGATCGAACTCTGCTTTGAGAAAACCTTAGATAAGGAAGCAAACCACTAGGCTAACAAAGGATTTCGTTAAGATAAGGGCCGATAATTTATATATTTAAAACTGGGCCGCAAGCAGCTGCTTGCTCTGCTTGCTCCCAGGGACGGCTCTGCTTCTTTAATCTCTCTCTTTCTTGCGATCATCACCGTATCTCACAATTCTCTCTTCTTTCATCGAATTTGTGAAGACTAGTGGTTCTAATTCTATGAGCTGCGTATGGGCCTAAATTACTAAAGCCCAGAAGGAAGTTACAGTCTAGCCCAATGTTAGCTTACATATAAAAGCTGTGTTTGTTAAGTTGTTACAGCGGAAGCGAAGAACTTCGTCTTCTTCGTTGAGAGAGCAAGTTGTGAGCTCAGAGATCTGTAACAAGTCACCATTCTCTCTCTTCTTTCATATAGTTCTGTCTTCTTTCATCGAATTCTCCGTTCGCCCACTCCACCAAATACGGATACACCACCGACGAATCTTCGAAGAATCTGGGACGAATCTGCGACGAATCTCCGATCCAAACGAAAGGTATGTGTCCTCGTATGGTATATTATTAGACTGTGAAGCAAAGCAAGTAAAAGAGATAACCACGATCATATTCAGATCTTTCATGGCGCTTTACCAACGAGGCTGATCTTGGTAACGTGAGTTCCTTTTTTTGCTTCTCCTGTTGCTTGAAAGTTGAAAGTTATTACCCTTTTCTAAAGATGTGAACTTTAACAATTGTTTGTTGCTATCGTTCCTGTAGTACGCTTGGTTGATTAGGAATGTATCTGGTTTAGCTCAACATCGCGGCGAGATTGGCCACTGTTCATGTGTTGGTAAAATATCTTCTTTTTCCCAAATGTTGCATTCGTATACATTGATGAGTTTAATGAATCAGTTCCACTTTAGCTCTCGTTGTGGAATTTTAAGGAAGACTCTGATACTGCCATGTCTTTATTGAATATACAGGTTCTTGTAAATGCAGAAGACCAAATCGGAGAGCGTGATGGTGGTTTCGTCGCCGATTATAGGTAGAGTTTTTGCTATGATTTTGTTTTGAATTGCTCTGTAATTGGGTTTGAAGTAATGTAATGGTGATTTTTTCAGCTAAAGCTTAGACTTGGGAAAGACTGCGAAGCAAAGGAAGTAAAAGAGAAAACTTAGAGGCTGATCTTAGTAGCGTTAGTTCCTTCTTTGTTTCTCCTGTTGAAAGTTGAAACTTATTACCCTTTTCCAAAAATGTGAACTTTAACAATTGTTTGTTGCTATCGTTCATGTAGTACGGTTGGTTGATTAAGACTGATTTCTGGTGTAGCTCAACATCGCTGCGAGATTGGCCACTGTTCACGTGTTGGTAAAATATCTTCTTTTTCCCAAATGTTACATTCTTATACATATAGTGATGAGTTTAGTGAATCAGTTCCACTTTTGCATCTCGTTGTGGAATTTAAGGAAAACTCTGATACTGCCATGTCTTTATTGAATATACAGGTTTCAACATGTCATCAAGGAGTGTAAATCAAGGAGACCATAATGTGTTTGTGAACATTGATGATCAGAGCAACGCTAGTCAAACCAATCCAGTTCTGCACCAAAGGAGAACTCTTGGCATGCTTTTTGATGAGGACCCCATTAACGCTCTTGAAGCTGCTGTGCCTTCAGGTCCAAATCTGATTGCGGCAATTTCTTCACTAACACGTGCAGTGGAAAAGCTAACCGATGTTCTAACTTCAACATCGGCACAGGTATCTTCAAAACTTTTTTCTGGAACGAGTATCTTTGAAAACTTTTAGATTTGTTATGACAATTTTTGAAGAAATTGCACGTTTTACAGGATCCAATGGAGGCTCTACGTAAAGAGAGAGATGAAGTGGCCAAGATAGTTCTAGTGATCGCCAGTTTGACCTCTGTTGCCTCCATCTTTGTTCCACCCGGAGGGCTTGACGAATTTGGGACAATCCGATTCAAAAGGACTTTGCTTTTCTTCATCTTCTGCTTGGCAAACGAACTCAGCTTCCTTATATCGCATGCCAACCTAGCTTTGTTGTACAAACCAGTGAACGAAGAAGATGAGGTAGAGAAAAAGGTTGCTACAATGAAGAAGAAGATTAGATATGGGTGGGCTGGTCTGTGGACTGCAGCAATCTTATTCTTTGTAGCCTTCAACTGTGGGTTTTGGTTGGTCTGTCCTGCAGGGGAACGTAAAGTGATCAAGTTTAGCAATCTCCTTCGATGGCTGACACTAGGTCTCACAATAGCAAAGGTGTCTGGATCGCTATGTTTCATTTTTGGTAGGAGGATCTGGAACCGTATCAGGAACCGTATCATTCATGGATGTTGATTCTTCAGTAGCGTTGTAATCTCTTCGCAGTCGCTTCATCTTTTAGTTCAGGTGCATTTTCTACAAATATTGTTGTTGCACATTGTTGTTGCTACTTGCTACGGAACATTGTTGTTGTACATTTGTACTTACTAGAATGAAATGCATATTTGCGGCTAGTCTATCTTTGCTGCAGCTTATCTCTCTAGTGAAAACACACGACCGGCTCTGTTTTTTTTTTTTTTTGTATGGACTCCTCAATTTTTCACACTTTCCAATCTGAAATCATCACATGTGAGTAACTTGATCGCTAGAGCATTCCATTTCATAGACGCTACTAAAACCTCACCAAGAAGATTGTGTCTTGAAATTCTCAAACGAAATTTTGTATACTCTCAACTCTCAAGGTCATAAACATGTTACGTTTGAACAGAAATTCTTGAGTAAGAAAATCAAACCAACAGCAGCATCATGCTATACATCTGAAACAATTCGCCAATATCTGCAAATACATCATAATATAAATAGATCTTAATCTTTGCAGCATAGCTTCTCCTTCCTCAGAAAAAAATCTCTGCTGTTTCTTGAAGAGTATGTATCATTGATCAGTCCCTGCAGCATCTTATTCTTCTCAATTCTACATTTCAGAAAAACCTGCAGATCTTCCACCCACATCTGAAGTCGTCCGCCAAACTTCTCCTGAAGCTTATCTTGCTCTTCTTCTTGCGTGACTTTCAAAGTTCTCTTCCCTTACTGACACAGACTTTAAAATGAACCTAATCAGCCTGATAATTAGTGCCATCACAAATTTCCAGAGCTTGAGATTCGAACAAGTAAACTGATCCTTCACAAAAAACCTCAACGGAATTTTTGAGTCTTCTCAAAAGCAATCCTTCAGTTATCCCTGAAACTCTCTCCTTTAGAACACCATATGATAGGCGTAGTTAGCAACACAAAACCACTCAAACCACCGTTGCTCTCAAATTCAGATCCAGACTTTGATCATGTGATTCCTGCAGATGCAGACTTGAGCTCCACTTTATGGAATCAAAAGCCAAACTCTTAATGAAGAATTCTCCTCAACCAAATCATCACGAATGGATTATCAAGGGACTGATTCTTAATGAACACTCAAACCATGTGTTTTCCAGTTTCTTCAAACCCTTGATCTTAATCTCCAAACTCATCTGCATCTCTCTGATTTTCGTCAAGAACGTGAACGTGAACGTGAACGTGAACCAGAATCCCATTACCAGAGAAAGACTAAGACTCCACCTTAAACATCCTTACGTAGATACCACAGATGCGGACATCATCTCTTTTTACAGTTCGTGAACCATCTTTCTCCGTCACATTCAAGTGTCCTTTAAGTAAGTCAAAATAGATCACCTCTCTGCCTTTACATACCCATAGAAGATGACTTGAGATTGTTGAGACTGAAGCATAAGATATCTCCCCCGCCTCAGTCCAACAACGAATATCCTGACCATAGAGCTTCATGTACGTTTTGTCTTGAGCACAGCAAACTCTAAAATATTTGCAACTATAGCTCAAGCCAACAAAGAGTTCTCTGTTGCTGTTTTATCTATCTCAAGTAATCATCACAGCCAGTGATTAATATTCTCTCCATAAAACTCCCTCATTTTCAAAACTTGAGAGAAATAACCTTTGTCACCAAGGAGATTGATAAAAGACGTTGCAGTTCTCCCTCATGTTTCATGTTTCAACAGGACCGGCAAAACATAAAAGACCTTGCAGCTCTCTTTCATTTCACTTGAAACACTCCTATCACAGACCATAACATTCACAAACGTTGTCGCTTGATTCACCTTGCATTAAGGTTGAGCTTTCCAGCAAAAACATTTCTTCCGTTTGATTCCTCAATAACCGAGAAGGACCATCGACAAACAGCTCAAAACACCATGGTCAAAACAAATATCCTGCACAAGAACTCCTATAATCTTTCGCAATCTCCTGTACACGGAGTATTCATGATTTTCTCATCAAAGACCCCCACCAATCTTGATTACATTGTCAAACCAAAAACTTATACACAGAAGCGAAAATAGCAGATAACGGATGATCAGAAGCAGCTGTCCCAACATCAAAGAGGTACCGCTGTCGCCAATAAACAAGATCAGAGACTAAGCGCAGACTGCTTTATATAACTTTAAAAAAGGTTTGACCAAAGAAACACCATGAGGCCAGCACAAGACCTCCAAAAGATTCGTAAATAGCACATGTGGTCGGCCTTTGAGATCAATAAACCAATGCTAACAAGAAGCCATGGTAAAATCATCATCACACACAAACCTCTGTGAGCACAGCGGAGTTTTAACAACAAGCTCACTCATATTAATCTGACCATACATCAATCCCAAAAGTCATATTCTAACCAGTAAGAGCTGAGCCAAAGTTACACAACTCTGAGTATCCTACCTCGGATTTCTCCCGACCATGAGCATCATCACGTATGATTCTTTTTCCAGCTTGGATTCCTCTTCTCTCAATTAGCAGCACCTTAAATATAAAAACATCAATTGTAGCAATACACAACAACCAACATATGGCGTCCAATGAAAACCAACCAAACATAGCCAGAGAACTACTATACTCCCCGTGGTTGAGAGCAAAACTGAGATAAACCTTTCGTGGACAAGACACGAAAATGGAGTCGAAGAACACTCAGCAAATGATGACCCGATCCAAAAATCAACTCATTAAGCTTGTATTGATAAACGTAGATCTCCCAGCTCTGAAAACATCATCAACACCCCAGCCATACTTATGCAAGAGCACTCCTCTCTTCTCCAGGCTAAGATCCTTGTTGACTTGCCAAGGCATAACTCTTCTCTCAGAAGATCATGATTCTCTCTTGTTCCCATCGATTTCATAAGTTTCATCTCGCAGGCCTCGATTCAGAACACTTTACTGCTGCATACAGTTTCTTATCTTCTGAATTGTAACTATGAATCTGAGATGAGAGCTCTGGGCTTTGACAAATAAAATCAGACCTGTATTGAATATCTGCAATTTTCAGTGATTTTCCCGATGACGCTCTTCTTCTCCTCTCGAGTCTTGAGATTCCATCTTCTCGCGAGCTCATTACTTCATCTTCTCGTGAGCTCACAGCTTTTATCCTTCTTCCCCTATGATTCGTTCACTCGCTTTCCAACAATAATTTTGGTTGATACTCGTAAATCTCTTGATACATTTTTGTATTGGGCTAAACTTTTGGCCCATCTTTCTCGATTTCCAGAATCTAGATATAGTCGATCTCCCAATAATAAGGAACAACTGATGGGAAAAAAAAAATAATAATAATAAAATAAATATTTCCTAAATTCACAATCTTCAAAAAGGAAAATCGAAGAATCCTGAGAGTCAAACAATATCAGCAACTGTCGATTGTGGTTGTGGTTGTGGTTGCTTAGCAAAATTCCACCAAGTTCCACAAGGAAACCAAGGTGCAATCATGGCGGGTATGAACCATAGCAAACAAGGTAGACCAAAGTAAAGAGCCAAGCGAGGAGAAATAGCATACAAGAAGCCGAGGAACATAGAGAAGCCTAACGTGTGACCGATGCGTCCCGCCAAGTAACATCCAGCGTCTTCATCATGATCCATTGCCATAAACCAACACGCGCAACTAAGCATGATAGTAGTCATGTAGAACATACCGAAACAAAGGACATATTCCAAAACTAAATCATCTACGTGTATTTTGGGTTTTGTCATATTAATATACACGATCGCTGCAATGTTGAGTGTTATAATGATGTTGGTCATCGCAACCCCGTACCGTAGGTTCCCGTCCTTCCTGCAACCAAAACACGATGATTTGTTTCAGTTTTTAACGTGTTCAATCAAATCTTATTGACAATAAAAGAGAGAGAGAACCAATGGTTTAGAGTATGGAACCTCACCTCCATAAACGGCTGAAGTGAGTTTCACCTACGTTTGTAGTACTTGTAGTTGTAGCCATGGCTTCTTCGTTTATTGATTGGTTCAAGAAAACTAATACTTATAATGATATCGAAGAAGACTACGTAATGTGATATATATATAGGTTAAACAAGTCCTACTCCAAACCTAACTGGGACTAATCACAAAATATATTTCCTTGTAGGTGATGGTTTTTTTGATATTTTTATCATCGAAAACAAAAACAGTCATAGGTCATGATATCATAAATATAACAAGAGATAAATAGTATAAGGTCTTATTGCGACACAGACTCTGCTGTATCTAAAGAGAGAATCAAACAAACAAACACAAGAACCAACGTCCAAAGACAACACATGGCTTAGCTTTTTTTATTTAGGTAGGAAATTAGAAGCTAAGCAAAGAAAACAAGCACTTTCTCACAACACTGAGAGAGAGTTTTAGTCGTCATATTCATTACGATGCCTCTGGTGGGAATGCTTGTAACGATTCTGCTTCTTCTCTTCATTCTCATCAGAGTCATTGCCACCCTGCAGATTTTGACACAGAGATGATTAATTAGGGTTAACAAGGGATCCTAGAACCAGCTTCCAATTCAAGAAATGCATTTCAAGATGTGAAAGAAAGAGATACATGAATGAACATGAACCATCAGTAAATGTATCCTTTGTAATGTTCTATACAAGTTCGAGTTAATGATGACTCTATTAACTATGGCAAACACTAAAGGAGACAGATCCGTGTCAAATATGCTACAACATGTCCACATTCAATCAAATAGTACTGAACAAAGGAAGTTAAATGGGATCTTCGAACTAGCTTTCACTTCAAGCAAACTCAAGAAAAATCCATTTCAGAATGTGAAAACAGAGACTTTCTCATGAATCATCACTAAAGGTATAAACTTTACTTCAATATGGAGATATCACTCTACACTAAAAGTATCCAGACAGAGACTTCCAACATGAAATATCCTACATCAATGTCCAAATTCAGTCAAATGCTGAACAAAGCAAGTTAAATGGGATCTTCAAACTAGCTTTCACTTACAAGCAAACTCAATCAAATCCATTTCAGAAGGTGACACAGAGAGTTAAGTGGCTAAATCATGAATCACCCACTAAAGGTATACTTAATCTACACTTGTGATCAACAAAGACTCCTAACCAATCAAACTAGGGAAAATTCACTATACAGAAACGTTAAAAAATTATTGAAACTTACATATTTCTTGCGGCCATAGCTCTTCTCCTCATCATCACCGGAACCAGAACGGTTCCTGCGCTGCTCATCATCATCATCATCATCATTGCCACGGCCATAGCTTGGCTTCCTGTAACTCCCTTCTTCCTGTTCCTCCCCATAGCTTGGCTTCCTGTAGCTTCCTTCCTCCTGTTCCTCCCCATACCTTGGCTTCCTATAGCTACCTTCCTCCCGTTCCTCAGACCTTTCATAGCTAGGCTTGATGTAGCTTTCAACCAGATCATCAGATCCTCCATAGTTAGGCTTCCTGTAACTTCCCTCTTCCCGTTCCTCCCCATAGCTAGGCTTTCGTTCATACTCGCTCCTCTCTTCACCGAAGCTCGGTTTCTTTTCATACCCGGATCCATATCCGGTCTCGGTTCGTTCACCACCGTAGCCAGATTCAGGTCTCCGGCCATACTCAACCTCGGTTCGTTCACCACCATATCCAGATTCAGGTCTCCGGCCATACTCAACCTCGGTTCGCTCACCACCGTAGCCAGATTCAGGTCTCCGGCCATACTCAACCTCGGTTCGTTCACCACCGTAGCCAGATCCGTAACTCTGCTCAGGTTTCCGACCATACTCCGCCTCTGTTTCCCCATAACCGGATCCGTACTCGGATTCCGGTTTCCGGCCATAACCGGATCCAGCACCAGCGCCAGATCCGTAACCGGGATTGGGTCTTTCACCTTGGACATGACCGCCTCCGGCTGAATCGGGTCGAAATGCGGGTCGGGGCTTGGGTCGAGAGTAGCTACTGTACTCGGTCTGGAGAGCCTCTTCGCCGTAGGCGGAGGGATCGTGGATCGAGGTGAATTCAGGTCTCTCGTACTCGAATTCCTCATCGGCTCCGGAGGAAAGCGGGTAGCAAGTCTCATCGGAAGGAGGAACCGGACGGCCGTAGATCACGGTGATGTCGTATCCGCCACTGTACGGCGTCGGATCGAACTCGTCGAAATCATCGACCTCATCCTCGTCTCTGGTGTAGTACGGCATCGTTTCGAAAGCTTCTCTCTTTCTTCTTTTCTTCTCTCTGATCTGTGATTTCTTTGTTTCTCTTGGATCTCACAGAAATGATTGAAATGTGAAATGCTTTATACGCGGAGAAGGAAGGAGACGAAAGGGTGCGAAACGGTGCGTTTTCTAAATGATGAATGTGGGCCCCGTTTGTCTGCTGTTTACATGGCGACCACTACGAGTACAAGACGTGGGTCAGCTGCGAGCCTGTGACACGTGGCTACATCATAACTGGTTAAGAATCTGATTGTATTGATTGCCGACCGATCTAACGGGAAACCGTACTTTTGTTTTTCTGCCGACACATGTCTGTTGACTCGATCCGACACGAAAATTTCAGACAACCCAATTATGGATTATCATGTGTTAGAAGGGAATAAACACAGATATTAAAATTTAAGTTGAAGCCCATTTGAATTATGGATAAGGCCCAAACGTTAACAGTATTGAGGTTCTTGAGCTGATTTAACAGAAACAGAGGACTCTGTTTCTACATAAAGCTATTGAGAGATTTTCTAGTGTATTATATTTGCTTGCCTAACCATATGTTTGATTCTCATAGTGAATGATGCTTGAGGATGTCGTAAATCAATTGTGCCATTTACATTCTAGATTTGCTTCTAGTGTGGTTAATCAAAGAACAAATCGGAAGACCAAATCACAACATCAAGGTTTGTATCACTCTGCTTGAGGAGAATCATCATGTGTCCTCTACATTTTGCAATGAAACATGTCAATATCATCATGTGATACTAATTTTGTGTGAATATTTTTAATTCACATGGTACTTCAAAAAGTACACCTTTTTAAGGATGAAATAAGTCAATTTGCTAAATCTATTTGTTAAAGAAAAAGATTTGACCTTTTCGGGATGAAAGAACATACCTGAACAGTGGAAAAGGCAAATTGAGTCAGAACCAGGTTACTTTTAGAAACCTCTGTCTCAGAAAGAGCTTTTGACAGCACATTAAATTTTCAAGTTTTTAAGATTCGCTCGTGTCATTGTCATCCACGAATGCGAGGGACCGTGAAGGAGTAAAGCAAAGAGGGCCCTACAAGTTCCAAATACTGATGACGTGGATCGGTTAATGCTCCGCCACGTCGAAATAGAATTCCGAAAGACCGATTTCCCTTATCTTTCCAAATCTCTAGCGAAAGAGCTTTACTAATCTCTCTATCTGTTTCTTCTAAACCTGTCACAAAGTCTTTAACTTTCGGAGAGAATTCAAAACGCAATCTTAACTCGAATAGTCTAGAGAGAGAGAGAGATATGTGAACGTGATCGAAGATCTAAATCTTGGAGGGACAGAGAGTGAGAGAGAGTGAAATGGCGGTTTTATCCTCGGCGATGTTCGGGAGTTACCGGCCGGTGAAGACGGAGATGAGATCAATACTACGGTGGAGAGTAAAGTGCCAGGTGTCTTCCGTAAAACCCGCCACGTATTCGTCTAGAATTTCCACAGATATTCCTCTGCACGAGTCTCCTCAGGTCTCTCTCTATTTAATACTCATCAGTCTTAGTTAAATCGAAGCAATTTTGGTTGGTTTTTTGAATTTTATGAACTTTCAGGCATTGTTCGATGAGTATTTGGAGGATAAACCGAGAGTATTCGAAGCAATGTTTCCAGATAAACCCAGAAGCCATAGACTTAACGAGGTGTGTACTATTGTACTTCGATTATGTTTATCTAAATTATATATAATGGAGGAAATGTCTCAAAAAGGGCATTTGGTCTAGTGGTATGATTCTCGCTTAGGGTGCGAGAGGTCTCGAGTTCAATTCTCGGAATGCCCCTTTTTTTTGTTCAGCCTTGAAATTTTTGGTTTTGGTTTTTCTACATTATTTACTTTAGTTCCAATGAAATGAATTTGTGCAGGAAGAGTGGAGGATTCAGATGTTACCAATAAACTTCCTCTTCCTTACTGTGTGGCCTGTGGTGGATATGCGATTAAAATGCAAATCCAACGGTCAGGATTATCCACCAGACGTGCCTTTGGATATAACTAGAGTTGTGGAGCTTAACATGGTAATAAACAACACATTTCTCTCTTAATTTCTTCAGCTTTAATTGTTGATACTTAGTTACATATTCGCTTTTATCTATGTATATCATGTATGTTAGTTATATATTCAGATTTATCTATTAGGGTTGTTTTACCCAACCATCGTTATGATCTCTACATTTTTGAATTATGTTTTTTTTTTCAGACGAGATGGGAGCTTCGAGGGCTTGACCGAGTAATGCAACCGTCTGACTTTAGCTTGGGAGTCAAGGGAGCATTGTACCCAGACCGAAGAGGAAAGAACACAAGGCTTAGAGGCCAACTAGAAATGAACATAAGCTTTGTGCTTCCTCCGGTTCTTGAATTGGTACCTGAAGATGTTAGGAGAAACTTGGCAAATGCGGTAAGAAATTGTCACATAAAACAATATTTGTGTATCTTTGAACTCAGTTAAGACGATATGTATCCGAATTCATGTTTTTTTATTTGAAACTTTAACAGGTTTTGACCGGTTTAGTGGAGAATATGAAGCATAAGGTTAATGGGAGCTTGCTCGCTGATTATAGTAGGTTCAAGAATGAGAGAAGATTAATGAAGTAAATCAAGTGAACCCGAGTTTTAATGTCAATGTTCAACCATGTATAGTTCTCAATCCCACATGAACAATCAATTACAATGTTACAATTTGGCTAAAAAGCATGCAAGATCAACAAGTTCTAAGCCGAGATATAAACCATAAAAAAATGTTTCTATTTATATTATATATATCTTAAAACTTCTTTGACAAAACACGAACTCGTTTACAAAAATCTAGTTCAAAACATTTACCATTGCAAATTTTTATAACTTAACAAAAGATAACTAAAGGAAAGAGTTTTTTTTTTCGTCATTTGATAACTCTTTTCAATAGGTCCAAAGCTGATGATATTATTTTGTACTTTTAATTAAAAAGACTAAACATGAGGGAGAGGATTTAACATTAAAAAAAAATCTAGATTTCCAGAGAATTGATCCCAGTTCTGAGTCGGGTTGCTTCAGCGAGCGGTAGTGCCTGGTACTCTAGCATTAGCTCGTAGAAAATACTTTATTTGAAGATGGTGGTGGTGCAAATACTGAGCATGCTACGATTTTCAACGATATGTAATAGGTTTTAGTAAAGTTTTTGTTCTTTCAAGCTGGAACTATTTTTAATTTTTTACTTTTTGTTCTACCTTGATCCAACATCCACTCTTGAATCTATGAGAAATATTAGGCAAACATTGCATAAGGAAAGAGCAAGAACGAAATTGTGTGTTTTGGCTTTAGATGACAATTTCGTAGTGACTGCTCATGATCTCATGAACATTGAACTAGCAAATTTTGAGGATGTGGTAAACGATTGTCATGAAGTCATTAGAACGATGCATAGTGACTTTCAGACTCCTGAAGATGAAGCTAAAGAACACACTCTTGCATGTGATGCCGAGTCATCTTGCGACAGCTACAGCCTTGATCTACAAGACCTCTCAGCTTCCACAACTGGATTCTATTTACCACTTACGGTCTGTTTTCCACTCTTTCCACTACATTCGGTCAAGTAAACGATTGTCGTGAAGTCATGAGGACGATGGATAGTGACGTTCTTTTCATGTATGATAGTGTGCAAGACTACGGTATCATACTTGGTGATCTCAATGCTAGAATCTACTTTGTCCAAGGCTTTTTGGGTGATTTCCGACTAGTAATGTACCCACTCATGGCTGCACAGCAGCGCAAGGTACTAAGATGAAGCTTAAGAACACCCTCTGGACTGTGATTCCCAATCATCTTGCTACATATACGGCCTTGATCTACAACATCTTCCAACGTCCCCAACTAGAGTCTCTTCAACATCAACGTTCTGTCTTCCACTCCTTCCATTACATCCGGTCAGGCACAAGGGAGTGGATTTTGGCAAATCCTTATGCCATTGTCATCCCTACTAGAGGTCCTTTGTTCTACCCGCAAATTTAACCACCGTGGTCTATACATGTGCAATTTGCGGCTGATTTATTATACTAGTTTTGAACTCATTTAACAAATTGCTATATAAACCTAATGTATATTTCATTTGAACATTTACAGGTTTTAACCAGTTTAGTGGAGAATATGAAGCAAAAGGTTAATGGGACCTGAGCTTGCTCGCTGATTATAGCAGATTCAAGAATGAGAGAAGGTTAATTAAGTAATGGAGTGAAATCAATGTCAATGTTCAACCATGTATAGTTTCTCAATCCCACATGAACATTCGATTATAAAGTCTGAGTTGATTTTTTTTATGTCAACCTTAAATATTATATGTTTAAAATACTGAGCTAGCTCAGAGCCAAGAGTACAAAGATTTAAAAGTGAAACAACAAGAGCTTATTGCTTAACATAGTCAAGTTAAAGAATCCGTCAAAATCTTATGCGTGAGGTAGAAGTTTTGTCACCGTCAAAAACTTGTAGTTGTTTTCTACAATTTCCTGGCAACGTTCAATGTTCTCGTGTCAGTCTCATCAACGAATGCGTGAGAGAAGACGTGTAGAGTAGTCTTACAAGTTACAATATCTCCACGTAGACTTACGCAAGGCCAAATAAACCGAAACTTAACCACAACTAGTCAAACTGAAATTACAGAAAACCAAACCAAAATACATAAACTTGGTATCAGCTTGGTAACCCCCTACCCATACCGAACGAAATCGAACGAACTCCGGTTTCAACTCAGTCTTATTTCTAACAAAACCGAAAAAATCCAAGATCCAAAAAATATCTATACTGGTTAATATAGAAGTTTGCATGATGATTATTCATTAGAGGAATGTTTTGATACAAATTTTCAAAAACCACTACCTTCCAAATCTCTAGCGTGACAATTTAACTCTATCTATCTCTTTCTCAGTCTTTACAAAAAAAAAAAAGTCTCAAAACGTATTAAAGAGAAAAGCAAGACGCAATGTTTTCACTCAAGGTATACATAAAGAAAAGAGAACTGTGGGAAAGACCGAAATATCAAATTTAAAATCTTTGAGAGATAGAAATAGTTGAAATGACGGTAAGCTCTGCGGTTTTATCGTGGCCGGGGATGCTCGGAAGACACCGGCCGATGGCGACGGAGCTCCGTTCAAAACGGTGGAGAGTGAAGTGCCAATTGTCACCTGTAAAACCCTCTACGTATTCATCTAGAATATCTACAGATGTTCGTTTGCACGAGTCTCCTCAGGTCTCCTTCTCTCTGTCTATAAATGGTATGTACATATATAAGCGTCAGTGTACAATTGTGTAGTTTGATGCTTTTGGTGTTTCTTTTTCAGGCGTTGTTTGATGAGTATTTGGAGGATAAATCGAGGGTTTTCCAAGCAATGTTTCCGGATAAACCCAAAAGCCATAGGCTTAACGAGGTAATTATATATTTGTTAACAGCGATAAAACTCTCTACTCATTAGTCTTTACTCACGTCATTTATTGGATGAGTTTGAAAGATTGTTTAATCATTGCAACTGTTTTTGTAGGAAGAATGGAGGATCCGAATGTTACCAATAAAATTTCTCTTCCTCACTGCGCATCCAGTGGTGGACATGCGGCTTAGATGCAAATCCAACGGTCAAGATTACCCGCCAGACATACCTCTAGACATAACCAAAGTTCTTGAACTCAACCTGGTACGTTCCACAAGATTCACAAACTCACAAGATCTCTTTTCTCTTATTATTCCTTTGATGGTCTACACTTATAATTCTGGTTTCTAGATAAAATGGGAGCTTCAAGGGCTTGACCGAGTTATGGAACCATCCGATTTCACTCTCGGAGTCAAAGGAACATTGTACCCCGACCGACATGGAAACGACACAAAGCTCAAAGGTCGACTAGAGACGACAGTAAGCTTCGTGCTTCCTTCGGTTCTCGCACTAGTTCCCGAAGATGTTAGGAGAAACATGGCGCATGCGGTTAGAAACTAATTCATAAAAGCGTTTGCGAACTCAATATATGATGTTTCTGGTTTATACATTTTCAATTCGTTTTTTCTACAGGTTTTGACCAGTTTAGTGGAGAACATGAAGCATAAGGTTATCGAGAGCTTGCTCGCTGATTATAACAGTTTCAAGAATGAAAGAAAAATACACAACTAGTTTTTAGTTAATCTCGATGTATAACAATGTGTATAGTTCTCTGGATCCGAATTGATAAAAACTAGATATTATACCCCCGCGCAAGCGCGGAGTTGTTTTTCGGTTAATCATCATTTATATATTTCTAAAATATATTATATTGTTTTTTGTTATTCTATATAATACTCACGATTTGTAATAGAGACTCATGTTATGTTTATTTTAAATGATCTTTTCTGTATAATACTGAAGATCTGTAATAGATACTCCCGTTATGTTTATTTTAAATGGTCTTCTAATTTTTCCAAAGATTTGGCAACTATTTCTAGAATTTGTTAGTATTTGCATGAATATTTATTATATTTTTAGTACAAAAACGGTTGTTTAGTGAACTTAGAACTTCTCTAGTCACCATCGACCTTCTGATTTTCTAAACTCATCAAAATTCTTATTAACATCATCTTGAGCCATGTCCGCCTCTTAACTACATTCAACCACCGCCTCAGTCACCTTTTGAGCCGTGCTCTTTGCCATTTTTCGTCTGACATGAATCTTTTTATCTCTATTATAAACCTTTTTAAATTTTTTATATACAGTTACAAATAAACTTATAATTTTTTATATCCTTATTAATTTGTAATTCTTAGAAAATCTATGTTGTTTCATATATTATTTTAAACATGTTAATTTTTTTCTTATTTGTAGTTATTTTTATATATTTTGAATTATCAAGTTATGTAAAAAATGTTTTGTAACTTTTATAAATCATATAATATCTATTAATTTTCTTAATTAATATTTTTAATATTTTATTTTGTGAAATATATTTTAGGATTTTTGGTAAATAATATAATTTATTTAAGGAAATATAATAACAGTAAACTGTGTAAATTAATTGATTGACTAATTTTAGTTTTAATGTTTGTCATTTATTATTTTCATCTCTTTTGTTTTATAATTTTGGATTAAATGTATGGGATCCATTATCTCTATAAAATTATGCTGATGTGGATGGCTTAGGAGGAGAGAGCAACTCCCTAATTATATATAAGATGTAAACGCAAACGCAAACAAACACTTGACTTGCTTAATGTAATAATAATACAAAGGAAGCAAATACACAACTTTTCACACACAATGAGAGAAAAAAAAAAGGGTAATATCAAAAGATTCACAAACGAGCACACCATTTTTGTTCAGTGACAGATATTTTCGTCGAGGTTTAGTTACAGAGGCTTACTTAAGTTTGAAGTACAAGATGATGATAATGGCGGCGATCAAAGCGATGATAATGGCTCCAATGGTCCATTTGTTCTTGTTCATCCTCCTCGTCATGCCTGTCAAGATCTTCTTGCTCTTTCCTACGTTATCGTCTACTCCGTCAAGCTGTATCAGAGTTCTAAGTATTGGTCAGAGCAGATACTTAATATCACGTATAGAGATAAAAGAAAAAGTGTTGCAGAGAGAGCCATACCGTGTCATGTGCACGTAGGAGAGATTGTCTCTGACTGTTTAGGTCTTGGAGGATTGAAACGCCGATGTCTTCAGTTTCCATCATCGTTTTACGACTCTCCCTGACTCTGTCTGTGGTTCGACCCAAACGTTCCGTTGACATCATCAATCTTGATCTCTGATCAGCTGAAGCCTGATACAAAGAAATCAAAAGGCGGTTTTACTAGCAAAGATCAAGATGAGATTAAAAACTGAACAAGTACTACTAAGTCCTATACATACCGTCTTTGTGTCAGCCATGCCAGCTTCAAGCAACTCGTCTCGAGCAGCAGCGTTCAAGCTTCCCGTTGTGATTCTCTTCACTTCGGTTTTGAAATTGTTCAGATCAGACTTGAATTCTCTTAATTTGACAAGGAGGCTAGACTTTATATTTGGTGGAAGGCTCCTTGCCTCAAGATCCATCTTCCTAATCTGGTTAAACAAAAAAAAAGTACAGAGCATGGTCAAAAGTGAAATATGGACAATTTATTCGATCTATACACTTATCACATACCAATGCTTCTGCATTTTCTAGCCCAGATTTGATTTCAGAGAGCTTCTGCTTCTTTTGTTCTGCAAATCAATCAGTAAAGGTATCAAACAATGCATCTAAAGAGCTATGCAATCAACAGAACAATGATGATGATGATGATCTACACATACTAGTGACCAAAGAAAGCACAAATTTCATGTCTTTACAACGCAGTAAAGAGATCTAACAACGCACAGTACTCTGTATCCAACACAAACCAAAAGATCTCTGATTCGTTTCATTGTTACATTCACAAGCTAAACTTCTAAGGAAGCTAAGGCAATGCATTGGAGAAAAAGTGTAAATCTGGAGATATCAATTAATTACCTCCATCGAGGGCAACAGCTGAGGAACATTTCTTAGAAAGACTCGCCGAGAGATCGCAATATTGCCGCTCGTATCCGTTAAACACTTCACTCATTGTTCCAAGTGAATACGAATTCTGCACAATCAGCAAACACAAATGATGATGAAACCTTAATGATATGAAATCCGATTCTTCCGTCAACCTAAGATCACAACTAGCCCCAAATTTCACTAAGCGGAACAAAATCAACAGCCCAAACCATCGATACTTAAGCGATTCAATAGAGGAACGATGATTGATGTACAAATCAATCATAAACCCTAATATATTATGTATTCCAATTTCCGAACTAGATCGCGAACAGGGAAATCGAGGTTTAGGGGGCAAAAAGGAAGCCAGAAAAGGTAAAATTCACGGATCGCTACAGAAAAGGAAAAAAATGGCGAATGATTTGAACACAATTGAGGTGATCGAAGAGTTCGTCGCCGGAGCAGAAGCGATTGAAGCACAAAATTAGGAATATAAATATCTTAAACTAGAAAGCATAATCGCAATCAGAGAAGAGTAATTAGGAAGAAACCATAGAGAGAGGCAGACGAGACCTGAGAAATGAACGGAGAAGAAGAGATACGACGCCGGGATCGGAAAATAGATCGGGTGAAGAAAATTCGTGAAGACGACGATTAATTTTTTTTTTTTTGATGCGTGTGGATATAAAGATTGTATTTATTCAAGGACGGTCCGAAATATGTTCTTTTATATGGTTACATCAATATTGACGGTTTTATATGGTTACACGGTTTTATGCCTGGGCGAATTACCAAACCGAACCTAATTAAAGAGAAAACCAAAATGAACCAGATAATCTTAAATACCAAATTCCACTAATTGGTTTGAGCCTTTTTCACATAGGTGATATTTCTCTCGTTTACACTTTATCCTTTTTTTTTATGTTAGAACAAGAACCTCAGAAGGAGACACTAGAGAGACAGTTATTGCTAATAATTGCATATTTTTTCAACTAAAGTTGCTGAACAACAAAAAGAATATTAAATATCCAGGCTTGCAGATTTTTAAAATCTTAGGCGAAGACCTTTAAAGAATTTGTAGGATTTGCATGGTAATCACAACGTGGCATGAAACATACAAAACCAAGACATAAACATGGTCCTGACTCCTGAGTTTGGTTAAACTTAAAACATACAAGACCAAGACATAAACACGGTAATCCAGACAAAACGCATAACAAGTAGAAACTAAATAAAGGGTAAAAAACACCAGAGGAGCTTGAGCTAAGTCGAGCTTTGGCATATTATTCGCAGCCTGAAAATCCAAAAACAAGTTTTAACCAGGATTGTGGGTGGTCAATATTATTTTCTACTTTTGTCACCAAGAATCAAGAATGAAGAAAAGATTTATTCACCTGGGTGAGGAATGCGGAATGCGGCCATTACAGATTTCTACTTCGAATACGACTACGATTGCGGAAGGGTGTAGTAAGAACAGTAACAGCTACTTTGTGTCCTTTAAGGTAGCTCCCATTAAGTTCCACCGCCTTCTCTCCTGCAAAAAATCCCTTGATATAAGCCACGATGCTTCTGTAAAAAAATCAACAGCCAGTCTCTCATTAGTCAGCATTAGAAAGTTGGGACGTCAAAATGAAATAATTAGGACCAAGAACAAAGCCACAAACCCTTTGCGCTTAATAGCCATAACTTGGATGACCTGTCCACATGAAGACAAAAAATCCCTCACAGCGACATCGACCTCACTATCACTAAGTGAAGTGTAGTCATATCCTCGAATAATTACTACATCAATCCTGCAAAAGTTAAATGATGAGCACATGCAAAATCTTAAAGAGAGACAAACAAAAATATGAAAAAATGAAAATTCAGTTTACCTTTCCTCACTAAACGGATAAGGCTCAGCAGAGACTTTCCATCCTCCGGCAGCAACCACACTTCCATCAAGTTTCAAGGCCTTGTCTGCTGCGCCCTCTCCCACAAAATAAATATTAGCAACAGTTTGACGAAACCATATGGTAATATCAGTGATCCTTCCACATGAAGCGAAATGTTCTCTCAACGCACTCTTCACATCCTCATGATCACGACGTTCAAATCCCCTCACGGATATCCTCTCAATGCCACTGCAATTACATTATTTATCAACGTGACATACAAGAACATTTCGATATTCAAATACTCGAGACTCAAGCCAATCAATTTACCGGGCTTTTGCTTCTGCAATAGTTGGACCAGGATCCTTCAATTTCATCAAAACATCTAATCAGAAATTCTACTAACCAAACATATCGTGAATAACAAGACAGCCTTAAAAAAAAAGAGAGAGTAACAAAGATATTACATCGAAAGACCTGCTGTCTATGATCAGCTTGGCTCTAGGTGCCTCATCATCAACGGATATCCCTCCAGTACTGTAACTGCAATCATTTGATATTACATTTATTATCAACGTCACAAGAACAACAACAACAACACATCTATACAGATAGAAATCTCAGACTCAAAAACAAGACCAATCAATTTACCTGGCTCTTGGTTCTGGAATGGCCTAGGTACAAAACATCTAAATCAGAAACTCTACTAACGAAAACAGAGTTTAAAAGAGTGAATAACAAGAAAGCCATTAGGGTAACAAAAACTATTACTTTCTTGTCTTCTTTATTCTCTTTAGTTCGGTTTTCTAATGTTTTCTAATGTTTTATAAAAGAAAATAACTTTTTCTTTTATAAACTCTGTTATGAACTGGTTTTTGCTTATTTTAATGATTTTTTTGTCACCAATTTAATACTAGTAATTAAAAAGTTTCAGAAGCTCAAACCGTATGTACATAAGTATTATGTGTAGAATTTAATAGCGTTTCCATATCGGAAAATAAATTGTGTAAGTTTTTTAATTGAGAATTTAATTGATTAATTTCCAACTTTGCGTAAATACTGAGATCTGATATACTACTATGGGTATTGGGGTTAATTTGAAATCTGTGATGGTTAAATGATTTGATAGTCAAGAGGAAACAAATTTGATCTTACAGATATGCTTCTTTTCTTTTAGGAAAAAGAAGAAAAGCAAACTGGAAAGAAAAGGAAAAATTTAAAAAGCAGAACCCACAGATGTATAAGACCTGATTTGTTCGGTGGAAACGTGAAAAAAAACCCGAAAAACCCTAATTTCTGCTTAGAGAGCCCCCATCTAGATCTAGTCATTCTGTTTTTTCCTTCTTCTTGCTTTTGGGATGAAGTCGACAAAAGAAACAACGATGATGTCCGATCTTCCTGAGGATTTGGTAGAGGAAATACTCTCTTGGGTTCCGGCCACATCTCTGAGACCATTACGATCAACATGCAAACGATGGAGAGCTTTATTAAAAGAGCCAAGATTCAACGAGAAGCACTTTAGTAAAGCTCCAAATCAGTCTTGTGTTATCATGTTGAAGGAATATAGGCTTTGGTCGATGAGCATCGATCTCAACGTTGTTCCTCCATCTATAGAGTTTAAAGGTGCACTTGACCTAAAGTGTTCTCGTCTTAATTCAGAACAACTCGATATAGCTAAAGTGTTTCACTGCGACGGTTTGTTGTTATGCATCACCAAGGACAATAGACCCGCGGTTTGTAATCCGTATTTAGGAGAAACAAGGTGGATCCAACACGAAAATGGTTACAAGAGATACTCTAGGTTTGCTCTAGGTTACGAAAACAACAAATCTGGCCGCACCTACAAAATCTTGATGTTTTGGGAAAGTCACCACCCGGTTAGTGGATTTGAAATCTATGAGTTAAGCTCTAATTCATGGAGAGTTGTGAATACTCCCAACTGCGTCAAAAAAAAGATATTCTGGCGTGACTTTGAAGGGAAATGCTTACTGGATTTCTAGTCATGACAAAGACTATTCTTTACTCAGTTTTGATTTTACAAGAGAGAGATTTGGATGTCTTTGTCCCACATCTCCCGGTCGTTGTTATATGGCTCTATCAGTTGTTAGAGATGAACAACTCTCAGCTTTAATTTGGAGTGTTGGCTCATCAGAGGTGGAGATGTGGGTGACCAATAACATTAATACTGAAGCAGACTTGTCATGGAGCAAATCCTTTGCAGTGGAAGACAAGCAGAGTTCTCCATTCACGAGTCTTTTAATCGACGAGGAAAAGAAAGTGGCCCTGTGTTGTACTTCATGTTATACCCCAAGCAGGAACGTGGTATACACTATTGGAAGGGACGATAAATACTACGCAGAAATTCCTTATATAACGGAACCATGGTTGTTACGATGTAACGACCCTGGTGAAGGATCTTGGTGGCCATTTTTTTTCAATTATGTTCCAAGTTTGGTTCAAATCCAATCATAATATAAGTAAGCAACTGGTTTCATTTCTTGCAGCTCTTTTTTTTTCTTTTTAATGTTCTTCGTTTGTTTTGTTTTTGAAGACAATGTCGTTTGAATCATGTAGTGATTTGAGACGTCAAAAAATCGATCGTCTTACTTCATGATTTCTTTCTTCTTTTAACAATAACTTAAACAAAGATTACAAACTTGACTTTTAAACAATATTTTAAACTTCGGGAAGATCTTGAGGACGGACCCAACCCTTTGCAATTGTGGCCTCTTTTTTCCAACGTGACAGCGTCTTATTAAGTGGTGCAAAATCATTCCCCAAAATTACGTATGCATAAAATTATATAATTATTAATATATGATATTTTTGGGAGCATATGTTTATATATAATTTCTCAAAAATAACATTTAAAAAAAAAAACGTTTTTTCACTACTCCATTCGGAACCGCAATCATGTTTATTATTTTATCAAATATTAATTTATAAATAAACAATTACTGTATTTATACAAGAATGACTACCGAATAGAATATGCTAATTTTGTATTTACTTCTCATAAAATATTTGTAGTCAGATGATTAAACGATGAATAAACTTCTCAGGATGCTACGATTTTGAAATCAGTCTTGATCGATGAAGAAACTTTCCATGATGGTTAGATCAACATGGAAAGTTTATTAGTCAATCATCATCTTTGAAAACCAATCAACATGTTGGGAAGTTATCGCTTATCAGGTTGAATATTGACTACAAAAACAATTACTATTAAGTATAGTTATGCACAAATTTGTTTGACTTAAAACCAAAAAAAAAAAAAAATGGTTTGACCAAAATATATATGACATTGCAAAATATTTGTAAACATATTTACACGAATTATCCTAATCAGTTCTATTTCTCTACGGTATATATACACACATTCTTGTTTATATTTATCATCAATCAAGGTTAACTAACAAAGTATCTTTGAAAAAGCGAAAAACAAAAATCATGAAACTCTTGGAACCAATGATGTATACAAAAGTTTTGATGATAACTGTGGCGATATGGTTTGCGTCCATAATTTATGGTCAAGAAGCCGAGGCACCGACTGGTGATGTAGCCGAGGCACCTGAAACTGACTCATTCGACGGTGGTTGGTATGACGCACGACCACATTTTACGGTGACATCCATGGAGAAACCCAACGTAAGTTTTTATTTACAAATATTTTAATTATTACGTATACTCTTTACAATATTAGTAACAATGAAAACCAAAGCCATTATAATCTATTAAACTTTAAATTACATACTCACTTTATTCATGATATATTCAATAGAGGGAGCTTGTGGATATGGTAATCTATTCAGACAAGGCTATGGTCTAGCCACAGCAGCGTTGAGCACGGCGCTCTTCAACAACGGGTACACTTGCGGGGCTTGTTACGAGATCACGTGTGCACATGACCCACAATGGTGTTTGCCCGGATCCATCAAGATCACAGCTACAAATTTCTGTCCACCAAATTACACCAAAACCCATGACATTTGGTGCAACCCACCACAAAAACATTTTGATCTCTCCCTAGCAATGTTCCTCAAGATTGCCAAGTACAAAGCTGGGGTTGTTCCGGTTAGATACAGACGTGTTCCTTGTGTGAAAAAAGGTGGTGTCAGGTTCGAAATCACAGGAAACCCTTATTTCTTGATGATCTTGCCGTACAACGTAGGAGGAACCGGAGATATTAAGGCCGTGCAGGTTAAAGGAAACAAGACCGGATGGATTACGATGAGGAAGAACTGGGGACAGCACTGGACCACCAATGTTGTGTTGACCGGACAACAATTATCATTCAGGGTTACGACCAGTGATGGGGTTACTAAGGATTTCGTTAACGTGGCACCCAAGACTTGGGGTTTTGGCCAGACTTTTAATGGAAGGATTAACTTTCAGAAGAATGATTTGAGTTTTGTTAGTAGCTAAATCTTAGAACTACAAGTATTACATAGATGTACTTGGTGGAAAAGTTACGATAATTAAAATGATTAATAACAACTCGATATAGCTATAGTTTTTCACTGTGACGGTTTGTTGCTAGCTATGCATCACCAAGGAGAATAGACCCGTGGTTTGTAATCAGTATTTAGGAGAAACAAGGTGGATCCAACACGAAAATGGTTACAAGCGATACTCTAGGTTTGGATTGATTGTTTTGTTATTTTATACTGTTTCATATCAATACCATGCTTTGGATGATTGGGAAACAAGAGAAAAAAACGCAGTTCCATTGTTAAGTAGGTCACCACATTCGTGGAGATTTGACGTATTCTGGAGCTTCTTCCGATCAAACCCAAAAACTGTTTCTGATCGCTGAAAAGCATGTGATATGGCCATATGGGGACGACTAGCCTTGGTTCAGTTAGGCAGTTGATAAACTTCATCTCTCAGATACATCTCTCTTTTCCTTCTCATTTCACTTCCAGCTCTTTAGATTACTTTCACTCTTGTTTCAATCCTGTTTTTAGCTTAATTGCATTTCGATTTGATCACTTATTTATATCCATCTTTCCCCACTCAATCATTTCATTTCATTTCATTTTAAGCTCTTTAGGTTACTTTCAGTCTTGTTTCAGCCCTGTTTTTAGCTTATTGGAATTTCGATTTGATATCCAGCTTAGCTCTTTAGATTACTTTCAGTCCTGTTTTTAGCTTACTTGCATTTCGATTTGATAGTTTTAAACAGATTCAATATCCAGCTTAGCTATTTAGATTACTTTCAGGCTTGTTTTAGTCATGTTTTTAGCTTATTTGCATTTCGATTTGATTACCTATTATAGTTTTAAACCGATTTTATATACTTTCAGGCTTGTTTCAGTCCTGTTCCCAGCTTATTTGCATTTCGATTTGATCACTTAACTAACTGAAAATTTCATGTTTGTATGCATCTTCCCCCACTGGTTTCACTTTTAGCTTTTCGCAGGGTTTTTCAGGGGCTGAACTACATTCGCTCAATATTCGCACATCCCCCAAGTAAAATCAAATCTCTACTAGTTTAGACTTGAGTAAACTTTTTTTTTAAGCTATCTAAAATGGATTTGGTTTTTAAATTTTTATAGGATGGTGAATCGATTGCTCGTGAATCTATGATAAGAATTAGGGATAGACTCCATGAAGAAAAAAGAGCTAGAACAAGACAATGCGTGTTGTCTTTAGACGACAATGAACTTTGGGGAGATTGTGAAAGATAGTCGTCATGTCATTGAAGCACTTGGATACAAATTTAATGCTTAAATCCATCCAGCATTACGATCTCCTGCCTGTTCAATTGGTTTTAAAAAAATCGTTATTAAAAAATAAATTTAAGAAATTTAACTGGTTTCTCCAATATACGTGCTCTTAGGACACTAAATAATTGGTTAGACCACATAGTAAAATAAGGCTAATTGTAGCACTAGACCGTATCTATATGAACTTTCTGATATACACATATACCTTAAATCTAAGGGAAATTGTAATGTATAGCCTTGGATAATACATTAATTAAGTGACCAAAAAGCTGTTGTTCTGACATTAACTAGTCATTAATAAAAATCCATTTTACCCTTGTACTTTCAATCTAATTACAATATTCTTTCTCTCTCATCACACAATACTCCGGCGAAAGAAAATAAAAGCGATGGTAACTCTGACAACAGATGATAACAATATTGTTAGCAACGGTAATTCTAGTGTCGGTTATGTTATTATCAAAATAACTTATAAAGTTAACTTATAATGACAGTATTAGTACTGTTATCATGTTAATTTCTAATTTTGATTGGTAAATATATGTTTATGTTAGACGTTAACATGAGTATTATAGGTATATTTATATTAGTTAACATGATAATCGAATAGTTATCATGGTACTATAATAGTTACCATGGTAACTAGATAGTTATCTCGATATCATATTAGTTAACATGGTAATCGAATAGTTATCTCGATATCATATTAGTTAGCATGATAATTAAATAGTTATTTTGAGTTTTCAGGCCATAAACAGTATAATCAGTTTGTATTTGATGAACAGTGTTTCCGATATATAACATCAGAAAACAGGTTTTAGATCAATGGCATTACATGTAAATAAATTAAAATTAAAGGATATTTTGGGTGTAAACAATAAATCATCTCTCCTCAAAAACTAATTATCTATTAATCTCTCCAAATTTTTAATTGTCAGATTATTGGAGGATATTGGCTAAATTCACCCTAAATCTAAATTCTAAACTCTAAAATTCAAACTATAATCAAGTACTAGTGAATTCAAACTTATATGTTATATTAGAAAAATATAGTTTTGAAAATTAATACTCTAAAATTTCTAAAATGTGTATTTCTGAAAATTTCTAGATATCTTTGAGGTTTAATAGTAGATCGCCAATTTTTAATTTTTATACTTCTTGGAAGAATACAGTAACCTACTTGGTTGGTTCACATGTTCAAGGATCGGATCAAATCGTCAAAAGAAGCTTAGAAGTAGCCCTTGCTCTGTGGTTGTTTAAGGGTAGATAAC